CCCCCTCTTTTTTTCCCCATCCAAAGTCAGTCATGTGTGACTCGCGAAGTCTGGAGAGCCTTCGGCCAAGCCTCTTCACCGCGCCGAACGTGCAGACTTATTTTCCGTGACCGGGGCAACACGTGTGTGGTCAGAAAGGGAAAGAGGAAAGACCTCACTCAACATCGTCTGCCCCCCTTCGTTCATTGACATCAGGACCAAATCGGGAGTCGCATCTCTGTTCGACTTTGCGTGTAATCTTAGAAATCCCCTTGTTTTCCCATCACTTTGGTACGTTACATACAACACGCAACACGATCGGCGTAGCTTGGGTGAGAAGCAAGTTCCACAGCGAAATTGGCAAGGGCCCACAAGTACGGGGGCCGATGCGGTAACGACAGTCAAGGTGTCTGATAAAGTGTTCCAGCGCACCATCATCGCGCCTCCCCGGTCGCCTGCATTCCCGGAGCGCAAACCCTTCATAATAGAAAGAGAATCGTACAATCTCGCTTCCCTGTTCTTTCCTTTCACCACCAGGTATTTGCCACAACTTTAAAAAGAGAGAGATGCACGGATTGATCGTACTTTGGTTTCAAGGCGTTGCAGTCGTGCTTGATCATGATCGAAGAGACTCGAGTCGGCCAAGCTTAGTCCTCTCGGTCCCTCTTGGTGGCGGCAGAGCTAGCGACTGCAGGGGTGGCAGCTGCATTCTTGTGGGAGGAAGCAGCGCCGTTGGTAGCGGAAGTGCCATTGGAGGCACGAGCAGCGCTACCATTTTGGGTCGAGGTCGCGCTTTCCGTTCCCACGCCGCGGGGATGGAGACCCGTATCCCTGAGCCTCGAGACTGCGGTATCAGCATTTGAAGAGCCCTGAGCCTGACCAGTAGTACCTCTCGGCACAAAGCTGGAAGTGGCACTGGTACCTGCACTCGTCGTGGCTGCGCGAGCAGCTGCTCCCGCGCTGGTGGATGCGCCTCCAGCCGAGCCTTGTTCGGGCTTGACGTGGATCAGTCCCTTCAGCCAGCCATTTTCGGTTCGCAAGCGGCTGTTCTCTTGCTCGAGGTCTGCAAGACGAGTGCGCAAATCTCGCGAAGTAGCCTCGAGAGCCGCCTCGCGCTGCTTCTTCTTGACGCGAAACCGAGCTACGGATGTGCGAGACGATGCCATCAATCAGCAAGAAGCCAAAGCCTCTATGCAAGCCATATTCGTGCACACCATGGCGCCCTCACTCACCGCTCGCGGCCGTGTTGCGGCGGCGCTTGTCTTCCTCAATGGCGAGCCTATTCGCCTCGGCATCAGCTTCGGGATTGCCGGTGTCGATGAGCTGCAATGGAGGAATGTCGTCCCTCTCAGCGGCACGAGCATCAGCGTCCGCGGAGCTGTCAGCTTGCTCGCGAGCATTGTCGGAGCTATCGCCTTGTCCGCTGTCCGGGCTAGTGCGAGCCTTCTTCTTTCTCGAGATCGCTTGACGTTCTCCGTCGCCAAGGCCGTTGGAGCCTTCGTCGGCAGAGCCGTGAGCGTTGCCGGTGTGTCGACCTTGGAATGATGACTGTCGACCGACTGCACCAAGAGGACCGGGGCCATGGCCTGCACCATTTGGCAAACCATGGAACTCTGGAGCATGCGGTGTCCCAGCACCGTTTCCGCTTGGCTGCCAGCCAGGAATAGGCGGGAAAGGGTTCGAAATACCATTCGGAGCATGCGAGGTATCAATGTTCAGCGAACCGTTTCGCGAGAATTGGCCGTTCTCGTGGTGCTGGTGCTGCGGTTGTTGCAGCTGGGACAACGCTGCCTGAACTTGGGGATTGCTGAGCTGGCCGAGTAGAGTGGTGACCTGAGCTGATGCAGGTTGGCCGCTACCACCATTGATGGAGCTCAGCGCTTGCTGGAGAGCGAGCAGCGTATTAAGGTCGACGTTGCCAGGCAAGGGTGGCTGCGGCTGAGATGGCCTGCCTTGAGGTTGTCCCACTTGACCCGGTAGCTGCGAAAGGTGCTGAGGCTGCTGTTGGTACAGCAGGGCTTGCAACGGATTTGAAGTGCTGCCCGCACCATTCCAGAATGGATTGTTGACTGGAAAAGGGTTCTGAAGTTGTGCTTGCAGCTGGGCCGCGAACTGGGCCTGAGAGATGCTAGGGCTCGGAACGTTGTGCGCATGAAGCTCTGAAGGTCTCCGAGCGTGCTGTTGATGACTGGGTGCGGGAGCGCCCAACGCGCCGCCGAAGTAAGTCTGCTGCTGGGTGATCAATGGCGTCGGAGGTGCTGTGTTTGGCTGGCTGGCGCGGTGCTGGTCGTGAGTGCCATTGATCTGCTGTGAATTATGTTGATGATGACGCTCTTCTTCAGCACGCCTCTCGTTCGCCTCTCTTTGACGCTGAAAGAGAGCAGCTTCCGTCTCGCGGTTCTCGGCGCGAGCCTGAGCGCGCTTGCGATCGGCTTCGTCGGCCTCCCGACCAGCGTCGAGATCGCCATCTTTGTCCTTGTCCTTGTCATCATCGGCAAGCAAGGCGTGACCTGTCGGACCATCGAAACTGAAGTTGGCATTGGTCCACAGAGCCAGCTGATCTGCAAAGGTGCCTTGCCCAAGCAGACCATCGTCTGCATTGGCGCCGGGCGCAGATTCACCGAAAGATTCCAAGCCCGTGAGCAACGAGTCATGTCGACTGTTCAAGGCGGATGAACCAGCACCTCCTGCGTTCGGAGAGTTGCCAGGAGGACTGGCGAACTGATTCAGTCCGAACAAGAAGCTGTTGGGATCCTCGAATGGCATGGCTGATGTCGTGTGGGTTCGAGGATGATGCTAAAATCAGAATGTCGAAATGTTGCCGAGGGCAACCCCTTCGAGGTGGAGCGACAACAGCGGCTCTGTGTTTGTTCGAGTCGCCTTGGGGTGTGGTGGCGAGCGATAGCAACTACTACGACGGCACCGAGTGGCTAGTCGCTGCTATCAATGTTGTCCTAACAACTAGCTGATGTGAATGTATGGTACGGGAAACGCCCAGATTGCTCGTGAAGTGTGCGAGAAGCTTGGTTGGACCAAGTCACAAATCTTTTGCGATCAAAGCCTCTGACACTTTGACTCACGAGCCGTCAATCACGCCTTACGGTATGCGCGAGCCCTGCGCCTCCGAGCGCGAAATGGCGAGAGGTCGGGTGCGTGCGCTCGCTGCTGATGCACATATGCTGCTACAGCTATATGCCCGCGTCGCCCTTGCTGACACCGCGCACACGCCGCGCTCGATCAGCATGTACCGTCCGTGTCCGGACTGGTCTCACCGGTGCTGCTGCAGTCTTGAGTCTGAGTGCTGCGTGCTCTTGCGCTGCATGCTGTTCGAGCGCAATTTCCGCGCCCACTGCGACGTCACCCGTCATGCACTTGGTTTCGCGCGTGCGGCGTCTTGCTGCATGGTTTGGCCTCCTCTATAGCTCCTCTCCTAGCAGCCGGCTTGCAATTTGAATCAAAATAATTCAACGACGCGAATTTGAACTGAATCGCAGCAAGCTTTCCTACCCTTTCTGAAGCTTTGTTCCTATGCAGGGCATCACAAAATGGGTCTCAATGTCATTTGAATTGGCACAACTCTTCATTGAGTTTGATTGTCTGTGAATTCTAGTCAGAGTGAAAGTTTTGAGTCTGATGGGAGGCTGCTTATAGTCACAGTCAAGGGTGCGTAAGCGGGGGGCGTCTACAGGACAAGGCAATCGAAGATTCTAATCGTGAATTTTCTATTTCTTGTTTGAGTGACCGCTCAAGCGCATGAAGCGAGCTGGCAAGGTCAGATTGAATCGAATGTAAGCGAGCTCGAAGGGTTGTAAAGTGGGGAGCGGTGAGTAAAAGCTGACGAGGCTACTGCTTGCGTGCAGGAAACGGTCTGTTTAGCTTCCTTCGGGTTGATCCGCACGCAGCAGCTCTCATGCCCAACAGACTTCTTCGCCCTTCCCACGGGCCGCAGCATGCTTTGGCACTCAGCCACTATCAAGCCGGTCGAAATCCCAATCCCGGTTGTGATTATCCCCGGCCGGACTATAGCGTGCACCTTCACATCACCAGGAGTCACCAGTGCGGTACTGCTCGTACCGTAGCACAGCACCGGCATGATCTCTGCATCTCGCCCGCATAGAAGCTCGCAAAGGCAGATTGATTGTCATTTGATTCCCATTCTGCTCGAACATGCAGCAAGGGACCCTCGATTACTACTGCATCCAATCAAGATCTAGAGTCGAAGCGCGCCTCAATATTGAATCGTACGCTGGGCTCAGAAGAGCAAGGAGTCGAAGATGGCAGCAGATGTCGAGTTCACGAGTCACGTCGCATTTCACCTTGGTAGCATTCAATTCTTGATTGTGGAGACGCTCGTAGACACGAGAACAAACGAGATTCACCATCGTGGTCAGCCGATATGAGCCAGGCTCGAATGTTCAACGTTCTCATGACCTCTCATGAACATGATGTTCGAATTAAGGCCCGACCCGCGAAGAGGAGACAGCTGCGCTGCTGACCTTGCATTCGCTGAGGCCGCAGTGGTTACCAAGGCCAGATGCTGACCCACAAATCGAGGGTGAAGACGTCACTGAAGCATGAGTGGTCGAGCAGTGAGCACGATGACTCGTGACTTCCGTAGCTGCTTCCTCACCCGTCTCTAGAGTCATATGTCGCAAATCGCGCTACGCAACGTGGGCCAGCTCACGACATGAGGGACACAAGCTTAGCTTGCGATCCTGGCTATGGGGGTGCATGAGCCGAGCGTGCCCGTCGGCTCATTGCGATTGTGAGCGGTGCGTGTCCGCCTCTGCGTGAGACCTTACTGTGACTGTGCTCGCACCTGAACGTATCGCCATGGGGTTCACATTTGGCTGGTGGGATTCTCTACATCGTGAGAAGTCAGGCGCGAGTCAGAGTCGTGTGTGTGGGTGGTATTCGTATCGTGCGGCAAGATTGGATGGGTTCTTCACGCATGTGATTCCGGATCGTACCGGTGCTGACCGGCAACGGCTCGCATCTTGCATGACTGGACAGCGCAACGGTACAGTCAGAGTCGTCAGTCGCGAGTCGTGAGTCTGGAGTTGCTGATGCTTGTCAGGCGACCTCAAAGCAGCACGTGGCTGATCTGCACAGTCAAGAGTCAAGAGTCAAGAGTCAAAAGTGCGCACGGACGTGACATCTAGACACGTGACGTCAAAGGCCATCGAGATGCGAGCTGTGGAGATCCGTGCATGATGCTGATCAGAAAGTCGTGGCGGTCACGATGAACAGCCCCTGCAGCAGATTCACCATGTCCATTCGAGTACTTGGGACGATCGACAGAGACTCATCAGTCCAGATCTAAATCAGCGCTGCATTTTGGGTTTGCGCTCGGCGCGTGCATTCAGCTTCACACCCTCGTGTGTACACGGTCGCGAGGCAGCAAGCTGTTGTTGCAAATTGGTCGGGCGGCCCCTGTTCCTCTGCACGGATCTCTAAGGCCGCTCAAGATCGAACATGTCGGACGATGAGGTGCGTTTGTGATCCGAAGGGGACAGCGCGATGCGGGATTGGGCCCAGGCAGCTGACGATCTGCAACTGATTGACACACGCATACACGCAGTTTCTGATGGATGATGCGGCGGATGAGGATTACGATTTTGATTACGAGGAGGACGATGGGGATGCCGGAGATGCTGACATCGAGAACTTGTACTACAACGCCAAAGGTGAGCGACATTCCCCTCTTTGTCAGTGGCTACGAGCAGAAGTCGCTAAATTTGCGGACTTATCGCCCACAGGCAAGAAGGAGGACGATCCGGAAGGCGCTTTGGCAGACTTTCGAAAGGTCGTAGAACAGGAAGGCACACCTGGCGACTGGTGCGCACAGTGCTCGATTGCTTGCTCGCCGATCACGGTCTGCTCACAAACTACCTGCTCTTCATCTCAGGGGCTTCAAAGCGTTGAAGCAGTCTACCAAGCTAAATTTCAGGCGAGGAAAGCATGCGAATGCGCTCAAAACGTACGAAGAGCTGCTGGGCTACACCAGATCAGCGGTAACAAGGAATTACTCGTAGGTGATGCGTGCTTTGATCCTACGTTGTCTGTGCAGCGCGCTCAACTCTCTTGACGCTACTTCCCGACAGCGAGAAGAGTATCAACAACATCTTGGACTACGTCTCTGCTGCTGCGGGAGAAGGTCACGGCTCAGCTATTTCTCACAGCAACGAGGGGTCAACGCTCGACCTGGCTACCATGGAACGCTTCTACAGTACCACGAAGACAGCTTTAGAGAGCGCAAAGAATGAGCGACTGAGCATCAAAACGGACCTGAAATTGGCTCGACTGTGGCTCGCGAGGAAGGAATGGGGCAGACTTGCAAAGGTGTGTAAGCCTCCAATCGGAGAAGCTCGACTAGAGGTAACTGCGGCACCTGACACATAGTGATCTTGCCCCCATTGTAGATTCTCAAAGATCTACGAGCTCACTGTGAAGAGCAGTCTGGCGAAGGCGATGGTAGCAGAGCAACTGTGTTGCTCGAAGTCTTCTCGCTAGAAATTTTGATGTACGACGAGATGCGTGATTTCAAGAAGCTCAAGGAGACGTACGATGCGACGTTGAGCGTGCGCAGTGCTATTCCACATCCCAGGATCATGGGCGTTATTCGAGAATGCGGCGGCAAGATGCACATGGCCGAGAGTGAGTGCTCAGACTCATTGACTGGCAGACCTGGAGTGTCACTCAGACACGGCATGTTTGGCACATCTCCCTCCCTTTAACAGAGCGCTGGAAAGATGCGCAGATGGACTTCTTCCAGTCATTCTTGTCGTATGATGAGGCTGGTAGCCCTCAGCGAATCACTGTTCTAAAATACCTGGTTCTCGCGCACATGCTCATGGGTTCAGACATCAATCCGTTCGACAGTCAGGAAACCAAGCCGTAAGTGACGACTCGATCTTATAGGCCTAGGCGATGGCCTGCGCTGGCATTGAGAGCTCGGAGCCCGCGCACGTAGATACAAAAACGACCCTCAAATCGTCGCCATGACCAATTTGGTGGCGGCTTACCAGCGCAGAGAAGTGCATGAAGCAGAGAAGATTTTGAGGGGTGCGTCGACACATGATCTGCTTTGTGCGCGCCCACTTGGCTGACATATATCAAGACCCTTTCAGAGAATCGGGCCACCATCATGGACGATCCATTCATCAGAGCTCATATCGACGAAGTGCTCAAGGGTCTGCGAACCCAGTATCTCATCGACTTGATCCAATCGTATACGCGTGTGGAGCTTAGTTTCCTAGCGAGGGTGAGTTGCAAGGTTTCTCCGTCTCGACTCTGCAGAATCTCATCGCATCCGCTGCGCCTCTTGACTGCAGCATCTGAACATCACCACCGCGGCAGTCGAAGAGCTGCTCATGGTACTCATTCTAGATGGTCGCATTGCAGGACGCATCGATGCGGTGCAATCCAGGCTCATCATCCATCCCAAGGATGATGCGGGGGCGGGGGCGGGAGGAGGCAAGACGCTGGCTGGCAGGCGGTACGACGCTTTGCACAAGTGGGTGCAGGAAATCGATAGGCTTGGAGAGTCCATCGAGGAGAAGCACGCCATGCATGGTTCGGGACCTGGTGCAGGCATGGCACAGCCGATGGGCGGCATGAGCGGTCTGGGTCGAGCCTGGGCTCAACAGATGTGAACTCGCGTCGACTTTTCGTTCCGTGTACTACTAGCAAGCGCCCCCCCCCCCCGCCCCGCTCTCTTTCCATCAATTGCAATACACACACACTTCGTCCAGCCATGCTTCGAATGGCCTGTTTGCAGCATCTTCGACGCGCGCTAGGCACAGACAACGATCGGAATTTAGCGCTGGCGTGAAGCAGACAACATCTGGCAAAGCTGCGGGGCGACAAGAATGGGGGATGGCATAGATGTATTCGAGTATGTTTGGTTTGTGCATGGGCGAGACGAAAGGTGCTGGAAGACGAAAGAAGTTCCAAAAGAAGGAAAGGGGGGTGAAAGGAAAGAGAAAACGCCGAAAGATGCGACTGGATTCAGTCCTTGGGAGGTCGGCGGGGAGCGAGGCTGAAGTAGAGCCAAGATATTACGCGAGAGGGTGAGCCCGAAAGAGTTGTTGCTCGCTGAGAGTCTGGGTGGAGAAGAGACCGAACTTGCATCGAGACCGAGAGCGAAGTCGTGAGATGTGAGACGGACGAGTCGTGATTTTGCGAGAGGCGACGTATCGGAAAGAAGCAGGAGGCTCGGTGGATCTGATCGATCCTTTTCGTTGGAGTTCACGTGGGTGACGAGACAGAGAAGGGGGGGTACTGCGGTCAGGATGAATGGAGCTGCTCCGCTCAACGGAAGCGTGTGGAATTTGCACAATTTCGACGACTATGCGCCGACGGCAGTCAACGGGGCAGCAAGATTGTCTGAGGTCGTGAGATTGTCCGGCACATTGTTGGCAGCGGACACGGGGGCGGCAGGCGGCGATGAGACCTGAGAAGACACATTGGTGGCTGTAGACGCGATTCGACGGCCTACCAGGGTGAAGCCATCGTCCGGCTGAGCATCGCCATTGGGCTCATTGGACTGTTCCGTCTTCGCAGTCGAGTTGGCCCCAGAAGCAGCCTTGTGTTGTTGCTTCTTTTCTGCTTTGCTACTTTTGCTCTTCTGAGTCTTCTCCTCCTCGTTCGCCTTGGAGGTCGCTTCGACGACCGGCGCGGACTCAGAGGGAGCTAACACAGGCTTTGGCGGCGCAGGTGCAGAGAGCACAGCAGAGAAGTTGAACTTCGCTGCTCCTGATCCGTTCGGTGCTGAAGGAGAGGCTGCTTGCGGCTGCTGAGGATTGGGTGAGAATGGCAGGGCCGGGAAGTCGTTGGCGCTTGGCAACTTCTGAGCAGTAGGCTTCTTGGGTGGTCCAGCTGAACCATTCGCTCGAGAGCCCGTCCCTGCATTCGCTTTGCCATTGGCACCGGTCTTTTGGCCATTGACACCAGCCTTGGGACCCGTCGGTCGCGTAGGCGGTGTTGCTGCTGCGCCAGCAGAGGGTCCAGCGGTGGCTTCAGAACTCGTCGCCGCATCATCACCGACTGTTCCGTTGGCGATCCCGTTCGGCTTTGTGGGCGGCTTCTTGACCTGGGGACCGCTAGGCACGTTGACCAGTGTTGGTGATGAAGCCGCTGCAATGGGCGGGGTAGGCAAGCTTGAGGTAGATGGACTCACTCGCGCATGTTTTGGCATTTTGGCAGCAGGAGCCGCCTGCGGCGCAAGGGAGGGCTGTCCAAGTTGCGCCTCCGCGACTCGAGCATCGGTCCCATCTGGGAGGATGTGCGGGAACTGGCACTTGTCACCGTATCTGCACCTTCCCTGAGGGAAAAAGGTGCACGGTGGCCGACCTTCGCGGAAGCTTCGAGGTGCGCCGAACGGGCCTCCGCCCCTTCGAGGCTTGCTACGGTAGTTGGACGGACCGGCAGCAAAATGTCCATGAACGCCAGTAGGGATTCCGTTCGCATCCACCATCGGCGCAGCGTGACCGGAAGGCTGGAAAGGCACGGCGTGAGAATGCAAAAACGAGTTGAAAGACTGGCGGCGGTGCAGCGGACGACCCTGTGCATCTGCTTGAGGTGCTGGCGACTCGTCGCCGCCTGTAGGGGGGCTGCTTGCGGTGGGTGCGTCGGTACTGTCTGCATTCTGAGGTGCGCTTGGAGGTGTCGCATCGCCGGCATTGGCGGCTACCGCTGGGGCTGGGCTCGAAGCGACGGCTTCCGAGATCTGCGCCCCTTCCGCAGGAGCCGTCGGGAGGTCGCGATTCTCCTGCTGAGTGTCCTCTTGAGCAAGGACCGGCCCAACCGCGTCTGCCTCACCAGTAGGCGCTCCATTTGAGACGATGGTTTGGAGCTGCACAGGAACTGGCACCCCTCCAGGAGGAAAGTGCAGATGATGAGCGCCTGGTGGAGCAGGGTAGAAGCCAGGCTGCGGGTAGCCGGGGTAGCCGTACGGCATGGGTTGTTGGTAGTAAAGACCATGTTGCTCTGCCTCGCCGGGCGTGATCCCAGCGGGAAGAGCAGAGGGCGAGAGGGGTCCAGGGGCCAAATGCGGAGGAATCATAGGTTGACCAACGCTCATAGGAATGTCTACGGGGTGTGCGAATGCGCACCGATCCCCGTAGCGGCAGTTTGGGAAGTTGCGGCATGGGATGCTGCGAGCAATGTCGGGAGGGGGCAAGTTGGCAGAGGAGTCTTTACGACCGTGTTGGCCATCCGGCTTTCCATTGCCCGCGAGGTGAACAGGCTGCCCAGCTCCCGGTGGGGCACGGAAGGGACCCGCCGGATGTCCATAGAACGGACCATAGTGAGCAACTGGTCCATCAGCGTAGAAGCCATGAGGTGGCTGGTGCGCGCCAGGAGGAGCGCCATAGGGTCCCATCTCGTGGTAGGGAAGGGGAGGCTGCGGAACAAAATTGCCATGCTGCTGCGCATACATCCCTGGCATGGCATTCACGTAACTGATGGCACCGTTGGGTAGCTGCTGCCCGCCATGAATGTCTACAGGGTATGAGTCCTGCACCTCTTCGTGATGGGCTTCGGTAGGCGCCGCTCCCGACCCTTCCGTAGGCCCAAAAAGGAGAGCACTGATCTCGGCATGATCCTTGCCATGCCCTTGCTCAACAGCCTGAGCGCGATCGGCACCTGTGAGTGGTAGAAGGGAGGCCACAGGCATCAGTGCATTGCGTTTCGTGGCGCAAAGCTTGGCATGCTGTTTGGAGTTCAGAAGCTGCTTCATGCCCAGGAGTCCTTGCGAGACCAGACTGGAGCTGCTCAGACCTTCGACCGCAGATGGCTTCCCCTCCGACGCACGGGCACGCAGTGCTTAGTTGGACGAGCTTGCGCCTTCACTGCTCGGCGTCGCTTTCTGCAAAAATACTCTGCGGGAGCCGGGGTCCGGCAGACTCACCTTTGGCAAGAAGCTCCTTTACAACCTCGACGTGACCTGCCCTCGCGGCCAAAGCGAGCGCTCCTAGTCCCTCCTCGTTCCTCGCCTCAACAAGCTCCACAATTTGTTCCTTGTGCTGATCGAGTGCGGTGCGAAGTGCTTCCACATCGCCCTCTCGGCTAGCACGAAGAATGAGTGAGCTCATATCGTCGGCGCGGTCGGTTCAAGCCTTATAAAGACAGCGCGGCGATGGTTTGAATGGTCGCCAGCGCTGCTTGTATCGTGTGAAGAGGCAAAGTAACCTCTTTGTCTGTGCAAGTCGGTAGGATACGGCAGGAGGCTGGCGGCAGGGATCTTTGGCGGTTGGAGGTCGAAATGCTGGACGGCTAGCAGGGACGTGAGGCGAGCTATCGGCGGGTTGGGCAAGAGACGAGATGGGCCGGGTGAGACAGTGCGAGGATTGGGAGGGCTGCGTATGAGGTGATAGTACGAATGTAGAGGCAGTCGAGAATTCTGCGTCACGAAAGCTGAGCACCCGACTGCAATCGTGAATCAAATCCCAAGTCGACACCAAAGTGCGCAACGGTTTGCATGCGTGCCGGGCGAGTCCATGCGCCAGACTCGCACAGAAAAAAAAAAGCCGTCACGCGCGCGCGCGAAGATTGATGAAGCGCCGCGCCTACGCCGCTTCATTTCGCCTCTCTCCTCTGCATGGCGTGGGGGAAGCAGGCTCAAGTTCGAGCGTGCAGAACTCGCCTGGCCACTCGTGACTGTGACTGCAGTTCATCATGTATGGCTACTCAAGTCACAGTCTCCAGCACACCCGTGACTCCCAATCAAGTTGCATGTCTACAAACACGCATCGTCAAAGCAACTGAGGTCGGACTTTCGTTCCCGTATCTACGCCTCCCTGGAGTTGAGCCGACTCATCAGGCTATTCATGTCATTATTTCCCTCAATCATATGTGCCTCTTTCGCGCAGCAGCAGCGACTCTGCGACCGGCCCGCATACCATGCTCCCTCTCTTTGAACGCCCGCAGCGCCTACGACACCCCAAACGACAACTGAGGCTCTTAATTCTGTCTCTATACATATAGCTGCGATGAACATATATATACGCTGCTGCAACCGCGTCAATAAAAAGAAGAACTTCTTCGAGGGCGCGTGCACGCGCGCGCGCCGCGCGCGACATCATCAGCTATATAGAAAAATTTTTGGGCTGCGCAGCGCGGTCACGCCGCGGTGCGCCCGCGCGCGCGCGCCCATCACTTCTGCATGCATCAACTGATGCTTGTGTTCATCCGTGCGAGTCATCAAGACCATCCATGCCATGCAGCATATACATGCTGGCAGCGAGCACGGGTCGTCAAGGCATACAGATGCGCGAACGGCCCGCCACGCCGTCGCTATGATAGTCTGTCAATCGAGGTAGGTACAGTGCGAGCTAGCAGCCACGTCCTGCTTGCAACGCCCTGACCTAGTCATGGTACTCTCTCGGCTCCCACCGACTCTCGTATGGATAGGGCATGCGGTGCAGCGCGCTGCGTCGCGCAGGAGAGGCACCTTTTGCCTTGAGGTGCTCGGTCGACGGCCGGTGATGTCCAACGGCCATGTCGCGAACAAATGCAGGACTCCAATCAGCTAAGGATGATGAATGAGAGAGGATCAGAGTGCGATACGGTACAGCAGAATGCCAGAATGCAGGGAGAGACGTCGACAGGAGAATGTAGAAAACGTGAATGGCCATGTGCCCAAAAGTGGCGCATCAAAGCTGCCAGGGCAATGTCTCTATTCGCGCATTGCTTCGAGGCGAGTCTGTTCGACAGCGTCTTCAAAGCCAAGGCCGTTCGTGCCAAACGCTTTCCATTCGTGCTTCGCGATACCTGAGGGTGTAGAGCGTCAAGGTGATTTAACAGGTCAGCCAGCAGCCATCTGACATAGTCAAATCGATGAGGCAGGAACACTTGTCCAAACTCACTTCCGCCCGAAGGTTCCCAGCTAGTGGACATCAAGCTAGGCTCGCTGGAGTGCCAGCTCACATCGCGAACTGTGCTTCCGCCACCGGTGCTGCCCCAGCCCATTCCGTGGCTCTGGTGACGTCCCGCAGAGTTTTGCCTTCGCTCTTGCAGTTCGGACTGCCCCAGCACGGGCTCTGATGGATCGGCAGCCAGTGGTCCTTCCCCCCGGACAGAATGGGTTGAGCGGTGCATGGGCACACTTAGATTTCGATCGAGCACCTGAACCACTCGACCGTCCAACGACCAAATCTAGAGGTGACAGGGTCGCAGCAATATGCGTGGGGTCAGCAGTGATCGAAGCTGATGAGTGAAAGCTTAGATTCTCCACCACACTAACATGAATCCTGCCATCCGCGCTTCCTGAATAGATGTACTGCTGGCCAGTGGTAGCGCTCGGGGAGAAATGACATCGGATCAGGGTGTGCAAGACACTATGACCTCTATACGTCATGATCGATCTATCATTTGGACGTCGCTGATGTCGTGGTTTCTTGTAGGTCCTGCATTCCAGGATATACGTGATAAGCATGCGACACGGGCCACTACAAGCGAGAGGCAAGCAAAATACTTACATATTGCGATAGTCCCAATTGCTGACGCCGACTAGCGAATGTCACATTAAAAACAAGTCGGTCAGCATGTTCTGCTGTACAAGCCTCAGACCGCCGAAATACTGACCGTCGTAGTTGGATACTGGGTCTGAATCAAAGTCGGAACTGCTAGACATATGTCTGAGGTCCCAGAGCTTCACGCTTTGGTCTTTGCCGTTGGAAATGCAATACCTTCCATCGCCCTTCGGACTGACATAGGTGATGCCCTCGGTATGACCAGGCAAGACACCAGCAGGTTTCCCGCCAGAAAGTGATCGTCGGTCCCACACTTTGACAAACGAATCGTCGCTGCCGCTGATGAGGACGTTGCTGCTTCCCGCGTCCGCAAATGCGACGGCGTTAACATCATCATAGTGAGCTTGAATGCGCAGTACTCGCTTGCGAGCTTCTATGTCGAATACGCTGATAGATCCCTGATTGGCTCCAGCGACGATCTCTCTCGAGTCGCCGCTAAAGCGAATGGACCAGATCTGCGCACGGGTGGAGGATTGCGCATCAGCGGAGATCCGATGCGAGAGCCTTCGAGAGCAACTGCGGCTCGAGAAGTCAAGACACATGGACGCACTCCGTCTCTGCGATATCTCACCCCTGCATCATCGTCTCCTCCGCTGAAGTCGAGCAGCACCTGCTTGTCGGACTGGCTGCCGGACTGCTGTTCGTCCACTCGTGTAGGCACCAGGTAGACGAATGGTGTAATAGACGAGTAGATCATCCACTGTAGCAGGAGGACCTGGAGCGCGTCAGCGAAAAAAGACTCGTGCCGCAGACGTCTACTGCAGAAGATCACACTCACCGCATTGTTGGGAGACAGGTGCGCATCAGTGATGGTCCACTGACCTGCACGTCCATTGATGGTCTTGATGACTTTCAAGCTCGTCTCGTGCGTCTCTTCATATGTTCGACCTCTCCAACCGCCACCGCCACCGCCACCTGTGCTGGTAACCGCGCGAGCATGTTTCTGAGGTGCTACCGAAGTGTCGTAGATGTGCACTTTGAAATCCTGATTCAGAGAGTACAAGGAACATAAGCGGCCAGAACAAGCCTGAAAAGTGGTCTGATACCGCTGACAGAACCGCTCACTTGATCGCATGTGTAGAAGAAGCTACTGTCATCAGAGTACTGTCCACAGTACACCCGGGCAGGATACTTTGCCACTTCCGTGCCATTTGTGTTTGGGACGTGTCTCTGAGGAGGCAGCAAGCATATTAGTCATCTGCTTGTACTGCTGCGACGTATGGTACTCAGTACAAGGCTCACGCTCAAATCTGACTTCGTGACGGGCTTCCTTGCAGCGTTACGGGCGTGCACCTTGCTTGCTAGGTTGCAAGAGGGATGAAAAGCGCTACGGAGATCGGGATTGAAGGATCTCGCAGTGGGCTAAGAAGTGAGGTGTGAAGCGGGTGTGTAGGCTCGTCAGACTGCAAGATGAAGCATGCATGCCAGCGTGCGAAATGACTCACACGCGAAAATGCCCCGCTCCTGGCAAGCTCCTGCCCATCTTCTATTGGCTCCTCGCATTTAGTCCAGAGTTCTCCTGGTCTTGGTCTTCGTGCGCGGGCGCCGTACGGGTAGTAATCCTGCAGCAGAAGACAGGAGCAACATTGTCAGTCTCGGTGCATGTTGCAGATGTCGCAAGATCTGGCGGCAGCAACTCACGTCATCGTCATCTTCTTCTTCTTCGTCGTCATCGTCGTCACGAGCAAACGCAGCGCCTCTTCGTCTGCCAGACATCGCACCAGCCAAGAGCTGCAAAAGGCTGCCTCTTCCGATCGGGTTCGTGGCTGCGCCTGCTGTTCCAGCCTGAGTGGCCGCATTCCGACGAGCCGAGAGCATGGCGAGTAACTCTGATGTGAGGGGCAGTCAAGCCAGACATGAGCTGCATACTCGCAAGAGGCGCAGTCAAAGTCAAGGGACTGCTTGACTCACCATTGAGGTCGATGGTCGTTGTGTGCTCTGCATCTTGGCCCTCGCCTGCTCCTGCGGACCCCTCACCCGCTTCTGCACTTTGCATCTCGAGATCATCCTCGCTACTGCCCTCCTCCTCGTCATCGTCATCGTCATCGTTGCCATCATCATCACCCTCGCCACCTTGAAGCTGTTCCATTAGCGCGCCTTCCTCTTCAGAATTCCTACAGGTTGAGAAAGCAAGAGTGCCTTCAGATTTGCTCGACGCGACTTCGGAGCCTACGCGGACTCACAAAGCAAGCTCATACTCGCTATCTTCTTCAAGCTCTTCCAGTCCCTCCTCGCCGTCCAAATACTCCTCGTCATCATCTCCTTCTTCTTCTTCTTCTTCGTCCTCATCCGACATCTCATCCAAGGCTTGAAATTCTTCCACCATCTCCTCAAGCACACCATTCATAGCTGCCAAATCCTCCTCTCTCTGTGTCCTCGCATCTCCTGCACTTCCTCTGGTCGACTCGTCCGCCTCATTATCCATCTTGTTGTAGCGCGATGAGGAAGTCCGACGCTCCACCCCGAGCTAGAACGTCTGGCCACACAACACCTATGTAGGTGAGCTGCAGATGTGCGAACGTGCCTTTTGAGCAGGATCAAAGCGCTTCGAGCTACCAGACCGCAGTGGGTGACTGATGAGTTGTGGAGGATGCCAGCCTGTGACTTGCCGGGCGAGAGTCCTGTAGTCGTGGCGCACCTGAGAGCGAAATGCGATGCTGGTATGTCATAAAGAGAGGCGAATAAGAGTCAAGGTGGCTCAAGGTGGTGCCGATCCGACTTGATCGGTTGTACTGTAGCGGTAGGGGGGGGGAGACCACAACCCTCTCTCCTCGCACCTCCGATTAGCGCTCGAATCACATATGCTGACAACGACGCTCACCTCTATCGCCTGCACGGCCACACCCTGCATAAGCCCACGCACGGCAATCCGGCTCGTGATCGAATTGAATGGCGGGAATCGTGAGTCGCGCAGTCACGAGTGGAGGTTCGCCCGCGCGTTCTCAGATCAGCATGCACCTGCTGCTGCATGCCTGCGCCTCTGATGCTGCGCGCTGCCATTGTGATTGCAACGTCCGCGGCACATCGGCACTCCATCCGACTCACACTCGTGGCGCTTCGCCTTCTATCGTACTCATCAGACTTGCACCAGGCACTCTCAAGTCACGAATCTACTCGTCTCGTGACTACTGACTCAAGACCACTATACTGACTGGCGACTTGTGAATAAAGCCTTCGCAATTTGCACCAGCGCCTCTTGATCGATCTGCGCACCGCACCGTGTTCCTATCAGTCACGAAGCGTCTCGGCACCAGTCACGTGACTCACTACACATGTATTGATGGCGGGTGCGGCGCCTACTGTGCATCTACGGTATGCACATGTCCGCACGCGCTAAGCACCAACACCTCTTTCTGGCGTGCAGGTGATGCTCAGCTTACCGGTGCTAATGACGCTAGCTGATCAGTGTCGGCACATGTGACTCGTGACTGGAGCACACACACACGCTTTCATTCGTGATTGAAGAGATCCAAGCTCCGAACGCGAGCAATTTCGCACGCACAGGAGTTTGCTCAACTTTGACCCATCATTGTGAAAGAGGCTGGTATTCGTCGGTCTAACCCATCAATCACGAATCGTGAACGGCGTGGGAGAGAAAGACACAGGTACGTAGCGATTGTGCCTGTGCTTGCGCGCGAACATCCAGCATTCGTCTACATCTACATGCGGCCCGCCAGGCTTGATTCACATTGTAGCAAGCGAAGCCACGCATGGATCGCTGCTCTTGTACTGACTTCCGTCACGAGTAGAGAGGCTGTCATCAGCTTTGAGCTCTCGAACCAACGAGCGCCGTGCCACAATCACGAGGATGCTCGATCAAGATGGACGCATCCTTCCAGCCACCTTTGCGTCGCAAGCTGATTCTCGCCTTTGACATGTTCTCAGCCAGAGGAGGCACGCTGAGCAATGTGCCTCTTGTAGATCTGGCCGGATCATCCGAAGGTCCCGCGGCTCATATCGAGGGCTATCAAGGTTCCCTGGTGGACGCGAGCAACACGTTTCATTTCTACAAGGTCCTATACGATAAGCAACACCTGCTGCACCACATCCTCAGACAGAGCGAGCAAGAGGCGCGTGCGAATCATTTGCACGTGCTCTTCGACTACAGCATCACCGATACCGGCCCACAACGTCTGCTGAACAATGGCGATCCGAAAAAAGTCTGGTTCTGGCGAAGTTGGTATTGCAGCTACTCAGAAGGGTGGAGACATGCATCGCACCTGATCGGACTCGAGCCTAGACGACCGAGATCCGACGAGATCGTCAGCGCAAGTCCTTCTCTATATTCGCTGCACTTGCAAGCCGTCTCTTTATGCAATGCGAGCGGCATTCTTTGCAATAATCCTCAAGTGCTCAGCAACTTTCCTAGCGGATCGACTTTGCAGACCTTTCATCGCGAGCCGTGCGCTCCGGCACTGGCCGACCCGGGATGGCTCCACTTTGCTACTTTGCTTCGTTTGTCGCGTCCCTTGGCCGAAGCCTTGCGCACCGTTGGACCAGACTTGGAGCATACCGTTTGCAGATTGATGTCTTTCAGCATCATAATCGCCATGTATAGTCTGGATGACCAAGACAAGTACGCGCGGTTATTAGGTGGACAGCTGCGTCTACGTTCGCAAGAACAGGTGATTGGTCTAGCCCAAGCCGACTGCGGATATCTGCCCTTGGCGCATACTCGAGCTTCTTCGCATCGTCTTGCGCAGACGGACGAGATGGTAATCGTAGTCGGAGGAAGTTTCAATGTGAGCGGGACCAACGACCCCAATTCCATCTCGCTCAAGCACATCATCGACGTCAACAACAGCAAGTCGTCCGAGTTCAGCAAGAGGCTCTACAGCGTGTCGCCGGAAATCATGGCAGGCAGCATATTCGGTTGCTTTCATCGTGTTTGGCACACATACACTGCTCATCGAGGTCCTTGGCCTGCTTTTCTGCCATTGTACAATGAGCTCGCCGAGCGCTCTCCTATCTGCGATATCGCCTCCTAATTCCTCAACGCAGAGCCTTCCTTCCGCAGCTCCGAGTTTGGGGAAATGAGAGACCCGACTGGTCGAGCTTGGACACACCCGACCTTCGCAAGTGTCGATGCCCCCCAACTACGCGCTTGACGGCGTCCGACCTCAACCGAACCCATGTGCAGGGTAGTTGTCAGGCCAGATCACGCACATCCGCAAGATGGCCTCTCACCAACAAAGCGTCACCGGCCTTCTGTTGATTGACATGCATCGCAAAAGCGCGTTTCAAGTCGCAGAGTCGCAACTAGACGACCTCAGAAGACCGACCGCTGTAGAGAGTCTCGTCGCAAGTAGCCCGTCAGCTCACCTGCTGCAAACGGCTGTCAGAAGCCGCGATATACCGGGCTATGCGGCGGCATGCAACACCAGACACAGTGGGGGCATTGGATTACGGTTCTTTTGCAAGGATACATATGATGGTGATGGCGGAGGCGGTGGTGCTCGCCTCGATATCGATCCGATGTCATGCTACGAGAAGCTGAAAATGGATTTGGGCCGCTCATGAATGCTTGGCGTGTCGACTTCCGGAATGCGAAGATCTTCTTGCGATCCGTAAAGGTTGGTCTTCGCTTTGGCAGGAGGGCACTTGACGAGCGAGATGCTCGACGAGGCATCGGCATATGCTAGCAGGTGCTTGTGTGGATGGAAGGTCAAGGCGCTCTGTGCTGGCGTGAAGAGCGACGAAGCGCGAGAGGCTGCTGCATTCGCCGTTCCGGGAACTGTGCCGCCAGCGCTGCCCCCAACTCCACCCGTAGAGAATGTACGCACAAGAGGGGCCGCCCTTGGCATTGGTGACAGCGAATCAAGACGAGACAAAATCACTTGATGGGGTGTGGTACCCGCCCGAGTGACACGCGGTGCCGACGCGCTGCGGTCAAGGTCAAGCCGGACATTCGCATGAGCAGAGGGTCCATTCGCCGAGCAACCAGACGCATCACGACTACTCACGCAGCGTATACCTGTGCGCGCTCATGCACCGCCACACACGACAATTTGCCACCCAACGCATTGCTGACGTTGGCTTGAGAGATGGAGGCGCGGCTGCGAATATCCCACAGCCTCACTTGTCCATCGATGCTCGCGGACAGTAGTTCGCGGTTGCCGCGACGCTGAAGCTGCACTTTCTGGATCCACGAATGGTGTTCATCCCAAAGCCGCACCAGGCTCGCCTCTGGAGGATTTCTTCTGTCGTATACGCCCACAGTCCCGTCACCAAACCCGGCGATGAAGATGTGACCGACGTCATACTCTGAGCTCAGGCTCGTGACGTTCGAAGTCGCTCTGGTCGGGATGTCCTGGTGGGACAAAGCGTCCGTCAGGTTCTGCTACTAATGCGCTTTCAGGGTCCAAGGGCCACTCACGCAAACGCAAAGCTCTCGGTGCGCGTCCCAAACGCGGACGACGCCGCTGTCGCCCGCCGCGAGCAAGTGCCCGGTGACTTGCTGCCAATCAATGATCAGGCCACTAGGGCGACTCGACCGGGTCATGTCAGGCAGCGCTCGGAAAGTAGTGACCAACTTTGGCCCAACGTCGTCGACACCGGAGGGCTGCGCATCGTAGTCAGAGTACAGTCGAACATCGCCTTCCGCTGCGATTTCGAGCGCTGTGGTTAGTGGCAGCGCACTTGAACCAGAGGTCCTGGTGACCGGACAGACTCACCGGATCCAACCAAGAGAAGCGTGTCGACTGCCTCGTTCACAAAGCTCAGTGAAGTGATGTTGGTCTTTTCGGGATTACCATTCTTGAACCGTGTCAACAGCCGTTGCTCCTCCCAGTCCCACACCCTGAAGTGATCCAAGTTGCTGCTCAGCGATGAGACTGAATGCCTTTCGACGTGGGCCGTCCCTACTCACGAGATTGTGTCTTGCTCGCTCGCTGCAACAAGGTGCGATTCGACCTCATGCATCAACATCAAGTATGGAGATGAGCCATTGCGAAGGGTCCCCGCGCTTTCAGTCCATGGCGTGTTACCTGCGAGAATCGGACGCTGTGCTGTGAGCAAAGCGCTGCAAGTCCTAGACTCTGCTTGCCTACGCTACTCACTGGCATGCTCTGTCTCCGCTGAAGCCTCCCTGATGATGCGTTCGTTGCGCTGCCGCTTCCACGTTTGCACATTGTATTTGACGCTCCCCGGCTCCTCTGCCTCCGCCGACTTCATCTGCGGCTCGGTGTAGTACTCGCTGCACCACGCAAAGAGGCGGCTCTTGAGTGGCAACACTTCTCTGAGTCCGCCCAAGTGAGCGCCTCCGGGGCTGGATGATGCAGAGCTGTGCTCCGACGGAGGCCCATCGTGTCCATGCCGGGGTATTGATGGGCTATGCATGGGCGTGTTGCCAGCAGAATTAGCGGCGGCGGCGGCCAGTTCTGGTCCAAGATGTTCGCGATCGTGAAATCGCTGCAGGTCAGCTGCGATCAACGCTGCTAATGCGCTTGCAACACGAGCCTCTTCCTGCTCAGATGGCGGTTGGTAGACACGGGCTCGCGCCTCGTTTGTCCCCGCCCCTGAGAGCCGCTCGGCGAGTGGTGAATTCGCGCCGCCTCCAGGAGTGATCGTTCCACTTCGACGAGCCTGCGCGCGAGCAATTGCAGCCAAACTCTCAGCGCTCGACGTACGATGGGCAAGTGCAGCAAGGGCGCTAGTAGAGGCGGACAGGTGTGGTGTTCCAGGACTTCGTGGTGTCTCCGGTGTTGTAGGCGTCGCCACTCGCCTGGCGCTACTGTAAGGTGAAACATAGCGGGCGACGTTGAAATTTGGCGCAGGCACACGAGGCGTGTGGACTGGCGAAGGGGCGCCCGAACTCGCGCCCCAAGCACTATTTTGGCCAGGCGTGCGGGCGCCTGAGGGCTCCTCCTCTGGTGACCCGGTAGGTGAAGATGGCCGCGAATATCCCAATGTAGCGATAGCTTTGACCGTTTGGGCTAAGCTCGGTGTCCTCCGTGCATGGGGTCTATGGCTTCGTGAAAGGCCGTTGAGACTGGCGTGGCCCAGAGATTGCAAAGCACTACTTGCTGAGGAGCTTGCGCCAAATGAAAGATGCCCAACATCGTCCGCCGCCTTTCTGGGAGTGTACGAGAAATATCCTTCTGCTGTACCCGAAGCCTGCGGCGTTTTCAGCCGTTGGGTCGTCTCGCTCGGAGCGGGACCGAAGCGCAGCGTCGTGTTCTCAGCTGCTCGGCCCACGCCGCTCTCACGCATGAGCGCCACGACGTAGTCCAGGACTGTGCACGCGAGGCTGGCAACCTCCGGATAAGCATCAGCGCTGAGCTCTAGCAGAGCAGTGAAGACGGTGGAATATGACGGTATATTCTCGATGTCGCTCTCATGCAATGCATACTGCGGCGGCAGCTTGTCCACGACTCTGCGCAACACCGCCTCATCCTCCTCGGCCTCCGTCTTAGCCGAGTCTGGCAAAGAAGATGCTGAGTCGGAATATGGACTCTTGAGAAAGTGGGTCGAGTGTCTCGCAGAGGCTTTCCTTGAATTTCTGCGCTCCTCGCGCTCATAGTAGAGGAATGCGGAGAGCACAAAAAATCCTTGATATTCGCGCACTAGAGCGCTGAGCGAAATCACCAGCTCTTTCCGTACCATCGGGCTGCAGTCGCCCCGAGTGACCAGCATGGTCACAGCCACACCTACTTCCATGGCTCTTTGCACGTGCGGCGGCAGCCCAGTGTGCGTGCCCGTGCCCAGACAGCGCGGCCGCAATCCACCTGCTTTGCCCGATGCACCATGGGTGTGCGGCAGAGTGAGGGGATCCAGAGGATCGTAGCTTGAGCCGCTTGTGCCCAGAAGCGTTCCGAGGGCATAGAGGACCGCGGCACGGACCTCTGGCGCTACATCGGCCAGCATGCAGCAGAGCTTTCCCTGTGCATCTTGCGCGATTGCCAAAGCCTTTCCGGGAGAACTGTCGTCCCAAAGCTGCGCTAAGCAAAGCGCGCTCCACTGTCGCAGGAGGAAATCCTCGTCCGCCAGATGGTCTAAGCATGACGACAGCGTGTCTGTCTCTAGAGCTGCAGCCTGACCCGGAGCAAAGTCCTGACAAAAGACGGCGAGGATGAAGGCGCACATGGCGCGATGCTCCGACGGGTTTGGAATCGGCAATGCTGCGGCACCTGCTGAAGTAGATCCCGCATTGCCAGCGCTACTTGAGGGGGCTGGTACGAGCACACTGGCAAAATAGCCGAAGCCCTGGTCGCGCAAGAGGTCATTCTGACAGCTCCTGTCGACTGCCAAAATCCTAGCCCATATGTAGATCAAGACTGGCTTGAGATCCGCAGCTGGTGACTGTAGAAGCTTGAGCACGTACGGAAAGATACCTATGCTTAGAGCCAGATTAACGGCCCAAGGACCCAAGTCAAGGAATTGAGAGAGCAGAATGAGCGCGCGCAGCCGATGCACCTGCGAGAGTAGCACCTGCAGAACAATGGGCAACTGATCCGGCGGATCTCGCTGCGGCCTGGCATCAGGATCGAGATCCTCGCCGCGGCTTGAGTCGGGAGAACCTGCCCTGGAGGCCCCCCGTAGAGGAGCAGCCGCACCCTGCGTCGCTGCATTTGCTGCTGCCAATCTCCCCGCAATGCGCCTCCTCCGTCCCTTGCGACTGACACCACCTTGCCCAAGCCAAACCTCAAAAGCTTTGAGCTGCTCGCTGAAAAAGGTCGAGTGGCGGTATTCGAAAGAAGCCAGATGCGGGGGCACTGGCGGGCCACCATTTGCAGCGTCGGCGTGCGCCTTTTCCTTTTCCAGCAGTGTTGGTAGCTGCGCCAGGCATTGATCGACAGCGAGGTCCCAACTATCCCAAAGCGGGTGATTGTGCGTTGGTGGCAGCTTTGGATGGCTCATGGGTGTGCAGTGGTAAAAGCGCATGATGCGCTCAGCGAGCAGAAAATTCCGCAGCAGCGCCGCAACCATCAGATCGTCTCGGAACAACCTCCGGAAGATAGCTCTAGGGAGGACAGTCCAAGCGATAGTGTCAGTGATTGCCGTGAAGATCCAATTGAGCTCGCCCAGAGGTGTCCTTCTATCTTGCAATCTGCCAGGGATATTCATGACCATGTTGACGTCCAGCCGGGATGGAAGGGGATTTTGCAAGACGAACCACCGCAGGCTAATCTCGATCGGCGATGTCAAGCAACAGGTGAAGAGGTCTGCGGGCAGATCCGGATTCATGGGCAGCACCTCATCAGGTGCGCAAGCCGCAAGATGTATGCTCTCTCTCAAAGGAAAGAATTGCGGCGGAGCGTCCCCGTATAGATCGCTCGGGTTCCCTTCAGCCCGATCTCTGTCCCTATCTCTGCCGCCCGCTGCCCTTTCCTCTTCTGCCTTGCGCTCTGCAAGCCGCTTGAAATTGACAACGATGTTTCCAGCAGAGCTCGCGTCCCAGACAAAGATGCAGGGGCTGCCCAGCCAGGTCTGCAGGTCGAAGAGGGTGACCGGAATGTACTGCGTGTACGCCTTGTTGAACACCCAGATCTCACCGCCCGGCGTGGGCTTTGGCACACCGAATCCGTTGTAGTAGAACAAGCATCGCTCATCTTTTGCAGTCCGTCGCAAAGAAGTGCAGAAGCGTTTTGTCTCTTCGACAATCGGATCCAGGTACTGCTTGTAGCGTGTCTTCATACTGAGGGTCTCGAACTGAGCCTGCAGATTCTTGCCCAGCGCAGGCAGTGCCTTTGAAACTTCTAAAGAGGAAGGATCCATCCAGCAGATCAGCTTGCTACAAGGGTTCGTCTTTGACACGTCCGGCGGGTCCACGCCAATGTTGAGGCACATGACCAAGGCTGCAGTCACCGTTCGCAACCTTTCCCGCATCCTCCAGTCGGGCGCGTCAGCTGAATTGCGGAGGCGTGGATTGCCGCCAGTCTGATGCCGTTTGTGATTCCAGTGTGTCATATATGGTGACTGAGGTTACGAAAGCCGCTGCATAGGTCAACATCGAGCAAAGCTGGTTTACGCTGAGCGGCGCGGAAAGCGCCGCAGCGTCGCAGGGTAGGGTGATTGGCTTTTGGCCACACCTTGCACTTTGCTTGTTCAAAACGCACACACCCGTTCAAGAGACGAGTACTCACCTCAAGAACCAGCCAGTCGTCCATCTCTGGTGCCAAAAGCTGACCATGGCGCTTGCCACTGGTGGTGGATAGGTCATCGCTTGCGCTTTCCAGCCCTTCAAGCATCCCATCATCGTCCTCATCCGCCGTATCTTCGTCTAGGCCGGGCAAAGAGTGCATGGGACCAAAGTGATTGGCCAGCGTCTGATCCGAAGCAGCTGAAGCAGCTGTAGAAGCAGATGCGGACAAATCAACGCGCTGTAAAGCGCTAGCAATGTCAGCGATGCCCGAAAGAGCATCTGGTCTGCCTCCTCCTCCTCCTCCTCCCGGCAAAGAGTCGGACCTCTGCTGAAAGTGCGTCATGGGAGAATCTCTGAGCTGGGACAAGGAACGAGCGTCGGAAGAGAGTGTGCTGGAGGTGTCTATGGAGGCCAGCATAGATGGTCCAGCCGCGGATGTAGAAACGCCCGACAATGAGGTGGACGGCCGAACGGCCGCGGGTTTGTACAGGGGTGTCGTGCGAGCACTGCCATTGCCGTGTCCAGATGGGTTCGCGTGCGCGCTACTGGCGCCACGAGCGACAGCGGGCGCCATGACGTCAAGACTGAGCTTAGTCTGAGGGATGAAGAGTTTGGTCGGTACCTTCCGGATCTCAGTGGACCAAGAATGAACGGACGTCGCCCTTGCTCAAGTCATCAATTGGCTTTGAGTGCACTACGCGCTGCGAGAGCGAGATGGTGAAAGCTCGCTATTGTCGAAAATCGCCGACGAGGTTCCATACGATCAGTGCTCAATGGACGATGGCAGCGTGGCGCGCGGCAAGATGTCTGGTCCAGGGGAGGCTGCGGCGAAGAATGCAGCACGGCGTGGAAGCAGGATGTAGGACGACGGCGGCCTCTAACAAGCGTTGAAGGTGGAGGGTGACCGGTCTGTCTGTCGCGACAAGAGCGAGACCGCAGGCTGGTAGTACGGAAGATACCAGACTCTTGAATCTGGCTCGTGAATGGTGATGGCTGCTGCCTCCGTCTGACGAATTGGGGGAGGGTGGGGGGTGTCTGCTTGCCGGTAGTCTCAGCAGAAAGCTGCAATCGCTTGCTCGCTGCTTGGCCCGCCCTTCGTGCGTGCGAATGCGGCTGGCTGCATAATGCCCTGCTCGCGAAGGGTTTGACGTTTGACTAGCGCGCGCGCCCGACAGTCGCTGCCGTCTGCTAATGCTGCGTCGCGCGACCGACTCGCGGCGATGATTCGCTCGCGGGCGGAAGCGCCCAACCAGCACCTCTCCCCCTCATCACGCGCCGCGCACGCGGGCGTTCGTCAGCAGCGCCATGACCGCCACATCGGATTTCACGAACAGGCGGATCGTTGAACAGCTCCATGAATGACCGACTCGTGAATCACGATTGGTCAATAACTATATGAATCACTCATGACACTATCAGGCTGTAAGCGACTAACGCCGATGCGATCGCGGGCGCAGACCTAGCCACGAGTCTCGCGAGCAGCTCAAGCCAACCACAAGGCACCAGTGCTACAGTCTGATAGTAGTGAGGTGCCAAGCTTGTGAAAAGCAATGTATTGGATGACGTATGGACAGGAGAACAGCAAAGAGAGTGCAGAAACGAGGTGCGACAGGATGTGTGTAGGTGCGTGGTGCGCAAAGGTGCGCGAACGTGCGAAACAAGAGAGGATCAGTGTTTTCTTTGGGAATCGCAAGCAGCTATTGCCAAGTGCGCCATCCTCTCTACTCTGCCTTTTCCCACCTGAAGCCCGCTGGCATCTCGCTGTCCTTGGGAATGGGGATGGTGCCGAAGCCCAAGACCTTGTTCGCGAAGCGCTTGTAGTATGGAATGGTGTTTGGCAGCTTGGCTCCACCAGGCAGGTGCTTGTACTCGAGATCCGCCCAATTGGGGATCTCGGATCGCAGCATGAACTTCCACTGCCAGTCTGGATGCATCGCAGTAACCCTCTGACTCGTCTTGTCCACATACCAAGCACCGCAACCTGTAGAGAAGACGAGGTTCTGCATCTTCTTGGTGATCCACTTCTGCTCGTCCTTCTCAGCTTGCAGCTTGCATTCGACTGTAGGGATGGATTTGAGTCCGTTCGCCGGTTGAGTGGGCAGATGAACCAAGGCTGCCTCAGAGGGACGCGGGGCCTTGAGGATGGGCTTGATCAGCTCCAGGGTAAAGTCGACTTGGCACTCGCTCGTGAAGATCAGGCTCATGTGGCCAGTAGCCGAGTTGGTGCCCACGATTGTGAAGTAGTTGGGGAATCCGCTGTTCATGGTGGAGCGGTAGCTAAGCGGCCCACCAGCGCCGTACTTGTTCCAGTGCTCTCTAATCTCTTCACCCTTGGAGTTGTACAGGCTCATGGGGAAGCCTGCACGCTGAGTGGCGAATCCATTTGCCATGATGATCACATCGGCTGGCAACTTCCTGCCATCAGCGGTAATGCAAGCGTTGGGCTCGATCTTGGTCAGCTTGGAGCCCTCGAGGTGCACGTTGTTGCGCCTCAGCGAAGGCATGTAGGTGTCAGTGATGACACGTCGCTTGCATCCCACAAGCATTTCCTCCTGAGTTGCGAGGAGCAAAGGCCAGTATTCCTTTGGCGCATGAGCCTTGACGTTCCAAGTGCACTGTCGAGCCCAGTACCATCTGAAGATGCGTCCAAAGACGTTGAGCTTGGTGATGGTGAAGTGGTTCTCGAGCACCAGCCAAATCAGGAACCTGTTGAGCGCTCTGAAGAATCCAATGTGTCTGACAAGCCACTTCCAACCTGGAATGTACTCCAAAGGGTTGTGCGTCACTGGCATCATCCAGTGCTTGGCGCGCACAAATTGCGTCAAGGACTTGCAATCCTTGGCAATGATTGGCATGAACTGAGTCGCGCTGCAGCCGTTTCCGACCACAACCACGTGTTTGTCCTTCAAATCGACGGAGTGATCCCATCTCGCAGAGTGGAACAAAGGACCAGCGAACGTCTCGTGGCCGGGAATGTCGCAGTCGTTGGGCTGAGAGAGACCGCCGACGGCACTGACGAACACTTTGGAGACGTAATGATGCTCCTCCTTTGTAGCCAGATCGATGCTCCAAACGTGCCACAAACCAGTCGCGACATCGAATCGGGCTTCCTTGACCTCCGTCGACACTGCAAGAGGCAAGCAGAATGCACTTTGCATGAGACGGCCGCTCGAGTCCGAATTCGCTGCTGTGAGATATCACTCACGGTGCATACGCCTCGGCAGGTCATATTCCGCCACCACAGTGTTGAAGTACTCCTTCAGCTCCTCTTGGAGTGGGTAGAAGGTGGACCAATCCGCCTTTTGGCGGAAGCTGAAGCTGTATACTGCCGCTGGCACGTCACAGCCGCAACCAGGGTACTGCCAGAGGGACCGCGCAAAGTGTCACACGCGGCTCAGTCCCATGATTCGACCTGTGCGCAATGATCGAGAGCCAAGACGAGCAACTCACTGTGTTGATGGACCAAGTACCGGCTGGCAGAGCGGCCTTGTCCAGAATCAGGAAATCGTCCGTCTTGAGCTTGCGCTGCAATTGACAGCCCATAGCGATACCGGACAGGCCGGCACCAACGATCAAGATCTCATGGTACTCGGGTCTAATGTTCTTGTGAGCGAACGAGTCAGCGGGCAAGGAGAGGGCCGCAGGGGCCGACTTGACCGCAGCCATGCTGAATGAGGCGGAACGTGAAAAGAGACGGGAAACGAGGGGAATGGGAGAGGCGCTCAGCGAAGGGTGATCTTCACGAAGGCGAGTGTTTCGGTCAAGTCGTTGAGGACTGAAGGGATTGGATGATCAGAGTCAAGAAGGCTCTCTCACGCCTCGACAAGTCTTTGTTGCTGGATCTCACAGTCGCTTGGCCAATCAATGACCGACTTCGATAGCTCGCTTTCCTCGCCCCTCGTCTTTCAACCTTTTGTCTGAAGCTGTTGTGCGCTCGCGCCTGCTAGGCACTCGAGCACCAGACCCATCACATAACGTCCAGCAAGAGACGGACGTCAGCACCAGATGCGCGCCTTTCATCTGCGTCAGCATCGTGATTTTCCACCACCGACCACGCTTAAGCGGCAGAGCCCTCGCAGGCACCCTGACGGAGTACGCAGATTCACGTTCTAAACGCAACGCAGCGCAGCGCTCAGCAGCAGCATGCAGGCTGCTAGCTGCTGCTGCTACAGGCTTCACTTACCCAAGCGGGCAAACGCAAGCGGCATCTGTCGCCTGCCCGAGCGTTGGTAGTACCCGGGCGCAGCTTATTTCTCGAGCAAGGCCGACTTCCGTCCACTTTCATCCTCTCATGGACCATTCAGGCTGCGGTTGCTCTCGACCGACCTTGGACACTCATCAGGGCTGGCATGAGGCAGCGCACTGTTGGCGGATGCATCTCTGAGCAGCTAGAGTGCTGTTGGATCTGGTATTATTATCGCAGCGAAGCAAGTCGACACTCGTGTGAGACCTCACCAGCGCAAGATTTGCGCCACGATCTCTCGTAACAATCGCATGTGGGGCGCGACTTCCTTTGCGGGGGGGGGGGACAAATGCTGTGCGTTCTGACGCCTGGTCTGCGTAGAGCGATCAAAGGCAAGCACGCCGGGCTCAGCAAGTACCAGCGTGTGAGTATGCGCATTTGGCTAATACACCTCGTGACTCTCGAAGCTATCTGGTGCCTCGCAGAGTCTTAGAGGCTGATGGACGTGGTGAGAGGCGCACGGCGGTCTGACAGCCTCGCGCACCCCCTGCACGCTTGAGCTTTGTTGGGCATGCCCGAGGCGAAAGCCGAGCAGGCACGTCGTCAGAGGGGTCCAAGACGTGCCCGATGAGCAAGCCGAGATCCATTTCTGCGGAAGTCGGATCCGGGATAATTTCCATGCCGGAGTGGTGGGACTGAAGGCTGGCGGAATTTTATTCACGTGACCTTTTGGGTTGCCCGTCTTGTTCATGATTCATCAATTTTTGAGTCCAGATTGGACGGCCATCTTGGTTCGTGAACTGAGCATGGAATCCAGAGGGAAGAACTGAGTCCAGGCCTGAGTGTGAATTGGATTAGAGACCCGCCCAGCTCTTCTTGATCGTGTCGTCGAGCTTATTGGCATAGGGCCTGACGAGATCTCGCATAGCTGTAAAGTGATCAAGTATGAGCGCGACGCAGCGAGCAATAAGATTGACGACGCTTCGAAGGACTCACAGCTGCGTTCTTGCTCATCAAGAAACATCAAGCTGGTCTCGAAGCGTTGGCATTTTGGTAGCGCAGACAATGCAACAAGGAATTGCGTCTCGACGTCTCGGAGCTGTATGTCTGCTCCAAGACTTGCCTGCGTTGAAATTCGAAGCACGTGCGAGAAGCCTTGAAGAAGTTGCACTAGGAGCTCCGGCTCTAGCAGTGAGCCCAGGATGTTGGGTATCTTCGAAAAGTCGAGCTTCTGTTGGTTCGAAGGCAATGAACGTCAGAAGAGGGCGCCACAGGAGCATCAGGCGCATGTTAGATTCACCCCGAGGAATCCCCATAGCGCGAAAGCTCTATTCAAGTCGTGCTCTTGCCCACAAGACCCTTGCCCAGCAGCCCAGATCTCTCTCCACCTCTTGTCAAATTCAAAAGCACTCAGCGAACCTCCTTTTCGCTCGCTTGAGAATTTAATTGGTGCAGAGGGAGAGGCGCGGGTGCCAAATGAGAGTGAAGCAGCGGTGCGGGATACTGGTGAGCCGTTTCGCGCCTCCGCCGTCGCAGCTTGGTGATCGCTCTTGGCTGGACTGAGCTGCGTATCACTAGGGCGATACGACGTCGAAGCGCTAAAATTCTCATGAGTGATAAGCCTGGTACTTCTCTCGCGCAAGAATCCTCCAGATTCGCCAGGAAACTTCTCTGGAACGGGATCATGCGTTCTGCTCGGCCCCTGTGAGCTCTCAGCGTGAGCCGGATCATTGACTCGTTGGAGAAAAGCTCGAGCAGCATCGACGCTGGAGCTTGGGCCTGCTGATGTAGAGTCGAGTCCACCAGCGCGGAGGCTCGTGTCAGACCGTTGACTCTCAGTTACACGATCATTCACAGGTGCGACTTTGGATGTCGCTTCGTCCTCATTGACGCTACATGCCTGAGCTCTCTTCAGCGCCTTCTTGATCTCTTCGGACGAAGGAGTCAGTCCTAGCGCCTCTTCAAGGTCTATTGAGGCGCGATTGGAGCTCAGCCGAGAAGTGAAGGCTGTTCACTTGAGTGCTGAGGTCCATTCAAATTGACGCACCTTGCTCTGCAAGCCGCCCCTTTCCTTGACCTATCCTTGCCAGACCTCTTCTGTAGAATGCTTTGCCGCGCGACGACACGCTCGAGGCATCCGTCCCCAGCAGCTTGATTGCGGCGTCAGCATCGGACTCGGCTCTTGCGGGCTGTTCGAGCTTGAGAAAGCAAAGACACCTGTTGAGATATAGCGGGCCCGCGAGCTTCTGTTGAACGTCGACATGGGCAGAAGCAGCTGATAAAGCTTCTGCATACTCTTCGATTGCAGCCGCTGCCGAAGTTGCGAATGAGAGTGTCAAACCAAGACACCAGAGGGCACATCACAAGGGTAGGCGCAAGACATGCACTCACTGAAATTGCCCTTCGCAAATTGAGCGTTGCCTCTTGTCTTGGCCGCCTCGGCTTCTTGCAGCAGGACACCGGCCATTCTCCTTTCGCCTAATCCTTCGATACTCTCTAGTATGAGTGTGAAAATCTCACAAGAGTGTGAGTCTTGAGTATGTATATGCCTCTCGATCAAGGTCTTTCATTTAATGATTGTCACGGTGAGAGCGTGGCACTGCAAGCTCAGCCCGAATGGTCTCGATTCTTTTCTTTGCTGCGCAGCCGTCAGTAGCTATATATACTCAGCAAAAGCAATCGGCGCGGGCACGGCGGTCGACGCGTCTTGAGTCGCGTCGACGCGCCTTGGCAGCAATTAAGCAGCGCCGCGCGAGGGAAAAGCTCGAAGACACCAAAGCAGCCGCGGGTTGGATTAGGATCGTACGCGTGTTCCTCTCTCCTCATCAACACTCATGCAGACCCCAGGACTCCTTCGTCCCCACTTGGTCATCCGCAAGCAAGCGACCGACCTCGCGGGCTTGGCATGCCACTTGCTCTGACCGCTCACTCGCGACAGATTGCCTCTCGATCTGCCTTGCCCGTCACTCCCAATTTCTGCCAACGCTGATCCGATAGAAGCGCGCATATCAGGTCGTGACGCGACACCTCTGACACGATGGACTCTCAAGATGTGGTGGAAGCTCAGCTGGGCGGAGGCAACGCAGAGCCCACGAAGCAGTCAATGACGCACCAGGATAAGCAGGCATATCCGCTCTCGCAACTGCCTCGATCACAACCGCTCTCCATGTTGGATGCAAACGTAGACGCGGCGCGTCAAGTGCCTACAACTCGCGAGATACAGACTAAACAAGCGCGAGATTCGATAATGTCCTCGGATCGATCTTCCCCGCCGCCAAGCTCGCCGCCGAGCCTTGCTCACGGTCTGTCAAGTCCTCCTTCAAGCGTATTTGCCCCCAGCTCGCCCTCCAAGCTGGAAGACGCTTCTAGCGCGCCGCCCAAGCCAACCGCAAACGCGCAGGAGACGTCGGCTAGCGAGCCACATGCCACCATCGGTTTTGGCCTGAGTGAGACGTGCTCAGGAGGCAGGACATCTGTGGATTCGCTTGCTGGCATGCGCTCTCTACCGCCCCAAGACCCAGCCGGCGCGCCCTCTCTACTTCTTCTAGGCTCATACGATCATGCCCTCCTGCTCGGCCGCACGAAACAAGGTCCTGACGGCTCCTCGCCCGTGCCGCCTCCTCTGCCCCTGTCAAGCAAAGGCTTGGGGGCCAAGCCCGCCCAATTCGTTCCTTTGCCGAGCAGTGCACGGCACGTGTCCAGAGTCCACGCCATCGTAGAGTGGCTGCCTTTCCCCACTTCAAAGTCCAGCGCGTCAAGTGACCAAAAGGGACCCTTATCTTCTTCGCCTCCGTCCGATACCGGTTGCTTTATTATCCGCATTCTGGGCCAAAATGGCTTGGTAGTGGACGGCAAAAGGCGTAGAGAAGGGCAAGTCATTCGACTGCGACCCGCTCGGTACAGTCTCAAGACCAGCACGGGGGGCGAAAAGGAAGCAGCCGCAAGGTCCGTGACGCCCTCCGCGTCTGGCGAGGAAGGCTCCCAATTGGATTTCTTCGGCACTGCTCTGCGCTTTGCTATCGATGATCGAGCAAAGCCGCCGATATCGGCACGCAAAAGCTCGTCCAACACTATTGGTCGCACTCCACCGCTTCCCGCTCACAAAAAGACGAATGGAAGCAGCCCGCGAAAACCCCACGCGCCGTTGCGAAGCTCGCAGCTTAGGATCAGTAGCAGCTCCAGCGACGCTAGTGCCAGTGGTAGCGGCAGCGATTCGGAGGGCGAAAAGATGACGCCCAGCTCGCCCCTACCTGCATCTCCCACGCGGCAGACCAACCGAGGCAGACTGAACACGGCACCTGCGAAATTGTCGCTCGGCAATGTTCAGCTTGTGGACGTCGATGAGGCGGAGCAGCCTAGACACAGTCACGCAAGCGAAGCTAAGGACGGAACACAGCCACAAGGCGCAAAGCGCACCAGACCACCAGCCCTTGCAGAGGATAACCAAAGCGGTGTATCCTCTAGCGATAGCGAGCTGTCAGAAGCCGAATCAGATCGCGCAACTGCGCCGCGGGAGAATCTAAGCGATGCGCAAGCAGCCACTGCGAAGCCAACGGGCACTCGACAGAAGAAGCGCGCGCGGTTTGTTCTTCCTGCGTCTGAACCTACGAGGGATACGAGCCTCTCTTCCGGCGCTCCTCGACGCTCTTTGCGCGCTGCCGCTCAGACGACGGAGGTGATGCCAGGATCGCGCTCGGCTTCTCCAAGCGGTGCGCAGGGTCCCAGCTCCGTGAGCTTGGCACGCAATTGCATTGCAGCTTTGGCACCTTCGTACGACATTGATGGCCTGTTGGCCAGCGCCATCGTCTTCCACCGAACGGCTACCATTTCAGCTACGGAAGCGTGTCGCTCTGTGCTATCTTCTACGCCAGGTCTGTTGCGCGGACAAGTAGGACCGCGAGCCCCGGTCACTGTCTCTGCTTCTGCAGACGTCGATGTCGCAAGCTCTACCGTCGTGCTCTCGGCGGGTCAAGTGCATCCCGATTGGCCATCGAGCGAAGCAGGACAGAGCTTTGAACGATTCGCTCGCAAAGCCTGGGTGGAGCTGCTCGAGTCCGTTTTGCACTCTCCAGACGCCCCGCAGTTTGGCACGATTCAGCGAGCGGGCAAGGACTCGGCGGGAAATCCGCTCGAGAATTGGTTTTACTACGATAAAGAGAAGGACGGGGACAGGGATAGAGCGGAAAGCTTGGGCGCCTTTGTCAAGCCTATTCGTCAGGCTCTCAAGACGCAAAAGGCAGTCTTTTGGAAAAAGGTGATTTTGCGTTTGTCTTGCCTTTGTTTGCACCGAGCAGGTCTGCTGACCTTTTGGCGGGTTGCTGTTTCACGCTGCACAGAGCGCCTATGGACACGTCACTTCGGCTACCGCGATTCCATTTGCAGGAACCGAATCACAAGTCGGCTCCTCCAGCCCCATGTCTGTCCTCGCACCACTCACCAACTCGAATGTGCGCAACGACGCTTCTTCGGACAATGCGGAAGCGCAAGGAATACCGGCAAAGGCAGTCGCGCACTCGAACGCTTGGGAAGAAACTCAACCTGAAGAACGCGAATCTACGTGGGACAGAGAGGGCGACATGGATTACAAGGGCGTTTGAGAGCGAAATCCCCTCTGCCTTCTCCGTTCGCTCCCTTTGTCCTCTTCTTAGGCCCATCACATCCTACACAGAATCGGAATGAACGTCATCAGCACTTATCCCCACACTTTGAATGCAGATTGCCTTGGGCTGCATTCGCTTGAGAGACGAAGAGCGCCCCGTGCTTCGTGAATAAGGAGACTTGAGCAGTGAGCCTCGTTGTCATGTCGCGAATGCAGCTGAAAGGCGGCAGGGATTCAGAAGTGTGCCTCCTGCCCCGACAGAGTTGGAGAGGCCGTCGCGACCATGTGACGGATGATTTAGAAATTTGGTGATTAGGGACCCGAGCGTGAGCCACTCAGCGCATGCAGCAGCGAGACGCGACTACGGGAGCGTACTGACGCGTGGGCGTGGATGCGGCGTGCGCTGCTTATGTCATGCGCTTCCCCGGATTGTGATTGAAAGTTCCCCCTTCCCCCAAAACACCTTCGGAATCTCGACCTGCCTTTTGGAAGAGGAGCAGCACTATGGCGGGCACAAAGAGGAAATCAGCCAAAGAAGGGCAAGAGCAAGAGGCTGAAAGAGGTTCCAATGCATCTTCGGGTTCTTCTAAGCGTATCAAAGAATCAGAGACATCTGAGCAAGAGCGCAAAAGAGCCTCTCATCTCTATACAGATGACAACCCATCGACGACGCTGCACGGCACCTCTTTCAAAGATGCAGCATCAGCTCATCGAACAATCCAGATGGTCTCTGCCAATCGTTCCTTGACGTACCAATTCCAAACCATCAACACGATGCTTCATCGAGCGAAGGGACATCCTTCAAAAACCGAAGGGATCAAAGCTTCCATCCCCATCTTTCAAGAATGGGTAGACTCTTATCAATCCAGGAAAAGCGCGCTTCGGTCCTTCAAAATGCTTAAGAAAGATCGGGTGGCTAGGTATTTGAAGTATGTCGATGAGCACACGCATTATTCAGACAAGGAATGGCAAGCTTCCAAAAGCTGGGCTGAAAGATACGTAGCTTTGCAGCCCAAACAGAGGTTAGCCAATACCTTGATGGACGAGAAGGATCCAGCAGGCGAGGATTTGGAAAGTCACAGGTACAGAGTTTTGCACGAGATCGTTCCGGATGTACCAAGGGACGCTTGGCAGCAAGAAGATCTTTGGGCAGACATTTCCAAGCGGATTCCTTCAGGCACCCACCTCAAGATGCTTCTGTACGCCTACTCTCCTCTGGGCAACGTTTAAGGTCTCCAAGTCATGCCCGCACGCACAGCGCGCACCAATTCGTAATGACGAAGGAGTGCACAGGCGCGACAATGAAATCGAGAGTTCTAGAGCCCAAACGCTGGAGATGCAATGAATTGGCATACACTACAAAGAGATGAGCATTGAAATATTGCAATGACAGCTTCGAGCAACAGGGCAACGAGGTCCAGCTCCGACGTCTATTCGTAAAATTCTGGTTCTTCTTCATCCGACGAAATCTCCTCTCGTCCATCGCTCTCAGCAATGAGCTCATCGTCCACGTCCATCCTGCCCTCTTGTTCCAGCAGCTCATCTTGCTGATCCATCTCAAAGTCCAGTCCGAGTACGCTGTCCATAGCCGCAAGCGTGTAGCTCAGCACAGCGCTCTCCGTCAGCATCCTGTCGGCTCTCGCATAGTGCCTTTCGGTGTAGGGCAAGAGTGCATCAATGACCGAATTCAAATCTCCCTTGTACATCTGTCCCGCTCTTTCACTTCTCCTCTTTTTCCTTTTAGCCTGCTCGCTCTCCCCTGCCTCATCATCTTCTTCTTCCTCCCGCAGTTTCTCCTCTCCATTATCCGCCGAGGAAGATTTGGCGGGCGGCTGGAAAGCGTCAATGATCTGCTCGGCCGAGTAAGCGCGCAAAATGGCATGAAGGACGATCTGCGCCACGGGTGCAGTGCGAGCAGTGGTATTCCAATCCCTGACGTAGAACAAGAGCTGCTTCAAAAGACGCTGTGGCAGCTTGCCAATGACCTGATCTACAGCCATCGATCCGGTGATCGACTCGCTGTCGGCATTTCCTTCCTGCTTGTCTGCTACTCCATTGGCAAATCGAGCAGCGCTAGACTTGGCTGAGAAGACTCCAGCTGCTTGCAAAGCTTTGAGTGTTGGGTCTTCAGCCGAAGCAGTCGGCGCATAAGCTGCTTGCAAGGCGCTCTGCAACAGTTGTCCTGCAGCTTGAGATCCTTGCCCATCTGGTCTGTTCGCGTTCACAGTCGTAAAGAGACTCAGTAACCTTCTCGGCTGATTGGACCTCAGAGCCAACGCAATGGCATTCCTGTAGTCCTTCAGGGTGAGCAAGTTGGAGAATTGTTGTTCTCTGTCGGTAGGATGGATGAAGAAAGCACGCATTGAGCAGCCAGATCTGCAAGTACCTGTTACGACGAGGCATGCTGAGCTCACCTTTCGACTGCGATTTCCCTATCTTTGGCCTTCTCGACCTCATCTTGGACAGTCATGTCTTGCCAAAAGCAGATCCTGCTGTCCGCCCCAGCGCTTACGATCTCCCCGTCCCTTCTGACTCCCAGTCCCCACACCCTCTCATCGTGTCCGTCCAACGTAGTCACGCACGCTTCATCTTTGACATTCCACACCTTGATCAATCCATCGCTGGCCGTGCTGACGATTTGCATACCCTTTTGATCCATAAAGTCTACTCTCAAGACGCCATTCGTGTGACCTTCAAAGGTCTTGACGCAGGCAAAGTCCTTGAGGGACCACATGCGAATCGTGCGATCGCCCGAAGCCGTGATGAAGGCGGGATCCGCAGGCGAGAATTTGACGGCCCAAATGCCTCTCTTGTGCGCTTTGCACGTCGAAAGCGGCTTGATGGATGCGCTCGCCGTCTGTCCGTTATTCTTGCTCGGCGCCGAGTAGCTCAACGTCCACAGCTTCGCGGTCCGATCTTGCGAACCGGACAAGAGCAGAGCATTGTTGGGCGCAATGTCCAGCGCATTGACGTCTTTGTCATGCACTTTGAGCGTGGCAAGGCTCTGCAATTTGATGGGTTGGGACGGTACGCCTTGCCCTAGCGCTCTCGAAAGGGAAGACAAGTCCCAGACTTTGACTGTCCGATCTTGAGATCCAGTGACCATGAACGGTGCTCCTGTCGCTCCTGGCGTCGCGGGTTTCCGAGCAAACGCCACAGCACCCACGGATTCGGCATGACCTTCCGCAACAGCCACGCATTTCCATTCTCCAGCGGTGCCCCTCGTTTCTAAATTGTACTCTTGCGCATCATCGGTCGCTTCATGTACAGCATGTGAACTGGACCCAACGCGAGGCGCCCAAGCCCAGACGCGCGCGCTGCGGTCTTTCGAGCCGCTCAAGAGCCACTTGCCGTCCCAGCTCTTGTCTAAGGACAGGACGATCGCAGAGTGCCCGGTGCCATCAGCAGACTCCACAGGCAGCATCTGCACATGTTGACTGTCCCTTTCCAAGTCATATACTCGAATAGTAGAGCTGTTGGTTGCCACCGCAAGGTGACTTTCCCCCTTGAGCGATTGGGCATTGTTGAGCAAGGCAAGGTCCACAATCTCGTCGTTGAATCCAACTAATTGGAAAAGTTGCGTCAGGAGAGGTGCAGCGGTCGCCGTCTCAGATGGCCGGGGCGTACTGAGCAAGTTGACATTTTGATCCGCGTGTATGCTGGCAATCGCGTCCAGAGTGGGCAAGTAGTGCGCATCCACAACAGCTCTCGCCTCTTCCGGATCATTTTCCTCTCCACTTTGTTTTTGTTGGACCATCTGCCGATCCCACCTTCCACCAGGCTGAGTCTTGACGACGCATCGACCAGACAAACTCCATAGACGAACCTCTCCCTCTGAACCGGCCGTCCAAAAGATATCTTGGACACTCTTAGAGCCTGCAGAGCCGACCTTGCACCCTATCGGCAAGAAGTCCGCCACTTCGATGCCTTCGCCAGCCGTGATGGTGTCTGACATCTCCCACCGTTGCATCTTGGATGAGCTTGTTGAAGGTGCCCTCTTCCAAAATGACAGCGTTCGATCTCTAGATCCGCTGATAAGCGTATTGCCGTCTGACGAGAGGGCGAGGCCTCTCACTACGGACACATGAGCAGGCAAGACAGCGACCGCCTTGTGATTTGCGGTGTTCTGAATCCGAGCGTTGAGATCCCAACATCGTATCCTACCATCTATGCTTCCCGTAAACAGCTCCATTCTCCTCTCTCCTCCTTCTCGTGCACCTTGCAAATTGGGCGTCGAGAAGTTCCACTTGAGCGCGCTGACAATGCCTCCATGTCCCCTGAACACGTGCGTGCAGAAGCCTCCCACAACATCCCACACTTTCGCCACGCCGTCCGCAGCTCCACTGGCGACCAGGGTGGATGTGGGATCGACAGAGAGGATGGCTACGGGCGCATCGTGTGCTCTGGCCAGTGTTCGAAGAAGCTTTGGCTCGACTTGCTCTGACGATGGCCATTCTAGAGCAAAGATGCGTAGCGATAGGGAACGAGAGGCTACGATGAGGTGCTGTCCATCAGGCGTGATGGTGAGGCAGGTAATATCCTCCGTGTCCTACGAGAGAGCAATCGAAAATACATGGGCGATCAGAAGGCTTGACACATGTTGCATATGCTGGGTGTCAGACTCTCGCAAAACTCACGCTGGGTATCTTTCCCGCGACCTTTCCGGTCCTCAAGTGACAGAAGACAGCTTCCTGGTCCAGCGTGCTGACGATCCACTCCCCATCCGGTGTGAAGACCAAACTTCCACCGCTATAGAAAGGTTGCAGCCTCCTTCTAAGTTTGTAAGATGTTCTGAAGTGAGGAGCTTGCGATGTTGATGCGAAAGCCGAGGCAGAGTCAGGCTCGGGGTTGGGATGGGGATGGGAAAGGACAGAGGTGGAGGCGCTCAGGTTGATCACTGACATCTTGACGTGACCAACGTCGTCCAACGCGACCGAAGAGGCAGGAGGCAGCGCGAGCAAGACGAGGGTATGCGCCTCTTCTAAGTCGGAAAAGCCGCGCCGAGTCGCTCTTCTATCTGCAATCGTGATCAAAGAAGCCTCGAGAGGTGTTTGAGATGACGAGAGTCACAGTCACAGTCGAGCCCAAAGCGGCAAAGTTGCGGCGGAACCACAGGCCAAAAATTATGCTGGGGTCGTGAATCAAGAATCTTTCCCAGCAGGCAACCATGCATGCACGCTGCAAATCTTGAATCAAGAATAAGCGCCCGCCGCGGCAATTTTTATGCTTCGAAGAACTGCGCTGTCACGTGATTGGCAGCCTTGGTCGGAATTTTGAATCAGGTATCGAACGAATCTGGAATTTAAAATGGTGAATCACATGAATCTCTTTGAATCGCGAATAATCACAATTTTTTATAATGTGAATCTCGAGTGGTGAATCTGTGAACCTCGCATTCTTGATTCAAAGCCCTCCACGACGGGCTTCTCGACTCGCCTCCACAGCCTCGACTTCACGATCAGTGTAAGATGGACGCTTCATTTCTCACTCTTATCCTTGACATTCGGCTTCCAAGCACAGTGCGTCGCACATCTCGAAGCCTTCTCTTAGCTCGGATGACCCACCTCCTCGGAGCAAGGGTCGATGGAGCACATCTCATTCACGCCTCATCGCAAGCCCAAGGGTGAGGGACAGACTCGGTGTGTGTACCAACATCTCAAAAATGGGTAAAGCGGGCGACCTGAACAAGCCCAGCGCGTGCAGTGAAAAGAGGAACAGCATGTCGGGTGTTTCAGAAGCCCCAACGGGTCGCGCGTGGATCGAGTGGTATAGCAGACTGCTCGTCTTTCTTGTGTAGGCTGAAAAGGGATGCGGCTCTTTTGGTGGACATGGCAACGCAGACTCGCAACCGCTCTCGCGGTGCGGCATCGGCTCCTTTAGCCCTTGAGCGCTGTGATTTTAGCGCAGAGAAGTCCATCGATCAGGCTTAGTCCTTCTTCTGAAAGCGACATTCGCTTCTCTGCGTGCGACGCATCAGACTCACCTTGCTTGATGGTGCTTTCCATAGCCTCCAGATCGTCCGTCTGCACCCTAGTGATCTGGCATTTGAGGTCCGTCTCCACAGTGTGCATATGCTCCCAAGATTTCTTGTCGTGCACGAAGTTGATGCTTACTCCCTTGCGTCCGAATCTTCCCGTTCGGCCTAAGTGTGATGTGCAAATTTCGCCATGGACGGGCGCGCGGACAGATCCAAGTGACAAGAAGCGGAGAAGGTGAGGGCTGCTAGTCAGCTCGGTAGCTTGGCCGGCCAAGTCAACCCCGAGAGATTGTGTTCACTCACCGATACGGTGCAGGTATGTCTCCGAGTCTGGTACGCCGCCTTGGGTGAGTGGCATATCATAGTTGATGACCAGCGTGACCTGTTGTATATCAATGCCACGAGCAATGACATTGGTGCTGATGAGGACTGCGGCGGGACGCGGGCAAGCGCGATGATCGTAGGCTTGAGTTTGGAGTACTCGACTCATACAAACGAAGGATTCGAGTTGCACCCTCACCTTTGCTCTTGCCTTCCCTGAAAGCGTCGATCGTCTTGTCTCGATCAGCTGTCTCTAGCTTGCCATGCAGCGAGTCCACTTTGTGACCCTCTGCGGTCATCTTCTGCGCAATCCGATCCGCAGTTTCTCGTCTCTGTTGGGCATTGTCAAATTCGCATGCGCGCAGCTCGCTGTCAGTCTCCCCTTTGCCCCCATCGCGTCTGCGCCTCGACCCCCTTGTTCCCCCCTCAAAGTTTACTCACGGCACAAAAGATGATACTTTGACCGATGGTGAGCAGATTGTAGAGTTCAACAAGCACGTCGTACTTGTGCTCCTCCGAATTGCAATCCATATAGAATTGTCTGATGAGATCGACGGACAGCTCTTCCTGCTTGAGACGAATCTCATTGGCTGAAGGGGCGAGACGGGCCGCAAACTCGCGAACGACGTCGGGGAACGTGGCACTGAAGAGGACCAGCTGGCACGATTTTGGCATTGTGCTTGATCGCCAGAGCAGTGGGCCAATACGTCAGCGAAGTTTATCAGTCTCTTTCGGCCTACGCATAAAAGCCGTGCCGACGTTTCTCAAAAGCTTCACCAGTCCTGAGCCAAGGTTTCTGCACTCACTTTTTGACCCTGATACTCTGCTCTCCCAAGCTCTGCTGGTCGAGCATGTTGTCCGCCTCATCCAGCACAAACACTTTGATCTGACTTGTATCGATGCTTCTATTCTTGATCAGGTCGAACGACTTGCCAGGTGTTCCCACGATGATATGAGCGTCCACCTTTTCGCCTCTTTTGATGCCGTCTGGGATCGCGTAGGCCGTCTTTACTGGGGTGAATTTGCCCATCTCCCTCACTACGTCCATGATCTGACGAGCCAACTCTCGGGAAGCTGCGACACCGGAGGGGCATTTCGGTTCACATCAGTCTCCGCTGGCAGTGACCTTGACCAGACACAGCACTCACGTGCGAGAGCGATAGCCTGAGGCTTGTTGATAGCAAAGTCGACTCTGCTAAGCATGGTGAGGACAAACGCAGCGGTCTTTCCCGTGCCGCTCTGACTTTGCCCGATCATGTTTCTGGGAGGATTTTGCAAAAGTAAAGGCAAAGCTCTCTCCTGGATTTTGCTTGGCTTTTGATATTTCATGGAGTAGATGCCCTTGAGCAGCTCGGGGGCTAGACCCAGCTGCTCGAACGACTTGACGGAGAAGAGCGGCGAGTTGGGATCCGCCTGTTGATCCGCCAACGTCACCTTGACATCGTGAGAGGACTCTACCAGTGTGGAGTCTGGATCGGCGCACCGGTATCATAATGTGAATACAGCCGTCAGATCATCTGCCAGTGGCGTGCAAAGGTCCGGACGGTGCCGCACTCACCAAGACCTTTGCCCTCGGGGGCACTAGGCTCAGCTGCGCTGGCGCCCTCAGCTTCACCTTCTTTGGCCTTGTCCGCATCTCCACCATTTGCAGCAGGCACCCCAGAGCCAGCCGCGTCTTTGCTAGCTGCGGGTGACGCGCCCTTGTTCATGAGGCTGTTGATGCGCGCCGTGATGGCATCCAGACCTTCCGTTGGTTTGTCTGCCATGATGCTTGACTTGGAGGGCGGTGTGCGATGGAGGTGTAAGGTGGGGGGTGAAATGGGATCTCCGATTGTGCAAGGTACAGCCAGGGACGAGCGGCGCAAAGAAAGGGGCTTGAAGAAGGTGTTTCAACTGCTGTTGCAGTCGCGAGCTAGAGTCACAGTTGTGGTGAATGTTAGTGTGAGTGTGCTGCAAGACGAGGGATTCACGATTGAGAGCGCGCGCTTGCAAGCTTTCGAGTTCCAACACGAGATATCTCTCAGCAGGTCGACATGCAACGCAGCTCGCCCCAATGCACCACCGTCCACACACACACAGCAACACCTTAATTTCTTCTTTGACCTGTGCTGCACGATCGCACCAAATCACCAATCAAATCACGTGTCGCTGCATCCGCGCTCGAGCCATGCTGTCGAAAAAGCGCAGTTCGCGGTGCAGAAGATCAAAGTCATTCGTGATTCGTGATTGTTCACGATTGCATGGCCGCACGCTCATCAGGCGTGCCCGTAAGACGTGAGTCGTTCGCGACTTGATTCAGATCAGAGATACGGGCGACTCGGTGTAGAAAGTCAGCTCACCGTCCATCTTCAACCTAACTCGTCACCACAGCCAGTCGGCAGGCACATTTCCCTCTAAAGTCAAAGCCACTTCGTCGCCTTGTCGAGAGTTCTGAAAGCAGACTGAGGTTCAGGCGCAAGCTCTCATCCGAGACCCTTACGCAGCTTCACATGCTCCCCCCCTTCCGAACTCAGCATCGCACCACCAATTACCGTCCAAGGGTATCTCGGGGGGCAGCATGGTAAACACAGGGGTGGATGCGTTTGATGGCGTCCCCAGGACAGAGACCATGAAGGAAAGCGTCAAGCAACTCGAAGGCAAGGACGTCGTGCCAGCCGAGGCAGCCGCAGCCGCAACCGCATCCGCGTCTCCAGAGCCTACTCAGGCATCCAATCAGGATTCCAAGGAAGAGGCAATCAGGGCTAAGTTGGCGCAAGCCAAGAAACTCAAAGATGAAGGCAATGGCATCTTTGCCAAGGGAGATCCCAAGTCTGCACTGAGAAAGTATTGGGAAGCTGTACTGGTGCGTGCTGTGTGCTGCGCGCGGGCAAGAGTCACTTGCAAAAGTTGCGAAATGGTGCTATGATCATGGATGGGACCGTCTAACGTCATCCTGCCGACTTGCAGAACCTCGAGGGACTGGCTGCAAATCCGATGCAGACTGCTATGGGAGTCAGCGAAGGAGCTGATCAGCCCGACGAGGAGAAAGATGGCGAGTCCTTCAGCATCGTAGATGTCGAAATGCCATCGTGATTCCGCCTACAAGCTGACGCCCTCTTGCACGCTCATCTCTTTACCGGATCAGAGAAGAAGCTGCAGCTCAGTATGATCCACAGCAACGTGCGTACCCGAACCGCGTCTCTCGGTACATCTTTCGGCTAGACAAGCGTTTCGTGTCATGGACTGACACGCTTGTATGCGCCCATAATAGATGGCTGCCTGTTACTTGAAGGTGAGGAACGGCTGCTTGAACGAGCATCACTCCAGCTGACTGACGCATACCTGCCTTCCAAGCTCGAGAATGGCAAGCGAGCGCTCGAAGCCTCTTCCAAAGCGCTCACGCACAATGCAAACAACACCAAAGCATCCTACCGACACGCGCTGGCTCAGATAGCCTTGAAGGAGCACTACAAGGCTCAGAGCGAGCTACAAGTGTTGCTCAAGAAGAGCAACATCTCCGCAAGCGAAAAGCCGCTGATCGAAAGGGAGCTCAGTGATTTGGAAAAGTTCCTCAAGGCAAAGCTGGAAAAGGAGAGAAAGGGACTCAAGGGATTCTTGGGCGCTGGATTGGGAAATGGCCCCGCTGTTGCAATTGATCCAAAGGCGACGAAGCCAGAAGAGGAGGAGGAAGAGGAAGAGGAAGAGGAAGAGGAGAAGCGACTGAGTGCGAAAGCGAAGGGCAAACAGAGAGCGCAGTGAATCGAAAGGCGACCGACTCTCCAAGCACGTAAATGTTGGACGCGTTCTCTCGCACACTGAACACAATCAAGCAGGGCGAAAGACGGCATTTGGGCACTATGCCAAGCGCCATACACATCGGCAGGTATGCTCGGAGACACATCAAGACACGCGCCACTCTTGGTGCCCCACACGAGGTCCTATGGACAGTCCAAAAGTTCATTCAGTCCTCTTCTCACCTCTCCTTTGAATCCACACGAATCCAGCCATTTAAGCATACCTAGAGTCACCCATTCTCTTTTCCCAACTTCATTGTCACAATAACGCAGAAAGGAAGATCATACTCGCAGACTTTCGAATCAATGAGATCCACAATGCTCACCACTTGCGATGCTTTTGCTTAGGCTCGCATTGCCTGCAGAAGCGTCTGAAGAGTGAAAAGTTGCTCAAGCAAAGAGACGCAGAGGGAGAGCAAGCCGGCTCAGATGTTTCCCCTCCTTCGAACCTTCCACATTTCCCAGGGCAATTTCCAGCCTCTGCCAGTTGCGACTTCTTGCAAAGAGGGGTCAAACACGTCAAAGTCCACCTTTTCGAGTTGTCTCAGAAAGAGGAGGGGATTGACCTTTGGCGTGTGTGTAGAGAGGTGTGCGGTGGATGGCAAGAGCAAGAGCAGGGGGAGGGAACATGAGCCTTCGGATCAATCGATGCGCGCGACTCTTTCGGAGAGAAGATTCTGATTGTGATGTGGCGCGATCAGAGGGCCACTCACCGAGCTCAGAAGCACGCCGACAACTTCTTCCGGTAGCCTACCTCCCTGCAAGCCCTCGATCTCTTTCCTAGCGCTGATGAAATAATCATTGGCCCTCGTAGCCGTATCGAACACTGCATCTTGCAATCCCTGCGCCTTTGGGCCCAACCTGAATACCTGCTCCTCCACCACATTGTGCGCACCCAGGTATTCTCTAGGCAGCGAGATGCGTCTTTGAGAAGCCGAAATAGGGATTCGAGAAGCTGCGCCGGATTGAGGTGTGGTAGGAGTAGGACTACCAGAATGCAAAGCCCTTCCCACATCCTGACCCACCTGCGATCCTGCCGCAGTGCGCGTCTCCGCAGCAGTACCCGAAGGTGCTGCTGCACCGATGCTTGCAGCAGGTCCAAAGCCAGCCGCATATGGGAATGCGGAAAGCAAAGTGGTCAAGCCAGTCGCTTTACCCAAGTGCGAAAAGATTTGGTCCAGAGAGGCGCGGGAGATGCCGAGCAGGTTCAAAGAGAGGTACTGAAGACGCGAAGCTGTTCCTTCCGAGTAGCTCTCGATTTCCGACAAGAGTGGCGGTACGGACGGAGCTAGCACGTCGTTTTCCTAAGGAAAAGTAGCAGGTAGGGAAGAATGCGTAAGGGAGGGAGCCGCATGTGTGGCAACGCTGATCCGAACGGCACTGAGCGTTCCTGGCTGGGCCTGTGCGAAGGCGAGCACCCTCACTTACTCACACGGGCGTCGATGATCCGGATGAAGTGGTCCTCCATCAGCCCGCCATTTGCGAGCACGGCTGGATCGTGTATGGCATCTCGGAGCGCCTCCACTGTAGGGTGCTGGGTGGCCTTGTTCTGCAGCGGTGAGTGGTAATAGAGCGAGCATTGCGCAGCGTGAGCATTCCTAGGCCAGCTGGCAGAGATGATGAAAGCTTCGGCTCAATGCGGCCCCCATGTATCCGTAGCTCGAAAAGCGGAGGAATGCCAGCCGCGCGTGTCTCCTCGTCTCGAGGAGAGCTCAAGCTCCAGTCCATCTCGAAAGTGAAAGCAACGCGTGCTGGTATGCTCATCATTCACATTCCTCTTGGCTTCTACTCACATCAAAAGCTCCCCTCACAGCATCTCTCCACCAACCAACTCGTATGCGTCCCAGCGTCGGATTGGACACGTTATCCTTGACACTAGCCGTCTCCACATTAAAAGCTCTGATGGCCAAGAAATGTCGCCTCAGATGAGCCGGGTAAAATCGCGCAGACAAGTTGGAAGGATGATCTCGCTGAGCTACCAATTGCGCGCAAGATTCTGCTGGTGTTAATTTGTGCTTGTGCTGGTCGAGTCGAGAGGAGGAGGATAGATGGACGGAGCAGGTGTGGCTCAAGAGGCGTCGTGAGGAGGTGCGATGTGAAACGAGAGCAGGCAAAGGCTTACGCTCAGCGCAGCCTATTCTCCTCCAAATGAATATGCTCGACCTGGGCATCGTCATCACGCGAGCGGTCCACAGCCCAATTTATTCCGATAGAGACACGGTGATTGTCTTGCAGGGCGAAGATTGTGTGGATGGATATGGGGAACGTGCGTCAAGCGTCCATGGAGTCAAGTGTCGTGAGTCAAGAGTCGTGAGTGTGAGATCCACATCAAGGCTCCCAGCAGCTGGACCGACTCACTATGAATTGAGTTGACGGGAAGTTTGAAGTCGTTGGGTTGCAAAATCTAAGGCGGAGTCTTGAAAACGCCTCCACTTGTGTCAGTCACGTGCATATCAAGATTCAAAGAAGGACGAGGCTCGACTTCGCGCATTTGTCAGCAAGCAAAGCACAAGGAAGGGTGCTACTCCCCGACTCATGACCACCAACCTTCTGATCGACTCGGGATGGAATGGGTGTGGCATCCAACCACATGTGACACCCAATTAAACATCCACAAACGAGGCGCAGAAGTCAAAATGTGTATTTAGCTCCTTACAACGATGCATGCGTGTGTGGTGAGGTATCGAACAGGCCAAGAGACGAACGAGCCAAGCTGAGGATCAGCTAAGATTTCGAGAGATTTTGGGCGCACAGAGTCTACATGAACCATCCGCTTCTATCCTCTTTACGAGCTCTAGAAGCGTGCATTAGGGCGAGGTAACCCTTGAACAACCTAGCCGACTCCTGATCCTCGATGAAAGGGTAAGGAGCTCCGAGGGAATAAGCCGCCGCAAACCCGCTGACGATGCCCACTTCTTGGCAATTGACGAGCGTCCAAGCGCCAGCATAGGTGGTGTGATTAGCGCCATTGATGGACCACATCCAAGCCACGGTACCTCCGTAATGCTGCCATCGATGACTTTGCTGCTTCCACCACTTCTCAAACAGCACCTTTTCGGGATCCAACTCTTCCTTGGTCCAGCGCTTGCTGTCCGCCTTGTTGAGGAAGATGGTCTGGAAGACGTGTCGATCGATTGGAGGCTCCGGTTGCTCTTCCGTCGCCCAAGGACGAGGGGCCGTGGCCGCATTCTGCCCTGAAGGAATGCCCAATCGCTCGTGCGGAGGTGCGTCGGAAGGCTGCGTGCGCGCTCCGAGTCCCGTCGGTTGAATTTGCTTGAACTGCGGTTGATATACCGTCAAGTCAAAAGACATTTCGATGAGCGCAGGATCATCCTTGTATTCCTTGATCAAATAAAGAGGTTTCCAATTCTTCTTCGCAAAGTCGAAAGATTTCTGCGACTCTTCGTCTTTGCGATTGGCATTGTACTTGTCGGTGTAGTGCACTTCGTAGTGCTTCTCCATGTACGCGAGATCGGTATGTGTGACGCTGACATCGTCGAGGTAGTACACGTTGCCCAGCACCTTGTTCTCCTTCCACGAAGGTCCGTTGCCAGCCTTCAAAATCTTGAGTGCCGAATCAGCATCGCAAGCAAAGATGACTTCATCAAACACGCCTTCCACCTCTTGACCATCTTTGCCATCTTGATAAGTGACGAGGACGTTTCCTCCTTTGCGCTTCGCCTCCTTTGTCCCCCTAACAACGCTCTTCACCGGCGCATCCGTCTTGACCTCTACATTGCCGGTGCTCGTGATTACTTTTCTCCAATTGCCATACATGCGCGCCAATTCAGGAAAGGCCATCATAGTAGGCACAGAAGCCAAAAGCGACTCCTCGCTGAATTCAAACAGGCGCATCGAAGGATCCTTGAAGACGCGTTCCAGGATGGCAGTAGACACGTGCTTCGTCTCGTTTCCCGTGCCAAAGAAGAGCGCTACCAGTGGAAAGACCATGCGCTCGCCAAATTCGGGTGAGAAGCGAAAGATCTTCATGGTGGCGCTGATGGGAATGAGCGCAAAGATGGGCTCAAAAGTCTTGATGGTATTCAGTGCGCGTCCAAACTGTCATGTTGATGCGTGCGAGGTCAGAGTGGAGAGGGGGGCGTGGCAAAGTGAGCAAAATGAAAGAGGGGGGCGCGCTCTGCAACCACTTCACCACCACCACTTGCACTTGCGCACATATCCCTCACCTTTTTGATATCATCCCTGAAGCGATCGACAAGTTTGCTTGGGTAAAGGTTCGACCAAAACTCCTCCTCTCCCTTCCCAAACGAGATTTGCAGGCCGACTTCCTGCGCCTTGAAACCCAGCACATCCTCCATCACCTTGAAGGTGTTGTGAAAAGCGGGAGAGATGCCCTGCACGCCTTCGTTGATGTACTCTGCGCCCAAGTCCAAAGCGCTTCCTGTGTTAGCACCGTTGGGCGAAGTTTCGTCCGGCTTTGAGGTGCGCGCAGCTGGTAATTGATGCGAGTAGGCTGAACCACCTACGCACGGACCCGCTTCCAGTACCGTCACTTTGAACTTTTCAGCTGCCAAGGAAAAGGAATAGGCGGATGCTAGACCTGAAACACCAGCTCCTACGATGGCTATGCGCTTGGGCGCAGCTGCACTCTTCGCCTTGCTTCCGCCCTTGGTGCTGGCTGTTGCACCCGGCAAAGTGCTCGAACTGGTCGATGCGTCGGGCATGTTGGCAAGAGGGACGCCGTGTGGCTTGAGAGTCGAGCTAAAGCGATAGCTCTGTTTGATAGGCAGAAGAGTGTTTGCTAGAGAGGCAATGAGAAGAGCTGACCGCGTTGGCTGTGTGTACAGCAGCAGCTTGAAGATCCGCGCAAGCGAGACCCGGCCAGATGGATCGGAGGATGCTGTTTGGCCTTTGCGTTTGGTCAAGGTGATGGTGTCAAGTGGGCAACGCACTCAAAACACGTTGGCCTGACACTCGTAACGTATCCTTATATGAACAGAGCAGCTGACGATTCACGATTCCTAGGGTCAGCATCAAAGCTCCACACATCTCTCTCAAAGTACTTCCATCCTCTGCGCACGGCGCCGCATGTGTCAGCCACGATGGGGACCGCGCTTACCCAAGCAAGCACGGGTCTACGCGCTCCACACTAACGCGACTCCGCATCGAGCAAGCATGGCCCGCCGTGTGATCTCGTCGCTATAGCGTGCATTTCCACATCGGCGGTGCCGCTCACCTAAGCACAAATTGCGGAACTCAACAGTCCGCGCAGCATTCGTCATCATCATCATCACAGGGGTTTGCACAGCCCAGCAAGCAAGCAAGTTCTACGGCCTGCGCATTCATCACCTAAGCGCGAACTTTTGACCAACTCGATTTCTTGTGATGGGCGTGCGGGAGACAGGGTCTTGCCTGCATGGGGACAGCATCCCACGCGTATGTACAGCATGTGTCCATGCTGCCATCCATCTGCAGCCAGATCAAAAGCGTGTACCTTACGTCACCTGCTGCCCAACATCTGCGATCAAAGGCTGCATGAAGCCCAGAAGAAATTGGCTTAAGCATCATCATGCGACGTGGGAATCGTGAATTTGAGTGATCCCCTACCAGCGATTCGCTCAAATTCGACAATAAGGAGTGTAGCCATGCCCGTAGCCACAACCCCAAAAACAAAGGTACGATGAACAGTGTAGGCACGATCATCTAAAGAAGACGAGCACACGACTTCTTACACTCCGTGCAGCGAGCAGCGGGCCCATGAGTCGGAGGGAGGTATCGTCCATTGGTCTCATCTGGGTGGCGCAACCGGTGTCTTGCGTTCGTCGTTAGTGTCGTGGACACACTAGCACAGACTGTCTTGTAAGGAGATTTCAAGCACACTCTGATTGGGAGAGCGGCATGCTCATTGAATCTTTTGTCGCTCGTCAAGCATTACAATGATGGAGTGCAAGAGCCGAGCTACAGTACTGCGCACTCGATCCACTCGTTTGCCTTCGAATCAATTCGCTGTGAGACCGACTCATCGTCCCGCTCAGAGAAGAGCTTGAGCCTTGTCGTTGTTCTGAGGGTGAGAGGCCTCAAAAATGTCGTAGTCAAAGTCTTCGCTCTGGTCGCACACCTTCTTGAACGGTTGAGAGCTGGACGAAGCGAGCGAGTCAGAAGTGAGGAGGAAGCATGTCAGTATATCTGCGCTGGACTTGAGAGGTCGAGCAGCGCAACGAGACTCCAACTCACTTCGCTGACTCTTCCAGCTGGGCAATTTCTTCCTTGGACAGGTCGACCACTGATAAGGGCAAGGCGAGGTCAGCCCTCGTACGCCTGATCAAACGATCGCGCAAGCAAAGCCACGCAAACAAACTCACACTTCAAGTTGTTGGCGATTCTAGCGGGGGTGACGGACTTGGGCAGAGGATTGGCGCCTCGTCCCACTTGCCAAGAGATGAGGATGTTTGCACCTTGCACGTTGTGCTTCTTTGCCAAAGCGTCCACAGCTGCCAAGCTGGAGTGGCTTGCACCTGTAGAGCCGAGTGGGCTGTATGCTTGCGGCAGGACGTTGACCTTGTGGCAGAAGGCAAGCAGCTCGGGTTGAGGGCAGGTGAAGGACAGCTCCACTTGGTCTAGGGGTAAAAGTAGGAGGGCAGGAAAACGGGTCAGAATGAGCCGTCGTGAGCGATCTCTTTGTGCTCGTTCGAATTTGCTGTCACTCACTGGCAACCGGCTTGATCTTGGCCTCCTTCAAGAGCGCTCTGAGTCTGCGGATGTTGAAGTTGCTGACACCAATGTTCTTCACCAGTCCAGCTTCGACCAGAGCCTCCATGTCTCTCCAGCAAGGCAGAGGGTTGTCGGAGAGGACTCGGTCGACTTGAGGCTTGCCAGTCTTTGGGTCCTTCAAGGGCTTGCGAGGCAAAGATCCATCCGCGGGAACATCTGGCTCAAGTGCGACATTCCAGTGCATCAAGTACAAGTCGAGATAGCCCACACCCAATTTGGACAAGGTGTCCTCCACGGCATGTCGAGCGTGCTTGTGGTGGAACTCGAACAATTTGCTGGTGATCCAGATCTCCTCACGAGGCACGCCGGAAAGCTTGATACCCTCTCCAACCTCGCCTTCATTCTGTCACGGGTCAGCAGACGAGGCGTGATCAGCAAGAGTTATGACAGAGGCACATCGTATCTCATGCTTGCTGGCTGAATAGGCAAGCGAGGGATATGAGGCAAGACTCGCTCGTTCAAGGGACTGGCCATATCGACCCTTCAGCGACTGTACCGCCATGCGCACGCCACCGAGCTGACACGCTCCCTACACACCACCTGCGCCCGTGCGAACAGCAAAAGGCGTGCGTGCGCGCCAAACGCCGAGCAGATCGTGCTGCATTCCTTAGCAAGCTCCGACGGACGGCGCGGCGTCCGACCTCACAAGATCTGCATGGCGGTATAGGTACGCATGTGCATATACGACCCTTATTTCCTTCTCGCTCCGATCGTGATCACCGGCACTCACCTGGTATCCCCAGGCACAGTCAATGTGACGGTAGCCAGCCTTGAGAGCTGCCGCGACTGCATCTCTGACCTCTCCAGGCTTGGATTGCCAAGTGCCCAGACCGACAGAGGGTATTTTGGATCCGTTGGAGAGAGTGAAGTGAGTGGGGAGCGACATTGTGAAAGAGGCGAGGCGAGAATGTGACGGTGTGCGATAAAATGTGCTGGGAAGAGAAGTCAAGGATGTGCAGAATCAGAGATGACTGATGAATGTTGCGAGAGGAGTTGGATCTAGCCTGTCTGGCTGGTTTCTTGTGTTTATATACGTTTTTCTCTTCACTGCTCATCCGCTACTGCTCGCCGGCCAGGTGCACCTTGGGCAACACCGCGGGCCTACCTGATCAGCGCGGGGCCGCATTGTCGAGGGATTACCGAAATCTACTGCTGCACGCAAGCTCGGGCGAGCTGCAGGCTGATGGTACGGTCTGCGTAATGCCAGCAGCAGCAGCGCCTCTCCATCGATACAACTCTCGACCAGCGGGTGCAGTGAGAGTCTCAAGTCGCGAGTGAGTCATCGCACGACTCTTCTGACTCAAAGGCCCACAACCAATCTATAGATGTCAGCTTGTGTTCCTCCGTCGGTAATGATGATGCCGTTCACGATTCTTGAGCACGCAGGTCGCAACGAGACCGAGAAAGCACCACCACCACAAAAGTTGCCAGTCTTAGAAGCATCTGATGCGTGCGTCAGTGGCTCTGGCGGTGCCTACCAATTTGAGAGCATGATTTAAGGTCTCCGTAGCTCATGCTTCGCAAGCAGGCGCTCGTCACAGTCTGATGCGTACTCTGGACACGCATTCCCACGCCTCGCCTTTCACCCAGAGTCGAGGTGAGCATCATGAGATCTATCGAACACTTGACTCCCCACTGTACGGGCGGCGCTCTTCTGTACAGTGAACACTAACAATCACAATCGTGAATCGAACACTGTGAGCTCCGTTCGCACGCTGGAAAAGCTTGATCCGACCGAGCTGAGCCGAGCGCAATTCAGCCCAGCACTGAATCGCTGTATATACTCGATATGTTTGTGATTGGCAATCACGCGGCACCGTTCACAAATGTGTCGCTTCAGACCATTTTCGACAACGATCGTCAGACCCGCGAGTGCGGAGTCTGATTGAAGAGCAAATGACAACCATGCGCAGGCAGAGGGAGCTCAGCAGTGAAGTGATCCTTTCGAACTTCCGGCTGATCCTCAACTCACGACTCCACTTACCTACTGCGAATACCAGGGATGCACATCTTTGACGCTGAATCGCTCCCCAGTGGTCAGTCTTGAGTCGCAAGTGTGAGTGGAGTGAATCGTGAGTCGCGACGATGTGGAGCCAACATGCTCAGGTACGCCGGTTTACTGTCATGGCTGCGCGCGATCGAGCGGTCAAGCGTGAGCAAATTGATTTATTACAGCAGGAGATTGCCGAGACGCGCATGTGCAGCCCCGCGGGGAAACAGCGCGAGCAGCATCAGCACATCATGCTGCGCAGCAGCATGGTCACGAGTGGCGAGGCTTGCATGCATGCATGCAGCTGATGTGGTGCCTGTGCGCGGGGAAGTCTTAATCGGCCGCGGCGCCGGAGGCGTCCGTGGGATGGGACTCAAGAATGCCGAGGCGTCGAACAGAGATTGCCGTGCGCCCATCTCAAAGCGGGACGAGAACTTATGCTCATCCTACATTCACCATTGTGATTAAGTGGTGAGTGTGGGTGGCATATACAGTGATCATAGGATCGAGGGGCCAAGCTGTTTCGTGTACTGCTAGAGCTAGCTGGTATTCCCTCGTCTGCCGCCGCCGAATAGGAGCTCAAAGTTGTCTACTTGCTTGCGTGGTTGCTGTCATGCAGCGGATGTGCGTGGCGTACTGTACACTCGATCGTGACTGTGCGGTAACATCAGCACGAGCCCAAGCACGGCGCGAATGTGATAGCATGCTCCCCCCGCCGCAGTCGGCCTTGTTCATCGAGGGCTTTCTACAAATCTCGTTGGTGCATAGCCGAGAGTCACCTTGCAACAGGCCGCACTCAACGTGTCACTCGTCGTGATTCGTGAGGCACGTTGACAATCTCAAAAGGCGGACCGAAAAGAGACCGCTGAGTTGAGTATGGTCGCGGTGGTGTGGTATAGCTGTTAGGAAGAGCGCTACAGCGCTTACTTTAACTACCCTGGATGAGGCACAGCACCACGACATAGCAGTCTAGTCACAAATAAAGACTCCCAAGCATGAGACCAGCTCAGGGCTGACGTTCACTTCCAGGCTCACTGGTGTCCTACGTCTCGCGAGGTGCAAGGCCCGCCTGCGCTGAAGCGCCATCCTTGATCGCAGTCCCACCGAGTACCCAAGACTCGTCCAAAAAGCCAGCCCTGAGAGCAGCAAGGAAAGAATTAAAAAATACATTTCAGAACAAGTGGATATTGCCATCACAGCATGATGCATCTGCAAGTGCGCTCAGTCTAGGTGTGAACAGCATACTGCTGTACGTTGTGAATCGACGAGGCGTCAAGAGTGCGAGTCGTCTTGAGCATCAGAGGCTGCTCAGCTGCATACTGTCGCGATTCAAGTCAAGGCCGCGCCACGTATCATTCGGGCTTTTCCAGCCTCTGGCGAGCCTGATCCAGCTGTTCCCTCGTAGAAAAGAGCGTGGCGAGGAGAAAGTCGGCAAAGCTAGGGTCCTGCCAGTATCCCGCATGGCTGTATAGCATCTCCAAGTACTGGTGGCTGATCAGACTCGCTTGCAGCGGAATGACGAAATCGACGGATCCGAGTGGAGATAGCGCTCTCATGCGTCTTTCGGCCCGGGATCGCTGCGTCAACGCCATGCCGTCCGCATCGCTTTCATCCGCCTTCTCGCTTACTTCGGCCTCAGCAGTGCTCGGCCTCTCCGTCGCGCCAGAGTCGACTTCTTGCTTGAGGTTATATGCAGACTTGAGCGTGCTCGCTTGCGAATGGGAGCCGGACTCGACCTGTCCAGTTGCTGACACTTGTGCCAGAGCAGCAGTAGCAGCAGCCATAGCTCCCGCACTCACGGTGTTCCTCTTCTCCGCATATGCAGCCTTGACTTTCTTGGGAGCAAATCTCTGTATCCACTCCGACCCACTAGACCCATTCTCCGCTGCTGTCTTTGCGCTGCCTGCTACATCTTCAGCTGAGGCATCGAGCGGGGTACTCATCAATCCTAGCGTATCAATGCCACCTCCATCCGGCGCGTTGGCCTCGTCTGGATCCTGCGCCGAGCTACTCGGCCGAGCCCCACCCGGACCCGATGACCCGCGAGCCCAGGTTCCAAAAATGCCAGTCGACGTGCTAGTCGACTCGCTCAGAGCACCTGGCTGGCCTCTCAAGATGGCAGTCACTGCTTTGGCCAGGACATGAGGCTTGATGATTTGTGCGTACCTTTGTAGGCGCGAAGAGAAGGCCGACGCGATGAGCACGATGCCGCAGATGTCTGAATACGACCTCGAGTATGAGTCTCCTCACTCACCTTGCATCTAAAAGGGACGATTGTGGCAAGGCAGCAAGTCAGTATTGGGGAAACGCAACGAAATATTGCTTCTGCTCCGTACCTGTCCTCGATGTACTCTAGATGCAACTCACCAACACACGCATTGAGCCTAGTTCCGATCGGATCAGTCATGGCGGCAATATTGAAGCATCGGTCTACAGCCAAGCAGCCAAATCTTCCAGACCTCTCTAGCGCTTCATCTCTAGAAGAATCTTTCGTACCCTCTCTCCCCTTGCGAGCAATGAGCTGAGCTTGCTGAAGCCACATGAAGAGCGCCACCGGACTGCCAAGGAGGTAAAGGCTAGATACATCAAACACGAGTTGGGTCTCGTATGAGCTTATCGCACCCAGCTCGCCGGCAAAGGTGGGCTGTGCAGATAGTCTGAGGATCGGGTTTTGGGATCGGCACTCCGTCAAGTCAGTATCTGCATGTGGAGGCGCAGCTACAGGTGACCAAGGGGCTGCTCACACGTCTGCAGCGATGGCGGCGCCAAGCGAATGAGCAATCAGATGCGTCTTGCCTCCTCGGGCCAGAAAGCGCCTTGGCAGGACAAAGAGGAAAAGGCGAAGCTTTGAGTGAGCATGGTGCAATCGCGCTGTACGTCACAGCAATGCCACTCACGGATTCCGCTGATTCCAAAGCCGCCAGACAAAATTAGTGTGCGCCCTGACGCGGTTCATGATCTCACCCTGAGACCAATCGTACAGGGGGATGCTTTGGTCAGCCAGGCTTTGAAGAATAACTTGCTTTGCACAACTCACCTTATGATGAGAAAGATAAAATGGGATGTCTAGGGCCACTCCGGATATCTGGTGAGGGAAGAGAACTGGCTATTTCAGCGGGTGGTGTCCATTTGTAACATTCCCTAACAAACCCGAGGCGTAGGGGCGCTCACGAGTGTCTTGACGAACGGGATCTGAGGTGATGTGGAGTCAGAAACTCATAAGCAAAGGGCCGCAAGGAGCGTTCACCGAGCGCACTCCACCTTGTGCCGTCCCACTCACGCTATCCTTCTCATTACTCCCAAAGATCTGTTCAAGCCCGAATTGATTGTCCAAGTGCTCATCTTCATCTCCATCATCCTGTCTAGGCGGCTGAAAGTCGTCCAGAGCGCTTCTCCACATGACCGGAATGAACTGCACCCTTCTTCCACCTATCAAGCCCGGCAGACCACCACCTCCGACGTCTGACGGGGGCTTGCTCGCTGCTCGACGAGACATTAATGTGCGCATGCTCGACACTCTGACAGTCAGTTGCGAGAAGGGAGCTACTTTCAGCGACCTCAACGTCAATCATCTCGCAACCGCCCTGCGCTCGGCTGACTCACGCTAGTGCGAAATCAAGCGACTTCCATTCTTCGGCCAATTTCTGACCGATACCATGCCAGACCAGCACTAAGGATGGGCATGGTAGGCGAATCAGAACTGACTTTATAATGCGATGCAGACAAACACGTTGCGTGAGGGCGGACCTCGCACTCACCGAGATGCTCAGGAGGTTCCTCCTCCTCTTCGTCCTCGTCCACAAACGTATTCGCCTCTGCACTTTGACCCTCCGCTCCTCGATCGGCACCATGATCGGTCCCATCTCCCAGTCCCGCGCTTGCTTTACTCTTTTCCCCCTCCATCTCTTTCAACTCCCCCGCCTCTTGTTCGCCCGCGCTCGTCTGGCCAAGCGAGTCTTTTATGTCTTGAGTGGGAAAGGGGGAGGGACCGGCAATGCCGCCCACGCCGAACATGGACAGCCGATTTCCCAGTGAGCGCACGAACGATTCGGTGCCCGAGACGGGTCTGCTGGTTGATTGTGCTCCGCTGTTCTCATTCGCGGGAAGCGACGCGGAAGTAAGGGTCGGTCCATTTGCTGAGGCGTCACTTGATGCTGCAGCAGCAGCTGCTCCTGCCAGGGTCGCCTCTGCGTCGCCGCTAGGTCTTCCCACAGCTTGATGCGATCCAGATGCTCGATTTGCGAGGTTCTGTTTCTCTTCGACAATGTTGCTGGAGCCCGAATGATTGCTGCTGCTGCTTGCGGGCCTGGACTTCTTGGTCTTGTCCGTACTCAGACTTACAACCCGCGGGGGCGTTGCTGTACCAGAGGTCTGGCCTGTCTTCTTGCTAGACCCAGAAGTAGAGCTCTTGGCATCTGCCACGCCTCGGGTCTTCAACAGCTGCTGAGCATTGTGATAGCCTCTCGCTACGAGAGTGCCTCCCTGTTCCAATTGTAGGTGAGAGAGAACGTCAGCTTCAGTCCCCTCACTCATGTACCGGCGCGACAACATTGTTCATGGCTCTGGCAAGACGTGACAACGCACAGCATGTTCGCCGCTCCAAGCTGTCCAGATCGTCTTCGCAAATCTGGTAGAGACATCGTCGGCATATATGCGAGCGAGATGAGGTCCCAGAAAGATGACGTAGCTGCTCTTTTGGCTTTGCAGCCTGCATTTCAATTTGTCGTCTGCATCCGAGCCCAAGGAGACTGATGACTTGAGCTCTTCAGCGTAGGAGGGTAGATATGGTTTTATAGAGCTTCGGAAGACACAAGGGAGTGAGGGAGGTGTATCAAGTCACGATCAGGTTTGGGCGAAGGGCCAAGGGCGAGCTTCAGAGACGCATACACTCACCCCCAGAGAGATTCTAGCTCCTCGGCAACGGCATCTGTGCAGGGCGTCAGTCTGCTGCCGTCCAGGAACCAGGTTCCTCTTCTGACGGATGTAGGCTGAGACTTCCAGAACACGGTGCTGAGCTGTCGGACCGCAAAATTCGCGGTCAGTGGCGTACCTGGAAGGAGGAGTGGCGCATCGCAGCACTCACCTTGTGCAAGCGCAAATCCACCTCGTACAGGTGATCTTCTGCGACTGGTATCCTCCAGCTCTCGAGTTCCCTATCTGGATGAGGGGCCGCTTCCTCTATGACCTCCCCATCCTTCGTCTCATTCCCCACCATCACCTCCGCCTTCTTTCCATCCAATTTTTCTCTCACCCTACTTCCCACATCTCCCTTTCCTAGCTTTTTGCCCAATGCCACCCTCTCCCTGAGTCTTTTCCATTCTTGCCAGCTATGGAAATTGTCGTTCCATGCTTCTTCGAGACGGGAATGATCCCGATTGCCAAAAGAGGTCCAGGTCTTGCCGTTCTCGGAGGCGTGTAACCAGCGGGGGATCAGCGTGGGTGCGCTGGGCAAGGAGGAGGAGGCTGCTCGCAGGAAGGAGACCCTCTGAGGCGTCTGCGCTTGTGACTGTGTATGTTCCGAAGACATTGTAAACGATTGTCCCCTGCACGGAGTTGCAACTTCAGGAACGGCTTTAGGCTCGATCCGGGCGGTCAAGTGATTGTCTCTGCTAACGCTCAAGCTGATAGGTGGTGAAAGCTCGGTGTGTGTGTTCTCTCGTGACTGGAAATATCAAGCAAGCAATGTGTGTGCCGATAAGAAGCGTCGTAGCAATCTCATGGCAAGGGTGCGTGCTGATGTATGTTGTAAGTTGCTATGACGATCGCGATCTTGATGATGGCGGTGCGCAGCGCTCGCTCGATGGGGACTCGGGACTACATGTAGCGCAGCTGTTGGATAGCGTGCGTACCGCTGCATCGATGACGCACGAGTGTCCGCGCGTCAAGCTTCGCCTTCGGAAGTCCGCGGAGATAAGTGAGTCCGCTCTTGAACGGACGTCAGCAGACGTGCCGCCCCAGACTCCGACACCGGCGGGTCGTACCGATGCTGCTCATTTTCGTATGGATCAAATTCGCAAGTGACCTGATGGACCATCATCTCGTCCATCAGGTTAGGTGAAGTGCAAAGGCACTGAATATGAGAAGTGAGCAGGAGCTCGCGACCAGACTGCACACTGAAACTCAGTCTGATCCGGACGGCGGAGACACGGCGAAGCTGCAGGATGAAGGGAAGAATGGGGCTCCTTGCCGCCTCGACCAAGATACTGGTCGTGGGAGCTGCGTGGCTTCAAGTGGTGCTTGCAGACATCGCTCGCTCAGCAGACCAGAGGACGAATCGGCAGATACCCATTGGTATAGGTCTGGCTGCAGAGAAGCAGGCAGACAGCCCGGACTCCCATCGGACAGAGCAAGGGGCGTTTGTGCGGGTGACGGTGGATGGACGCAGTCTGTATGACGAGAATGGCTTGGTCTACCTGAATGGTACGTGCCGGGACGGCAGCGAGGCCAGTGACCAAGCACAAGTGTCAGTCGGCTTAATTTCTACCTAATCACTCGCCGTATTTTGCGCATTGCATCCCTATATGTAGGATTGAATTAGTGAGTCACTCCAAAATTCTTGACTCGACTCGAGAAAACGATCCAAGACGAGAGCGCCAGATTTGAATCATGCTGGGGCAATTGAAACGAGACTGACACACGCCATCCTGCCATTCGTGATTCCCTCTCTGACAGCTGGTCGTGCATGAACCTGGCCGCGCCCGGCAACAAGGGTGGTGATGCACGGCGATTCGAGCAAGAGATGGACCAGATGAGCGCAGCTGGCGTCAATCATTTGCGCATCATGGCAATGTCTGAAGGGCACGGACCGTTTCGCATGAACCCACGTGAGTGTCATTGATGCTGCCTGTCTATATTCACAAGCAGCACCACCAAAGCAGCTGCATGGGGACCCTTAGGCGAGGGGATCAGGCAGGAAGCCCAGCGTTGACCTTTTCCATCTTCCTTGCGCTCTCGTAGCCGTCCAGCCAAGAGCGGCAGAGATGGACGAAGCCTTGCTCATGGGCTTGGATCGATGCCTACAAGGAGCTCGCAGAAGGGCTATGCGCGTCACTTTAGTGCTGGGAAACACTTGGCACTGGTCAGGTGGTCTGCCACAACTGGTCGACTGGACTTCTTCATCGGCCCGACCTTCTTCAAGTCACTCTTCGGCCAATCAGTCTCACTCTACGCACAAGACCGAGCAAAGCGGCATACCATATCCTATCTCTTGGAACGTCTCCGCTCTGCCGCAACGCCACGATGGTTTTGCGGGGTGGGGCACTTGGACGCGACTCGGTCCTGATGTTCGTCCCTACGAGGAGTTCATGAAATACGTCGCTAGCTTCTTCACGAACGAAAAGGTGTGTCGGCTTCTCACTCTACACCAAGTGGATCGCTATTGACAAGGCTGCTGTGCGCACGAAATTGCTAATATCTGATGTGCAGGCGCAACAGATGTACAGGGTCAATGCGCTGGCGATACTCAACAGGCGCAATGCGATCAGTGGGCGTCTCTACAAAGAAGTGAGGGCAGAAACCTTAAATTCAGGCGAGACCGCCGGACCCTATCCTTGGGCGCCTCGAACATGCTGACCAGTCATCTGGCTTCTTCACACCGGTCTCAGGACCCCACCATCTTGGGTGAGTGCGTACCTTCTATCTGCTGCAACAAACATCGCTGATAGACCCGAGCACGTCGACATCAGCTTGGGAGCCCCTGAACGAGCCTCAAGTCACACCTCGCCCCACGAATGAGACCTGGCTTGGTGGTCATTTGCCGCTTGCCCCATCAAATCTTGCTGATCCCTTACTGCGCTGGCACAGGAATACTACGATGCTGATTCGCCAGCAAGCTCCCTCACAACTCATCACGACTGGCTTCGAGTCTAAGCAAGGAGAATGGTGGTTTCGACAACTTCACGAAGATCCGAATGTGGACTTTGCCTGTGGTGAGTTTGACGAGAAAGCTCCCCATACGTATACAGCAGCCCGAGGACGAGTAAAGTGCTCCTGATGCGATGCAGAAGGGAGACATCATGACCTCGGAGCGCTAACACTTCGCGCTCGCGTTTTCCGGGCTCAATTGCAGCGCACATGTGGCCACAAAATTGGCAGTGGTACGACATGCTGAATGGCAGCCAAAGTAACTTAAATCACGCCGTGCGGGTTTCACTGCAGTATCTGCGCGGTGAGTCGTGATCAAGCCCTCGCTTCTGGATTAGAGACACCCAAAAGCAACCGAAACATTGTGCTTCTGTGCTCATCCTGCTTGAGTTGTGCACCGCAGAGATAGAGAGGTGGACACAAGAGCTAGGCAAACCGGTCTTGCTGGAAGAGGTAAGGTATCCGTTCATACGTGGACTGCGCAACAAGACGCTGACCGCCGCAGCTTGATGTTTCAGTTCGGCATGCCCCGAGACAATTGGCTCAATGCCGAAAAATCGTATTTGGTGCGTCGGTTGGAAAAGTGACTTTCGCTGCAGTGCCGGTGCTCATGCGCCTAGACTTCCGTCTGCTTCAGTATTCGAGCAACACCAGCACCTCTTCGCGAGACCGGTAAGTGCCTTTCAAAAGAGGCAAACTGCCACAACCAACGTTCACATTTCGCTCTCGCTGCATTTCTGCCTACCCAGACTTTTCGAGCAAGTTTTGATCCAGATTTTGGGCTCGTTCGAGCATCGCAAAGGATGGATAGGCGCCGTACCCTGGGCATACGCAGGTGCGTACAGACCTGAAAGACAAAGATTGAACAAGTACGGCATGCTTTGGGCTGGCGATCCTCCGCACGAAGGTGAGAGCGCGACTGTTCTTCCTTTTTTCAACGCGCGGACCGCGCTTGACATTGTGATTCTCTTATTATGATTGTCGATTGCCTCTGCGTGTGCGCAGCTCCTGGATGGTACAGCGTATACGACACGGACGAGGCAATGCGACTCTTGAAGGAGCAGAGCAAATGGACAGCAACGTCGGCCTGACAGGCAAGCGTCTGTGATCATCAACCTGGCTTTGTCATTGGACATTTCCCGACGTGGTCCTCGCTCTGATCGAATCACCTCTTGGGGTAGCGCTGGATGCCCTTTGTACTCTATCCTCTTGTTTGTGCAATAGCATATTTTCCCAAGACGTGAGAGTTTCTCGGTCGCACCTGATATTGTTACATTTGCATCTCATCGCCTTCGAAGCTGTTTCTTGCAAAAAAATTTAGCCTCGCTCTGACGCAGCGCGAACAAGGAAACCATTCTTCCCGCTCGCGGTCAGAATATCTTGCTAAACATGTTGGAGACGAGGCTCCTAGCGTACGGGATATAAGATAGTCTGCGAAGCGATTCACACATGCAGGATGGAGAGATGAGTGCCGTGAGAGTCAGCTACGGCTGCAGAGCGAAGGGCGAAGAGAAGCTCGACAGCCAGGCAACAACGCACGAGTACCAAATGTACGCTAGGTAGAGAATGACGACGAAGACCAGGACCAAAGCGTCGATCCCGATGGCAAAAGCCGCGACCCTGGCAATGTTGGGCATTTGGAGAGGCGCGCTAGTCAGCATGTCGCATTCGGGACGACTTGACGTGACAAATGGACCTCGCTCACCAGACCATGACAAAGGCGGCAACCAGAATCAAGGTCGCGACGATCCGAACTGGATCAAACATCGCTTTGAGCTGCCTTTTGAACTAGAGGCGGCAGTGCATGACCATCAAGACGATCAGCGCTGGGTGACCTTTGACACTGCGCGAGAATGACACTCACTCCCACCAGGAAACCGGTGCCAACCAATGATACGATGACGCCGATCGAATACAGAATCGCAAAGAGGACAGTTGATCCAAAGAACAACAGGACGCTGCCTACGATGGACAAGGCAAAACCTCCCACCAAACTGAAATTGTATACGGAGTCAGCAAGCATGGTCAGCAGCGCTCCATTCAGGCGCATTTGTGCGACGGACGGGGTGATCTCGCGATCTGCCCGGCTGTATGCGCCACAGGGGCATCGCTCCGCTCCGCATTGATTTGGCGGTGGAGCAGCTGCGCGCACACAGATGTCCAGCCCAGCGCATCTTCTCGCAATGCGGCTCGTCAGAGCAAAGTTCTCATTCCACATAATCGTACGCCGAGCAAATCCGGCCTTCGACTGCCCACTCGACGTGCGCCGTAGAAGCTGATCACTTTGTCTTGCCTCCAGCTTCCTCTTTCGCCTAGTAGCAGCAAGTATCACACCCACCAAGCCCTCTTGACGATTTCGCGCCTCCAAGCACTCACCAGCCCACAAAACCCATGATCCTCTGTTGCCGCGTGAGTTCCAAGCCCAATCCTTTGAAAGCATCATTCTCGCCAGTAAGTTCTCCCTGAGCATATCGCATGTTGTCCATGTTCATCCAATTGCCTGATCCGCCGCCCATCGTGCTAGGCTGAGTGGACGGGGGCGGATTGGATCCGCTTCCGGGTAACCATGATGGCATGTTTGACAAAGGTCTTCCAAACCCGCTGATTGCCTGTAGTCGTGCGTGAGATGAGCTAAGGAGTCGTCCGGTGCCCAAGAGGCAGTGCCACGCCTCGACCCGATCCACCTAGGCTGACTCTCGAAGCTTTCTAATGCGCTCCTGCTCGAGCTGAGACGTAGGAGCGAGAAATTGTATACGTTGTTGGAACCCCTCTGGACTGTAGACGTTTGTAATAGACTTTGCTCGTCTGACGTGCTGGCGGTCTGGTCACGCGCAGCTGCAAGGTGTTTGAGAAAGGTCGCTGAACTTGTTTGAGGAGTAGGGGTGAGAGATGCAGAGACCACTGTTGAGTCGGGTAGTGAGGCGCTGGAGAAGTGAAAGCTCCGCATACAACGTACGTGCGTGCTCAGATTCGTGATTTCATGCAGCTCGCTATATAGAGTCACGGTCGTGAGTCACGACTCAACTTCCTAATGGATTGCAATTAACATGCTCATCAGACGAGACCCACGACTGCCTGGTGCTGCCTCCCATCATGCACGCCGCCTTGGCGCGGCTTACCTTGGCGGACGGCGTTCTCGGCCGACAGGAGCTAGGGCTGGGTCGACTGCGCTTGACGCGTAAAGTGGATTTCCTCGCGCGTCGACGCATCTGCCATGGCTATCAGCTGCATGTGCGACGTTTGCTCGCTGCAGCAGAGCATTCAATGATTTTGATTCTTGATTCACTCAAGAGCCTCGACTCAAAGACTGTCGTATCTGCTGGGCTTGTTCTTGTTCAGACCATTTCAAGAGAGCTACTTAGATCTACTTTGAGCTGAGTTAGGCTAATTCAGGCTTACTTAGGCTAACTTAGGCTTACTTAGGCTTGCTTAGGCTTACTTAGGCTTACTTAGGCTAACTTAGGCTTACTTAGGCTTACTTAGGCTAACTTAGGCTTACTTAGGCTAACTTAGGCTTACTTAGGCTTACTTAGACTAACTTAGGCTTACTTAGACTAACTTAGACTAACTCAGATCTACATTCAAGATTATAGAGCTGTAGCTGCATTTCTTGTTTGAGATCACCTCTCTGCAGCATGCGTTAAGCACCTCGGCGTCAAGTTTTGTTAATGGGCGCGTTCAACGCGTCTTACATTCAAGATTTGTGTTTCAGATCAAAATCTAAACTTGATCTTTCTTAGTTCTTCATGCACTTGATTCGAGATTAGTCACGCGACGCGCTGCTTATGCGAACCAAAATCTTGAATGAACAATCACGAATCATGAATCGCAGCATGACCTTCTCGACCACCCAGGACACGATGGCCAGGTGAAGCGCCAAATCGCACCTGTCTTCAAGCCCTCTTCATCTGACTTTTCAGCCCTTGCTGGTTGACATAGCCGCACTTGATTGCACTTGAGCAATCCGAGTCTAGATTTGCGGATTCGCAGGTCTAAAGTTGGCAGGTGAGTGATGGCTCGTTGCGGCTCATCACTGCATGCCGACGTCTCATGCTCGGAAGCTTTCTTGAGCGAATTTTATTCGAGTCTAGGGGTAGGTGCTGATCGTGTCGTCCTAATGTACAGACTGAGACCGACCTGACCGACCTCGGATGCTCCCTTACAAGATACCACTCGTTTCATCCTTAACGAGCAGCATGGTAATATCAATACCTTGCTGAGCTTGCGCACACCCCTTTGCTCTTCGACATCGTGCACAAGCTCAACACTAGATCAATATCCACAGACATCGCCACTCCCAGCACCTGTCTCATCGCACCTGCTGTGCTCTGTCACCATGAGTGACGCGACTCAGGCCTCGCCAACACCCGCGACACATGCTCATCCAGGCGCAAATGGCGATGCTGCAGAAGCTGCTTCATCCACACGAAGAGCAGAGGACGAAGCTCAAGCGCGCATCCTCATGGGAAAGGTCATTGAGCGCCAAAAGGATCATGCGCCCTACTCTGAGCTCATACCTTTGGCCTTGGCAATGACAGGTCAACAACAGCATCCTCTTTGCGGCAGGGACAACCCAGAACGAGAGACGGGGGAGGAGATGGGAGCGTCTAGGGAGCTTCTGTTGGAACTAAATGCGTGTATGCTAAGAGTTCGATCTTTCAAGACTATACCTCAGGTGGAAGAATGGCTCAGCAGAATGGCGGGAGCCATCTTCTCGTGCCGGGACTGCATGGACGTCTATATCATTGCCAAGGATCTGGCAAGAACGAAGTACTTGAGCTCCTACGCTCCAGGCTCCCTGACAAGGTTCTTTACCGCTATAAATCAATGGGAAGTCAGTCGATCACTAGAAATCTTGGATGGCAAGGGCGTAAAGCCAAGCGGCGCGTCGATCGACAGCCTTACCGAAAGCGAGCTGTATGCGGTCGTTGGTACAATCATGCCCTGCATCGCGGATCCCATCGAAGAGTGTCCGATGGCAGCGGACGAGCTTCTTCAGACGGTCGGCAGCAACTTGACCAGCGGTTCCGTGATGGGGCGCTGTTGCCCCGGTCTCCTTTCGCTGGCACTCATACCAGGCAAGGCCGAGACTAAAACAGAGAATAGCGACATGTCTCTCCGCGAATGGGCTCTCATGCAACTCTCCTCTGCAGACATCCGACCAATCCCAGCCAAGGTGTGCGCCACTCCAACTATGAACAGATTACGGGACTTCACAGAAAAGTACGCAGGCAATGCTAGATCGGACCTGTTGTCAAAGTTCGCACCATCGATGTCCAACAGCGAGTGCCCCATCGTGCCCGAGGACTCATCCCCCTCGCCCATCACAACTGCAGATCAGGCTGCGTCGTTGCTCTCCAAGCTCGGCGAAAGAGGCGGCGTGGCTCAAATCGAGCTGCTGCTGAATCAGCTCGGCCAAGTCTCCCGAGATACCCCACACATTTGGAAAGAGCTCGGGACTAGGCAGCAGAGTGCACCAGGGAGCTCTAGCGCCTCGGACAAGTCTGGCGGTGGCAGAGCTTTGGTGGGGCTCGCTTCGCTCCTCGACAATCCAGGCTTTTCCGATCTTTTTCAGAAAGTGGGGACAGGAAATGTCTATTGTCATCAATGGGCTAGCGATTTTCTGCTATCCCTGCGAGGTCTGTCCAGCGATGCGCCTGGAATCGGTTTAGCCTTCGAAGATGCGCTTCGACGGCTCGTCAACTTCGCCCTAGAACGTCAACAAGCTGCTCACTCGAGTCACGACGCGAAATTGGCTGCCGCAAGCATGGGAGTCACCTTGTTGCAGATAGCTATGAACGCTGACTTGTCCCCACGAGACACGAGCGTCGACTCGGTGCGCGCCAGGAACGATTCAGAACCCCAAGAAGCTACTTTGCCACAGACTTTCACCAAAGAGCCATGCCGAGATGCTGCTCTCAAGACCTGCGCACTCTATGCTTCGACCATTGCTAATCTAGCACTGCGTGGACGCTTACCGAACGACTCGACTGCGATCGCTCGCGAAGACGCAGCTCGACTCAGCGCACGCGACTTACTTGCTGCTGTTTACGAATTCGACGCCCGTCGCTTGGAGAATGCATTTGCTGAGCTAGGTACTCTTGCACGAGGTCACAAGAGCAGATGGGCATCTCGACGAAGAATCGCTCGGAGGCCTGGTGGAGGCGAGAGCGTCAAGAATCCGGATGGTCCTGGTCCCGCGGAGGTGTACTCTTCGGCGGCTAAGGACCCTTGGCCAGGCCCTGTTCTCTGCTCAGAAGCTTGGACAGAGGGAAAGAAAGCTTTTGCAGCGGAAGCAGACGCTGCATTATTCTTGAGACCTTTGGCAACGCTCAGCGTGCTAGTAGAACCTTCTCTTCAGACCCACTTGCTCCCGGAGTCAAAGGAAGCAGCGACGGAATATGCAGAGTATCGACAGATCTTGAAGACGTGCATCTTGAACTTGGGCAGGGCATTGCGCACGCAACGAGGGGCGCTAGCTTCGGCGCTGCTTGAAGTCGGCGATTCCGTCAGAGCGCCGCAGCTCCAGCACGTGTGCCAGGAAAACTCAGACGCCCTCGTCTGTGCAATTCTGTCTCCTGATGTCGAAGTCCACCGTTCTTCCCTCAACGTGGTTCGCGCCACTTTTGACGAGTCGACTTCTCGAGGAGAATGTCTGATGTCCCTGCTCAAGTTTAGCCCTGACTTGGCGCTCAAGGGACTGGATGACTTCTTGACCGCGTTCGTAGCAGCGACATCTATGCTTGTTGAAGCAAATGAGGCGGCGCGATCCCTGGTCAACTCGTTCGGCGATGTACTCGAGTGCCTGTGCTCTCCAACTTACGGTCTCTTGCGAGTCGGTTCTCCGCACTCATTTCTTCCAAATGAGCAGTGCATCGTAGATGCGAGAATTCCTCCGATTTGGAACTCTTTGCTTCAGGGCATCGCTAGCATCTTCCGCAACAGTCCAGCATGGGCTCAGATTGTTCCTCCCAACGACATGGTCTCGTGGTTCAGAGACGTTGTGCTCCTTGCCAACGATACGCTAGAATGCGTTGACGTCATGCGCGCAGCACTGTTGGACGTGGACCAGCAAGATGAGATAGTCACCGCTTTGGCCTTTCCTCTCGAGGAGGTGTGCAGCTTCCTCCGTCTCAACGACAAGGCCATTCTGGACGAGACCAAGGACTACGTCGTCAAGGCGCTAGAAACGTTCCGAAGCGCCAAGTATGGAATAATGTTGCCCCAGGTTGTCATGGATAGGATGCTCAATTTTGTCGAGTCTCAGCTGGCCGAAAGTGATTCCGCCGTCCGCAAAACCTTGCTGAGCTCGGCTGAGCTAGTCCTGCTGCGCGACCTACTCGGACCAATGGAGCTCTCAGACGAAGAAGGCGAAGACGAGATTCAGGTAGTCGAAGCGCACGCAAAGACTGTCGACAGGGGCAAGGAGCATCAAGAATCCTCGACTCACGCTCCAAGTGCCGCACCTGCTGCGCCTTCCTCGAGCCCAAGCTTTTGGCAAGCAACACCCCCTCAATCTCAGCAAAAGGAGGGCAAACAGAAGCGTCGACTAAAACAGCAGAAGCTGAACTTCTCACCCAGTCAACAAAGGCAAGCTATCGACGTTGATGCTTTGCCAGACGCGGAAGTCGACGATGTTCTCCACACCCCGCCGCTCCCGCAGCGTCCTCCAACAATCTCTTCGACTACCGCTCGCATCGGTGCGCCGAAGCCTCTACCGCGTGCACCTCCACCTGCACCCCGGAATGCGTCCGCTGGGCCTTCGAGGAATGCTTACACGCCCGCCGTCGCCACCGCTCCCAAGCGTCCAATGACGAAGCCACCTGGTCGGTCGGCACCCAGATCCTCAAGCTCTCTGCTCAGCTCAGCAAGAGAGCAGGTAGCTATGAGCTCTGCTCGATTCAGACCGAACAGCGCAAGTTACCGAGCATCACTTAGCACTGCGAGACAGTTCGGTAGTCGCCTGCCAACGGACAAGGAGTTGAAGGCTCCAATAGCTGGTCCGACTGCGGAAAGTCGCGTCACAGGTGCTCGCCCGGATGGCGGTCACGCTCAGAAGTTGGCCGCTGCTGCTGCAGCGAAGCAAGCGTCCAGTGATACGAGCGACAGCAGTGACGATGATGATCGAGAAGCGCGGGGCTTGGCGGCTCTAAAAGTTGGGGGATCGAGATCTCCCTACAAATCCCGCATGCCACCCGCTCCTCGGCAGCCAGCGAGGAGCACAGTGATCATCGAGGATCCGAACACCGAGAGGATGGCCAAAGAAAAGGCAGAGCAGGATCGCAAGCGCAGGCTAAGAGCTCCACCCGACTTTGCTCAGCTACATCGAGCGATCTTGTCTTGGGACTACTGGGCCGAAGGGGATTATCCACCAAATTCTACGTCGAATAACTTCAAGATCGGGCTGGCGAGATACAACAGCCCTGAGCAATACAAAGAAGTCTTTGGCCCTCTGCTGCTCCTCGAATCGTGGGCGCAGCTCCAAAATTCGAAGGAGGAGCTGACAAATCCTTCTGCTCGTTTCTTCACCATGGAAGTCACGGGCAGATCGAAAGTCGATGGATTCGAAGACATTAATGCGACGATTCCGACGGCATTGAACCAGTCCTACAGCGGTCTCAAGATGTCCTTTCAGGACACGGACGTCGTAGTGCTCACGCTCTTGGACGGCGCTCAGAAACCCAAAAAGATGCTTGCGAAAGTGGAAGCGCATCGGTATCTTGGCCAGGGAAGCAACGTGACCCTACGTTGCTGCCTCGGCCCTGCAGACAAGCAAGGCTTGAGCGGAAGTCTCAGCGTCAAGTCTCGTTGGTCTATCTGCAAGCTCTTCACGTTGACGACGCTGCATCGAGAATGTGCCGCTCTAATGGCATTTCAAGACTACGACTTGGTCGCAGACATCTTGCAGGGCAAAGCGGCGCCGAAGCAGGTTGTGCGAGATAACGACGCTCGCCAGGCCATGGACGCTTTCCAGGTCAATCGTCCTCAGGCTGAAGCGATCGTTGGGTCTTTGCAAGCCGACAGAGGCATCAGCCTTATCCAGGGACCTCCAGGTACGGGCAAAACGGTGAGTGTCACTCGAGTTCTCGCCTCTGAATAACCTGCGATCTGATCAGACTGGCTTTCAGAAAACGATTTGCTCCCTGATCGCACGGTTCATGGCAACGCGGAAAAATGCGCCGACTCCCATACATGCGGGTCGACAAGGCGTCAAGGAACCACGCAAGAAGATCCTTCTTTGTGCGCCGAGCAACGCCGCTATCGACGAAGTCGCGCGGCGTGCAAAGCTGCCCATGACTGACAAGCATGGCAAGACGATCAAGCCGACAGTGGTGAGAATCGGCAGGGAAGAAGCTCTGAACGTTAGCGTGGCCGAAATCTGTCTCGACGCACTTGTCGAGAATCGACTGGCTGCTCTTCAGGGTGGAAATAACGGCGTCGACGAGGTCAACACACTTGTTGCGGAGCTGAAGACGATTCGAGATGAAAAGGAGAGCAAGTCGAGACAGCTCGAGGATGCTAGGATCGCAGGAGTCTCTGGAGCAGCTGTCGGTCAGCTTCAAGCAGAGATCAAAGCGCTGACCGTCAAGCGCATGAATACCGCTGAAAAGCTGGATCAGATCAAGGACGCGAAGAGGACCAAAGCTCGTCAGCAAGAAGCGGACCGGCGCAGAGTTCAGGTCGAAATTTTGGCGGACGCGGATGTGGTTTGCACAACGCTCTCCGGAGCTGGCAATCCGATTCTGGCTGGCCTACCTTTCGAATTTGAAACAGTCATCATCGACGAGGCTGCCCAAGCTGTCGAGCTGAGCTCCCTCATCCCGCTCAGGTATGGGTGCAAAAGAGTCATCCTCGTCGGTGATCCAAACCAGCTGCCGCCGACCGTAATCTCTCAGAAGGCGGCACGTCTAAAGTATTCGCAGTCTCTCTTCGTCCGAATCTTTGATGCGCATCCTGATGTCTATCTCCTCTCGTAAGTCTTGCCGTCGTCGGTGCTGTCCAGACGTCTTTGACCCACTTCTGACCCATTCTGCTACAGCATTCAATACCGCATGCATCCCCTAATTTCAGCATTTCCTTCGCAGCGCTTCTATGATGGAAAGCTGCAAGACGGCCCGAGCATGGCCGAGCTCACAAAGCAGCCCTGGCATGGTACGTCCTTGCTTGCGCCTTTCAAGTTCTTCGATGCCCACAACGGCTCGGAAAAGATGGGTCGCGGCCACTCCATTGTCAACCGAGACGAGGCTTTGATCGCTGCCGCGCTTTATGACCGGTTGCGCCAGGAAGCGCATCGGGGCAGCGTGGACCTTGACTACCGAGTCGGAGTCGTCACAATGTACAAGGAACAGGTCTTTGAGCTGAAAAGGGCCTTCACGAACCGATTCGGCGCCGGTGTGGAGCAAACAGTCGACTTCAACACGGTCGACGGGTTCCAAGGGCAGGAAAAGGATGTCATAATCCTTTCTGCTGTACGCACCCAGTCCATCGGTTTCTTGTCCGACGCCAGACGTGTCAACGTCGCCCTTACGCGCGCCAAAAGCAATACTTTCGTCATTGGAAACGCCCAACTTTTGCGCAGAGATGATTTGTGGGGTTCGCTAGTCAGGCATGCGGAAGAGAGTGGCGTCCTAGAAAAAGTCGGACCTGGATCGTTTACCTACGGCGCGACGCAACGCCAGCAGAGCTTCGCACCTTCTGCTCCTCGGCATCCGAAGGCTCACAAGCAGAAGACACCGGTGTCTCAGACACCAGACTCTAGCACCGCAATGACGCCCGCAGAGCTTGCCAATGGCGGTCAAGCGCTCCGGCAAAATCACAACGGCAAGGCTAGAGATGGCACGAAGCGTCCATTTGACGAAGACGAAATGCGCAATCAGTCGCCTGTCAAACGGCCTAAATTGAGCAACGGTTTTAAGGATGCTCGCAAACACGGCAAAGGCAGTCACAGTTCCAAGTCTTCGTCCAGAGAAAGCTCTGCCTCGTCAGTCAGGAGCAACTCGAAGGTGGCCGGGCCCAGTCATCCGAAAAACCAGGCTAGCTCTGCGTCTAGACCGGCCTGTCCTCCGGACATTCCCGCGGCGAGAAGAGACAAACCACCAGAGATCCTTGCTGCGAGGAAAGATGCGGAAGGCGGTACCGAGGGTGCTGCAAGAAACGCTTCTGCCAATCGCCAGCAAGAACGAGGACGGCCTTCTGAGGCTGCCTTGAAGGCTGTGTTCAACACCAAAAAGAAGCGACGCTTTGCGCCAGGAGCTTGATGGCGCACCATGACCGCTGCGTCGCAAGCGACAGCACTCTCTCTGCTTTGCTAATGAAGTTTGATCGACACGTCACCCTTGCATCCTGTACACAACAAAAGTGCTCTCGCGATTAACATTTGCTGCTTCCAGCCTATCTGCCTTTCCATGAAGTGACGAGTGCGCCGGAGCGTGGGAGAAACGAGGACAGCATCGCAACTAAGAAGGTGCAGATCAATGTGCAAAAGGTGTGCAGTTGATGTAGCTGGACGCGGTCTTGCGCAAGCCGTGTAGATCACGCTGCACCGTCTGACGAAGGCGGGCCTGAAGGCAGTGAAGACTCGCGAATCGGCACCATGCTGCTTGCAGGCTCTAGCTGCCTTTCGCGGCCCGACGTAGCTTCATGTTCGAGGGCTTGCGGTGAAGATACATGGTCTTCATTAACCGGCCGCGCCTGCTCTGTTGTAAGAAGCGCCGAGCCATCTCCCCTGTTATGGCTCTCGTCGGCTTTTGACATACCAGGCCTGCCAATTCCTAGGATGGCTCGTTCGTCGTTGAGTTTCCTGAGCACTGTTCGATCCGTCGCATAGTGCCTCCGACGACGGCCCCTCTCCGAAAGCGTGGCTTGCAATTTCGCCTGTTCGTGCTCATTCTCGAGCTTGCTCGAATCCTGCCCCGCATTGCCGCGTCCGCTTCCTTCAATTCTCACTTTCTCGCGACTCGCGGAGGCTAAGCTCGCCAGAGCAGGCTTTCCAGTGCTACCTGACAGTGTTACCTCTCCTTCTGCCGCGCGTCTTTTGGACCCTCGACGACGTCTCGGCTTCCCATCGTCCTCACGCGCGGATGACCTCTGCGCCCGTTGAGGATGTTGGGTGCCAAGGAGAAATACCTCGCCATCGCCAAAGTCGGCTAGCCTGGGCTCATCGTGCTTGCTGGAGTTCGATTCTGCCCATGCCTGCGCATTCCTTGGCACACGGGCGATTTCCCGCGTGTAGGTCCGAGGATGAGGCGAGGTGGCTTCGCTGGGATGTAGGAGGTCCGACAAGGGGTTGTAGTTGGACATGTACCACCTTGAGGTATCGAGAGCGTCGCAAGTCTTCTCCTCCGAGAGCGAGTCATGCGAGCTAGAGGTCAGCATGACTGTCGGAACGACGAGCGGAGTCGATCTGGTAGAGGTTTGCCTTTTGCTGCGCCTCTGCTCGCTCGGTCCAAATTCAGAGGCGTCGATGATGCACCACTCTTTCTCGTCCTTGGCTCCACAGCGTTCCTGGCTCGTCGAAGAGAGATGATCAGGCACATTTGAGAATGCGCCATCCTTGTCCACTAGCAGCCATTGCGAGGAGCTAGACCTGCAGACGGACTCTCTCGCTGGTTCAGAATGCTCCCTCACGCCCAGGCGTGGCGACTTAAGTAGTCCACCAGAGATCCGCTTTCTCAGCGTTGGCTCCTGCCTTCGCTCTTTCGGTTCTGCGCACCAAGTCGTGGAAAGCCGTTGCATATCCACAGCAAGTCTGCTTGTAACCTCGCTTGCGTTCCCTTGCTTTGCGTTCATAGTCTGACCGGTGCTGTGGGCGCTATTGAAATGCTTCTCTTGCAACGGAGACCACATCCTACTCAGCTTTCTTCGCTTCGGAAGGCGTTCGGGCTGAGTCGAGTCTGGTGTTGACGGCATCACCAAACCGGCGATGACGCTGATCAGGTCCTCATCTGACAGTCGGGCGTTGACCAGACCTGCCCGGCTGCCATGCGGATGCTGTTCTTGGGCTGACATGGGCACTTGCGACTCTGTTGGAGCTGTGACGTGGGCAGGATGCTGAAAGGCAAGAGAAATGAAAGGGAGCCGAACGGCCGGGTTTCTGATTAGCGGTCGGATGAGCGGTCCAGGCTGATGATGTGAGTCAATCGCCAAGCTTGGAAGGTCTACGACGGAAGGTTAAAGGTCTGCAGTGATGACCCAAAGGGTCTGCGATCCGGACTACGTCCGCCGTGCACCTGACTCGACAATGGCAAAACCACAGAGAAAACTTTCCATTGCAAAGCGAGGCACGGCCCTGCGAACGGCACAAAGCCTTGGATGTTACGTGTCGATGCGAGAAGACATGCTGATCGACACGATATGCAATCTCATCACACTTGCCTGCCAACTAGCTGATGCCAGCCCCCCCCCCAAATTGGATGGCTCGTGCCGGAAGTTCCACACCTTTGAAGAGCACGAGGATCTTCGATGTGCTTTGAAGCTTTTTTCGAAGATCGGCATGCAAAAGCGCGTCGCGCTATTCACATTCGCCACTCTGGACGATCATGTTTTGATCGATTGGTGGTTTATCCGAAGGGCGTGGGAACGGAAGCGCCGTCATGCAGCAGATGAGACATCACGTGGTCTTTGCTGGGTACGGCCACGACTTCTCTCAGGACGCGCCCGCAGCGTCGCGCTATAGAAGTTCCCATTTGACCTTGACCTCTGTCCGCTCCCAACTTTCGAAAGCAAGTGTGACAATCGCATTTGCAAAGCACGAGCTGATCTGCAGTCATCAAGAAATTCGAGGACAGGGATACAGAGGTGCGGGTGTCATTCATTTGGGGGATGGCAAGCGCTGCTTGTCGAAACATTTGATCTGCGAGAAGATCTGGCCCTGTCGATGACATCGTTCCTGACCCACGGCGGCGCGTGCACGACACCCTCCTGCAAAGTGCTTGCTTCTCCGCGTTGCCCATCCATCCACCCGGACAGATTTCAAAATGCGGGGCTCCGCAAATCGAAAGGCACACCGGAGATCTGTACAGTTCAGATCTCCGAAAGCGCATCTCGCACTTTGCGAAGATTGGATGCAGCATGCTGGCAAGTCGATCGCTTGGAAGCCAAATTCTGCGAAGATCACCGGCGCTAATGCGGATGCATGTGAAGAACGCGTTGTCGGAGGTCAGGTGTTTGTCGGCGGGGGACATGCGCAGGCACTCATCATCCGCTCTCGTCAAACATCCTTACCAGATCCCGATGCTGCTTCTACGTAACTTGCCGATGCTCACCGAATGCCTGCCGCCTTCGAGCTTTTTCGGATGCCAAGTAGCAGCACGGACGATAGCCGGACTGCCAAGGTTCTGAGCCAAGGGCGATCTCGACCCCGCAAGTTGGGCAAGCCCATCTCCGACTTACCCCGCAGTACGTTCCATCCTTGCATCGTTCAAGCTTGTTGCTCCGAAAAGGAGGCAAGCAATGATATTGATGATGTCTACTCACGCCCATGGGCCAGACCGACAATCCTCATCCACCCAAAGCGGTTTTGCATAGGCACGAGTCCGACAAGTACAAAAGGCTTGATCTATCCCAGATATTCAAGACAAATCGTCTGGCACCGCACTTCCACCCAATTCATCTCAGTCCATAGCAACTTCTTGGCCCCCCCTTGCCCAACATGCCTTCTCTCTCACAGATATCCTCCCTCGTGCCGCTGGCCATGCGCGCACTTTCGCAATCTGGCATGGGCATCGACACTCCAGTCATGGGATACAAGTGAGTCGCAACAGTGCAGTGCGACAGTGGCTATCGCTGACCACTGCTAGCCCTCAAAGCTCCTACAATGACGTCCTCTGCTCGCCAACGGGTGCCCACATGTCCGAAACCATCGATGCGCTCGTCTCACGAGGCTTTCGCGATGCTGGCTACAAATTCTTCCAAATCGACTGCGGCTGGCAATCCCTCAACGGCACGCGGGGCTCCATCAATTCCTTTGGCGCCATCGATTACGACCAGCAGAACTTTCCGCAAGGCATCCGTCCCATCTCTGACAAAGCTCGTCAGAACGGCTTCACATTCTCCATGTACTCTGATGCGGGAGTGAGGTCCTGTGATACCATTGTACCTAGCAAGCGTCTGGGAAGTTATGGCCATGAAGCCGCAGACGCCAAGCAATTCGCTGACTGGAATGTCGAGTATGTCAAATGTGAGTCAGGCAAGCCTCTTCAGAGCCTGCTCATATCCACCACCTTGTTCGCTTACCTGACACCATCTGTTACCGACGATCTAGACGACTACTGCTATCCCGACTCTCCCGACCCTTCCAACAATGCACCCAAGGATCCCCGCAGCGACTTCGTCGATCGGTACCGAACCATGTGGAACGCACTGCAATCCAACAAGATCTATCGAATGCTAGTGTGTCAATGGGGAACACCGTTCCGCTCTTCTTCGGGAAACTTGCAAGGTCCATCTCAATGGACCGATCCCGTCTCCACCTCTTTCCGCCTGTCGGACGACATCAACAAAGACTGGGCCGCAGTGACTCGAATCATCAATCAGTCCATCCACATTGCCAATTCTGGCATCACGGGCAAGGGTCACTTTGCCGATGCTGATATGTTGGAAGTGGGCGCAAAGGAACTCACGATTGATGAGCAAGCTTCTCACTTCGCTTACTGGGCAATGGCAAAGTCTGCATTGATGATCGGCAGCAACGTCGCTAGCATGCCTGATGCTTCTCTGCGCATTCTGCAGAACAAAGCGCTGATCGCCATCAATCAAGATGCTCTAGCAAAGCCCGTCAAGCTCGTACAGCGATGGACTGGCGATCGCGACCTGTTCAGAGGTCCGCTGCAGAATGGAGACGAAGCGGTGCTGCTTCTCAACTTGCGCAATCAAGCCAGAAACGATCTGAGCATCGACTTGGCCAAGTCACTCGGTATTCGAAGCGCCACCATCGAAAATTTGTGGACCGGTCAAAAGAAGACGGGCGCGATGGGGGTGTACTCGGTCGGTAGTTTGGGTGCTCGAGGATCTGCGCCTCTTCGACTGAGCAACATTCAGCGCATCGCCACACCCAACGTTGAGGTGATCTGGAGCGAAGCTGAATCTGCCTCGTTGAGCGGCGGCGCAAGCTCGGCTTCTTGCTCCGGCTGCTCTGGAGGTACAAAGGTAGGCAACGTAGGTAATGGAGGCGCAGTGACTTTCAAGAACGTCGTAGCAAAGAGCACCACGTCTACGCTCCTTTTCGACTACATCAATGCCGACATCGGTTATTTGGCAGGTCAAGGTCAAAATGCTAGGAGCTTATCCATCTCCGTCAATGGTGCAGCGGCACAAAACGTCGATTCTGCCCATCAGCGGATACGATTGGAGCGCTGATGTGGCCAAGAATTTCAGAGTGGAATTAAAAGGTTTCAAGCAGGGCAACGGCAATACCCTGACACTATCCAACCCTTCCAGCTTTGGCCCGGACATCGATAGGGTCGGTGTCATACAAGCCTGAGCTTCGTTCCGCAATGTGCAATTCAATCCAATTCAGCAGATCGTCGCATCATCTCGCTCTTGAATTTTCTTTGCTGCCCCCACCTCTCCCCCCCCCCCCCCCCCCCCCCCCCCCCCCCCCCCCCTTCCCCGGGGAGCATGTGCTTCTCGTTCTTTTAAGCGCGATGCTCGAGACTTTTTGAGATGCTGACACCCTGCATGCGCGGGTATCGCTCTGACAGCTTTTCGTCGAGCAAGCCGCGCATTCATGTGACGTATGCGCAGCAATAGGGCCTCTTCCCCCTCGCCCCACCATGTACGGAGGGGCAAGGGCAGAATTGTCGCATTGATGTTTGTTCACGACACCGTAAAGGCATGATCGCGCAGAGAAGGTCGACAAGCGTGTCCGCTCGTCAATCAGCGCGGCAAGCAAGGAAGCCAGCCGCGGGTCAAACATCACTGTGAACCTGGCCGCCCTCTCAGCGAGGCGCTTTTCACGAGACACTCAAGACGATGCTGATCCTTCAAAGGACGCTTTACTGTCAATCTAGCAGGGTCCTCTTCACTCGAAATACGCGCAAGTACACTGGCGAGTTTCCGCCTTCGTGAGTAGGACAACAAGCTTGTGGAGGGAAAAAGAGTTTGATTGATCTACGTGAGCGACACGTCTTCTTTTTGAAAAATGATGGCTGGGTAGAAGACGGTGAACCGAGCAGTGTTCTAGGCAGTGACGGCGTGCAAAGAAGCCGCAAGGTGACCAACATTGTGCTGTACAAGAGACGAGCAAAGGGGTATTTGAGGAAGCAGGGGTCAGCTCCTTCACGTACACAGCCGCCGCGCAAGCCAACAAGGCGGCGCGATTGAACCAGAAGCTTGTGCGCGCGCAAAAAGATGCAAGACCGGGACTCACGGGAGTGATGCCTGCAACGCTGATACGCCCATCCTTGGTCAGGTAGACGTGATGCTCGCTGATGAGCTTTGCGACTTGTTCAGGCGAGACTGTCGTTTGCAAATGGAAAGGCAATGTCAAGCAAACACAGGCAAAGAGCGAGAATGCGAAAGCGAGGCGTGATGATTCTGTGAGCCAAAAGCACCAGCGCCTCGACATGACGATCTACTCACTGCCGAGGAAGGCAAACATGCCGATTTGGTTGGCTGAAAGGGGGCGGGGGGGCACAAATGGGATTGATACAGGTTTGGGAGAATGTCAGAGTCACGAGTGCCGTGAATACGAGCCTCATTCGACCTGGTCGCCAGCGCTGTTCATCCCACACTCGTGGTCACGCCTGAGCACACGCGAAAGAATTCACTCACTGATGTGGTCCCAATTCTTCTTGGATCCGTGCTCATTGACCAGCAGACCCTTGAGTTCGGACCTCATACCGTTGATCCTATCAGCCATACCCTTGACCTCCTTGAGCCTGCGAAGTGTTGGGCAGAGCAGCTGTGATCTCAGCGGAGTTGTAGCGATTGGAAGCGCTCCCGCTCCAGGCTGTACTCAGACTTACCAGTCCCCGTAAAGGCCATCGTCCGCGAGAATCGTGCCAGCAATTCGCGCACCGTGCACAGGTGGGTTGGAGTAGAGGGGTCTGACTACGATCTTGATTTGGCTGTCCACTCGTGCCTTCTCGTCTGCGTCTGCAGTGACCAAGGAGAAAGCGCCCACTCGTTCTCCGTACAGACCCATATTCTGCGCGTCAAAGGTTGCGTACACGAAAGGGAAGAGGGTCAAGTATCAGCCAAGTTTTTTTGAACGATTCGACAGCTTGAGCTACATCGTACCAGGGCTGATGTGCACGTGTTTGCACTCCAACTCCATGAGACTCACCTTGGCAAAGCTCTGACTAAGAGCGATCTGATGACCCTGCTCCACAAAGTACCGGACAGCAAAGGCGTCCCTATCGATGTCGCCGCTTGCAAAGCCTTGGTAAGCCATGTCAAAGAAGGGAAAGTGCTCCTTTTCCTTGATGACGTCGGAGATCTGTTGCCAGTCTGATTGCGTTGGGTCCACGCCTGTTGGGTTGTGGGCACAAGCGTGCAGCAGAATGATGGATTTGGCTGGGGCGGCCTGCGAAAAGGAACAAGGCGGTAGGGAAGTGAGGGAGATGAATGTCTGGTGAGGCGCAGCAACAGCACGACCAGACCAGAGACAGAGCATGCGCTCACCTTGATATCCTCGAGCAGACCCTTTAGGTCGAGTCCCACAGTCTGCTTGTCGTAGTACCTGTACTGCTTGACTTCCAATCCCGAATCCTTGAAGATCGGAGTGTGATTTCCCCAACTAGGTGTAGGCAAGTAGATGGATTTAGAGTGCGGATAATGTCTAGCCAAGAATTCTCCTCCGATTCTCAAAGCACCAGTGCCGCTGATGCTCTGCGTAATGGCGATTCTGCCTTCCTTGAGCGGCTTGCTATCCTTTCCGTACGCCAACTTGGCAGCATTGGCGGTGAAAGTGGCCAAACCCGTGATGGGTAGGTATTCCTTGTCGCTGAGAGAGGCCAAGACTTTTTCTTCTGCTTTGCGAACCGAAGGCAATACGTAAGGTTTGCCATTCTCGTCCCTGTATGCGCCTACACCAAGATTGATCTTTTTGGAGGATTGGTCAGCTTTGAAAGCTTCCGTCACGCCTAGAATGGGGTCAGGTGGACCAGCCTTGACGTTGGCCCAAGTGCTGGACAAGCGAGAAGCGGTGGGCAGGCTGCTGCTGCTGATGCTGATGGCCGCCGTGCGGGGCAGGGCGGCGGAAGGCGTTGCGCAAACGCTTCGGATTGCTCCGCGCATGGCGGTGGTGCGTGCAATCGACATCATCTTGGCAATCACGAATGCAACGATCCAGTTGGTGGTGTTGTAAGTGTGTAAGATGATGAAGGTTGTGCGAGTGGAAGGGGATCCGGAGTGAAGTGCGAGTGAATGATGACTCCTCCGAGCGAGTCACACACTTTTGACTGCCAAGTCCATCCCATCATCCCATTCAAGATTCCCCCGCGCTGACGCCAATCCGAACTGAATCACCGTGTCCTTCGCGCGCCTTGCAGCCAGGCCCTGCACGCGCATCAGTCACAACTAAGTCACGAGTAGTCTGAGTCACGAGTCAGCACTGCATCGCACCGCACCGCCGCAAAGGCTGGTGATGCTCAGATCAGACAAAGTCACAAGCGCGAATCACGAATGCGTGGCAAAGCATCATGCAGCGTCCAGCCCACTGCCGCATTCACGCCGGATCTCGGATCTTTTCGCTCCCCTCTATATACGCATACGCGCGTGTTCCAGTGAGTCGCGAGTGCCACTCGACTAGATTACAGAGGCGAGTGGGGAGCTTTGCGCAGGTGTACGTACGCACACGACGGTCGGTCATTCACGATTATTCGAATCTTGTTTGGTTCATGTCCTCTGTCCTTACGTCGCTCCAGGCGAGGCCAAAGCAGACATGTCCGAGGCGTACAGCAGGGCTCACAGCTCCACTCAAGACTCTTGACTCTTGACTCCAAGAAGATTGCCGAGTGGTAGCGCACGGAAGCCTCCGGGGCGTTCTCGTCAGCTTCTCACCACGTGGACAGCGGGCTGTGTGTGGAGTCTTGAGTGTTTGAGATGGGTCACGTGATAACGTTACCTTCACTCGGCCGAGAGAAGTCCACCTCTATCCATCATGCACGTCGATGCGTCCCTTTAAGCTTCCCAGCAGCATCAGCGAGCAGCAGCCAAGCAGGATGGACGCATGTTTGGGATGTTGGATCTAACAACTGCTATCTCAATCAAATGCAAGCAAAACCATCACCATCGTCTCTTGAGCGAAGGGGTGCAAATCAAGAAGTGACCGAGAAGCGCGCATCGAGTGCGAGTGCGGGATCAAAAGGACCAACGCTGAGCAGAACAGCTTCGACAATCCAAAGCGTTGCGCGAGGGTGCACACCCAACTAGCTGACCCGAAACCCCATCTCTTCGAGCCCGCAATCCCCATTGCCTGACTTTGAAAGATGGCCGCAAAAAACGGTACCTCCAGCTCCTCCACATCAGTGCTGGCTCCTGCCGACTTCTACGTGCGGTACTACATCGGTCATCAAGGCAGGCATGGACACGAATGGTTAGAGTTCGAATACAACAGGGGAAGATTGAGATATGCCAACAACTCGAATTACAGAAATGATAGTTTATTGAGGAAAGAGAGTGAGTTGGAACACAAGCATGACTCGAGGATGGGGCAGGGATCGATAGCAAAGGCAGAGCAGATCCTTCATCACGTCCAGAGGGATGCACCTTGGGGTATCTTGCAGGATGGAGGAGGCGCGGAGAGGCGGAGGGGCGATGCACGAGCTACACAGCGCGCTGCGAATTGCGGACGTGGTCGCAGCAATGACTGGACTCTCTCTCTCGTCTGCTATGAGGTAAGTCAAGCTGAACAATTTCTCCACGCGCTTTTTCCGACGCAGTGTGGGTCTCACCGTTGCTCATCACGGAGCTCAAGAGACTGGTAGAGGATAGCGAAATCATGAAGTGAGGGCCACAGAGCTGTATCCGCATAGCATAGGCCACCCGTATGGTCCGTCGCTCACGTCTGTGCGCTCTTGCCGCGTGCCCCTCTGCAACTTTAGGGAAGACGATGCGAAGTGGCCCAGGAAGAACCAGTTGGGCAGGCAAGAGTTGGAAATCAGGTTGGGTAATGAGCACATCTCTTTCGAAGTGAGTCAAGAGCATTCCTGAAGCTTTCGCAAGTCGCTAATCCCATGAACATCGCACTGCTCTGATGGCATTGTCTTGTGGTAACCAAATTCGTAGACTGCAAAGATTGGCTCGTTGGTGGATGTGCAAGACTCGGAGGATCCGGAAGGTCTGAGGGTATTCTACTACCTTGTTCAAGATCTCAAGGTGAGTGTTGCTCCTCCACACAAGGCTCTACAAAGAGGCTCTCTGCTCGACTCGAGCGGACTGTCACATCTGACCTGTCTCGACACTTCCCATTGACTTCTCGCCCCTCGCGCTGCAGTGCCTCATCTTCAGCTTGATCAACCTGCACTTCAAGATCAAGCCAATCTGAGCGGCGTTGTCAGCGCACAAAGTCTGGCTTTCGAGGCAGCTCAGCAGCTCTGCCACATCTCGACGAATAGTTGCCATCAAATCGGGGCAAGCGAAGAGATTGGAGAGCATGCGTAATGAATCACACTTCTCTGCCCAACCTGACTAGACACGATTGTGAAGCGTTCCATGGCCGAGCGCAAGTCACCTTCTCTACCTGCCTTTGAGAAGCGCACGTGCTTGTCTTGTCCTGCGCGCGTGTGTCCCTGTTGGCGCAAAATTTTGCAATTGGTACTTTTGCTCTGAGCATCGAAGATGACGTCGCTTGCCGAGACATCGCTTCGCATGCAAGGCTTTGCAAGGTAGAGCGCAATTTGAGCAGCCGCGGTCCCGCCCCCCACTTCTCACGCAAAGCCTCAACAAAACGGAAAACCTTCTGTCAGGGCCAAAAAAGGGATGGCGGAGAAATTTTTCGAACTCCTGATTAGGCCCTCGATGTGCCCCTCCATCCCGCCGCCCCCATGCTCAAAGTCCCCAATTTGAGCGCGACCGCGACCGCGAGTCCATCCTAGCGATGTGCCCCCCTTGCGCGTCGTACGACTCGAACTTGCCAATGAATTGGCATCCTTCAGCCTTCGCGCCAACACAGGGCTCTTGTTTTCCTTTCCCCCTTGGCCTCCCCAACCACATCTTTGCCATCCCCGCCAAATCGTTGCCAAAGATTCGTAGCGCCTCGCACTTCTCCAGCCTGCCGTCAGCGAACACTGCATCACGCAGACATGCCGAAGCATGGACAAGACAAAGTGACAAGCAAGCGAGAAGGGGAATGCAAGGGATCGTGGAATTTATTGGATCGATCGTGGTGGAGGTAAATGGTGGAACGAAGGGGCACGCATGACAAGGTGAACGGGCGCGCGCGGTCGGGAGTTCTAGCGACGGTTGCACCGATGCGTAGCGCCCATTTTCGACCAGCTGCCGTCCGAGTGCAGGTCAAATCCAGCGGCTTGGAACTACTACTCAAGCAATAGCACCCAGGACCAAATTGACGGCGCTCTGATCCTGAGCGCGTATAGCCAATTCCAGAATGACGCCTTCTCCACTCTTGAAGCTCATCCTCGCTCTCACGAGCGTATTGAGCGGTCCCTTGGAGCTGACGACGTATCCGCTCAGGTTGAGCGTGTGCACAGAGGTCGACGTGGGCGTCTCGCTTCCCCCCAGTGGTTGCATACCCAACAGCTCTATCAGCGTCGTGCACGCATCTAGACATGATCAAAGCAAAGCATCAAGCCCCCAAGGTCAGTGAATTCGCAGACAGCGTCGGGCCGCTCTGAGCGCGCAGGCCTCACATTCCAGACTCACTTTGAAGCCCATCTAACGCGGTTAGGGCAAAAGTCTCTGTAGCGCTCGTGCCACTCTTTCCCAGCTCTTCCCACTCCTTTGCAAAGTCCGCGTACCTCTCCGACACGTAATCCGCCACTCCCAACTCCAAATCCTCGGTCTGGTACTCATCGTCGTAGCCTTCCTCTTCCGCTTCTCCCGTACTGGGGTCCACTTCCCTAGATTGAAACTTGAGCGTGTTCGACAATGTTCCCTGTGCATAATTGTCACCTTCTTGCTCTGCTTCTTCAGACGGGAGTCGTGTAAAGGAGACGTACACCCGGCCAGTCGGATTGGAAGCGTCCAAACGAGCAGCCGGCAAGATAAAGTCCTCCTTCAGCCCAATCTCGTTGTTCCCATTCACAACCACCGCAACATTGTCCAGCAGTGTGTCTGGCAACGTGTTCGTCACATTGTATTGCAGCACAATGTGATCTTCAAACACGTGCTTGACGGCATTGACGACGTACTCCGTCTCTCGTTCCGTCAGCTCCACAGCTTTGACGGAAGACTTGAGCAGCTTGCCGTACGACTTGAACTCGGCAACGTTGGCCAGCTCCCGAGCGTAGATGGATGTGGCTTCCGCAGCAGTCGCACCAGCTGCCGGTCCGGACGCTGCGGTGGAAGCAGCGAGCGCTGCAGCCGCTGCGCCAGCTTTGCTCGTGCTGGGACCATCAGCAGCCATGGCGACCTTGCTAGCAGCTTCGTTCTTGGCTCGCAGCGCTTCTTGTCTCGTCTCCTCCCTCGTGACTCTTGGAATGCTGGAAGCATCGAATCTCTTGGATCCGGAGGCAGATGGATCTCTGACATAGTTGCTGAGCGATTCTTCGAGCGCTTCCAGGCGGAACATGCTATTGTCCTTGACCAATCTCTCGGCCAAGTGTTCCTGACGCAGAACGCGCAGATTCATGGCTGCGCGGTCGCGCACCTCGTCATCGACGTCGTCCAAGCAGCGCTTGAGCAGCACAGTGATCCGGTCAACCAAAGCCTTCTCTGCTCCCTTGAGTCCAAATTTGGCCAGAGCGTTGACAGCAGCAGCTCTGACAATGGCGTTTTCTAGGATGACGCGATTGTAAATGTAGCGAATGTACCTTTGTGGTTGAGGCATCCTTGGACCTTCAATGCCGAGCAAGTGCAGGATCCTGACCGAAAGCTTGGTGAATTCGCAGTCCTCGATGAATTCGCAGAGGTGCGCCAAAGCGGACTCTTTGCAGTCTCCGATGAACTGGATCATATCAAAGATGGCCTCCACCACGGCTCTCTTGAACTCGTACCCGCCTTCGTCGCGTAGCACGCCAGAGAGGAATGCCAGCATCGTCGTCTGCTTGGCCGGGAACTTCAAGCACAGACTGCGGATCGCGTCGACGACGATCACTTTGAATTCGTCGGTGATTTCGGCCATAAAGCTGCTGATCTGCTTCATGAGCCTGTCCACGCTGGCCTCGTTGCCGGTCTTGAGTAGCGTGGTGATGGCGTAGGTAGCTACGCTGCGGTTGGAATCTGTGATCAGATTCTCCATGTCCACATTGCACTGCTGCACAGCCGCTGGCTGTGTCTGAGCCAGTTTGGCCAGAGTCCTGATGGCGGCGAATTTCAGGGTGGACTTGGGGCTAGACAAGAAGAGTTGAAGGACGGCGATGGATCGGCTGAGCTCGACGGAGGTCAGACCACGCATTTCGCAGATGGCGCGAGCTGCTTCGTAGTTGACCATGTCTGACTTGTGGCGCAGCCAGCCATCGAGCAGCTCGACCATTGGAGCGCGCAAGTTGGGATCATCTTCCGCGACCTTGGCTGCATATCGAACAAGCATGCAGATGGCAAAGGGGCTTCTAAGAGGGCTGACGGATCCTCCGCGACCGCCGCTTGCACCGGAAAGCTGCTGGATGAGCTTGGTGACCGCCATGCGGTCGCCCTGACGGATGAGGTAGAGCAGACCAACGGCGTGGTACTGTGTGATGTTGCTGCTGCTGGGGATGGGCTGGTAGGCGCTCTGAGCGGGAGTGGGTTGGGAAGAGGCACCCCAGCCCAGGTAGCTGCCAGCTCCGCCAAAACCACCACCGCCGCCGCCGCCTCCGATTGCAGCTGCTGGCTTGATGGTGATGGCATCTTGAGCTTCGTTGCCCCACCTGCGCACCACTTCGCGCGCTGCGACGTGCAGCTGGTAGGCAGAGACCAGAGCTGCAGATGCGATGGAGGTGTTGCGATCGACGATGGCAGACTTGAAGAACCTCTCGAGGCCCTGCACCATGGATGGCTGTCAAATGCGACCAGACCGGTAGACATCAGCAATGATAGTCGATACAAACCATGCGGATGCTGTAGGCTGATGAGCTACGACTCACGTCTACGACCCTAGAGAGTGCGCGAATGGCATTGGGTCGGTAGATGACCTCTACGTTTGGTTGCATGTCCTTCATGATGGATGCCGTGACCATGATGGTATCATCTGCGTGCGGACAGAGCTCCTTGATCGCGAGATACACCATCTGCCTCAGAGCGGGCTGTGCGGCGATTGGGGTGGAGAGAGAGAGAGAGAGAAAGCAGGCGGTATCGTCAGATGGGTGCAACGTAGCAGGAGACGGTGCGTGCGGTGCGTGCGGCCGTGAGGAACTCACATCCTTGTGTTGGAAGAGCTTTGTGGCACCAAAGAACAACGTAGTGGCTTCCTGCCTGCTGAAGGTCTCTCCAGTGTATAGCAGATACACGATCTTTGTGAGAACGATGCGACATTTCCGAGGAGAGATGGGCGTCTCGTTGAACACCCTGGCTTCTTGGATTACCGATGTCTACGATGGCGAGGAGGGAAAAGCGTGAAGCGGTCTGAGCTGTACACGCAACGCCTGGCCGTCCCAGAGAGCATCGATGTGATCTCACCTTATCCTGATAGAAGGAGGTGCCTCCCTCTTCGTCCTTTTTGAACGACATGGCGAGCGTCGAGGCAGGGTAGCTCGCCTCAGTCGTCTTTGTGCGGTGGATGTATCAAGTCGCGAAGCGGCAATTTGAGTGGCAGGGCTGCTTACCGCAGTGGAAGGACGTAGTGGCAGACGATCTGGAGCCTAAAAGCAAAGGGCTGTGTCGATTGATGAATGGTGTTGGGAGCGCGATGCGATCGATGACTTGGGGCGAGCAAGGTGCACTGCACCTGACACTCACCCGAGCCCGTGGTGCAACACGCACGGCCGCTGCCCATGGCTGCCTGGCATGCCCTGCCCTGCCCACGATCTCGATCGCACGCCCGCGCGCGCGCCCCGGAGCACGGACGTCGACCCTCGCGTAGCCGGCCACCGCGACCTTCTGCATGCTTGGTGCTTCCAGCGAAGCATCGAGCGTTGGATCGTAGCAGCACGTGACTTGCGAAAATTGCTCGTACGAGTTTTTCAAAGTCATGCGTCCGGCGCGCGCCCTTTCTTCTGAAATTTGGCGCCGCTCGAATCAGATTCACCATTCGATTGTGATTGTGTATGATAGATGTGAATTTTGAATGTGAACCTCAAAATGAAGCGGCTGCGCCGGTCGTGAGTGAATGCCGATGTACGCCGCACCATCTCGCTTTGGCCCTCCTGAATACCGCTTCGTCCATCCCACTTCCCACAACTCAGCCCCGGTCAATCACTCCGACCTTGCACAAAGCGCGCTCTCATTCCGGAAGCGTCCGCCGCATACACTCCTGGCTATGACACTCCGCGTCTTTTCCAGACGCTTCTTGATCCCGGCCAGAGGGGCCAAGCATGCTCGTCGCAGCATCCCCGCCATCTCCTCCGCCGATCGCTGCTTCCACGCTTCCGCACATGATGGCGCACCGGACCATGATGCTGGTCCACGAGAGCAACAACAGGCTCGAGACGGTGCAGTAGCGGAGCAAGCCGTCGCTCCACGCGTCCCACCTCACCTCGCCTTTTTCTCCTCCGCTCAAGCTCGATCTCGCTTCGCCGGCAACTCATCAGCAGAGGGGAGCAGCCGCGGCGATGCGAGCGCGGATGCGAGGATTGATGGGCAAGGAGGCGTCAGACAGCTGGCTGCTGCCTCCAGCTCATCGCTCACCACGCGCGACGCAGCGCGTTTCAGCAAATCGCACCAGCGCTTCATTCAGCCTCCTCACCCGCTTCTGACTCGACTCACAAGCCTTTTGCACAGCGAAACCGGTACGGCAACGAGCGAAGAGGTGTGGAAGGCTTACATCGATCTGCATCTCTTCCACGCCTACGGCGACGCCAACGCATCCACACTCAATCTCACACTCTCTCCCGCTCTGCACAGTCATGCTCTGAGAGCCATGACTCCAGACTGGACGCGGCGCAAGGAAGCGAAGCGAGAGTCGCGCATCACGCGCGACTGGGCTGGCCACGAGCTGGCTCGCTCGGTGGAACAACAGGATCTGGCTGACAGCACTGCACACGCTGCCCGTTCCAACAGCAAGGGCCCGCGCCACTACAGAGACGACCCTCCAGATGCCACCAACTCGCCGTTTGGTCAGGATTCGCAACGCATCACATTCCGCACGTACGAGGACAGGGCCGACTTTGTCTTCAAGCAGATGACGGCGACGTCTAGTCAGCTCGATCTGGATGTCGCACGTGCCGTGCCGTCTTTGCAAGACGTTGCATTTTTCTTGAGCAAAGCTGCTCTCAATGGCAGCATAAACGCCGTGAACAAGGCTTACGGACTGTTCACCTCAAAGTACGCACAGCTCGAAGCGATGCAGGCGCAGAGCAGAGGCATGACGGATGCACATTTCCAGCGCCTTCTTCACGACTCATACAAGTATCTCATGCTAGGGCTGGTGAGGCACGCTGCCAGGGGCGTCAGTCGCTCTCGGCATTCCAATGGCCAATTGCAGCAGCTCCTCCGAGATCAGCAGCCCGCCGATCAGGGTGCGCAAGCCAGCACCGCTTCGAACAATGTGCGGCGAAATCAGGAACGGGCAAGGAGACAAGCTCAGGGTTTTATAGAGCTCAATACTCAGAGAGCGCTGCTGCTGCTCTCCCAGATGCAGAGCAGAGGTTTAACACCGCGTGGAAGGGTCTTGGGTCTCGCCACAAGATGTTTCCGCTACGAGCATGGTCTAACCAAGCTGTACACTTTTGTGCAGACTGCTTTTGGTGTCGATCTGAGGAACTTCGACGATCCTTACGGTCATAGCGAAGGGCGATCAGCGAGTCTGCCGCCGCACACGCTCAACACGATTCTCATGGCACTTGGGGAGCAGAGCACAGCCTCTAGAATGATGGCGACCTACGAGGTGCTTGTGCGGCCACTTCATGTTAATACACTGGCTACACGAGGATCGCCATCGGACGACAGGGGTGCTGCTTCACGCTCCGAAAGCCTCTTTCAGACAGACTTTGCGGGCGTGTTCACATCCCTGAAAGAGCGCGAGCACGCCGAATTGACGGAGATAATTGGGCTCGGAGATACGGATGCCGGGGCCTCCAGCGCACTGCCGGTCTCGTCTCACCCACACTGGTTGCAGCCGACCAACTCCACCTACACCACGTTGCTGAAGTACCTCTGCAGCGCCATCGAGCCATTCTCGGTCGGTTTCGTGCATGCTCGCGGCACAGAGTTGACGAAGGAAGACGAAAAGCGCGCCAAGGGTCACTATGCCCCACTCGCGCGCTACCTGATACGCGAGCAGCTAGATGCGTATCAAGACGAGGTAGTCAAGCTGGCTACTGCTCTTGGAGTGGGCTCGCCTGACTTCGGAGAGGACTTGTCAGACGTTTTGCAGTCTGCGTCCAAGCTGCGCCAGTCGCTCGATGTGCTTGACCAGCGCATCGAAGAGTCCAAAGCTGAGGACGGAGGCGCAATGGGAAAACTGATGCAACGTCGCAAGGGGAGAGAAGAGAAGCTGGAACGCCTTTGCGCCATGCTTGAAGATCCACAAGTCGGATCAGCGACGATCGACGCCTCAGAGCCGGAGTCCCAGGATGTGAATCTCCGACTTGCGGCCCTGCAAGGCACGCAGCTCATGCCTGTCCTCTTTGCCACGCCTGCCCTCTTTTGGAGCTATGCGGGTATGGCATCCCACCTACGTTCCACCTACGAGATGAGTTGGCTGGTGGACCAAATCGGATGGGCGCTGTATATTGCGAGAGCGCACCGCAACGTGCTTCGAGCTGCGAGCGAACGCTACTCTGCTCTGCGCGCGCATGTGCGATCTTCAAGCGTCCTGCTCGAAGGAGTCCAGGGAGCCCAGGTCTCTGCAAGGAATTTGCGAGCCCTGAATAGTCTCCTACACGATGTGGAGAGGACGATGGATGATCTGACTGGTCGGATCGAAGCGCTAGAATCGGAAGAGGCGCAAAGAACAGCGAGATTGATCAGCTTGAGGCGCCGAAGAAGGGTGAATCAGATCAAGAGGTCTTTGGTCCACTCGCACGAGAGGGAGCTGGAGCGAAAGAGGGTGGAATGGGCAGAATTGAGCAGGAAGGAGAAGCAGGAGAGCGAGAGGATCAGGCGCGAGCTCGGGGGAAGCATCGGGGGTGCAAGTCGTGCTGGATCTGTGGATGGAGATGAGCAGGCAATTGTGGAGGGTCGATTGAGGAGCGCATAATCGATGTGTACACTTCATAGCATGCAACGCGCAGCGAGAGAGATTCAAACAGGGTGCGAGCGTGCTTACGAAGGAGCATGAATTTCGTTTTGATTTTCCAGCGTTCGATGCGCTGTTGCTCAGGTCCGCCCGCCTTGAGTCACGTTCGAGCAAGCGGGATCGACCGACTGTCTGCAGAGGGACACGAAAACGAAATGCGCTCTTCGCTGCAGCGTACTCTTGTCCACTGATCGCACGGGGAGAAAGGAAAGAGATGCGACAGCGAGAGCGAGGTATTGCCATTTAAGAAGAGGACAGATGGCAAATTGACTACTCAAGGTAACGTGACATTGGCTTGCGCCGCCATTTGAGGGTGAACGTGGTTGGTGTCATTGGATGCGCCATTCGACGTTTGATCTGCGGCAGCTTGTAGCGCGCCCACCTCCGCTTCGCCACTGGGAGCGGTGTTCGGAACTGCCGGAACACGAGCCTCGTCGCGATCAATCCGCATAGCCTCTGTCTTTCCGTCATGTCTGACGGGGTCGCTTGCGGGCGCACTCGACTTGGCGCGCTTGTCCTCCCTCTTCTTTTGCCGGCCAGAATCGGGATCAGGCTCTCGAGGCTCTGGCGGCACGTCGGGTACCACCAGCCTTCCGGCTTTCCAGCGAGCTCCGCAGGCATTGCAAAGCTGGGAGGGACCCGATGGACCTCTTCTCCACATAGGGGTGACGAGAGTGCCACACGCACCGCACGATTTCCTGCTACCATCGGGATTATGCGTAGCGACGTGCCTCTTTCGCTTCGGGCCAGCGACTTTGGATTGTGGGCTCGCAAAAGTGGGATCTAGACTTGCGTCCAATGGCACGTCGACAGCCTCAAAGGTGACATCATTGGTATCTCCGCTAAGCCGAGGTATCTTTTTGGCTTTCGGACTTCCTTGAGGTGCTTTGCTATCGCCGACGTCGGTCACATCTTCGGGCCCTGATGGCGCTGTCGCAGAGGCTGTCTTGCGCTTTGGGATTGGTCGAGCAGTCAAGACCTGGACTTTGACTCCGAAACGGTCTGAAAGATGCTCTTCCATCCCCGCGGGCAGCATGGCGCTCGGAACGTCAATGGCGGGTTGCGCATCTTCGTTGGCAGGAGGTAGCATTTCGTACTGCAGCATCGAACGGCAGCTCATACTGGTCAGCGCAAGTACTCGAGGCGGCCTCCATCAACCCGAATGACTTACCAGGTGCTCAAATTGCTTCTGAGTGAGTGCATTTGAACTGTGCTTGAGGCCCACTCCTTCCTTGCTGGTGCCGGCGCTGGAGCTTTTTCGTTCAAATTCCTCTTGCGGTGCTTTGAAGCCTTGTTTGTCTCTCGTGACGCACCCCTCCACCCGGCCAAACATCTCCCAGAGAGGCTGCGTGATGTCGACGGGTGAGCTGCCGGGCGCAATGTCTGCTGCATGGCCAGACAGCCGCCAAGTGATTGGGTACCGAGTCTGGGACCGATCCGTAGTCGATACCGCTCCTGAGGACCTGGTCGACATGGTCGCGTTGGTACCGGTCGCGCTAACGTCCTCCGCGGCCGACGCCGAGACAAAGGCATCTGCTCCTTGCACCGGTGCCCAAAAGCTGACGACAACATTTCGCGCGCGGTCCAGCAATTTGTTGCGTTCAGCCGTTCTAATAATTGCGCCTCCTGCGGAGGTTTCCGCTGTCTCTTGCAACGCTTCCCTCCGCTCGACGATCACGTCACCCCAAAGCGGCAAGATGAACCTTGCAGAAGGGTTCTCTCTGAATTCCACCACTAAAATGGGCGGAGATGGCAGCTGGGACGCCGCGGGAATGATTGCGTGGCTGCTGCCTGCGCGATCTGAGTTGCTCGAAGCTCCACCCATGTGTTCAGATGCTGGACGCGAAGATGCTGGCTGGTTGTTTCCTGCGCTCGTTGCCTGCGGTGCTGCTGACTTGGACGCACTGACAGGCAAAGCAGCTGCAGGTCGCGTCAGACTCGCAGGACTTTTTGTGGTGTCTTTTAGCGTTTTGGAGGGCGAGGCAACATACGCAGAGGCAGAAGTGGCGGCTCCAGGCACGCTCTGTGCAGATTTGGAGTGGGATTTGTCGGTCTGGACACTCTGCTGCGAGGGAGGCATGGGGTTCAAGGGGCTCTGAGCGGCGGGAGCTGCGACTCTTGAAGAAGCGCTTCCAGGCGGCAGAGGCTTGGGAGGCTGTCCCTCTTGACCGCCGCGGCTGTTTGCTGTGCCTTTCTGCGTGCCTGTCACAGCTCCGGTAGTGGACGCAGGAGCAAGAGAGGCCGGACGCGGCGCACTAGCGTTGGCAGAAGGAGCTGGTTTCGCCCTCTCACTGCTCGCTACCGGCTTGCTCGTGGACGCCGGAGCCGCAGATGAAGGGGCATTGTCCGCAGGCCTCCGAGAGGTGCTGGTGCTACTGCTAGCGTTTCCGGAAGTGGGCCCTTCGATGGACACACCTTCGCTCCTCAACTCCTTCCTCACCCCCTCGATCCACTTTCCCAGCGTCTGAAGCTCGCTTGGTGAGGCTTTACCCGACGCAGCCACTTGCAGAAGCTTTTGAAGCGCTGGATCCTTGGCTGCTTTCTGATTGACGCGCGTAACTAGCAACGGCGAGATGGCGGCACGTGGAGAGGCAGCAGTGGAAGTCTTGGTTGTCGATGCAGATGCAGGGGCGACGCCTGCAGAGCTCGCTGTTGAGCTCACAGCCGCTTTTGGGGCAGCTTGGGGTGGTTTAGCAGGTGATTTGGCAGGAGGGAAAGAGCCTCGCTGTGGAAGAGGTGACGGCTGGTTCAGTGACTGCCTTTGCTGACCAGATCCAGAGCGTTCGGCCGGTATGCCACGCGCATCTTGCGGAGCTGTCTTCTGTCCCTGGGAAGGTGACCTGGGTACCAATGTAGCTGCAGAGCTAGTTGATGCGGCATCCTTGATGGGGCTCTTGGCCGACTTGTCCGCCGCAGCCTTGGCATTGCCCTGTGCAGCTGATGGCTTGTCTTTGGCACTCTTCTGGCCTGAAGTGGGCAGAGAAGCCTTTTTTCCTTGGACAGAAGAGTCGGCGCGAGGCTTTTCCGAGTGACCGCTTGCGTTGACGATCGAGCTACTTGGGGCTGCAGAAACCGTAGCTGATGCTTCCTCTCTGAGCTCCCACAGTTTACAAGCGACAAAGACAAGAGGCCCTACCCGAACATCAGCCCTACCAAGTGGCACCAACTCAACTTTGGGTGGTGATGCGAAGGATGTGGTGCCGGAAGTAGATGCATCGTGCGAATGGGCAGGAGCGGCATGTGGACGCGGGACGATGCCTCGAGGTAGGGCGATGGTGCAAGGATAGTGCAAGCCTGAACGCTGCCGTGTGCTGTACACGGGGAGCAGACTGGTCAGATGCTGCAGACGAGACTGTCGCAGGCACTGATGAAGCGACAGACTGCGCAGAATCACAAGACGAGGTGTCAGAAGAGTGAAACGGAAAAGGGGGGCCCATGAAAGTTGCGCGGTGCGGAAATGAAGCTCTTTACTCACCCTCGAGGCAGATCGCTTGGCTGTGGAGATGCTCGATCGTTTTGGGCTGCGGTTGCGTCTGCGTCTGCATCTGCATCTGCCTCTGCCTCCTCCTTCGATTCGCTCTGTTCCAGCCTGCGCCTCTTGCGATGATGTGCCTGGCTGCTGCGCCACTCTTTGACCTGCTGAACGCTTGGCAGGGCAAAGGGCACGACGAGATCCGGTGCAGGTTTCCTGGCACCGCCCACTGCGCTCATCAATGACAGCGTGCCGAGTGGCCTGGCTGCTGATGCTGGTGATGAAGCGTGGATGGGATGCAGATGACCGACTGCATCGTGATCCACGCTGGCTGGCAAGACGTTGCCGTGCGTGCCGATGGGTCCGCCCAGCTGACCCGCCCCAGACTGCGACTGCGACTGCGACTGCGACTGAGCAGGCGCCTGCATCCTCCTCCTCTTCTCCCTCCGTCTGCCGGATGATGGTGACCGAGCTGGGGGACGAAGGCAGTTTGAGTGTGGTTGTAACGGATGCTGCGCCTGTTGTGTCGATCGTGAGAGTTTACGAGTGGAGGTGATGTTGATGAATTGTGAATGGAAGTAAGATGCGTGATGAGTCTTGAAAGATTCATGATTCATGATTACCAGTACTCGCGTCGTGCTTGCGCCTGCTGCTTGCTTGCATGCTGCGTGCATTTCTTCATCGGGTCGCCTCGCTCGATGGATCACGTGTGTCGCGCCTCGACTCGGGGCGCCCATGCTCGCTCGTGGTGCGCGCTCGGACATCATGACGACAGGCGTGTACAAGGTCCCACAGCAGCGTGCATGTCGGCTATCACGATCGAGGGTAGTCACAGTGAGTGTCGACTTCTCCTCCTGCCTTGACCTACTTCGCCATTTCATGCAGCTTCAGACAGACTTATCACCTACGGCCCGACGCCACTTCGACTACCATTCCGCAGACTTGCATCAAGGACAGCGCACTCACTATTGTCGATTGCACCTGGTCATCTTTGGCGCTCCTTTTGCGTTGCACGACTTTATGCCCGTCCCAACTGGGAGGCAGTCCGCAAGAGAGGAGAGCAGCAGCCACGAAATTCTTCTTGCTCCCGACGCTTCTTTAAGTCGAGGCAAGAGCGCTCCGCCCACCTCGCACAAAGCAGGCATAAGCCTGTCCACTGGTCGTTATCTATCGGCACTGACGGATCGTACAGCAGCTGCTACAGCTTGGAATCCTTCGCCATACGGTACACCCTCTGCTTACGCCCCACCTTCCAACGCTTATCCATTCGATTCGACCGCTTCTTCCAGTCGGAACTCACCTTCGCCTGTAGCGTGGCATCAGGGAGCTAGAATCAGATCTGGCGCTGCTCCGAATCTGGACGCGACGCACTTGGAGAGGGATCAGAACAAAGGAGCTTTTGCGCTCGATATGAGCAACGGAAGCGGTGCTTCAAATGCTGGGACGGGTGCGGGTACCGGAGGTACGGGTGGTGCGGGAGGATACGACTACGGAAGTGTTGGAGCGCTTCCTGCGCCAGCTACGGGGCCCGGCCGGACATGGGGAGCAACGTCGGGGTGAGTCTTGGTGATGTGCTTACTTGCCAGGGGTCGCATGAGTCGCTGAATCGCCTCATTCCTTCCTCTTGCAGCACTTCTCGAACGCACTACCATCTCTCGCGGCAAGAGGTGCTCAAGGGAGTGGCCAATCGATTCGTGCATTCTACGGCGTATCTGTATTTCTATGGAGGTATGGCAGCAGTCAGTCTCTTGACAGTCGCTCTCAGCCTGTTGCAAGATTGTCCCGGTCCGCTGTTCTACGGACTCGAGCTTGCCATCAATGCGGTGCTCATCGCAGAGGTCACAATCAGGGGCTACGCATTCGGACGAGTAAGTTGTGATGCGCATCACTTCCAGTCTTGCACTTGTTGACACCCTTTGTGTGGCCCTTTCAGCAATTCTGGAAATCCACGTTCAACATCATCGATCTGTGCCTCGTCATTCTGTGCGCCGTCACGCTAGCCGTCATTTTCTTCTCTCACGACTGTTCGCCCTACAGGCGAGGTACAGGCGAAGCGCCTTCACCCGGAGACGACCTGCCAGGTCACGGCGGACGAGGGGGCAAAGGAGAAGAGCTGCTAGACTCGATCCTGCTCATCGTCCGTAACGGCGTGCAGCTGTTCAGGCTGCTCTCGGTGGTGAGGAGGAGCGGAAGCAACGTGACTAGCAGAGTAGCCAACATCGATCTGAACGCTGCAAGAGACTTTAGCCTGGACATTGATCTGGAGGATGAAGGTGCTGCGGCGAGGGAAAGAATGGCGGATGGTGGGGACCCGGGAGCAAGGAGAGCGAGGATGGATCGAAGAGGCACTCGACCAGAGGAACAGGGCTTGTTCGATGAAGACGAGGACGACGAGCTTTGAAGCGGTCCATCACTTGCGGCACGACTTCTCTTGTATACTTATGCCTTTCTTGGCTTCATCGTCTAGCACACATCGTCGATGCTCTCCGTTACAATGTCATCGCAACAAATGTATTCGCATGAAGCATCGGTCCCATTCTTGTGATAACCGAGATCACTAAGAAAGTCTGTCATGCGATGCAGTGATCGATTGCAACAATGTGTAAAATTACAGTGGCCTCTCTCGAATAGCCGGCGCTCACTTGCGCTTGTCGCTCGCGCTGCCACCAGAAGCAGTGTTGCTTTCCCTGGGCTTCGACGCTGAGCCCTCGCGATTGCCTCTCGACTCCCTCTCTTCTCGGGGTCTTTCAAAAGCAAGTGATCGTCGAGTCAATGAGCTGATGCATTATTCATCGCTTTTCTGCGCATCTACTCACCTCCTGAAACACAGAAACTCCAACGCAGTAGCTTTCCTGCTCGCCACGAGCGTCTTCTTGACCCCTTCCAGCTCTCGCTGCAACGCGTCCGCTTCGCTCGCAGATGCGGTATCGCGCACATATTTTCGGCTGATGGTGTCGTAAATCTCTTTCAATGTCGATTCGGTAGAGGAAGAGATGTACTGCGAGAGCGTTTGATGGAGAAACTCGATTTCGAGCGTGGCCTGTGCAGGAGTGCCAAGGCATGAGCGAAACGAATTTCTCGTACCGCATGCGTGCTCTGATCTACAGAGCGCGCGGAGACTCACCTGCAGCATCCCTCCCATGCCGAATCTCGTGATCTTATTGAATGCGTCGAGGATGACTTTGACGAGCTCGCTGACCAGCGCAGATATGGTGCGGGAGACGAGCGGCTTGGCGATAGATCTGACCTGAGCGTGCACTTGCACCAATGACAGGAGCGCTTCGTAGATGAAAGGATGCACCTCTGACACATGCCGCCTACACGTCAGCTCGAGTCCGTCGAGACTTAGCGCGGGAATTGCTGCTGCTCACCGGAAGGTTTCGGAATGGCCTGCCAATTGATTCCGCTCTCCAAGATGCCCTTTCTAAAGATTTCGGAAATAGCATCCCCTTTCCTCTTCACAAAGTCCGTGAAGAGAATCTCATCTAATTGTTGCGCCACCTCTTCGATCGTCTTCAGATCCTCCGACATCTTGACGTGGAAGGCTTCTTGAAATTGTTTCGCCAGAGCCGGGATGATGGTCTTGCTGAGGTGTGTGAGATTTGTGACGCTCAGCAGAATCCGGGTGTCCTGGAGGGGTCATGAGATTGAGGATGAGCAAGGAAACGGCACCCGGCTTGCTGAGCGCGCAAGCGACGCACCAATTCTTGCACGTCCAATGTAATGCGCGAATCCCCAACCACCTTGTGACTGGTGGTCATCGAAGGATCCAACGGATCGAACTCCGAGAACGCTAGGTGAACCAGCCCATCCAAAAAGGCGTACAGCGCGTCCAAAAAGCTAGCCTTGATGCGGGCAGAGAAGTCCGAGTGCACAGTATGCTGTGACGACTCGACAGGAGTGTCTTGTCAGCGCGATGGAGCGTTGAAAGAGTGCATATCATTTCTCACCTTGGAAGTTGTGGGCTCAGAACCTTCTTTGCCACCAGCGATGAAATAGGCAGAACGAGCATTGGACTTGTGAAAAGTTGCGAGATCTCTGAGATAAAGAGTGGTCGCTTCCTCATCTGGATTCAAAGTCCAATCTTCGAGCATGTAGAATACTTTCGCGTCTGCAGTCGGCGGAAAAGTGCCCTTCCATCAGCTAACGCAATGGGAATTGGCTTCTCACGACATACGCACCACTTTGCCACAAGTTGCACAGCACCTCGGTGAATGCGAAGCGCGTGTTGTTGAGCAAGCTCTTGAGACTCGAAGGTGTCGAGCCCACGTTGAGAGCAGCGAGCTCATTGACCGCATCTGCGAGATCGCTGAGCGTCAACCTCATGTAGTGAGCTGCCGTGACGCTGCACGTCCTGGACGGCACCCATTCAGGAACGGGAGAAAGCGGATTGCGAGCCAGAACGCCCACATCCGTGAGGTTGAAAAATTGTGACAGTAGCGACACGTAGTTTTCGACGCTCTCCGTTGCCCAAGACCGAGATTGTGCTACAATTGTTGGAGACTAGAGCCGAAGTGCGAGGATTGGGTCAGGGTCAGTCTGTGCCGGCTGGTGCACGAGTTGCAGGTGCGCTCACTCTGCTTTTCAACTTGCCATCGAGCTGCTTCTGACAGACGCGCCAGAAGCTGGGCAGCGTCTGCGCCAACGTCTCCGAGAGGTTTTTGATTAGCTCATGGATCGCCTTCCAGCCAGCAGCTCCCAGGTTCCGATCTGAAGCAGATGCACGAATGGAGTGTGAGCTTGGCTCTGTCTACCGCTTTGCTTCGCGTCTCTCACCGTAGCTCTGCTCTTGCTTTGTAAGCTCTCGGATGCATGCGAGTACATCTTTAGCCTGATCTTTTGGTCCTTTGGAGGTGAGACTGTTGACGGCCGCCGTTGCTGTAGACGCAAAGAGCGGTCAAGGTCGACAGCGGTCAGACAAATGAATCTCGAACGATCTCTCCAGCGCATCTCACACGTACCCTGGATTCTAGCTGCGTGCGTGTCGTATGCAGCCCGCATCAGAGTGCGAATATGCTCATGCTGGGATTCTAAGAAGACGGAAACAGGATCCTCTCTCGAATCCAGCTCGAGCAAAACCCTGCACGCGGTGGTGAGCATTGGGGCGTTGAGCATCTCGGCGTACGCGTTGCAACGAGCATAGCACATAGACTCACTCGATGGTCTGCTCTTGCTCCTCTACGCCGCGTTTGGGCTCCCTCAGAAGCGCAAAGAGCTGTTCCTGCATGTCCATCATGGTGGCCTCTACGGCATCCCACACCTTCTTGAACACTCTCTTCTGCTGCGCTTGCTGCTTCGAGTTGCCGGCTGATCCATCAGCAGTGTTGAAAGCCAACAATTGTCCAGGTCGACTGTCCAGCATGTATTTGCCTTTCTTGTAATCCCTGAGCGCCACATCGTACCTTTCCTGCGCAATGGCTTCTCCTAATGATCCAGGCAGGTTGAAGAAGAACCTGCTCCTTTCAAACACGCCCAACGTCGATCTCAGCTTTGCAGCTTTCAAGTTGTTCTCCAGCACTGGCATAAAGACTTGATCCGCCTTGGCGCTTGCTTGAGCCAAGATGTCCTTCAACTCCTTGACTCCATAGTCTGCATCTGGTCTCAGTGGTCCGCCACTGCCATCTTTCATTTCCCTGTACACGCCATCGGTGGTCGCCTTGACAGCGACGAACCTATCAAAATTGTCCTGTACCAGTACTTTCAGCGCTTCGCTCCTCTGCGCGATCGAGTCCTCCAGATGCTGCACAGCCCTGCTCAGATCGGCAAAGGTAGCATCTGGGTGCAGTGTGGAGAGATAAAGCTTTGGATCAAAAGCTTTGGACGATAGCAAGATCTGCGATCGGGTATCTTTGGGCAAGTTACGGGTGACGGACTGTAGACCTTGTCGAAGACCCAGCGCATCGGGCTCATCGGGCAGGATTCCGGCTGACGAAGGCCCGGCTGCTCCACCTTCTACATCTTCAGCATCTGTCCATTGTGTCGGATTGAGCGTGTCCAGCTTGTACATCTTCAGCAGCTCCGTCTCGTCCACCTCCAGAGACGTCATTATGAATCCTTGCGGGGTGAAGGGAGCGTCTGAGGTGATGGGACCAAGAACATTCGAGTGACTCGCCCACGCTTACCACGTCGAGAGCTGCTGTGGGCGCTTGAAAGCACGTCTGGCAATGTTGAGCGTGAGGTGAGCCGGACTTGGCAAGTGAGAGACAGCCACACTATTAATCGTAAATGAGAACCAACACCTGCAACGGCGTGAATCCGTCCGTGCACTTGTGCCTGTCACGTGATGGTCCTGGCGCCTTCTCCACCGTGCAACTTCTTTCTCGACTCGCATGCTGGGCTGACAAATTAAAGTCATTCGCAAATATGCTTGCAAGCTCCGCCTTGCTCTGTCCATCACATCGCTTACGCTCGCTTGTCTCGTTCACATCAGCCTGATCCGTCAGTCAGAACTCGTCAAGATGGCAAAGAAGAAGAAGGCTGCGCTGAAACCCAATCCAGCTCGCGGGTTCGCAACGACCAGCGTTCCTTCCAAGAAGGAAGATCCTCCCTCTGGGGCATCATCAGGCACGAGCACTCCCCGCACGCAGACTGCTGAAGAGCAAGAAGCGGCTAGATCAGCTGCGGATGAGCTGGGCTTGGGTACTGGAAATGCGCCAAATGCGGTTGGCGGGTATGGGAAGGGCAAGGCACAGGAATGGACAGAGGAGATGGCGGAGGAGATGGCGCTGCAGCTCGTCACGGACAGAGTGTGGGACAGAAGCGAGAAGGAATCAGCGAGGCTTTGGAAGGTGAGATGATGCGCATACATGCAACGTCATGCCTGAACTCTCAATGTTAACACTCCGAGGTTACCCGCAGATCATCGAATATGATAGGCGGCTGGCGGCTTCCTTGCCGAGCTTCATGATGGACCCGATACTGCGGGATCAGATCCTGTCTCAAATTCCAGCAGATCCTCAACCATCGCAAGGCAGCGTAGCCTTTTCGGCGCTAGTGCCTAGTCTCACAGCTACTTCTTCAGCCACCTCACTTCTGGCTCGAGGTCTGACCACGCACTCCTTACTCCTCCGACTCGGATTCACGCCTGAGCAAGCAGAGCAAGCTCTGAGCAACACGCCAAGTGCAGACGTGGACGACTGTCTCGCTTGGCTCTGGACACGTTTGGACGATGAGGAAGTCGATAAAGCCCGCGCGCGGTGTAATAGAGGCGAGCAAATGGGCGAGGTGGAAGATGCTACTATTGCGCCAAAGCATGACGGATTCTCATTCGAGAGGGGATCTCCTCAGAAGGCCGCACCGCAGCCTAAGGTCGTAGAAGCGCGTGCTCCCATTCTCGAGCTCAGTCCTGGAGAGCTAGCAGCTCGCAGGGAATCCATACGGCAGTGCGCCAGGAGCGCCCTTGCGCTAGCTGCAGAGCTCGAAAAGTTGGAGGAAGAAGTAGATGCGCTAGAGGATCCGATTGGAGCGTACGCAAGATCGAAAGCTGGTCTGATCCAGCTCGACAGAGTCTCGGCCACACTGAGCAAAGCCAAAGCAGCAGGCAACGAGTCAGAAGCGCCAGGACTGCTTCGGGCAGAGGTGAAAGAGGCGGAAAGAAGGATAGAAGTTGTGAGACCTCCGCTTGAGCGAACGAGAGACGCGGTCAGCAAGGGCAAATGGTTTGATAGGAAAGCGGGAGAAGAGGCTTTCAGAGTGGAGATGGAAAAGGACAAGGAACGACAGCAGAAGGAAAAGGAGGAGAAGGAGGCAAAAGAGAAGGAAGAGCGGTTAGCTCGCGGCTTGCCGGATCCGAATGGCGAGGCCGATAACGTCGCTCAATCTTCTGCAGCTCCCGCCGCCAAGACTGATGTTGAGTCGTCCACTCCGCAAGGAGCAAACACAGACAAAGATGCACCCACCGATGCCGCTTCGGATGCCGGGTCAGACGTCGGAAGCATTGCATCGGACGGCATGTTTGGAGATATGCTCAATGAAGCACCGACACAGATAACGGATGAAGAGACGGGAGGTGTGGTGCATGTTTGGCCTTTACCGCAGCCAGCTCTGAAAGGCAGCGGAGGCGGCAAGCTACCCCGATCACTGCTCAACGAAGCACTGAGGAGAGTGGACATGGCTGCCTCAGCCAGATATCAATCCCTCGGTGGAAAGAGTGTTTGCCGAGCTGCTCTGATCTTGCGGTGGACCCCTCCTGGAGTTGGCAAGGTGGTGGTGGACACCTACAAGCTTACAGGCATTGGAGCTGGCTCGCCTTCGGCTGCTGAAGAGCTGCTTGCTATTGTGGCGCTCACATGCATGGAGCGAGACAGGCATTACGAGCGCAATCTAGGCAAGGGTTGGCGAGAGTGGTGGGATGAAGTCGAATCTGCGCGTAAAGCGGAACGAGACGCTAAGAGGCGCACACACGTTGAGAAGGTGGGGACCCTGCTTGCTGCTAGACTTGATGACGAGCGTCACAGGGCAGATGAGAAGGATAGGCTCAAGAAGGCAAACGCTGCTGCGGCTGCTTCTGCACCTGGCGGAGCTGTCACTCTTGCAGGTCCACCAAACGGCACTGAGAGTCCGGACACTGAAGAGCAGAAAGATGTGCAAGCCCCGTCAACTGTGCAGCCTTACAGCGACGCAGAGGCCGAGGCGACGAGAGCGATGTGGCAGCGCACCACTAGCAGCAATCGTTTCGCGCAGATGCTGCCAGGTCGACAAGGTCTGCCGATCGCCAAATTCAAAGACACCATTCTGGAGACGTTGCACAAGAATCAGATCTTTGTGCTCTCTGGAGAAACTGGATGTGGAAAGTCTACGCAGGTGCCAGCTTACATTGTCGAAGCCTGCATGGCGGCTGGACAGCCTTGCAAAGTGTACGTCACGGAGCCGAGACGTATCTCTGCTATTTCGCTTGCTGAACGTGTCAGCCAAGAGCTGGGCGAGGCGCCGAACGCTGTCGGATCGGACGACAGTCTGGTTGGTAGCGGGGTGCGTCTTGACAGCAAGATTGGTCGCAATGCCAGGTTGGTCTACGCCACTACCGGTATTGTTCTTCGCATGCTTGAAAGTGGAAGGCTGGAAGGCGTCACTCATATCGTCCTTGACGAAGTGCACGAACGATCAATCGAGTCTGACTTCTTGCTCATCATTCTCAAGACGCTCATGCAAGTTCGTACGGATCTCAAAGTCATCCTGATGTCGGCAACTCTCGACGCAGAACGCATCAGTGCGTACTTTGGAGGATGTCCTACCATTGCTGTTCCAGGCAGGACTTTCCCTGTGGACGTGAGGTATCTAGAGGACGCCGTTGAGCTTACGGACTACACCATCGAGGACGGATCGCCCTACGCGCGGAGGCCAAAGAGATGGAATGACCGCAAAGCTGATGTGCCAGGCAACAGAGCCAAGTTGACCTCGACCGAGGCTGAAGAGGAAGCACCAGACCTTGATGACGATGATGAGCAAGACGGGCCCGCAAGCACGACGACTACAGAAGAGATCAAGAAGTACAGGCCGAAGACCATCTCTACGCTTGACCGTATGGATGAGAATGTGATTCAGCACGAGCTGATCATCACCTTGCTCGAACGCATCTGCTTCGAGGACGATACATTGAGACCGTATAGCCCGGCTATCCTGATCTTCATGCCTGGTATTGCGGACATCAGGAAGCTGACCGATCTTCTCAACGGTCATCGCTCGTTTGGCTCTCAATCATTCCGCATCTTCCCTCTGCACTCGACCATCTCCAACGAAGATCAAGGCTCCGTCTTCAATGTGCCGCCCAGAGGCGTTCGCAAGATCGTCATTGCGACCAACATCGCCGAGACGGGTATCACCATCCCAGACATCACATGCGTGATCGACAGCGGCAAGCATCGCGAGATGCGATTCGACGAGAAGAGGCAGCTGAGCAGATTGGTCGAATGTTTCGTCGCCAAGAGTAACGCGAAGCAGAGAAGAGGACGTGCTGGACGTGTCCAAGAAGGTCTGTGCTTCCACCTCTTTACCAAGCTGCGACATGACAAGTACTTTGCGGACCACCCATTGCCCGAGATGCTCAGACTGTCATTGCAGGATCTGGCGCTGAAGCTAAAAGTCATGAAGGTTCGCATCGGCACCAGCATCGAGGACGCTCTCAGCAAAGCTATGGACCCGCCTTCCAGCGTCAATGTTCAGCGAGCGATCGCAGCACTGGTCGAAGTCAAAGCTCTGACCGCGTCCGAGGAGATTACGGCTCTCGGCCGACACTTGTCACGTCTACCGCTCGATGTGCATATGGGCAAGTTCCTGCTCATTGCGGCGCTCGTCGGAGCTCTGGATCCAGCGTTAACCATCGCTGCGACGCTCAACTCTAAGTCGCCCTTCATCACGCCGTTCGGACGAGAGGCTGAAGCTGACAGAGCCAAGGCTAGCTTCAAAGCGGGAGACTCGGACTTTGTTACGTATGCGAAAGCATTCGCAGCTTGGAGACGCGCCATCGACAACAATTTCGCGAGGCAATTCTGCACGAAGAACTTTTTGAGGTGCGTCATAGGGTTTTCTTGCGGGATTGGTGACGTTTGCTCACTATTGATGCCTGCCATATTCCACAGTCCGCAGAATTTGCAGGGCATAGAAGAGCTCAGGTTGCAGGTCAGTCCGCAACAGCTGACGAGTGGTTGAGCACGAGGGCATGCTGCTGATTTCGATACCCTTGGCTCAACAGTACTTTGGCTACCTCCTCGATTCCGGCTTTGTGACTGTAAACGCAGAGGCCAAGCAAGACTTGGCAAAAGCTCGCTTCAGATCTGGAAGGAATGCAAAGCCTCTGATGATTCCCGAGCACTTGAGCTTGAATGCCAACTCGCTCGCCGTACTGAATGCTGCGCTCTGTGCTGGCTTGTACCCCAAGCTGCTAGCTATCGATTCTCGGTCCTACCAGATCCGCACGATCGGTAACAATGCACCGGCTGCTATCCATCCTAGGTGCGTTTGGTGCCGTGCGACTGCTACATGCTCGTTCTTGCAAGGCTCACACGTTCTTGCGCTTCTCGATGCAGCTCGGTCAACTTCCGCTCTCGTCTTGGAGACTTGCCTAAGGGCTTCAATCATCTCGTCTACTTCACGCTCATGCAGAGCAAGAAGCTGTATGCCTGGGAGACTGGAGCTGTTGATGACAGGGGCATTATATTGATGTGTGGTGATGCCGACTTCAAGGTGAGCGGCGTTGCGATGGCGGACGATGTTGTTGCTTGTGACTGACGCCTCTTGTGTGCTCCTGCCTATCTACAGGTCACGTCGAGTAGTCTTTTCATCGATCGTCAACGCATTCGCTTCTTCATACCCGACTCCAAGACGCTTTTGGCACTGCGCCTCCTGCGAGACCAGCTGTCAAAGTTGATCAACTCCTCGTACCGCAACCCGTGAGTCTAGCGAGGTCGCCCGTCATCATCAGCGGGAGCGCGTGTATCTGACCATTCGTGTTTGCAATTTGTGCAGCGGGAGAGAGTGGACGCAAGATCAGCGGAATTACTTCGATCTTGCGACGCAAGTTTTGGGCATGGGTGCAAATGACAAGGATAATGTTATGCAAACTTAGAGAAATCGACATTCACGTTCCTCAATAGACACCAAGATAGACCTGCTTCATTGAAAGACATGCCTTCGATTATATCTCATTGGAAGAAAGAAGAACATATGAGCATTCTCAAATTTGATTTCTTTTGACCTTTCACGTGTTTCAATGCGCCTGGTCTTTGGGTGATCTGGCCCACAAAGACGTTCAGATCCAGTGGGGCAACGCAGCTCACATCTGACACGTCCATCCCGACATTCCATCCGTAGCGACTGTGGGACCGCGTGCGCAGCGGCTCGCGCGTTTCATCAGACCTTGCACGTGCGCGACGCGTGTCAGGCCCTAATCGTCAATATTTAAGAACCAAACCGCGACTCACGATTGCCTTTCGCGCTAAGAGACCCCTGCGTGGCTTCCTTTGTGTTAAGGGCAGAATGCCAGTAAACACCTCGTTGCTGGCTCGACGAGATGGTCTCGTGGGCTCAGAGGTGGTGAGAACCGGGTCCTGCGTTGTCGAGATGGGACAGCGGACGCTCTCGCGTCAGTTGAATCACGACACGAGTGCGCGACTGCGGACAAGAGAAGCCTAAAGCTGATCGACCATCCAGACGCCGAAGCGCGGATGGCCGTCCTTTGCGTAGTCACGATGATCACAGTGCAGCAGTCGAGTTGTGCCTAAATGTGCGCGCTAAACCTTTACTCTGCCTGCCCGCCGTTGCCCGATGAGCCAGCAAAAGCGCATTTCAGATATCGCAGATCTGAACGCCGGAGAGAACGAAGCGCGCTCAGGCCTCACTTCGAAGAGGTCACGCGGCACCACCCTTTGTACAAGTCGCGGTGATCGGACACAGGAACGCGGCGTCGTGGACGAAGTCAAAACGAAGCCGATGCTGGTGCTCAGCAGCAAGCTCACGCAACGTTCAAAGCAAGTTGAGAGGCTGACATTCGCATGGTCGGCAAAGCAAAACAGATCGGTATCGTGTGTAGAATCACATGAGGCAGAGAGCGAAGAGTGGATGACCGGAATGAACGCAGAGAGCTCTTCTGCTGTGCGTTCGGTAGAAAAGGAGGAAATCAGTTTCGGAACCCCCTTGTATTCTCGTGGAGTACGACCAGCGTCTTGACCATCTGTCCTTTCGTATCAGCTATGTCATCAGCACATCGGAAGAGCGATGCGCAGCCTGTGACTGCTGGCTGTCTTCACCTTTGTCTGCTTGAGCATGATTGAACCTCGGTGTATTTGTGTCCACGCGTCCCAACGGCGGGTTTCCCTGCTGCTCCGCTAGTTGCTTGCTCCATTGATCGACAATATATTCCAGCGATGACGCATCGTGAGTCCAACTCTCCAAAGATGCGAATGATTCTGGCGTGAGCTGAATGGCACCAGAGCTGCTACCGTTCTTGACCAGGATGCCGCTGGGTATGGGCACCGAGAGAACCATCACTGGTTTGGCGTCCTCGCTGATGTCCATGGCGTCTGGGACCTCGATCGCGACAAACATGTCCCTTGCTGATTCGGTGCTGAGACCCATGGCCATTTGCGACGCAATCTCGGGCGCGCTCGGCCAGTCCGTGATTGCAGCGCCGATCGCGTGCGCAGATGGGTCGCTAGCAGCATTCGGTGCAAGGCTGGGGCTGCGAAACCCGCTCTTCCTTGGACTCATCAGTGAGGTCGCGGAAGGGGCTGTGCCAGGTCTCAACTTCGGTGTCGTGAGCCCCGAAAGCAGGGCATTTTCAGCTGCACCGAGCGCAGCCGAGAGGTGCGAATCCAAGCAGAGGTCGTCCCAGTCCAGCTGCGCAACTCCATATGCGTCGAATAACAGCGCAGCGTCCTCATATCGCTCACTGCATGCGTAGGGAGAGGGCTCCGTGGATGCGCCCTCTCCGCTAAGCTCAGGGTGCTGCCGCTCAAAGCCCTTGATTGATGTAGAAGGCACAGAAAGCTGTTCCGTATGCGGTGACGCGGTGAAGCATGCCAGGGTGGTGTGTCGGTTGTACCCCAGTTGCAATCGGGTATCACTCGTCAAATCATCGAAAGGTGTGCTGGGTCTGCTGCCATTGTCCACAGTTGTGTCTAAGCTCGAGACACCAGAAAGATTTCGTTGTTGAGCAGCGCTGCTATCTGCGGTCCACGATTGAAGGCTGTCTGCCTCACTCGAGCCGTCGCTGCCAGTACTCGATATCCGTCGTGCGCTCCCATTCGGCAATCGCTGTCGTTTCTGGTATAGCTCTGACGGCAAGCTGAGCTCTGCGTGAAGCGTCCGCCCTTTACGCTTGCTTGAAATCGAGCTCGACGTCACACTTGTTGCATCGAAGTCAAATTCGAGACTGAGGTCTGTCTTGATCGTCTCATGCGCACCTCCACGCGCATGATACTTATGCGTGCCTTGCTTAGTCTTGCGGTTCCGTCGGTTTTGGAACTGCGCTCAACAGGACTCGGTGTGTCAGCCAAGTTGTATCGCAAAGATGTGAGCGTCATCAGTGCAGGCCTTTGGCCAGGCCGCAGCACTCGCATGCGTGCAGCTCCCGCATCCGCTATTCCACGTCCTTCATCCACACATTCTGCTCTTCCATGTGCGAGCGTGCCTAGTGTCGGTACCTGCCTTTTCCGCCGGGCATCTCACCGTCGGAGCATCCTTCGAGTACACCCGCGACGCTCGACTACTCATCGCTAGTGTACTCACCCAGATTGTGACCTGACGTGGTTCGAGGCCAGTCGCTGCGGCTAGACGATGCTTCTCGGCCATCGTGATTGAATGTGCGCGCTCAAAAGCTTTCTCCAATAGTGCAGTCGCTGCGGTAGAATGGCCATGCGATACGCCATGCGCAGTGTCGAGGTTAGAAGTGGCGGAGTCATGTTTGTGCTCTGGGAACAAATCATTGTTGAATCGTGTGACACCGTCCCGAATGCATTGAATCAAAACGTCCTGCATGCGAGACAATCCTTGAGCATGTTTACGGCGGAACGCCGCCTGCATTGACTCCAAATAGGATGCTTCTGGGGTGGAGAGGGCGGTCAAGCGATAATAGGCCTCCAGGTAATGCGCATTGGCCTGTCGTGTCCAGACATTGCACATCTCCACGTACTTTTCTTCAAGAGCGTTCCGAGCACTGGGCGAGATAGGGTACAGCTTGAGATTGAAGCCCGAGAGGAGTTCATCGCGTGGGGCGTCTAGAAGAAGAGGTCGCAACGATGGGCTGATCCTGTCTGAAGTCGATGCTAAAGGCTCTGCACCCATGACCCTCAGCATCGCATGGGCAGTCTTGTTGATGGCCTTGAGAGAATCCGACAAGCAGCCTTCGACCATCTTGTGCGCCCACTTGACGATGCTGGCCCTATCCACTTTGGTCCTGCTACGTTCGCTCAAGTCTAGCTTTACTGTGTAGACTCAATGAATGGGGAGTCACCACACCACGACGGGTTCCACAACGTTCCTTAAAGAAAGGCGGGCCCCGGAATGAAATGGTTGTTGATCGTTGAGGTTGGGCTATTGGGCTTGGGCAATGTTCGACGGCGCGTGATCGCTCTGGCCAAGAATGGAGGTATGTGTATTGAAGCTGAGTGAGGAAGTGAGCCAAAAGCTGTTTGCACCTCCAGGCCAGTAGTACGGGTAAGTGTCATCGGTGATTTGGACAAGACGCCTCCATCATGTGTACGAGGCACCAGTAGTAGTGCAAGCTTCACGCCAGCAACGCGTCCACATCACCCAGGACTCGATTGATTGTCGGTGTGCCACGCTTTTGTCCACGCTTCGTTTCCTTTGTCCTCGCGCCCATGCACAGCGCCTGTCGTGGCCGCGATCTGTGCCCTTGTGCGCGCAGATGCGCGGGCACAGATCCGCGCGCATACGAGTATATACCGGTATACACTCCAACTCACCACCACGCGAGCTCACGACTGTTTCGTTACCAGACTGGCTCATACAATCTCGATAGTCGCAAGTCTCAAATACTAACGGCTCACGACGCCACGCCAGACTTGCTTTTTGGCGGACGATCACACGCCGAAATACGGACTTGCGCATAGGACTACTTCAGCCTCTGACCCAACATGACCTAAGCCGTATCTCAGATGTCCATGCCTCAGCATACCAGCATACATCCTTCCGTCTACCCTACTCAAGTACTTCGCGTCGCACGTCTATGAGAACAATCGGATCAACGATGAGCACGCAGCAACAGCAACCGACCTTGCAATCTTTGCTGGCTCTGCTTTCGCAGAGCGAGGAGGAACTTCTCCTCGCCGCCTCCAATCCCGCTGCTCTGCACAAATTTGCACAGTCCTACGGAGCGATCCTGAAGTCTCTTCAAAGTCTGCCGTCACTGGGGACTAGGGAGCACGAGAGCATCGTGACTGCAGTCACTCGGGTGGAGCGGATTGCGGCTCACTTTAGAGAGTGCGAGCAAGAATTTGCACGGGTTCGCGCGGCGCTTGATCACGACTGCGAGAAAGAACTTGCAGAGCATCGCGCATCCTTGAAGCGCCTGAGTTATCGCAAAGGTTTGTCGGAGTCCCCTCCACACCTAGTTGACGTTGCGCCGAATGCAGCCCAGACGCCGCTCAGCAATGTGGACTGGAGGCTCAATGCAGTTCCCCTTCGAAGATGGTATCGTGAGAATCTGTATGACCCCTTCGTCAACGCCACGACCAAGGAGGCTCTCGTGAGGGAAATGGCAGCCATGCCCAAAGCAAAGCGTATGAATGCGGAGCAGTGCACCCTTTGGTTCATCAACGCTCGTCGCCGAAGCGGATGGACCGAATTCTATCGCCAATTTGCCTACGGGGAGAAGGACCGAATGCGCATCCTCATTCAAGCGTTAGAGAAAGACCGCTCCGCAGAGTCCAAGCATTTGCACGAGATGTTCGCCATCGACCACAAGGGACGCCGCGCCACCTTCATGAAGGTCAACAAGGACGTCAAGGACTGCATCGCTGCGTTCGAACGCATGCTCAGCTGGATCCACCAGGGTGGCCAAGACAGAGTCGGAGATTGGCTAGATGAAGTGCTGGCAGAGGCAGCTGCGGAGCGTGCCGCGTTGGAAGCGCAGGGCTTTGACTCCCCACAGGCGCACACTTCTGTTGAAGTAGCGCCTACGCCTGGTCCAACGCGGCCTATGCGAGCATTGCCAACTCGTTCAGCCGGCAAGGAGCCAGCAGAAGAGTCACGTCCGATTCGAGGCTCCAAACGTGCGGGCCAGAGGGCGTTGGGTGTCAACACCGGCAGCACAGCCAGACAAGCTGCGCGCAACGCTTCAAGCTCTAGCACGGAAAGCTCGAGCAGCAGCGTGCCATCCCTCGCGATGAGCCAAGACTCGGCGTCTTCAACTGCCTACTCCACCATCAGCTCTGCGTCGAGCTCGCCCATCAACAAAGATGGCAACATGGCGACTCTTTTGTCCTCGCAGATTGGCCCAGCAAATGCGGACGTTCTGCAATCGATTCTCGGCTTTGCCAACGAAAGCCAACCCAAGCACTTTGGCGATGCCGCCTCGCTTCCCAATGCTTTCGCCGCTAGTCGCAGTGCTATACAGGCACGAGCCCTGAACATGCATGATGGATTGAAGACGCCGATGCAAATTGATGCTACAACCCTTGGCGAGAGCAATGTTTCCACGTCCGTCGACTCTGACAGCAGCAGCGATAACTCGCAAGAAAGGGGCCACAGCATTTCTGCGTTTGAGACCATTACGCTTGCGGACGTTACGCCAACAAAAAACAGCGTGCGAAAGAGCTGGCTGCCTTCACAAACCGCTGGGCAATTCACTTTCGGCATCGGTGCCGCAACAACACCTGCAAATGCTTCTGCTTCCACGGACCAGCCATCCTCTGCGCAAGACGCCGCCACGACCTGGGAACCTTTTTCCTTTGCTATTCCTGCGCCGTCAGCAAGCGCGCAAGCATCTCCCAGCAAGACCAAAGCAGCAGAGTCTGCGACCGACACAACAGAGCCTTTTGCCTTGGGCACGCTTGCATCCACCTTGGACACTGAAGAAACGAACGAAGCGGACTTCTTGACTTTGGAATTCCTCAACTCTGTGACCGAAGCCAATGCGCAGGACAAAGAGATTGCTAGCTGGGCCGTCTACAACTCCGACTGGCCAACGCCTGGACTTGCTGGCCTGAGCGACTTTGAATTCCTCGAAGCGCTCGCTACTCAGCAGTGAGCTGGACAATGGAACCGGCTACGCCAATCACTTGTCCATCCACTCGTCACCACATTCTGTAGTCGTTGCGGATGCTCGGAACACGCTCTTGCTCGACTGCTTTGATTCGTTTGCCTCTAAGCCTGCACCACAAGCCCTGGATCTACAGTCCGCTCTCGATACTCACATTCTAGTTCACCACATACATTGCTTTGTCCCCATCCGACAGCGGCCCATCCACTTTGCTCTGCGGGCTCCAATCCAGGCGCCCGACCTCTCCTTTACCGACTCTTGCGATGCTTCCTACATGCCACCCCGTAACGTCAATCAAATCTTCTTGAGCCTGATCCATCTGTTCTCTTGCGAGCCATCCGGGCGTGAGATCCGAAGTCACTGCGAGCACGCGCACAGCTGGAGTGGATGCGCCTCATCCATCCGCGCGCGGGCGCCTTTGTCCTCGAAGGCGCGGCTGCGCCAATTGATTAATGCCATGAGCGTGGGCGTGGGCGTGGGCGTCTTGAATGCCTCTTGATTGCTTCATCTTGAACGAGGGGTGCCATCATGAGATGCTGGACAAAGGCAAAGAGGCGTACAGATCTCAATCAAGAATCTCACGCAAATCCAGATCAATCTGTTTTTGTCCTCTTTAGGGCACTGGGAGCTGTGCGCTGTGGATGTTTATGCGGGGCGATGCAGAAGCGGGCGAGCGGGCGAGACACGCCGCTGCGAAGCGCTGCGCGCTGCATGCAATGCAACGACAAACGCGAACGAGAACAAGAACAAGAAGGGAAGGCGAACACGTAAGTGGCCGGGCGAGGACAAGAAATTTGAGCGCAATCTGCGTTAAAGGTGTACATTTCCCTTTGTTCTTGTTTCTTGCGGGCGTACGCTGCGCGAAGGGGTAAATTTGAACGGGCATCGACATCGAGATGATCTGGGCAGAGAGGGGGTTGTGGAAGCGTATGAATCCACGTGCGTGCGTGCGTCTCTGCGACAGATTCACGATTGACGACGGTGATGAGGAAAGTGCATTCACGATTCTCACACGAGGCATCACTCACGCCACCACGATTCTGCGACTCGTAGGCCTGACTGCAGCACGACTCGCGTGACTCTTTCTTACTGGACAAGCGCAATGAGTAAAAGGTGCCATCTTGCAATGGTGATCCCAACTCGTACAGCGTACCGTACAGGGCAGAAAGCACGAATCGCACTTGTTCCCCATGACGATGTGTATAGAAAAGGTGCTCATGACAACACCGCACTTAGTTCAGACAACGACCCTCTAGGCCAAGAACTGTGATCGTGATTCGTGTCACTTGGATGATACCGGTCTAAAATACATGAGATGACATGAACACCGATCAAGAGAAGTGTTTGCACGGCCTAAGTAGCGGTATTTGGCCCAGCGCTCCTTTTGATGGTGATCTTGACCCGATTTGCAGCTGCCGGGCCAGGCGTACTCGAGCTCGCATTCGCCGCAGCGTCCACCTCCATAGCATGCGCATCCTCTTCTCCCTCTCGTGTCGCTTCACCACCGTTCTGATCAGCAGATGTCTGCTGCTGCTGCTGCGCAGCAATCTCCGCCGCTTTCCTCTTTTCCTTTTCCCCAATCACATAAGCATCCACCGCTTCGCGCGATTGCGAGATGCTTCGTCCGCCCTTGGCATCCAGCATGAGCGATGGGTCAGAGGGACGATCGGCACTTTGCAGATTGGACCCGGGTTTGGGTGGTAAGGCGGTACGTGATGCTGCGTACTCTTGCTCCGTCGTGGCTGGATGAGCGATTGGATGTTGTGGACGCGTGGGCAGACCTGGAGCTGCTGCACCTAGCTCTGCATCTAGATACTCGTACAACAGACTGCAATAAAGCATGAGCGTCGAGCTTTCTATGCGCGGTGACGAGACCCACTCACGCTCTCTCGAGCCTCATCCTCTGCAGGTTCCGCTTGATGCGCAACGTCTTCAGGTAGACTCGCTCATTCTCCTGCGAATGACAGCGGATAGGGGACGAAATCAGCTACTGTTCAAGCGAGAGAGATCGCTCCTCTACGAGTCATACAGCATTCCGCCACGAATAGCCACACATAAGTCCTGCACCTACTTCCCGTCTTCAAGTCAAGCTATTCCCCTCCACTCCCGGCCATTCAGCCGCCACGCCGCTCCATGAAAGCCAACACTCACATTCTCAATCTCCCTGACCTTCTTCTTGAGTTCCTTGTACTTGTTGCGATACTTGGATGCATTGGTCTGAACTGCTATCGCGGATCTGTAAGCTGCTGATTTGGGCCCTCGAGGTCCTCCACCCGTGCCGGTATTTGATCCGCCTGCTGCGCTCGACATGATGAGGATTCTGCGATCGACGTTTCCACCACGCGGCTGCGATGCTGTGATTGGAGGTATGGCGATACTTGGTCGGGTGCGAGCTCGTCTCGAGCCGTTGATAGTAGTCTCGAGGGTTGGATGGCGGATGACGATGCAAGAGCAGACAGCTGATCATACGCCAGCTTCGATGCTGCATGGAGCTTGTGGAGAGCGGTCCTATCATATGTTCCACGGTTGCGCGCCGCGCGTAAACGAGCGCATCACGTGTGTGCGATTCGCGTAGCGCGCGATCCACGTGGCTGCCACACCGCGAAGAACTCGAACGAGGAAATCTCGCGACACGAAAGCATCACATCGCATTGACAACTTGGTGTGGTGGTCGACTTGTGGATCTGGCGCCTCAGCATATCCTCGTTCCCACTCAGCATAGCATAGCATTGCATCAACCAGACGTAACATTGTTAGGAACTGGACTTCAGAACGGATCCTTCGCCTGAAGTTTCACGGGATCGCTGCGCCGCAATATGGCACCCGACGCTACTGCCGGACCTTCGGTCCAAGACGGCGATGAGGAGATTGACTTTTCCGACATTGTCGCTCGGTAAGCTCACCCACCTGCCTGGAACGCGCTGTCTCGACACGATTAACACTACTTTGTGCTCTTTGCTATTCGCAGCTTTGCAATCAAGTTCGATGAAGGGTTGGACGATGTGATTGTGGTGGATAATGTTCCTCAGATCATGCAGGACAGGCAACAACGTTTGTTCGAGACGATCATCAAGAGATTCAAGAGCCATGCTGGAATTGACGTGCCCATCGATGGAATGCACATCCCGTACGGCGAAGATGGAAACAGCAAGGGGTGCGTATACAGCAGCAAAGGGTACATCCATGCTGCATATCCCGTGCGCCACGGAGGAGGAGCATACACGCTGACCTCGCCTGCTTATGGCGTCCAGATACATCTTTATCGAGCTGCGCTCTCCTGCAGATGCCACTCTGGCGTGCAGATTGATGGATGACTACCCTTTCGACAAGCGACACAGATTCGCAGTAAACCGCTTTACCGATATCGAAAAGCTTGCGAACCTGGACGAAGAGTATCAGGAACCTCCTGCTGAGGAGTACCAAGATCGCGAGCACCTCAAGAGCTGGCTGCTCGATTCTTCCGGTCGCGATCAGCTCGTCATGTGCCGCAACGACGATGTGCAAATCGCTTGGCACAACCGAAGCAGTCCGCCTGAGATCGGTCACGAGCGTCAGGTGAGTCGTGAAGAGCTTCAGAGACGCTAAAGGCGGTGACTGACAATGATTTTTGACCTCGACAGCGCTGGACCGAATCATACGTGCAATGGTCGCCCCTGGGAACTTTCCTTACGACCTTCCACAGGCAAGGTATTGCGCTTTGGGGCGGTGCATCCTGGGAACGTTTCATGAGATTCGCCCATCCTGGCGCTCGCCTTGTCGACTTTTCTCCCAACGAAAAGTACATGGTCACCTGGTCTCCCGAGCCCATCGCCATTCCTGATGGCGCTCCTCAAGGCCCTCAATTCTTTGCGCCGGACGACGAGGGCAACCGGGTCGCAGTGTGGGACGTGCGCACTGGCCACCTGCTTCGTACCTTCCCTGTTGCTCAACAAGGCGAACAGGGCAAGGGAGGCGCTGCTGCGCCTGCTTTTCAATGGCCCTTGCTGAAGTGGGCTGGAGACGACAAGTACTGCGCTCGAGTGGTACCCGGCAAGCAGATCAGCGTCTACGAGCTGCCTACTATGGGTCTGCTCGACAAGAAGAGCATTGCAATCGAAGGTGTTGTCGATTTCGAGTGGTGTCCTCTGAGCGACAAGGACAAAGATGCGATCGAGGCGTGGGGAGATGGGACCAACCCCGCCAAGGGAGCTCGCAAGCCCAGGGAAAACATGATCTGCTTCTGGCTGCCCGAGGTTGCGAACCAACCTGCTCGCACTTCCGTCATGTCGATCCCCTCCAGAGACATTGTCAGATCCAAGAATCTGTTCAATGTCTCGGATGCCAAGATCCACTGGCATCCGCAAGGAGACTACCTTTGCGTCAAGGTTGACCGTCACACAAAGACTGGAAAGTCTCTCTTTTGCAATTTTGAGCTCTTCAGGATGCGGGAGAAGGATTTCCCCGTCGAGTCTGTCGAGCTCAAAGGTGAGTGCCAGCAGTCCGATGTTGCGCGACGATGCCCGGCTGACCTTTTGCGTTGCCGTTTGTAGACCCGGTCACTGCATTCGCTTGGGAACCCCAAGGTTCTCACTTTGCCGTCATTTCGTCCAACGACCCCAACCTTGGTGTGCAAGCACCGGGCATCACCGTCAAGACGCAGCTTAACTTCTTCCACATCGATCCCAAGAAGGGCGACTTCCGCCTGCAAAAGATGATCGATGGAAAGACGTTCAACACCGTCTTTTGGTCGCCCAAGGGTCGTCACGTCGTCGTAGCTACGCTGGGCAGCGGACAAAAGTTCGACCTGGAGTGGTACGATGTCGACTTTAATTTGGAGCTGAGACAGGGCAACGCGGCTACTGATGCGGCTGAAGATGTCAAGCTGATCGGATCTGGGGAGCACTACGGCATCACTGATCTGGAGTGGGATCCCTCGGGTCGCTTTGTGGCGACCAGCGCATCCGTCTGGAGACATACCTTGGAGAACGGGTATGCAATTTGGGACTTTAAGGGGCAAGAGCTTCAAAAGCACGTGCTTGACCGTTTCAAGCAGATTCTCTGGAGACCTCGACCTCGCTCGTTGTTGAGCAAAGATCAGATGAAGGCGGTCAGGCGCAACCTGCGCGACATCGGCAAGCAGTTCGAGGCAGAGGACGAAGCGGAAGAATCTCAATTGGCGCTGAAGAATAGAGAATTGTACGAGCGCGTGCTGGAAGAGTGGCGCGCTTGGCGCTCTAGAGCGAAGAAGGAGTTGGCGGAGATGAGACAGGACTTGGGAAGAGAGGTCGTTGCGCTGCCCGAACAGCTGGAGGAGGAAGCGACCGAGACGGTGCAGGAATGGTTGGAGGAGATTCTCGAGGAGACTGAAGAAGTCATCGTTGGTTGATCCGCACGTGCATCTCATCCATCGCGCGCTTACCCTCCCAGTCCCCTGTATGCCCTTCCCTTGCTCGCACTTGCCCCAAGAAGCTCAACTTCGCGACATGGCCTTGTCACGTGTGTGTACCTCTTGTCAATGTCATGCCCTTCACATCCATTTCTCTCGCCTGGGGTCCGGAATGAAGGGAAACGCATCAAGCATCCGTACAGGCGAGTCGAGCTTGAAGCCTACTTGTCATTGTTCCAGTCTTTTGAGTGTGTTGCGTGTGCCAAGGAACAGGTAAAGCGGGAGATGAGGACGGGCGGGGGGGATGCGAAGAGGAAAAAGGGGAACATCCAGGGGAAAGAAAAGAGTCGCGTGGCGCGCATTAAGAGAGAGAGAAGTGGAGGGGCCAAAGTGCGTTCGAGCTTGTAAGACCTTTGTATCTGTGTGGGGTGCTACACGAGCGAACAAAGAGCGAGGAAAAAGGGGGCCGTCGAGGTAAGGCAAGGGGAAAATAGTGTCCAATGTGATCTTCAAAGACAGCTGTGCTGAGAATGATGTAAAGGTATGGGGTGCGGGTAACGAGCGTGTGGAGAATTAGGAATGTGCAAGAGAGCTGCCTCTACGAAAGTGCCAATCCAAGCGCAGCAACTGCTCAAGAAGAGATGGGTTGGGCAGAAAGAGCGAATCCTTCCGCTTGCGAGTAAGTCACCAGCTCGGCCTTTTGGGATGGCGCGTCCATGGCCAAGCTTCCATTGGGGGTCAAAGCAAGACCTGCGCTGCTGGCGTCCGTGGATCGCGTCGATGCGGATCCATGAGAACCGTCGTCGTCGCGCTCCTGAGAGCCTTCGCTGGGATGAGCGCTCAGCGCACGGCCGTCTTCCGAAGGACGCTCAGCACTGCGGGCTGCGTCTGTCGTGGTGACGGGACGCAGAGCTGCAGCGTCGACCTGCTCGGCTTTGCCATTGGTGACTATGGTCGGCTTGATTGGGGCAGGAGTGGAGCTCTGAAATGCTGCTCTTGTACCAAAGCCTGCCGCGCTCATCTCGGGATTTACGTAAGCTCTGGCAATGCGCATGTCCTCCTGCGAAGGGCTCGCAACAACACTCTTGGGTGGGGCCTGCAGCTTGGCTGGCATCTGCGCTGGACGGGGCTGCGAAAGTTGCTGAATGCTAGTGGTGGGAGACGCATCCGGCGAAGTCTTCGGGGGCGTAGGCGAAGAAGGAGCGCTAGCTGTGCGATCTCTAGCAGTCTTGAAGCTATCCGCGGGCGTCGACCTTCCAGAGGCTCCAACACCTGCCGGGGCATTGCTTCTTTTTGCAGAGACACCAGTCTTTGCTGCAGCTGCCGAGGAAGCTTGGCTACCAGGCGGTGGCGCGCGTGGAGCGAAGCGAGCCATAAAGCGTGCAAACTTGCCCCCTTTGGAGGTATTGCCAAGCTCGTCAGACGAGCCAGGTCGTCTGTTGGAGGGCAAGACGACGTTGGAAGCGCTCTTGCTGGCCGGTAGACTGGCGCGGTAAGATGCGGGCGCAGTAGACTTTTGCTTGCCGCCAGCTGCGGTGGGCAAAGGCTGAGCTGGAAGCTTCGGAACAGGTGGGTCTGGACCCTGGCTTGCTGCGGCATTGCGAACATCTGGCGAAGTAGCAGTACGAAGGATCTGCTTAGCAGGCACAGTCGCAGGCTTGCCCGACGAAGGTGTTGGCTGTTGCTGAGCGGCCTTCTGCGAGCTAGTCGCACTCGCAGGCGAAGCGCTCTTCTGCGGTCCGGCGTTCATCAACGTGGCCGGATCGAGGCTGCTGCCCTTGGCTCGTGTTGCGGAATCTGCGCTGGCAGAGCCCTTGCTGGTGCTGGTCAGGTCGACAGCGGAAGCCGAGGCAACGGGCAGAGTAGCGCTAGGCGACGGCTTGACCTCCGTGCTGTTGGTCTTCTTGCCTCCAAAGAAGGACTTGCGAGCAGCGCGTCCGAACGTCGCAAATGGCGACAGGTGATCTCCTGCTCCCGCGGTTGGAGCAGAGGTCTGCCCCTGCTTCGTTTGAGGTGAACGAGGAGCTGTTGCGCCCTTTGCTTGTTCCACGTCAAGCTTCGCAGGCGCCGTCGAGGAGGGTAGGCGGAGCGGTGCTGGTGCTGCTAGCGAAGTGGAGGATTGCTGTTGAGATTCGACAGACGCGCTCAGAGGGCTAGGAGTCTTCGTCAGGGTAGTTCGGCTAGCCGTGGTCGATGCGTCGGGCGTCTTCGTACTTGGTGTGTTGCTCAGACGATGTCCAGCCTTTTCCTTGGATGCTCCAGCTCCCATCGAGTCCTGCGACTGTTGTAGCTGTTGCAAAGCGATCTTTGCATCCGCCGCAGCAAAGCCGACGTCTTGCTCGGTGTTGATCGCACGAGCAGCAGCAGAGCTGCTAGGAGGGTGAGCAGACGAACCAGAACCAGTCGAGGCTGCCTTTTCCTTCAATCCCGTCGAGCTAGTCTTCGGAGTGACGGTCCTACTGGGAGCTCTGGAGCCAAAAGGTGTCGAACGACCGCTTTTGAGCGGCTTGGTTAGACCTTGATGCATCGTCTCTGGATTGTGCATGCTCATCTGGAGTACGCTTCGCTTGGGCGTACCGTTCGCCAAGCCACCCGCAACATCGCCGGTGCTAGCATTGCTAGGTCCCCGAGAGCGCGCATTTGCAGCCACCTGGTTTGGCGTGTGGTAAACGCTCGTGCGGTTGGCATACGTGCCGCTCACGTCGTAAGGTGAGTCACCACCCATCGTTGGAATGCCAAATGGGTCTGTGCCCTCGAGGCCTTCGGCTCTGCGAGGTGGCAAAGACGGGTAAGGACCTGCTCCGAGGCCTGCGAGCATGTCATGGGGCAGGCCCGACAGCTTGGCTTTCTGCGTAGCGTATGGGGAGCCTCCAGGGACATTCAAAGACGACTGGGATCGGCGCTGCGCAAGAACATCTAGCGTTAGCACGAGTGCAAGTCAACATGTGCGACGCTCGGCATCAACTCACGGGATCGAAGCGAGGCAAGTCGGCGCCACTTATGCGAGGACTTCCATTGCGGCTAGAGCCAGGCGATCCGCTCGCATATCCTCCGTTTGCGAAAGGAGGCTGCGGCGCGGTCAGGGGAGCCAAAGGTTGCATAAGCTGGTTCATGACGGGCAGACTAGCCTGGCTAGAGTTGGTCGTTGCGGAAAAGTTGGGTCCCACTTGACCCAGGACGCTCATCATGGATGCGCGTCGAGCTTCGGGCGTCAGACTTCCAGGCACGCCGTTGTACGGGTAGTTTGGATCTTGCTGTTGAGCAGTCAACATGGCCTCTGCGGCGATTTCGGAGGCGAGCAGGTCCAATTGACGCGTATCTTGATACCTACGTCGTCTTCCCATAGTGCCTCCGGGCGTGGCAGTACCGCTACCGCTCGCAATGCTCATCGTCTCAGCCAAATCAGCATTGGAAGCTTCGGCAAGACTGACGGTTGACATGTCCGCTCTCGAGGCTCTGCGAGACGAGGCAGCCGAAGAGGCACCCGCCTTCTTCTTGTTCTTCTTCTCCGCCTTCAAATCCGCTTTGCTAGGTTTGCTCGTTGACGATTCGCTGGCATTTGCGCTGCTGCCAAAGCCCATAAAGGTGCGGCGCCTCGACTGTTTCTTGATGCTGGGGGTAGGGCTAGGCGCAGGTGACACCTTCGTTCCATCTTGATCGTTGATCACTGCACCCAAAGAGAGCCCAGAGTCGGGGCTGAGTGGTCGAGCGTCGACCTCCATAGCCTCAGCGATCGCTTCTTGCGCTGTGCGACCTGCAGCTTGAGCGCGAGCTGCAGCCAGAATCCTTTGACCGGCTTCTGCCACCATCGCCTCGTGCGACTGAGGGTCGGGTACGCTGCCATTCAAAGCACGTCTCGCTTGTCCAGTGCTAGGGCCTGCGAGGCTCGCGCGCGCATTCGGCGGTGAGCCACGAGAGTATGTTGCTGTGGAAGGAGGAGCAAAGCTGCTGCTAAAGATGGGCTGGCCGATCGTAGAGCTCTGAGCATGCGCCTTTACGGCCGCAGTACCGCCAACTTCCCTCATAGCTCTGGCCTCCTGCGTCGCCCGTAGCTCTGCAAGCTTCGCCTCCTCTTCGTCCGTCAAGACCGCGTGCGAGGTCTCTTCAAATGGCTCCACCGCCACGCCCATAATATTGTTGCTGTCCCAATTCGCACCGCTCTTGTACTTGCCTTTGGGCTTTTCCAACGCTGCGCGATCTAGCTTGCCTCGTCCGCTGCCAGGTGTGGAAGGAGATGCGAGCGAGCCTTCGTCATTACCATTCTGACTTGTGCGAGAGGTGATGAGGGAGAGCACTCGACCGCTGGATGTGCTTCTTGTTCGCGTCTTTGCAGGTCTAGTGGAGCTCTGAGGAGAGCTCGGAGTGGCGTCGCTGCTTCGTGATTTCTTGGAGAAAGAGCGGGATGGTATGTCGCCAGCAGGAATCTCGATGGCCAAGGGTTCAGATTTCGGGCTCACTTCCTCTGCCACTCCAATCTCGCTTGCAGGCACCTCCACCTCTTTGCCATTCAGCTCTGCTGGCGGATTTGAGGATGACATGGCGTCTTTGCGAAGCTCACAAATCTTGGATGAGATCGCTCAGACCTTGCAGGGAGGGCCAGACAGCTGCGTGCCTACGGATTTGCGGTGCTGTCGCCTATCGCGCCAGCAAAGAGCAAGGGCTGAGATGCCTGCAGAGTCGTTGTCCGCGCTGCCCCAGAGCGCTTGTTTGTTGGCAAGGCGCGACCTTGAGGTTCAGCGAGACGGGCAGCCAGCCAAGAGCAGAGACTTGACTCGTGGCGTGTCAGAAGATGACCCGGACAGATCGTCTCAGAGATAAGCTGCAGAGGTGCAAACCTCTTAGCGATCCCTACTGGTGGTTCTTTGCGGAAGCGCTAATGTGGACTCTTGCAATTGTGATTGCAGGCCACAGAGAGGCAGCGGCGCCAGTCAGTCACTTTGACGGTGCGAGTCGTCTCTGAGTGATGAGGCTGAGACGGGCCGAGGTGCGACGAATGCGCACAATGAGCTCAGACAAGCCGCGCCTATACAAGTGAGGCGGCCAAATTGAAAAGGCGGACTGCGACTGAATATGCTGGCTCTATATAGTTGGGCTGGGCTGGGCGTCGTCGTCGGATTGCCGCGCCCTTGGCTTGCAAATGTATGACAGACCTGCGAATTTCCACAAGATTGCTCACTATATAGCAAAAAAGTGAGCTAGTGTAGATGCGAGATCTGATGGGGCTTGATTATTGCGTCTTTTGCGAGACCTGCTTCGGTGCAGCCGAGACACCGCGTTTTCAGTGACGCGTGCAGGCGGAGAGCGCGGCTGCGATTGGTACTTTTGTGGGCTCGAGACCGTCGACGAGGCGTAAAGGTATTGAGCGGCCCTGCTGACCGTGCGACCGGGTGTCCTAGCTGAGCTTCGAGACTTGCTTGGTCGCAAGGGCTGACTGCGCTCAGGTATAGAAGATTTGCGCCTCTTTTGTCGATAAGCCGATCCGAACCGCGCCGCCTCACCGTACGCGATGGGTTGCAAGGGGGTCACCCGTGTTGTCGAGATGCGGAGGCTATGTACACCGCTACGACGAGACGCGCTTTGGCCGCACTGGTGACTGACTGCCACTTCCTTCGTATTTGTGTATGTGTAGGGATGCCTCGTCCAAGCTGTATACGTGAGAGATGCTTGGACGGTTGGGCAGGCAGAGTGTGAGAGGTGAAGCAGAGGAGCAGAAGGATGTGAGCCAGCTGTCTCCGTCCTTCGTTACGGGTGAAGTCTGGAAGAGAAGGGTCTGACCATAGGTTTGCGCGTCTGTGTGCGTTTGTGTGGACGAGGTGCAAGTTTGCTGTGTCGGCGTGCGTGAGTGCTACGGATGTCCGCTTGCGCACAGAGGAGTGCGTCTGATTGATTTCGTGATGATCGAAACCCAAACTTCTCTCGGATTGCGTCCGCACACACACACCGGGGTGGGATGGCACGTCTGCCGGTACTCTACGCGGTATTGAGATCTGTTGCAGACGCTTGGGTACCGATGTAGGGTCAGGGTCTGGTGCCGTGCAACAGCGCTCAGGTGCGGGCGCTTCCTCAAATCTCTCCTGATGTCGGGCCTCGCTCCGACTGCCTGCAGCAGCATGCAGCGACAGCCGACAGCTCTTGGTTCCAAGCTACGTACGCGAAGGCCCAAGAGAAGGGGCGGAATCTCACGCCAGGCAATTGACTGTGCATACAGTGCCTGGACCGTGACGTGTCTACAGCTCGAGGGTTTGCGGCTGCTGCATGGCGAACGTCAAGCCCCTCTTCCGCTCTTCGGTTGCCCGTCGCTAAAACCGTCCGCCCAACACGCGCATCCCTCAAAGCCTGCCACTTCCGCTTCTGCTCATCCTGTGCTCATCTTCTCTCTCTCGAGAGAGAGAGAGAGATCGGATGCAGGGCCTGCATGCAGCAAATAAGGCAAGGCGTTTAGAGGATCGCGCGTGCGCATGCGACGATGCACTCACACACTCGTGACTCACGACTCACGACTCTTCTGCAGCCGCGGTTCTTCCTCTCTCCAGGGGCGCGCGACGGCGCGTGCTGCATATATGCTGGGTCAACAAGCATCAGACGCACGCCACGGCACGCTGCGTGCGCGGTTCAAGCGGCTCTTGAAGCGCTCGCTGCATGCTGCAGCTGCTGTCCTCGAAGCACAGCACACATCACTTTGCAAGCCATGCTCGACGTTCGACACGCCCTTTCTTTCGCAGCTCCTTCACATCCAGTCACGAGTTCGGCACCAGCCATCCAGACTGGGCTGTGCGGGTTATGGCAGACAAAGATGTACATACATGCGCCTGCTCACGCGCTGCTAACTAGACTCTCGTCTGATGCGAGTCAAATGACCATCGATAGCCTGCCGATTGGTCCTCTTGCCCCGATGGCGCTCACGACGGGTGTCATTGATGGCCTTCAGCTGCATCAGCTGGCGCCTTGCTGTATCTCTGCGCCGCTAGAGCAGCGCACAACAGATGGACGGATCTCGACGAGAATCTGTAGGAAGGTCTGAGCGAGGAGCACTCACGACTCGCGAGGTCACGAGTACGGTACAGTAGTCACGAGTGAAGAGTCGTGAGCTTTGACGCCGCTCCGTTGCTGAACGCCTTTCCAAGCCTCGTCGCCAACCGCCAAGCAATCGCAGCGCTTGCCCAGACCGCAGGACGTCACAGGCTCACCCTCTGTTGTCGCTCCTCCGTGACCAAATATAGGTGCAATGTGTGCACATCTCTTAAGACTTACACACGTACGTCAACGTCATCAACTCACAGCTCCAAGAGGACGAAAGCGGCCCAAGCACAAGCGGCAGGCTCGGGGCTCCAGCGTTTGCAGATCCTCTTGCTGGTGAAGTGAAAGACATGCATACAATGTACATTCACATTATCTTACGAAACCCGACCCCCGGCACATCTGTCGAAGCAGCAGCACGTTCGCCTGCTCAGATGCATCATCACAACAGTCACGAGTCTTCAGCAAGAGGTGCAGCGACGCAAAAGGCGAAGGAAGGAAGCTCTTGGTACTCAAGACTGCAAACATTTGTGATTCTCTCACACTCGCGACTCGAACTGTACCGGTGCCTCGTTTAGCAGGCGTGGGAAGAGGAAGGTCGAGCCGGGGCCTGCAAGAGGACTGACGACTCAGACTGCTCGTCGTACGATACGCGGCAGAGCACTGGCACTACTGTGTCGGCATGTATGCGGTGCTCGCAAATGCGGCTACCCTGCATATCAAGTGCGCGCCTTGGCATTCGACTGCATCCGACGAAGCCAGCGCGGAGGCAGATACCGAGTATGCCATGCAGTACGCTCCAGGGAGGGCCCTTTGTGGCTTGACACTCGGTTGGCCAAGGCTCTAGCCGAGAGGCCTCTTTGCATGGAGATCCCATGCAGCTAAAGCTACAGACGCATCGCCAACGCACGCGGCTTAAGAGTCGTGCAATTCTCGGCATACCTTGTGTGGATCACGAACGCTCGCGCACTTTGCAGCTGAAGTCACAGTGGGTGCATGGTGAGCAGTGACAGAGGAGAGGAAGAGAGGCAAAGCGAGATGGACCGTCGCTCTGAGGTTCTCTCGGCACGCTCATAGTGCGCCCAACATTTGCGCAGAGCCGGCTTCTGATGCATTCACATCCAATATAGTCACGATTTGGAAACCGGAAAACGCTTCTTCATGCTCGGCGCTTCGAAATTTGTATCAAGGAGGCAAAGAGTGGCGTGGCTAGGTCGAACTTTTAAATGCGCTGTTGATCGATCAGGAGCGATCGAGTCAAGAATAAAGGGTCTGAATGTCGCTCACGTATTCGTTTGTCAGTCTTGATTTCACAACCGACAAATGCCCGATCCCAAACCATCTAAGCAGAGGTGCAGCAGCAGCAGCAGCACATGTTGTGAATTCGATGAGGAGGAACAATTAAGCCATGCCAAGATCGCTCTGTGCTAGACACGCGATGCTCACGACTTACCTCTGTGTCCCAAAATCTCGCATCCTCTCTCTCTCCACCCGAGTGGTCGTGAATCTCGCGTCCTCTCTCTCTCCACCCGAGTGGGCGTGAAATTTCGCACAATGTTGCTTCGCGCATCCATCTGAATGTCATGTCGATCGAACGTCGATCGGTCGGTACAAGAGCAGCTTCTGGCCAAGTGAACGATGACGAGCGATCGACATTCGACATTGTCGAATGACTGCTCCGAACACATCCTTCAGGCAAAATTAACAGATGCTCAACCCTGGATTCAAAGAGGGCAAGGCCGCGTCTGCTTCCATCTTCCGCCTTTGTGCTAAACGCCAAGATATTGAAATGAATGTCGTGCCTGGGCCAACTCTGATTCCGAGGATGATGCATCACACGTCCATGCTCGATGCTTGATACGATCGTGAATTCGCACTAGGCTGCCAACGGCGCTACACTTTTCCCCTTGATCGACCCAAGCTTGTTCACATCTTTGCTGCTGGCACGTGCAAAGCTGCCGCTCCATCATCGACTGGCGTGAGATGGAGTTGCAAGCGAGAGTGTCCTCGAGCGAATCGCCGAGGGCGCCAGAAGCCACCATCTCGCCCTCTGTCCCGCTTTGAGTGCGAACATCTATCAGATGTAAAAAAGAATGACAAACGAGCTCAAGTTGACGAATAAGCGGCGCTGCTAGTTTGGGTTGCGGACGCGCATAGTATTGGGAAAGAAATTCGGTGGTTCAAGAAGGAGAAGAACGTCAAGTGAGGCATACATGTGCGGAAGGCCGAACAAACAGACAGACATGAGGGTGGAAAAGGAGGTCCACGGTTGCGAAACGAAGGAAGGAGGGAGAAAGGGGGGACAACGTCTTGGGCGAGAATAGGGTTGCAGAGTCACAAGAGGAAAAGTTCGGTCCCACAAACGACGTTCCGAGGGTCGGACTTCGGAAAATGCGAGTGCCTGCCTGTGACTCGTCTTTGTATTCCGATCAGTCCTTGCGGTGGAAGAGGCTATGTTTGCGTTTTTGTTCTTCAGGAACCACCTTGACGTGTGGATGATCAGCCTGATCTCCAGGTCTAGCATCCACAAGCACATGCGCGCAAGTTCTGATTCCCTTCAACCATTCGTCTCCCGTATCATCGTCATCTTCAAATTCGTCTTGCAACCTCTGCAAACCACCTGGACTCGTGATGCCCGTCGAAGCGTGGCTAGGTTGATGGTGGTCGCCAAGCCCGTTCAGCTTGTCCGTGCTAGGCGTGCGCGACATGACCGGCGTCCTAGTCAAGGGCGAATCCCCATCGGAGAATCTTCGTCCTCTTAGCAGATCCCCAAGCGTGCAGCGCAAGCTAGGCTCCACTGCCATCATGCGACTCAAAGCTGATCTCGTTTCTCGAGGCAAGAGACGAAAGATGGAGTCCGCTGCGCCGGATGTGAAGGTAGCTACGGAGGAAACGCTATCTTGCCGAGTAGGCTTGCGGTGCCTCAGATCGGGCGATAGAGGTCTGGAGGTGGGATCTGCACCTCTGCTTTGCGCAGAGACGGAAGGCGACGCCCCATCGATCGGCGAAGCGGTCGTGACGAGCCCAGTTGAAGTGGCGCGCGCAGGGTCTTGTCCGCTCGTAGCGTTTCCATCCAGATTGTCAAAGGAGCTTTCGTGGCTACCTCCGTGCACAGAAGTGTAGCCTGCCTCCTCAGCTGTGCGAATCACGGGCGCATCATCTGGGCTTGCAATCGACCCAAGAACATTGTCTCCAGCAGGCGTAGGTGTTCCAGAGGAGTTGACCGCTGTGCTGCCCCGTCTGCTGCTCGGGTCGCTTCCAACAATCGCAAGATCAGGATGCTCAGGTGCCTGACAAAGCTCTGGATGCGAAGCGACATACAGGCGGAAGCTTGGGTCCGTCTTGGGGTCGGGCAGCTTCCAAGGGAACCTCCGGAGCACCATACAAAGGAAGATGATCGCGCAAGACCACACGTCCGTCAAGCGAGGGTCGTAAGTTTGCTGAGACAGCACCTCAGGTGCCAAGTAAGGATCCGATCCAACCACGCCGGTAGCCACCACTTTGGACTTTCCGGGGGAATGAAACACCGTCGCGGTGCCGAAATCGATCAGCTTGACAATGTTCGAAGTGTTCATGACGCAATTGTCCAGCTTTAGATCTCGATGTGCTAGACCCATGCTGTGCAGATAATCCACTCCGTCCACGATCTGCCTGAAAACGCAGTAGATCTCTTGTCTGCACATCTTGCCGCTCATGACGACGCTAAAGAGATCATACGGTGCATACTCCATGACCTCGTAGTAGTGTCCGTGGTCGGAGATGATGTCCAGCGTCTCGATGATGTTGACGTGATGCAGCGTCGATCCGATGCAGAATTCCGCAGTGACCTTTTTGATGTACTCCTTCTCATTCTCGCCCGGTCTTCTTTGTCTAAACTCCTTTACGGCAAACGTAGTGTGGTCTTTGCTGCGCTTGATGAGACGCACTGTACCTCCTGCTCCCGAGCCTAGCACTTTGCCCCACTTGCCGTACTTCTTCGCCAGATGCGCATGATCGTCGCCGAGCGGAGGCGAGTCGTGGCCCTTTCTCCTTCCTCCGCTCGGCGTCAAGGAGCCAGAGCTGGAGCGGGTGTGGGTATCGCTGTGGTGTCCAATGTGGTTTTGCAAGAACTGTGAGGTCAAACGCGGTGTCAGCATTGCGGACACACAGAAGGCGTACATTGACGCTCTGATCTAAACACACGACTCACGCGGCGCAGGTCGACGAGGGGATTGTGCGTATCTTTCCGCTTGGGACCTTTGAGCGAGCCCGAACCTTTGCCATGCCCATGATCATCCGTACCGCTTCCCTGCGCATCACCAGGCGTATTGGTGCCGCTAGTTGCTGCACCAGGCACATCAGAGTGTTTCCTTGCTCCCAGCTTGGGAAAGATGAACTGAGAAGGCGTAGCTGTTCCGGTTGCAGCGTCCACTCCTCGCGCACCTGCCAGGCCTGCCGCGCCAGGCCCTATCCCTGCCGAAGCATGCCTCGCACTACTGATCACGGGCGACAGACTGTTAGATCTAGGCCCGGAAGCGCCGCCTGAAAAGGTCTCGGTCAGAGGCGAAGTGTGGATAGGTCCTCCTGTGCCTGCAGGTGCAGCGATTTCTGTACCAGCAGCGGGACCAGAGACGTTCATCTGCTTTAGAACTCCAACATTGTTGAGACGAGTTTCGTGCGCAAAGTTGCTTGGTCCTCCTAGACTGACAGCATTCGCCAACTCCGCTCCTCCTCCTGGAAGATTGGGAACCTGAACCGATTTGAGAGCGGGAGAGACGACGGCATTGGTACCTGCTGGAGATCCATCCGCCGGTGTACCAGCTCCTTGTGGGATGGGCGATTTACCAGTCACTTCGTAACCGGGACCATCCGTCTTTTCTTTCAAGTGCAATCTGCCGGCATCCGTAGCCAGCTGGACTGCACCATCATCGTCGCCGTCGCCGTTGCTGCCTGCTTCGTGGCCTACGATGGCCTCCATGGGTCGAGCGGAGAGCATAATGTCGTGCGAGCAGGCTTGCTGCGTATGGCGCACAATGAATGTAGTCTAGATCCACACAAAGGCGGGAACCCTAGTATGTATAGACGGCCAGAGTAGTCCTGAGAGGTGAGATGGTGTGAAGGCGCTTGGTGGAAATACGACGGGTAAGCTGCGTTCTACGTCCACATGATACGTGGGATGAATGAATGACAACTCAGAATGTCATCCGATGCAATCGAGCGTGCGTTGTGAGTGTGTCTGCGATGATGGTGTGGATCACCCAAACTGCTGCATGAAACATCCGACCCCTCCATTCACATTCGGTCTCGAAAAGGCAAGGGCAGCATCCCACATTCACGATTCACGATTTCGCATTCAATTCGCCAGACTTGAACCATCGTACGCGCGGCACCATCCACGCTACGACGTACGCGGCAAGCAGACATGCCGAACAAAGCCGCGCCTTTCCTTTCCCTCCGTCAATACTATAATACGTACGTAACCGCGTAGGATTCGTGATTTGGGCGTCAGTCACAGTCAAGAGTCGGGCGTGCGGCGTGGCGGCGTGCGGCGCTGCGATCACAGAGAAAAGCCGCACCGTACCGCGTGCGTCCCGTTGCGTCAGCAGCAACTCAGGGCGGTCTTTTCCACTTTGCTAGCTCGCTCGCTCGCTCGATGGCTCCGCGCGACGCCTCCCTCGACTTGCTCACTCGTCGCTGCTCGGCGTCATCCGGCGTGCGCATAAACGCAACGCATGCAGCGAGCAAGGTGTGAGTGAGGTCAAGGGTGTGTGTACCGGTCGGTATACCCGTGAGTCACGACGAGTTGTCCATGCGGTCACCAGCAGCAGCAGCTATATACAGCTAGCTACGCAGCACGTACACATGCGCCCAACCCAAAAGCAAGAAAACGTGCGAATTACGTTTTCATGTCCCCCGCCTGCTGCTGCTCCGTCGGAGAAGACGATTTGTTCGGCCGGCGACCCCGGCTCGAGCCTTTGCGCTGCATGCGCAGACCATCGCACACGCGCAGCTCCACATGCGCGCGCGCCCGGCTGCATAGCGGGCGCGAAGCCGAGAACACGTGCAGAAATTCAAGTCTTCATGAGAAGTCACGTGTCATTCGAACTTCTCGCTTGCATGGCCTTAAGTTGCGTCTTGATCTGAAAGGAGTCAATACAACACGGCTTCCAAAAGAAATCAAAACTAAAATGAGTGAATGAAGGATCAAGAATAATCGTCAATGATGTGAGTTGTTGTGAAACACATGCCTGATGAGAAGAAGCGCGCGCGAAGGTCAGCTCGAGATCCGCCCAACTGTCCACCATCGCAAGTCACGACTGCCTACCTCGGGTCTGTACATCTACTTCTTGCTTCGTATCTTCCTTCTCCACTCATCACTATCCATTGGCACATTCCTCTTTCTCATCATATCCGCACGTAAGCAAAAGGCATCAGCTTCAGCTCTTCAGTTCGTCTCCAATTCTCGACGTTAGAGCTCATTGGGACCTCCATAGCGCGAGGTACAAAGGTCCTTCTCCAGCATATCCGCCTCCTTTGACAATGTCAGCGTTGCGGGCTACGAGATGCTTGCGAGCGGCGACGCCGGTCTCATTGGTCGGTCTAGAGGGGGAGAGTCTCTCAGCCGCGCGTACCTGGAATCGTTTCGCCCAGCGACAACTAAGTGGTCCACGCGAAGGATCCGACCCATTTCAGCCCGTCAAGAACGCAGAGACAGAGGCCTGGTGGCCCCCTCTCTATTCTGGTCGACGACAAAAGAAGATAGCCTTAGCTGCTCTCAGCCTGGGAAAATTGGACGAATTACCTCGAGGGACAAAGGTGGACAAGTTGAGGGATAGCTTGTCCAACGTAGACTTGGCTAGGGATAGCGCTCCGCCGGCTTCTTTGCTCGCGAGCGAAATCACCATCACGCAGGAAGAGTTGGAAGCTGCGAGCACATCCGAGACCTCTGCTACCTCTACCTCTGAAAAAGGTAGCAAAAAGGAAAGCACAGAGACGCTTAGACAACACGCATTGGCTCATGCCCAGGGTCTCGGTCCTTATAAGGGTAGAAGCTTGAAAAAGCTTTTCAAGGGACGTCAAGCTGACAAACTTGGCGCGCAGAGAAAGTTGGATGTGCAGGCAAAGATGGCAAATATGGACAAGAACATCGAAGAGTGGAAGGAGGTGAGTCCAAGGCTGCACCGTGTGACGCATGGAAAAATGTGATCGTGTTGCGGTAGTCATTGACTGGTCTGGCTAGTGGGAAGGTGTGGTCGCCGCGGAAAAGTCAATGAAAGCGCGCTCTCTCATCGCTGATCCCTTTGCATCTCTTCTGCGCGCATTTCTAGGGTCTCCAGGAGGCGAAGCAGAAGAAGAGGAGCAAAGTGCCATTCTAAGAGCACGTGTGAGGTTTTGAACACGCCATGGGAGAGGGCGCGCTGCGACGACGACGGACTGGATTGCCAATTCGAAGGCAAAGACGACGAATTTGTTGCGATTCACCGCCGCTCTCGCGAGAACAGACTTTGAACGCTGCTGACGTCAATATGACATCAGGCTCTTAATCACACATCATCGATGTCCCTATTCTCAACCCTTAACAGATAGCATGTAGTATATTTGCGCATGAGTGCGCCTGCATGCATGGCAGACAGCGCCGTACAAGAGCCACTTTACTGCAGATAAGTATCGAGCGATTCGCCCAGGATGCCCTCGATGAGGCCGACGAGATGATTGGTAGCCTCGAGCGTAGCCTGGTCGTCGGCATCGAGCAGCTCGCTGATGTGCGGCACGCTCTCTGGCGTCAGACCGAGCAGGGTGCTCGCCAACTCCTCTGTTGACCATATTTCTGCCAAGGCCGTGAGCGCAGCCACCTTTACGCGATGATCGCGCGTTCGACTGAGCGTCAACAAGAGATTGTTGAGATGCTTTAGCGACTTTTCGTCTGGTACCGCCTGCGCGAGAGCGCCAATGACGTCGCACACGTGTCGAGTCTGCGAGGAGATCGAAGGACGGTCCCTGCCGCCGACCGTTGGCAAGCTGACCGTCGCTGGATGTTTGGCTGCGCCCGTCAACTGAGCAATGACCGCTGGTGCAGTTCGAGACAGTCGGGTCGGAGACCAGAAGGAACCCGTGTCGTGCTGCGCGCTCCTCTTCAGACTGCCGAGCACACTGTGCCACAGCAAACCTTGCGACGACCCATCGTCTTGTCGAAGCGTGCCTTGAGCGAAGCCGTCTAGAATCCCTATGCTTAGATCCAGCACGCTCGAGTAATAGCTCGCAAACAGACCCTTGAGCGCGTCCAGTAATCCGTTGATGAGCTTGTAAAGCACCAAGCGCCTGGCAACCAGGTCGAGGTCGTTCAAGGGTTTCTCCTCCCCGTCATCATCCTCCAGCAGATCCTGCGCAGCCCAATCGTAGGTCCGGAGGAAGAGCGGTCGGAAAGTCGTCTCGTTGAGCTTCAATACGAGGTGGACGAAAGCGTCTACGCAATGATCTTCCACCTTGCCCAGGTCTGCAGCCGAAAGCTCCTTGGCATGCTCGCGGCGCAGGTCAAAGACCCGCACCAAGAAGCGGTACACCGGTTTGTACACCGAGAGCAAGTCTTCCTTGCTAGACATGCGTACCAGGCGATCGGTAAAGTAGAGCACGGCAAGGTGCTCGTGCGTGGATGACCGCGGGGCTTTCTCCCACCTGGAGGATATCATTTCCAAGACTTGCTGCGCTGGTATCTGCTTGACGTAGACGTTCACCAATTTGTTGAATGCTTGCCGGAGAGGACTGGACTCGAGTTTGGCTGCTTGAAGCGCTCGGTTTCCTGCAATCTCGATGACATCGTTGAGATAGCTAGGCATGAATGTTGGAACAGCAGACACCAGGCCTGACAACGTGTCGAATGCGTCACGAGAGTTGAGGTGACCCGCTTCCAGGCTTTGTCGAGCACAGAGCAGACAGAACGGCGCCAAAGCGGATAAGTGCGGGATCAGGCGTGGTCCGAGCTTGCGCGACAATGGCAAGGTTACGCGCAACATGGCGTCCCGCAATGATTGATCGGCCCTGCCCAAATCTACGAGTGCGGGGAGGCAGGAAGATAGTGCAGCATGCTCAGAGGGCACACAGGTGCCGGCTAGCGATTCGAGGGCACGAAGCGCAGTTTGAAGCGTTGCCGCATCAGACGTCGAGCGTGGCAGTGTCTCGGCGATGAAAGTGATGATCTTTGGGGTACGATCTGCGATGAGGTCGCGGGCATCCTGTTTGAGGCGCGGCAGGCGCGTAGAGACTAGCTCCAGACCGCTACGATTGGCTGCAGGATCGCGATCGGCAATGAAGCTAATGACAAAATCGATGAACATGCTTGGCGGAGCAATGCGGACCAGCGAGCTGGCAATCTCGCGTGCTGATGAACCGATGTCGGTATCTCTGATCGAAGCCAGCTCCAAAGCCCGTCGAATGACCAGAAGTGTGCTGTTTGCAATAGACTTGCTGGCTTTGCTGCGCGTTTCGGATCCCTCAACATTCGCCACGCTAGTAGTCAGCGATCGCAAAGTCAGCGCTTGGCGCACAAGCGATGTTAGAGCTCTGATGCGGCGAATAGCTTCTGGGTGCTTGCCCGTGTGCTCTTCGTCGAGTCTCGAAAAGGGATCTAGGAAAGTATGAGCTTGAGCGTCCGTGAGAGGTTCGTCTCTATGCTTCCACAGCCTTGAGGCTTCGTCGAGAACTTGCACGACAGCATGAAGCTGAACGGTGGGTGAGCATGCTTCGAAGACAGCGATAGGCAATGCCAACGTGGCGCTCGCATCGCTTGGAGACTGCTTGACAACCTTGTGCGCCACTTGGTCCACGAGAAGCATGGTGACAGCCGACAAGAACTCGTCGGCGCCCAAGACCTCGACCAACAGCTGGAACAGCACATCCCGTCGATGCCTTGGCACATGTGTCGCCGCGTCTGTGAAAATGCAGATGAACGGTCGAGCGTGCTGCAAGAGCTGAAGATGTGCGTCTGTTTTGTCGGCGGTGCCTGCTGGTCGCAGAGATTTGACAAGTGGCGGCAAAATCGAGCGCAGTACCCGCTCCACAACGCTGAAGCTGAGCGCGTCGTCGCGCTGCAAGACGGACACTCCAACGAAGGTGAAGATGGGCATGGCGTTGTGAATGACGGCTTCAGGGGCCAGGGCGACCACCTTGGTGAGCAGGAGTAGAGCCTGATTGAAGGTTTGGGGATTCGAAGATGCCTTGACGACGTTGACGACGATATCAGGGCGTAGCGACTGGACCAGTTCCGTGCTCGCTTGGTCGCTGGGGACTGCTCCAAGAGTATTATGAAGGCAAGTGAGACAGGCCTGTAGGGTGTGATCCGCATTGAACGCTTGAGAAGTATGCATCTCTGTGCTGACTCTTAGCACTTCAAACAGCTCCGCAATGAGATCTGGCTGGGCACCTAATTTGCGGTCAGCGATCGACTCCAGGATGAAGGTAAGCGTGGCCGCCCTGCGAGGAAGCGTTGCCTCGCCTCCTTCGACCGAAGTTGCGTCTTCCGTACGTGCTCTCTTCGACGCAGGAGCGTTTAGAGTGGTGTAGGCCAGAGAGCTGCGCAAGTCAGAAATAACGGGAACGAGCCACGCTGTCTCGACTTTGAGCGCACGCAAGACTCGAGAGACTTGGGCAATGCTCTCGTGAGATGGCGATGTCGCAACGCTGGAAAGTAGCTCGAACATCTCTTTGGAGTGCGCCAAGGACAGGTGTCTTGCGAGGCGCTCTTCGAGGGCCGAGCAAGCTTGCTTTTGCAGGAAAGTGACAGAGCTGGTAATCGCCTCTTTAAAGACCGACCAGGATCCTTCGACGTTGCGATCGATGCTGGACTTGCTAGAGCCGTCAAACGTGCTGAGGAGCAGCTGGGCATACCTCTCGATGAAGCTTCCATACGCAGCCTTTGGAGTGAGAGATTGCATTAGCGAACGAAGCAGCGGTACCGCTATTAGCAGCTTCGAGGCGTCCGGAACGCCGCGAAGAGCGTCCAGAAGCGCGGTACGTGCGCCGTTCGAGGGCCAACATGCCACATGCGATAACAAGAAGCTTAATACACTGCGCTTGTATCTGATTCAGGAGACGGCGTTCCGGCACGTTAGCTGTCCGAATCATCTTCGGCGAGATCACTGCCTATTTGTAAACTTACCCGCTATCGTGCTTGCTGTCCTCCCGTTTGATGGCTAGGCGCTCGCTCAGCCAAGCAGGCAAATACTGCGCATCGTGGCGGAAGGATTGTGCGCTCATCGCTAGATCAGAACACAGCTGAGCAGCGTCCTTCGTCTGAAGGTACTTGAGGCCGGAGCTATTGTTCCGACCATACAGTCGATCAAAAGCAAAGATTTCCGCGTTGCCGGAATCAGCAGCTGTGCTCGCGACCTTGCCCACGGTCTCGATGCAGCTGAGAGCCGCGTGTCTGATCGACGTGTCTACATCGTTGAGCGCGAGCAAAAGCGCAGGTAGAATGACCTGAAAGTCCACCTGGCGACCTGCCTGACCGCCCGGAGCCGCTTGGAATGCTTGCAGGAAAGCATGCGCGTGGCGCAGAGCAAGTGATCGAGTAGAGAGCGGAACGTCGGTATTTGGGCGCGTGATCGTGGAACACCACACACTCGCCAGGAAAGACAGAGTAGAGTCTTTTAGCCGGACAAAGAGAGCAGCCAGCATTTCGCGGCCCAGAGCGGGCGCCGCTTTCGAGTTCGCCACCGTGTACGCCGTGGTTGCAAGCTTGAGCACAGGCGAGTCGTTGCCAAGGCAGAAGTCGGTGGCAGGTACTGCCTTTTCCTCGACTGGAAGCCTTTGGACTATGCTCAGGGCGAGCTCCCTGAACACCGCTGCACGTGTATGCGCAGATCCGTGACGCGAGAAGATAGCCTCTGAGGTGCTAGGTAACAAACCAGCATCAGAAGGAGTGTTCGAACCAGAATCGGTGTGCACGGATATGTCGACCGCATCTAAAGCTCGTTGTGCGATGCTTGCAAACATGTGCGCATCCTTGACGAGAGCCGGCGAAGACAGGAGAGCCTTCAACACCGCTGCCGACAGCAGAGCTGCGCTCCGCTCGTGATGGGTAGCATCTGCAGAGACGTTCAACGATTTGATCATCCACCTCACCAGTTCTTTGTAGTGTTCGGACGTGGGCTCATAGCTCTCCATAGAGCCTGCGATGACAGCAATCCGTTTCTGATTCGTTGCAGCCGTGTCTTCGGCCGCAGAAAGCTTCGACATCTTGACCAGCAGGTCGTTGTCCAGACTGCGCGCAGCGGGAGCTGTTGATGCTCGGATCGTCTTGAGCCCCTCAATCAGCTCTTCGTTGGCTTTCTGATGACTCTTGCTCAGCAATAATCGTGGCCAGATGACCGACTGCAGGATGGATCGGGAGCATTCGGGTCCGACTTGCTCGATTTCGTCAACGAGGAAAGCCACAAGGTGCTTGACGCACCCTCGCTCAAGCTTCGACGCTTGGAGCTGCACGCGAACGATTTGCAAGCATTCGCTGGGCGAAATGCTCTTCAAAACGACACCGCTAGATAGTAAGAGCTCCAAAACTTCTGCACTGCTGTCATGAAGACGAGCGCGTACAGCGTCCTTGACAAAAGCGTCCTGAGCATCAACTGCGCCTGCCTTGACCGCTTGGATAAGAGCGCGAAGCGCGACCAGACGCACGCTAGCTTCCGCATCGTTGACGCCGAGCCACGACGGGCCGTTTGCATCTTCGTCCTTCACATCGGCACCTGCACCAGCGCGCAGAACAGCGCGAAGGGAAGCTTCCACCTTGGCTCGAGAGGCAGCATCGACGTTCTTGCCAAGCAGGCCTCGCACCGCCAAGTCGAATTCGCTCGCTTGCTCTTGTCGGACATGCGCCAGGACGACGATTCGAGCACGGTCGCACGCGGGATCTGTACTGCCTCCCGTCGACAGCAACGACTCTAGGATCTCTTTTCGCAGATCATCGGGAGTCGAGGCGCTGGCCAAAAGCGTGCTGAGTGCATCTGTCGCTGCCGGCACCTTTCCGAGAGTCGATCGAACGGCCGGCAAAAAGTGTTGCAAGAAAGGTCGCAGGGCATAACGCGCGCCTGCAGCGCGCAGCTCAGCTACAGTGTGCGTCATGGTGAGAAAAGTGGAGACCGCTTGCTCCGAGACGAGCTGAGCTGTTGACTCCGACGCAGGGCGTTCTGCGCTTGATAGTAGCGTCAAGAGCACAGCGACCAGTCCGCGTTGCAGGGTGGGAGTGTCGCGCAAATGTGCGGGAGTCTCAACTAGAAGCGCGTCCAGAGTAGCGCGAATAGCAGCCTCGGAAAGCGGAAAGGAAGAGCCGAGAGCGCAAATGACCATCATGCCTCCAAGTCTGGCTTCTTCCGTCTTGCTAGAACTGGCTACTGCAGTAGCAGCTGGCAGCAGGATGGGCAGAAGGTCTTGAGCTTCGGGTCTCTTCTGACCTGCTCTGCGAGAAGCATTCGATGCTCTCATCTCTCCGCTCGAAAGGGTGCCGGCCCATCGCAAGCAAAGCTGACTCAGGGTGGCCGTCCAGAAGGAGACGAGGGCTCGATGCGCGTGACCACTGTTGGGCGGCAAGAGTGATGTGATGAAGCGCAGAGTGTCCAGGCTGGGTGTGGTATGCGCAGGGCCAAGGAACGCCGCAACCAGTACAGACGAGGGCAGAGGCGTTCCTCTCTTCTGCAAAGGCTTCAGGAAGGCCAGAGGCGCATGATCTTCAAGCTTGACGATCTGGAGCATGCGAGCGAATTGAGAAGTTTGATGGTACGGCAGAAAGACGCCGACAAGTGCTAGCGTATTGAACTCGTATATGCTGCGAGCGCGCAAGTAGTCTGCTCAGCCAAGACCCCGCCATGTAAGGAGAGACTCAGCAAGACTCACCGAAATCGCCTCACCAGCCATTCCAAGCACTTGGATACAGGCTTGCTCAACAGCTCAGGCGCGACGAGCTTCAGCCACTGCTCGATGAGCTCATCTGTTTCTTGATTCTCGTCGGATGTGCGTACCGCCCTATCAAATCTCTTGCTCTGCTCCCCAAACAGCTGTTCCGCCCCTTCCCACTCGTTGTACCTGCCATTGGACGCGACTAGCTCCGCCCATCCATTCTGGCCTATAGCATGGACTGTGTCGAGGTCTTGCGTGGCGGCAGTGGATGTTGGAAAGAGGTACGAGACTTGATTGGTGAGAGCCGCGGAACTTTTGAGCCTCCCAGCATTGACGCTGCGGATGCCTGCCAGCTGAGCGGCAAGCGTCGACGTCATTGTGACGTGGGGAAGGCCTCTTCAATCGCCGCGCAACAAAGCGAGCTCCTTCCTTGAACCTAATGAGTCCGCCAGAAAACAAGAGATGTCGGTGTAGGTGTAAGTGTGGGTGTGCTGAGACAAGTCGCGTGTGCTGTCGCGGCCCTCTTGCTCTTTTGTCAGCGCAGGGACGCCGCTTTCCAACAATTTTTTCTTCCACCGGATCACGTGATTGTCCGCACACGTCTCAAGTCCGCGGATCGCCGAGCGAGCAACGCGGGACGTAGACACACGCGTCATCAACTCACGCCTTTCCTCCACCTTGCCCATCCGGTTTGGACGAATAATCACCTACAAACGTCACAGGTGACGCCTGATATCATTCAATTACCAAGACTTTCACAGCAAGCAGCGACAAATGCGATCAAGCTGGATACAGGGATAATCAGACAGTACTTAGACATCTCACAGTCAACAAGATGCCGCCCAGAAAGAGACCTCAGCAGGGTTCGACTTCTTCCGATGTCGCGGAAAAGTTGAACGAAGTTCCACCACCTCCGCCAGACAAGAAGATCGGTCCCTTTCTTCGATTCTTGAAGCATGTGAGTCGAGATTGAGTGATCTCGTGACATCAAGGTCTCCAATTGATCTCATCGCGACGACGGACAGACCCAAGGAGTGGTGACAGCAAGCACAACGATTGGCGTGCTGTGCTTGCGCAACACGCATTCTTTGTACTACGTCGCCGGAGCGCTGGGTACTGGATGGGTTGGTGAGCATCGGCAAAGCCTTCCTGCGATGTCCGCATGCGTGACGCTCATGCTCACCTGCCGTGCAAATCCGTCCCTCCCCAGCAAAACTTCTGAAGAAGGTCATCAAGCAGCCCAGACCGCAAGGCTCCGCCGTGACAAAGACTCACGGTATGCCCTCGACCCATTCCTCGTGAGACGATGCCCCTCCTTGCCCATCCTGATCGCCTCCGAACGACATCTGACACGTGCATTATTCCTCAGTACCATGACCTTCATGTGTCTGTACCTGGCATTGGCCTTGCCAAAAGACTACTTCCCGCTTCAAGTCGGAGTCATTTTGATTGCGCCTACCGTCATGTGGTCGCGCGTGCAACTGGGACTGCACACCCCAGCTCAGACACTGGCTGGCGCTGCTCTGGGCACCGTCTCAGCTTTATCGCTGAGCGTGCTCTGGCATGGCACAAACGCTAGTGCAGGGCCGGCTTGGCTCTCCGACGGTCTGAGCACCGTGCTTGTGCCCAGTACAGACAGATGGCTTACTCAGATAGAAGGCACAATTCGAAAACGCGTCGGATTGTAAGAGGGCCGATGAAGGTTTTTTTTTGTTCTCCGGCTCCCTGCACCCTTACTACACCTCAAGTGAGGCTGGCGCTCCAAGACCTGACACTGCTCAATGCTATCTTATGCGTAGTGTACATTTCAAAATGTGGTGATTTGCCTGTCATGGATCGGAACGCCACGTCTTTGCAGTCTCTGGCCCCCCCCTTTGGCCCTTCCCTTTCTCTACATCCAATCGTCGTCCTTATCGTCGGGCTCATCCAGCGTGCCTTCCTCGCGGACAAGCTGCTCGAAGCTGGCCATCTGAACCAGTGCCACTTGTTTGCGGCTTTGTTGGGTCGGAGGAGGCGTTTCCATGTCATCATTGGGCATATTCTCATCCACTGCTGGCACGAAAGGTTCGACGCTCTTAGCAGAAAGGGGCACCGCTCCTTGAAGCGCCTCAAGATTGAGCGCTACCAAGCGCCCGTCGAGCTTGCGCGTGGCTGGGCGATCGGCTCCGCTCGACTGGCGCTTGTTGGGCTGCCAATTCTTGCATTTCCTGCGTGGTAGCAGATGGGATTGTCAGCGACGTGATCACTCAGCAGCAAGGTGACAAAGCGGAACTCACTCTTCAGAAAGATTGTACAAACGTTTCAGGTGGTTCCGGAGCAGTAGCGCAACGCCCATTACGAGAGCTGCGCGGGAGGTCGCGAGCGTGCCACCCTTGCGCCTTTGTCCGCTTCGCGTCGACGCTCGAGGCTGAGAAAGATCCACAAGCTGCGAGAAGTCTCCGACAGATGACAATTCGGAGGAGAGGGCTTGACTGTGACCGTCGAGAAAATCGGCCGGGTTTCCTTGATTTTGAGGGCCTTCGCTGGTCATCTCATCAACTTCGATCGCATCAGCGTCTTCGCTGAAATCCTCTTCGTCCCCAGAATCTTCACGGTTGAGCTCGTCTTCGACCTGCGAGTGAATCATCATGCCCGTAACGCTGAGTATAGTGCGCAGAAAGCCGATCACGCTAAACACCTCCTCCAGTGTCTTGTACTCGAGAGCGGCAAGGTTCTCGGCAATGTACCGAGCGAAGAGCACTTCGCCTCCCGAGCACCTTCCCGATGCAGTGTTGACGTCCAGAGCTTTGACGACGGCACGCAGGAAGTCAAGGCGCGTGTTGCGCTTATCCCGCAGCAGGGAGTACCATCCTCGCAGAGCAGCTACCGGAGTCTCGCTTCGCTCCAGAAAGCGATGACCCCGGACCGGTCCATTGCTCTGCAGCACAGTCTGATAGTCGAAAGACTCTTTCGCGAAGTCCAGATACCGAGCTGCCAATATCGAGGCGTGCTTCGACGAAAGATAGTCGTGCAGTGCAAGAGCTTTGGCAGAGATGGAGGTGTCTGGCACAGTTTCCAGAGCAATGAGCGTCGGAACGCACTGCAGCGGATGGGATACACCTTGGTGCACGGTGAACTTGAGGATGTCCATGCCCGTCCGTTGAATGGATGGATTGTAGACGTCTCTTGCAGCCTCGAGGAAGTTTGACAAATAGGCTTGGATGAGTGCAGCGCTTACACCGGTGTCGGCGAAGGTTTCCGTGTTGCCGATTAGTTCATTCATCTCCACCTTTTGCGGTGTTGCAATGAGCGTCGCCGAATTTGACAAGCTCGCACGGTTCTTCGCGTTGGCGGCCTCTGGTGAGCTTCGCCTCTGTTCGCTGGTCAAGAACTCGCGGACGATGCGTAGCAACAGATCTCGCTCGCCAGCGTCGCCATCACGGAAGACTCTCGACATAATCTTGCGAGTCGAGTCTTTCGTAATGAGACCCGGATGCGCTCGGAACATGAAGCCCAAGCTTTGCAACGCGGTCGTCTGAAAGGCCCGATCTGGCGACGCTTGATACAGACCAAGTACGAGGGCAAAGACTTCTTCTACGACTGACTTTTCGCCGCAAAGCGCGCGCAAGTCATGCTTTCGGTCTTCATCCTCACTTGCAATCTTATCGAAGTCGGCGTGCTCGCACAACAGCGCTATCATCGACATCAACAATCGAGCTGTAGCATCCGGCTTGGTGTCCGGATTTGCCGCCAACGTGTTGCGTACTGCTCGAAGGCGGTGCAAGCACAGTCTCAGCGTTTTGATCAGGTACTGATAGTGATGCGTGTGCGTCTTGATGACCGTGCAGTATGCAGCGATCAATTCTTGCAGAACTGGCGCAGCAGGTTTCGCCGGTGGCTTGCTGACTAGCGGAGTCATAGTCTGCTCAAGGGATTCTGCAAACGACAATGCAGTCTTCGGCATGTGCGGCAGGCAGGCGCGGAATATGCGAAGCAGATATTCCATGATGGTATAGTCCTCTGGCGTAGAAGCGCTCTTGAGAAAGGGCTGCAGCGCGCGCGCCTTCGCTATGGTGATGATGCTCGGATTGGTAGAAGCAAGCAAGTGCACCGTGCGGATGCGCTCAACAACGTCCTTAGCTTGAAGCTCGTGCGCGTCTACCAGACTGTCCACCATGGCGTCGCTAAGTTCTCGGAGACGTGCTAGTAGAGCAGGGGCTTGCGCTGGCTCACAACGTGACATGATGCGCTCCAAAACAGCTTCAAGCGGAGATGGCTTCTCACGGATCAAACCAGCCACCGCAATGAGAGTCTGTATCTTACCCTCAAAGCTAGTGTCCGAGACGAATACCGCGGCATCATCTGCGTCGTCGATGATGGCCTCAGCAACATCTTCCTCCTCTGGCTTCGAGCTTAAAAGTGCTGCGCCTGACTTCGGTCTTCCAGGTTTGCCTTCAGAAGGAGCGGCAAGGTTGAGCCAGAGCGATCCGATGGTGCCGACGGCAAGTTCTTGCATCCCATTGTCTTCGTCAAAGACGCAGCGCACAATCCGTACGCAGGCGTCGATCCGTGTTGATTGTATGCGCGAGGTGGCATAGATGCTTGCTAGCAATCGCAAAGCCCGCTTACGAACGGAAAGTCCGGCATCATTGACTCGTTCGCACAGTACAGGGTACTGAGACTCGAGGCGTTCGGGCAGCCGCAAAGCATATCGCCCAAGCAGAGCGAGTGCGGCCTCGCGGACACTAGCGCTTTCGTCGTACAAGCGCGTCTCAATCGCCGCTCTAATGTCGACGTCATCCAACAAATTATCATCGACGACTGCGCTACGGCCCAGACTCCGAAGAGCCCGCGTTCGATTGCCAACAGCTTGCCCGTCGAGCGCTGTGATGAGACTGCGCACGAGATACTCCTGCGTGACCATAAAGGCACTCGATGCTCCTACTTCCTCACAAACCAGCAAGATGGCGCGGTAGTCCTCTTCTGAGCGCGTTTCAAAGACGTTGCCTTGTGTGATGAGGCGACTGCCGGCTCTCTCGCCGACGTTCGTCAAAGATCGCGCTAGGGCGCTGATGAAGGTCTGGATGCGTTCTAGACGTCGTGCGCTGCGTCCAATTTCGATCACGATGCCATCTCCAGCCGGGTCTTCACCTTCCTCTTCGTGCTCTCGCTCAGCTGCATCGCAAGCATCCGAAGCACGCACGAGAGCGGCGGCAAGTTCGCAGCCCCACTGCGAAAGGGTGAATTCGCTCGCGGTTTCTGCGGCTTGATCGTCCGATTCAGCAGCTGCGAGATGTTCCAAGACAGCAGCGTACGCGCCGTTGAGAAGATCAAGCTGACCTTCGTGTAGCGACCTTTCGATCTCTAGGATGGTTGGAATCGCGCGTGTCTGTTGATGTCCGTGCTCACTCTTGCCGGAGAACTTGATGCGCAGCTGAATTTCCTGCAGACGCGCAGCGACCGGCCCGATTTGGTCAAGCGCGACGCCGCGAGCGTCTGGAGTGGACTTTGGATCGTCCAGACTTGCGATGAAGCTTCGACACAGACTGGTCAACAAGAGTCCAGCTGCTGGCCATTCTGGAAGGAAAAGAGTAGCAAGAAGATCGTTGACGAGGTTCTCGACGATGGCCGCGTAGCTGTTGTCTGAGCCAGTCTTGACCACTTTGCCACTAGAGTTCACTCTAACGACGATAAGATCAAAATGCAAGACGTCAGCACCAGAGCTGTGCTTCTTCGACTAGTGTCCGACTCACCTCTGCATCAGATACGCGGCAACCTCTCTCGCAGCCTGCTTCGCTCCATCGAGTGCTCGGCTCCATTGCCCTATCTCGAGACGCACGCCGTCCTCGTCCCTCTCCTCATCTGATAAGTTTTGATTGGCGCTCCGCGAGTCTGGATGAGCACTTTGCCTACTGCCAAAAATTGAGCTTTGGAAAGCGACAGCCCGCCCCTGCGAGGCGGCTTGGATCAGTTGAAGAAGTAGCGCAGTGACTGAGTGGATCGATTTGCCGGTGCGCAATGCGTGTTGTCGACGAGACTTGCGCATGTCGGGTAATTTAATTAGGCTTGTCAAAATCTCCTCGACGATCCACTGCCGCATGTCCTGATGCCTGGCAAAGACGTTTCGCAGCAGATTTAGGCAAGGCAGTCTGAGACTCCGCATGGCTCCCAAGCCTGCTCCAAGTACAGTCATCGCTTGTCGTCCTCTTGCAGCGCCTTTTGCAGCTTCTGACTTGCCCTCCGACAAACCTCCAGACTCGGGCTCCAGCACGAAGAAGGGTTGAATGCCAGCATAGACGGCGCTGATGACAAGAGACTCAGATAAGGCCATGTTCTGCAGCTTGACCAGTCGCTGAATTTGACCAAGAGCGCTGCAAGTACTTTTGAATAATCGAGCAAAAGCATCCGCACAAGCCTGGGCGCCAGGATTTCTGCCAGATTCGGCCGGATCCGCAACGTGCTTGCCAGACTTGGTCGATGCTTTAGTCCGACCCTTTTTCGCAGCGGTGGGCGCAAGGTCGTGGACGAGTAGATGCAGCAGAGGATGGACAGCGTTGCTTCCTCCGCCAGCGCATGCTTCGATAAAAGGCAAGATGGCTCGCTCGAGCGAATGTTTGATGGCATCGAAGGCTGGTCGCACGATGTCTTCCGAGGCCAAGTGTTTGGGTAGTTCATCACCTGTCAAGATGGTGAGACAGCAGTCCGCTGCTAAAACGCCATACGTGATGAGGTTGATCCTGCCGCTCAGAGCGAGTTGTTGAGTGACAGGGTCGTCATCTAAAGGTGGGGTGCCCAACGAGCTGGCCGCTGCGCTGGGAGAGCGCCCAGGCATAGAGGCTGATGCATCGCCTCTATCGAATCCGCCGCTCGCACGCTGATTATGATGTGCGTCCTGGTCTTCCTCCTCAAGAGGAGGAGTGGCATCGCTGTCCCTTGCCGGTGATCTAGATGCCGATCCCGAAGAGCCTCTGGCTCTTTTGTTCGCGCCCCGCGCCTTGCCTTGTCCGTTCGCTTTGCGCTTTGTCTTGGCTTTCGCTCTGGAAGCTACCGCTGAAGAAGCATCCATGACAGGTAGCACCTCCACATTCTCAGCAATACGGACTGCGCGCTCCACAATCCTCAGCAAGCGGCCCAGTCGCTGAGGATCAAGGTCAGATAGTCTGGCAGGTGCGCCAGGGATTTGTTGCTTTTCTGGCGAGGCGCTGGCTGCTCTACCACCAGCCGACGGCACGCGAATCCTCGCAGCAGCGCGGATGGCGCGTTGCAGATCGCGCAGCACGCTCGACTTGGGCACACCAGTGCCCATTTGAAGTTCGAAGAATTGGTCGCTTGGCGGCGGCAGGTGGGTGCTCGAATCCATGTTCGCGAGATCGCTGCGATCTGGCAGACTGTCGTCAGCTTCGAACAAGTCTTCCATCAAGTCGCTTAATCTCTGAGTGGGGGCTGCAGGGTACAACGGGCCTTAGCTGGCAGAGCGCAACGAGCACGCACGCAGCCCAAAGTACTCACCTCGTCTTGTCGCACTTTTCACAAGCCCTCCACTAATTCGCACCATGGTCCCGTGACGCCGACCCCGGCTAGCCGACGTCGAAGGCGTCTTGTTCTGCCCGGAGCTAGAGGTCAAGATGAGATCCACATCGTCGCTTTCGTAATCGCTGCCCTCGGCATCTGCCGAGTCCCACTGATCATCGTATTCCTGGTCATCATCATAGTCTGCTGCAGCTCCAAGTGGACTGCCGACCTTGAAGCGCGATTTCTGATCAACAGGGCCTGACACGACCACGTTCGAAGGAGTCTCTTGGCTACGCGGCGTGGCGAGTCCTGCCGAGCGTTCACGCGGCCATGTGCCGGACGGCAGCGATGGGACATCGACGTAGATCTCCTGACGCTTCATTGGCGAGCGAACCACAGCACCTGACTTCTTGCCAGGACTCGGCGTTCTCACTTGAGCAACCTTGGGCTTAGGCGGCCTGTTCTTGTCCTTGAATTTGCGGTCTACGACGACTTCAGCGCTGCCGTCGTTGAAAGGATGTTTGGGAGGTTTGGAAGGGCTCTGGCCCCACAAATTAGTCCCGCTCTGCTGCAAGGCTAACGGACTGCCGTCGTTGCTGTGCATCAAGTGCGACGGCAGCCGACTGGCAGATGGAACGCCGCTGCGCAGGCCCGACGCTGGCGAAAGCACATTCAGAGGGTCTGGTGATTCCATTAGGATGCCAGGTGGAGGATGTGATCTGGGTGGAGTACTAGGCGGAACAGTGTGACCTGCGTTCCATGCACCCGAAAAGAGCCCTGGTCCAAAAGCCACCGAGCCAGAGCCAAAGCCCTGCTGATGTGGAATCGAGGTCTGCGAGGAAGAAATATGGCTATTGTCTGCATACTGCTCCTGTGGTCGCCCCTGTCCTGATGCTGGCCTCATTTGATTGACTTGATGTGATGCGGCTGCCTGGCTAAGTCGAGGGTCTTGGGAAGCAGGTCTCCACGAGGGACTTGGCTGGGGCGGCATAGCTTTCGCATACTGCGCTTGATCCCGAGGATCGATTCTTTGAGATTGTGACGGGTGCGCGTGGCTCTTTGGGGGCGAGAACGTGAGGGCATCTGAGAGCGAAGAGCGATATGCCGCAGGTGGAGGGACTGAAGGCTCTCCATGGCTTCTTTGAGCTTCGATTGCAGGCCCGGCGTGAGGAGTATATAGCTGACCGCTTTTGCAGCCGGGAACAGGCGTAGCGCGAAGGCAATTGATCATGTCAGCCGACGTTGCGAGACCATCTAATCTGCATAGCAGCCACGCACCTGCTTCCGCTCGAAGGGTTGTGTCCGTGCGATTTAGGGGCTGCAGGAGAAAACGCTTTGAAAGAAGGAGTCATTGGCGGACTGAACGCTGTCTCGAGATTGCCTTGCCGCGAGATCGTCTCGGAAGCTGTGAAGCGGGCATTCATGATCAGCGCCCGACAGACCACCTCACCACCAAGCCTCGCGAGCCTTTTCAGAGGCACGCGGCGCCTGGCTGCCCCTGCGATGCACCTCTGCGCCTCCCCTTCATTCGTTCCGAGAGTGATTGCAGCGCTCAAGGTACTCACAAGATCCTTGCGATTGGGCCAGGTTGTTCTTCTGCGCTGTTGCTTGCTGCTGCGAGGGCCCAGGAACAGCCCGAGACGCATTGAAAGGACCCTGCGCAGCATTCGCATTGTATGGAGGCGACAAGCCAAGCGCATACAGCGATGCTAACGGATCCGAGCGAGAAAGCTGGCCATTCTTGTGGGTCGTCTGTGGGATTTGTTGTGTATGCTGGGATATGACTGGCTGCAAACGTGCTCCAGGAGGACCTGCAATGCTTGACTGAGGCGTCGTGTGCGTGGTGGGTGGCTGTGACATGGCTTGATAGCCGTGCCCTTGAGGCCAGTCTGGTGAGAGCTGGCTCGAGGATGGTGTGGGAGGGATCAGGTGGGCATGTGGATGAGACGGAAAGGAAGGCTGGCTAAATGCGCTAGAGCGGGGCTGATGAGCCTGCGGACGCAGGTTCGAGGAAGAAGGCAGGGTGCCTGGCGCAAGGGAAGTGGGGTTCGAGGGTGAGACAATCCAGCTGTTGTCTGGTCGGTAGAAAGTAGATGAGGGGAAGTCGGTCGCTCCGTTGGCGAGCGGAGCTTGATTGGCAGCAGGTGATGAGCTCCAAGGGGCCGACGTAAAGTTCTGAGATCCATGATGTCTGCCTGGAAATTGTTGCGTTGCAGGATTGGAATGTTCTCGTGCTTGCACATTCGGAGTATGGGGCATTCGTGATGACTGAGCAGGCTGTGCAGAAGGCGAGCTGCCCCGCAGAGGCAGGTTCTGCTGAAATTGATGATGTGATTGATGCTGATGAAAGGAGGGCGATTGAGCCGGCAGCCCGGGAAGCTGCAGTTGGGCTGAAGTCTGAGAGGAGCCAGGTGCCATCTGAAACTGATTAAATCGATCAACCTCTGCATGCTCCGAAGTGGGCCATCCTGAAGCAGGCTGTCGATTTGGAATTGCTGCCGGCGTGACATGTTCAAGTTGATTCTGATGGAACTGATGAGTGTTCCGCTGATGCTGCTGCTGCTGCTGGGAAGCTACAGACTCCTGTGCCGTTTGCTGAGGCCAGCCAGAACCTCCGCTGAAAGGCCAGCGGTGCATCCCGCCTAGCAGCGCCACGAAGCGCTTTGAACGAGTGGGCGATTGTAATGTGTGTGCTATCGCATCTGAAAAGCGCTTGAAGTCGTGAAGTCGTTGAGAGTAACCTCGTGTCCGCAATCCAGTCTTGAGTATTATAGAGCGGTCGGTGGATCGCTTATTAGCACGAGCTGATGAACATGGTGTGGCGTACGACTCAGGTGGATCAGATGTGTCTGAGGTCCGGCAGCTGGCTGTGTATATATGTGTACACAATGCTGCACATGTTCGCGATCATCGCATGCTGGTACGTGATTCAAGTCGCTTAGCCCGCGCCAACCGCGTAACGCGCACACCCGCGCGATAACCACGTCCACGCTGTGCGATGGAGAAGAGCGTTTGCTGCTGCGTCTGCGCATGCATGCACTCACGACTCGCGTCCTCCACGCGCCTATTTACGCGTCGCTGCAGTTCCTCACCAACGCGACGTACAGTCACACTCACTACTGTGTCAATCACGAATAGGCAAGTCCTGACTCGATCTGATTCTGATCGTGACTTAATCAAGACTCGTCTCCCCGCGGCTCTCCGCATTTCGCGTCTCGATCGCGTCTCGGGTCTTTCGATATGAAAGGCGCACACATGAGTCTTGAGCGATGCTGCCGCCTCGAAAGCCTCGAGCCTTATACCTAGACCGCGTCTACGCGAGCAGCCACAGCCATGCAGCCTCCTGACTGCTTCGACGCACACATTTGTCGCTTAAAAAGAAGCCGAGTAGGGTATATGTTTGTGTATGTATGCTCATATAGAGATGCATTGCGAAAACACATGGCAGAATAAGAGGGGGCAAGCCAGAAGAAAAGAAGAGCAGTGACATTCCGCTGAACCTGCGCGATGCTGAGATCACGAGACAACACGTTCTGAAGCAAGCATCTCATGCCCCGGGCAGGTACTATCGGGCAAAGGAGAACAATTCGGTAGCATTTGATCAGCGGCAGGTCGTGCGATGCGTTTGGCTTCGCCCGCGTGCAACCCAAGAACAGCGCGAGGCAGCTTGTGACTGACCTTATGCGGGTTAAAGATGCCCTTGGGATCGAACAGCTTCTTCAAATCCTGCATGATCCTAATGCTCTCGTCGCTCTTGGAATACCCTATCTTCTCCGCCTTCATCCTTCCCAGCCCATGTTCAGCGCTGATCGACCCATTGACATTCGAAGTCCATTCGTAGATGAACGGTTCTATCTCCCTCTCTGCTTCGTCCGAGTATTCCTTCGCCACGATGTTAATGTGCAAATTTCCATCTCCTATGTGACCGTAGCCTACGACGCTGCTGAACATCTTGTCGGCACCAAGGATGCCCTTGGACTCGAATCGGCTCCTCATCTCCTCCACCAACTCGTTCATCTTCTCCACAGGCATGGACAGGTCATACTTGTACACCCTGCCAGCCTTGCCCGCAGCTTCCGGAATGCTTTCCCTCAAGGCCCACAACTGAGAGATCTGAGTCGTATTCTCAGCTAACACGCCATCGTCCACCCATTCGTCCTCGATCAGCTCTTCCAGCAAAGCTGACAACTTCTCATCATCGTGGTCCTTGTTGCTACCTCCCGTCTCAATGAGCACATAGAAGGGATGCGCAGCTTCGAACGGATCTTTGACCCCGGCGGTGGCGTGACCCTTGACGAGAGACATGGCATGCGCATCAAAGAATTCGAAAGCTGACAAGATCTCTCCGAGTGATGCCTTGACTTTAGGGAAGAGCTTCTGAACAGCTTCGAATGAGTTGAGCCCAAAGACGGAGACGTTGAAAGCCGCTGGCCGACGAGGGGTTACGATGGAGACGCCAGTGATCAGGCCGATAGATCCCTCGCTTCCTATGAACAGCTGTTTCAGATCAAAGCCTGTGGCGAGCGAGTCAGGGTGGGGCATATTCGGTGAGCCAAGCGAGTCGCGCGAGTGTGCTCAGCTGATCGATGCCTCATTGTAGTAGCGACTCACCCGTATTATCTTTCCTCAACGTGCTGAGCCCATCCAAAATTCTCCCGTCCGGCAGCACCACCTCCAGCCCTAACACGTTTCCATGCAAGCTGCCATAGCGCAAGAATCTCAAGCCTCCAGCATTGGTCGCTACATTGCCACCGATGTGGCAAGATCCCTTGGCGCCCAAGTCTAGAGGCATCATGTAGCCCTTCTCGCCCACATGATTGTCAAGCACTTCCAAGACGCATCCCGCATCGCACACCAGCGTGCCTGCATCCAAGCCATCGTATGCATGGGTGTCAGCAATCTCATTGCTTGAAAAGAAAAAGCTCAGGGACCCAGCGAGCGTAATCTGCGCAGCTGCCATGCTTGACCATCCCCGCCACATCGCCGACTCACCGCTAACCTCGTCGAAACTCCTGATGTTGTTCAAGTTGGACAGGTTGATGACAACCTCGTCATGCACCGGCACGCCACCACCCACCAATCCCGTGTTGCCTCCCTGAGGTACAACAGCGATTCCATGCTCATAGCAGTAATTGACAACATCCGCCACTTCCTTTGTGGATTTGGGCTTGACGACCAACGGAGATTGGCCCTTGTACTTGTTCATCCAATCCGTGTTGAACGATTCCAAATCTGAAGCGTCCGCTGTGGGGATGGAAGAGTCGGAGGTGGAGATGGTGGTGAGGAGGGAAGAGGATGGAGCGGACAAGAGGGATGCGATGGACGTCACATGGTCCGCATTCAGCTTGGTAAAGTCTCTGCGACTGGGAGCGTGCGTAGCGAGATGCCTTCGTGTAGCCACTCGCAGGAAAGCGCCGGGCGGAGGCGCGCTGGATGACGCTCGACTGGCATGTCTTGAGGCGATGACGCTGTGACCCGCTCCGATACTTGTGGTTGGCGTGGCAAGAGCGGGAACTGCGAATGCGCAGCTCCGCGCAGCCGCCAGGGTTCTTAGTGTGGTGGGAGACATCGCTGCGCGAGAGCGTTGCTGAGGCCTATCCTTTGCCTTGTCCTTTCGTGCGCTTTTCTCGACAGACTCTAGATTAGGTCCAGATATTCAAGCTGGCTAGCAAGCACACGAGGCGCAAGTCGTGAGTTTTGAGTGTCAGAAAGCCGACCGTTTGAGAATCGTGGGTGTGACCCGAGCCTGAATGACAAGCTGATCTGTCCTGACCATAACTCGTAATTCATGGCTAACCTGATGAGCTTCCGACATTTCTCCCTCACCAAACCATAGGTCACGTGACCTTGCGCTGATGGTGTGGAGAAGCGTGTCAGGATGACACCCCACGTGGATAGCCCGTGCTCGGGGAATTCTTGTTTAGGAAGTGGACCGGCACAAGGCAGTCGCAATCGTGAAACAATGTTTGATGTGGAGCGGGATGAAGCAATGCTCCTCAATAGCCTCTTCCACCAACTCCATCGCCACGCAGAGCGACCATGTCTGCCCCACCTCCTCGGCGGCCTGACGGCAGCAGACCAGATGCGGACTCCGAGGGCACAAGCAAGGGGAAAAGGCGAGAGGGCTCTTCAGCAACAGCTTCTTCGAGCCGATTCGCCTTGCCAGTACCCACAGCTTCGGATCTTGCTGGCATGATGGTCTCGGGAGGTAAAGCTGTTCCTGGCGCTTCGGGTCTGCCAGGCGTAGACTCTCAGCAGGCGCAGTGGAACTCCGATGCTCGAGCAGCAGCAGCAGCAGCGGCTGCTGTGGGGGGTTCAAACACGGCAGGCTACGTCCCTGGCACAGCCACGTTCAGATCCGCAGGTCCGTCCGGCTCATCCACAGCGCACCCAACCGAGCATGCAATGAGCACCTTTGTGCACGGCAAAGCGCCAGATGAAGCGCAAGCGCAGGCTCAGGCTCGCGATGAAGGGCGTCAAGATGCAGAGGAAGGTCGTCGACTGCTCCGTTCGCCCGAACTGCTTGTCGGTCCCTATGCCCATGCCGAAGCGCTGGATCCCGCTCTTCACCATTCCGTGCGCACAGCTTCCAAAGCCTCCATGATGGATTCAGCCTGGCTCTCTTCCATCTACTCCAACTCTGGCACCTCGCAGAACCATCCGAACGAAAGTTCGCTACAAAGGACGTGGGAGCGGTCTTCCCTGCCGAGCCAGCAGATGGAAGGACCATCCGCCGCAGATCCGAGCTTGAACTTTATGGATGCGTTAGCTACGGACGAGGCGCTAGAAGCACCACAAGCGGCAGTCGCACCATTCGTGCCTCCCGCTCACGGCGTTCAAGCTCTCCCAGCAGGCTTGACAGATACATGGCGTCCGCCCACTCCTTCTCGACCTGGCGAGCTGACACTGGAGCAGCTAGAGCTGCATCGACAAGTAGCAGCAGCCCAAGATGATCAATTGCCTCACCTACCTCCCCTCACTTCGGAAGCTGATGCTTCTCAAAACGCGCTAGGCTCGAGAGCGGCCGAAAGTGTGGCGCCGCCGCGAGATGACGAGAGGTCAAGAACGGGTGTGTACGCATTAAATCCGGAAGATGCTCTGAGGGCCGTTTGGGATGGACCGGTGGAGGGAGAGAGAGCTAGACAGGTTACGAAAGCGAGTAGCAGTGATGCGCTAAGAGGCGGCGAAGGCAGTGTGGAGAGAGGCAAGCAGGTAGTAGGACGTGTTTTGACGTATATCGGGAGAGGGACGTATGTAGATGTGAGTATATCGTCCAGCCATTCAGCTTGCACAAATTCCGCGTCTGCCGACACTTTCGCTAATCAAACCGCCCGCTTGCTCTTTCGTCCGGGCGTAAAGGACGTGTATGGTCTACCGCCTTTTCTCGCGCAAGCACTCAAGGAGGCCACTTCGGAGACGCAAGATTCAGAGAGCGATGCCATGCGCGCTCGAGCCATTGCTCGTCTCGAGGCGCTCACAAGGCATCTGACCCTCAGCGATACCGATCGACAAGCAGGAACTGCGGACAAAACAGCAGCAGCCGAAAATTGGCTCCGGCGAAATTGAGTGTGCCTGTCCGGCTCCACCTGCGCAAGCCATTGACGAGGACAGCTTCTTGTAATACTGTAACGTAACGCATCGTATTGTAAGGCGCAAGGAAACCAAAGCAATGCAGCTCCGCATCTAATCTTCCCTAACATACCCAGCTGGGAACAGTCCGACTCTGCCATTCGCATCTCTTCCCTGCGCCCAGCCATCTCCAAAAGCCAAGCCTTTGCCCGTCAATTCTACCTGTTCCCCTTCGGTCAGGTCGATCTCGTCGGGCCCTTGAGCCGCATAATCGTAGAGCGCAGTGACTCGTTTGACTCGTGGTGTCTGTGCTGGTTTTGTCGCCCGGGAAGTAGGAGGTGGTCGAGCTGGAATGGGCGCTGGTGCGGTAGGTGCGGTAGAGACAGCGCTCTGATCGACGTATGAAGTGGGCACCAGACCCGACGAACCAGAAGCTGTTTGTACCCTTGACCAACCCCCATCGTCGCCAGCCAAGATGATCACAACCTCGTCCTCTGCGTTTTCGTATCAGATTGTGGGCGCAGGTGAGATGTGAGCACAAGAAGACGGATGAACTAGATGCATTCTGCTTACTTACCAGACACGCTGACCTCATCGTCTCCATTAGAATCGTACGCATAGAGCATCTTGCCGCTTGCTCCGCTCTGCTCGGAATCCTGAGCAGCAGCAGCCAATATAGCCGCAGCTCCTGATCCGTGCGGCGCAGTAGTGGTCGTGGGAGGCACAGCTCTAGCGGTAGGAGGAACAGATCTTCTATCCGCAGCAGCTGTAGGTCCGCCCACAATAGACGAACTGGCAGAAGCTACAGAAGCTCTGGAAGCCGTCGTTGCGGAGCGAGACAGACCGAGAGATACGCTCGTGCTGGGTCGATGAGTCTTGGAAGGCGCATTGCCTGCTCTACACCTCGCTGGCACTTTGGGCTCGCACTTCGCATGGCAGGCGTACCCACAAGCTGGGAACGCCGAGGCGGAGGGTAAGATCAGCTATCACACTCCCGGATAATCGCACCGTCTGTACGAGCTGCACTTACGTTTACATAGTAAGCCGTGCTTGCCGCTGATGCCCCACATGGTACTCTGAAAACAGGATTGCGCATTAATATGCTGACACGTGAGACTTCTGAAAGGTCTGGCTTACCTGACAAAAGCCACAAGTCGTAGGAATGGTGAAGCCGTGCGGTGTGAACTTGTGGGGTCTCGCATCGCTCGAGTCGTCTGGAGCCAAAAGAGCCGCAAACGCGGAGAAGATCTTGGGACATCAGCCATACCGCGATGTATCGTGTCCGCCGCTCTCGCAAACTGACCTCCTATGACTTGGACAATCTCTTCCGCTTCAGAGTCGGCCACAGAGGCTTGGAACTCGAGGAAGCAAGTCTCGCGAGCCGTCTCCAGCAGCTCTGGGAGGGACAATGATGGAGGACAAAGGTGTCACTTATTCGTCCACTGCTCGACGGGATCCTCCCGCTAGAGCTCACGATCCATCACATCGTCCACGTTGCCCAACTTCGAGTTTTCGAGGTAAGCACCGCGTAGGCGCTCGAGTCCTTCCGACTCTTTCCGCTTGGCTTCGATGATGGGGTACAGCTCGTCCAGCTGTACCGAGGGAAAGTTTCTCGAAGCATTAGAGAAGCAGGAATGAAAGCCGACCTTGCAGTCATTGCCCAAACTCACCCGACTTCTAGCTTTCAGTAATCTGTTCTGCAACAAGACCTTTGCGGCCTCTGTATTCCTAAATTCGGCGGTATCATAGAATCCCTTGCTTTCCTCGAACTGCTCGTCCGGCGGCTCCTGCCAGCCGTTGAGCTGCTTGTTTAGCTGCACATACAATGTCTGATCCGCTCCCACATCGACTCTTTGCCTCTCTCCTTCCGCTTCCTCCCAAACATCTTTAAGGCGACCGTGGTAATCTGCAGAGTGCTCGGAAGCGGAAGCTAGAGCGTCGACGATGCGGCTTGTAGAGAGCGTCCAAAGTTCTTGAAGATTCTGCCGCGAGCAACTCAGCACGCAAGGTAAATCTCCTTGTTTTAGCTTGATCATGCGATCGATGACGACTCACATCAGTCGTAGCGGGCAAAGACGCTCTATAAAAAGCTGCCTTTGCCCGGTTGGCATTGGATACGCTTAGCAGATATGCATTCTTTCGCGCTTCCATCGCTTCCTCTGCTTCCTGAAAGGCTCTTTGTGCTCGATCCACATGCTTGCCCTCCGCTTCTGCCGAGACCTTCTTTGCACGTGCGCTTTCCAATTCCACGCAAGAGTCGTCGTATTTGGACTTTGCCTGCAGGAAGGGATAGAAGGATGCGTGTTGGGTCGGAGGAAGCAAACGACTATGGGGGGGGGGGGGATTGAAGAGACACTCACGCTGAGCCGATCCTTGTACACTCGATCCCTCTCTGCTAACAATCTGCTCGCGAACGCAGCGTGCTTCTTGACTATCTCTGCTCTCTTCTTGGCTCCTCCGCCCAATTCTTGTCCCACGCCATCCAGCTGCTCTGCCAGTTCAGCTGCCGCATTCGCATGTTCGTCCGAAGCTCCGAGATTTTTGTTGACATATGCGAGCAAAGTGCTGCCGAGCGGGTACACATTTGAGGAAAGTCAATAATGCGTTACTCAGCTGGCAACGTTACCGATGAGATGGTGACCCGGGTCGCACGACACAGCATCCAGACCTGCTCTTCCCACCCTCGGCCCCTCACGACAGCTTGGCCTGCCCTCGCACCTGCGCATATAGCTCACCTTTGTCTCAAAGCTTCGCTCTGCTCCACTCTCGAATTCGGTTCTGGTCCAGCAAAACACTCCACCGCTCTCCTCTCCACTTTCTCCCTACACTTTTTCGTGATACTTTGCAGCTTGCCCGCATACTCCCGTTCCAGATTGGCTCGTTCGGCCAAGAATGTGGATAGATCTGTGGCGAGCGAGATGTGGGAAGAGGACATGGATAGAAGCGGATGAAGCGCATCTGGAAGAGAAGCTCCGAAAGAGATGGACTCGGATTCTTGAGAAGACATCTTAAGCGGGGGTTAATGATTGTGCTGAGTGCGAGCAAAGGCTTGGGTCTCCGGGACTGCTTTTCGAGTCCGAGTCCATTTGCAGTGGATCAGAATGCTGCCCAGCCAAAGCAAATTCCTTGCATGTGGCGAGGTGGCTGCATTCGTAATCAGAATGTGAAGATCGTTGCAGCTGTGAGGAGCAACGGGATGAAGAAGCAAGGCAGCGTTGCGTTGATCATGCCAAGGAACATTTGACATCGCATGCATGCTGTAGCCATCAGCGTTCCTCCACCCGCGCACATCAGCAGCACCTGCGTGTGCGTGGCTGCACTTGACTGCCACCGATACTCCGGCGAGGATCTTCGGCCGATGAGAGCCGACCGCAGACAGAAGGAAGCCATCCTGGCTGCACACCACCACCACCACATCATCATCATCATCATCATCATCATCATCATCATCATCGTGCACGACCACGCAACGCATCAAGACGACCTTTTCAGTCACATCGCCGCTCCGTCATCCACCGCAGACACACCCACCACCGACACAAATCGAACAGCCCACATTCACAGAGCGCTCATCGTTGCCAGGGCACCGAAGGAATCAGGTTCTGCTCGCTCATCACCATGTCCCAATCCTATCAGCCCAAAGTGTTGGGCGCACCGGTCATCCGAAGACCTTTGGGTCCTCTGCGCGCGCTCCTGACAGGTCTAGGTCTGGGATGTTCGTTGACTGCGTTGGTGGGCTACGTATGGCTAGCCAGAGGCCAAGCAGAAGAGAGACGAGAGATTGCGGTCGCTTTGCAAGAATTGAAGGATGGTGCTTCACAAGTGAGTCTACGCAGATGAAAGGGACACGTTTGGGAATGACAGTCCGCGTGGCACATTTGCAAAAGTGTCACGAGAGTGTGTGCTTAATATCTCGCATGATCTGGCTTACATTGCATGTACTTGCTCAATGAAGCATCGAGCGACTCAAGAGAAGCTCAAATCGCTTGAACGAAGCCTTGTAGCGACGAGGGAAGCATCAGACACGAAAGATGCAGCCTTGACAAGAGCGCGCGACCTACGCACGCTTCACGGAGGCTTAGCAGACGAAGTCGTCGAGCTGAAAGAGAGGTTGATGCAATGCGGTAAGTGTTTCGGCTCCTCTCGCAGCGCAACACAAGTCCAGCACACGCTAACGAAACATTCCATCCTCTCTTCTCCTTGCCGCATCCTCCTCCTTTGACGCAACGTGCTCTCCTATCGCACCGCCGCAGAAACACACCTAGCTCAAGCTCTACAATCTTCTCCCGTCTACCTACTCGCTCAAGCCAGAGCCGAAGAGCTGGCGGGCAGATCATGGCTACAACGTACAGGCGGTCTGAACGAAGGTCTGGTCGTCCAAGCTCCTGCTCCCAGTACCCTCTCCTTGAGATCAGTCATTGACCAGATGCATGGCTGGGTGCCTGCACGGCTCAGGGTGGATCGCAAGGATAAGGAAGCAGCAAAATTTGCGCCCTCTCAAAAGGTCTCCCCGGCTGTGGATCCCATAAGAGCGGCATCCGCGGATGAGAGCAGACCTGCAAGGTAGCTGAAAATGCGCATGATGCATACATTCATGAATTGGTGGCACGAGATAGGTTCGTGTGCAGGATACCTGGGAAGACGGGCGTTGATGGTGAAGCAGACGAGATCATGGAGGATCAGGCGACACGGCTCAAGAGTTCCAAGAGGTTGTTGACGACTTCGGCCCTTGCTGGCACCGGCGTATCTATGGCCTGATCCGGTAATTGGCCTTGGAGCACGCGGGCCCTCTCGCTCGGAGTGAGCGTCGAGAACTTCTTGAGCAAATCTCCGTCGCAAAAGCCGACAGGCGGGCTGGTTCTGTGATCCGTCCTCAGAGTTCTCCAATCTTGGGCATCGATATCTTTGCTGCCTTCTGTCTGCTTCGAAGCTAGCAGTTGGATCAGGTTGCGTTCTAGCGCCGTTAGGATTGTGCCGCTCTCTGCATCCAGCTGCGTGATCACGCCGATCGCGCCTGCCGCTGTGCAGAATAGAATCTTCGATTCTGCGCTCATCTCGCTCGATCCCTCGCCCGTGCCTGGCCCGGCCGAGACGGCCGAAGTGAGCGCTCTGCGTTTCGAGTCATTGCTTGCATTGCGTGAGCGGAATAGCTCGACGCAACCGAGCGGATGGGAGTGCACAAACAACTCACCCTCTTCGCATCTTGTTGACCATGTCGCCATAGTGGTAAGCGGCTCTTCTCTCCATCACATGGCTCCATTGATCGTCCTCAGAATCTGGCGCAAGCGTACTCAAGGACCCCGTTGAAGCTCTTCCCATCTCAAGGTCGTGAATACGCTTGCTCTGTCTCCTACGCTTTTCAGCTGCAGTCTTGACGGCTCTCTGAGTAGTGAACAGATTGAGCGCAATGTCCGCTCCAATGTACGTTTGAGAAGCTTCGTCCAGCATCTCGGCAGCGCTGGTCCAGAACGGATCGGCATCGCGAGCCACCTCGCTCAATTTACCCCTTTGAGTCGGGAGATTGCTCACAGCAAGCACAGCGATGGATCGCATTCCATCGCCGACGATCAGATAGTTGTCGTAGACGCTAAGGGTGCAAGCCACGAATGCGCAGCCCCATCTTCCGACCTTACGAAGCGTAAAAGGCTGGCCTGATGGGCCCTGCGAAGTCGACATATCGTCCAGATCCGCAGCGTCGATAGCGTATACGTGCACCTCGGCATTGATAGCGGCAGCAATCATGCCGTTGACTTGGCAAATCGCAAACACATTTCCTTCGACGCTTTCGTCGAATGCGACGGACAATTTGCGGTCGTTGAGATGGAAGCCCAAAAGCCGACCACATGTCGTCTCACTCTGGTCCGGTTGAGCTATGCCAGTCCCCACGACCACGACTGGCGAGCTCGCTGGGCCTGCAAGGGTGATGCAGTTGGGTCTCTCGTCTGTCGGCAAAGGCAGAACATCGAGGTCTGGGGGCAGGTAACAGCTCATCAGCTTTGACAGGACAGCCAGTGCGTATGACGAGCGAGCGTCGACTCACCCTCAAACGTCTCTGCATCGAAGACATGGATCTTGCCAGCAGGTGGATCTGGATCCACACTACCTTGAGGTCTGAAGCGCCAAGAAGTGACCAGGAGTGCCCGCGCCCAAGGTACAAGAGCCAAAGCGAGTGGATTGTCGTGTCCGAGATCTACAGCGGTCGAGACGTCAAGGCGCTGAACCTCGCCGATGCTGACAACTCGTATCGAGTCTCGCTGAACAAGGCCAAGAGCGCTTCCTTCGGGCGTTTCGAGCGGGATCGCATCACAAACAACCGCTCCACCGGCCGAAGGCAATACGGAGAACTGAACACGCGCTGAGCTCGTCGAGTGATCACATGACAAGACTGCGGGTCTGTCCGACGCGACGAGGACCGCATGTAGGCCTTTTGTCGTGTAGAAAGGGCGGAGACGTGCCGGCTGGGTGCCCAGAGCAGACACGCGAGACTCGACCACTACGACGTTCTTGGAGAAGCTTTCGGCACCAGGAAGTGCCAGACTATGGAGGGCAAGAGCTCCAGAGGCGAATGAGACCAGCAGATGAGGAGATCCAGCTTTACCTGAGCCGGCCGAAGGAAACGAGTGCAACAATACCGATTTTGGAAGAGAGGTCTGTGATTGGCGCAGAGTCGAAGGAGTGACGTCTTCTAAAGATGGAAGCTTTAGTACTTTGATGGTGCGGCTCTTCCACAAGCCGACAGCCGCGTAGGCCGAACTTGCACCAGACTGCAGTGGACTGGCATCCACAGCGCTGACCTCGTCGTTGTCGAACGAGATGCTGGCGACCTCTTTCCAGCCCTCGATGGACGGTTCAAGGTAAGAGACCGAGCCGTTGCGGGCAGCAAGCAGAACGGACCCAGATGCTTGAATAGCTCCACCCACAAACTCGCTGTCCGAGGGTGCAGGTAAAGAGGCGAGGCGCTTTCCATCGTTACCAAGCATCAAGAGCTCCTTGGCATTCAAATGGACAACTCCTTGCTGCGTCTGACGAGCAGCGATGGTCGTAACTTTGGCGTTAATGTCCCAGGTGCTGGTGACATCGCGAATATCGAGCCCCAGCTGGAGCACTAGTGTCTTTGCTGGTGATGAACAGATGATGCTGTCTCCAGATCTGATAGGCCAAGCAGCGTCCACATTTGGTACTCCAAGCTCTACGAGCGTGTCGAGCTGCACGCCTTGCCGCACAACGCGCAAAGAGCCAGTAGGTCCTGTTCCAGATGCTGTGATCGCTCTGGCTTGCGCGTCTTCCACGCCAGCAGGCCCGCAGTTCCCATCGTCTGCCACAAAGTCGAGTGCCGGTGCAAGACACGGCATTGTGTGCAGGCTGTCGAGCCGTGACGGTGAGGTGAAGCCGGGGTCCCCCAAGGCAGGTGGTAGCCTGACGAGTTCCGAGTCTCCAGAGGCGCTAGCTACTGCAAGTATACCCTCGCCTAGATATGCTAATGCGTCCGGTCCTTGAGGGGCAGGAATTGAACCGAGCTCGCGCACAGTCACCGACATAGGAGTCCAGGGAGTCGATCCCTCCGTCTCGGGCCTTAGAGCCATCTCAGCCAGAAGCAATCTCCCTGCATGTGTGCCAAGAAGAATTCTTAGGCTGGCGGACTGCTGGTCGTCGGCCACACAGATGGCGCTAGCCTCATTTGGCTCTTTAAGCTCCACAGAGGCTCGCACTTGAGTAGCTCCAGGCAGTGCTGCTCGCCATATGCCTGGGTCGCTGCCGGCTTCGCGCGGCCTAGATGGGCTTGTAGGTGTGACGGTAGATGCGCCAGCTGCGGCACTGCTTTTTCTACGCTGCGGACGCTTACCGTTGTCGTTGGCGCTGCCTTCAGGACTGGTTCCAAGAGCTGCTGTATTCTTGCCGGACGCAGAGAATGATGTCTCACCTTTGCTAGATTTACGTCTCTTTGTCGCAGCCGTTGCTCCTTGAGGGGACTTTCCAAACTTGTTGGACGCTGCGACAGGATTGCCGACCACCAGGATCGCCTGTTCGCAAGCGACCAGGACCGCAGCACCTGTGCTTCCTGGGAGCGCGGTAAGGAAGTGAGCGCCAATTGCGTCATTTGGGGAGAGGGGGACGTGCGCCTGTACCAGCTCTGATGGCACATTCTCCACTTTCTTGTTGATGGCACCCAACGCTGCTGGTCCGTACTTGCCTTGCGGCCTGCCCGAGCTCGTGTCGGATGCTGCTGCCGGGGCTTTTGTGCGGGTAGGCCGGGCTGCGGTGCCCCAAGGCAGCGGCGCTAAGTCTTGGTTGGCAGAATCTACCGTGTGGAAAGAAAGCACAGGCAGACACTGATCGCCAAGCCCTGCTATCTCTGTCGGCACGGATGAGATAGAAAGTAGAGCCACGGCGGGAGCGAAAGAGCGAAGGATGGAGTGGGCAATGAGGTGTGGATGTGGCAGCCTAAGGTTGCGTTCAGCGCGCGAAGCGGTGACTGTCAGCGACACTTTTGGTGGCGTCTAGCCCTTCAATGCGGTACTACTCACCTGGCAGTCCATCCAGCTACGGGATCGATCTCTTTGGCCATGGGCGAGATTTTGAGCGCACCTACGTGCGTATGCGTGGTGGCAAGGCCAGCCTCTGGAGAGTAGTCGAGTCCTGTACCCACTTCAGCCTGCGCCCTGACGCGCTCTTCCAGGGATATCACCTTGCTGATGACCAGATCGCTTCCGCCTTCCGCGCCCTCTTGGCTGGGCTTGAAGACAAGCACACGCGGATGCGCGTGATCCGTCAAGACGAGCAGGACATTGTGCTCTGGCACAAAGCTGGCACCTAGCAAGCGTGCGTTGACCGGGATTCGCGATGTCGGTAGACCCTCTTTGAGATACTGGATTAATAAAGACGCATGTTGAATGAAGACGACCGCCGATCCGCCGGGCAAAAAAGTGTTTGGCAAGCTCACGACAGCCGAGCAAGCCGTGGCGCCATGGAGGTGCGAGATGTGGTTCATGTTCGCGCTCCGCCAGCAGCGGTCTGTGCCGATGTTCGCGCTGGAAGCTTGAGACAGTAGCCAGCAGCTCCAAGGAAAGCACACAGACCAAACTGTCACACGACAGACGAGGCTGCTGGATGGTGTATATTGGGCATCTCACAGGGCGGTACTGATGTGTATAGCGAGCCAGACGACCTGGAGAACAGGCAAGTTGCATGCGCCGTCATCATCTCGACTTCAGCTGACAGATGCTTGACACGGGCCAGGGTCCGTGCAGATCACGTGAACGAGCTCCTTGCCTCCAACCCGCGCGTGTTGGGAAAACAAACTGAATTTGCCTATGCGTGCCTCTGACTTGCCATGCATGCAGGCAGAGCAAAACGCAGCAACATCTTCGGTGTGCGGTTGCAAATTACAAATGATTGCAGCATACCAGTAACAAACAAGCCAGGAGTCTGTCCCCCTCATCTCTCTTCGTTGCCCTCCAGCGACCTTGGGCACTTACGGATTTACGGTCTGAGTCTATCCAACTTGCGCACGCCTGCTCCTACCTAGAGTACAACAAGAGCATCGCACATCAGTCTGCTTGGACACCAGTCGGCGTCTCGAATCGTCTCCTTCGCAAGCTCTTCACTCGCCGCCTTCACCATGGCAGCATCCGCGTCTACGTCTGCGGCTGCGTCTACTTCCGCCAAGGATCCTTCCTCCTTCGGCGCGCTGCTGCTGCCAGGGCAACCAGTACCAGCAAGCGGCTCCAGTGGCGCCGGAACGTACCGTCGTAGCTCATACCTGCTCTCCTCCGTCGTGGGCCGGGCTCGCAGCCAGACTTCTGGAGGTGTGCAAGGTCACACGTCCGGCTTCATCATTCCTTCGCCAGGTTCCGTAGTTCTGGGTCGCATCACAAGGATAACTCCCAGACAAGCAAGCGTCAGTGTACTCGTGGTTGATGGTCAGCCAGTATCTGCTGGAGCTAGCAACGGGGGCGCATTGTCTGCCGGCGATGCCAACAGAGCTGCGGGCGAGGACCCCGGAGGAGCCGACTTCACCGGTGTCATCAGACAGCAAGATGTTAGAGCGACCGAGAAGGACAAGGTGAAGCTAGCAGAATGTTTCAGGCCAGGTGACATTGTTCGAGCCCAAGTCGTGAGTCAACGTGCTCCGTCTGCCTGCGCCAGAAGTAGTTCCCAACTGACGGCATTCCTTCATTGATCCGCAGATCTCTTTGGGCGATGCCAGGTCTTACTACCTCTCAACGGCCTCGAACAATCTCGGCGTCATCTACGCTCTACCTGCCGTGCCTTATTCAGAGGACGTTGATGACGAAGTAGACATGCTTGTGACATCTCATCGAGGCACCGTCCCCCCACTAGAACCAGTGAGCTGGATCGAGATGAGAGATCCACGCACGGGTGTCATCGAGAAGCGTAAGGTCGCCAAGCCGGAAGGCGTCTGAAGGACTTCAGAGGCTGATCTTTGGCGCGCATGTACACTGAAGCTTGCAGCCCACAGGCCGGAAAGTCCGATCTCATCATGATTTTGTTGGGTCAGCTATAGAACACCGAACACGAGACGCTGTGTGAGGAACGAGCAATGGAAAGGTTCCGCCGTGCGCTATCAGTGCGCCGCTATAGAACGCCGATCACGAAACGCTGCGTCAGGAACAAGCAATGGAAGGGTTCCGCCGTGCGCTATCAGGGCCCCCACTCAAGGGGTTCTGAAGCTCTAGTGTGTTCGTTCGGTACTCCAACGAAATTACCACCGAGATTCCCAAGACCATGGGGTAAAGGGATCACGCGAGGGCCTCCGGTCAGGTGCCGCCCGGCCATTGCGGAAGATGGGTGGCCTCAAGCTAGTGGGCATGCCCTGCGTAGACAGCTGCCACATGAGCCAACAGCACACGCCCCTGGCCTCGTCATCGTTGGAGTTGCACAACGACGTAGCGAAGCTCGCAAACCACTTGGAATGGCCCAACTCGGTGTACCGCTGCGATAGAAGTAGTGGCGTAGCGTCAATATCAGTATACCTCAACGGAGTGCAGCACAGCGTCGTACCTCGCACAAGATGTCGCAGTACACCCTGCACACGTGAGGATGCCGGAGGACCTCTCGCTGCGCAAAGGTGTGGAAGAAGGCCTGCGACGACATCCACCGCGCCTCTGTCTCAATAGATCCAAATGCACTCGACGAGAGCTGAAGGAGATCCATCTGAATGCATTCATCGAGCAACTCTAATCAGTATTCGCGAACGTGGTCTCAGCCGATCTACTCAAATCTCACCTGATCAGCAACTGAATAGAGCATCACCATGTTCGACGCGCGGTTGACAGCCGCGACATGATCGTAGTCGTACTTTGAGATCAGATGCAGGTGAAACTTTCAGTCTCTCTTCGCACAAAGCACCACTCATAGCAATGCCGACTCACCAAGTACTTTACCAGGATATTTAGGTGCTCTGCATCGACGTTCAGGTTCACGACGTAGATCACGCCAGGAGGTAGAGGGCAGAGAACCGCGGTGATGGGGGACGAGGGGTAAGGACTATACTGCGATTTAGTCTCCAGAGCCCAATCCAGCACGATCTTCAAATGACTTGACGTGCGCAGGACGCAAGAATGGCCAAGGACGGGCAGGGCTCCTGGTGACAAGTCTGCAAATATCGCGACGTCGCATTCTGGTCGTCCTGCCACTGCCCAGGCGCGCACTGACCTCGCGAAGGCATTGTCCTGATTCTCAGTGGCGACTTCAAACGCGTTGCGACAAACCGCGGGAGCTATACCGGCCTTGGGCGCTTGCTCCGCCAACGCCACAGCAGCGGATGCATCAGAGTCGACGGCCTTAGGCTGGCTCGTCGCGGCAGGAGAAGGCGCACGGGGTTCGAGTGGACTCTTTGCGTTCATTTTGGAAGTTTATGCTTGAGAAAGGTATGCGTTGTGGTTGAGGTCAAGCGCTGGACGATGAGTGTGGGATGGAAAGTGGATTGATCGATCAAGCATCCGCCTTTTGTAGCGCACACGAGCAAACCTCTCGGGCTTGAGCAAGCTGACCTCGCAGCAAGACGCCTTCAAGCGAGACAGTAGACACGAGACAGGCCTAGGACAAGGACAATGCAAGTCTTCAGGATCTCGACCTCCGCTCAAGACCGGAAGCAATCCATGAGCACCACGCGTATTCACATCGCCGACTTGGCTCTTGGCACACGAGCAACGGTCCAAACTAGGGTGGAAAAGCGCGCATACAGCGCTGAAAGGTCCTTTTTGCGACGTATCTTGCACACGGCATCCACATTCGGGTAGGTTGCGGCCAGGCCATTGCTCTCGACCTACAGCATCGTGCGTCGACACGCTTGCTGGTTCTGGCACTACGAACGGCGCTGCTGCACAAGCTCCGGCACACTATCTCGCACGGCAAAACCGCGCGCTTTCATCTGGTCAATGCGCATGACTCTGCCTCCGCTATCCTGACGACTGTTCGGATCAAACTCTGTTGGGAAATCAGCAGTCGCCCGATGTTTCCCACGACTCGCTACTGACTGCTCAACCCGAAATGCGCTCGGTGCTTCATCGATCTGTCAAGCGACCAATGTTGACAGCGTCGACTTCTTCGAGAAATCGGTATGCAATGCTGCACCTGCCCAAAATACCAGCACAACATCATGCAAGCACGGGCAACGGCTCATCGTCCGGCGTATTCAGCGACGACACCCGGCGTCGCGAGCCCCACGAATGCAGTGTCTTAAGATCGCTGCGGGGCTCAAGTACGCTCAACGACACTAACTGCTGTCCGTCGATCGGGAGTAAACGCGCCAGCCACAGCTTTCCTTCGCCTCGATCGAGGGCACTTGGGCCTTGCGCACGGCAACCATTCAAGAAACTCAACGGATGATCGCCCGACTGCCCGAGAAACGTGCGTGGGAAGCAACGGCATAGCAGGTCTAGGCAATTGTTGGCTAGACAAAGGTTGGCGTGATGCACCCCTTTTGGAGAAGGTGGCCATTTGCTGAGTGCTCACCGCTTTGAGCTTTACTGCGGCTGGTTATTGGCCAAACTTCGATTGGATGTTTCGCCCGGCCGGATAGCTTGGTCAGCGCAGCCACTTGTGCTTGATCGGGAAATGCGCCCGTCGTCGACGCATTGATGTGCCTGGCTGTGTATGAATGGCAGGCTGGAACCAGCTATTTCTCACGCCAAGGGATCAAAGACTTGCGTTCAAGACCTCTTGCCTCCGTCACTTTCGCTTCCACATCTCGATTTCCTCGGTTACTACTGCCTCTTGACGAGCGCGGTCTTTCTTTGCTACATTTCCATCCGCTTGCTCCCACGCTCTACATCATGCCGCTCCAAGTTCGCTGGCCGACTTCTAGCTCCTCTCGTGGCTCCACTGGGCGACAACACTCCAATTCGGCTCCCCCGAGCTCGGTTCCATCGATAGCTCAGACGCCCGACGTGCCAATCTTGATCCCGAGGGACGAACCTCCCCCTCATGGACCTTTGAGCGCGTCCTCAGCGTCTCCTCAGCGTAGGCCGGCCCTCGCTTCGCCGCTGATAAAGTGAGTGTTTTGGCGCTATCGGTTGCCTGTGCTTGATTAAGTACTTGCCAGCTTACAAACATTATTTGTCCTGTGATCGCCTCTCGGCCATGTCAAGTTTCAAGAAGCCTGACAACCTCTTTCTGATACATTCGAACATCATGCTACCATTACCGACTCGTGACGCTAAGATGGAGACCAAGAGACGCTTCATGAAATTCCAGCCCAACTGCTACCAGCCGATGCTGCCACCATACGTGCTCACCCAGAACGAAAAACAGGAAGGCCGTTACAAGCTCGATGTCGACTTCATGCTGGCTTGGGCTTGCAAGCATACAGACCCGTGCCACTGCATCGTCAAAGGATCAGACCTGCGCGAAGCTGTAGAATTGCAGCGCGATTCGCCCGAGGGAATGGACATCCTGCTAGACGCTTCTGATGAAGCAACATTGCGGGATCAGGAAGGAAGGGCCAGCGTAGTGCCTTCCGCCGATCAGGCGTCACACAGTGCACTCGGCCTCGTACTCGATTCATATCTCTCTGGACCCGACGAGCAAACGGCTCCCACCAGGTCACCGACGTCGCCCAGCGCAGCTTCGATCCTTCAAAGCTACTTTGCGACTCCCCGGGCGCACTGGAATGAGCCAACCGCCACACTCGGCACCACTGATGTGGTCTCGCAACAAGCCGATGTTTTGGAGGATCACGAAATCAGCTCTACACCGTCAGCAGAGCCATCCCAGCTGACATCGCCGTCAACGGCTTCATCCTACATTATATCGCCCGAGGTCCTCGCCAGCATGCCCCTGCCTAGGTCCGAGACCACATCACCTCGCTCCACAAAGTCGCGCCGTCACTTTTGCGTCGCCCTCAATCGTTACACCGAACTTTGCGGAGCGGATTGTCTTTTGAGCCCTGCTTGTCGATCTCCATCACGCATGAACCTAGAAGCCGACCGCGCACAGGCTCGGGTCGAACGCGTGCGCGAGCAGAACAATGAAAGCAGAGTCTCTCTCACCCCGCATCCAGCGCCAAATCCAGAGCCCGCGAACAGCAGCACGACGGACATCTAGTGAAGGTGAAACCATACCTTGCGTCCCTCAGTAGGCAGTCGGCATAGCAGGCCTGACCTTCTCACGCGGCTCAACGTATGAAGTAGACGATCCATGATAGTGGCTCTACTTTCTCGCACATTGTTCGTCCTCCGAGCTTCCTCACGACCGGACGATGTTTGGCCTGAAACTCAGTCGACGTATGGAACCGCATTTGCCCATACCATGCGAGACCTCAGAAGCATATGTCTACTTGAATTCGCGTGTGAAGGGTGTAAAGAGTGCGTGCAAGCAATGTAGAGTGACGTTTTTGACAGCGTGACTGGCAAGAAATAGCGCATCGGAAGAGTAGGAGGCCAGCAGATGATAGCAAAAGGTGATGGAGCAGAAATGACTAAATCTACTTGAGCGGGTCGAAGTCGCCCCAATCCACTGCTTGTTGAGCTGCTTTGCTGGTGGCGCTTTGGGTCGGCTGCAAAACCGCGCCTCCCCAACCCGGTGGGCCTGGAAGGCCCGAGGCGCTCGCGGTAGGAGCAGGCGCTGAGGTGGTAGGTGCCGCTCTTGAGCTCGAAGAATTGCCGGGAGAGTTGCCGAGGGTGGTGTGACTGAATGAGCCAAGACTAGACGTCTGCGGTAGCAACGGTGGTAGACCGCCAGAGCTGGAGAGCGACAACGCGCCTGAGCTTGAGTTACCAAAGCTCGAAGCGGGCTCGAGGGAGATGTTGTAATTAGGGCCGCTGGAGCTAGTGCCCGAGAAGGATGTGTTCGTATGAGGAGCAGGCCGAGAGGATGCACTAAGGGAAGGAGTCAGTGAGCTTCCGCTCCAGCCAGGGGGAGGAGTGGGTGCAGCTGGTCGAGCGTGGATGATATTTGGAGCACGCGAGCTGGAGGGAGGGGGTGGCGGATTGAGGGATGGCCGAGCTTGAGAAGCAGATGAGTTGGGACGGAGCGGTGGCGAGGTCACGCCGCTCAGCGAAGATGAAGGCAGGCCTCCAATACTGTTGCCAGTGCTCTGAGGGTGAAGTACTCCTCCTGAGAGATATGCGGAAGATGCGTTTCGTGCTGTTGCTGCCCGCGCAAGACCGCTCGCGGTGCCCGTATGAGAAGGTGTGAGCGCGGTCGCGGCCCCTGAAACGCTTGGGGTTGACGTTCCAGATGCCTGAGAGTGTGGATTCGATGGCGTCGAGAATCAGAACGACCGCCGAAAGGAGGACTGACTCTACAGACTCACCAAATCGTCCCAGCCGAAAGGATCGCCAGCGTTGGTCCCTGCATCCTTTGCAACGAGCGCAGAGCTCGAATTGCCACCGGCAGCGCTTCCGACTAGAGTGGCGAAGTCGATCTCGCCAGTCGAGCCACCTATGCCTGTCACACCACCGCCGAGACCACCGCTTTGATGCGCTCCATTGGCAGAGGCGTAGCTTTCGGTCTGATCTTGGAGATGACGCTGCTCTCTCAAATACTCAAGGTCTGTGACGTACTCGTGACGGGCTAAGCAAGGCATTTACGCCGCGCATGAAGTTATTCTACACTCACGTTCGCGCTCCACCCTGTCTCCCATCTCCCGCACGGTTTTCATGAATCGCTGGAACTGCTCCGCCGTGAGCTTGGCGCTGACCGACATAGACCAAAGCTGCGTGCGGAACAATCACCTTGTGAGCCCCAGCTGGTTGACATCGATCTAGAAAGGCACTGACCTGAGGGATGATGTGGACGGCGAGCGTTTCGCGGTCTAGCTTCTTGGACATTGCTTCATCGACAGCAAGTATTGCGATCTGCAGACAACGGGCCCAGGTATTTAGACTGACAGAATCAAGACCTCCCGTGCTCAAATTCGCACTCACCATGACACTTGGCTCTCGGGTCTTGACTCGGGCAAGGACCGGCACCAGCTTCTCGGTGATCGTGTGCTTGTCGAGGATCTCTATCATGCTGTGGAAGCACATCAGAGTCTGGATCTTGCAGGACAGCGTGCGAGTGCCAACGAATAGCTTGACGAGTGCTGGATAGGTGACCTCCTTCACGTGTGCGTACTCCAATACTTGGCAAAGTCGCGGGACCGCCTGCAATGCGCGCTCTTGCACAATCACTTGCTCCGCTTCGAGAGTCGAGTACAGCAGAGGAGTTACTTCTGTTAGCAGGGGAAATAGGGGACCTCCTGGTGACGTCAGCAGCCGGCGACTCTCGATGTGGGATCTCCCACGCACCTTCTCGGAACACCGGTGGGCTCGTCTTCGAGACGAAGAGTTCCATTTGGTCAAGCAGAATCACTTGAGGCCGCAAGGCGTTAGCGAAAGAGGTGTCGGTATGCGCACACGGTCTCACTCACACTGATTTTGAGGAGGATCTTGCAGGGAGAAAAGCGGCTTCAACTTGGGCAGCACGTTGTTTGTGAACTCGATCGAGCTCAGGTTTGTGCTGATGACGAAGACGTTGGGCTGAGCCAAGAGGCGCCAGTAGACCGTCAGCGAAGCAGAACCAAACCGCAAGGAAGACAGCCTCGTACATTCTCGGCCTCACCAAAATGAAAGGCAGCAGAGATCTGTCGTTCATCAACTCCAGCAACTGTACACCACGAGGAATCAGCGAACAGTGGCTGAGCACGCTTGGATCCAAAGAGACTTACAGCCGGCAGCACCTTGCGCCGTTGAAGCCGCTGGCTGAATTGCTCTAAAATCTTGAGCAAGCCCTTCAAGAATTGAACGCGCTCCTCGCGTGACCTTCCAGCAAAATTGTCACGCTCCATAAACTACACAAATAAGGTGTGATTGGTCAGGCCTAGTGCTGGCTTCGTGCATCAATCCGATTTGTGCTGTGCCTCACCTTGAGAGTTCGCACCAGAACATTGCTTTAGGGGGCAGGGTCTCTTGACTGAGCAAGGCGGCTTGCTACATTCACTCATGCCTAGTACTCACTTGAAATATCTGTACCAAGCACACGCAAGAGTTGTGCTGTGGTGAGCAAGCTGAAGCAAGCTGAAGAGGTAGACACTAGCACGCACTCGGAATTTTGAAAGTCTGCTGCACTCGGCCTGCCGCCCGGAAACCGCGTCAAAAGTGATGCCAAGAGGCCTGCGAACAGTAGCTTGAATGTCAGCATAGATGTTTCGACTAAGAATGGCGTGCTCGATCTCACCTAGAACATCCTTGCCCATTTTTGCCCAGCTTGCACTGCCAATGATGCTGCCCAAGCGATCTGCATTGCTTCTGATGTTCGCAACAGCGTTCCGATTTCGAAATGGAGGATCTCCCCTGTTGTGAATGGCGTACACCACGCACCCGAGCGAGTACATGTCGTTGCCTGAATCGAGCTTGTCGTCCAAAGCGTACTCAGGCGCAACGAAATTGAAGTCTCGTGACAGTTGAGGAGGCAGAGATGGATCATAGTCGAGAATGCAAGGGCTCGGCGTTCCGTCTGGTCGCATCACAGGGGTCAAGAAGGAGAAACCTCCAAGCTTCCAGTCGCCCTGTTCGAGGCGACGCGATTGACAGTCAGCAGCCTAGAGCAGTGAAACAGACGTGCCGAGCCCTCTCACCTTGGCGTTGATCAGAATTGCATCAGGGGTTAGGTTGCCGTGAATCATCTTCGCGGAGTGCAGGAACTCCAGCCCCCGAGCCACCTGCAGCAAGCCCTTCTGAATCTCCACCTCATCTAGCTGCACATTATCCGATGCTCTTCCTGATGATTCGCTGGCCATCAGTGCTTCCGACAAAGGCGCGAGCACCGGTTCCGTTGCAAAAATCAGCTCGTTCCTCGTTTCCTCCAACGGCTCTTGCGTCTCGAGAACGCATGGATGCCTCAAGCGAGTCAGTGAGGAGGCCTGGTGGCGTAGGAAGGATGTCGTTAACGTTCGCCATGCGATTTGGACGCACAAGGCTAGCGCAGGTCTCCAAGCACCTAGCCGACAGCCAATCACTTCACCTCTCACCTCTTTCTTCAACGTCTCTGCGATCGCCTGCCGCTCCCCGCCCCGGCTTGTGAACGTGTGCGTCCAAATGCTGACAGTCGTCCTGCCATCCGATGTGGCACCGCCAGCAGAGCTGCTTGGACCAGCTCCATTTGCTGGTGCTGATCCACTGCGATGAGCTCTTTGTATCTTCCATAGGCCTGCGTAGACTGCCGGAATCTTCTCGTCAACTGTATAGTTGGCACTGATGTTCGTGCGGCCGCTGCAAAGCTCGCAATATAGGTACTGAAATGTGTAAGCTCTAATGTATCATGGCCAACATCTGCATGCTCTCAAACGTACAAGTACGAGGACGCTTGCGAAAGAAAGGAAGCCATTGTGCTGAAAGTCGCTCGTCCTCGCTTGTGCGTCTGATGTCTTCGAGCTCGATTGGGAGATTGGTCTGGGGCAAGGACTTAGTACTTTGATGCGTATGGAGCTTGGGTATGTGACTCAGCGCAGGCGTCTTCCAGTCAAGTCAGAGCCTGATGGGCAGTCGAAACGATATCATTGGATGGACGATGAAAGCACAGCTAGCAGGCAGTGTTGGGTGTGTCATTCGCCCAGCATGCAGCTGGAAGCGCCCATCATTCCGTGCTTTAAGTCAAACACGTGACCGGCAATGCGAATCAAAAAGTGCCCGCTCGCGGTCTGCAGAGGGTCGGCTCCCCAGTGCCCTGGTATCAATGAATCCATCCATGTTCGGCCTGGCGTTAGTGGTAATAGGAATGAGATTGGGCTTGAAAGAGGCTGCACTAGCCACAACCTGCTTTTGTGACGGCTCCCATTGATCAAGTCCTTACAATGCTCATTGCGAAGCACCTGTACATCGATCCTTCACAATGCTCAGTACGATGAGAGCTTATCAATCGATTGCGACGATTGATATCTAAGAAAGCGCCCAACTCTCGAACCCGCGATATCTAATGCCAGCTCCTTCCTCAATGGACCCCATCTGGATGACGTGTTCTTCCCCGCCCAGCTTCAATGCCTCAATGGTCTCTTTCACTGCGCTCGCTTCGACCACGAGCACCATTCCGACACCATTGTTAAAGGTGCGACACATTTCTGCTGCTCGCACCTCTCCAATCTTCTGCAACCAGGCGAAAAGAGGGGGCTGCGACCACGTGCTGACATCGATAGTGGCGCCGAGATGCTCAGGCAAGATCCGAGGAATGTTGTCCGTAAAGCCTCCACCTGTGATGTGAGAAAGCGCTCGTAGCCCCTTCCAGGCCGCATGCGCCTGAGGTTGAGCAGAACCTGTCTTGCCGTCAGAAAGGCCAAGCAAAGGTGACAAGGACTCGACGTAGATTCTGGTAGGCTCCAACAGCGCGTCCGCCAAAGTCTTGTGCCTGGATGCGGAGGCGAAAGGAGCAGGTGCATGTAGAGCAGTGAGACCACCAGCCCGCGCGAGAATTTTCCTGACTAAAGAGAAGCCGTTGGAGTGTAGGCCGGACGATGGCAGGCCGAGCAAGACGTCTCCTATCTTGACTTCGCTCACCCGGGGAAGCAGCTGCTGTCGCTCTACAGCGCCTACAGCGAACCCAGCTAAGTCGTAGTCGTCTGCAGCATACATGCCAGGCATCTCAGCCGTTTCGCCTCCGATCAGTCCGCAGCGTGCCTGTCTGCAGCCAGTTGCGACACCCGTGATAACTGCTGCAGCGATCGGCACTGCGAGCTTGGAGCAGGCAAAGTAGTCCAGAAAGTACAGAGGAGCGGCTCCTTGCACCAAGAGATCGTTCACCGACATCGCAACGAGGTCGATGCCTGGAGCCGGCAGCAAGTCACTCATCAGTGTGGAGGCGGCGCAGGCAAGTCCTGCCTCTGTTGTCCCCACTCACCGACCGTATCGTGCTTGCCCGCGTCAAGCGCTACGCGGAGCTTGGTTCCAACGCCATCAGTTCCTGACACAAGCACAGGATCCCGGAAGCCGCATGCCTTCAAGTCAAAGACACCGCCAAAGCCGCCCAGACTAGCGTCGCATCCGACTCTTTTGGTGCTCTTTGCAGCTGGCTTGATGGCTTCTACGAGAGCATTCCCGGCATCCACATCAACCCCGGCGCCTGCATAGGTAAGTCCCCCAGCTTTCGCGACAGCACTATTCAGAGCTCTGTGAGCAATGTCTCTCCGCAGAACCATGCCTTCGAACTTGATGCTTTCAGTGCCCTTGTACGCCAATGCAACTGCGGCCTCGAGGTCAGGCCCCGAGGCGCTAACGACCAGAACGCGACCACCGGCTGTGACCAGCTGGCCATTTTGATCAATCTTCGTACCAGCGTGATAGACGGTGACGCCTGCCGGCAATGTACCTATCGTGATGGGCACGCCGACAGGGTACTTCCCCGGATAGCCGCCCGATGCCAACACGACACTGACAGCTGCGGCTTGCTTTGTTCTGGGCACGACGGAGTCCAGGCGCCTCTCTGCGCATGCCAAAACCAGCTCCGCGAGCCCAGCGCCGCCTGCGCTGGTGTCGATCAATTCCAGAGCAGCCTCTGTTTCAGGATCGCCAAAGCGCACGTTGTACTCGAGCACTTGAGGGCCCTTTTCGTCCAGCATGATGCCTGTGAAGAGCAGCCCAACGAAAGGAAAGCCTTTGAAGCAACGCACAAGAGTATCAGTAATTCGCCTTGCAATCATTTAGAGCTGGGTCACGTACCATCCTTTCGCATTCCTGCGATAGTCGGCGCAATAACCTCCTGTTCTATTCTCTCTGTCATCCCAGGAACAAGACCCTCCGGGGCAGGAGTGTAGGCACCCATTCCGCCGGTGTTGGGCCCAATATCGCCTTCGCCGATACGTTTGTGATCTTGACAGCAGGGCAAGCTGTACGTGCTGTATCCATCTGCGAATGTGAGGATAGAGAGTTCGGGGCCGGACAGCCTTGCCTCGATGACGAGCTCCGCGCCTGCAGCGCCAAAGACCTTGTTCACGAGTATATCCTGAAGTCCTTGTTCAAATTCGGCTTCATTTTCGGGAAGGAGCACGCCTTTGCCTGCAGCCAGACCGCTAGCTTTCAGCACCACCTTGGTCGGACCACCGCACGAGGCGACAAAGTTGCGAGCATCGACGATCGAGGCTTCGTTGAACACTGCGAAGGCTGCTGTGGGAATATTGTGCTTGGCCATGAAAGCCTTTGCAAATGTCTTTGAACCCTCCATTTGCGCGGCCACTGGAGAGGGCCCAAAGACGGGCACGCCAACTGTATGAAGGTGGGCTCAACTATGAGATTTCGTATGAACATGTAGGTGGTGCTGCTCAAGCAAAAGACTCACTCGCTCGGAAAGCACCCTCCACACCATCTACCAAGGGCTGCTCTGGACCTGGAATGCACAGATTGATCTGCGAGTTGGGGAGTCTACATTAGTGGTGCCCAGCTAGCGCTTCGCAGCACCAGCACCAGCAACTTGCACACTCACATTGTTCAGCTTAGCCCAGGTAGTGATAGCAGCGAAGCCATCTTTGGGACCGGCATAGACATCCAAATTGCTGCATCTACCGTCCAGGCCAGTCCCTCCATTTCCAGGAGCAACAAAGACATGCTCGACGATCGGAGAGCGGAGGAGATGATGCGCAATAGCATGTTCGCGGCCCCCGGATCCCAGCAGCAAGACCCGCAGGGGCTGCATTGCCGAAGTGGCAGTCGTGCTCATGATCGGCGATGACGCAAGGCTGATTTGATGTTCGTCTTGAGCACGCCCCAATTGTTCGGGGTCAGCTCTTCGCGGAGGTGGTCATGAGGCGAAAGTGAACACCTTCCCTATGCCTCGGTTTGGGGAACTTGTGCATGACTCGTCAATTCGAAGAGAAACGCGGCGCGTCTGGAGCCAAGAATTTTGAATTTTGAATCGTGAGCACGCGCAAAATCGGCGGATCTGTCACTTGTCACGTGATTATCACGTGAAAAGGATCCTGAGCGCTATGTCGGGAGGCTGCCCCCCGATTCTTCTCGAAGCGGCATTTGACAGGGTCAACGGCCTGCCGCCGCCTCCAAGACTCGCAAAGAAGGCCTGGGCACGCTCGGCCTTGGAAGCGTTGCATGGTGCGATCGGACCGTCAATCTGATCGGTACACCTTGTATTGAGGCTTGGTTGTCGACCTGGGAAGGCAGCACGAACACGCGGAAGTATAGAAGAGTCATGCTTTATCCATGCTGACGGCTTCGCGACGACAACTTTTAATTAACTGTTTGGAACACACGTCGCCAGCAGCAGGCAGGCCCCCGCGTGTGTATAGTGGTAGTAAGTAGTATGCGCATGAGGTCGGGCGCAGCTTGCAGAACGCCGAAGCGCCGAGGGTCCTTGTACCGCCCTGCCGCATGCTGCTGCTGGCGGCTCTCATGACCTCACGCAATTCATCAATACAATATCACCCAATTGAATGCGAATTGAGAACCTTGAATTTTCATGAATCCAATCAAAAATGTTGAGTTCAGCCCCGATCAATGCTCACACTCTGACTCAAGACTCATCAGCACGTCATGAGCGGATCCACTGCACGGTCCTGATCGAGGCATGTTGTCCTCGAGCAAGCTCTGCGGCGCAGTGCCGTGGAGCTGTCAACATTCAAACAGCACCTTTAAGCGCACTCAATGAAGCTTGCTGTCTCGGTGTGTCATCGATTAATCCAAGTCGACGGCGCACCGGCGCCACATGACTTCTAAGCAAGTCGTCGTGGAACGCCTGAGGCTCTCTCCACAGCAGTGAAGACAGAAAATGAGGCTTACCCCGAGACTGAGGCGCACGGAGCAAGAAAACAAACACGAGGTAGGGGTGCAGTCTCTGCATCGGAAGAGCAGACCATCAGGGTCGCGTGAATTTGAGCAGTCTTGAAGCAGTCTTGAAAAGGCAGGAAAGCAGGTCTTGACTCGACCAACAAGCCGGCCGCGCTCTTGGACACCTTGACCGACTCCCGTCTCTTCAAAATAGAGGCACCATCTTGCTCATGTGGACGAATTCCGAGCTTGAAGCTACGTTCAATCGAAACTTTGGACGCGGCCTTGCTGGCTACTCAGACTCTCGCGGCGTCTGAGCGAGAAGGGACCCATATCACACGTGCGACGTGAAATTCCGATGGTTTGAGGGTTTGCCGTGCATGCGACTTCATCGGATATCCTTTATGCTTCGTGATTGTGTGCCATCGGAGACTCCGCTCGACTTACCTCGACCGAATTGGTGTGCTTGCGGGCTGCTGTTACGTCGAACCCAGGTGCAGGGGACAGGTGTAGATACCGTGGACAAGGGATATGAACCCAGGCGCCGCGTGCACGTGTATTTTCGATCCGATTACGCCGGTACAGTGAGTGTGACTCTCGCCGCTGAGCGGCACTCGGTGAGTCGTGAGTTGTGACGTGACGCAAGCTCGGCGCGCGGTACGGGGCACCGTTTACAGCTAGGTAGTTGGCCGTGCTGCAAGCATCAAGAGCAAAGGGCGCGCACGCGCGCGCCCGCATGCTTCTTGCGCCCACATGCACGAAATGCACGCACATCTTTTGTGCCTTCCACCGCTGCTGTGCCGTGCCCGCACTGCATGGCGTCCAGCCCAGCATTTGCAGCGCACCTCGACCTCTCCGGACCATCATGCTGCCTCTTATTGCTGCTGGCTGTACTCTATAACTTCTCTGCTCCATCTGCTCATGTGTCATGCTGCAGCACGCTCGATCTTGGACTGGAGTTTAGATACGCAGCAGCACCGCATGGATCGTCAATGCGTAGGAGCGCTTTAGTTCGAGCTCCGCTTTGAGTCTGCAGTGCCTTGATCCCTCTCCCACCAAGTTGACTCCCACGCATACGCTTGCGCGCTCGTCATTGCCACACTCGAAGGCATCCATTCATTCTTTGCCACGAATCAGAGTTCCAAGATACAGTTCGGCTCAACATCCTCACTGTTCATTGCTTCCAGCTCTCCGAACCGTCACTCAGCTTCGTCCCTTGATCACCAATCAACATCACCTTCTTCCTCGACCACCTGCATCACCCCAACTCAGCGCGTCCCATCCATCGCGCTGCATCACCTCAGCTCTGACTGTTCAACGCGTTGAATCACCTGCAATCGTCGCCGCTGCTCTCCTTTTCGTATTTGGCGAGAGCGGTTCACGCAATAGACACACCAAGTCAGGTTTCAGATCAAACAAAGCGACAGGATCGCTCTGTTTGGCAACCGGCGGAGCTGGATCTCCACCGCTTCCCTCCTCGTCCACGCTCTCGCCCCTGCGGCGCATATCAGGCGTGTACCCACTGGATTGGGCGTCGGCCATTGCCGCTTTCGGGGTCTGTGCGCATCACCTTTCCGCACTTTGGCCGGTGTACGTCAGCAACGGACTGGGTCATCTCCCTTTGCATCTAGCGCTCGCTACCTTGCACTTCTGTGGAGCCAGGGCCTCGAGCCGTTTCGCTGCATCACAAGCCCGATTCGTCAGGTACGCCAGCGGGCTGCCTCCCCCACGCTTAGACGTTCGCGGCACCTTGCGTGCAGCTCCATGGGAGCATCAGACTTTGCAGTGGCTTTGCTTCGAAATTAGGACAGCTCATCTGCGCCCCACCAACGAGCTTGGCACCGCTCTGCTCCCACGCCCTTCGACCGTTATCAGCCCGGCGGCTCTACCAGCGGTTCATTGGTACAACGGTCACACGATTGGGCTCTGATCTTTGCTGTCGACATTGTACAAAGGGTCGACTTCTCCACCAAATCGCGACCATCTCGAGCCTCTCTCTCTCTCTCTCTCCCACCAGCCTGGCGCTCGTGGACTTATCCGTATTATCTTCTTAGCCTTCCTCTTTTATATCCCTTTTTCTATCCTTTTATCCTTCTTTCTCCTCCCTCCTTCGTTCCTCCCTCCCACACATCCTAGACGAATTTCTGTGGGCTGGTACCCATTTTTCGGAGGTCATCTGACGATCCACGAAGCCGACGGACCACTGAAAGCACTTTTGGCTCCCAATTCGGCTGTGAGTACCTGCGCGTGTCCGCCGTATCGCAGACCGCGATGGCAGCGATGCTCACACTGCTGCTCCGCACAGCTCTCCAGGAGCTTGCAACACTATGACAACCGTCCTCGTCCCTATCGGCCTCACTAGCGTCCTACTCAACGATACGCTACACACCAAAGAGGCCAACATGACGATGGTTCAAGAGCCAGAAATGCTGCGACCCACCAGTCCCGCCATTGCCTCGGCCATGAGGGTGCCGTCTGTTGATGCCGAGGAAGACAGTGCGGAGTCCAACAGCAGCGGAAGCTCCAGCGATGAGGAGGAAGCGGCGCCAACTTTCGAAGTGTCCTTGGACGAGGACGTAGATGGCTCCTTTTCGCCGCGCTCTCCTCGACGATCATCGGAGCCGCCCATGCCTGCGGAATTCAGCATCACCCACTCCAAGCTCGAAGAAACGCTCTCCGGACGCAAAACTGGCGGTCATTGGTCAGAAAGCTCGAGTGCGCACGAAGACGGAGCAGTCAAGCTCCCGCTCAGCGCAAGGTCTTCTCGAAGTCCAAGCGTTGCTCTGAGGCATGAAGCCGCCTTGAGAAGCTTTAACATCCGTCGCTTGGTAAGCAACACTACCCCATCAACAGCCGAGCCAAGCTCTGCTCCCGCAACTGTCGCGGATCTCAAGGGCTATTCCGAAGACGGCAGCGAAGAAGGTGAAAATGATCGGGATGTAAGGGCTTATCTGGACACTGTGGAGCAGCGCGGTACGGCAGTCTTTGGCGAGATAGAAAAGGAGGATGAGGACGAGGATGCCAAATTCTTGCCGCCTCGCATCGAGATCGAGCAGGATTGGAACAGCGACGATGATGACGAGGACGTTGACACCCACCCAACACCGGCCAGCAATGCGCAGCAGGACGCAAGTCAGCGAGTACGCAAGCAGGCCTCTATTCGAATGCTCAATACCTTGGGCCGAACACCTCCCACCAATTTGGCTACTGCTACACCGTCCACGGCTACTTCCACGAGCTCCTCTGGCTCACAAACGCTTCCCAAGCCGGTCGGCCTTGCAGCTCGCCGCTCTCACCATCGTCTCCCTTCACTGGATCAGATCGGCTCGCGATCTTCTGTGGCAAAGGTTGGTACACCTCTGCCTTTCAACAAGACCCCAATGCCCCAGACACCGGGTACCGCGAGCTTGCACCAGCGAGCTGTAAGCTGTCCCACCAATGGGATCGGGTCAATGTCACGAAAAAAATATGGTTCTGTTCAGGTGTTCATCACCCCTCCTACGCCCCGCCCTGCCGGCAGCGGCCCAGCTGCCGTGCCTAACGTAGTGCTGGCGAGAAGCAGCGGCAACATTCTGCTCAGCCCTCGCTCACCACACAAGTCAGCAGTGGACGCCTTGCTCACGCCACCGCCATTCGAGCTAGCGCCGGGGCGCAAACGCATGGAGGAAGAACAAGCGAAAGCGGCTGCGTTGCAGATGTGGCAAATGTGGCAAGCTCAAGCGGCGTCCATTGCCGCGGCTAGTGCAAGCGAGCAGCACGCCATGGCATACCAAGCAGCCACAAACCCTTGGATGCGGCAAGTACAGCAGTGGGCGGCTGCTGTGACAGGCTCTCCGTCGATGAGCGCTATTGGAAGTCCTGGTTTGCATAGCCCCGGTACACCTGCATTGAAGGTGGAAGCTGGCTCTACGCCTAGCTTGCCCCTGCCACGCCACCCCCGCAAAAGCTCTCACACTCGCTCATCTCAGCAATCATCGCCGTCGTCCTTTTTGCCCTCGGTCAACTCCACGCCATCGAGCGCCTCTTCCTCCAGCATTTCGATTGGTAGCGGCGCACACAGCTCGAAAGCGCAGTCGGCCTCTGCTACCAGCACGAATTGGAGGCGCGTGCCGTCTGCAATGCTAGAAAGTGGGTCGCACAGCACAGCGTCGACTTCTTCACGCCGCTACGTACCTCCTCATCTTCGAGGCTCGCAGGACGAGCTTGTTGCCGGTTTTTCTGCGCCTGCAAGCAGGGCAAATTTTGGTGCTGAGAGCGTTGAGCAGGCAGTCAGAGCGCAGCCGAGAGATGCGGTATCGGATTCGGTCTCTAGTGAGAGCGGGCCAGTCAAAGCAGCCAATGGAGCTCGCGCAGCAGCTCGGACAAGCATGCTCGCAAAGCTCGGCCAACGATCTGCTTCGCCTGCTCCCGCTTCTTCCTCCGCTTCTTGATTATGCTGTTCTGCGTCTCAAAAGGACCTTTTCACCTCATGACATGCATGTATTGGCTTCCGCACTGCTAAATCAATCGCTGCTATGCTGTCGCCGACTCTAGGGATGTACTTGGCTTTTGCGTCATCAAATGTCATTTGCTGCTCATCGAGATGCCCAAACACATTAAGCCAGCTTTGATCGAGTGCAGAGTGGGCAGACGATATGTTTTCAAGGGTACCATCGGTGGGGAGGTGAGGAATTATGATACATCAAGTGTGAGGCTCATTTTCAGCTTTTTGAGCAGGCTCTAGGATTTCCTTGATCAGATTCTCGACCGTAGAAGCAGCCTGCGTAGCAAAAGTGGTCATCTCTTGCAACTCTCCTCCCGGTGCCGATCCTGCACCAGCTTGTGCTTGACCTGCATTGCCGGTCGTATTGGAGGGTGAAGCGGCAGCAGCTTGCTGACCTAACGCAGCCACTCTGGAATAAAGCGCGTAAGCCTGTTTGAGCTCTGCGAGGCGCGTTTCTGTCGGGTTCGCATTGGCGCTGCTGGCGAGGCTCTCGGGAGCTCCTCGGGCTTCGACCAATAGACCAGCCAAATTCAGAGAAGCTGGGACGGAGCCTGTCAAATACGCAACGTGTTCAGATCAAGGGGATCAGTCGATGTACCTCGATGGCGATGACTGAGCATCAAGGTAAATAGAGAGGGCTGTGCCGACAACAGAACTCACCGTATTCGGTAGCTTTCTCGAACCATTGCCTAGCCAATCTATCGTCAGCCTCCACCCCGTACAACTCCTGATGTTTTCGACTGGCCTTCTTGAGAATGTCCTGCGCCAGGTTATTGAGGATTTCTTCTCCCTCCGGTCCATCCGGCACCTCCGGCTGGTCCTCAGGCGCCGAATCTCTCACCATCTCTTCCCTCAGCAGATAACGCAGACCGAGATTGTGCGCCGATTGGGCGTCTCCTTGCTCTGCTGCCGAGGTGAAGTGATGGTAGGACCGCGTTAGATCGGACTGGCGCACCGAGGGCGGAGTGCTCAGATCCAGTGCCGTGCGGGAGAGAAGGACGCCGAGGGCATGGTGTGCTCTTGCGTTGCCTGTGAAGAGAAAAGTGTCAAGCAGACCGATCAGCTGATTTGAGCCAATTTAGCATTAGCGTCACTCGCTCACCATCAGCAGCTGCCAACTCGAACAGCTCAAAAGCTTTGCTTTGGTTCGCAGGCATGAGCTCTCCGCTCAAATGCAGCACACCAAGCTCGTAGTAAGCCTCGGAAATTCCCTTCTTCGAAGAAGCTTGCAAAAGAGTGATAGCTCTCTCAACCGCCTTTCTTCTCTCTTCTCCTCCCCCTTCACCATCCGCCTTCAGATTTGCAGCGGTTTGCAGCAACAATCTAGACATACCCAGCATTCCCATCGCATCACCTTGCATGGACAAGGTCGCATACATCCTCACAGCAGCGGCTTGCTGAGCTTGTTTCAGCTCCGTTCGGCTGTCTGGTGTAGTGGCGAGATGAAAGCCCAGAGGAGGGGGCGCAGCGCCTTGGAGGACCAACGAAGCCCACGAGTAACCTGCAGCGACGACCTTGGAAGGGTCGCTGGCCAGAGGTTGACCCAGCGCAACATCTGGTGCAGATGTGGGATCGGGAGTGTCCATGGGATCCGAGCCGTAGGCAATCGCAAAGATTCGAAAGGCGATCGGCTGACGACGAACATCTTTGCTTGCCTTGAGCAGGAAGGTGGCCAAGTTATGCAGGTCTTCCCGGCTGAGAGAAGCTGCCGCGAGGTCTGTGATAGAGTCGTGGCGTGATGGAAGCGTGAGCAGCGCTCTATCAGCATCCTCCGCAGAGCACCACTTGACTTGAACGAGTACGCACCCGCATTCACGCCAGCTTCAGTGGTCACTTCCAATCCTTTAGCATCCTCCATGGTCTTTGTATCGGAAGCGGCTCGCAGCTGCTCCAGCACGCGACCCACTATGCTTCTGGCCACATCTCTCGTCATCGGCGCTTTGACCTTGGCATCACTTTCGAAAACTTCTGCTGGCAAGAGACGGTCGAGTGAAGATTCAAGAGAAGGTGGTGGAGGACCTGCTGAGCTTGTGCGTGAAGATTGGCCCGCAATGCTGGGAGCAACCGATGCGAAACGAGCTTGGTGGACCGCCGGTGAAGTACGGATCGCGGTGATGCTGGTCTGGACGCGCGGTCCAAAAGTCGCTATTGCAGCCTGCTGGCGAGCACTTGTGGTGGCAGCTGCCCTGCTCAGCCTGGCAAAAGACAAGCTCTGGTGAGTGGTGACGCCAGCGCCCCGCATCAACGCTGTTGCAGCTCGCATGCTCGTCGTGAAAGATGGAAGGAGTGAGTGGCGATACTATGGAATGGAAACCGACGAAGAAGCAGACAAAAGCGCAGTAGGTGTGACTTGTGCTCCCTCAACAGTAGCATATGTTGACCCGATGATCGCAAGGTGCTTGGTGGTAGATGCGAAAGTGCCAAGGAATGCTGTTCAAACTGAATGGATCGTCGCAGGCGCCCACACCTTCCAGTTTCGACACCGTTGTGGAGGTGCAGAGGCCTACGTCACGTGGCACGCTTGGGTCTCGCTGCAGAAAGCGAAGCTCCGCCCATACGCACGGATGGGTGCTTGTGCAGGCACGCACCACACCTCATCAAAGCAGCCACGGTCCGCAACGATACCGCAAACACCATCACGCCCTCTCCCCACCTTGCGCTTAGCGATCTCTGCCTGCTTATCATACTAAGCAAGTGAATCATTCTAGACACCGTATTCGAAGCCTTCGCGCTTTGTCGCCTCGAGGCAGAGTCAAGGTGGAGGCCGTACGTCACAAGTCTGGCTTCAGCCAGATACGTCGAGGAAACCTCACCAACAAACAACTCAAACGTCAGATTCGCCATTATGACCTCCCAAGCTGGCACCAATCAGTTTGATCAAGCTGCAGCTACGAGGTTCTTGGCTTCTAGATGGGACACTTTACAGAATGCGATAAGTGATCCCAGCTTGATTCAGGCGGGTGAGTGCAACAGAGAAGGGCAAGAGTGTTGTGGGCAAGGCGTGGTGTAGTGTCTGCTTTGTAGTTCATTACAGCAGAGCCAGGTCACTGTTTGCTCAGGATTTGGAGCGAGGATGAAGATGCGACTGGTCTCTCCGCACCGTCGCACCTTCTTCACATCCGCTTGCTTATCCACCACTCACCGCTCGTCGCGCCCGCCCGCACACAGACCGACCAGAGGTGCTCAAGGACAAGCCTCCCGTCTCCAATCGAGGCAGCACAGCCAATCCCAAGCAAGACAGTAAGTCGCTCCGCTCCAACCCTCTGTGCCTGTCCCATTCAATGCCCCGCATGCCCCGCATCCAGTGCATCCCGTCCTCCTTACTCGCTCATTCCGCTCAACCGACTTCCCTCCTCGCGCCTCGCCTTCACCTTCATCTTCATAAAACAGGCAACAACTTTTTGAATCAAGTCTGGAAAGCTGCAGGATATCAAAAGGGACCTAACTAGGGCACCAGGCGCTACTCGGTAGCGCAGCTCGATCAATGTCACACACCTAGCGTGAGGGGCATGCAGGCCCAGCGCACGTACGAGCTCAATCCGACTCGCGAGCGGGATCACGGCCTGCTCTGGCGCTCTGAACATCACAGAGCCACGAGTGCTGATCCATACCAAGTCTAGCCGTATTGCAGGCTCCGTCTGAGGTTGCGTCTGCACGACAAACAGGTCGCTTGAGTATAAACGAGATTGTATTCTTGGTTGCATTCCCACTTGGCAGCGTCGAAAGTGCATTGAAATAGAGTAGCCAGAAGAGGCGGATGTGTCGAGTCGGCTCAAGGGAGCGCGTACATGTTGATTACGTTGACATTACACACCGACGCTTTGTGCGCCCCTCTCAATTCCAGTCATCATCATCATCATCATCATCGTCCTTCCTAGCTCCAATATCACCCGCATCGTGTTCATCCTCCTTTGCTCGTGACACCACGACGGAAGGCACAGATGTGCTGCCGCTGCTGCCGACAGCCTGAGCAGCAGCCAAAGCTTTCTTCTCGTCCGCGGCAGAGGCTGTGCTTGACGCTGCAGGCGCACCCGCAGCATCCCCCGGGCCCTTGCTGCTTCCTGATGCGTTTGCGCCCCCACTGCTTCCGGGTCTGGGCACAGCCCTACTGTCGAGCGCTTTAAGAGCCATCGCCCTTCTCCTCTCTGCCTCAGCTCTGCCGTTGCTCGAGCCTGTCGTATTTCCCGCAGCAGCACCGTGTCCTGAAGACCCGCTGTTGCTCCTTCCTGGCAGCTCCCTTCCTACCCCTAGTTCAACGTCTCCCAAGGCAGAGTATGACCAAGGCTGAACGATGCCTAGCTTGACGAACAAGGGATACAGCAGGTTTGATAGCGCTCCTACGGGCTTGTGGAGGAATGGCGGGAACCAGCTGACGAAGGAGAATGTCTCAGATCTGTCCCCACGAATCCCTCCCTCTCCGGCTTTAAAGAATCTGAGGTAGGCCCAAGAAATGAGCCAGCCGAACTGCGTGGCAAGGGATGCAATGTCACAAGTCAGAGGTCTGACGTCATGGGGCAACAGCGTCTCGGCGGAGCATAGCGCTTAGACACTCACTTGAATGAGGATGAAGGGTGACAGCTCTCCGACCAGGCAGAGCACGTTCGACAGAGTCACGTAGGCCATTGGCAAATCCTGCGGTGGTGCGATAGGGGCAGATGTCAGCTCAGCAGATAGAGGCAATGCGCACCAAGCTGAGCGCTGACTGCCTCCTCTAGCGGCCCCTGTGCACGTGTAGGTCCTCGAGGCACGCCAAAGCACCGTCTTCACCTGCTCTTGCGCACTCGCCCTCCACCCGGCAGCATTCATTGCTCACCCTGACACGGATGCGAACTCTACCGTGGAATAGCTGGATTTGATGTTCAGGAATGAGTTGTGCGAGCGCGACAAGAAAGCCCGTCTGTAGCGCCATGAGGCCATGATACTGTGTGCCGTACCTGAACATCGGCATGCCGGATGTTCAGCCCAAGATCTTCCTAATGCGCGCCAAAATTCTGCTCAAACTCACATGCCTCTCTCGCCTCGGAACACCAAGTAGGCCAGCACCGCCAAGAACCAAGCAATCACGTTGGACCCGACCAATACCACCCCTACGAATTTGACCAATTCTATGGGCCCCCATAATCTTTCCAAATATCTTCCGGCCAGAGGTAGCGAGACGATGCTGATGAGAAACTCGGCCACGGTGGTTTCGCAGATTGAAGAGGTGATGAGTGTCCAAGGGTAGACCCAACTGGTGCCTGGGACCAGGACCAATGCTGGGAACAGCGTAGCGCTGTCTTTGTGCGACCAGCTGAGGATGTGTAATCGAGCATCGGCCGGAGATAGGGTTATCCGCAAGACGAAGAGCAGTAGTGAAAGCGACACTAATGCGATGCTCAATGATCGTGTAGCTATGGGCAAGGACTGCAGCACCGACGCCGCGTCGAAGACGGCCATCTTGGCCGGTCGCAGTAACAGAGTACCGCGATGCTGGTGATCCCGCCGTTAAGATTCGGAGTGGTAGACAGGGAAAAGGTGTAGCTCGAAGAAGACCGCGGTTGGATAGGAGCCCTTAGCCGGCTGGATGGCAAGTAATGAGTGGTGTGTCGAAGATGAAGGGGTGGATGGGTGGAAGGCCTTAGTTCGAAGCGCGACGCTGGGGCAGACTGCTGAAAGCGCAGTCGGAACAGAGCAGAAGCGAGCGGTGAGTCAATGGAACAAGGGAGGAACAAGGGAAACGGATGTCAGGCGGCGGATGGAAAGCCACTGATCGTGGATCGTGAGGGCCAACTGAAGCAGTAGTAGTAGCAGCAGTCGCGCAAGTATCTCGAAGAAGCAATTGAGTTGCGATCGCCGCCTTTCTTCGTCTTCTTGCAGCATCACCACACAGACACACAGGTGCGTGCGTGCTGCTGATGCTGCTGCACGCTGCACGCTGCAAAGCTGTCAAGCTGCTTCGTTGGTCGTCACATCAAATCTGGCTCGCGTCAAGCTGCTGCTGATGCTCGACCGCCGCTCTCGATGCCTGCATGCTTTGCCGCTCGGTGCATGGTGTCTCCGCGTGTGTATGTGTCCGTCATTTTTACTTTAGCGCGCACGCGTCTGCCTTGCTCTGTGCATGCGCGTCCGGCAGAGCGAGCGAGCGCGCTTCCGCCGATGTAAACCAGCACCGCATTCACGATTGACAGCATACGTACGACCCTCAACCCGGGCTGACTAAACTCGAAAGCGGCTCTTTCCCCCTCATGGTCCTCCTCCATCTTTCTTTTGCTCATCTCCATAGGAGTGGTTCGAAATGATCGTAATTACGACTCGTCGTCGGGAGTCGTACTAGTACTAGCATGAGCAGCTGTCGATGGCGGAGCGCGCGTGTGCTCACAAAGCGAGTTGCGAGCGCTATCACGACACGCAGCCAGCCCGACGATGCCGACCGAGCGCAGCCATATCAAGTCACTCGCAAATGCCGACCATCGCTGATAGTCGCCTTGCAGTCTCGGCTACATCTCCGGTGCTTCTCTGCAGGTTTTATGGGGCGAAAGGATGTGGAAGGGGAGCAAGGACCCCGCGGCCGCTTGGCCAGTAGAAATGAGATGAAATGCTCGAGAACATTTGGAATGCTCATCAGGGAAGATCGGTAGATTGATCGCGCTTGCATGGCCGCTCTGCGAGTCACTCGACTTTGAATATGCTTGCTTGGACTCGCGAGGTCTAATCAGAAATACTAATGATAACCTAAATGCTTACTCTGGTATAGATTTCGGACTTGACGAGCAGCGCGCAGCAGACTGCACGCGCCATCAGCGGCATGGACCGTGTTCTATAGCAGAAAAGCGCTACACAAATTTGAATCAGAGAATTAAGGCGAGCAGGCGGGTAGCATCCACGCGACTCCATACACCTGCATGGATGCGTGGCCAGTTGCCTGTGCCGTTGTTGCTGCCGCCTGGACTACTCGCGACTGATGAAAACCGTGCTGACTGCAGCATGCTGCATGCTGGATGTGCTGCCCGCGTATGACGCTGTTGCGTCGGGCGAGCAGCGCGGGAAGACAGCTACTGCTGTGACCTGCGCAGCAGCAGCAGCCGCGCGTGGATACATACATGCAGGTATCTGCATGCATGCATGAGCAGCCCACAGCGAGCCTGCTGTAGATGGCCACGCGCGCGCGCGAATGGGCCTCCGGCCTCATGCTGCTGCTGCGTACATTATAGCGGTGCTCGACTGACACTGTAGCAGCGCGGCGGCGACTGACCTCGTCGCACGCACAACCCACCTGAATTTGCACACACAATAACACAGATGCGAGCGCAGTTGAGGCGCGTTTGAGTTTTTGGATCCAGCAGGTGCTGGGTGGGTGCAAGCGTAGCCGTGGCCGGGCGTCCACGGCCCTGCAAGCAGCAGCAGTCGGTCACCCGCCAGCCAAAATAGCCAGCCAGCCAGCCAGCCAGCCGTGGCCAGCAGCATGCAGCAGCCACTCTCCCTCTTTTCCCCAAAGTGCAAAAACGGCTCGAGTGCGCTCATCTCTTCCATTGCAAACCCTTCGACGCTTGGTCGAACTTTCATTCACGATCGCACCTTTGCAATCGTCTCCTTCACCCTCTCAGCCTTCCACCTCAGGATCAGCTCGGCCACAGTCTTGTAGCATAGGGCAGCACACGTCGGTCGGAAGATAGCAATCGACCAAGGTTGCACACCGATAGCAAGTAGTCTTTCTTCAGCATCTTACTCTCAACAGAGCCTTGTCTTCAGGCAGATCAACGTGCTTCGCCAATAGCCTTCTCCCATTTCCGCGCACACCCTTATCAGGCTGCAGTACAGCTTTGCTATAGCATCACTCTGCGAATCGTTGGCCGAAGGCGCATGGGCAAATTTGGTGTCGCTGTCGCGCACCCTCCTCGTCGAAGCAGCGAAGCTCAGAGCCAGGAAGTTCACTTGGCATTAAGTCTTCTTGAGCGTCCGACGGGTAAAGGAGATCGAGCAGGCAGTCTCCCTACCGTGTAGTGCTGGCACGAATGTGCACTTCCTGGAGTGTCGTCGTCAGCCCAGATCCTAACTCTTCAGCATCACACCAAGAGCGACACGACCGGTAGGTCTGCTTAGTGTGGCTCCTCGTAGACCGCGCTAGGCTAGATCACACTGTCCAGTATCTAGTCATGGCGCCTCTAGCGACGGCTTCGCAGGTCAATCTCCTGATCTACCATTACTTGAAGGAAGCAGGTGAGTTTCAGCATCCTTGGGCTGGACGACGTGCTTGCGTTCTGAGAATTTCCTCCCTGTGCTATCTGCACAACAGGCTTCATGCACTCTTGCTTTTCGCTGCGGCACGAAGCTAGGCTCGACGACGCACCCGGTGCCAATGACGCCATTGTCGAGCCGGGAACACTGCTGCGCTACCTGCAAAAGGGGCTCCTTTATGCTGCTGTTGAGGCGCACGTCAGAGAGGTGAGTTCAGCGATAAAATTCGCAGGAGTGCAGAGGATTCGGACGATGATTGGAGGAGCGGCGCGCTCGAAGACTGGCAGCCGAATAGCTGTACGATCTAGCTGCCTTGTCCAACCTGGCTCGCCGCACACTCGCAAAGAGTTGCTCAATTTTTCTGCGCCTGCGGCTAACTTGAAAAACCGATTCGTCTTTCAGGATGGTACTGAGGAGCCCTGCAGTGCGCCATTCGAGCTCATCGGCCCACCTCATGTTTGCGATGGCAAGCCGAGGTTAGCTCCGCCACCTGCAACACGGCTGACTCCGACTCCGGAACCAGAGGATACTGCTAAACGGGAGGCTGGCGCTCAAACGTCCCACTTGCCAGCTTTACCTCGATCCCGTTCGAACAGCCGGGCGCCGGTAACACGCATCAATGGTTTGCACGCTTCAGATGACAGGAGCTCCAAGGAAGCATCAACGAGCAGGAACCGGTTGGACCTTGATGACAGAGGCGCGTCAACAGCGGTTTCGCCAGCGAAGCGAAAAGGTGCAGCGACGTCGACCACAGCTGCGCACGACGAGAAGCGAGCGCGGGGTGCTGACCGCAACGTGGAAGGCTTCAATGGCCGAGCTGGCGCTCATGACGAGTCAGACGAGGACGATAACGCATCTGCATCGCGGGGTCGAAATGGCAAGTCTGCAACGCCGAGCGCGAAGGCGTCCAGTGGCAAATCAAAGTCGAAGAAGTCCGAGGACGCTAGTCGGAATGGCAAGGAAAGCGGTCACTCGTCGAAGGCGGCCTCAACCAAGTCCGCCAAGCGCAACAAGGTCCCACCGCTTAGCGAGGAATTGAAAGCCAAGGAGGTGTCACGGACGCACGTCTGGCGACTCGCTGGGCACACAGCCGAGACCCAAATAAGTGCGTGGAATCCAGCAGTGCCTAGCCTGCTTGCTTCGGGGGCTGGAGATGCGACAGTGAGGATATGGGACCTAGCTTCACTAGGTGACTCTCCCGAAGGCGAATCGAATGACGAGCGAGCTGTCACACCGATAGTGTGCAAACATCTACCGCCGACGCACGCCAAGAATATCGCCGCATTGGAGTGGAACCCCGACGGCACCCTTTTGGCATCTGGATCTTACGACGGCATTCTGCGATTGTGGACCCCGCAAGGCGACCTGCATCTGGTGATGTCAATGCATCAAGGGCCCATCTTCGTTGTGCGGTGGAATCGGCGCGGCAACTACGTGCTGACCGGCTCCTCTGACGGCACTGCGATTGTATGGGATGTTGGCACAGGAAAGCCCCGTCAACAATTCAGCACGCATTCAGATGGGTGTCTCGATGTCGATTGGTTGTGCGGGCCGCGGTGGGATCCCGCTGCGATCGGTGCGCCAGCTGGGTCCAGTCCATCAATCGAGGCGGAGAACACCATCGCGACAGCAAGTGCCGACAACAGCATCAACATCGTCCGCGTGGGCGAGCAGAGGCCACTCAGGACACTCCGCGGGCACGCTGACGAGGTTAATTTTGTGCAGTTTGACCCGACCGGCACGTTGCTTGCAAGTGCCTCAGACGACAACACGTGTCGGATCTGGTCGCTCGATAAGATTCTTGGCCACGGCTATGCTGGCTCGAACGGTTATAGCGCATCTTCTGTGCCAGAAACGGCCGAGGTCATGGACGCTTCAGATTCCAATGGGCAAATTGGCGATGACGCCGAAGATGCTGACGCCGCAGAGCGAGGAGCAGGCGCAAGCGGCTCCTCTGCTACTCGGCACGTTCTGCGAGGCCACACTGGGGAGTTGCATGCGGCGGTCTGGGTGCCGCACTTTGCGGGCTCTGGCAGACCGAGAATGCTTGCTACCAGCTCTTGCGACAGCACCGTCAGACTTTGGAATGCCGAGGACGGCAGCTGCATCCGAATCCTTGACTCCCACAGCGACAGCATCTACAATCCCGAATTTAGTCCAGACGCTAGGTTCATGGCTACCGGTGGCATCGACGGTCGCGTGTTTATCACTCGCATTTCTGTGAGTCGATTCGAGTGATGTCTACCTTGCCTATAGCTCTTTGCTGACTTGAATGCTCTCGCCATCGCCATTAGGACGGCGTCATTGTCAAAGCCCATGCCGCTTCTGGGGGCATCTGTCACGTTGCGTGGCGGTCAGAACTCGCTAAGCCAGCCATCGATGGCCCCGCTGCCCCCCACAAGCGCTCAGCAAGCGATGCGCTATTAGGTGGCAAGACGGCACCTAATGGCTCAGGGCCCCACAGCCGCGCCAAGAGCACAGAAGTCACTGGTACTGCCCTCAAGGCTGAGAATGCGGACGAGATGATGGAGGATGCCCAGGATGCGGTTAGCATTGCTCCAGCTTATCGATCGCACAAGATCGCTCTGTCTCAGGGAGACAAGACTGTGGTCGTGCTGGACCTTAAGGACCTCTGCAATGAGGACCCAGACGAAAACTACAATCACATCGTCTCCGATCCTGCCTTCCAGTCCTGACGCGCCTTTCCCGCCATCATTTGTGCGGCGGGCGCCACCTCATTCACGCTGCACACCTCATTTTGCCTCTCTGACGCGGCACTGCGCTGCCACGTTTGGGCATTCAAAAATCTCGAGAAGCCGGCTTGGCTCGAGAAAACGCGTCACCTCTTTTGCCACAGCCGTCTGCCGGGCTGTCCTCCCGTAGCCGGAAGATGCCTCTTCCCTCGCTTTTGGTCTCCAACCTCCTCTGTCATGCTTGTATCGCACGCTTACTGGAGCTCTTTTGTTCCGAATGTGATTGGGCCCGTTTTGACTTGCAGTCGTTGCGGGTGTGTGTGCGCGCACCGATTTTCCTTTTGCGCAATGCGCGGCAGTCCGAAGATGGACGCCGACGAGGGTGCCAAGGCGATTGCATGTTCGGTGACAAGTGGTGAGCCGCGACCCGCTCGCTCGACTGGCTGACTCGTGACTCTATGCCGCCTCTTTCGGTCGAGCCTGCGAATCTTGAATATAGCTTGGCGTCTTGATGCGAGGAAGACGGCTGGCTGTGGGGACGTTGACTTGGCAAGACGCGGTTTGCGCGCGATGCGGCTCGCGAAGCGGCGCACGGACACTCACGACTATTGCTCCCTTGAGTGTGCGAGATTGTGATTCACATTGTGATTGCAAAGTCAGATCTGCATGGATCGGGCAAGTCACGAGTGGCAGGCACTTTGTTGCATCATTCAGACTCACGACTTTCAATGACCCTTCGTCAACACTCCATGTCGGTACTCGATGGACACCTCACATCGATGGCACGGTCCACGTCGTAGCAAAATGGGCACAGCTCCTTGTCTGAATTGGTGCATTCAGCCTCAATAAGCGAGCCGGCGTTGCGCGATCGCGATCGCGATACTCTGTCCCTCTCCATCCTATGGGTGCGCATTCTTCTGAGTACTCGGCACATCGAAACAGCTTGGGCATAAGTGCGGGAAAATGAACGCCGAGTCCAATTTGAGCTCAGGCGCCAAGGAGGAAGGAGGAAGCGTCGCACTTGATCGACACACGCCCACCTCTACCACGCTGGAAGGTCGAGCGTGGATGTCCAGCGACTCGGGCGAGTCTGTCTCTTTGCTGCACCAGCTCATGGCGACCAATCACAATAATAGCGTCGACGCAGCGGGCGGTGGTAGTAGCATCATTTCCAGCACTAACGCTGCAGTGGAGGCTGCTAGTCACGGGGTCGTGATGGCGACGGATCAAATGATTGGGAATCGCGGCATGGACTTGCCAGGCTTGGACATGGGAAATGGCGTCGGTATTGGAATGGGAATGGGGATGGGAACAGGCACGAGCATGTCGGCAGGGCTCGCCATGCCTTCCGACATCGCATCCACAATGGACGGCAGTATGGCCATGTCGATGGGAGATCCGATGGCCAGCGCCTCGGTCCCGTACTCAGTGGACCCGAGTATCGGTCTACCAATGCAGCTGCCCCTTCAGCTACCCCTCGGCTCTCTTCCAGTGATGCCCAACTCCACTTTCCAACAATCTTTTCCTAGCACCTTTCAGCAAGTCCCTGCATCACCACCGACGGCGCATCGCATTGCCATTGCGCACCTTCCCTCTCTCTCTCCTCAAATTCTCCCGCCAATGATGCACTCTCATCTCCGAGTCGTCCATCGCGCTTCTCAGCTTGGCAGTCTTTCCTTCGAGGTCAGGCAGCTCAGAGCCGATGGGCTTCAGACCTTGCCTGAAGCGCAAAATGCGCACGAAGGAGCACCATCCTCTTCAGCTCGCAAGATGAGGAAAGCTTTCATCTTCTCTGGCAGCCAAATTTCTAATCAAGGAGCGGAAGGGGAGGGAAGTCAAGGTGGAGCGAAGCGGAAACGCAAGCGGAGCAAAGAGCTCAGCATGGAGGTTGTGCAATCCTACTTTGCCAAGCCTGGAGCTGGATACATGATCGTCACAGACCCTTCAAGACCGACAAAGGAGGAAGTCCGAATGCAAGAAGCTGCCCGACTCTTTGGTCTGCCCATCAGCGCGGGATCGTCTTTGGGCGAACAAGGGTTGGTGAGAGGATCGAACGAACATATGAGGGAGACGTTGAGCACATTCTCGTCCGCTCAGCACATCTCGATGCTTTTGCAGAGGTGCAATCTACCTCCGCCTTTGGGAGCTCCATCTTCAGGCGATGGAGGCTCAGGGCGTAAAGCTGTGGCGGCAAGAGGAGGCGACGGCGGAGCTGGCGCTGGTGCGAACGCACCTGGAGCGTGGATCAATCGCGGCTTGATGGTCAGAGGCGAGGGCACTGTCTGGACATTCGAGACTGGGCAGAGTGCGCATGACGGCCATAGCCACCGCGGCGCCATGAACGACGCGGCGTCCCTGGAGGAATGGGTCGTCTTTGTGGGAAATTGGGGAGTGGGAAGAGACTTGACTCATGGCTTCATGCAGGTGAGACGAGAGATGCGCTCTGATTCCTCTTCGCTCACTACGAGCTTTGGAAGAGCGGCCATCGCCCATCTGACCATTATGAATTGCCTGGTCTGATTCAGGCCGTCTACTTAGGAGATGCAAAGGTCCCACCAATCGATGCTCGCGTGATTTTGAACTCTCTTCTCCCTCCTTCTTTCATTCAACTCAACAGCGGTCTGCACGCGACTTCTGGCGGCCAGACGCGGCCAAATGTTCAGGGTCCGAACGCCAATGGGCTCATCGTTCCCGTGTTCGCAACCCTTTCGGCAGAGAGCTGGGCAGAAATCAGGGCTCCCATCCACAGACGTCGACAGGAGTCGAAGAAAAGCACCATCAAAGCCGCTCGCGAAGCGGCATCGAGCTCCTCGGGGATGGAGCATGCAGCAATACGTGCAGCGGTAGGGCACGACAACAAGCGCGGCAATCATGCAGTAGATGGCAAGTCAAAGAATACGCTCATTCGACATACAAAAGGACAGCCTGGCATAGGAGACGGGGAAAAAATACCTGGAGAGGTCCAGGCCTGGGCCTGGATCAGTCTGATAAGACAATTGGGATTCCTTTGAACTTGCGAGGACAATATGGTGCAAGCGGCATGATTGGAGATGCAAAGGCCCGAGAAGAGATGTAGATGGCTCCCAATGATGCGGCGATTTTAGATGTTGCTTGAGCGTGACGTTTGTACGCGTTGAGAAAGGTTCGAATTGAAGCGGCGGACTTCGCAGGCTGTTTTGACATTGGCTGACGTGGTATCTAGAGTCAAGGCGAGGACGAGGAGCCGCGCCGACTTCACTCAGACGAGGTCGAGCTCAAGTTGGTATGCGAGTTTCTGATCGGCCAGACCTGGAGTGAAACGCAAGGGACGCTTCATGCTCAATCGCAGCTCGACCTTAGCTCTGTGTGTTCGCGTAGACTCACGCTCAGGTGCAGAAGGAGAGGCGTTGCGTTTTCTGCGGTGTTGGGACGAGCGTCTCATGAGCATCGCCTCTCGGCTGTGATGAGGTCAGACGCGCGGCCCTGCACCTACTTTTCGCCTGCAGCGACGCTGGGAAAGGAGCCAAAGGTGGACGGATGAGCAGCTCGAGGCGGTTCGTCGAAATAAGGATGTGCCAAAGCTTCGTCTGCCGTTATCCTCTTTGAAGGATCATAAGTCAAGAAACGAGCAAGCAGATCCAAAGTCTGCTCGGTGCTGTATCTGAAGTGTTGTCGCAGTGACGAGAACCTAAGGAGTTGGGGTCAAACCATCAGCTTCGGGTCAGTGGCGATCGCTTGTGAGAAGTCGGTGGATTCTAACTCACAGAGGAGCCACGTTGGACATGTTCTTCGCCCCTGGCAAACGGCTCCAGCCTGGCCAGACATCCTCGGAGGGCTGGCCAAGCAATTTGAAGATCTACGGCGCTCGGAGAGCGCAAGGACGGGCAAAACGTTAGAACGAGACGAAGATACCTAGGAAGCGCTCCCTGAGACACACCTTTAGCAGCTGCTCATTCTCATTTTTGCCGGGTAGAAAGGGTTCTTTGAGGATGAGCTCTGCAAAGATGCAGCCCACAGACCACATGTCGACCTCTGTGCCGTATAGCGGAGCGCCAAGCAGCAATTCTGGGGAGCTGTGTGTTGTGAGGATAGCCGAAGTGTCAGGTACTGCAATGTCGCGCGGTTTCGCAGGCGATGACTTGATGCTTCTCAAGGAAACGCACCGGTACCAGAGCGTGACGACGAGTTCAGTCATCGGCTTTCGAGGCTCGCCAAAAGTCCGGGCCAGACCAAAGTCCGCCAATTTGATCTGACCCGAATTGTTCATGAGCAAGTTGCTGGTCTTTAAATCCCTATGGATGATCCAGTTGTTGTGCAGCAAAGACATTGCGCTCAAGAGTTGGTGCATGAGAGTCTTTATTTCCGAGGCGAGGAAGGGGACCCTCATCGATTGGAGTAGAGATTTGAGATCGTGTTCGATGAAGTCCATGACGATGTAGACTCTTGATGTGAGGTGAGCAGCAAGTCAGCGAGCAGCGAATCGTTTGCACTTGCGCATCAATCGCTGCACTCACTGGGTCAAGGTGTCCCCCACAACAATCTCCCTCACCCGCACCACATTCTCGTGCCTGGACTCCATGAGCGTCCTGATCTCCCTCAAGCTTGTGATGGGGAAGCCATTCTTTTCCTTGTCCATCTTGAGCTTCTTCAGAGCAACAACGTCGCCGGTCTCTTTATCCCTCGCTCTGAACACCACGCCATACGAGCCTTCTTCGATGTGATTCAATCGCTCATAGACATTCACCGATCTGCAGCCCAGCAAGGCTGGATACGCACTGCGCGGAGGCACTGGGTGGACATTCCGGTGTGCCTGCTGACGTGCAGCAGCGCTTCGAGGCTCGTCCAAGCTCTGCGCTGCAGCTCTTCTTTGCGGCGTTCCAGAACCATTTGCGCTCTGCCCTTGGTCCTCAGTGGCATCAGCGCTGCCACCATTGTGCCTCTGTCGTTCTTCCTGCTGCCTCTCAGCAGCTCTTCGCTCCGCCTTTTGCTTGGCTCTGAGCGCTTTGGAAGCAGCCTTGGCACGAGCTTCGTTGGCTGCTCTTTCCAAAGCATCCGGCGAAGGTGTTGCTTCCCATTTGGAGCGCTTGCGTGGAGGTGGAGATGTCGTGCGTGATTGTTGGGGGTCGGTGCTGGAAGAAGCTTGACCTGATGCTGGCGTGGCTGAGTTGGAAGACATCTCGTGTTTGAGGTTCCTGTGAGCTCTTGGACCGTTGTGCGGCCTGATAGTGGGAGGAGGTGGAGAAAAGGACAGGCTCGAGGCAGCCTCGAGACCAGCAGACCCTTGCTGGCCGTCACAGGCATGAATTGCATGAACTTCAGAAACTTCAGACGCCTGCTGTACCGCGCATACAATGTGAATCGCGAATCACGAATCGTCAAGCAAGCGTGTCCCTTTCCCCATACACACGCGCGATCGAGCAGATTCACTGGCTCGCGGCGCGCACCCGCACTCGCACTCACTCGATCGACGCTCCACATCAACACCTGCGTCAACGCGCTTGCGGGTGCCCAATTTAAATCGCGAATGTGAGTGAGTGAGCGCCCTACACCCGCATCATCACGGGCATCACCATCACCATCACAATCAAGCATCTCAACGCCTTGTATCTGCCACCTGTTCTCAAGACTCTCAAGCAATCTCTATCCCTCTTTCTTCTTTTTCGCTAAACCGCTCGCTCGCTGGATCGCTTCACCATGGACGTGGGCGTGCATTGTCCGCTCTCTTCATGTCTCACCTTGACATTTCTGCCCATTTCGTGTCCTTACTGTCGCAAAAAGTTCTGCGAGTCGCACTTCTTGCCATCGCAACACGCCTGCTCAGCTCCTGGATCCTCTTCCAAGCATCTCAGCGACTCTGAGCTGGTCCGGCTCGTGGCTAGGGCGAACCCGGGAACGGATAGGACGCCTTGTCAATCGAAGGGATGCAAAGGGAAGAGCTTGCAGGTTGGCAAGCAGGGGATGGGTATTAGCGTAGCGGAGGGAAGCAGCGCGGGAGTTAGCCATGCTGCGCCGAGGTGCGAAAGATGCGGAGGTCTCTTCTGCATGAAGTGAGTGCGAGACTCGTGCATGTATGCGGTGAGAGTCCGCTATCGATGTGCTCCCTCACACCCCCCTTCTTTGATCTTCCCTTCGCATGACTCCGAAGACATCGATCGGCCATCTCTCACAAGTGCACAGTACTAGCTCCAATCACCGAGGGAAAGGCGCGCCTGCAAGCAGCGGACGAACGCAAAAGAAGAGCGCAAGAGATTTTGGCCAAGAACTTCCCAGGCCGGTCGACGGGTGCAAGTGTCAAGAGCGGCGGGCCGGCATTCAAGGCACAGGCCGCAGTGGTGACATCAGAAGGAGTGCCGATGGGCAAAGACACGCCGTCATCAAGCCAATCTGGGGGTTCACAAGCAGGGCTTGGAAAGGACGTCAGTGAGGAGCAGTTGCAGTCTCTCGAAACTGGTATCACGCCGACGGAGCCTGGAGAAGACGGTGCACACTTTCCTCAGAGATAAGCTCGCAAGTGATGGCTAGTAGAGGCATCTATTTGGCACCGAGACCACCTTGCGCTTTGTTCAAGACGAACGCTGCTCGTGGTGTGGATCGATTTTACTCCAGGACGGCCGTAGGATCGAGTCTTTATAGCGAAAGCTGCCCTCAGACCAGCACTCCACGAATCGGGTGAATCACGTGACCTTTCGTCGCGCGTGTCTACATGGCTTTTGCTTTTGACGTCGCTACCTATACCGCAGGCTTGAGGCGAGCACGACTCGAGTCAGAGTCAGCCTGCGGAGCTGCAGCGGGACCATGCACGATGTGGCGCATTTGCAGATACCGGCGATGTGTTCGCGTCGATCCGCCAAAGAGACCGGCGGTGGTCAGTGACCACCTAGAATGCCGTTCACGATTGACTGCGGGCAATGAAGCGAGTCGTCGGCCAAAAGCCTCATCAATCTAATCATCAGCGTACTGATGGTGTCGCACGTCTTGCCCAAGTCGAATCTATCTCACCTCTAATGCTTGGACGTATCTGATTGACACCAATGTAGGAGGTGCATAGCGGTACATGTGGAGGCACATTGGCCATCACGCGACTTGTCGTAAATCATGCCATTTCACGATCTGAAATTTTCTTCCCGAGTGGTGAAGATGAGCCTCCATGTTGCGGCCTTGAGCACCCTCAAGAGTCGAATACAACACAAAGGTCAGACACAAGCCGACGTTTTACAGACTGTTCACGATCTCACAACGACGACGGTCAGTGACGCTTTCCGCAGCTTCATTCGATTCAAATTCAGCTTCGAGTATCAGAATGGCAGCGCAAAGATAGCAGAATTCCAGCATCACCATGACAGCCCCGTGTCAAAGCCGTTCAATTGCTCATGAGCAGACAGACGTACTCTCTGTGATACATGATCTCCATGAGCCGCATCTCCAGTCACCGCCGGACGAACACCGACGTCACCAGGCACCGCCTCCTTTGATCCTCGTCGAAGGTTTCATGTGCGCTGCCTCGTCGCTGATATGGGGCGACTTTCCGCAAGAGTTGGCCGCGGGTGCAGCGCACCAACGGTCGAGCTGGAAGCGAGAGGGACGCAAGATTTTCTGGGCTCCTATCGGACCAGTTTCATCCCTGCATGATCGAGCATGCGAGCTCTTCTACTCCTTGCACGGAGGAACGGTGGACTATGGCGAAGCTCATGCTCAAGAGCATGGCCATTCGAGATGGGGCCGACGCTATCCTCCGGCGTCAGAAGGTGGCGGATCGTATCCGCAGTGGTCCGAAAAGCATCCTGTGCACATGGTCGGCCACTCGCTGGGGGGCGTCACCATTCTCAAACTTCGACAGCTGCTCCTGACAGGCTTTTTCGATCAGCAACTTGGCATCATCACCCCTCTTGGAACATTATCGCAGGCCGCTGGGCTTATCAGATCCATCACGACCGTCTCTTCTCCTCTGCGCGGCACACCTCTCGTATATCTGCTCGGCGAACAACCAACTGCCTCTCCCCAGGTTCGATTTTTGAGTTTCGGTGATGTACTGGCCAAGAGCGTGCACGTAGCTGTGTGGCTTCGAGCGCACAGTGCCAGCATCAGAAAACTTCTGCCCGACCCCCAAGCAGATGCTTGGCATTTTGCGGGAGCGAATAAAAAGGAAAGAGAGGACGACATTGAAAACGCTTCACCTGAACAAGGGACTTCTGCCTCGTCACATGCTTGGTCCTTTCGCTCATTGTGGGGCTTGCCTACCTTGGCACAACAACTGTGGAAGAGCGATTGGGCCGAAGGCCGTGATTGCGCACCCTGGGATTGCACCTTGGCGGAGCGAGCCAGGTGTGAGCAGCGTGAAGTTGGCTGGCTCCTCGCCAGCCATCAAAGCACTCAAGATTTGGCTTCGCAGCTGCCAGACTGCTGGTTCCGCAGTTATGCAGCGGTAAGTTTTGAACTATCAGACTTGCGGTATCTTCCTATTGATTTCGTCGGCGTTTGCGTCGTTGCCACCAAACGCAGTACATGACGGAGCCTTACCCTTCCTCAAGTGACCCATCAGGGGCGCCTCGTCACCGCCCAACATCTGTCTTCAACACATCTCTCTCGGCAGCCATCTTTAACATCACCTCGAAGCAGATTGGAGCCTTTGATTACCACAATGCGCGACCATCCCGGCTCTTTGGAAAATCGCATGTGCCGTCGAGAAGCGGGCTCGATGCAGAAAGCGGCTCGACTCGTGGATCTACCTCCCAAGAAGGTGCCGAGAAGGATGAGCAGGGCAGCGCACTTCGCGTGGAAGCGTCTGAAGCGCGTTACTGCGCCGACACCCCTACAAACCCAGCGCACAGAATGGATGAGGAGGAGGAAGAGGACTGGTACGCAAATGACGGAGTCGTGCCTCTCGCTTCGCAGTATCATCCTGGCATGTGCGGCGCAAACACCTGCGCGCACTATCAAAGTCTACCCAGTCCGCACCTGAATCCCGCTTCTAAGCTTGACGCTGTCGTTGCAGATGCTCGACGCCGGCCAGCCCTTGCACGACTGATGAGCGCTGGTGATGCAGCTTGGCGACAGGTGCGGGGCACGAACGCGAACACCAACGGACGGGCTACTCGGAGTTCCAGCGGCGTCGATCCAACGTGCTCTGCCTTGCCAGTCGCAGGATCGGACATGAGCACAATGCCGAACCGGTGGCATGTATACACGCTCAAGGATGCCACTCACGCCAGTCTCTGTCCGATCTGGAATGGCGATGCGCGACAAAGACACTTTTGGAGAGGTCTGGGTGCATGGCTGGCCGATGTAGATGCAATGGTCGCGCAGAAGAGCTGAGTCGGATCTGGAGTGGAAGTTGAGGTTCGAGCACTTCTCGTTCAGCCCTTTCCCACGCGCGCTCCAACCTCGCGATTGTTCAATCATCCGCGCCCCTGCTCAAAGGTGCAACTCGAATTGCTCCACATATAACATACCCTTGATACCCTGTGCACTACTTGCTAACTCTTCGAATCAGAGGTTCCCTTGCATGTGAACATCAAAATGAATATGGAACGCGTCTGCTCACCAATTGGATGTCACCTCGACTGCATGGGTTCGGCCATATGTGCCTTAGGCGTGAATTCCACGCCACGCTGTGATTCAGTCAAACGCCGTCGTGGTTGGTCTGTGCATCCAAAGCAGTCACGGCGGAGTCGAGAATTGAAGGCGCTTACACGACAGTCGTAGTAGTAGTAAGGAAGGTCGCTTCCACGCAACTTGTACTCTTCGGAGCCGTGGCTCTGAAGGCGGAGCGCGAAGTGCAGCAGAGGTGAACGGCAGCTGAGATTAGATCGTATCGTAGTCCCAAAGCCTAGAACCCCGACCAAATTGGCACGGACTCGCTCATTGCATCGCGACGGCGCGGAATGTGGGTGCTGGGATTCGGAGTTGATGGCTGAGTCTAGATGTCTTGCACATGCCTGCAGCTTTTGAGAGCAAGCGCGTAGAAGCCGGGGGCCCCCTGCGTCGGAAGATTTCGGAGAAGCGAATGTGTGATGGTCGAGATTCTATGCTGATGCCCTTGCAGCAGGGTGAGCGCGATCTACATGTTATGTAGGTGAGTCGGCTTCGTTGGTCCAGGGCAACGGCAACGAGCTGACCAATCAGTCTACAAGGCAGAAGCACTAGCTACGCGCTCAGGAGCACTACGCGGTGCCGGCGTGAGCCGATAAGAACATGAAATGCAATCTACTCTGCATCGATTCCAGTCAGCGGCAAGTCCTCAGTGCAAGAATGCAAGAAGCGGAGAGTGATGGCTCGGACGAATGTTGGGGTCGTTAGCGTATTTTGAGGATGATTCAATCACAAGCAGCATGTACATCCTTGAAGCGCACAGTCACGGCAATGCATGCAACGCCGGTCGTTACCTTCCCTTGCTTGCGAGACGAATCTTGAATTGGACCAGGTTCCGCGGAGAAAGGTCATGCCTGTCGTGCCAAAGTCCAGAGGCCTATCCCACTTGCTCACACAGCATGCAGTCATCATGAGTCGCTTCGACCACCAGCAGGTCGCCCGCCTCAGGGACGAGCAGAGAAGCTTTTCTCGATTGAACAATATACCATCTCTGATGCGTTTCGTCGTGCTCCACAAGCGTCACCAGTTCGCCATCAAGAAGGAATCACACCGATGTAGGTGCCAGTCGAGCGGCGCCCGTAAAGGTGACCGAGAGTCTGTCGTGAGTTGAGTGTTTCAAAGCTTCTGAGCACCAACAGCTCCGACAACCGCGCGCGCCAACTTAATTTAATTTTCCGAGCTGTACAGTCACGATCGAGTAAAGTATGTATGTAAAACCCAGCTGCACCTCCGAGGTGCCTGCATCATGGCCATGCACCCATATATAGCTGCTGCATGACAGAGGCTTGATGTCTATGCAAGCAAGCAGGCATCTGTCGGGTGTCACAGAAATCTGCAACGCTGCAATATGACGGGCCATTCAGCGGCGCCGTTCTAGACTCGCGCTCCAGGCCTTTGTCGTCCACAGCGGCCCAGCGTCCGCGCTTATTACGGCTCAGACCGCTGCATGCATGCTGAACGGACGGTGTGTGGCTTGCGCGACCAGTTCCTCTTTTCCTCGATCGCAATCACGAGATGAGACCGATCCGCTTGACTCGTGACTTTGACGTGGCCATCAACGGCTGCGATGTCATCCGCTTTGGCCTTTAGGATGCTAGGACCTCGTGGTAAAGATGACAGCTTGCTGTTCGCTCACGCTCAGTCGTGAGGAAGTAGTAACGCGCAACGAATCGTGAATCAAAGGACGATGAGATCGTGAAGGAAGCCGTACACCACGGTATCGCTGCTAGACTCTTCTCGCGGTCGTTGCATCTCCGAATCAGGACGCTGTATCAACCATCGAATCCTCAAATAAGTAGAATCATTATCACCCATTCAAGTTCTTCAGACCTCAGCATTGTCGATACAAAGTGATGAGCATGGTTTCCGAGTCTTAATTTCCGGAATGCAATCATCAAAGAATGTTTTGATGCTGAGCCAAGGCGGGCCAGCGTCGAGCACCAAACATATGCGGCTCTCTATGGTGCATGCATGAGCTTTTTACATAATCTGACCGACTGCCCAAACGCCGGTCCCATGCATAAAGAGATGGTAAAGCGGTTCTTGAAGCGGTTCTTGGAACGTCGACACCGCTTGAGTGCTGGAGGACAGGGGCCTGCGTTGCGTGCCGTGCCCATTCACAATTCACGGTCGGCATGCCTCTCAGCGCGGGGACAAGCTCAGCTCAAGGTCTGCAGCGGCACAGCGCTCCCCCGACTCTACTTCACGCTCCTGGACGTCTAGACGCATGCAAAGCGCGGAGCAACAGTGACAACTCACGAGTATAGCATCAGCAGCAATGCTGAAGCAGCAACAGACCAGGAGCTAGGCACTCGTGCCCTCAATTGATTCAGATTAAGTCATGCGGCGGAGACTGAAACACAGCGCGTGCTAGCCAGACATGCGCATGATGTGGGCTAACTACGGCTCTGCATGGTTTACAGCCATGCTATCTTCGAATCTGCTCGCAGATCGTGCGCATGACGAGTCTTGAGTGGTCATAGAGGCTGCCTGCGGTGGGAAGGCCAAGTCGATCACCTGCCTAGGACTGCATGCTCCGCGCAGGGTGATTTTAGACTGGTCAGTAACCATGCACGTCGGGGTGAATTTTTGAATGCCAAATTGCATAGCAAAGTAGGGTTTGGCCTTTGAGTCTGCACCGAGCAAACTCCGCACAAGCCTCGGCCATGCAAAGCCACCAAAAGCAGAGCAAGAAGCAGCACGTCAAGGAGCCGCGCGCAAGAGCCCAATTCAACATACCCGCGGACAGCGGGATGAGAAATGTGGACCGATCGGCGCGGCCAGCAGCAGCGTCCAGCAGGCACTCCGGCTGCACATTTTCTTGGTGCCTCTCCGCTACTCCGCCTATCAACGGGGGGCCCAGGCTCGAGCTAGAGAACCGGGCTTAGTGTGGTTTTCTCTTCCTCGAGCGTGCTCGCCTTCCCCACGCCCGATCCACTTGTCCGACTGCTGCAACACTACAGCTGCTGTGGTGACTCGCAGCTATAGCAGCAGCCTGACGCTCAAAATTCCACCCGATTTCCTTCCGCTCTAGACTCAGCCACAATCGTGAATCCCAGAATATCCGCCACTCGGGTCCGACTGCACGGCTGATTCACTGATCAGCTGCGTCATTGTCTCTTGAAAGCAGGTACGGCACACTGCAGCGCTGCTCCTACTCGTGTACGACACACACTGCATAATTGGTGGCCTAGTGCTCCCACCGGCAGGCAGTCTACGAGCGAGACCGCGGCAGGCATGATAATCACACCGCCTGCGGGGGGCAGGCAGCAGCAGCAGCATGCAGCAGGCAGGGATGATTGAGTGAGCGCGCGTACGCGTACGCGCACGCGCTCGCGCTCGTTGTGCGCCACCTAAAACGCGGGACGGGACCGCGCGCTCACCACCTCGCGGACGTTCTAGACTCCGCCACTCAGCAAAGCTCGCAGCGGTGGATGGATGGCGAAGCGGGTGTGAACTTTTGCGTCTCAGCCTCACTTCCCGCTCCGATCCCTCCCTCTGTTCCCATAAAGCTTTGCCATGTTCTCACCCACGCCTCCCCTCCCTTCGCCCTTCCACCACCCACCCACCACCCATCCCTGCCTCTTCACATTCGCCGACTTTCGCACCCTTCGCCGTTCGCTCTCAGCGCCGCCCGCGTTTTCAACTTGCACTCTTAGCGCACACAGCTTGAATCGTCCGTGGACATCCGAGCTGATTTTCTGAGGAAGCTCTTTACAACGTATACCTACAACGCTCTCGACGTCGACTTCACAAACATTATTCGGTGAATTTAGCTATCAACGCTACCAAAAACCAAAGCGAAGCGCACCGCACCTTCTCTCGAGCAGAACAGCCATCTCGACCAGGCTCGGCACAACGCGCATCCACGGCGGCAGCGCGCACGCAGTCCACCAGTCGACGCGTATCACCGCACCTGCGAGCCTGGCCCCGGCTGCCTAGCACTATCGTGTGCATCCACCGTCAAAATGAACAGCCATCACTATTCTCAGCACGCATACAACAGCGCTCCCTCATACGGTGCACAGCAGGGATACTCAGCATACAATCAGCAAGCTGGTCATCCCCATCCTAGCAGCGCCACCTCGCACTATGGCCAGCAGCAGCAGCAGCAGCAGCAACAGCACCATTCCCAGCAACATGCTGGCCATGCAGGACACGCGCTCTACGGTCAGCCCACTCATCATTCCCAATCCTCAGCTCCGATGCACTACAGCAGCTATACCGGCACAACCAACTCAGCCACCCCGGCCGGCTCCGTGCCATATGCGCATCACGCTGAGATCAATCAGCACCACGCGATGAGCCACCCACACCATGCTCAGCAAGCTCAGCATTACTCTGCTCATTACGAGCATCAGCCAGCTGGCAGCTCCCACCAGCACTTTCACCATATGGCAGGCGTCAGCGGTATGCCTGCACCTAGCTCAGCAGCTCAAGCTGGTCCAAAGGCCAAAAGACGGCAGGTGAAGAACGCTTGTGTCAATTGCCAAAAGGCTTGCAAGAAATGCGACGAAGGTCGACCTTGCTCACGTTGCGTCAAGTACGGTTTGACCGACAGTTGCCAGGACTCTTCGCGCAAGGAGCGCAAGCGCGGCATCAAACGCGGCCCGTACAAAAGACGCGCGAACGGATCATCGGAGCAATCTGGTGGCCATCACCAATCACGCAGCACGGACAGCTCTAGCGGCAACGGCCGTGGTAATAACGACATGTCCAGAGGCAGCTCAGACAGCCAGCACGCTGGTGAAATGTCCAGCAGGGCCTTGGATCCCAGCACTAGCTACATGTCCAGTTCCGCCTACCCAACTTCAGCACCTGGCACCATCTACCGCGGAGCGAGTCAGCTCCCACAATCGTCTATGAACGCCCCATCGACCTACGACAGCTCACCAAGCCCGCACATGTATGCGCGAGAAGCCCGGTTGCAACTGCCCTCGAGCGTCTACGATCGTCGCACAGGTGTCGAGTCCCACGACAGCACCGCTACGGCGCACGCTCATCAGCACGACCGAAGCACCTCCACTCCCATCGGTACCATTGGCCGAGCCACGGGCTCGAGCCCATTGATGCACGCTGGCGGTGCGCAGGGACACTTGCCCTCGTTGAGCTCGAGCGCAAGCTCCCTGGCGTACGGTGTCGCTCACCGGCCCCAGCTATCCAGCGCCTCGTCCAGCGGCTCAGGCTCGCTCTTCTCGCCGCCCACACTTTCGAACATTGCTGGCCTCGGGGGCGGCGCGTCCCAAATTTCGCCTCGTCTACAAAACACCTCCGAGTATGTGCATCACCCACCTCCTTCGACCATGGCAATGTCTGCGACGGGCAGCGCTTTCATGAACTCGGCGTCATCAAGCATCAGCTCGCAATTTCCTCTCCAGCTCCCTCAACGTGCCAAGTGGTTCGAAGAAAGCAACCCTCAGCAGTCGCACTATCCTGCCCCAACCACGTCCAGCCTTGGCAATGTGACGTCGTTCGAACTGGCACCCATTAAGCCACGTAGCTACCTGGGAGCTGCTTAGGTCTAAGACGCAAGCAAGGACGACGCCTGTGGACCCAGGCTTGCTCCTCACCCGTCGAAAGCTCTTGCGCTTAACCCTGAGCTTATTGTAGCTCCCGCCACGCGTTGCACTTTCCCATCATTCCATGTATGCCACCCACTCTATAGCCTCGCAAAGTAGCTGCGCAACCCGTCTTCGCCTTCTCCGCCCGCTTGCGCTCATTCCCCCCATCCCAAGTCGCAATTTTTCGCGAGCCGCTCCTCCGCCTGATGGATTTCGTTTGCAAAGTACTTGTCTATCTATGCTCGCCGACCCGCACCGGAAACCTTGTACTACCTACGCCTCTCGTACTGCAGCTCCCGCGCAAGTAAATCAAATGATGCGAATTGCTCCCTCGACGTATTTTCAGCTGCTTGAGCGATCCGTTTCTGTGAGCGTGACGCATTGATAGGCTTGTGAGTCCTTGCGTAGCGCAGACCGACCATCATCCAAAAATCTCGCGATCCAAGTCGCCCAAGCTACGCTTTCTGCTCTCGCGCGCGTTGAGGCGCAACTCCACATCGCGCTCGCTCTCCCACCTCCTGCCCTTCTTGCGTCTCTCTCCGAAGCTCATCTCCACTTCGCCAGTCTTTGCCTCTCCCTGCTGCGAGCTCGTTGACTGGTACTTTGGATGCGCTGCGACAATGTCAGCTCCGATAGCAGCAGCTGAAGAGAGCAGCTCCTTCTTGATCTTTTTGCCGTGCGCGTTGCGCTGTTCTGAGCGAGGGATGGGAGCTCGAGAGGAGGTGTCTGCTGCTGGCACCTTTTCTTGCATCGCCTTGACGGACGGATGAGGAAAGAGATCTCCCCAAGAAGCTTTGCGAGCATCGTGATATGCTTGTCTCCCTGCTGACTTTGGTAGCGTGAAGCGAGAGATGGTGCCTGGTGCGCGCGATCAAGGGTGAAAATGTCGACATGTGAGACGAGGAGCCTTTGCAACAAAAACAGAGAAAGGAGAGACATCGGTGCTCAGAACATCCTCTCACCTTCAGCCATACAGGCATCAAAACATACATGTCCTCCCTTCTTCAGCGGAGGCAACACAAGTCGTGGCCAGTAAAACGCTTCTCTCCTCATAGCCTCTTCATCCGCGACGCTAAAGTCCTCCTCAAGGGAGCTGAGCAGCTCCTGCTCCTCCGCTACTTCGTCGCCAGCTATTCTAGCCCTCGACAAGCGCTGTGCCACTATCTCGGTCTCTTCCGCATCTTCTGCCTCGACATCAATGTCGCGGAAAGCAACCTCCGCAGGCGCAGAAGCTGAACGTCCAGAGAGCTCTTTGAAAGCGGAGAGGATCTGGGCGGAGCTGGGCGCGTTGATCTCGGCTCCTTGTGCAGCTATGAAGGCGTCATTGCTCGCGAATTGCTCTGCTTCTTCGTCCTGCACCTCCCTTTGAATCTCGTCATCGTGCTCCGCAAAACTCGCAGAGTCTTGCCACACGCCCTGAGCATTCGCCTGAGCCAGGGCAGCCTTGAGAGTCTCTTCGTCGACCTCTTCGCCTGCACGGGTAGCTTCTCTGCGCATGGCTGCCTCCAGAAGACTTGAAAGCTGGCTCCGATTGGAGGCGCTCGACTGCAAAGTGGTGTCTCCGGCCCCAGCCTCGATCTCCGTCTGAGCCTCTAGGACGCTGGAAAGACGAGCGGCAGGATCTGCATCTTCGGAGGATGAAGGTGCGGGCGCGCTCCCTTCCACGACCACATCTGTCGGAAGGCGACTGGGGCTCCTTCTCAGCGCTTCGAGTATGCCGACCTTTGTTCTGTGCGCATTGCCCGCGTCAGCCACCAGCTGAGCTTCTAGATTTTGAGACGAGCCCAAGGTATCCGTTGCAGGAAGCTGAGTCGCGTCTTGCGCAGTTGTGCGCTGAGGTCTAGGGCCTCTGGCGACGACTACGTACGAGTATCTGCTGCTCTCCTCTTGCCGCTTTCGATTACGGGCCACCCAGAGCGGAAGGGTGGCCCGAGCAGGAAAGGCGCAGACTTGCAGCTTCGACTTGCCACGAAAAGAAGAGTTGCCGAGAGGTGGTGGCTGAAAGTCGTGCAACAGCGGGCAGGGTCCGTCATGTGGGCACTGCGTCGACGGAGGATGACCGCAAGAAATCAGAGAGAAAGCATCGAGTTGGGCCAGCCATGTCCACGGAGACTCACCGGCGCCACGACGTGCGCACCTGATGCACGTCCGGTCTCCGCGTCCTCGCCATCTTCAGCAGCTACATTTTCGCTCCTTTGCGCATAGAACTTCTGACCGCCCAGCATAAGCACCTCATCTTCGTCAACATTGGCCGCCGCACGAGGAGGGTCGTTGCCAAGAGCCAACAGTTCTTCCCTTGCGCTGGCCACGCACGCGAAACCTCTGTGATCGCCTTCTTCCACAACGAGGATCATTTGTGCTCCGGACTCCCAGACCTTCCTCAGCAGCGCCGAGCGAGCATTGTCGCTAGAAAGCGCGCTGAGAGCATATGGCAGGATGGCGAGCGTATTTGATGGGGCAGAAGAAGAGGTCGACTCTACAGCAGCATCGAAACTAGCTTCTTGCTCCTCCTCTTCCGCATCCCTAGCTGCTCCGCGCTCACGTCTTCCAAACGCCTGCGCATGGCTTCGGGCGGAAGTAGTGTGGAAACGAGCCTTCTTTTCTTCTTCGAGCCTTCTCAGCGCGTGATCTTCTGGCAGATCGCGCAGCAAGCTGGAGCCGAGTCTGGCTAGCGGACCGTTGGTGAGCCCATCGAACCTCTGTACAGCACCTGGCCAAGCATTCTCCACCGCCCACAGTCCTTCTCCGACTCCTGCATTGTAGTCGAACACGCTTGCCGGAGTCCATCCGAAGGGTCCGCCTATTCTAGAAGCCAGATCTTGTGTGAGGGTGAGCAGTGTGGCATACCTCACCGCGGAATCTGCCCCTGCAAGGTGCGAGTGAGCAGACAGAGCGCCTGCTCTGCGCTTAGATCGAGAAGAGATCGCTTCTGGCGTGGCTTGTCTCCAACCGGCTATGGCTTCTGCAAGATCTGACGGAATAGCAGCGGCTCTCTGAGGAGACAATGTTCCGAACCTCGAAGCTCTGCTCCGCCTCCTCTCTCTCGAGCTCAATGTAGATGCGCCACTCGTGCTCGCTTCCTCATCCTCGGTCATGTTTACGCGTGGTCCGAGAGCGAGGGCTCGTGGTGAGGCTGATGGCGCTGTGATTGCCGCTGCTGCTGCTGCATGTCGAGCAGAGACCAGCGCAGCCGTCATCATCTCCTTCTGAGCGGCAGACATGTTAGGGCCGCAGTAGCCTGTTGCGGTGATTCGAAGCACCGATTTCCCCAAGGATGTTTGAGCTGAATGCGTCTCTCGAGCCCTGGAAAATGCCCTGCACGACAGAGACTGCCCGCTGTTGGATGACTGTGGGGAAGATGGCGTGAATGGAGGAAGGTGGACTTCGGACTTGGTCGACGAGCAGTCGCTGGGGATGTCTGCTGCTCGCCCTCCGAACCTTCCAATTTTCTCACATTCAAGATTCCTGACGAGCAAATCCCCGCGCGCAGCTTACAAATTCGAAAAGTCAGAGCGCGGAGCGCGCGGGGCGCAATGCAATTATTAATCACGAATGTTGTAGAGCGCAGTTACTAGTGGGCATATCCGCGGAGTTGCGCACTCCCACAGCGATGCATCCGCGCTTTGTTCGGGATCCTCGCGCTCAGATTCTTGATTATTCTTCCATTGCCAATGATTGAAGCGCTACACACAAGCAGCCAAAGGGTTAGTCTTGCGCGACGACCGTCAAGCCAAGACAAGCCATAGTCGTAGAAAGCACGTGTCATCATTGCACATAGTACAGGATGGGGGGGGATTGTCGATGGAAAAGGGGACAAAAGAGGTGTAAAGATAGGTAGGCCACGAGCTGAAGAAAAGTGGTTCGTGATCGCGCACATCAGTCGATGCAAAATTGTCCATTGTGGAAACCCCGTCGTGTATTTCCAACCTTTCACCCGTGCGGCAATCGTGAATGCCGAGGGCTGCAACCTCGGTCTCGTACCAAGTAGGTGCAGCAAGGCTAAGCTCCCTTCCTAGGCACTCAGTACCGTTTCTCTTGCCCATACTGCTGCTGCCCCCGACCTCCATATCCATCATTATAAGCGTTTTGATGAGAATAAGCTGCGTGGGCATTACTCTGATGTTGCCCCGGTGCTGCGTGAGAGTCCTGATGGTAGGCCGACTCGTACCCAGGCGGTCCATGTCCGCCATCTTGATGGCCTTCATACGCATCTCCATGCTGAGCGGAAGTATACGTGCCGGCCGCATCGTATCCACCATATGGGTCCGCCTCTGCTTCTCGCTGATTTTGATGGTGTTGAGCGTGGTGCTGTGCGTACGCAGCTTCAACAGCGGCTCTGTGCGCATCATCGTGTGCCGATGCGGGACTCGTCACCATATCAAAGTCGGTCAGATGCGAAGGAGCATGTGCATGACTCGTTTGCGACTTGGCTGCTGCTCCAGCCTGCAGCACCGCCAAGCCGAATCCATCATCGCCTGCAGTTCCGCTAGCCTGTCGCTTATCGTCGCCGACAGGGATGGTCGGCAGGCGCCGAGAACCTTGAACGCGGGATGGCGAGCGTCCGGTACTGGCACCAGCTGCGTAATAATTTTGATCCCGACTTGGAGATACAGCATGACCATACTGTGCCTCTGCTTGCGCGTCAGAGGCGCCGTAGGTGTTTGATGGATCCCTGTAGCTCACCGTGCTACCCGCCCTATCGGGCATGCCTCCAAATGTTCCTTCGTTGGGGTGCTGAGCGTTGGGCCATGCGGAAGTATAGCCCGCATCATCCATGGTCGGCTGCCGACGAGTGCTTTCGTACGCAGCGTAGCTAGCAGCGCCAGCAGCAGCGCCGGCGGCCAATGCATGACTCATGCTACCATCGCGCTCAAGCCCGTCTCGGTAAGGTTGTGGTCCCACACCGGGCGTGTACGTGGGCTCTTGATAGTGCGATGCAGCTGCTAACGAGGGCGCCCGCTGGGGCGGCGGGGTAGAGTGGGCGCCATACCCCGCCATGCCAGGATTCGGCACATCGCTGAAATCTCCTCTGGGTGCAGAAGAGTGCGCGTTCGGTTGCGCGTAAGCGTGCGTTGGCTCGTTGCTTACGTAGCCATGCTGATTGCCATAGCCCGAGTACGGATCATGGAACTGGTGTTGCTGCTGCGGGTACGGTTGGTAGCCGTACCCATTCGCATGAGAGGAATCTTGATGTTGTTTCAGAGGCTGCTCCTCTTCGATCTCCTGCTCGTACACCGCAAACTTGGGCAGGGAATCAGACCCCGCAAGCTCCTGTCGCCGTTGTCGGTCTTGCTCGGCTCGCAGAGCGTCCATGCGCATTCTCTCGCCGTAGTTGTCGCCGACAAAGCCACCATTGGGGCCAGGCTGGCCGTAGCTATCTTTGAGCTTATCTTTACGACCACCCTTTCCACCGCAACAGGCCCCACAGCCGAATGCGCAAGTGGACAGGAACAGACAGACCCACGCTGCCAATGTCAACCATACTGTGGCATCCCGGATGCCACGAATACGCGTCAGATGGATGCGTAGAAATGCCAGATATCGTGGAACGTGAAGTCGAACTCACAAGCAGCGCCGAGCGAAGCTGAGCCGCCCGTCGACTCGATTCTCTTCTTCGCAATGATGAAGAGTGCGCAGTCCAGGCCAAATGCAAGGACTGTGATACCGGCCGCGAACCCAGCAAATAAGCTGGAGCAGCAGCCCGTCGAGTACGTCCGGCATAGGCTGAACAGCCCGAATACGAGCACTATGAGCGACGCAGCTAGGGCTACTGGATGAAGGATCAAGGTGTACGTCAGACCCTTGATGACTGTACTGCTCCAATTCTCTGGGACGAGATTGGGCACATCAAAGATGTCCGAGTCTGCGTATATGTCAAGGCGCATACGAGGGATCAACATCAGCCTGGACGATCAGCCTCTCGAGCGACGAAGCCTAAAAACCCTCACCAAAGCTGTAGCCCAGCCTTGGACTGCTGCAAGTATTACCGACGCAGGCCCCCAATGTTCCTAGTCGAATATGCCTATTCGATCCGCTCGCTGTCGCATCCAGGAAGCTCAGACTCTTGATGACGGGCGTAGAGCAGGTGGCCAGGGCGAGGCAGATGACTGCCGCCAGTACCAGGACGGTCCCAGGCAGACCCGACCTCATCCTGGCCTACAGATCTCGTCGATGCAGGGAGGTGTGAGCCTCGAAGCGGAGGGAAGGGGAATGTTGATGATTAATGCTTGATGGCGACAAGAGCACGCCGTATTCAGTGCTGTTGTGAGCTTGATGGGCGAGGACCGCTGCGATTGGAGAGGATGGTAGATGTTGCGATGAATGCCGTTGCAGCAGCAGCATGCAGCTGCTGCTGCTGTGTGGGTGCAAGGTATAAAGGCACGCGCGCGGAGGCGCGTATGCATGCAGTCTGATGAGTGCGTGCTGCTGGGTTTCGGCGACGCAAGCGAGAGGCATGCGGCGAGGGAGCGAGGCAGCGAGCGCAACGGGGGCCGAGGTTGCTTCCGCGCCCACCCACAGCAGCTAGGCTGCTGGGGTGGAAGGGTCGATCCCTTTCCCTTTGCGGATCAATCACGAATCACGAATGCTGTGAATGGGCGCGCTTGCTTCGAGAGGAGGGAGGTGAGAAGCACGCGTACGCGCTCACGAAGCAAGATACAAGGGGATTACGATGTGCACGGTACCGGTACCCATAGGCGACATTCACCCACAACTGATTCGCGATTCACGATTGTGATCGAGTGATCCGTCGCGCTAGCTTTCGTACAAAGGCGGCGGGCGCACTTGCTCTCAAAGCACAAAGCGTCCCGTCCTTCCACTTCTCAAGGACGCGCGCGCCAAAGTGCCTCCGCCCCCCTACAACGCATGAAGTGCAAGATCCCAGTTTTCCCACTCGTCACTGTGACTGTTGACTGCCCGAGGTATGAAAAGGCGGCAGGTGGTTTGCGCCGTCCACGGTGCGCATCCACGCACCATCTGACGGTCTCTCCACCCTCCCCCTATGCCTAATTGGTGTTCACGGTTTCGAGCAGACTACAGGGCGCAAGAAAAACGGCGGCACTCGAAAATCCGGCGAATTCCTCTTTCTCCGGCTCACTCATCCTTTGCTCATTCGAATCCACCCTGACTCATGACGACTGCTGCAGAGCAATAATATGTTGCATCAAATAACGAACCACAATCTACAATCGTCAATAATTGAGGGGCCCAAGCGCGTATGCAGTGCGGTCGTCTGATTCTGACTTTGTCATGCAAATTGATATTCCGGCGGTCCTTCTCAAGAGGGCTCAAGCTCCCCGCCGCTATAACAGCAGCACTTCATGCGCATGCGAATGAAGATATACCATTCACAAGTGCGCCCGAATATGAGTGGTTCGATCGAGAGTGATCGAGCGACTGCCCTGGGCGATGAGCGAGTCTCCCTGCGCGCCGCGACGGGATTCCGCGGCGCTCTCTCCCAAGCGGTGTCGGACTGCAGCACAGCCTCATCTCGTCTTCACCAGCACCAGCAAGCCTGCACATCTCCCAGCTACGCCTTTTTCTGACGCGACCATTTGGCCAAACTTTTGATGTGGCCGCTTGACCGAGAAAGAGCCATCTCGAATGGTCGCTTCGATTCTTGTTTGTGTTGGATGTGCCTTGGACGCAAGCGGTTCGAGTGGTAGTCGGCAGGTATTACATGCGCATCCGCTCATGCACGATTGGTCCTGGCCGATTTGGAGTGATGAGGGAGTTCAATCTTTTCGATAATTCCCGGCTCCTTGCTTTTCAAAGTACCGCGCCTGCTTTGTGCTGGCAGCTCGGAGCCGATTTGCCAAAGCTCACGTCGCTCGCCGTCCTAACGTCTTCGCCGCGATCTAAGTGCATGGCTCAGCATGGCAGGCGCTATCTGCTCACTGTAAGGCTGGACGCAACAGAAATGGCTGCAGAACACTACTAGTGAGGGCTTGGCTGCTGACTCCCAGCTGGGTGTGTCCTAGCTGAAAGAAGCTGCCTGCCTACGGCGCGACGACATTTGACGAGGTTGTGGCTTGCGTCGTCTTCCGGAAGCCTAGCCGACCATGGACCTCTTGCGACCCCGTAGGCGCACTGTCATCGAAGCGAATTTTCGTGAGTCAGCTAGAAATAGGTGTGGGCTGTGCACTTGACTCACCTTTTTCCAATGTTCGAAGAATCTCTGCGCTTTTCAAGCCTTTCCCCTTTCCTTTCCTGATCACGTCCGTTTCCGTAAAGTACGTGTCCAGTATCTGAGTGAAGAGGTGCTCCGAGCCCGCATGAGTACTCGCAAATGCCCGCTCGAGGACGTACAGGTCCACCGCTCTGTCTTCCGCGGAGGAGGACTGCGAGGTCAGCCCAAAGTCAATGAGAACCTGCGGTGGAAGGAGAGTCGGTCACGGCGCTCAAAATTATTGCTAAGTGGATCGGCGGAGCACCCACCACTCTGCCCAGCATGCCAGGCTCTGCCTCGACATAGATCATGTTGCTGGTCGTCAGATCGCCGTGTATGATATCCGCAGCGTGTAAGAGCGCCAGCTGACGTCCGATCAAGATCATCACTTGAGCTGTAGATCGGAGAGGGAAACGCATTTAGGCGCCTTGTGAGCCTTTCCGCGCCGATTGGGCGCAATGATGTTCGCCCCGAATAGCTCACATTGCGTCCGCTCATCCAGAGCTTCCGATGCGGCGTCTGACAGCACGTGCTCCGAGACGGTATGTGTGCTTTCGCTCTCCTCTTCCTCTTCTCCTTCATCTCCTGCACCAAGACATCTACGCACTGTCCGTCCCCGAATCTGCTGCAGCCCAATGACACCTTGAGTCTCGTCTACAAATCGCAGAGCAGGCACATTAATCCCATCCCTCGCCGCTCTGAGCAGAGCTCTGGCTTCGAGGCTCGTGCGGGAGGCGGTGAGGTTAGCGCTCAAAGACGGATGTCTGTACTTCTTTGGGAAGCGATGCTTGATGATCAGTTGGTCGGCGGCTGAACTTCCAGCGATCGAGCGCGGACTGCCTGCAACGTCCTTTGAGTCGTCGAGCCAGGTGGTGGTGCTGGAAGGCGGAGTGTAGATATAGATGCGCGCTTCGGCTCCTTGACTGAACAGCTCCACATGGGGCGATTGCAGCATCCGAAGGGTCGGGGCTTCCACGCTGACGGCCATGCTTGCAGCTTGAGAAGAGGCAATAGGGTGCCCTGGTACTGTGTAGGCGTGGAGCTTAAGAGTGCAATACTCCTAAGGTCTTCTTCAGAGATGCTAACATTGAGTAGCCTAGTCGTGAGTAGAGATTCAAGTCGGGGGAGCTCTTGATTTGCACTACTGCAATAGAAGCGCTTTGGAGAGGGAACGAGGTTGCCTTTGCACCCTATCAGACTGGACGTGCGAGTGGCAGAGGAGCGTGAATGATGAACTGTCGAATCGAAGAAGCTTGATCGCTGTTCATGATGCGAGCCAAAAGCTTTCGATGAGATCGAGCGTTGAAGTCACGAATTTCCACGGTCACGTGCCCCACTGCCCACCTCCGCGGAAAGCACGCCGCGGAGATCACGGCTGCATCATGCTGATGCTGCATGGCGAACTCGTGACTCAAGACCCACGACTTGCATGGCCGGCGGCGAATGATGATGATGCGTATAGCGCAGCAATTAAGCAGCAGCAGCAGCAGCATCATCTGCTGCATGTAGCTAGATGCGATGCGATGCGCCAAATCTTGTCTCAGCCCCCATCAACCGGCCCTCTGATGCTGCTATACAGACGCCTATACCGCTAGAAAGGCGCAAAGAAAGGCGAGAAGGTTTTTAGCCTCGTCCACATCTCTCTGCTTGCGATTGAGGGCAGCGCGATCAAGAATCACCGTGAATCTGAATCTTGCTCATTTTCACCTCGCGTCGAAGTGTCGATATATAGTGATCGCCCCGCAGCACAGCACACAGCACACGCGCACGCTCTTGACTCTTCTGCTTGCCGTGATTTGCTGCCATCTTGCCATGACTGCGCTAATCCGGTCAGCCAGCCAAATCGTCCACCAACGCGCTGCTCATTTCGCCCGCGATGCTTAGTCTGATCAGGAACGGCTGGGCTGTGCTCCGTGCAAGCGAGTAGTCACATCACTCACACTAACACTCTGACTCAAGACTGCCTTCCGCGGGCTCGTACGCAAAGTGTCTTGCTGATATGGCGGTGTCCTCATTGCGGTCTGGCTTCCACTCAGCCTCGGATCTCTGCTCCTGTGCGCAAATAGTGACAAATCTCTATCGATTACTGCTGCTACTTTGCGGGCCGCGCTGCGCGTCCACTTCATATATCGTTCCTTTCATTGCTTCTTTCGAACAAAGTATACGTGCAGACGCCTCGGCCCACGCCTTCCTTGTTTGACTCGGCCTCGGTAAGACGGCCCCTCAATCAGGGAGTGCAGTGCGACACATCGCACCCTTCCTTGCAAGGCTATCGTTACCGCGAGCTTGCGAGCGCTGTTCAGCGGCCAGGTCACTAGACTGCATTGACCGCCTTGCTCCTAACTCTCTCCGCCCCTGCAGATCAAGGGGACCTTCATCCTCGAACGCTCTGCGGGCATATCCGATCGCCTCTTCTATAAAGTCTCCACAAGCTGCACTGCGGGATTTTGCACCGTTTTGCATCTCTTTGGGACCCCATCGTCTCCGAAACATCGAGCCCGCCAACTCTCGTTCAACAATATGCGACGTTCTTTCGAGATGAAGACTAAGGCGTTGCTGCTGAGCATCGCGCTGCTGGCTCTGCTACGCCGCGATGCCTTGCAGGCAGAAGCCAAATCCAAGGGATTCGAGAAGCTGGTAAGCAGGTCTCTGCCACACGAGCGCGCTGCTCGAGCGCAGCAGCTCGAATTCGCGAAGAGGGACGACGGCGCTCCTGTCAGCAGCGAGTCCGTGCTGCAGCGCGGTGCGATGAGCCGCTCAAACGCGTCGCCTTTGGTTGATCGCAGGGTAAGCGAGTCAACGAACGGTCCATTCCACGCCGTCGAGCGCAAGTCTTTGGCCTCCGATTCGATCATCTATCAGCGCGAACAAGCTGAGGAGCTCTTCTCGGAGCGCCGCGAGAACGAAGATGAAGTCGTGCTACGGGCAACTTCGGATGAGGAAGAGTCGCTTTTCGATGCGAAATGGCTTCCTCGCGTCGACTCCGTCGATCGCGTCACGCTCGAAGCTCGTGTTGCTGATGGCTTTCAAGAGCTGACCCACCGCTTGGAGAGCGGCTTGTTCGATGAGCACGTACACAAACGAGCAGAGACCGGTGCTGATCAGAAGAAGCCCAGCCTTTTGAGTCAGGAGGAAGATGAAGGATATTCGCTAGTTGACAAGAATACAGCTCAAAGCGGCACCTCCCCAACCAAGTCGCAAGCGAAGCCCAACGACGGTTCGGCAGAATCCGGGGAAAGCGTGAGCCCAAACGCTGAGCCCGCCAAGCCCACCAATGAGAAGGCGAGACCAGACACTGGGAAGCAGTCTGGCAAAGGGGCTCAGGTCGGTCAAGCTACGACAAGCGAGAACGCAGTACCCGAGGGCGCAAATGGGCAGCCGATCGACCTGACGAAACTTGTAAACCCCTTCATCGGTACTGGCAACATAACGTACGGCAACGTCTTTCCAGGCGCGAGCGTACCGTTTGGCATGGCAAAGCTCGGCATCGACCTTGAGACCTATGCACCGTGAGTCTAATTTCTGTGAAGAAGGCCAAAGCATTGCCTGCGACAAGCCTCATACTCATCAGCCACGCCCGTCCTTAGCGCCGGCTACAATGGTAATCTGGATGCTCCCGTAAGGGGCGTTTCAGTTCTGCATGACTCGGGCACGGGCTCCTCTTCAGGATCCTTTGGCCAATCCGAGTCAATGGCAGTCTTCTGTGAGACATTTGCCACCTGTCCAAAGACGCTGGACGAGCGCATGCGGAAGAGGGTCAAGGGCAAAGACGTTGCTCACCCTGGCTACTTCAGCAGTCAGCTCGTCGATGGCGTTGTCATCGAGGTGACCAGCACCCGCAGAGCGGGTCTTCAGCGCTGGACCTTCCCGAAGGACAAGGTCGCGCAGGCAGGATACAAGAAACCCACCATCGTGTACGACTGGACCAACGATCTCCCTGGCACCTTCCGAGGAGGACAGATGGACTTCAATTACGAGCAAGGTCGCGTGATGATGAATGGAAGCTGGGGCTCATCTTTTGGAGTCAGCGGAGCGTGAGTACGGTTGGGGGGCTAAGAATGAAGACCAGTGCAGCGAATCTCAGACGCGGACCGACTTGACGATTTCACAGTACTTGGAACGGCTACTTTTGCTACGACTATCTCAACGAAGGCAAGCAGACGCTCGCAAAGGCTGGCATCTGGGCAGGCGACCGTTTCGGCCAATCGGTCGTCACTGAAGGGCTGAAACACGCACAACAAGTCCGCAGCGAGATCGGTGGCCAGCCAATCCAGGCCGGCGCTCTCGTCTCCTGGGAAAAGACTCCCACTGATCAGAACGGCAATCCGCAAGTGCTCGTGAGAGTCGGGGCCAGCTACGTCAGCGCGCAACAAGCATGTCGCAATGCCGAAGAAGAGATTCCCAGGTTTGACTTTGAGGCTGTGGCCAGCGCTTCCAAAGCATCGTGGAACGAGAAGCTCAACCGAGTCATTGTCAAGACGAACAATAAGGATCTAGCTCAAATGTTCTACAGCTCGCTTTACCGATCCTTCGTCAGTCCCAACAATGCTACGCTGGAGGGACAAGGCAAGTACCTCAACACCCAAGCGCCCTACTTCGACGGTCTCTACTGTCTTTGGGACTCTTCGCGCACTGCATTCCCCTATCTTGGCTTCCACAGTCCTAGAGACTACGCCCAAGTCGTCGAGACTATAACGGATGGCTGGCGAAAAGACGGCTTCATTCCGGAATGCCGTGCGAACAATGTTCCTGGTCTCACTCAAGGGGGTAGCGATGGCACGTTGGTCTCGGCAGATTTCCTCGTCAAGTACGCCAAACATGCGAAGGATCTTGGAGTCAACGTTGAGGACATGTACGCCGCGCTGCACAACGATGCTTACTCTACCCCGGCCGAGTGGAATAGCGGCGGTCGACAGATCAATGTCTACACACAATACGGATACATTCCCTTTGCCGTCTTTGACGCTGTCAGCACAGGTCGGCAGACTCGCGAGTGTTCCAGAACACTCGAGTATGCCGTGAACGATTTCGCCATTCGAAATGTTGCGAAGCTCACGAATCACGGAGATGTGGCTAAAGATCTTGAGAAGCGAGCCTACTTCTACAAGAACTGTTTCAACCCCGACCTCGAAAGCATGGGCTTCAAGAACTTCGTGGCGAAGAGACGCATCGACGGCTCGTTCCCCAAATCCGATCCGACGGACTGCTCGCCTCTTGACACCAACGAGACTCACGCTTGCTCCCTGCAGCAGAACAACATCTTTGGAGTGTACGAGTCAAGCAGCTGGGAATACTCCTTGTATGCCCCTCACGATTTTGCTGGCTTGATCAAGCTCCTCGCTAATGGTAACAACGAAGCGTTCATCAAGAGAGTAGACAAATTCTTCGATGCCGGTCTGTACCTTGCTGGTAACGAACCCAGCTTCCAGACACCTATAATTTGTGCGGTCAAATTCGCAGTGTATCGCGATGGAGCTTTGCTGATGCTGCTATTCCGCTTGCGTCCTTCGTCATAGATCACTACGCCAATCGTCCAGACCTGTCCATCGATCGAGTCAGACAAGTGGTGTTTGAAAACTTCAACACCGGCAACGATGGTATTCCTGGCAACGACGATAATGCTGCAATGGCGACGCTTCTGATGTTTCACCTGAGCGGTCTGGTGAGTGATCTGCAACGAAGCCCCTCTGTCGGCCGCGGGAGTTTCTAACTTTCGCGCACGGTACCTTCAGTACCCCATTCCCGGCACGCGAGAGTTCCTGGTGCTCTCGCCTTTCCTCGAGTCGATCCTCTTCAAGAACGAATTGCTAGGCGATGCGCTCATCACCGTTGACGGCTTTGATCCCACCTCGCTCAAGAAGAAAATTCCTCAAGGATCGCGAGCTTACGTCGAGAGCGTCACTATCGATGGGAAAGTGCAAAGCTCGCGCTGCAAGATCATGTTCCAGGACATTTTCCCAGAGCGAGGTGATGGCAAGACGACCAACATTGTCATCAAGGTCACTGCGGATCGAGCCGCTGCGAACAATTGCGGAAAGAATGCCTCCGATCTGCCTTCTTCCCTCTCTACTGGAGGATTCGACAAGCTCTAGAAGCTGTGACGAGCCTTGCTCTCCGATTTGCTCACTCGCAATCACATTGCCTGATCAACACACTCGCCTTCCCTTGATGAATTTCACTTCGGCATGAATGAGAGCTGTGAGCGATTTAGCCTCGGATCTATAGACAGAAGATTCGGCTTGGAGAACTTGCTGTGTGCCAAGTGTCAATCGCTGATTGGCTCGCCAGGCTCGCGTGGTGCCAGTCACTCTGCGATCGCTTCGAAGACAGTCGGTGTACCGTAAGAGTTAGCAGAAGCCATTGTGGGGTTTTCGTCATACACGAGCGAGTGAGGAGGCGCATAAATGAGCTGACGGGAAGAGAGGGATGATCTTGATTACGCAGCGCGGCCTGCCTGCCTATAGCCTCAGCTAGCTGATCAATCAATCAATCACGAATCAATGATCAGCAGCTTCTTCGCAGCATCTGCAACCCTCGACCTACGTACGCCACGCACGCTCTTGTTCGGCCGAGCACAGCCATGCATCCACGGCAAGAGCGTGCAGCATGCAACAATTAACAGCATAGACGCGCAATTTGGCGCGCAAATCCCATCAGATCTTGATCGCGCGCGCGTGCGGTTTTTTTTTTATCAGACAAGGAAAACTGCTGGCGCGGCCGCGGCGGGTTGGAGGTGCGCTCAGCAGCAGCAGCCTACCAGTCAAGAGTGTGAGTCACGAGGTGCATGTGAATGCATCAATCAGCAACGGCCACGACTTGCGCTGACTGCACCAGCCAAAGCATCAGACTCACGCACGACTGCCGAGCTGAAACGGAAATGCAGTCCCCACCGGCCTGCTTTGGCTCTCCTTTTCGAAGACGTTGATCCACCTCTCTTTCTTCCTTGCCTCTGCCGAACTCTCAAGCCCAAGTCGACTAGCGTAATCCTCCGTCGTGACCTTTTCCGAGGAGGTGGTCTGCCGCGTGCAAGCCTCACAGTAGCACGCAAGCCTCGGAAAGTGAAGGGTGGGGTGTGCCGCACGCTTCCATCGAGCCAGCAACGAGCAGAGCATCTTCGATTGAGAACCATCATCCCGTACGTGCGCCGTAGCATCAACATCGATTTGATGCAACTTTTGATGCACCTGAGCACCTGCTTCGCTTGCAGCAAGCTCGCAACACCCCCCAACTTGGTCGAGCAGCTTTGCGTGGAGCCTCGCGTAAGGTAGCACCTTCGACCTCATAGCTTGGTAATCGTCCACGACTGACGTCGCCTTTGTTAGCTACACCTCAGTAGGCAATCTTGAGCTGCAAAGTCACCCTCTGTCGTGGCAAGGAGTTTGCTGCATCATGTCGAAGATCGCACCAGCTCCGGCGCCCGTATCAAGCAGCAGCTCGTTGGGCAACAGATCCACACCTATAGCGCCTGCTCCATCGCACAGCACCAGAGCGGTTCAGCCCGCCGTGCGCAGCCGCATCGCCATCGCACCTTCTCCTGCACCCTCGTCGATTTCAGCGCAAAGCAGAATTGCTGCGTCAAAGAGCCTGGGCCGCCCACTGCAGGCAGCTCGACCAACCTCTCAACGTGTGGCACCTGCCCCGTCCCCTCACGCGACGCCATCTCAGCCTATCAAGATCGCCGTCAGACCAAGCTCTGCCAACATCGCCCGTCCCGTCGGGTCGGCCACAAGCAATAGGCCCACGTCGAACGAAGATGGCAGCGCTTCATCGTCTCTCGGCTCTTCCTCCTCCAGTCGCGACACTCCAGTGACCCCAAAGGATGCTGGGGATCACATCGCCAGGCGGTCGTCCGCTGCTGTCGAGGATGACGAAGAGGAGGAGGATCTGGATGAAGACGACGATTTCGATGCGGAATCGACCATCACCGATGCGGTGATCAAGCGTACGCTTCAACCAAGCAAAGCGTGGGTGCTTCCAGCTCGCGCCAAGCCTGGTCGCAAGCCTAGCGATGACGAGCCACCTACAGTGAGTGGTCGCGTTGGAAATTGTACGGCGGACGGTACGGGCGACGTCGGCTCACTGATCGCTGTCCATCTTACATGTATCGTAGAAGCGAAAAGCGCAGAACAGGGCGTCGCAGAGAGCGTTTCGCGAACGCAAGCAGAACTACATTACATCGTTGGAAGCAAAGGTGGCAGCATACGAGGCTGAGGGAGTTGAGCATGCCGTCGAGCTGCAGCGCGTGGCAAAGCGAATGAAGGAGGACAATGATGCTTTGAGACGTCACAATACGGAGCTCAGAGGTCGAGTCGACGTGTTGGAGCGTCAGATCAAGGCGTTGCTGGATCAAAAGGGCAAATCGTCGTCGACGACGTCGTCGACGATCGGTTGCAAAGCCCCAGAACACGAGTCTGGCGCATCATCAGTCAGGCTCAAGCGGCCCCTCCCTATTCGCAGCACCGCAGGCAACAGTGCGGCGGACCGCAACGCCGGCAGAGCTGTTTCTGTCTTGGGCAGCGATGCTTTGTTCACCAATCGGCCCAGAAGCGACTCACGCTCAAGCATCGTCAGTCCTCAAGGCCGACCCTCACCTTCGGCGTCTGGCTCAACTCTGACAGCGTCCACTTCCCGTGGACCAAGTGATAGCGTCGCCAATGCATCATCTAAGGACGTCAGAGTCACGCCAGCCTCTGCTACCCCTTTGCCACCTCCGTCGGAATCTGTCGCAGCTAGTGTAGGCCTGAATCGTGATTGCGGCTTCTGCGCCGATAACGGGCCATGCCCGTGCAAAGACGATGTCCTGGACTTGACAGGCGATGACGAGGAAGATTTTGCGCCTGCCAAGCAGGAAGCACACGGCGATGAAGAGCCAAGCATGGACGTCGATGTCCCGAACTGTTCCACGGGCCCATCTGTAACCATCAAGCAGGAGCCGCTCGAGGAGAACGAGTCGCGTATGCCAGAGACTGCAACCTCCGCGCGGCGGCCTCAAGCCATCAGTGTGAGCTCTATGCTCTCATCCACCTCGATGGGAGCTCACCGCAGCGCAAAGCTTTGGCCGACAACTCCAGCCTACAGCTCTGGGCAATCTCCAGCGGCTGCCGCGGCGCCTCTCGCGCTCCGAGCAGCACCCCCGAAGCCACGTCTGTGGACAACCACCAGTCCTGCCGCGCATCCCCCCACCGGCACCTCCTTCTTCCCAGCGCCACCTTTAGTCACCCGCACTCCGACTACCGCTACAGCGTCGCCGGTGTTCCGCCTGCGGACTGCGAGTGCAAGTCAGGCATTCAGCAATGTTTGTTCGGGCGATCCGGCCAACTGCGGGGCTTGCTCCACAGACCCAGCCTTGGCAGCTTTCTGCGAAGCCGTATCTCAGAACGCAATGACACCCAGCGGAGCTGAGCTAGGCACGGTCGTTTTGGATGCCGGCAATTCCGTGCCCTTGCGCAACATGCGTAGCACGCATGTCGCCACGAAGGCCCTACCTATCGGTTCCAAGCATCAGCGCCCTGTCCTCTGGCACACCGTGAGCGGATCACTTGTGCCCAAGCATTCGGAAGGACGCAACACCACGGCTCTCAATCACGGCAATCACGCACTCCCTGGAGGTCCTAGGTCCGCACCACTGCCGTCGCACCGCCCTCACTCCCACAACGCCGCGCTTGGACAGCAAAGCATTCCGGAAGCATGGAACCAAATTCGATCGCATCCGCGCTTTCAATCGTGGGGAGGAGGCCTAGCGTTGCTAGCCGATGTCGTCTCGGGGAGAGCTAGCGGAGCGCGTGCCAATGAGTCCTCTCAGCAGCCGACGTCTGGCTTGTCGACCAATACGCGCCCAGATAATACCAGGCGAGCCTCGCGATACCATCCTTCCAATGATCGAGGAGTGCGCCGCCCGAGCGTGGAGATCGAACAGGCCGACCGATCGAGTAGCAGCATCAGATCTTTGGTGCGTGGTCCAGAGTCTAGCACGCGTGGAGAAGAATCGAGCAGTCGGCCGCGTCTTTCTCCCCAGTCGCCAACCTCGCCAACGTCTCCGTCGAAGGCCATCGCGAGCACGGACGATCGTCGATCAGCTCTGTCGACGCCTCTGCGCCTTGCGGCCTCGAACACGACCACGCCGCCAGAGCGATCAGAAGGGAACGCAATGGAAAAAGCGCGAGAGAGGAGCGTCGAGGAGGATAATGAGGAGCGTGTAAAGAGACGTCGATTGTGGGTCGATAGCGATCGGGTGGAGCAGGCTTTGGCCATGCTTGATCGTGCAGGTGGACAAAGTACTCCCGCAGCCACTTCGAGCGAGACGGCTGCGGAGGCGGGCTCTGCGGCTTGCCCCTGCCCTTGGTCCCGATGATCTACAAGACATAAAGCATCCGCAGGGCAGGCCTTTGTCTGTAGCGCTGGCACAGCGCCCAATTGTACACTTCGTCAGCTCTTACCCCTTCCTGATAAGAGCTGAATATTTATCACTTGTCACTAGAGAGCTCGCAAGGACGTTGGCTGTAGCAGATGCGAATCGCGTGATTCCATTTGGGCAAGCAGCGGTAAGTGAGTGGCATCGCGATGCGATGCAGCTATTCGAGCTTGTACATGTGCTCAAGCCAGTTTGGTTTGCCAAGAGGCACGCAGCTCGCCTGCGATTTCGAAAGCAGTGTGCTGTGCTCTGAGTGCACGGAAAGTCGACCTGCTTGAAGGCCCAGAGCACTGATGAAGCTGTGCCAGGATCCAAGTGTTTATGATGCTGCCTGTCGAATGCGATTCTGTTTGCCTTGCTGGCATGACAGTCTGTCCACCAATGCCCTCGTCTCGGGTGAGGTTGAAATCCATTGCGATGCGGACGTAGAGCGCTCAAGAGCGCGACCGTTGTGAGCCAGCTATATAGCTGTGTTATGTATGAGTCTATCAGGCACCTGGGCGGCTCACTCCCACGACCCGTCCCGTTGCCATCCGGTCGACTAGACAGTCACGAAGCTGAGCGCTGGCTCGCAGCCGCCAAGTCAAGAATGTGTGATCATCGCTCGATCCGACCAGCTGCAAGTCAGCTGAACTCACGAGTGAGCTCGGCGGTGGGTGCCGCAGGCTTGAGATGGGGCCGAGTTTCGCGTGCTCATCACCACCCGGCGGCCGTCACTCTGCTGCAACTCAGTGACTGCTGACTGCTGGATCAAACAGAAGGGACCGCTGGCGCAGTCGCCAAAAGTGATTTGGATTTGCTTTTGTTGTGCTGCTGCTGCTGCTGCTGCTGCTGCTGCATGACGACTTGGCGATGGCCTATCGTAAGCGCGGGTGGCGTCAAACTTGTCGAGAAGATGCTGCCGTCTGATATCCGTCATCTTGCCATTCTTGTCTCACGTTGGCGCCGCTGTTGCTTGCGCAGACGCAGACGCAGCAGTCGCAACGCAGCGTACGCGCAAGCGGCAGCGAGACGAAGGAGCAGGCGCGAGGAGGAGGAGGAGCTAGGATGATGCAGCGCCAGCACAGCAGACGCAACAGCAGCGGCGTCATCGATCCACCTCTGCGAACTCGTGACTTTTCGACTGTGACTTGCACTTTGTCCAAACCCTCGCATATTCGCTCATTACCCCGGCGCATGTCGGAGGCCGCGCCCGCATATGCCTGGCTGCCTGGCTGCCTGGCTGCCTGGCTGTCTGCCCAGGTGCTGCCCATCCATGCGGCTTGCATGGCTTGCCTGCCTGCCCATCAGCAGCAGGCGAAGGCGTCCCAAAATCAGCCAGTCATCAGTCCGTCCTCGCGTTCTGCAAAACTCGGCCGGGCAGATCGAGCTTACCAGCTGGCTGGCTGGCTGGCAAGCGAGTCCTGCAAACGGCAAACGCGAGTCTGGGTCAATCATCTCGATTGCACCTCAGTGCCCGCCGGGAACGGGCACATAGAAGGGTTGGCGAGAATGGCATGGCATAGCGGAACACTTCAGCGGCGTGCTCAGCCAGCCCTTTGCGAGATTCTTGCAACTCCATCACTTGCACAGCGCCGACGGACACTTGAGGGCCCGAGCTTGTATATGAGTCTGCAGCTTGTCACAGGTGGACTGGGCTGCACATGCCCATGCGTCCACGCACCCACACTCACCCTGTCGTCTCCTAGTGCCTCACGTCTATCTCAGCACTGGTCGCGCACGCTCAGCTGAAGGTGCTGGCAGTCAAGAGCTACGTCAGCCGAACGCCCCAAAGGATAGCTCCACTCAGCACCATCGCACGCGACTCTTGGCTCTAGCACACTGTTCCCTAGAGCTGATCCACCACTGTCGTCGATCCTGTTGTGCCGTTCGCTCCGTTGTACCCTCTGCGCTGTAGAGCATCCTCAGACGCCTCATTGCAGTCAGCACTGACCGTCACTGCACACTCTCAACAATACGCTATCGGAGGACTGGACTGGAGAGCCCCTGCAAGGTAGCAAGGCGGTCGCAAGGACTTCTACGCAGGTGTTCAATCCGGAACGCCGCAAAATTGGTCATTGCGCTGCGACCATTCGGGGGGCGCGCGCCCACACTTTTCAAGAATGGCTCAACGAAGACATGATGCTGGACCTTCTTCCAGGTACTCAGACTACCACAGGCGCGAAGGTCGGTCATCGAATCTTCCGCCAAGCTGGTCGGACAGCTCCGAGAGGCACTCTTACGAGTACGTGGACGATCGAGATCGACATCCCGATCCCCACGTCCCCAGCTACTCTAGGCAGTACGCAGGTGCTAGGCAGGACTATCCTGCATCTGCCGCATCTCGGCCACGTCCCACGCCCAGAGAGGTCGAGTGGGAAGAACATCGGCGGTGGGAAGAAGATCAGATGCGCAGGAGATCGCATGAACAGTCCGAGCGAGTCTCTGCTAGGCGTGGATGGAGTCCTGAGGCTTCGAGAGGCTCGCATCGCTCAGAATATCCGGACGAAGATTCTCGAGGATGGGCTAGACCTTCAATGGTGAGTAGAGGGGAGCATCGCTGCGATCTGTGCTGTCGTCGCAGCTAGGCTGACCGCGAGTGTCTTCGCTTGTGACGCACACACCGCTCTTCAGGACGTTGGGTCGTTGAGCAGTTCTGTGCATCCTTCGTATGACAGAGGCTCGCGCGACAGACGCCCCTTTGAAGAGTCTCGATTTCCATCCTACCTCCGCCAATCGTCGCCGCCTCCTCAGGCCAGACGTGATCCTTCGCCAGAAGCGTCGCCTTCCAAACCTGGCATGAGCATCATGTCGCTGCTAGGCAACAATCGTAGTGGGACAGACTCCAACACGGGGCCTAGCCCTTCGCCACCCCGGAGTGAGCCCGTACGTGACGTGTCACCGCCTAGACGCTCAGCTGCAGACCTGCCATTTGACCCAATCAGGGGCGAGCGATATGAGGCAAGACCTTCTGCATACGCCTCGCCTCCGCGGTCTCGACACCAAAACGGGGATCTAGAGGGAGATTTGGAGGAAAATAATAGCGAATTGTCGCCAGAACCCCTTGCGAAAGCTCCCGCTGGGCTCGCTGGCTTGCTGAGTCAAACAAGTCCCGATCGAAATCGAACTTCAGCTATGCCTGCTTCCATGTCGCATCTCCTCGATGGAGGCGGTCCACGTCCATCTCGACCAATTCCTCAAAGCCCCTCACCGAGCGATCACGTCGACAATGAGGAATCGCACGCTCTGACGCGTCTTTCATCATCATCTCTGTCACCGCCCCGCCAGCAAGCACCCAAAGCCCGCATCAATGGCACTTCGAAAGCGATTCCCTGGGCAGATAGCAGCGCAATGGAAGATGATTCTATCGCGCGATCACTCTCTGACGAGATGGAAGGATCGTCTCCTCTCTCAGAGGCACCAGCACCACCGCCGCCGCAAGAAGCTGCGCCACCACGTAAAAAGCTCAAGCTGCGTGCTAAGCCCTTGCAACCAAAGAAGAGCCAGCCACGCGCATCTGCGAAGATTTGGGACAGCGACCTTTCCGCTGAGGAGAATAGACCTCAGTGGGAAGAGGAGGCGCAGCATTACGAGTCGCAGTTGGCAGAGCGATTCGCTTGCATTGAGCAAGTTTACGAAAACTCGCTGACTCAGAAAGAGGAGGAGCTTGGTCTGCACCTGAGCGCCATGTATTCCAAGCGACACGCTGCCATCATGCGCAAAGTGGACCATCGCGAAAAGGTCGAAGCCAAGCAGCGGATTGCGCGTCAAAAGAGTCGCAAGGAAGCTCAACGCAAGCAGCGCCGCGAACGCGAGATCGAGGCAGAGTTGTTGGGCACGCTCGGCGAAGAGCCGAGTAATCCTTCCAAGGCAAAGACACCGAGCAACGGCCCTGCTGTTGTCAGCAAGAGCGCCAAAGCTGCAGTGCCGACTGAAGGCGAAACAGGGTCAGGCAAAGGCCGCAAGCGTAAAATCGACGCCCTGGCGGAACAAGCAGTCACTCCGCTTGCATCGCCTAGTCTGGGCGTGGTGCCACTGGAAGGCGACGACGGCCGTGACGATGAGTCAGAAGCCGTGAGTAGGACCTTCGATGTGGCCCGGCCATGGTGCATGCTGAACTGTAATCGCGCATTTCAACTCAGATCTTTTCGAGGGCGAGTACACCCGATGAGGGTGAAGAGTTGGCCACGGGTATCATTCCGATCGACGAGCGTCGTGAACACGTCCTCGCTGAAGCGCATCGCAAAATCTGGACGCAAATTGCGAAGCGCGAGATTCCGAAAGTGAGTCTTCGCCTTCTTAAGAATTTTCCTTCCCTTCTGCTTATGCTGGACTCCACTTCCGCAGGTCTACAAATTGGTCCAAGCAAGCTCCACCAACAAGTCCACCTACTGGCGTCGCATTTCTGCTGTTGTGCAACGTGAAGCCAAACGCGGCTCTACGCGCAACACACGCACAACCAAGGATCTCCAACTCCGTGCGCGAAAGGTGATGCGTGAGATGCTGGTCTTCTGGAAGCGCAACGAGAAGGAAGAAAAGGAGCTGCGGAGGAAAGCAGATAAAGAGGCCATGGAAAAGGCGAAGAAGGAAGAAGAGCTTCGCGAAGCCAAGCGACAGGCTCGCAAACTCAATTTCTTGATCACACAGACCGAGCTGTATTCTCACTTCGTCGGGAACAAGCTCAAAACCAATGAAGCAGAGGATTCTGAGGAGACCTCTGGAAGTGGAGGTAACAAGGTTATTGATCCCACGCCCGCGGACGGCCAGGCTGCTGGTGCGTCGTCGGCTCCTCCCCTGGACTCGCAGCCCGCCGGACCAGCCGCGGGCGCTTCTGCTGCTGATCTCAAGGACATCGACTTCGACGATGAGGATGAGACCAACCTCCGAGCTCATGCGCGGCGCAACGCCGAAGAAGCAGTGCTTGCCGCGAAGCAGAAGGCCGAGGCTTTCGACGCTCGCAAGCAGGCGGAGCAGGCTGCCGCAAACGCGAACGCGACCGGGGAAGATGGCGAAGGACGCACCATCGATCAACGAGATCTGGGCAAAGCGTTCGACTCGGATGATATGAACTTCCTCAATCCTTCGTCGATGGGCGCAATGGATCTCAAGCAGCCAAAGATGCTGACATGTGCTTTGAAAGACTATCAGCTAAAAGGTCTCAACTGGCTCGCCAACTTGTACGAGCAGGGCATCAATGGCATTCTGGCCGACGAGATGGGCTTGGGCAAGACGGTGCAAAGCATATCTCTGATGGCCTACCTTGCAGAAGTGCACAACATTTGGGGACCCTTCCTGGTCATTGCACCTGCCTCCACCTTGCACAATTGGCAACAGGAAATCGAAAAGTTCGTGCCCAACCTCAAAGCTCTTCCGTACTGGGGCAATGTGAAAGAACGCGCCTTGCTCAGGAAATTTTGGAATCGCAAGCAGATCAGCTACCACCGCGATGCACCCTTCCACGTTCTAGTCACCTCTTATCAACTCGTCGTCAGCGATGAGAAGTACTTCAAAAGGGTACGCTGGCAGTACATGGTTCTAGACGAAGCACAAGCCATCAAGTCGTCTAGCAGCAACCGATGGAAGTCTTTGCTCAGCTTTGACTGTCGTAACCGGCTTCTCTTGACCGGAACGCCCGTGCAAAACTCGATGCAAGAGCTCTGGGCTTTGCTGCATTTCATCATGCCAAGTCTCTTTGATTCGCACGACGAATTTAGCGAATGGTTCAGCAAAGACATCGAGACCCATGCAGGAGGCGAGAGCAAGGGCAGTACCCTCAACGAGCACCAACTGCGACGTCTACACATGATCCTCAAACCTTTCATGCTGCGCCGTATCAAGAAGAACGTTCAAAACGAGCTTGGAGACAAGGTGAGATTTTGAGCGTCATCCAATGCTCGTAAAACTCAGCTGACTTCTTGTGCACCATTGACAGATTGAGATCGATGTCTTTTGCGACATGAGCGCTCGACAGAGGATGCTCTACCGAGGTCTGCGAGAGCGCGTCTCCATCGCAGAGCTCATGGACAAGGCATCTTCTCAAGACGAAGCAGGCATGAAGAGCTTGATGAATCTGGTCATGCAATTCCGAAAAGTGTGCAACCATCCGGAACTGTTCGAGAGGGCAGACGTGCTTTCCCCATTCGCTTTCGCTCGGTTCGCTCAATCAGGAGCGCTTTCAAGGGAAGGAGATGTGCTCGACTGTCCTGACTCGACGCAGAGTCTCATCACGTACGAGCTGCCCAAGCTGATTTGCAGTGGCGGAGGCTTTCTCTCGACACCTGCAGAAGGGAGTCGCGCCGGCTTCGACACTCACTACCTGGGCAACTTGTTAAATATCTGGCGGACCGAGTATATTCACCGCTCGCTAGACACCTCTACGTCGGCTTTTGCTGCTTTGCGACTGCTCGGGCTGGCCGCGAGCGATGGCGAGCGTGCTTTCCATGGCGCCGCAGTAACGAACGCGATGCTTAGCTCGGGCTACGAAAGTGACCTCAGAGATGGTACCGCCTTCTCGCAAGACGATGACTTTGCCCTTTCTGCCAGACGCCCCTTTGGCCTTGTATCCAAAGCTCTTCCGGCCAACTCCGCTTTCGTGCCGTCGCAGGTGGTGCCACTTCATTCTGTTGCCTCGGATTACGGCGCCAAGTCAATTCTCGCCGGTCCAGACGCTCGTTTCGTGCCTGCATCAGCAGTCGCGCCGCCTGTACAAGCGTTTGGCTCCGATCGGCGCTTCGTAGAGAAACAAGAAAGGCGCAAGCGAGACACTCTCGTGCAACAGATGCTGTTCGGCTTGCCAACGCCCGCGCTCCGCGAGTCTGAGGATGCCGTTGCTCTGGCGCGGTCTGCGCTTCCTGGTCTGCCTCCCAAAGGCCTGCTAGATGCGTCTCCTGCCCACCAGCTGCCTGGTGCAGGCATGCAGGTGCCACAGATGAACAAGCTTATCATCGACTCAAGCAAGCTTGCACATCTCGACGGTCTCCTCCGCGAGCTGAAGGCAAACGGACACCGTTGCCTCATCTACTTCCAAATGACTCGCATGATTGACCTCATGGAAGAGTACCTCATCTTTAGGAACTACAAGTACTTGCGCCTGGATGGCTCGTCAAAGATCTCCGACAGGCGAGACATGGTGACAGACTGGCAAACCAAGCCAGAAATCTTCATCTTCTTGCTGTCAACTCGGGCAGGTGGACTAGGCATCAATCTTACAGCAGCAGACAGTGAGTTGAGATGCCTTCGTCCGTCCCAGAGCGCTCGCTGATACACACTGGCCTTTTCAGCTGTGATCTTCTATGACCATGACTGGAACCCATCGAACGATTCGCAGGCGATGGACCGTGCCCACCGTCTTGGCCAGACGAAGCAGGTGACCGTGTACAGACTCATAACCAAGGGTACCATCGATGAGCGTATTGTCAAGCTTGCGCGCAACAAAAAGGAGGTACAAGATATTGTCGTCGGCAACAAGGCATACTCTGAGACAGGCATGGCCAAACCGCAAGAGATCGTCTCTTTGCTCCTTGATGACGAGGAGCTAGCCGATCAGATGCTGCGGCGAAAGCAACAAGAAGAAGCGCAATTGGCGCAGGACAAAGCAGATCATATGCGCAATTTGCATGCCAAACGAAAGCTGAAGACAGCTCAAGCCAATGCTGCTGCTACAGCTGCCCCAGCACCGGCCGGTCCTTCCTGGGCTGTGTGGGACGAGGACGAGGACGACTTTTTCGGAGCCAAGCCACCTACAAGACCGCCAATTGTCGAAGTGCCTGCATCTGCGCCCAAGAAGGGCAGACCTTCAAAGAATGCCGATGCAACTGCTAGCCCTGTTCCCAACGGAGCTCCAAAGAAGCCACGAAAGTCTAAGACGACAGACGAAGGCGCTGGAGCAGAGGACGGTGCCACTGCGCCTTCAGCTAAGCCATCAAAGAAGTGTGAGTGTCATGCGCCTTTGCCTGCCGCAGCATGAAAGCAAATGCTGACTGCAAACTCCGTTCACGTCACTCTAGCTCGTAAGAAAGCTGGGGCAGATGCTTCGGGCGACGTGGCTCCTCAGAAGATGAACGGGGAAGCCGATTCCGATGTAGACGTCGAACATCCTTCAGAGCAAGCTTCTACGATGATGTCCATAGACGATCCCGACGCTTACTGATCCTGTCGAATTTGTACCTCTTCGTTCACCTCATGTATTGCAACTCTGAGTGCGGCCCGACCAACCACACTTTCAATGAGCATCATGATGCCTCTACTCCTCCCCTCACAATTTAGCTGTGCCGACAATCAACACTTGACGCCCTGATCATTGCGACTGGACCGCAAACACCAATAGCTGCGCGATCTGGCAGCATTGGCCTGTGTGCGACGACTCAGCTAATCAAGAATGAGAGAATCAGCGGGTAACCTTTAATTAAAATCACGATTCGGACTCATCAACTTTTTTCGACTCTTTGCGGATGCGAGCGCCTAACACGCAATTACATATGAAGATGTGAATCAAAATGTGTTGGCAAATTGCAAACTCACGTGACACTGCCCTCCACAACACAACTCGCCTCGCGCACCAATAGCGGGATTCACGCTTCCGGGCACGTCAATCGCGAGTTGTGAGGATTAGGAATTCGTGATTCTTGATCGAGTCGTGGATTCTTGATTGATTGATTTCCGGTTCCCGCCATCATCGAGCTTGGAAGATTCTACAGCAACAGAGCCACTGTCTCGAGAATACTCCACTATACGCCCATCGATCGATTCGCAAAGCCCTCGTCGATCGCACTCTCGGCTTCGACTCAGCGAGACATTGCTTCTGGTTCATCCTCCAACCCGCGACTCTTCAGATCTAAAGCCGTCCCGTCGCTCCCCCATTCAATGTGCTCTTCGCGAGCTGTCATTTCGAGCTTGAGGCCGGCGCAAGAGCTGTTGGTCTCTCCAAAGCGCACACTGGTCTGGCCTTACCAGCAGCATCACGCGCACATCTCGTTCGGCTCTGCCTTGCAAAGAGGGTGCATTTCGCGTCGCTCGTTTGCGACGAGTCCTCGACGCCAAGGCTCACGATCCGCAGAACAGTATGAGGAGCTCTACTCTTCGAATTATCACGGGCAAGGAGCAAAGCCTGAACGGCCCGCCTGGTACAAGAGCCCTGCGATGGTCGTGCTGGCCATCATCCCAGTTTTCACTGGCTTTCTTGGGGTTTGGCAGCTGCGCAGATTAAAGTGGAAAGTCGAATTGATCGAGGAGCTGGAAGACAAGCTCAAGAAACAGCCAGTCAATCTGCCCAAGGATCTGAGCTTGGAGCTGCTAGAGTCTTTGACTTTTAGGCTCGTAAACATCTCGGGCACTTTTGATTACTCCAGGGCAATCTTTCTGGGCCCGAGGGTCAGAGAAGGCCAGGTCGGGTGCAACATCATTGTTCCTTTTGCTCGCTCGGGTGGAGGTGGTGAAGTGCTGGTGAATCGAGGTTTTGTTTCCGACAGAGACATTGAGGGCAAAGGTATCTCAAGGAGGCTCAAGGATGCAGCTACGGTAAGTCAATACGTTGTGCTGAGGTGGCGGAAATGCAGCGCAAAGTACTGACGTGAAAGTATGCGCCTCAGCGGGAGACCAAGGCAACCATCACGGCCATGTATCCACGCATATACCCACCCAACTTCTTCACTCCTGAGAACGATGGTCAGAAGGGAGCTTGGTATCATGGAGACCCCAAGGCAATGGCAGATTGGATGTCTGGTCCTGCCGGAGCGCTTCCGCTTGCGGGTCAGGCGGACACATTCGCAGCCGAGTCAGAGGACCTGTACACTCCGAGTGGAGGCGTTACAGAAAGCGTCAAGGGCTTGCTAGGTTTGGGTCCAAAAGGAGAGTCTCGCGTATTACCGGCGCTTTTCGACGAGATTTTCAGTGAGTACAGTAGACTTCGTCGTTGATCAAGACGTGTTCACTGAAGGAACCGTCTGCCCATCAACCGCAGCTGGCGATGCGACCCAGGCTGGGCTCCGATTGATGCAAGGTCTGCCAGTAGGCCGCGCTCCCAGTATCGAGTTGCGCAATCAACATGCGGTTTACGCAGGCACCTGGTAAGTTCGAACGTGCCGCTTTTGACGACTCAAGACCTGGACCACTGACTTGTTCAAAATGGCTGCTTGTCCAAAGGTTCTCATTGTCTGCTGCCACCACGATCATGTTTGCAGTGCTAGCCAGAAGGGGGCGCTAAGATGCTAATCGATGTTACCGCCGACTACAGTCACGAGTCGTGGGTTGATCTCGAGTTCACTGCTTTGACTCTTTGTTCCAGTCTGCCTTGCTGGTGTTGGGTCATCTGTGCGCATATATCTTGATTTGAAGTGCATGCTGGCCTCGACACGCGGCGTACCGCGCACTCAAGATTCACGACTCGGCTGCCCGCCTTTGTAAGCGGTTTTGAAGAACATCACGTGACTCAAATTGACCGACTTCCTTCGGTGACTCAGGGCGGCCAGACGCGCCCCAGCTGGGCAGGCGGCTTAGCTCATGCGGCCTCTGATTCGCCACGGGCATGCAGAGCGCAGAGCATCGAGGCAGGCGTAGCACGCATCTGGCTTTGTTGACCTGCCTCGCGCGCGAACGTACTGCTGTGCAAGTCTTACCGCTGCTTTGAGCTTCACCTCACGCCTGACCGGACACCACACACTTGATTGATACTGTCCACCGATCTCTTTCCCGCTCACGTAGCGACCCTTCACCTTTGGCGTACAAACATTGAGCCGACGCTACTGCGCTACAATGCATCGGGCTGGTAAGTTGCAGAGGGTGCTGAAGCGAGTCAATCGGATGGATTGTTGGCTAAACTTGCTATCTGCCTGGTGTGCTCAGCTCCCCTCGCCCGCCAGACAGCTTTGGCTGCCCGCCCTGTTGCCGGTACCTCCGCTGCTTCAGTTGCAACCTCGACCGCTGCTCGAGGCTTCGCTACTGTGCAGGATGCTCCCAAACGCAGTCACGGAGGTCTCCGTGACCAGGATCGCATTTTCCAAAACGCCTACATGCGCCATGACCACACCCTCAAAGGAGCTCAGGTGAGTAGGAGGAGCCATGCAGGGCTAGCTGAATCCTGCGCCTCGCTCCAACCTAAGTTTAATACATCCTGCTGACGCTTTATTGCGCAACTCTACCGCAGGCGAGAGGTGACTGGCACCGCACTAAGGACATCGTCCTAAAAGGCCACGATTGGATCATCTCCCAAATGAAAGCATCAGGCATGCGCGGCCGTGGCGGTGCAGGCTTTCCTTCTGGACTCAAGTGGTCATTCATGCTCAAGCCAGGATGGGAGAAGGATCCTCGCCCCAGATATCTGGTCATCAACGCTGATGAGGGGGAGCCGGGTACTTGCAAGGATCGCGAGATCATGCGCGGAGATCCGCATAAGCTCATCGAGGGCTGCCTCGTTGCTGGAAGAGCAATGGGTGCTAATGCTGCCTACATCTACATTCGTGGTGAATTCTACCTCGAAGCGGCGCATGTTCAGCAGGCGGTTAACGAAGCATACAAGGCTGGATTGATCGGCAAGAACGCGTGCGGCAGTGGATATGACTTTGACGTCTACGTTCACAAAGGTGCTGGAGCATACATCTGCGGCGAGGAGACGGCCCTCATCGAGTCCCTGGAAGGCAAGCAAGGCAAGCCCAGATTGAAGCCTCCTTTCCCTGCCGATGTCGGTGTGTTCGGCTGCCCTACCACAGTGGCCAACGTCGAGACTGTTGCCGCTGCACCAACGATCATCCGACGCGGTCCGGAGTGGTTCGCCGGCTTTGGCCGTGACAAGAACCAAGGCACCAAGCTGTTCGCAATTAGCGGGCACGTCAACACGCCTTGCGTTGTAGAGGAAGAGATGGGCATTCCCCTCAAGGAACTCATCGAGCGCCACTGTGGCGGAGTTCGAGGTGGCTGGGACAACCTCCTAGGCATTGTGCCTGGCGGATCATCAGTCCCCATTTTGCCAAAGAACAAGTGCGACGACGCCCTTATGGACTTCGACGGCTTGAAGGATGCAGGTAGCTCCCTCGGTACAGGTGCCGTCATTGTCATGGACAAGTCGACCGATGTTATCAAGGCAATCTCTAGGTTCGCGAAGTTCTACAAGCACGAGTCTTGCGGTCAGTGCACACCTTGCCGCGAGGGCACCACGTGGATTGCGAACATGATGGAGAGGATGGAATCCGGCCGAGGTGACATGCGCGAGATCGACCAAATCTGGGAACTTACGCGCGCAATGGAAGGCCATACGATCTGTGCTTTGGCAGATGCAGCTGCTTGGCCTGTCCAAGGGCTGTTGCGCCACTTCCGCCCCGAGGTCGAGGCGCGCATTGCTGCCTACCAGGCTGAACGTGAGTGCGCCGACTAGCGATTGTGATTAGTACGTCCCTAGAGTATCAGCTGACACCAAGCGTCGCGTCTTCGTCTACAGACGGCAAAGTTCTCTACGGTGGAAGGCTCGCCAGCGAGTACCCTTCAGACCTTGCCATGCCCGAGATTGGCTCCCCACAGGCATCCCGATCGCTCCCAAACCCCCTGGCTTCTTAGATACATCAGTAACACGAGACGCGGCTTTCGTAAGACTCAATGTGCATGTTTTGGTCGTATGTACTGTGAAAGCCTGCTTGCCCTGCTCGCTCAATGCCTTCGACGCCATCACACCATGATTCGCACCTCGCGCTGCTCTGGTGATCGCCTACTACGCCTCATCATGTGCTCCCACTCTTGCAAGAAGACCGGTCGCCTGGTTGGCTTGGCTTGTCGCTGGTGAAGGTGGCCTCCTAGTGTCCACCAACGCTACTTATGTTTTCATTCGTGGAATTTGCCATGCAAGTTGTTATGATACTGAATCTAGTCGCACTCTTGACCACTGACTTGTTCCCGTTGTTGCACCTACGAGAGATGAGGAGTGATGCACGCATTCGACACATGCCAGACCAGGTTCCACAAAAAGGGCAAGGCACGCAGGAGCCAGATCCACGACAGAAACAGCTGGTCACGTGCCGCTGCTTTTGGATTGACGCGCCACGCGGCAACGCGGAGCCAAGATCAGCCAGCTGAAATGGCGCACGCTCAGCCCTCCGCACAGCCAGGATGATACAGCTGCTGTATGCCGCCATGCGTTATACAGTAAGTGAGTCAGAGTGGCTGGGCCCGACCGCCCCTCTCCGCGAAAGATGCTCAGAGCGCTCAGCCAGCATGCACGCGACGTTGCAGGCTTGCGCGCATCACCGCGCTCGTGATGAGAACCGAGGCGTTTGATGAGTGAATCCCGCCGCACGGGCATGAACTCATCCCTATAGCTGTTGTACATACAGGGCGAGCCTTTGATAGAAGACGCCAAATACACACACTGCTTTGATCACACGAACGCACAAAGATAACACCACCCATTTCATCCATAACACATTCGCGATTGCGCTTGCTCGTCAGCCTCCGTATCCGTAAGGGCTTTAGAGTCCAGTGATTAGCATCGATCTCGCCTTCGCCTCCGAAACTCTTTGGCCATTTGCGTTCACAGCAAACGAGCTCGCATCCAGAAGCAACCCCTCCAGAATGGTGCGTGCGCAGAGAAACTTAGCGCTCTGGAGGTCAGCTTACTGACAAAGTGAATGTGGTTGTGTCGGTGCTTGCGTCCTTAGGCATCCGGAGTGAAAGTCAACCCCAAGTGCTTGGAAGAGTTCCAAGCGCTGAAGCTGGGACACAAGACCAAGTACATCATCTATGGTTTGAGCGAGGACAAGACCGAAATTGTTGTGCTCAAGACCAGCACCTCGGACAAGTATGAGGAATTCCTGAAGGAGCTCCCCGCTGATGACTGCCTCTGGGCCGTCTACGACTTCGAGTTCAGCAAGGGCGATGATGGAAAGCGCAGTAAGATCGTCTTTATTGCCTGGTGAGCGCTTCTTTGAGCAGATTCGCCTCGACTCAATGGCTAACCCCAGAGGTATTGTCGCGCTACAGGTCTCCCGACGATGCCAGGATCAAGTCAAAGATGCTTGCCGCATCCTCAAAAGAACCTCTGCGCAGATCTCTCGTTGGTGTAGCTGTCGAAGTCCAGGGTACCGATCTGGACGAGATCACTTACGATGCCGGTAAGTTGTGGCATTTCGCGTGACAAGCGAATCAAACAAAGCGACCTTGTAAACTCAAAATTGGTGTAGAAGCTGGCAAGGGACAAAGCAGGCTAGGTGGCGAGCTGCATTTCCATCAGCAAAGGCTTGGCGCTGACAGATCTGTCTCCTGTGCCTCTCACCTGATGGCTATTCGACGCTAGTCCTGGTAAGTTGACCTTCTCCCACGTGCGTTTCCCCTGATGTGAATACTACGCTAACAATCATACACGCCTGGGCGCACGCAGGAGAAGTGCTCTCGAGGCTACTAAGCGCCAAGCAACAGTACCTACTACCTGCCTGTCACCCTCCCTCAACCTCGACATGCTTCAACGATCTCTTCACGCCCGAGGTAGCTAGAGCATTTGCAGTTGCAACGAGCGTGGCATCTTGCCCAAGTGATGAAGAAGCTTGGGACAGATTTCGGATGCAATGAATCACATCAGGATGTTCAGCGTACTGTGCTGCGCCCGTTGTCAGCATCCGAGAGTCTGGGTGCGACAGCTTTCTGAGCGCGCTGCCGCGAGTTGCGCACATCACAGGGATGGCGCGGCAACGTAGCGCTGTTGTCCCCGTACCTTCGTCTATGTGAAGCACACTCAGGAAGTGTTGTACGGGCGCTGCTTGCTATCGAAACGTGCGCGGAGCCGCTTCGAGTGGCCAGCTCAGCGGTCCGAGAGCCAGGACGCTTCTCTCGAGATGCAGCTTCGGCGATGAGCTTACATTGCGCGGCTACGCGGGGCGTGACCATAGCAGTTGTCGACCTGGAGGAGCGTGTGTGTGCGTGCCCACGTCGACAATGGCGAGCCCGGCTACCTAGAGATGGTCTTGCCTCCGCGCGCACATACGCTCACTGACAGAATGGCTTACTGACTGACTGTGATTGTCCATGTGACGCCCTCCGGCTGATCAGTGCTTTCACCATCAACGCGCGAGCACTTGAGCGCCTTTTGATGGAGGAATCCTTCATGTGTAGACCGCACACAGCACCTATGCGCCGATGTTTGTTTGACTGCGTCACGGCGAGATGGATGCCGCGGAAAGGGCGCGCTGCGAGATGCTCCGCCAAGAAGCGGCGCTTGAATGCGCTTCTTGATCGCGCGTGATTCGATCACAGCACTTCGTTGCGACTTCCAAGCTTCTACCTCTTCCATCCATCACCCACTCAGCTGACAGTACACATTGCGCCGCGCAAGGTCTTGTAGCGATTATGAGCTAGGCGATGAGCTAAGCATTGCTTGTGACAGGCTCGCGTTGAGGGGCGGTAATATGGTTCCACCTCGACAAAGTCCCAGGTCGAAGCGACAGGCTCAAACGACAAACAAGCCAGTCAAGAAGGCTTACAGCCGGCGCAGTGATCCTCTTTCTGAAGTTCGCAGTGACGATCTGGATCGAAAGCAGCCACGTCTTTCGTTCACAAGCGCACCAAGACACAGCGGCTGGACTGCTTCTTCTTCCGCATCCAATCAAAGGTCCAGTAATGGAGCTTCGTCCAGCACCTTGGTGGATCTGGGAGCATCTTTGTCAGCTGCTGATATAAGCAGACACCAGTCTAGTCCCACAGAAGGCTTGAAGGACAGCAAGCCCTTGCAAGAACGAAATGGCAACCAGCAAGACCTCAAGGGCAAGGCACCCGCAGAGCCGAGGGAACAGTTCGAAGCAGCCGAGAGCTTGTGGTCGGAGCGGTACGGCCCGAAGAGCAGAGTGAGTGCAGTGAACAAAGAGATTACGGGCGTCTTCTCGAGAGATACAAAGTCTTGTGGAGGTACATGTGCTGATGTGGATGTCCCGCACTCGCTCGACTGACGCCGCGAAGGAAGAGCTTGCCGTCCAACCCCGCAAGGTTGCTGACGTCGAGGGCTGGCTAAGAGACGCATTCGAAGGGTCGCCAGTCACGAAGAGGCACAGGGTGAGTGCTCAGAACTATTTATACGTACATGTTTGTAGCATACATGCCCATATTTCGAACGAGGTGCTGACCTCAGCATCTGTACGATCGATAGCGAATGCTGGCCTTGACCGGCCCTTCGGGCTCCGGAAAGACGCAAGTCGTACGGACCCTGTCCGAAAAGGATCAACTCGATTTTGAGATCATCGAGTGGGTCTCCGATGGATCACAGCCCGCCTTCGATCCCAATTCGGATCAAATCTCCTTCATGGAAGGATACGGTGCGCAGGGCCAGAATCAGGAATTCGAATTGTCTGTCAAACTTGATAAAGTCCACTGAGCTCACACGCCATCTCGTTGACGGTACAGTGCCCTTGATACGCCGATTCGAAGAATTTCTGACCAAAGCTGCGCGATTCAGCTCCCTGAGCTTCTCACAAACGCCTGACGGAGCTTCGAGCACCTCTTTGCAAAGTTCAGCACAGGCGGCACCCTGCAGACGACGCGTCATCTTGGTAGAAGATTTGCCAAACATTACGCAGTCGGCGACCAAGCAGGCATTTCGGGCAGCACTCGAAATGTTTATCTATCGCCCGCTACCCGCTGGTCAACACATACCGCTAATACTGATTGTCAGCGACGTGACTCCGCGACTGGATGCCGAGGCTTGGCTTACATCTGGAAACACAAGCTGGAAGGACAGATCATCTGCTACCCTTGGCCTGCGTGATTTACTTAACGAACAGGTCAGACTTAATTCGGCTTTTGCCGAGATACGGTGAGTTGTGATGCACCGCCCGAGACGGTCGATCTACTCACATCACACAGACCTTCGATAGTTTCAACCCGATAGCCAAGACTCTGCTTGCACAAGTCATCTCACGACATCTTGATGCGGGCCCCAGCCCGCGCAAGGGACGTAAGACGCAGGTCAAGACGGCAAGAAAGCAGTTTGCGGATACGATAGCCCAAGAGGCGGGCGGAGACATACGAACTGCGTGGAATCTCGTACAGCTTGCTGGCAGCTCGGACTATGTACTTCCGTCGCTATTACAGCGTGGCACCAAGCGTCATTCGGACGGCAGCGAGGTATCGACATCTAGTCCTCAACGAGCGAGCAATGACCGCGAGAGCCAAGAGTATCGGTGCGTGCGTCCGTGTCTGTGCTCCAGACCCGGAGATATTGACGTAGCCATTCAACAATGCAACCATACAGTATTTCAGCAGTCACTGGGAGAGAGCACTCATTGGCGCTTTTTCACGCTTTGGGTAGGATACTCTACAACAAGCGTGAGTGTAGCCGGGCCTGCCACGCCAACCTCTGTGTGTCTCTCAAGTTTGACTTGCTGGACCGACGTTGCAGGCATTGGCGATCCCGGCGAAACGTCTGGCCTCTCCAAGACCGCATACCCCTCATCTCAGGGCGGGCGGAGCACGACGCTTGCGACGGAAAATTCAAGATCTATGTGCGAGAGTTGGGAGCTCCCTGCAAGCCTTGCCTGCCGCGAACGAGCGCCAAGCAAGGTCGATGTAAATGTGAGCAGCCCGCCCGGGTGCATCGCATTCATTGACCGGCCGCTCTGACTTGCAAGTCGCTTTTCCCTTTACGACAGGCGTTGTGGACGGAGGTCCCCGTTGATACGTCGATGCTTCAGCTCTACTTGCATCAAAATTATCCGCCATTCTGCGACGATGTGGAGCAGTGCGACTTGATTTTGGAAGGTCTGAGCTTTGCTGACACTGGCTTGAAGACAGAGAGCGAGGAGGTGAGCTCAATTAAGGTATCATTTCCAGGTATGCAGAGCAGCGCTAACCTGTGCGGCCCTCTCTTCAGTGGCTGCACGCAAATCTCAGCTCGCACTACTCCTTCTTGACGACGGTGCATGCGACACTACTTGCTCTTCCGTCACCCGTTACTCGACGCGGCCAAAAGTTCTCAAAGTCGTGCTTCTTTGAGATGCGGTCACGCAATTTAGAGTTACAGGGAGCGCTCGAGGATGCGAGAGCATGGCTCGGACCGCGCACAACCTCTGGCCATGTCAGCGATCCGGAGCTGCTCACAGAGATCGTGCCCTATATCTGGCGCATTAAAGGTTCCAGAGTGCGCGACGGCGAGACGAGACTGCTCGCAACGCAGACCTCCCACGGCGCTCTTGGAGAGGCAGCACACACGGTGCCGCCGTGCATCAGAAGCATTGGCGAAATGCGGCTGGAGAGTTCCAGCACTTCAAGCTGGCAGGGGGAACAGCTTGACGAAGCAGACGTTGCAGAGGAGGACAAGGACGAGTTCATAGACGCGCCAGCACTGCCGAGGGGCGTTCAGCGTCAGAAGACGTTTTCAAGCACGCGTCTCGCACCATCATCAGATCAGCCTGCCACTGATCTTGACTCAGATTTCGAAGACATCGACGATGCAGATGAGCCTTGATCGCACCCACCCTCGTTGCCCGGACCCCGCATTCATCATTCCTTCATGTAGCCTAGACGCCGCACTTCACAAGGTACTCGTAATTCAGATCAAGCATGAGAGTACGAAAGGGAGGTACGTAGCTACATTCGGCTATTGCTAGGCGTAAGAGGCTTGCGCGTAGGAAGAGGCGCCCAGCCCGCGATGTTTGAAGAGCAGAGGTGGGATCACATAACGTGCGGAGCGGTCCTGTAAAGATGAAACGGCCGCGAGATCAGCATGTGAGCCTTCCCATCGTCGCGCGCGCCGCTCCCACTCACCAAGAAAAGCTCTTGAATTCGGCTTGGTCCTGAGTGCTGAGGACGCTGTGTACTGGCGTGAGCGTCGGCTTCTCGCTCGTAAACTGTATGAACACACGCGCATGCAGGGGATTGTTTCGGTCAGTGGGGAGGACCAAGATGGTCCTCGAGACCGCAGAGTCCTCACCTCGGAGTCGAACCAAGACGTATCGCTTGGATTTTTGAGCGTGGGGCAGAAGGGTGGTGGCACACGCTTGTGGAACATGTCGTCCCAATTGATGTCACGGAAGAAGGGGTGCGCTTTGATCTCTTCGGCGTCCGTTGCGCCAGAACCGAGGCGCCTTGCAGGGTCGCGCGTGAGCAGCTACGAGCCGATCAAGCAGGGTCAGCAAAGGGCGAAGGTAGGATTCCGAAAGCAGTCCGCAGATCTTACCTTGTGCAAAATCGACACAGAGTCGGGAGGCATGTGGATCGGATACAAAGGTTCGTCTTCCAGAATTGCGTCAAAGATTTCATCCTCATCATCTCCACGGAAGGGGGCTTGTCCCAACAGCATCTCGTAGATGAGAATACCGAAGGCCCACCAATCGACGGCGCGTCCGTATCTTTGCTCGAGCAAGATCTGAAGGGGCGGCCCAGCATGACTTAGCAATTCGAACGCGCACCGAGATGCCGAAACGCCAAGTCTCACCTCTGGCGCCATGAATTCTGGGGTACCACAGAACGTGCTGGTTGTCTTGCCGTACCACATGTCTTCCTTGCACAGACCATAGTCCGCCACCTTGATGTGACCGTCGAGTGTGAGCAAGATGTTGTCAAGCTTGAGATCACTGTGGGCCAATATTGGGGCAATGAGTCTCGATGATGACGTGCAGTCGCCTTCAGCCATACTCACCGGTAGATGATGCCTTGCTTATGGAAGTATTCTAACGCCAGAAGGACCTCCGCAGCGTAGAACTTGGCCCGCCTTGGCGTGAACTGTTCACGCTGAATGTGAAGCATCAAGTCACCACCGCTGACGTACTCCATGACGAAGTACACGCGGGTTTCTGTCTGGAAGCACGAGTGAAGACCCAGCAAGAATGGATGGCGCTCGCGGGCTGCTGCCAAAAATACGCGCTTCTCTGACTTGGTGCTATTTTGGGCAAGCACATCGCTCTCGGGTCAACACATCTGATTTCAAGGTTGTCTTGGCATCGTCTACTCACCTTTCGACTTCATCGTTCTCAATGATGAATTCCTTCTTGAGCACCTTGATGGCGTAAAGGTAGCCGCTCCTCTTCTCTTCTGCCAGCATGACCTTACCAAAGTTACCCTTACCCAGCACAGCCAAGAAGTTGAAGTCATTGAGGCCAATCTTGCGCTTGGAGGAAGGCGGGTATGCTGGTGCTTGGGCTGGCGCGGCTCCGATGGTCGCGATGGACGCTTGAGACGGCGTTTGGGCGATGACAGGGCGGGGAGCGTGGGCGCCGGCAGCCGCAGGAGCAGCGACCTGCGTAGAAGATGCTGACTGCGCAATAGACTGCACCCTGCCATCGCCGGTCGGCGGCTGCTGAGGTAGGGGACGTGGCGGCTTGACACCCTGAGCGGGTTGCTCTGAGGCGTAAGGCTGGGGACGCACCCCGTCCTGAGGTGGTCGAGCTTGCTGGGGGTAGCTTTGGGGCTGCTGTTGTGCTTTTTGTGGTGGGCGGCCACCGTCCGCCTGTGATACGCCCAAGTGCTGAGAATGCAACGAGGCCGCAGCTTGAGTCGGTTGTTGCGACTGCGCCTGTGCATGCTGGGCATGCACTGGGGTATCACCGTAGCCAGCGCCTTGTGGGTAAGGACTGCCTCCAAGTCCCATCTGAGCTGTCTGCTGCTCGAGGCCTGTGAGGCGTCCATCAGGCGCGCCAGGTCCACCAAAGGTGGGTCTGGGTGCTCCGATGCGGCCTCCGTTGGCCTGACCACCGCCAAATTGCTGTTGAGATGAGGGCAGCTGCGTCTTGGCTGAGGACTTGACGCGGTCGATAGCTTCCATGTCTGCCAAAAGCTGGTTGGCCAGCTCCATTGACATGCCGCACAGATCGGGGACCAGGTGCGCACAGTCACTGTGGGCGGTGATGTCGCATTCTGCCATTCAGAAAGCCATGTAAGCGACTGTGACAGACGGATTTTGAACTCTTCTCCCCCCGTACGCGTCTACTCACCAGCGCACTTGCGAGCATTTTTGCGGCCCAGGGGTAAGATGTAACCGCAGTGGCAACACCAGTTCGCGCTGATATTTGTCAACGGCACAAATCGATGAGGGATGCGATGCTTGATCTTGACCTCATCGCGCTCCGTCTCTGCATTGCTCTTGCTGATGCACTTGGTAACGACCTTCTGTGCGCACTTCTTGTGGCAAGTGTAGCGACAGTCTTCACACTGCGAGCCGGTGGCGTTCAGGAGGAGCTCGCCGCAAAGAGCGCAACGAACAATTTGATAGAACTGTCTAGAGATGAACTTGTGTCCATTGATCTCTGCGACGTCCTCCTTTCGTTTGCGCACGGCACCTTGACGACCTAGGCGCGCATCATAAGGACGCTTGCGCACGTTTTGCTTGATGAAGTTCAGGCGCAAGAAGATAGCGCCTGCAGGTTCGACCGCAAACCACGCTTCCACACCATCCTGAGTTGGGCCGAGTGGCACTTGGGCACCGGCAGGTCCTAGATGGAAGCTGGCATCCTGAAGGCTACCTGCACCGCCTCCGGCAACACCACCAAAGCCTCTGGCACCGGGTCCTTCCGCTGCAACATCCTCTGCGGTGCCCCAACCTCCCGGCGCATTCGTGCCGCCATCAATGGTCGAGACTTGACCAAACTTCTTTTTGCGCAGCTCCTCCACGATGTCACTGATCCTGATCCACAGCATACCAACGGGGACTGGATGCGCAGAGCCAACTCTGTCATAAACCGTCACTTCGATTTCGTTGGCGTTGTCGACCGCTACTTCAAAGTCTTCTTGCCAGCGGTCCGTGCGGCTTGGATGTGTTCGTGCTCGTGGCGTATCTTCGACCTTGATCACGACAGTCGATTCCCGTACACTTCTTCCCATTCGCGCGTTGGGCGCATGATCAATGTCTCGTGCGCTGCGCACGGACACTTGGAGCGTACCAGAAAGGGGTTTTCGGAGCTTTTGCCTACGGTCTTCGATGGAGCCGGCTGCGATGGGGCAAGAACCTTCGTCAGTTGAGGACAAGAACGATCGCGCAGCGCAATAGCACAGCCTTGCTTCGGCGATCAGTCACGCACGCATCTCGTCCTCCCCGCTCTCCTCCATGACGTGCAGTTGCTTGTAGCGCTTCAGGCTTTGCTGGAGTAGAACCAGCTTCTTCTCACTTTCCACTCTCTTGCTCTCGGCGTCATTTTTGCTCTTGCGATCACCTTCCATAGAATAGAGTTTGGCCATCTTGTCGATACCAACTTTCATTTGCTTTTCGATCTGAAGCTTGAACTCGAGCTGATGAAGCATTCTAGAGATCTTGGCCGTGGTGTGGGGCGTGTCGTACTTGATGAGGTCTTTGAAATCGATGAAGGACGAAGAAGCGTCAGCGGAGAGTCAGGTCTGTCTGCCGCTCTGCAGCGTCCGGAATCAGAGGCAAGCTTGACTAACTCACCGAGATTTGTGTATTGCTTCTTTGCGCTGGTGCCCATGCGACCGATCGGCGCAGGTCGCCACTCTCCTTGTCCACCAGGAGAGCCAAAGCCCTCACCTTCCGAGTGGCCGGGAGCTGCAGGCAGGGGCCTGTCCTCGAAGCGATTCCACCCGCCTGAGCTGGCGGACGAGACGTAGCTGCTGCTGCTGTCTCCGGGATATGGTCTTCGTGATTCAGGACCGGCTGCGTAGGGCGAGGTGAAGGATGAATTGCTGTTGTTCCCAGTCGAATGGGTGCTGGACGCATATCCTTGCTGAGGGCCACCTGGCTGCCCGCCTTGCGAAGTGCCAGCGCCTGGCCTCACGCCACCAGGGCTATCCGTCCTGCCAGGCGTGCCAGAGCTTGCGCGCCTATCTTGCAATTGGCGCAAGCTCTCTTCGAGGTATGAGATGTTGCGCTGAGCGTCTCGTATTTGGGCCTCGGCGTTGCGGATGACATCTTGATTTGATGTCAGGCCTCGCACAGCTTGCGCTGCTTCCATGTGCTTGCGTTGCACTTGCACACGCGCCAGCACATCGGCGATGTGCGAATCCGTCGAGTCCTGCGCACACACACTCATCCGTCAGCTTTACGAAATACTGGGCTAGGAATGACGGATTGACTTACCGCCATGAGTGGCAGAGGCGATATGTGGAACAGTCGGTCTTTACTACGCAGCGTTGAAGTTGGCTGTGCAGACCCACACGGCTGGGTGTTCTGCTGTAAGGAGAGCGGAGATCAATGATCGCCGGGTCGCAGGAGTAGAGGCACTTGTCCAGCACTGGTCAGAGGAGCTCTGCGTTGCGTTGGGAAGGCTCCTTCCTCTGCTGTCCCCTCTCTCTCAGGTACCTCCGAAGTGCTTGGTGTTGGGTGTCAGCTCGCCAGAGATGTCGGGATGGACAAATAGGTGCAAAGGAAAGTAAGTGTGATGGCGACACCTCGCACTGTGCTGGGCCGATTGAACTGGTGATGAAAAGGTGTACAGCGAGCCAAACGGATGCGGCGCGAGGAGCAACGGGACTGTGAGTGAGGGATGGATGAAGCGAAGGCGGAGGCGACCAAAGCTGTCCTCGAGATCCCAACAAATCAAATCAATGGTCCAGGCGGTGCTCGTGACCGTTTGGCGCGATTTGGTGATTTTGTGAGCCAGGCCAGGCTGTTGCGGTCTGATGTGTATGCTGGTGGTGTGATGCACGACACATTGCACTCCCGACTCTCGCTCGCGCTCGCGCCCGCTGCTGGAGATCGGCTTTGGGCAGCTCCTTTAGCACGCGGCCCGCCCGCCTGCTTGCAGCTCGCTCGCGTGTACGTCTTGTCTTTTCTCCTGCGCTGCGCTGCAGCCATGCTGGGTGTGTATAGCCAGCAGCATGCAGCAGCGGCAACCAGCAGCACCTGCGCACGGCTCAGCAGGCGCGCGGCTATACGCGTGCGCGCGTGCTGCTGCGTGCAAGTCCGCCCGGCAGCATGAGCAGCAGCATGAGCAGCAGCTCATGCATGCAGATGCCGTGCACTCATCTTTCTGCAGCCTTCGCACCCGCGCCTCGGCTTGCGAGGCTCATCAGCATCACGCACATTCACATTGGCCATCCAATAGATTCAGCTGTCCAAACGAGTACCAGGTACCGCATATCGCGAAGCATACAGTACGCGAGCAGCCATGTATAGCGATAGCAGGGCCGCCGTGATGAGGATGCTTGATGGCGCGCCTGAGCACAGCACGCCGCGCATCACAACGTGAGCCACCATCATGCTGACCAGTCGGCGGCGCTGATGGCTATGAATCTTTGACATTCGTGCTTTGCCCACGCCCACACGCATGACCTGTCCTGCGTTTCTCTCTTGTCAGAATCACGTTCCTATAGCTATACAATGGAGGAGGCGATTGAGATAGCGTAGCGTAGTGTACAGTGGACATATACACCTTCCGCGCTGAAGAGCGACTGTACATGCATGTTTGGCTTGAGAGGTTGCTGGCACTCCCCACCTTTCTTGCGTGGCTTTGACGCAGGAAGCCTCGCGACTGCTGGCAACGCGAAGGCCCATGTTGACCCGAAAGCCGCGCTGCCTAGCGCATCACAGAAAGACTGAAGAGAGGCCATCCGACATGGGGAAGCTGATGCTGTCATGCGGAAATGCTGCTGGGTGGGACGCGGTGACCCGCGCACCAGACATTCACCATCCAGATGAGGGACGCCGAGTGTTCAAAATCTGCCTCCACCGCGAGGCGTGGCGACTGTGCACAGCCACGACCTCTGCTGGTTTGAACGGCTAATTGCATGTGCGCATTAGCAATTAAGCAACTCAGCGCGCTGCTCGAAACATTTCCCTTGTTTGGCGCGCGACAAGCAACATTGATATTCACAATTCACATTTTGATTTACGATTCGTGATTGTTCGTGATCACGACGCGTAAGCTGCAAGCCATGCCGACGATCATCAGAAGAGACAGCAGCAGAATCGAAGAGATGCCGTCACGGCGCTGGATTGCTCATCGCTCGTCGAATGAAAACAGTCCAAGAATCCGCTGATCTTTATGGTACAAAAAGGAGAAGAGATCGGCGACGCGCGGAAGGCGCAGTCGGAGCGGCTCGGGCAAACAGCAGAGGTCGTCGGGGTCACTGCGAGGCTGTGCAGATAGTCTCAGCCGCTGTTGCAACCCCATCCAGCCCACGCCTCTTGATCGTCGTCCTCCTTCCTTCGGCTATTCGTGTCGCTCGTCAATTCCTGATCACCCTTCTGCCAATCGCACTTCTTCCCGCCATGCACAAAGTCCCATCCAAACGTCTTTTGCAGGAGGAGCGCGACCGCGTTCCTGGCGCTCACAGTTGACGTCTCCATCGTACTGATGAGGGTCTCGAAAGAATTCAAAAAATACAGACCTCCTTCATCCACTTGTAGAGGTGGAAAGTCGCGCGTAGGACGTAGCTCCGGATAAGCGTCCCATTGTTTCCGGAACACCCAACGAAGATTGTTGGCACCCATGATGGATTCCAGCTGCGTGTCGTTGAGCGCAGCTTTGGAAAAGATCTGCTTGTCAAAATTGGACTATCATCAATCAGGCGCTCCCTGATACAGTGCGTTCATGGCAAACATTGAGCTTGGTCGCACCTTGACGATATGTTCTTCACCCGTCAACGTTCCGTCAGCCAATCTGCGCTCTGGCAGTTTCTTGAGGTACGAAAGGCTGTTGAACTGCACGGGGCATGTGGCGAAAGAGTCAGCAACCTTTTGTGGTGCCCCCCAAAGGAAGGATTTGCGCAACGATAAGTCACCTCGAGTAGCAGTCCACTATCTTTATCATCGCCACCAGGCCACCAACCGAGTATCAAGCCAGCAAAGAATGACCTGGCGTATCTGTAGATGCGCAATGGCCAAGCGAGGCCAGCATCATCCACCAAGTGTAAGTAGCTACCGGAGAAGTTGTTCTCGTCTTGCTTCTCCTTGTTCTGCTTCTGCGCCTTACGAACCGCTGCGTGCGTAGTCAGGATGCTCGTAGGTACCGCATCGCTCTTTCCTCTTCCAAAGTAGGCAGGATTCGGGTGACTTGCGTTTGTGATGAGCAGCGTTACGTGCAGGTGCACATACGGCGGCGTTGGAATGGTCGCGTGAGTGTTGATCAGAGAGATGTCTGCATTGTGCCAAGGCGTAGCGATGAAGACGCTATCATAGAGTCCTCCTCCTCCCGTCTTGGTGCCGACCCACCACTTGGTCCCAGCCTCCTGGATCCACTTGGAGTGCTTCTCAGCTTGAGTCGACGATAGGTACCCAGCGTCGACCACTTCGGCCAGACTTCCAAATTTGACTATTCCCGTCACTTCCCCCGACGCTCCCAGGCGTAATCTCGACGAGCTGCGCTTTAACATTTCCGAAAAGATTTGGTAATTTCCTCCCATGATGCCAGTCGCTCCTGACGCTGCGAGAGACACTCCACCTCCCAATGCGTGAATCGAGTAGATCTCTTGGCCATAGTTGACCAGCGTGGCGGCTTCTACGACTTCCTCGACCTGTTGACCAGTGCAGCCACGATTTGTACGCAGGAGCCATGTCAGATCTTCCCAAAGCTTCTCAGTCGTCGTAGGACTCCTGACACTTACAAAGAGCTTGCTCACCCCTTGAGCGTAGAGATTGTCACCTGCATTATCCGCCACCAAATCAGTCAAGCCCAATGCATCGCTCAGCGATTGCAAGTTGCTCCAAGGAAACCCGCTGACGGTCGAATTCGGCTGCGTGCGCTGTTGTGCGCCAGGCTTGTGGAGATACACAGGATCGTACAGGCGCAAGAAGCGGCTGACGAGTTTGCCGACGCTACGGCATGCGCAGATGGGCGAAGCGGCAGTCATGAGAGTGAAGTCCGGACACGCAGCGATCGTGCAAGTGAATCAAAAGGCTGACCTCTGCTCTCCACTCACATCTTCTTGGTCGTGACGGGGCTGTAGCCATACCTCCAGAGCATGCGGGCAGAGTTCCACCAGCCGTCATCCAGGCCTTCGATGACGAACTGCTGCCCGTCCCAGATGCCCATCAATCCGTCCGGCTCTCCCAGAGAGGCGTTCGCATGCAAGCCAAATGACTAGTCGAAGAGGGGAGGCGGTGTGTTCGAACCCTGTGCCGCAGAATGATGACCCAAGCGGCGAGACTCACCTTTGCGCTGCGTTTGAGATTGCGATTGACGTCGGCAAAGATACTGGCGCCCAGCTCGATGTACTGCGGCAGTGCATCCTGATCCTCCAAGCTGATGCCCACATCAGGCTGGATAGGACCCTCTTGGTCAGCCCAAGCCTTGACCACGCTAGTTCTACCGCCCACTCTATTCCTCTCGTACACATCAATCTCAAAGCCTTGTTCTTCTTTGCCATCTCGACGGAGGCGCTGGTTTGCCTTTGACAAAAAGTACGCTGCTGATGTGCCACCGGGGCCCGCTCCTATGATGGCCACCCGATGAGCTCGAGAGGTGGGCAGGGATGGCGGGTCGCGATAGATGTGACCTGACGATGCCCCGATGACGGTGAACTCGGCATCGGATGCGCAGGAGCTGGCGCTCGTCGACATTGCCAGACGAACTTGGAGCGCACTCAGCACCGCGAACAAGACGATGCTCACGCTGAGCCTGCCATGATACGCCAACATCTTCCGCGCGTGTCCGAGTCGATGCAATGGTGCTTGTGCTCTTCACAGTACCGAGTGCTTAGTGACAGCTTGCTCCGCCTGCTTTCATCAGCCAGCAGAGGCCTTGACTCTCGTTCTGTCGACTGCGGACAGGTGATGATAAATCGAATCAAAGTTGCGCGCGCTTCGACCCGGTAGGATAATCTATGCTATCACTACTATGAGGCGCTGGACGCGGGTGGGAGTAGCCTCCACCGCCACATGCCCAGCTGCGAGATGCATCAGGAGGTGGATGGATCGCGAGGGAGCAGCTTCGCGTGACTTGCTTCACGTGATGTGATTGCATGTGGAGTCGGGCTGCGCGAGCGCGAGCGCGCGCTTCGACATCACGAATCGTCACGCGACTCTTGCTGTCTTGACTCAGGTTCAACCAGAATTTGAATCCTGATCGTGAATTCCAATCACCAATCACAATCGTGAATCGTGAAGTCACGACTCGATCTGCGACGCGATCGCCCAACACGAGCTAAGCTTGATTGGTCATACTCTTCTCAAACACCAAAAAGGCCTTCCATACACAAGTGCTCCTCGCCCATCCCTGCGAATCTTCAGCAGAGAACGACAGTCTTTTGAAGTATCAGCCAGACGTGCCGTCGGAAGAAAGCACGCCTATCACTGTGACTTTACTGCTGCTCTACATGTGCCATGTTTCCTTCCAGGATCGGTAGTAAGGCGGGCGGAGGAGGCAGCAGCAGCGGTGGAAGTGGAAGCACAGCGGGAAGGAAGTGTCAAAAGTGTCTTCAGCCTGGTCACGGTGAGTCTTTGCTTTGCATCGTCGTGGTGCGAGGGATCATCCGCGTACATCAGAAGTGCAGGTTCGAGGGGCAGAAATAACACCTTCGCGGTATCCCTCTTCCCAATGACTCTCTCGACCGTCTCACAGCCACGTTCGAGTGCAAGAATGCAAGACCTTACATAGCAAGACCTACGAGGTCTCAAGCGTTTCTGGATCCCAAGATTCAAAAGAAGCTCAGAAGCACGGCCGACGTGAAACCCCCTCCAGAAGCAAATCCGTAAGTGGTTTGAAGGATGTCACAATGCTACAGGAATCCAAGAGCTGACTGAATGCGCTCCCTTTTTCTCTCCGCGATGCACACAGCTCGGGCACTGCGGATGCCATTCTGGCCGCAAGAGCCGCAGCTCGTGCGCGTGCTGATCCAGCCAAGGAGCGTTCGACCACCCCTCCACCGCGCAAATCCAGGAGAGCTCGTTCCAGCTCCGTCTCTTCATCAGGTTCATCTTCTCACTCTTCATCCTCATCCAGATCCTCTTTCTCACGCGATCGATCGAGCAAAAGAAAGTCGCGCAGGAGATCCGCATCCCTATCCAGCCGATCTCGAAGTTCAGACTCCAGCGACTCTGATTCGGATTCGGCAAGGCAGCAGTCGAGGAGCAAAAGGCGAAGAAGGAGCTCTTATGAGAGTATGAGCACCCCTGGTCGATCTCGGTCTCGATCTGGCTCAAGATCCGAGTCCGGATCGTTTTCATCAACATCCAGTCGATCTCGCTCAGTCAGTCGCAGTCCCGAACGAAAAAGAAACGATCGTCGATCGGCGTCTCTGCGATCTGGCAGAGATCGTTCGTACTCCAGATCTCCTTACGTCGAGCCTAGACGACGCTCGAGAAGCTTCGATAGCGATTCCTCGCGCTCACGCTCATCCAGTCGAAGTGCTCCACCTGATCGCAAACGTCATCGCAGAGGTTCGACGGCTTCTGCGTCCACCAGAGACCCTCGCTCGCCCTCTCCATAAAATGTGAAGGGAAAGGGTGATTCGCTTTCAACATATGTCAAATTGACTTCTGCCGCACATCCGGCACACCAAAGAATAGGGGATATGATTGCGAAGGCACCTCGCAGCCAAATCTGATGTGCGCGCATGCTGTCAATCAAAGCGCGCCGTCCAAGCTTCGATGATCTGCGAGATCGCTCTTCATTCTTTACTCGTCCATCAGTAGCAAGATACACTCATCGAGCAGATCGATTGACCCATCAAGCTCGCCGATGTCCATCGCAACCTCCTCGCTTTCGCATTCCCCATCCTCTGTACTTCCCTCGCACCGAGGATCCTGAAGATGTAATCCATGCGCATCGTAGTCGATGTCGTCATCGTCAGCATAGATGTGCAAGATGGTGTCTTTGACCTCCGCCTGTTCGGCATTTGTCAAATTTATCTCCCATGCCGAATCCACGGCTGGTGGATAGCACTGACTGAGCTGGTCTTCGTCAAGCTCGATCTCCACAAGAAGCACAGTGTCCTCCTGATCGTCAGCCTCAGCTTCGGGCGAAGCTACAAGTTGGCCTGAGGCATACGCTGCTGCGCAAGGCAGCGATACGTTTGTATTCGTCTCCCTGAAAGTCAAATCCAAATCTCCATTGGTGCTCGTACCTGTGAAGGCTGCGCCGTCGCGATTGTTGATCCTGGTTTCGGGCTCTCGTCCTCGACGTCGGGTTGGCAGGGGCTCCAATCGATCTGGCAAGGCATCTGCATCTGCATCCTCCGAGCTACACTGTGTCTGTCGAACTCGAACGGGCTCGTTTGGGACGATATTTTGATGTGAGGGTGCCTGTTTTGAGTGCAGGTCATCGACGATATCTCCTCCGTCCTGTTCCTGATGTTGCGCGACCGGAGGTGACGAGCGCACTGATGGTTCGCTGCCAAGTCTCGGGCGGCGCAAACGAAGCTTGAAAGGAGGTATGCGGGTCGATCTGCCTGCATCAATTCGTACACGTACCACGTGTGGGAAATGCAGGACCGCCTACTCACATGGAAAGAGCTCGGCGGAAAGGCTTGATGATCTCTCTTACGCAAAGCTGCCAACAGACCATTGCGAATGGCAGCTGCCGAGTCACGGCGAGGTATGACTGCAAGCGCCAAGCTGGGAGGAGCTCTAGAACGGCTGCGTGACGTAGCCGGACGTCGAACAGTGCGTGTCTGACGAAAAGCTCTGCATGTGGCCACTCGGCGGAGAAGGAGCTTTGGATGACGCGAGCCGGCGTCTTGTGAGCGTGTTCGTTTGAAGGGCACTTCTGCACGAACAGGCTGCAGAACGCGAATGGTTGCTGATCGACCACCATTAGACTGGAACGCTTGCGGCAAGTTCTGTTTAAGAGTCTGACCATGGACCATGACAGGTTAGTCTTCAGCACTCCTCGTTGGAGGCGATGCGTGCTTACGGCAATTGCTCGGAACAGAGGTCCATCCTCGTTGCGCTCCTTAGCCTTGGCTACCAAGCGATCGAATGGTGTCGCGACGAATGACAGTGCAGGCAAGACAGTCTCGAGCCGCTGAGGGTAGGCAAAGACGGTCTTAGCCTTCAAGCCTCGCACCTACCGAACGCCCGGCACTCTCACCTCAATGTACGGCGCGCAAAATCTGCCACTCGGACAAGCCGACACGAAACGAAGCAGCACCTGCTCGAGCAGTCTATGAATTGCGCTTGCGTCCACTGGGCCCAGCGTGGGCCGGCAAAGGCTCTGCTTCAGGTCTTCAACCACAGCAAGGTGAGCATGCCTGTTTGTAGCCAGCGTTACGTAGCCCGCTCACCTCGATCAGGTCTCCTTCGTCGTGGTCCGTTCCACGTAATATGCGTGTCGGCTGACGTGAGGAAGCTCTGTGTTGTGTCGCTTGCCCACTGTGGTGCTGCCGAGCTGAGCTTCACTAAGGAGAGGCGACCGGGCACTGTCAATAGGAGTGCCAGCGAAGGCGATGTAAGCGCAGACGCACACGTCACTGCCCGGGCCTTGTCACAACCCTGACGACGTAGCGCGGACACGTCTCCAGGCTCATCCTGCACCAGCTCCACGGATGGTCGAAGGCAGAGTGCCGCTGCATTCTGCCAGGGGCAATCATTTCACGTTAGAAGGTGCCCGTCAACGGGCTTGTGTGCGACGTACATGCTCGATGTAGACTTTGATCGCTCGCACAATGCCGCTTGGTCCAAGCTCAGACGCTGACAGCGCTTCTACACGAGGGCCGGCTTCCAAGGTATCCCGCTCGAGCTCTTGAGCATCATACGCCTCGTTGTCTGCAGCCGCACGAGCCCTTCGACGGTGCGCTCTGGGCGGATGAAGGATCGTCACAGAGAGTGTGAGCAGCACTGTAGGAGAGACGAAAGCGTCACGAGGTGCCGACTCGATCGCGGCTTGTTGATAAGTGGCCCTCGTATCGGCAACGACGCGACACGACCCAGCTGTTGCCTTGAAGACTTCTGAACGCTGCATCTCGTTCGTGACAGGGGAAGCGAGAGCAAGGTCGATTGGGGATTGTTGGGTCGCAGCCGAGCTTGGTAGACGTGTTGTACACCCAAGTCGAGAGGAACTTGGTCCCTAGCGCCACGGAGCGCAGGCGAATGTGAGCAATCTGGAAGGCCAGTGTTGACAGACAGCGCTTGCAGTCACGAACGCTGGGGCTCTCTTCTCAGCTACGATTTCTGACGAGCAGTGGTGACGTCTGTGAGGACCGACTCTCTGGCCACGGCCGCATTCCTACAAGACCTCATTCATGCGACCTCGGCTATCAGCTTGCGCACCACGGCAACGAAAGCCCTTTGCGGCGGCGCAGCTATGATTGGTGGATACTTGATTCATACACTCTTGTCGAATGTTCGGCACTTGCTGGAGGGCATGAGGAAGCGAAGAGGCATGAGCGAGTAGTCAGACGATGCTGTTGACCATGAGCATACACCTGCGGCGAGAAAGTTGAGCGTGCACGTGATAGCACGCCATTCACCTCCACCTTACGCCAATGTCTGCGCCCGGCATGGAGCGCGTACATATGCGTGCCAGACTCACGTCCCCTCATGAGCACCCTTTGCCTCACGCAGGCAACAGTCTGGCTCACTGAGGTAAATCTTGCCCTTTGCTCCTCAAGATCCTCAAGTCTTTCTTGTCAACATTCACGATTGTTGTCAGCCGATTACTTCAGCCAATTGTCATCGACATCCACAATCATGGCACCTGTTGCAGAGCTCAGCAGCGCCATTGCGCACACTACAGCAAGCGGCGCAGCGCCAAAGAAGCCGAATTGGTTCTCGACCGGCTCGCTCGAGACGCATGATGATGGTTCTCACATTCTGCACTGGTCAGACTGGAGCGCTGGCAGCAGTAGCTCCAGCAGCAGTGCAGCAACAAGCGAAAGCAGGAGGGAGGTGTTCCTGGCATCTCTGAGACGGTGCATGACCAGCACTGGTTTCTTCTACCTCGACGGCTCTCCCCTCGAGTCGCTCAGGGAAGAGCTTTTCCGCGTAACGGCAGCCGTCTTCGCGTCGCCCGAATCAGAACGGAGTCAGATCCTCATGGTGGACTCGCCGCACTTTAGGGGCTACTCTCCCCTGTATGAGGAGCAAACGCAGGGCAAAGCGGATCAGAGAGACCAGATCGACTATGGACCTCAGGTTGAAGGTAGACCCAAGGCGGAGTTTGCGCCTCATCGCCTGTTGGGCCCCAATCAGTTCCTCCCAGACCACGTCCTTCCTGGCCATCAGTCCGTCATCCTGCAGTACACGAGGAGAGCTCAAGAGCTGTCCGATCAGCTCACAACCGCTCTCGAGCTTGCCCTCGGAGCGCCACAGAATGCTCTGCACCAGTTCATGAAGAGCGAGCAGGACGATTCGTACTTCAGAATGAAGACCATCAGGTATCCAAATGCCCGAGGCGGCGGTGATCAGGGAGTAGGTGAGCGCCATCTCAGTTTCGAAGTCGTGTTTCGCAAATCTGCCCTGTGGGAACGGTCTGTGCTCACATGCTGCCACCCCTGCACCGTCGCAGGAGCGCACAAAGACGGAGGCTGGTTAACTCTGCTCGCCACGATGCCAGCCAAAGGACTGCAAGTCCAACTAGCATCGGGAGACTGGGTGGACGTGCCGCACAGGACTGGCGCAATCATCGTGAATGCCGGTCAACAGATCGAGCGAGTGACGCGAGGGCTTCTAGTAGCAGCGACCCATCGCGTCTTCGCAGATCCCACCGTGGGCGAACGCCTCTCGGTGAGTGCTGCGCTCTTCGAGATGGATACATACTTGATTCAAGCGATGACTGACCAGGCCCTTTTGATACACGTTCAAAAGGCTCCCTTCTTCAGCATGCCCGCGCTATCCAAAGTAGTACGACCGCTACCTCTAGACTCGCTCTCTCCTCAGTTCAGAGCCGCTTTCGAAGCTGCCAAAGCAGCCAGAGGCGGCGACGACGTCAAGAGCGACGTCCCACGAGGAGATTTGTGGGGTGGCGAAGAGGAGCCGTTCGGTGAGCTCGCTTGGCGAGGCATTACGCGAAGTCATTGTGAGTGCGAAGCGGCGATGCCCCCGTAAGGTGTTGCCCGATCTGGCTCTCTAACGTTGTGAACACTTGCAAACGTCCCTCGCAGCTCAAGTCGTGGATCGATGGCATCGAGACGTAGTTCCTCCTACTGCATCTTAGTCGCCCACGTCTCTCATCTGTAACAACACTGGTAACACGTCGGGCTTGCAATTTGATGCGGACTGCCTTGTCGAAGACATTGTGCATGGAATGGAAAGTGACATCGCTTCAGGCAGCAAAAAATGGCGAAACATGTCAACAAAGCTAGAACACAACGTCTTCTTCGTCTTCCGCTTTCGCCCTGATCGCCTCTCTTTCGGCGTCTGCGCGAGATTTCTTGATGAGGGCATTTACGGCTCGTCTGATCTCATCCCACACTTCAAAGTCCACATATGGTTGTGCTGAAGTCCCGACCGTCCTGCTTGCAGGTGATGGCGCATTGCTAGCTTGTGCCGCTCCTGCAGATCCCGCACCACCGGTGGCCTTGCCGTCCGCCTCCTTGTGATCTGTAGCGCCTGCATCTTGCGTCTCGTCGGTCCAAAGAGGTGGCATAGCGATCCCTTCTTTCAGTGCAGTAGGGGGATGAACCCACCATGAGACGGCTTGATGCGGCACGATGCGTCGTTCGTCATCCTGGCCATCTCCACTCGGCGCGTCTGTCGACTCGTTTGATACCTCGTCAGACCAGCTTGTAACTTCATGCCACCAGCTGACGGGCAGATATAGCATCTGACCTGGCTTCAAGTCGACAACGAGGGGGGCCGGACAGCCAGCTCTTGGACCCAGCGCCTCAGGAGGTACGTTTGAAGGTGAGACTACTCCCTTTGGGTCATCGGGAATTCCAAAGTATGCGTGAAGAGCGCCCGGATCTATAGAGCTGAAGCTGTTGGGTCCATTTCGCAAGTCGTCGTCTGACTCGGCAGACGCTTCGGATGTAGTCTCTGCCCCCCTTTCGTCTTCATCAGTGGCATCCGCCATCGCGCCTATCTGCAGCACCGCAGCAACCAAGATACGCAGATCGTCCGTAATAGGCAGCCGCGCAGAAGTCCGTGCAATGCAGAAAGCTTGCGCATCGTCCATGACCTCGTCCAGGAAAGCAAAGTCGGACTTCGCAAGCCCATACTTGAGCTGCTGGACAAGGTGCTGCTCCCTGATCGCGTCTTGCTGCTCTGACGCTATGCCCAACACAGCACCTTCATCATCCCCTTCTTCTGCGATGTCATAGCCTATCTCAGACTCCTCACTTTCCCCTTCCGAGCTTCCTGGATCTGAACGGGACTCAGCAACACTCGCCGATTGCTCGGTGGCTATCTCGTGTATTCTGGCAACGAGAGCTTCGCGTCGTTCAGGGCGAGCTTGCACTTCCGCAAACAGCGCTTGCTCGAGCGCTGTATCATCTAAGTCGTCCGCATCGAGGAGGCCCTGCTCAGGTCCCGAGCCTAGCTCCCTTCCAAGCATGGCTTCAATGTCTCGTGGATGGACGGTTTCTTGTGCCTCAGCGAGATAGTCGTCATACTCCTCAAATTCGTGTTCTTCATCGCCACCAGTCCCATCGGGTCGCCCTAATAGCCCGCCTGGAAGCATGCCCGGCGGAATGCGGAGTGGCGAGGAGCGGCAGCGCCTACGTTCAGACATCTGGGAGGCGCCGTCATCCGATCCCGACTCGTCGCTGACGTCCTCTAGCGCAAGCCCCTCGGCACTGAGTCCTACTGCTTGATAGCCTTGTCTAATGGCTATCATTGCAGTGTCAAGATCCAAAGCATTGTTGCCAGCGCGACGAACTGCTTCGAGCAACGGTTCCAAGAAGGCTGCGTTGAGCTCTCGTTGATCTATCGATGCGTCTGATATATCTGAAGAGTCGTCTCGTGTCCCGTCCGATTTTCTGACCTCCTGTGGGATAAGAGGAGGCAGACCAATGCGCTCCTCCGCTGGTGCCAGAGCATGCGCAATGAAAGGGACGGCTATTGCGTCGTAGTGCATCTTCTCGATATTCTCTTGCGCTCCGAGACGCGCAGCTTGCGCAAGTAGGTGCTCTCCTCCGTCGTCATCACTTGCATCATCCAGTTCCGCGTCAGCACGCGCTGCCAAGGCCCGCCTAGCGACCGTCGGCGATATAATCTGCGAAACCACCTCGTCTTCCTCCAGATCGCTTTCCATGTCCCTCTCATCCTCTCTGCTCACAAAGCTGTCGCCGCTTTCTAGATGTCGAATGTACTCCTGATGCAACCTCGCAGCAGCAAGTCGCTCCATCGCCAATACCTGCTCAGGGGTCTGTTTGCCCTTTCCCTTGCGTCTGCTCGCCGGTCTGTGCGCTTCGCCAGACAATTGCGCTGCTCTGTCATTTGCCTCTTCAAGCGCTCTTTCACGCGCTTTGATCCTCCAGTGAGCAGATTCCGCTTCTGGCAAGCCATCAGCGCGAAGCTGTTGTCTGTTGGAGGCAGCATGCCAGCTTGGCAGCTCGCCGCGAGGCACGTATGTCAACAGACCGTTCTGGTGCATGCCCTCTAGGCGACCCCTTGGTTGCAGCCAAAAGTGTGCAATAGGTGGCCAGAGCAAAAAGCGCTTCCTACCCGAGAGCTGCCGGCGGCCAAGACTCGCATCAGCAAGCCTGCATCAAGCATGCAGCATTATAGCGGTCGTGTTGCGCGTGTTCGACTCACTAGCATGTAGAGATTATCGTGATGGTCATGATGCAGCCCAGAACTTTTTGGCTTAGTACAAGCGCCCATCCACATGTTGCACTGCTGCAAGACCAGCCCTCCCAAGATCTTGGGTACAGGCAGTGGTAGACCACCGGCCAGTGCGGACATTGGAGGTGGCAAGGGCGGATCCAAGTCTTCGACGGATTCATCCGCAGTGTAAGAGGTCGGCGCAGACGAGCTTGAGCTCGACGAGGTCTCGGAGGCAGGTGACAAGGTCTGAAGTGCTGACGAAGCTGAGGTGTGCGATGTCCGCCTGGCGGGGACAGAATCTGTGCGATTGCGCACTTTGGTCGGCCGATGGTCGACATCACTATCACGCTCTGACTCAGCACTGGCCGACCTGGGCCGTTTGAGCCTGCCGGCTCGCTCATCATTGCTAGACTTTGCTCCTAGCAATCGCGTTGCATCCTCTACTGCCTCTCGGCTTGCCTCATCCTCCTCGTCCTGGCTATCCTCGCCATCTTCGCTCTCGTACTGGGTGGTGAGATAGTAGCTGCCTGCTAGCTCCGGGTCCTGCATCATGTCCAGGTACAATCCAAACGGCACCTTTTGTCTCTCCATCGCGGTGCCGAATCTGCCGGAAGGATGGATGGGCTCAATCTTGACTCTGCTGGACCCAGCTCTCTGCTTGAGTCTGTCCAAGTCAGTCTGTGATGGACAGGCCTTGCGATGTCAGCATCGCCCGTCGTCCTCCGTGCTGGGCGGCGTGGTGCGGTTGGGCGCCTACTCACCCAATCGACAGCTTTGAATTCGGCATCCTGGATAGGCCCATCGATGACGCATGGTCTCCTCTGCGAAATGAAGCCTTCCCATAGCTGATCTGGTGAGATGCCAGCGGGCACGTGCGCCACCTCGTCTCCGGGATCCGGAACGTAGCCTGCATGATGGGCGACAGAGCGATACTACGCTGGATGAGTCAAGCTATCAAGAGCAGTAGAGGGGCAGGGCTTGGGAATACGCGCCTGCATGGCGACCCGCTCCGCTGGCCTACGTCCACTCACCTCTGTAATTGCGACGATGTTTGGGCTCATAAGTCCACGCTGACGGAGGATGGCGCTCTCCACGCCTCGGTTGCATCATGCCTGGCCGCTTTAGACGCTCAAATAAACCGACAGCGATCCAGCTGCAGTCTGGTGTCGCGTCTGAAGGTAGGGTGACCGTGGCTGTGCAAGTTTGTCGTGACGATCTCTTGAGCTTCCAACGGGCCTGCGAGGGAGGGCCAGCGGGTTCGATGCTTGCCACCTGGGAGCAGGTGATAGGTCAAAGCAGCGGGCCGCGTATCAGCTTGAGAGTCGTGTCAACATCGGTGATCGTGATGGACGGGTTGGTTGCGCATTCCCAGATTCACTCACCTTTCGTGACTTCGTTGTGGAGGCGACAACAGCTCAAGGCTCAAAAGTGCTCCCGGCGCGTGGATGCGTGCACGCGGCGCGCGTACTGATCTTGAGTGATTTTGGATGCTCATTAGAATACAATCTTGAATCAAGTACCACAAATATTGTGATGTGTGACATTCGATTCTCTCACAACTGAATCTTGAACACTTCATTTGTCTCCCCGCGATTACTGAGCGGAACTCCAAATCTTGAATTGCGATCGACTGTCGCGTACATACAGAATGAATCGAGAATTCGACCATGCAGATACAAAGGTCAAGGGGGGCTCTGTCGAAATCAAAATTGTTGAATCGGCGCACGCAGCACGAACCCTGCAGCGTGCATGACCATCACGCGGCGCGTTCACGGCTGATGAGCAAACGACATCAGGTTTCAAGCGTGCCGAATCTGGACGCTATGGCAAAGCCACGTGGTTGGCACTCCCGCGGCTCGAGAGCCTGCGGATTTCTCTTGCTTCTTGGCCGTGCATACATGCTGCAGAGCTAGAAACCAGTCACGACTTCGGTCAAACGGGCCTTGCCTTCACATTCAACACCACAAAACAATCACCTAGCATCAAGTTCTGCTCTGCTTTGCACAACGGGACCAGAGGTTTCAACCGTGTAGGCTCTTCTCCACACCGAATCCATCATTCTAACGTCACCGACTGAACTTTGCAAAAAAAAAAAAAAATGGTGAGCAATCGGGGCGAGTCGAGGCTTTTCATCTCGCCCAGCGACACGTTAGCTGATCCACTGCCTTCCCCCCGCTCTCTATCTGTTCACCTCTAGCCTGCTGCACCCAAGGTCGCTAAGAAGAGCGTGGGCGAGAAGTACTTTGTTGTGCGTACATGCGCGCATTGCGGTCGGCCGCAGAATGTTCGCACGTTGACCAGGGCAGGGCTCACACGTGTAAATCTATTCTGCCCTCACAGGACTTCTCCGGCCCCGCTGCTGACGGCATTCTGGACGCTGCTACTTTCGAGAAGTACCTTCACGATCGCATCAAGGTGGAGGGCAAGGCCGGACAGCTTGGAGATGTGGTCAAGGTGGCTCGTGAGGGCGAAGGCAAGATTTGGGTCACCACCACTATTCCCTTCTCCAAGCGTTACCTCAAGTACCTCACCAAGAGATACCTGAAGCGCAACCAGCTCCGTGACTGGCTCCGCGTTGTTGCTACCTCCAAGCAGGGCTTTGAGATCAAGGTGAGTCAATTGGCAAAGCTGGCGTTGCTGGCCTAGCGGATCGCGGGTTGTGTGGACCAGCTCTAGAGCACTCGCACATGGCCTAAGGTTGAATGGCTCGCATTTTTGGTTCACATCTTTGGGCCTTGCGTGCTGATCACTACTCTCTCCTTCTCGCGTTTCACAGTTCTTCAACGTGGCCGGTGTCGACGCCGACGAGGAGGAGTAAAATGGTGATCAATCTGCCCTAGCAATGTGATGTCTTCATCGTCTTGCAGCACCACGCTGTGAAGCTCGTCTTTCTGCTCATACTCGTGCTCACTCGGCTGGCTCTGTTCGATCCAAAGCCGCAAATGATTAGATACCTGCGGCAGCCCATTCTTTCGCACGTCATGGCATTTTGAATGTGCTGACCAAGCTTTGGTGGAAGACGTGAGAGAGATTGAGACGGATGGCGTACTGCAGTTCGTCCACTCATCAGACTCAAGCTCGCAAAATCACATTCAGATGGACGTTCGAGACACGTGGTGAAATGATTTCATCGCATTGCGATGCATTGATCACGTCGCTTTGGCTTTGGCTTTGACCTGCTCCTTGAGATCCTTTGCCTGGTCTTTGGCGTCCACTAGTGCGGCCCTGCCTTCATCTGCGATCGTCGGTCTTGAATCTGAATCGACGCAAATCATATGTGACAGGAACGTAAGGGCAGCGTGAGCGTGAGCTTGGGCGTTAGCAACGGCGGGTGCAAAGAGGATGAGTGCGCGTCGGTGCGTGCGTCTCGCACAGGAAGAGACTCGTGACTTTATTGCGCGCCGAGCTCGGTCATCAGCGTGGCTACGCAATGACCGAGCATGACAAGTTCTTTCGAGCTCCATTCATCCCGCACCCTTTTCTTTCCAGAGGCGCGCTCCATCTTTGCTAGCACCACCAACTCCACCAACTCGCTGCTAAACTCCACTCACCCTTGTTAAACACACCCTTGTCCATCTCTTTCGGATCCGCTACCGCACCTCCCGCACCGCCGTGAGCAGCAGCATTAGCGATATCAGGATCAAAAGTGCCTCTAGAGTCGACTTTGAATTGTTGCAGGGGTGGTCCGAAGAGGTACGCGCCCGATACTACGCCTACCAGCGTTGCCAACAAGATGGGCGTCACCCTTTGTTGAAACGACATGGTCCGCGCACACAAGGGTCACCTGTCCTTATGGAGCGAATGCGCGGAGGGGTCGAGGGATGAGGATTGCGCGCTTTCAAAATGTGGCGCCCTTCGATTGCGTTTGCTGACTCGCAGATCGCGAATGAGGATAACGTAATCGGGCGTGCAACACCGGCGATTGCGAAGGTCGTTCCTGGCCGGACAAGGAGGAGGGACGTGGGTAGCCAATCTCGGGCGCCCTTTTGGCGGACTAGGCACTCTACAGTGATGCTGTATGAGCGCTCTTTGCACGCTTCCTTGGATTGTTTTGAGAATCGAGATGTCCCGTGGGCAACAGTGAGGCAGTGATTGTGATTGATGAAGTGAGCGAGCGCCTTGTCACATGCTAGCTGCTGGTGTCAACTTGCGATCTGACTCGGCTGCTTGTCGAGCTGACTCAACCAGGACGGGGGGGCAGGTGGAGGGGCACGTGACCGGCCCCAACATGCGGCGCACTTGCACGCAATTCGAGACGCTTCATCACCACCACGGCAGCTAGCGCAAAATCAAGGATCATCCGCAGCAGAAATAATGACATTCATTGATTCTCGATCGACTCGTGCAGCTAAAGAGGGCACGCAAAAGCACAGGCGAGGTAGAAGCTAGAATTACTTTCTCGAATACGAGAATGGGCCTGAAATGGAGATATGGCGGCGGCGCTGGGGAAGACTTCGGAATCGCGAGGATTGGCACGCGCGACACATTGGCAAGACAGTCACGAGGGTGGAGGTGGGAGAAAAATGTCCGTAGTGGTTGAAGTAGACCACAGCGAGTGATTGAATGAGTGAATGGATGCGATCGGATCGGCAATGCGGCCTGGAAAAGGCTCGCCGCCCACTGCGAATGCGGATCTGTGAGATGATTGAAATGCGGCCAGCGCCAGGGGCTTGCTTGGGTAAGAGACTTGATTGTTCGGCCACGGCACCTTATAATGATCTAGTTGTGACTTGTCAGGCTCCAGTTGTCGATGGGGACATTGGGTGGCTCCTTATTGTCAGCATCGTTCAAGTTCGACCACTGAGGCTGCCACAAGACCTGGATCGACTGAGCATCACCGCCATCCAGAGTGATTGTCAGAACGGATCTCCCGGGCATGGGCTGATCACCTTGCTCTCCGGGTGTAGTGTTTGGATCTGTGCCGTAGATACGCGTGGGCTTTTGCTCCGGGTTGCCACTGAACGAAGTGACGCCGAAAGTGGCGGTGGCAGGCGAAAGAATTTTGACGATCATCGTCTGCTTGTCGAAGCGGGCGATGAGCGGAGCAGGTCCAGCGACAGTGTTGCCTCCCCATGCGTTGGGGTCAGTAGCGTTCTCCAAGGTGAGAGTTGCGGTGCGGCGATCAGCGGACAACGTGATAGTCGCATTGGTCTGAACGCGCCACTGGATCTTTTGGATGCCGCCGTTCGCGCCAATGTCATCCTGGACCAGGACTTGCCGTCTGCCGTTGAGCATCCGGATTCCTCGCTTGACGGTGTTAGCCGGGAATGCTGAGCCGGAGTTGTTGTATGCAGAGCTCATGTCCGTGGAAAAGTATGCGACATCGTTGGTGCCCGGCGTGTAGCTGACGCTGTTGGACTGCTTGGCACCAGTAGTCTCAAACTTGTTGATGGGTTGGCAATCTGGCATCTGGTTCTGGTCATTGATCACCAGCGTATTCTGACCCTGAGTGGCCTTCTTGTAGTACCCCCAACGCAGTGCGGTAGGCACCTCCTCCCTGAAGTAGTCGGTGGAGAGGTAGTTGCCATTGCCAAGCTCACCGGCCCATCTGGTGCCAAGTGCGTCGATGACAAAAGTACCAGCATCGAGATCTCCATGAGTCTGGTGTCCAGTCAAATTGGACGACTTGATGGCCGCATACATGCCAGTAAAGTCAGTCCACGAAGAGCGCATCGAAGCCCAAGAACCGCGTCCGTCGTCAAAGTACCTGTCAAGGTCCAGGCCGTTCCAGAATGCTCCCTTGGTGGACGGATCGTACCAGAACATGCTGAGCGGATCAGCTGCATCTGCGCGGTCGCGTTGGAAGAGGGCGTAGAGAGGATTGTTTGACAAGGCGCCCCACAGGAACATGCCGTTGGCATTGGTCGAGAATTTGTTGGGTCCATTGTCACCGTAGAAGAACATGGAAGCCATGCCCGAGACGTACATGTGGAAGTAACCCGTCTTGGACCAGTTGTTGTTGGCAGCCATCAAGCCCTGATCGCTTCCTGTAGCAGTAGTCAGGGCTGAGACTGCACGAGCCTGAGCATTGGTACCGAAATACCAGTAGTTGGGCGTCTCGCTCCAAGTTCCATCCGAGTATACACCCTGCATGCAATTCTGCTTCATGTTGTCGAGCACATTGTTGAAAGTCTGGGACACCAAGGTCGAGATCGTAGTGTTGCCACCATCGTCGCCAGCAATGGCAAGAGCTCCAAGCAGCAAGCCAGAGTTAGAAACGCAATTCCAATTGCCGAATCCATTCGCGGGCAAATGCCACCAACCGTAGTTACCGCCATCGTTCTGTCCAGTGTAAGCATTGTTACCGAAGACGAGGCCATTGGTTGCTATCGCGTTGCGGAGAGTGGCTCTTTGGTCGTCCGTCCAAGCATCGTAGAGCCAGTCGTAACCGATGGCAAATGCAGTAGTGGCCTCAGCAAGATCCAAGAAGTGGTTGGCATTCCAAATCGAGCCATCGGGGGCGCCTTCACCCCAAGGGTATTGAGGATTGTTGCCTGCAGCCGTGTTCAGCTCGGACCAAGCGCGGTCACGCCACTTGGTGTCGCCGCCACTCATGTGGTATGCGTAGGCAAAAGTCTTGACGCGCTGCTGAAGCTCACGAGCAGGGTCAAGGATACCACTTCCTGTGAAACCACCGTCAATGCTGTAGTTGGTAGGAGGAATAGGGAACCACGCGGTGGCGTTCTTGAAAATCGTGTCGTTCCAGACGGTCAGGTAAGCATCCTTGCTGATCTTGCCGGGGAGGTCTTGCCATTGTTGCTGGGTGGTCATGATACGAGGATGAGAGCGCAGATTTTGAAGGGAGCCGCCATTGAAGGAGTCAACCTGGTAGCCGTTCGACGCCGAGGGAGAGCCCTGAGTGGCGCTGCTCTTGAAGGAGGGATTACCATACGCATCGGTACCGTGATATTGAAGGTCGTCCACGTTGCCACTGGCGGCAGCAGCACTGGCTCTTTGCAGAACATCGCTGCCGACGAAGGAGGGCTTGTCGCCGCTGGTAGAATCAGTCCATCCAGACTTGGAAGAGCTCGCCGAACTATCCTTATTGGCAGCGCGCGAACCGAAGATGCCGCCGAGAACAGCACCAGCAATGATGAGGAGCAGGAGCGGAATACCGATCTTGATCCATTTGCTCACACCCTTCTTCTGCGGTGCGTACGAGTATTTTTGGGCTGCGGCAGAGGCTGGAGCGCCGCGCGATTGCGGGAGGAGGGAATCGTCTTCGTGAGCCATTGTGATCTCGATAAGGTAGGGCGGGCTACAATGGAGATACGGTGAAGAAGATTGCTGTGGGCAACCCGAGTGAAAAGGAGTTTGCGAGGCTGTACATCCCACAAGAGCTGCCAAAAGACAGGCGCGCAATCGTTTTGGGCCAAGCAACTATACTCCGCACATTCTCGATGAGCCGAACATGTCGAACGGCCGAACGGCAGGCACAATGAGGCGGCCTATCCTCAGCGAATCTCGAATTGGCCCACCAACCTCCCCAAGCATGCTCTGCTGACATTTCCCGCCAGCAGTCAGGTTGCCGGCGCCCTTGATGAGGTGCTGTATATGCTCGCCTACTGAAAAGGGTTCAAGGTCATGCGATGCGATGACGACCTTGCAAAGGCCGTGCCGCTGGTGCCAGCCCGTTGAACTGGAAGGCCGCGAACGGAGGAGAACTCCGTCGCCATCAACCTTGCCCTTTGCGAGCAGACTGTCGCAATGCCTTGGCAGGTGCCAGTCCCTGCAGCTCCGTGGCTTTGCATGACCAAGTCGTGCATGAGACGAGCGGAAGTTCAAGACCCGCTCGGATCACGGGCATGCATGCACTGCAGGTGCAGCTGCTAGAAGCGCCGCGGCGTGGGTGTCGCGCCCAGCCGCGCGGTCTGCATCGCGCATGATGCATTCGACGCTGCGCGCCTGCATGGCTCGGCACAGCGTGCGTGCGCCCGACAGGGGCTGCCCTGTCACGCCGGCCGGCCGCCAAACTTTGCGATTTGAAACCGAATCTGAATAAAATCAGGCGACATGTGGCAAACTTGGCCACCCAGTCCCGCCCAGCGAACATCCGAAGGGTGATCAGGGTTGAAGGGACTCGCCTAAGAGTGTGAGGCCCGTCGACCCACACCTGACTAGCGAACGATGTGCTTATCTGACCAGCACAGAGGCCAATCGCGGCACCATCTTGCCTCTGAATCGGCGGACTTGCGCGGCCGCTGAAAAGCTTGGCTCTGCACATGAAGTCGGCGGGCCAAGCCTAAATGCTTCCGTTGATGGATTGAGAGCATATGGCCACGCTGCTCAAGCGGTCAAGCATAGGGCGCTGTAGATGATCCGCTCCGGTCGCCTGGGTACAAGATTTATCTCATCTTTGGAGCCAGAGCAGCGGCCAGAATGACCTCGAAGCGCTGGGCTTCGATTCCCAAAGCCGATAGGCTGGGTCGAATTCCAGGCTGACTTTGAGCCTTGCCCTAGAGATGACACCACCACTCTCCACTGAAGCTGGCTCTCTTCTTGTCCACGTGCACCATCCCAGTCGTCTATGCTGCGAACAAGTCGTACTCACCTGCATTTGCGCGAGGTTGACCGGGTGTGGGAGGAAAGTCGCTGTAAGGAGTGTTGAGCGCAGCGCTGGACTGGCCGTAGTGGTGCGCCTCGGAAGGAGCAAACATGCTGGATTGCTGATCATCGTACTTGTAGCCTCCTCCATAGCTGCCTCCAGATACGCCTCCACCGTAGCCGCCTTGCGAGTGACCGTATGTTCCCTGAGAGCCGTGGCCGTAGCCATCAGAGCCATGTTGCTGCTGCTGATAGTAGGCGCTGGCTTGCTCGTACTGGGACGCATTGGAGTGAGCATAAGGCTGCTCAGGCGGTCTGGCGTACGACATGGTGTTCTAAATGCGAGGCAGTCGAGATGCTGTGGCAGAAGAGCGAAGGGAGGGGGCGGGTCGAAAAGACCAAAATGGCAATAGGAGACGGCCCTGCGCGACGAAGAGTTGCCCTGGGAGTGTGATGATGTCGCTAGTCGCGACGCTCTGTTGCGCGCAGTGTGGAGCTGAGAGAGGAGGTAAGACACAACGAAGAGATGGTGAAAGCTGACAGCGAAGCGGTGGAAGATGGAAGGAGTGACGAAACACGAACGCGTGCGAAATGCAGCATCAACCTGTTTCTCAGACCATCAAGACCGAGCTGCAACGGTCGGTCATTCAATCATTCAATCTTGAATTCATTTCGCACTGCACGGCCGTTCATTGTTGTGGTGACCTGCTGTCTGCCTTCATTGGTTCCAATTCGCGACAGGCGCTAGCGCGCAAGATTTCCACGCAGCAGCGGCTATCGCAAGGCAGAGAGGAGATGTGCAGGAAACGAGCGGCATCACGGCAGCCATCAGGGAACCAAAAGTGTCATTCACGACTTGTTACAATCGATTTTGCACCTTTGAATCGAAGGTAGCGCGATTAATCAGAAATTGAATGCAACACGGCTGACCGCCGATAGGGCGCAATAAGCGTGCATCTGCTCAGTGCTGGTAAAAGCAGCAGAAGCTGATGCCGACGCGACGCGGAGGCGCGTTCGGCCCCAGAAGAGAGCTCGTAAGGGGTGCTGCATGGGCTTTTGCTGCACGACGTGGACACAGGAGGTGCATGGTTGAAATGCTCTACATGCATGTAATCCTTGTTCAGCCTGCGCCGCGGGAAACACCATGGCATGCAGCAGCATTGCTGCTGGATGCGCGCTCGTGAGACTCATGAGAATCAGGTGCATCGACGAGACAAGTCAGGTATGTAGGTGCTGTATACATGCCAGGGAACAGCCATGGCATGCATGCATGCTCGGCAGGTCGACAGCTTCTAAGCTCAAAACTAAAAAGACTCGTGACTGCTCAAGACGCCCAATTTCAGTCTTGCATGTCAATCGTGAATACTCTCCTGAACAGCGTCGCTTTGGCGATGCATGTCAAGGATTCGCATGGCAACTTGGGCTGGGCTGGGCTATTCACGGTTGCTCGAGACTCGTGCCTCTTTCTTGGCTGCGAACCAATCCATGCGCTCTCGCGGGCGCCGGAGGGTGAATTCTTCCCGAGTCAGCTACCGCGGTGGCTGTCGCAATCTGAATGCAGATGCGAGGAGATCAAGGCCTCATCAAGCTGATGCTGCAGCAGCGGGGAGCTCTTTGCGCGCAGACTTGGAACAAATCGAGATGGTTTGAGCGCTCCTTGAGACGGCGGGATCGAGGCGTTCAAAATTCACATTCAAGATTCAGGTTCAACATTGAATTTCAATTCTTCAATTGGCTTCATGGTTCGCGTGAAAGTGTTTTTGATCGCTCCCCTTGGACAGTCTTGACTCTCGAGTCTCATCAGATTTCTTATGCAAGAGAGAGAATGTGAAAGCGAGGGATTCACATCGCCTCTGAAGAGTGGCGCAGATCGCTGACGGTACAGGTTGCCGGTGGCTTGGGCGTAAGCAGCGCTTGTGAGGTTGGTCCTTCCATTCAAAATTGAGCTTTACTGAGCCTCGACGTTTGACGACCAAGAGAGTTTTGTGCGAAAGCGCGTCGTGCGTCAAAAGGAAGTTGAGTTACGAGTCAGATGCATGAGTCTTGCTTGAGTCTTGGGTCTTGAGTCGCAAGTCTTCAGTCATAGTCAAAATCTTGAATTCAAATTCTGATTGCCAGATTCGTACCACGTGACTCGCACCGGTTCTCGTCCGTCGTCCGACGCCAAATTTGGGGCCGACGCAGCGAAGGAGGGGCTCCACTTGCTCAGGCCGATCCGCACAAGGTCTGCCGTTGCTCACCTTTCCATCATCTCCACCATATACAAGGCTATCAGCTATCAGCATCCTGGTGATTTCATCAGTCTCGAACGAATAGCGAAATAGAACAACATGTTCGGAGGTACGTTCATGGTCAAATGAGCACGCTTGTGGCGCAGTCATATTTGCATTACTCCACGTTTCCACCCGCACTTGGACTATGCTCATGACATTCAATCTTGCTTCGTCCAGGTCCTCCACCCCCACCAAGCGCGCTGGAAGTGGCAGCAATGAGAGCGCGTGCGCATGCAACCCTCAAAAGCTTCGTCACATACGCCGCCGGCCTCTATGCCAGTGAGTGTTCTCGACGTGATGTGATGCCGCCCTCGGATTCTGGGCATGGAGGTAGCTGAGCAGGCGACAAATTCACCCCACATAGCTCCCTACATCTTTCACTACATCGGCAAGCTCTTGCGCTAGATCAATGAATGGCGCGCTCAACGAAGACGAAGAATAGGATTCGGCTTTCCGTTGCGCATGCGACAAGGAACACGCATACAGTGGAGAGCTGAGATGCCAGGCTCGACGTTATCATGCTTGGTCGTTTGGTGAGAACGGAGGACGAGCAAAGGGAGGAAGACGTGGGCGAAGGACAAAGACGACGTAGCAGTTGCAAATGCAGAAAGCGATTCCCTCTTCAATCAAATCCGATCAGGCTTCCAATTGATGCTCCTCGCTCTCGTTCGCCATGGCGTGCTTCACAGTCACAACGAAGCAGGGCAAAAGGGAGGCTAGTCACCTCGCATTTGGCTTTTGCCGAGGCGTCAGCGGGCATTCTGCATGGCGAGATAATAGGGAAAGGGAAAACAAACCGGGACAGATTTGGACGTCTGGGGCAGTTGATCGGCCGCTTGACTCACATGAGCGAAGAGTTTTAACTTGCCTCGTCGAAATTTTGCCTTTCCTCTGGCCGTGAACAGAGCAGGGTGTGAAAGGGACTTCGACGCAGGCGTGAGCCTTTTCTGTCGATGACCGCGAAGCCGAAGGGGGTAAAGTTCGACTCAGGTGTGCTTGTTGGACATTGCAGCCCGCACGGCACGGGAAGGATTGTCGTAGCCAGAAACGTCTCTCACTGATCAGGAATTGAATCGCGCAACATTCAAAGGGACGATATTATCAGACGAAAGTTTGATACGATCCGATTCAAGGCGAAATAGACGCAAGTGCGGTTCCAAGAGGCGCGCTTGTAGACGCTGAAGAGGTATTGGCGACGAGTCGAGTTTCGTCAAAGTGGAAAGCAAAGGCATCAGAAGCTGTACAGATGGGAGGGGGCTGTTGAAAGTGTCCAGAAGCGACTGCGGCAGAATGCAGCAAGCGCACAGGCTCCATTGCGGTTGGAACAGACTTCGTACGCGTCCACTAACCTCGAGCAAAGTGTGGGCTCTAGGCAGTGTAGATGTTGTTGGTCTTGACGCGCGTGTACCAGTGCTCGATTCTGCTCTTGAACCGCCAAGTGAGGAAGTAGGCGTAGACCTGCAATGCGAAGTCGGCCAGCAAGCTGAGCACAAAGGCAACGTAGAGGCTGTGAAATCCAGCCGAGCACATTCCGGTTGGCATGCCTTTGGAGTCTGCCGAACCGTAGCCCGCTTCCACCGACTCGCCCCACAACTGCCCGCCATTGTTGCACTCCCAGATGATCTTGTTCTGCTGACGATCCAGCTGGAAGATCATAAAGCCGGCGCGAACAGCGGTGACAATCAGCAGCAACGGCCACAAGAAGAAGCATAGTCGGCTGAACATGTAGGAGTTGTTGGAGAAGCCGATGATGCAGATGATGCAGATGGACATGATCGCCATTCCGATACCACCGTAAATTTGCCATCTATATAGCATCCGCAATGGTGGCGAAGTCAGCTTAGACTCGTCTGGCCCATTCGTTCTAGTTGACTCACTCAGGGAAGTTGAAGAAGAGGTACATTCCAGAGTTGAAGAGCAAGATAGAGCCAGCCAAGTTGTATAGCTGCACCGCCACCACCAAGTCGTTGAGTGCGTCAGCGCACGCTCGCCAGAGGAGAATACATTTTACAGAAGACTCACAGCAATGAACACGAAGAGAGCAATACCTCCCGCCCCTGTATGCAGATGGTGTGCGTCAAGGTTAAATCAGCGACGAATGCCTCTTCAAGTGTGTGGCAGTTACTCCGTAGAGCCCCGTTATGGCCCAACGACTGTTCTTTCTATCGCGAGCTTGATATAATTAGGGTCCACACGTCCATTGTCCAATCTTCCACGTGCAGGCTGACACAAGGCTCGAGATCTACGTCCTCGTGCGCTTCCACCATGTTCCACCTGCCGCAAGGCATCGCCACTGCTACTCTCGTCTTTGTCGAGTATCAGGCTTTCCCACCATCTCGACATCATTCCATCCACATGAGCGAGGGCCCGTGGCTGCCGCATTATTCGCGTTCCTGACATGCGTCTACTCACGTAACGGGAAGACTGAGGCGTTCAGAATGCATGGCCGTCAGTGACTGCTGTGGTGGACAGTGCCTCCGCTTTGGGATCCTGGACTCACTAAGCAAACAATTGTCACACCTGTGAGCGGAGGAAAGGGCGATAAAGGCGCAAATGCGGTCAGTCCGTCGGTTCAGCGGGCGATGCTGCGATTTTGTGGACGCAGCCCCTCGACGCACCACATGGTTGCCAAAGTGACGCTTTGCTGAGTGTTATGCTGCGGTGCTGCTCAGCCGAGGCTCCAGGTTGTCTCGTCGCGCCGCTGAGTAATGTAGGCCCACAAACGAATGCTTCGTCAATTTCCCTAAACAAGGAGTATTGAACAGGTCGTGAAAGAGCACGTTAGAGTACTCTGGGTGCGTCAGATGTCGTGTCGTAGATACGTGACAAGCTCGTGAGATATCGTGAGATGGTGGGTCGTAAAAGGACTTGAGAGGGGAAAGGGGGGACGTTGGGTGGGTGTGGGGTGTGGTGAAGGTCGGAACTACGCGTGGATTGTTCGTCCTGATCGATGAATGTATTCACTTCACGTTCATTGCCGTCGTCCATCGCCCGTCATCCCACCCGCCGCCGACGCCAGACGCCAGGGTCGACCTCTCTGGTGGGATGCACGCCTGCTGCCTGCAGCGCTTCCATCCATCCATCCATCCTACCAAAGGCGCCCGAGGGCCCACCCTTCATGCTGCGAGTCAAAAGTTGTGAGTCGTGACTCCTCCTTCCGGTACAGCACGAAATCGCGCGCACGTTTGCCCACCGCGCTTGTAGCGGGCGAGCCCAAATTTCGGGTTCGAGCCCCTGAGTGTGACCTAGCTTGCGCCAAATGAGCAGCGCACTCGACCACTCACTCTGACTGCTGCTGCTGCTGCTGCTGCTGCACACACGCATCGCTGCTGCGCGTCATCGGCGCACGCTAAAGGGGGAGGCGGCAAAAGGTGAGCTCACGTGAGTGATCCTGTGCATAAGACTCACGTGATCGTCGAAGGTGCCAAGCGTGCCGCACGCTCGAATCTTGAATCCAACCCCGCGTAATCGTGAATTTGCGAGGACGTCGTTCCAGACGTTCAAGGTTCGCAGCAAGGCCAGGCAAAAGCGGGCAACATTTACATTCACGTTTCTCGACGTGCTCGCCGTGCTGCATCGTCAATCTCTCGAGTCAAGCGACTCAGCAAAGTAATCAACAACCCCATCCCCTCAAACGCTCTCGTATTGCTGCTGACGTATCGCTATCCCACGCCTGCTGCTGAAAGCGGTGCTCATGGGAAACAACAATGTCCGCAACGCAAGCGAGAGAACAATCTCGCAGCGCGTCCAGAAATGACAGAATGAGCGACGAGGAGGGACGATCAGATGGCTCGTCGCTCTCCATGCCACCCGAGGATGAGGAGAGCGTGGATGGAGAAGGAGAAGAAGGAGATGAGAACGACAAGGACGAGGTGGATGAGGCCATGGAAGTGGAGGACGGCGAACCGGATGAGGAGGACGATGCAAGAGAAAACGGCAGGGCGGCAATGATTTCGGATGATGACGAAGACTCCGCGAGTTCCGCTCCGCAGCGTCCTCGCACAATTCGGCGAGAGAAGAGAGTGGTGAGCACTCCGGCGGATACGCCTACTCCTCGCACGCAGAGCGGCAGACCTGCTCGAGCGGCTGTTCGGAAGCCTGTCATCGACTCTGGTGACTATGGTGAAGATGATGACGAGGAAGAAGAGGAGCAGGAGGAGGAAGAAGAGGAAGAGGAGGTGCTGTTGGAAGAGGAAGACGAAGAGGATCAAGACGGCGAGGAAGACGAATTAGAGGATGACATGGCGGCGGACAGCCCTGTCCCTTCACGCCAATCCAAGTCCAAAGCGGATGCTTCCAAGCAGGATGTGCAGCAAAGCGGTGCAAGTAAGGCTCTCCGCATTAGACTCAAGATGAGCCCCTCCAGACCCGCAAGCACGGCCTCAAGCGGTGCCAAACCCAAGACGAAATCGTCGAGCAGCAGCAGTGGAGGCTCCAAGCTGCGTTTCAAAGCTGGCAAAGAAGCGGATCCCAAGAAGCGCAAGCGTGGTAAGTACACGTCTGAACGATCTAGCCAAAGCTCCACTAGCGTCTACCTTCAGCCTATGCTTACACCTCCATTCATGCGCTTCGACAGATGCAGAGTCAGGATCGGAGTCCGACTTTGATACCTCCATCGCAGGCTTGGGCGACGGACTCCCAAAGACCGCCCGCCAGCTGGCCAGAGCGAATGCCCAAAAAGCAGCGCAAGCGGAGGCCGGGGCGGAAGGCCGAGAAGGAAGCTGGACTCCTCCTCCTGAACTCGGCGGGGAGCCTGCAGAAGAATTGATGAGCTTGCCGATGGGTAAGTAGTCTGTCGGCAATATGCCTTGCTGCGTTGGGAGAGCGCTCACAAACGTCTTCGTCCGATACAATGCCACGTTGGCAGAGGATGAGAATCATCCTTTGAGAAAAAGAAGAACTGAAGCAGAGGAAGCGCTCCGAAAGAGCGAGATCAATCGCAGAAGAAAGAATCAGAGCGAGCGGAAGCTCGAGGATGAAAAGATTGAGGTCAGTGACGGCCCCACTCACGAACTCGTGTGATGTAGCGCTGTAGAAGCTGAACCAATTGTTCTGCACCGTACGTTCCCAGACCATCAATCGCCTTTTGAAGCGTCAAGTAGCTCGCAATGCTAGCTCTAAAGACGAAGAAGACCCTGATGACACAGGCGCAAATGCAGGTTCAAGATCCGGTCTGCGAACGCCTGCGGAACGCAAAGATGAGCCTACACAGATGTTTAGGACAGTCATTGGCTACACTCGTACGCTTGTGGGCGTGCCGCTGCCTGCTCAGTCCCAGCAAGAGAGCCCGTATCAGAAGCGATGGAACGAAGTCTTCCCCGACTTGGGCGTCAAGAGGGACCATGCTCAAATACAACAAGCGACGGAGACGAACACTTTGTCAACAGCTGCATGAATTGCACGTTGCGTTGCTTCTTGGCATAAAGATGCTCTCAGGTAATATCAGATGGATGCAGACGAGACTAGCTCCTCGCCTAGTGATGGTATGGAGGAGTAACTTCAGACACGAGCTGGTTTGCCTTCTCCACGGCATCCAGCACATCTTGAGGCAGAGGACCCTTCTCAAAGTCGAGCAGATTCTGCTCGATATGCTTCAAGCTCGACGCGCCAATGATGCTGGAGGTGCATGTCGAACGAACATTAAGCCAGGTCAGCACGGGTTCCTGCGTCTGAAGAATGAAGACCAGCATCGATCTGGACTCACATTGCGTCTCCATGGTCGGGCGTCAGCTTGGAGTGGTGCTGCATCCAGCGCAGGGCCACCTCGGCCAAGGAAAAGTTGTGCTTGTCCGCGGCGGGTCGCAGAACTTCCAACGCATCAAAGAAGGGCTTCTTGAAGTATCGCTTCCGGTACATCTCTCCCTGCTTGGTGTTGGCATCGAAGCGAGACCCCTTTTCGATCTTGTGCTCCTGACTCTCTTTGTCATCGCTGTCCTCCCACTTCAGGTTTCCAGTGTAGAGCCCACCGCCCAGTGGATTGAAAGCGTAGACTGTACAACATCAAAGCGATAGGCGCTCATGCTTGTCACAATCAGATTGTGCGTTGGCAGCTGCCACGACATACTCACAGGCAATACCATGCTTGCGCAACACAGGGAATAGCGGCTGTTCTGGCGAACGAACAACAGAGTTGTAGATGCCCTGCGAATAGAAATAGAGAGTCAGATTGAAGCGTTCTTCACACGTCAGCAAGGGTAAACATGCGAGGCGCATCACTCACCTGGTACACGCTGGGCTTGACGAACCCATTCTTTTCGCAAATGGCAATGATCTCCTCGACCTCTTGCGCGGTGTAGTTGGAGATACCGAGCCTTTTGAATTTGCCCGCTTTGTACTCTTCGTTCAACGCACCTAGCGTCTCGGCGAAGGGAACATCGCGGTCTGGACTGTGCAGGTAGTATAGGTCGACACAATCTGTTTGAAGAGCTTTGAGCGAGTCTGCCAGGCAACGATGGCTGAGTGATCGGGGCGTCAGAGGAAAGGTATGGGCTGTCAGCATTCACGTGACTGCCCCGCTAGCACACTTTGACATCGCTGCTCCGCGACTGCTGCGCTCACACCTCTGGCGCCGTGTGGTCGTAAGCTGCGCCATCCTTGTGCAAAGGTCGACGTCTGGAAGGAAAGTTTTTCGTAGCGATTTGAAAATGGGAAGAAGCCTTCAATCGACCCAGGTTCTCCTCGCTGGTGCCGTTGCCATACACGCGCGCAGTGTCCACCTCCTTGTGTCCGTGCTTTGCGAAGACGTCGAGAATGGCTTGTTGGTCCTGGAGGCCGTGCACCCGCGCTTGTTCTTGACCCGCGGCGCCGAATGTCATGGCGCCGAAAACGACTTTGACTCGGGTTTGAGATGACATTGTGAGATGTTCTTGGTGGGTCAAGAGGAGGTGATCGCTTCGAATGATTTGCGATGAGGAATGGCCAAGTTCAGCCGACGAGGGTGAGGCTCGGAAAGATCTTTGCTGGAAACGGATGGGGGCTGCGATGGTTGAGAACGTGACAGATGGGCTTAATGTATTCACCTTGTGCCCGCAAGGCCCCATTGTATGCGTTGCAAGAGCGATGAGGACTAAACGTCAGCTGACACCCTCCCCTCGACCCTCCGCTGTCGAACGCGACAAGACCTCAGAAGAGGAAGCTTGAGCTCACACCGTTGACTTCCTGGCGCCGCTCTCTCTCGCACACGCCTCCACTCTACAAAGGTGATCCATTGCGATCCACTGGCTGATAATTGCGAGGAATTGACGAGTTTGTGCCCATGCAGCATCTTGAATTCATTGTGAATGTTGACTGCGTGCAATTAAGAATAAGCCCCGGATGCCGCCCGGCCGATCGTTGCATGTGGAGGGCGATTTGATTGTTGCGCGGCGAATCCGGCCCCGAAGTCCGATAAAAGTCGAGAATAGTCAAGAGTTGGCTGCGTTTGCCGCGCGTGCTGCTGCCGTCGCGAGTCACAGTGTTGTTCTCGCGGGTGCGGCGCGCCACGCTTGTATGTTTGCAGCGCGCCTCAAGCAAGGGGGCGAGGCTGGAGACGCATCACGCGTCTAACGGACGACGGCTTCACCTGCTGGGCGTCGACGATCATCACCCACCGGCGTGCATGATGCCCATCATTCGCTTGACGCTTACGGCCTGCTGATCTGATCGTGTACAGCGCTCCATCGTTGATCAGGCACCGCTTTCGCTCGTGGGCGTACGCGCAAGATGTGGGAGCCAGGCGCACCCATGCAGATACGCAGCCCCAGCCCGCAGGCAATTTTGAACTCATGATTGCCTTTGCACGACAGGCAGACCCGTTCGGAACGCCACTTGAAACGGCCAGCACAGTCACGAGCACCACAACAGCTTCTTTCGCTCGCACTCATCGACCGTGACCGTGCCGAGGTGTCGGTCTACCGTTCGCCAGCGCCGAGAGACCACCTCCCTGCAGTCGACCGCGTACCGCCAAGCGCGAGCTGCCGCATGATGGTCAGCCAAAAGCTGTCTGTCGATCGCGTAGTCACCGAAGCATGATGAGGTCCACTGATGCGTTCTTGAGACAAGATGCGAACTAGGCACGCCGCTCCCCGCCTCCGGCTGTCCGAAAGCAAATCTTGGACTCGGGACGGCGTTGGTATGCAGACTGCACGAGGACAAACAAGATCTGGATGAGGTGCCGTCGCCCGTCGAGGCGAGCAGCGGTAGTGAGAGAGCCTCTTCACCTGTGACGCCTTGACCGCTGACCCTACCGGTCTACCTTCAGCAGGCATGTTGATGATCTCGCTCGACTCGAACAAGATGCGAACAATGCTTGAATGCGCTACAATGCAGTAGCATGCACACTAGACACTCAGCATCGGCAATCGTCAATGCTCTTGCCGTCTCGCACCCTTTAGCAAGCGCCGAGAGTCTGTTATTTGCGCACATACACGAGGTCGAGGATCACCATCGTCTTTATCCATGCCCACACCATTTCCTGACCTACTCTCTCACCACCTTCTCCGCCCTCTCGATCGCATTCGGTCTTCTTCGTTGTCCCTTGGTGCTCACTGCTCTTGCCCAACTCATCCGGTCTCTTCTTCTCATCCATATCCTCTTAGCCGCAGATCGACGAAGCCAATCACCTCGACCGACGTCGCCGCTTGCTCAAACTCATATCACGATCGACCAAGTCACGACACTCTTTCAACTCTTCACAAGCGCAGTATCCCCCCGACGACTTTTATGCATTGTAAGTCTGCTATATCCACACAAATCCAGGTCTTCTACGCCCAGACTGGCTCAACAGTCAGACAACCCGATCGCGCTCGCAGTGAACTTCCGATGGTCCAACCAAACGGGCCGTTATGGCTCCTCGACGCCAAGCACTTCTTCGACAATGTCTACTCCATTCATCCCCTCTCTCGTCGGTCAGCCACGGCAGGCACCGCGGCCAGTGCCTCGTCAAATACCACCCTTAGTGGCGCGTCTACATCCAGCTTGGCCATTCTCGCCGTCGGCTTGGGAGCCTTGATAGTTGCGCTTGGCCTGGGAGGCTACGTTCTCATTCAGTACCGCAAGCGAAGATTAGCACGTGGCACTACCAAGAGCAAGTTGAATGTTAGCGCGCCGACACTAAAGTTTGCGCCTCGTCATGCCGTAGCCAACGGCGTGGATCTCAAGGACATCTCAGAGAACCAGCGAAGGGTGATTGGAACGCGTGGGGTCAGACCGATGGCTGTTGTAGAGCCACTTGGTCCCTCGGTGCATGGGCCAGACAGCAGTCGGTGGGATTTGGGAGGATACTCTACCAGTACCAGCTCCGGCGGCAGCTCGGGTCCTATGCCGGCCAGCTCGTCCGCAGGGACACGCCGACGCTCACACAGCGCACCGCGCCGTAGAGACACGGAGAGCCCTCCGCCCGCTCTGCCCGAGCTGCCTATCGCCATTGTCAAGAATCAGATGGGAGAGGTGCCCGCACATATGCGGACAGCACGAGTCAACAGGGTCGCCATTCCTAGCACGCTCATACGTTCGCTGGGCGACCTGCCCACGCTACCTCGCCCTGCACTGGACATCTCTTCCGACGCCGAATTTGACCGTGAACCTGGCGCGCAGGCACTCGGGGAGCAGAATCGAGCCGACGAGGGCAGCTACACTCCAGTCTTGGCCCTTGCGGCGGATCTCGAGAAGCGCGAGAGCCCGGAAGGCGGCATCGCAAAGGGTGGTATCAAGCTGGACCTCGAAGATGAGCTGGACTTTGAGATCGAACGGTCAATGTGGCTTGCGACCACGCTGCAGAATGCATTCTCTGGTCGCAACACCCGCTCGTCTCCAGACATGGAAGCTGCGAGACAGCCGTCCCGCACATCTGTAGCAGCGTCCAGCGCCCTGTCTCGCAGCCGCACATCCGTCATTTTCCAACAGATCACCGGGCACTTTGATTCAAGCAAGCCGCCTGTCATGTCAATGACCAGCCTCGCGCCATCTAGAGATGCTCTCCCACCGATGCCAAGCCGTTCAGACATGAGTCTGACACCAATGGCAGAAGCACCATTCAGGCCCTCGATCGACTCGCGCACGTCTCGCGGTGGAACCACGTCTACGGGAAGCAGTGTCTACATGTCCGCGGGCGAATCTAACAGAACTTTCCGTCACGACTCCAACCCGGAAGCTCTTCCGCCTCTCCCTTCGCTCTCCACATCCCAATTTGGCGTCCGTGGTCCGCACCAGGGCAATTATGCTCGATCTGCTGCAGGACAAGGTGTGTCTGCTATCGGCCTGCCCATGACAAAGCTGCCATCCTTGACCTCGAATGGTAGCTCTAGCGTGGCGCACGTGCCTGGAGCCTTCCGACCATTAAGTCTCGGCCTTGGCAAGAGCAGCAGCAGCAAGTCAAGCCTCTCCCTAGGCGCTGCCATCTTTTCAGAAGCTCGATCATCTGTCTGGCACGGCTCAAATGCGAGCGGCAGCGAGGGAAGTCTCGTCGATGCGAGCCTGACGGTGGTACCCACCATGGGTGGTGTAGCGACAATCGCGCGATCCGAATCTGACAACTCTGCTACGCTTTCCAGCGTCGAGACCAGACCGAGCGAAGACATCAGCGGAAGCACCACCGCGCATGCAAATACGTTCTACAGCACTCCCCCGAGCTCGACGCACTCAGCAAGCTCGGATTCCGATGAGGAGAACGATCTGAACGGTGCAGTCGTAACACAAGCGGCCAAGAGCGTTGCCATCTCCAAGATCGCACCGTCCGGAGGTCCTCGACGTGTACCTGTACCTGCAGCTGACCCTCGGAAACCTTTGCCGCTGATTTGCGAAGACCCGGAGCCTGTCAATTTATCTGCGAAGAGGCCATCAGCGATCATCATCTCCAACAGCGACGATGCTCGATCGAGCTTGGATACACGCAGTAGAACCAGTATCAGCGCCCCGCAACCCAGCGCTCTGCCGAACATGGTACCCTTCATGACGCCGTATCATCGGGCATTCTTCCCCGACGAGCCCACGGAAGCATCCGCTGCTTCGTCGAGCTCAGTCGACGTCAATGCTCTGAAAGTTCACCATTCTGGCGAGGCAAGTGCTTCTCGTTCTAGCTTTAGCAGCTCCATCTCGCCCCCTGCTAGTCCGCTCTTGGCTCAGCTTGGAAATGAAGGCTTCCTACCAACGAGTCCAGCCAATGAAAAGCAATCCTTTGGCAGTTCCTTGGTTGCGCGTCTCAAGCGAGGCCGAGCACCTTCCAGTTGCCCACCTCCTCAACCTCGTGAGAGCATCAATGTCGCTCCAAGCATCAGCAAGGTGATGGAGCAGCAAGCAAGAGCGCAGGAGGAAGCAAGGCTAAGCAGCGCCGTGGTCTGCACTCCGAAACTCTCGCCCAAGCCCGACTTCTCACCAGCAAATAGCAGCCCCTACACTCGCGAAGAGTGGGCTGTATCGACGAGCGACTCCCCGGATGCTCGAGCAGCCGCGGTCTCCTTCATGCTCCGTCCCTCCATCGAAAGTCTGAATCGGACGAGAGCTCAGCAGAGATCCAGCTTTTCACGCCACGACGCGAACGTGCTCGAACGGGCGGGCTTGGGCATTGATGAGCTTGCAGTATCCAGGTCCAGTGTCCACTCCGGGCGCACCTCTAGCACGTCCCGGGCCAGGCCAGAAAGCGAAGTCATTTCAACGGCGTCGCCCATCATGCAGCCGGCTAAGTGGGAGGCAGAGCAGGGAATTACTGGCATTCAAAGACCACTTCCAGCGATCTCTCCGTCGGAGCTGAGTGTTAGTTTAGCTGCAGAGCATCCTAGTACGGGCCGCATGAGCCCCCTGGCTACCTTTCAATCACGCTTCTCGGACTCGCTCTCGCGCCGTCCCAGTCTTGTCGCCGCTACGCCGGTCTCGGCCACTTCACCAAACATGTCATCGTCAGCGCTCTCGCCACGCACTGCGACCAACGGCGCGACATGGAGCTCCAGTCCTCAGCAGAATACGACATCGCGACAGAGCGCCCTTCTCGCGAGCCCTCGTTCCGATTATAATGCAGACACCATATCCATCACCAGCTCTTGTGTGACAGGTGGAACGGACGCTATTGGAGAGGCGCTCGAAGATGCACAGCATCACCGTGCACGTCTTTTGCAACGGGTGCAGCAGAATGCTGCGCTGGATCGCAAGAATGCCTCCACCAGCTTGGCACTCCGCAATGTTGCCACGTCGATGCCCCCGTCTCAATCGTCGTTGTCATCTCGTAAACCATATCATCTCAGTGTCGCAGTGTCGAGCAGCGCTTTGCCTACCAACACCCTGGTCGCGCCCTTGACACCACCACTCACACCACAAGACCCGCTGACTACGAGCACGTCGGCATCGACGATGAAGCCTTCAGGACCGCCACCAGTGCCGTCTCTTCCCGAGCCTGCGCATCTGCACGGATCACGCGCAAGCAACAGCCCCGCGACAGACTGGTCAAGCGCCAGTGGAGGTGGGACAAAGAGCAGCAAACTGCGCCCATTGAGCCTGATGGCCACAGCCTCGGTGTTGGACGCGACCTCCTTTAGCAATTTCGGCATGCCCGCATCGTTCCCGGCAGGCGTTACCTCTGCATCTTCCTCTAGCGGCTCCCTGTCTTCTCAGATCACCTCGATGCCCGTAGCCAAGCGCACCGGAAGTCGAGGTGGTGTGCTTCCCGTTGCAACCGACGCCGCTTCCCCTAGCTTCTTCTCCAACAGGTCCGAATCTTCGCCCAGGCCTCCTTCCACATTCTTCCCTCGCGATGATCCGAACGGCCCGCCAGCGTTTGCTAGCCCCACCCCATCGAGCACGATCGGAGCTCGCTCTCCAAATTCTTCTGTCCCCCCCGTCCGAAGCTTTCCGGATAGCATACAAAGCGTCACTGCTTGATGCTACTCGACTCTAGTTTGTAGCCCAGTATATCGATGAACCGCACGAAGTACGACTGATCTCGGACCAGACGCATTATCCATATCACCTTACCATCCTTACTGTACTGCCATGTTGCGCCTTACCTGCCCACGACCGAATATATGTGCTAGTGAATCACCACGACAGTGCGATGAGTCTGTGCTACTTGCCTGAACATTGACATTGTTTTGGGAAACGTGCGTTGAGCTCGTGAATACGTGATGGGGTTTGCGAGGTTGGGACAGGACAGCTGAGCATTGAAGTGTCTAACAGCGGTATGTTGAATACTGTTACAAGTGTTTACGCATGTGGGAAGGTTCTCGGGAGGCGGGACCAAATTGTAAGTGCCACGGCCTAGACGACCTGCTCCTTAGCTGGAGAAGCAATGAGCGCGAGATCAGCGTGCGGGACAACAATGGTGAAAGCAGACCGATCATGGCACTCACGGAACTTGAGACGAGGACCGTCTTGACCGATGCACATACCACCAAGCTTCTGTCCGATCTGCACAGCCTCGTCGATGCTCTTTCCGAGGATCAAAGCGCCGACAACGCCCCCCGCAAAGGCATCACCAGCGCCGTTGGTGTCCACGATCTCCGAAGCGGGAATCTGCTTGGTCGGGATGGTTCTTGGCTTGTTGCCTCCCTCGACCAGAATGGTGGGCTCAGATCCGTGGGTGATGACCACCGTGCGAGGCTTGGAGATCTCGGATGGAGAATTGGCAATCGCCTCTGCGATGGCTGACAGGTCCGTCGTGCCCAGCTTGTGAGCCTCGGCGTAGGCGACAGCCTCAGACTCGTTGCCGATGACCAACGAGGCGTAAGGAATGATGCTATCAAGCTGCTGAGTGAAGAATTGCGGGATAAAAGGGGCTGAAAGGTTCAAGGAGAAGGGCTAGAAAAATGCAAGAGTGATCGATTAGCAAGCGTTGTGGGGGCGTGTGTAGGGGAGATGCACCACGAGAGCGCAGGTGCTGCAAAATGTCACTCACCACACCGATCTCCTTTGCCTTCTTGGCCACAATCAGACCAACCTCGGCACCGTGAGTGACGAAGAAGCCGCCCATGTAAAAGAATTTGGCATTGTCGGTGAGCTGCTTGACCTCTGGCGTCTCGAGGTGAGCCTTGTCGAACTTCTCGGCTGCTCCGAGACGCGTGACGAGGCTCCTATCGTGGCCCGTGATGACGACGGCGCAAGAGCCAGTAGGGTGGTCAGGGGTAACTTGGTAAGCGCTTCTGAGGCCCTCGCGGTCATTGGCAGCTCTGAGTTGTTGAGCCAGATCGTCGTTGCCAACAGCTCCGAGGTAAGCGGTGGACTTCTCGGGGAGAATGTATTGGGCAGCTCGAGCAGTGTTTTGAGCTGCACCTCCAGCCACATATTGAACCTTGTAATTCTGCACAATGTACTCGTAGATGCTCTCGTGCTGAGGCTCTACCAGAATGGCATCGTTGGACTTGAGGTTGTACTTCTTCAGCACTTCCTCACCATCGCGAATGGACATATCCAGCAGCGGGTTGCCAAAGGCGACGAGATCGTATTGACCAGGCATAATGGGCAATATCGAGATGTGATGAGAAGTGCTAGCAGTGAGTTGCTCGGGACTCTTGCAGGTGGGTGGTGGTGGTGGTGGGAGTGGAGCAAGCGATTGCTTGTTGGCTGGCAGGCAGTCTCAACGTTCTTCTCGCAGCTGCATGCACGTCTCGCTAGAGAGCTCCGTGCGCACCGCAAATCACGAATGTGAATGTGAGCGAAGGCATCAACGCACAAGCCACGCACTTGGGCAGGAAGGCATGCAGGCGTGCCAGGCCACGTGCCCGGCGGCCCCTTCTTTCCTTGCGCCTACAACCAACCTGCCCGCCTCCGACCCCGAAAATAGCAGAGGACTTGCTGCATGTTTCAAATTCTAATGTTCGGTATGACGGACAAGAAACGGAAGTCACCCCCCAACATGCTGCATCCCAAAAGGTGTTGAAGGACAATTCACGCTCACGTGTGCGGCTACCCAGCATCTTCCGCGTGACATCTTAGTAGTGACGCAAACAAGTTGTGCACCGACCTTGCTGGTCGAGGCGTGGCGTAGAGACATCTGACTCGTGGGATTGACAGCATTCATACATACTCTCTCGACCACAGCCCAAGGCAAAGACTACGTATCAGATCGTGGATCGAAGAAGCCGAGAGCGCTTGCAGCCTGCTTGACTCTGCTCAGCTTGGCTTGAAGCTCAGCCTCATTCCCGAACGCGAGCTGAAAAGCGTCACGGACAGCGAACCTCGCGCGTACGCTCCGCGAAGTAGATGTACGTGCTTCCGTCCATCGCTCCAGCTCGTCAGCCTTCTGTTGAGCGTTGACGAGCAGCAAGCTCGGCAGCCCTGCGAGAGCAGCACAGTGCTGCACGAAAGCGAGGATGATTAGCCATGTCGCAAGTGTTACGTACTTCCGGTCCAGCAACTCACAATGCCGAAGCTGCAAGGAGCCAAACGAAGCGCACCAGCCAGAGGCGAGGAAGCGAGTCAGTGTCTCTGTGTGCATGCGACACTTCTTTGCATGCTGCTCACGACTTAGAGGCCAGTCCGTCTCGCAGCTTGTACAGGAAGGTGACGTCCGAGGGACTTGGGTCATCGATGCCACGACCTCTCCGATCCCCTTCGTTCTCGAGTACAGCCATGTGCATGGCACGGATGCTCAGGCCCGAATGTGGCTCAGCCAAGCTGCCGAGTGCATGGAAGTGCGTGACAAAGAGAAGCTTGGGACGTCTTGACGCTTCGCGCGACATCAAGTTCACCAAGACTGCGTAAGCCACCGCTGTTCCATCGAAGGTCGAAGTGCCGCGACCGAGTTCGTCGAGGACTGGCATCCACGATCCATGCATGAGCAAGATTCAAAAGAACACTCAGAATGTCTACTCGACCGCGCAGTAGACTCACTGCAGAGGCTGCGGTTCGTGGCAGAGGAGACGATCTCCTTTGTTTCCGCCATTTCGACCATGAAGGTTGAGCGGCCCTTTGCCAGCTCGTCACTTGCACCCATGCGTGTGAGCACCGCATCGTGCAGGGGAAGATGGGCAAAGTCTGCTGGAACATAGCTGCCGATTTGTGCCATGATGATCTGCCATACTGGCGTCAGCTCAAGCTACTCATGAAGGGCGAGCGGAAAGCCGCTCACAATCAAAGCGATAGCTCGAACTGTAGAAGATTTGCCGCCCATGTTTGAGCCTGTCAAAAGGATTCCCATCGCGCTGTTGCCGCCGAGCGACACATCGTTGGGAACTGCAGAGTGCAAGGTTGGATTAGTCGCATGCGAGTTCCTCACGGCGCGAGCCATGCAGCGAACGAACCATAATCTCCCAAGACTGCCAGGGCCTCGCTCATTGGATGCCGAAAGCCTTTTAGCTCGAGGTCGCCGTCTCCATCGTGAAAGCTGGAGAGCAGAGTGTTAGGAGTGTGTACAAAGCTATACTGGCTTCGCAAAAATGCTTGACTCACACCGGCCGTCGATAGCCTGGCAATGCGGCTACATTGGCGAGAGAGAGACACGCGTCAAGGGTAGCTAGACCACTGATGGTGTTACGTCTGCATCAATCGAGGGTCGAAACGGATAAGTACGCGCCCGATCTTCGTCACGGCGAATCCTCGCGCCAGACATGAGGGCCGCCACACCCACAACTCAGTGTAGTGCCTGGCACACAGTTCACGAACGAAGGTGTCGTATGCTGCATTCGCCTCCTTTTCCAATGTCTCCGTCGCTCGATCTTTCTCCTTGAGAAGCTTGATGGTTTGGGGAGTGTGGAACCGCACAAATTTCTGGGTAGCAGAAATACGAAGCCATGTCGCCGGCATCTTCTTGGCATCAGCTACCCGGATCTCTAACAGGTTCGAGATGTTGCTGACGGTCACGAACTAACACGGATTGAGATGGAGTGGAAGGTATGTCAGTCTGAGCTTGACCTAGACTCTGAGCGGGACTCTCACTTCTAGACGAGGCATGCGAGTTTCTTTGCGGATCTACAGGAATCGCTCGCGTCAGCGAGGCAACAATGCATAGACCGGCAAGACGAGACTTTGCCCACCTCAAGAAGATGTGAGCGTAACTCAATCTGTCAACGAAGCACTCAGTGGCAATCAGAAAGCTGCACGAGAACAGAACGGCAATGAGAGGCAATCTGAACGCACCTCGCAGCTCGTGATAAGGTCCCTGCATTCTTGCAGAATAGGAAACCGCTCAGGGTCAACGAAGAGGTCTTGTTTGTTGTCTGCTCGCGCTGCCGTGAGCGAGATGGCGTTCGTGGCCTCCTTGACAGCAGAACGTGCTCGCGGCAGTGCAGCCACAGCCTCCGCTAACAGCTTAGATTTGATTCCTAGCTCATTGGCGTCTTGGACTTGCTCAAACTCGTGAGAGACTCTCAGGAGTGAGAGAAGCACCGTCGCTAGCTCGGTCGGCTGTGAGCGGCCATAGCTCAACCTTGCCAAGCCTTTTTCGAGGTCAGGAAGGCCTTGCAGTAAGCCGGGCAGACGACTCGCGATGGGATGCTCGGCTGTTCCCCCGGCCACCAAGGCTTCGATAGCGTCGGTGCGGTCTGAAAGTGCTGCAAGATCATTGAGTGGTCGTGCGACCCATTTGCGCAACAACCGCTTTCCGAATGCCGTTTTGCACCGGTCAAGCAGCCAGATGAGAGACCCCTGACAGGCGAAAGACGAGGCAACCATACAGCGGGTCAGAATAGGCCAGGTATCCTAAGGCTCCGCACGATTTTAGGCCTCACCCTGTCTCTGCCATCATCAGAATTTCTGAAGATCTCTAGATTGTGGAGCGTGGTGCCGGTCAACAGCATCTGACTTCGAGCTACCAGATGCAGAACTTTTATCAGCTTTCGAGCAGTTCCGTTGCAACGCTGCCATTTGCACACTTACAAGCGAAGGAGGAAAAATTTGTGACGATCCGAAAGACATTGGTCAAGCCAAACTTTTCAAGGTGCGCAATCGTACCAGCAAGCGCGACGAGGGCGAGGTGGGGCAGAGTCTTGGCGAAGCTCAATAACTTTCCTCTATTCAAGGCGTCGGAATCCGAAGCAGCGCTGGGCGACGCGCCTTGTGTGCTGCGCCTCTCAGTTGACAGCGCTGCTTCGTAGAATGAGGAGACGGTACGCCACGCCTCGTCATACGTGCGTGGCATCTCCACCTCCTCGACACGCAGCCGTGTTTGAGCTGGGCCGCCGACTTGAGTCGATGCAAGGAAGCGAATCATCTTTTCCGTCTGGTGTGTAAGTCTTGAAGGCCTCAACACCTCTGCGGGTTGCAAATGTGCCAGTCTTGTTTCCAGCTCCTGTCGCGTCAGTCCGTCTTGAAACTGATCGTACGTCACGCTGCCTGTCGCAGCTTGGACGGCGATGAGCCCAACGGCGACGCGGTCGTCACGTCCGTTGCCCCCTTCAGACTTTTCAACTATGGCAAGCAGACTTCTCTGTGCTGCAGGATTCGAGAATCCGTGCTCCTCATGAACCGCGGCAGCAGAAGAGCTCGCATCGGAGGACAAGTCGTCCACCCACGTCGAAGCAGTATACAAAGCGGTCAGCTCCCTCGCAAATGGTGCAGAAGCGTTTGCGGATGCTGCCTTGAGAGCTCGGGTCTCAGTCTGAAGGCGAATGAGGTTTGCTCATCAGGCCCCTTGACCACACTGCTTTGCACGTTGGGACTCACTTGCCTGACAACGCCAACTTTATAGCCTGCTGAAATGAGGCGCCTTACGTGTATATGGAGCCTATGAACAGGGATCATGGCGGTCATCTATACTTGAGAGCGGGCAATCATCAGCGCCGCGCCAATCCAGCACGACAGGCATGGTCATCCCTTACCAGATTCTTCTCGGGAAAGCACATGATGCTCAGCTCTCGACTGGCTATGCGGGCGTCGTCACCATAGAATTTGAGCTGAGACGGCGGAGTCAGTCAACCTCCGTAGAGATACATCGGGAAAGCCGGGCAGCTGACCCACCTTGTAGCCCACCTGCCGCGCAAGAGTAGAAACAGTGCCGGCGCATGTTCTTTTAGACCAATGGCCGGCACAGGGGTCCATGTAGAGCTTGACTCACCTCTATGATTAGCAACACACCAGGATACTGCGCTTTGAGTGCAATTATCTGCTTCTCTAGCGGCGTGTACACGACACCATCCTGGGCTTGTTTTTCTTTCGCCTTGCCTCTCGACGCGCTCTTCCCCGTCGCAGTGGCCTGCGCCTGAGGTGCCGCATACTTGCTCAATCGACTTGATGTGTCCTCGTCATCCCGATCGTCCAATACATCAACGGCTTCCTGCTGTTCGTCCGCCAAACCGTTTTCGAGGTCTTCGCGGGAGTCGCCGACGCTCAGGCTTCCGCGTTCACGGCCGTACGATGCTTGCCGACTAAGCGGGTCATGCGGACCTAGAAGCCTCTTGCGCAGCTGCAACCTTCTGAAGGACTCGGCATTCGAATTGGAAGCGCTTTGCACCCCCACAGCGCCTTCTTGATGATGAGCAGGGGCCTGTGCATCAAAGCACCACCGGTCACGCTGAGCTGCGCGATTCGCCTCTCGCTGAGCCGCCTTCGCCTGCGCAGACGCGGCGCGGTGAGCTGCACCAGCGCTATTGCGGCCATGCTCGATTCTGGGCACTTTCGAAGGCCCTTCTTCCTCTTCCGCCCCGCCACCATGCCCAAGTCCTGCGGCCCTGCTGACCTGCAAGCGCTCTGACGCGATGGAAGACGTGCCTCCGTTCGCTGACGGAGCCGTACCGCTCACTTTCTTCTGAAAGAAGGACGAGATGAGAGGGGTGCCGCTCTGTGATGAGCTTGACGGAGGCATGACGAAGTCAAGCTCTGATGTGAAAGTCGCGGATCGACTTCTCGCTCTGAACGGATGATCGTTAGCAACGGTGGATGCACCATCAGGAAGCAGAGGTGATGGTGGCGTAATTTGGAGAGAGAGGGCCGCCTCAAGTCAAGAGCCATGCACGCAGTCACGAGTCTAATCCTGGGTGCATCCTTACTGGTCTGCGCAGCATCACGTGCATCTTCTTGCAGGCATGCGTTCAGGCGCATTGACTCCTGCCTCGCCCTGCCATCACAGGCCTCTCTGCTCGACCTCTTTCTTTGAAGACGACTTGGTCATCGCTCTTGACGTGCAATGCAAGTCAAAAATCTAAGCTGCCAAGTGACCCCATCTCAAGCCTACTGATGGCTGCAGTCTGGAACGATGCTTTCACAACCACTCCTTGGGACAGCTTGCAAGCTCTACGTCGAGCAGAAAGGAGGCGCGCATGCGCCGGCAAAGTCAAGTTTCATACTCGCGCTTTCTGACACATGACCCTGACGACTTATCAGCAAGCAGACGGAAGAGCGCAGCGACGATGCGCTTGGCGGAGTGCGCGATCAAAAGTGCGTCTGCTTCAATTCCTTGACCGACAATTCAATCTGCTGTATTGCCCTCTTGCGTATCTGCGTCTTCGATGAATGCTTGTTGTTGTGGAACTTGGCGGCTGTATTGATACAAGACAGAAAAGGATGGTCTGTCACAGCGAAGCAAGTGGACAGGCGATGTTGCGTAGAATGCGCGGGATGGGAGGATCTGTGGGGAAGTCAAGCCTGTGAGATATTGGGTCACCGCGCGCTCGTCTTCATCAGTCGCGCCCCTGAGGATTCGGACCACTCTAAGCTTGACAATGAAAGAGTGTTGATGGGTGCGCAATGTGCACTTGCGCTGCCACAAAAGGTTGCTTGGGGCCGTTTCAAGGTCGTGCTGCAAGACTGTAAAGTCCGACGCACAAGTCTAGAGCTGGGCCTGGCCTAGGCGCCAACACGACCAGCCGAGCTTCCAGACGGGGTTGCGCTAACAATGTCAGCGGCCGCTCCCAACTTGGAAGTTTGTGGAGAGGTGCGAGCCTGAGAAGCAGCAGCGAGAGGGTTTGGAGGCAGAGAGGCTGGTGCTCCTGGAATGGAAGGGGCGGCGCGAGGACTGGTGCTCTTACTTCCGTTGGGGTTGATAGATGCGCCAGGAAGGACTCCGCCCGCGGCTTGAATGCTAGCAAGAGCCTCCGGGCCGTGAGCTTCCTCCTCGGCTGCGACTGCATTGGCAAGGTGGTGAGCGGGACTTGGACCGCCGTTTGCTGCATCGTACAGGGCAGCGGCCAAGGGCTTAGGTGGCAAGCTAGAAGGATTGCTTCCACTGCCCGCGCGACGATGTCCGAGACTCTGAAGACCTCGATTGGCGGAGCGCGGACTGGCAACTGCCTGCGCGGGACTCGCAGAGGGAGAACCTCCGTATGCTGGCTCGGCTACAGCGCCTGCGTTAGATCTTCCTCTAGGTCTGTTTTGAACTGACGCGATGATCGAAGAAGCATCGTCCCCATCGTAAGGGCGCACCTTGGCCGAGATACCCGTCGAGTTCATGAGCGAAGGTGGTGGTGACATGAGAGTGTGCAGGTAGGCGCGTTTGGCTGCAAATGAGGTAGAGCAGGTTTTGCCGTTAGCCTTTCAGGCTCCCTGACTAGGTGATGTTCACAAATGTCGAGGGGCGGCGCCGCGCAGAATAGCACCAGCGCGCGTACACTGACATCCAGCAGTGCTCCAACTTACAGCGTCGAGGAGCTCAAAACGCAAGCGTGTATGCTGGGCTTGGGTGGTCCTCCCCACAACAGGCATCGGCATTAGAGTCAAGACTCACCAGTAGCAGCATCGGCAAAGATTACGAGAGCAGTGGTGTCATCTACCCACTTGATCTTGAAGCCGCCGCGATCATCCTCCCACTGGGCAAAGATGGCCTGAATGTCTCTGGTCTTGAGCTGAGGTGGGAAGCCTGACAGCTCAATGATGCGCGTTACGAGGGGGGAGAGAAGAGGAAGCGATGCCGACATGGTGATAGCGTTGCAGTGCAGCCGAAATGCGTCTGTACGCAACGATGAGCTCTTGGCGAGCTGCGATAAGCTTTACTCAGTGTCGGACGAGCACCGTCACGTGTTGGAGAAGCTTGGCAACAAGTTGTCTCGGTGGCTCTGGATGAGAACGCCTTTTGATAGTGTGGTGGATTGGACGAGGGACTTGCGTGGCCGAGAAGACGAGCGAAGGTGAGGATCGCAAATTAGTGGGTGTGGAAGCGAGGAAGAGAGCGAGCGTTTGGAGACGAGCGAAGATGAAGGCCGATCGAGTCAGTAGGAGTGATGTGAGGCTGGAATTGGATGAAGAGGTGGAGCGATAAGTTTACTCACGACTTTGCGTTTCATGACTGCTGCGCCCTACGCGACAGCAGGCCCTGATGCAGCGCGACTCACGCAGTCACAGCTTATAGCTGTTCGCGCGCGTATTCGAGTCCGGTACCGCGACTGGCCCCTCGCGACGGCGGGGGGCTGGCTGTAGCTCATCAGCATGCATGCAGCGCGCAGCCATGCCGGGTGGAATAAAAGAGGCACAGCAGTCTTGAGTTTGAGTTGACTTGTGACTGCAGACTGCTGCTAGCTCGACGATCGATATCATATGGTGCTTCGCGCGGAGGAGCGCGCGCACGGATGCCAATAGCCGCGCCAGAGTCAAGAGTGTGATTGAGTGTGCAGGCGTGAGATGCTGTGTGTTCCATGCGATATGAAACGCGCACTGCGCCTATGGTATGGCACCGCGGCGGTAGACTGGATAGGTACAGCCGAGTGTACAGTCGTGAGTCGTGAGTAAGCTGGAGCGCACGACTCGTCCCCGCGCTGAATATGTCCCTGCATGATAGCTGCTGGCACGGGTTCTCTCCTCTCACCTTCATGCCCCCTTCCCCTTCCTCTTCCCCTCCCCATGGTACCTTCGTTACCGAGCGTCTGACGTCTGCCTGGCTCGGTTTAGTCTGACAGCACAGCATGCACGAGCAGCCAGCCTACTGGGCGCCATGCAGCTGGTCACTCGGCCTGCTGCTGGCCTGCTCAAGGTGCTCATCAACGCTCCCCTCAGCGCATTACTAAAATTCCAGGCATAGAAATCGTGCTGCTGCCAAGTTGGACCCCAGTACTCGTGACGGAGCGGCGGGGCGGTGCAAGCATCGGCACCCGCGCGTGACGCATGCTGCTGCATGGCTGCTTCAAGACCTCTGCTGCTGCTGCAGTCGCAACCAAGTCGCGTACGTGTTTGGAGCGCAATCATCTGCACGTACAGCATATGCTCCTGCTGGCTGCAGCATGTACGCACGTCAGCCGTGCGTGCAACACGAAGCGACGGTTGCTATAAAAGGTTACACACATGCTCACGCTATGCATGGTCGGGAACCGGTTCGGCGGCGGTGCTGTGCTGCGGACACGCCGTGCCTACATACAGTACACGATATACAACAGTCACGATGAGTGCCTTTGCCCCGACCGCATCTGTCCAGACAGACGTGCTCAGACGTGTAGTTCGTCCATGCTGCAGCGACCTGCGATGCCGCCATCACCACCAGCGGCAGCTGCGACGTTCAAGCTTCTGATGATGAATGCCGAGTGGCTTAATTGACGATTGCCGAATCAAGGCCGGGTAGATACAGACGAGAGCGCACCATCTCCACAGATCTGGTATACTGTTCCCATCCGTCGATTCAAATCTGGACGAAGATCAGCCGCACAGCCTCTTTCCCGCCCGCGCCCCGTAACCACCACTCGATCCATTCACGTTGATTCCCTTCCCCCCCCCCCCCCCCTGCGTGGACCAATCAATAGGTAGGGTCCCTGATTCCGAATCATCCACCAGCAGTCGGTCCTTCGCGAGTTGCGAAAACGGCGGTTACCACCCTTCGTCATACCTCTCTGATGAGTCTTCCAAAGCACCTTTCCGCTCCGCCGGATCGAGAAGGCAGCGGGTCTCGTGTTTACGCTCTGAAATGCGCTGCGTGGCTCCATTCACGATCGAGTACGTCTCTGATGTGGAAGAACACCGCATGCACAGTACACTTCCGCCACTCTTGATTTCATATTACACGTGCGCCGCCGCTCGACCTCGCTCCGCACACGATCGCGCACGGACAAAGGGTTGCATTGCAGTCCTGCTGCTCGATTGAGTCCTGCCCTTTCATGGCGCGCTCTCAAATCAGCCGGACGTAGAATCTGCTGCCCAGGCGTCTCACGCTCACAGGTTGGCGGGTAGCGCGTCGCGGGAGGCCTTGGCATATCTGCGATCTGGCAGCGGCGGTACGGTGCGGACAGTCCAGTTTGAGCAGACTACCTTCGTACACTGCATGCCATGATGTAGATAAGCTTTGTGGACTCGTGACTGTTGAGCAGTCTTGAGTCAGAGTGTCTTGAAGGTCTTGTAGCTCAAACGATTGTACTCAGCGTGCGCGCCGTTTACTGTTACCGCCGCGTGAAAATGATACAATAATGCGGTTACAATACAAGTAGCAAGACGGCGGAGCCCTTTTGATCTCGCCCTTTCGAATGGAATGATCGATCAAAACAGGGGGCTAGAGTCTTTCACGCCTCGCAATCAGAATCAATGCAAACGCTCAAAAAGTGCTGCCTGTCCCTTTAGCGGCTCTTTTCTGCGCCTTCCAGCTTATCAAGGAGCTGGGATCGATATTAGACTCGTGGCGAGTGCTTCTCCACCTGTTTGTATTGATGAGAGACAGCTCGTCGACCAGCTCGCTGTAGGTGACAAAGCTCGGTCAGTTCCCTGGCCGAACAAGCGTGTGCAAGCTTGGGGCACCAGTGAGACTCACGGGTACTGGATCATGAAGGGCAGCTCGAGCTCCCAAGATGCCATCAACATCGGGTCCTGGAACAAAGAATGCCAAGCATGAGCCTCTGCGACATGCATCATGCGGGTTGTATGACCAGCACATGACTCACTTCGCCATGTAATCGGGTGTACTCTGTCAGACCAATAATGACTTCTTCAATATTGTACTCATCTGATGGCGCCAGAGCAACGTCCGTCATGTTCAGCAAATTTTAAAACGTCAAACCACCTTCGACCGACGAGCACATTACTCACGCTCCTTGAGAATCAAGTTGTCGCGGACTCCAGGAAACGGTATGGCGTCCAAAAGCTTGTCATGCGGAACCTTGCGCTGGATGACCGAGTGCCTCATGATCTCGGGCAGAGCATAAGAGCGATTCCGCTGAAAATTGTTCTGCGAGTCAGAGGGGAATGGTTCAGCGGCAGCGAATGCGTCGAACTATCAAGAAGCTAGGCGCACAAGATGATATATCATCTACAGTGTACGACGAGCAGAGAATGGCGTCAGAGCATGAATGGCCCATAATTGAGCGAATCGGGGCTGCTCACTTGTACTGCAGCTTCGGCCACGTCCGAAATTTCCTGGGGCGAGCGCACACGCCCTGGCGGCACCAACGTGGCCGCATCCAATCTTGCTCGATCCGCGGCTGATATTTTGATGATTTTTTCGGTGTCAACTCCTGGCAACGTTGCGATGAAGTCGTGTCGTCCAAACTGTTTACGCTGAGCGTTCATACGATGGATGAGGTACTGCCATCTCTCGGAAGGGAAATCTGAGTCGAAATTGTGACCATGCGGGAGCGAGGCTGCGAACGGGCTAGGATCCGACGAGGCGGCGGATACAACCTCGGGCTTCCTGCTGTCGTCTCCAGACTTGTGCGCATCGAGCACAGCGAGCCCGAAAGGCGAGTCTTGTGGAGCAGTGGCAAGACTAGAGATTGATCGACTTTGCACAGCCGTCGAAGCGATGGGTCCTTCTCCAAAGAGACCAGCCAAGAGCGCGTCGGTGTCACCCATATTGAAAGAGCTCAGACATGAGCTGGTGCCTGAACTGGACGTGGCGGAGAAGCCTCCTAACCCAAAGTCTCTGGGTGAAAAGTGGAAGCCAGCCTCTTCAGAACTTGTCATCAAAGCGGAAGGAAGCGCGGTCGTAGCCGCTGGCACTGGCTGCGTAGGCAGCGTGGTGCTGCCTCCCGGGCTCATTGCCCTCTTTGGTCCCATACTGAAGAGATCGGAAAGATTGGTGGCTTGTGGTGGAGACTTGTCCCTCGAGCTCTGAGAAGAGTCTTGAGCTGATTCAGCGCTTGCTTTGCGCTTCTTTGACGCCGAGCCGTTCTTGTGGGCGGTCACGTCTAGTTGCTCCTCCGCTCGAGGCTTGGGCAGGCGTGAGCTTTCAGGCAGACCCTCAGGTGGCAGCTTAGCGTCCAAGCGCAGTTGCTTTAGGGCTTCGCTCTGGGAGAAGATGAAGCGAAGCCGTCAAAATGAGCAAGTCAAGCTTTCGAAATCAATCCTCGCTTCACTGACCTCTTTAGCGCCAGGCCAGTGCTGCCAGCGTTCGGTCATCGCTGCGCGATCCAGCATGGGAGCGAGCTTAGCACGTGGGGCACAAGTTGAATTGTCCCTACAGCCGACTCACTCTTCTCGCTTCGTGTGCTTATGAGCTCCTCAAGAGTGGCGCGGTCCATGCCTGCTTTCTGCAGAGGGCCGCCGAGCATGCTATCGCCGATGAACCCAGCAAAATTGCCAAGCATGGAACGCAAGAGGTTGTTCTCGCTCAGCAAGCCTCTGAGGGCCCATCGGAGCCTGTCCACTTGGGTGTCGTGATCCGAAGAGAGGAGCTCCACGCGAGCCTCGAGAGCTGCAAGACGACAAGAATTCAGTGGCTCCTCTCATCTCTGAAGGCTGATGATGACAATACGACATACCTCGGATGTACTGCTGTTTGCGCTGGCGAAATTCGCGCTGGGCGATTCTATTCTGCGCCTTGCGGTCATCCGCAGAGCTGTCGGGCGCATACAACATGGACGGATTTCGCATCTCACCTCGAGTCAGCAAGCACATCGCGACACCTCTCAATTACTGTGCGTTCCAGTCCAGCGTACACTCACGCCTCTATGCCGGTCGCTTTGCGCTTCTTGTTTCCAGCCACCTTTTGGCGGCCATTCGGCTTGTCATCGCCTTGCACTTCGCCATCTCGCCCTTCGTCCTGCGCGTGGGAAGCGCAGCCAAGTCTTGCAGGGTCAGGACGTGGTCTGCCTGCCTGCCGAGGGGAGATGCTATCACGAACCACAACGTACCTCATCCGCATCCGAGTCGTCTTCTCCATCTACCTCTTCAGCTAAATTGCGCGAGCGATCTCTGTTGCCAGTTGAGGGCGGTCTCGGAGCAGGGTCGCAGTAGGATGGAAATAGGATGGAAGCTTGAGCAGGAGACATGTCTGGGGATCCCGATGCGCTCGATCTGGGATGTGAAGTGATCTTGTCTCCTGGACCCGCTGGCTGTGGACCTAGGGCCATGACAGCTGCAAAGCCAGAAGAGATGGCCGTGGCTGAAGCGTCTGTGAACCTGTCGCAAGGCGGTCTCCTCTCCTTGGTCGGAGGCATGCTGTTGGTACGGCCAGTGTTTCACTTGCCTACTGAGATGAGGCGTAATTGCTGACGTGCCCTGCGATTCCGTAAAGCAGCTATACAGGTTCCAGATGCGACAGTTGCGATGATGACGCCGTGACCCGAGCTCCTTCCACACCGAGTGTGACTGAAATGAGTCTGCACGCAAGCGACGAGCGCGATGGGGGGGGGGGGGGCGTCGTCATCAACTTTTGTCCAATAATGTGGTACGCGCAGACAGCATCGCAGGGCGGCAGGATGCAGACGGCGGGGCCGCTTAGAGTCTCTGACAAGGCTCGAGCTCGAGTGCAGGAGGCCGAGGAGGCTTTGATTTCAAGGAGAAGGTCGTGCAGTGCTGGGATCAGCGATTCGCCTCCGCAGCAAAAGACAGAGGTGAGTGTCCCACTATTATTGATGCGTATGGTCGTGATTCGCCTCGCCCCAATCGTACGTGAATAATCACGAGTTCTATGCAACCGGTGTTGCTGTTGGCGGCATATGGCTAGGCTAGCAGCACATGGATGGCTCGATCATGGCAGGGACGCACGCAACTCACCACTCACGACTGACATTAGCCGCGTATGAAGGCAGGCGGCAGGCAGGCAGGGCATGCAAGCAGTCAGACCGGCAAAAACGGCGCCCGGCACTAAAGTCGGCCCGCCGCGAGTCGATCCGCGGCCGAGCCTCTGCTGCTTCACTCTCTCGTACTTTCACATTCACTGATTCGTTTGATTGATGATTCGTGACCTAGCTGGTGCTTTCACAGTCCACACGCCTCGTCGCAGCCAGCTCCAGCTCTCCGCCGCCAACACCACCAGCGTGGGCGCTCAAGACGAATCACATTCTCAGTAGCAGGATCGAGCATGCAGCATTGCGATCGCCATGCACCTGCTCCGAACGCAAGCAATGTGTTCCAACATCATTCAGGATCGCAGGATCATCCTCACATCGATCATGATAAAGCCATGGTCAGGGGGTCCAAAGTCATAGTAGTAGCATCGTGCAAAAAACGTGCCTTTCATCACTTGCGTGTGTCGAGCACGCCACCAAGCGATGACTTCGATCGACTCGGAGATGTTTGTGATTCACGATGATTGGAGTAAGGCGTCACAAGTGCCTATAGCTTGATCGCCAGCACGCGAACAGCAATCTGCCCTGGGAATGTCACGCTGGATCGACGATGCTAATCACGAACCGTGACGCACCCGCATCGTCCGGATCCGCCAGCCTCTGACGCTCGACTGAGCTGAACCGCAAGCCCAGCACGGGTCAGAGACTCTCACCGTTAGCCCCGGTCAGCTTGTACGCAATGCTTCGCGCACACTCAAATCAGGTGCGCATGCAACTGTCAAAGAGAGCAGCAGACTGACTCAGCAAAGCCGCAGCTTTTCGCACATCTCGCCGAGTATGATGAGAGGCGGAAGCGGTCGATCGCAGGCTTTCGAAAATTGTGAATCTAGTCACTCTTGGGCTGCAGGCTCGGATACACATCAGGCACTCGCACTCACGACTATTAGGCAATTCTTCGTCGAGCTGTGATGCATCAACACGGCATAGCCGCGTCCGACGTAGAAGTGTGGCTCGTGATGAATTTTCCACCCTTGATTGGATCCGCACCTCGGCTGTCACGCTTCACGATTGACTGATGCAAGACCTTCAGCAAGCCATTGACTCGTCGTGGGGAGTGGATGGTCTCAATCGAACCTTTCCACGCTCCGCCTTGACGAATGCCTGCACTGCGGGTGATGTGTGGTGGCGCCGCCGCCTTTTCCCGTCAGCCAGGCTTTTGCATCGAAACTCTTCTGTCAGTCGCCTCGTCTCAAGGCCTCTTGCGCGAGTATCCGCAGGTCCAGCCGAAACCGCAAGCAATAGTTGACTGGAATAATGCTCACCACGCTCACCACGCGATGACCGCTCCGCTCGCATCGCGGAACCGATCAGGTGTGCAGCTTTCGCATCTGGCTACGATATGCGCCACTCTCCGAAACTGGCAGATGGCCAGCACTCACAAGTGACCCGCACGACTTGGATGTCCTGGCACGAAGAGGCGGTGTTCGGCTCTTCCAATCGCTTTCGCGCTCGTCATCTACGCCCCCACAGCAAGCACGTGCGTCTACCGCAGGCTATATCGGTAGATTCTTGATTTCTTTTGTGAGTTTGCTGTGTGTTGCATGGGGTTGGGGCGTGAGACACTCGTGAACGTATACATGCATAGTGGACGCTCATGCTGAATGAGCGTCCAGAAAGGGGATGGGAAAAAGTGACAAAAGAAGAAGTCGGGAGAAGGCAGACGGCGTGGTGATGCTCCACCATGCGCAGAAAAGTCTTGAGTACATTTGTCCGGTCTGCAGTTATGGAGAGACAGCGACACCCAGTTCGATGCCCTCGCGTCAAGCCTGGATCTGCGCATACACGCAGACCAAAACCAGTCGCGTCATCAGCTATTGTGGAGCAAGTGCATCTATTCGCGCCAGTCTCCTGCAACGTAGCCAATACGAGCCCTCTCCAAAAATCCATCCCAGAAGAAGAACAAAAGCCCTTTATCGGTTAGAGCGAGCAACACGCTCAGCCTCGTCACGCTTCTTGATGGCGTAAGAGTTGGAAGAGCCCTTGGCGGCGTTGATGAGCTCATCGGCGAGGCATTCTGCGATGCTCTTGACGTTGCGGAAAGCGCTCTCGCGGCAACCGGTGGTGATCAGAGTCAAGCTCTGGTTGACACGGCGCAAGGGACTGACATCAACAGCTTGACGCCTGACAGTTCCTTGAGAGCCGATACGGGTAGAGTCTTCACGAGGACCAGTGTTCACGATGGCGTCGACAAGAATTTGAATGGGGTTGGCATCGGTGAGGAGGTTGATGATCTCGAAAGCGTGAGCGACGATGCGCACTGCCATAAGCTTCTTTCCGTTGTTGCGACCGTGCATCATCAGACTGCGAATCGAGATCACTCGAGCTGGGTAAGCGACAACTTCGGGCTGCATGTCATGCCAGCCACCCCTCAACAGCCGAGTTGAACAATCACTACATGCCCTGCACTCTAAGCGGCTGATACTCACGCGTTGACCAATCGCTCGACGATGGGCTGGTTGGCCTTTTGAAACTGCTTCTTGGCATATCGGCCAGCAGTGTGAGGGGTGTAGACAGCGTGACGGAGCTGAATGTAATCGGTGAGGGAGATGTCCTTGACCTCAACCTCTGTGAAGTCCCACTTGCCAAAGAGCTGCAAATGGGTGAGATCATCGCGTCAGCTTGGAGCCCTCGAGCATTCAAGGGGCACACTGATATCTTCATCCCCATCCCGTACAGTAATCCTCTGCAGTGGAGCGCTAAAGCCCTAGCAAGCCGCCAAACCTCCATCCTCCACGCTGCACCGTGAACCGTGCAATCTTGCAGCTCAGTGCTGCTTCTGTAAGTCCCCGTTTGGGACCGCAGCCCAGTCCCAAGCACGAGGCCCTCGTGAGAAATACCAGCCGACTTGCGGTGCGCGTTTGCTGCACACCACACTTCGCCTGGTGACCCAGGTCGCTGCCTCCCTGCTAATGTATGACTCCCCCGTCATCCACCTATCTGCCGAGAGACCAGCTAGCCTGCCCAAAGATGCGCACCTTGACAGAGCCCTGGTTGGGGAGAGAGAGGGCAGCGATGTCCTTGGGAACACCTTGACGAGCCATTTTAATTGGTATGGGATGTGCCGGTTATCCAAGTAGAAGATCCTGAGGCAGCCGCTTGCTGTGTTGACGTGAAGGTAAGCGTCGAAGCGCAATGTGTCGGTTCTAGGTGGTAGGTGTTGGTGCTGGAATGTGTGAGGTGCTACGGCTTGACCCCGAGTGGCAGCTCGAGAAGCTCCGTGTACATGCCGCTGCATCGCGCGTCCGTCAGGGAAGAAACCACGTGGCCCTGTGCGTCAGCCTCACGCGCGAATTTCGCGCGAGAAGTCTGCATGCAGGAAGCTGCGGCCATGAGGGCGGCCTGGCTGACAAGCGTGGTGCCGCGCGGTGCGGCGCAGTCGGATGCAAGCCTGAGAAGCCCGCGTGGCTGCAGGCCACAGACATCGTGAGCCAAGTTGATCACTCAAACCCCCTGTCATCTACGACACCGACCCTCACACTGACCTCACTACTCGCACAACACTCTTCGAGTACTTCTGGATACACCTACGCTGCACAGTCGATCGTAATCGAAGATGGAGTCCTCAAAGACAACAGGTGTGTACTGCGTGTCTCATTTGCAACGTACACTTTCAACATGCTGACCTATTGACTCTCTGTCCTTTTCAGTCAAACTCGCCAAGGTCAGTATTCAGCCTTAGTCGGGATCTCCGTCCGCGCTTTATGGGCCCGGTAGTCTGCAGCATGGATGGTGTCATTGCGCTGGTGCTCGCGATGCGCACGACCGAGAGCGGGACCCTTTTGTGGCGAAGGAGGAAGGTGGCTGGACCGGACCCCTTTTCAGGGGTGCCCATGTAGTATGCTGAGGGCAAGGCGGGGGGACCTTCGAGATAGTAGCAAGGGCTCATCGGCAGAGCTTCAAAGGCAAGACAAGGTCTAGCACGGTGTTGTAGCTTTGTATCGTGTCCCAGAAATTCTCGCCGCCGAAGACCTTGCGGAGGCTCGTTCCTTGCGCTGTTGCATGCCCAACACGGTGCTTGAAGCAGCGATGTAGGACGCACCTCGCAGCAACGGACTGCGGTCGCCAGGAAGTGAGGGACTACGCGCAAAGTTTGGGCTTTGTGCAGTCGAAGGGATATACAAGTGAGGCGGCGGAGAGAATGCGGTAGCATGGCACCCTCTAGCGTTGAGCGAAGGCGCCGGGCGCTCAAGCGCTTCCGGCCAGTCACCATGACCATGGTCGGAATTCCCGTGCTCAGTCCCTTTACGTGCCCGCATGGCTTCTGACATACGAAGCTGACATAGTTCTTGCGCTCGCTCTTGCTTTCGGCGAATAGGTGGTCAAGGTGATGGGCCGCACCGGTTCTAGAGGTCAGGTCATTCAGGTCCGAGTCGAGATGATGGACGACGCTAGCCGAAGCATCATCCGAAACGTCAAGGGTCCTTGCAAGGTCGATGACATTCTTGCATTGCTCGAGTCCGAGCGTGAGGCACGGTGAGTCTTTTTGACACTTCTCCTCCGCACTCCCAAAGTAGCGCATCGAATTGATGGACCTTTCCTCTTTGCCCTCTATCTTTTAGTCGTCTGCGCTAAGCAAGCATGCGTTCTGCAACTCGGTTTCCGTGCAATCTCAGAGGTAGCGTCTTCCCAACAAAAGACGGCCAGACAAACTCATGTCACTCACAAAACATGTACACCACCGCCCGAAGACGTGCGCACAACACAGTCGCACGCATTTCGCAAGCTCGTCTCTTGACGTTCACCCACACGCAATAAAACCTGGCTATGATTTGCATTTTCCCAGTCGGTTGCGATCGGCACCCGTAGGCTGCCGCGCAAGCGATTCGTTTACGATGGATGTGAGTCGATGCGGAATCGACCGCATTGTAGGGGTGGTGCAGGCGTGGGTCAAAAATGTAAAGTACAGTCGCGGCGGATTTGGCTCGACGAGGATGATGCAGCGATGGAGGCGGGGCGACTTGATGATGGCCCGGTGATGATATTCTTTTTTTGGGTTTGCGTAGAAGCGGGAGAACCCTTCCCTTCAATGTAGTCCAGAACCGGTTCCAGCCTTGCGTCAGGTCGGTACCACTAATCTAGCGATCGTGATACGAAACACGTGGGGGAGGGGCAAAGGTAACGCAGAAAGAGCGTCCAAATAAAAATCAGAAGAGTCTAGTGGCGATGCCCATGCTCATCAGCTCTTGGAAGAGCAATTTGGCGGCGTAAGGGATGTAGATCTGCGCGGCAATGCAAACAGTGGTCAATGCTCTGGCGTTCCAACAAAGCGCGCCGTTTCCGTCGGTCACTCACTTTGGAAATGGCTGTGCGGTTCTTGCAAGACCTGCAGTCGTACATGTTCTTCTTGAGGTTGGCAACCGCAATTAAGCCACACGAGTCGCAGACGTGGATCTGGTACGCGTCGCTAGCCGTGTACATGCGCTCCTTGAGGAAAGCGCTCATACCGTGGGCGATCATGCAGTCGCGCTCCATTTCACCGAAACGCAGACCACCATCTCTACTACGACCTTCGACAGGTTGACGGGTAAGGATCTGCACCGGGCCTCTAGCACGCGAGTGGATCTTGTCGTCGACCATGTGCTTCAGACGTTGGTAGTAGGTCGGGCCGAGGAAGACCTGTGCCTGCAGCTTTCGACCCGTGTGCCCGTTGTACATCACCTCAAGGCCACGAGATTGGTATCCCAAAGTGCGCAGAATGCTGCTGACGGCTTCGACGGTGAGATCGGTGAAGGGCGTCGCATCACCTTCCTGTCCGGATAGCGTGGCTACCTTGGAAAGCAGACACTCGACCAGATGTCCAATGGTCATGCGGGAAGGAATGGCGTGAGGATTGATGATGATGTCCGGGGTGACACCTTCGATAGTGAACGGCATGTCCTCTTGACGATACGTAATGCCGATGGTACCTTTCTGACCATGTCTCGAGGCGAACTTGTCTCCCGTCTGTGGCACACGGGTGGAGCGCACGCGCACCTTCACGAACTTCACTCCCTCTTGGTTCGTCGTGACGAGAACCTGGTCGATGATGCCGCTTTCGGTGCTCTTGAGAGGAACACTGACGTCGCGCTTCGTATGCAGCTTGCTGCGAAGACCAAGCTCTTCACTATCGCCGGGAAGAGGCGTAGTCTTGCCGATAATAATGTCTTCTCCGGAAACACGTGTGCCAGGAGCGCAGAGACCATCGGCGTCAATCTTATCATACGTGCCGTGTTTCAGACGGATTGTGGTCTCTCGAGTGGGCTTCTCGAAGGTCTCCATCTCGACCACGCCACTCTTCTTCTCCATGTCGGTGTATGTGCGATAATAGAAGCTTCGGAAAAGACCTCTGTCGATGGACGATTGATTCATGATCACCGAATCTTCTTGGTTGTAGCCCGAGTAGCAGAGAATGGCAACAATGGCATTTTGCCCTGCAGGCAGTTCCCTGAACTTGAGATGTTCCATGGATCGAGTCGTGGCAAGAGGTCTTTGGGGATAGTAGAGAATGTTTGCCATCGTGTCCATACGCATCTGGTAATTGGTCAAATAAACGCCCATGGCCTGTTTGCCCATTGCAGACTCTGCAGGTCAACAGGAGAAAAGCAACAAGATTGAGCTCTGTGCACGGATCGTTCGAATATCTCGTGTCCAACTTACGATAAACGTTGCGTGGACTTTGATTGTGGTCGGGGAAAGGGATAATGCTTGCGCAGATACCAAAGATCATGGCGGGGTGAATCTCGCAGTGAGTCCAAGTCGTGTGCGAGAACGTTTGAAGAGATACCAAACGTGCGCTAGGATCCATCTCAGTGCCTCGTTCGAAAGCATGTGGCCTCTGGTTATACGCCTTGGAAAATTCGAGGTCTTGTGAACTCATGCAGATCATGACCGTTTCCTCTTCCTCAGCGTCCAGCAGCTCAACGAGTCCTTCCTGAAGCAAAGCCTGCCACTTCCACTCCCTTTCTTCGCCCTCGCGATTGTAGCCCGTTCCACTCTCCAGCCAATCAATGTGCTTCTGCTTGATGGCGAGTGACTTGTCCTCATTGACGATGAAGAGCGGCCTCAGCACACGTCCGGCGTCCGTGTACAGACGAAGCTCCTTTTCACGAATATCGTGGACGACGCTGACCTCCATGGTAATGTCGTCTTTTCTTCGCAAATCGCGTAGCGTCTGGACAAGTTTGATGGGCTCTCTGTGCACGCCGGTCCACGTGCCGTTGACGAACACCTTGGTAGGTTGGGTACCGCTTCTGTTGATGTCTTCCACGCCTTCGAGCTCGAACTCCCTGAGAAACTCGATGATGGGAGAGCTCGCTGATCCCACCGAAATGAGAGACATAAGACTGAGATTTTTTACCAAGCCACAAGCTTGACCTTCCGGCGTCTCGGCAGGGCACACCATGCCCCAATGAGTGTTGTGCAGTTGGCGAGGCTTTGCAATCTTACCATCCCGACCTATCGGTGTGTTGCAGCGCCGCAAATGCGAAAGCGTGGAGGCAAAAGTGTACCTGTTCAGCACCTGCGACACGCCAGCACGGACCGTCTTGGAGTTCTTCGGGTCTCCCCAGTTTCCGGTGGCCAACGAGTACTTGAGACCATTGGTGATCGTGCTGGACTTGACGGCAGACGACAAAAAGAATTCTCGCTGCTCTTCGACACACTTTTGCAAGTGTCGGTATATGTCGCGTGTGAGCTTGCGGAACAGCATGCGGAACAATCCAGACAACAGAGGACCAGCAAGATCGAGTCGCTTCTTGCCGAAGTGGTCTCGATCGTCGATTTCTCTGCGCTCCAAGGCGGCGAGCAAAAGACGGTGGACCATGTAGCCGAAGAAGTATGCCTTCTTTGTTTCGGCCCCACTCTCTACTGAGATGTGCGGCAGCATTTCCTTCTGCAGCACGTCCGTTGCAAATTGCTGCGCCTTGGCGGGAGCCATGAATCTGTCTACTTTTGGTTTCTCCTTGTCAGCTTTGTCCTTCTTTGCGTTACCATTGCGTCTGCCAATGAAGGTGAGCGCTGATTCCTTGTCCTGCACGGCGAAAGCTTCCTCGATACAGGGCTTGAGCATCTCCAGCATGGCCGTGTCTCCCTCGTCGTAACAAATATGCTGCATGATATCCCGATCGGGCAGAATCCCAAGGGCGCGGAATACGATGACGATCGGAATGTCTTCCTTGATGTAAGGGAGCGTAGCGCGAATCGCGTTTTGCGTCCCTTTGTCTTTGCCGCGAGTGAACAGCTTTATCTGCATCGAACTAATGATCTTGCCACCCTTCTCCACTGCGCTGCGGATCTCCGCCAGATGACTGAAAGCCGAAGGCGCAGGTTTCGTGAAGACATAGACGTGATTGGCAGCCATGCGCTCTTGCGCGATGAGAACCTTCTCGGAGCCGTTTATGACGAAGTAGCCACCTGAGTCCAGTGGACACTCCTTCATGTGGTATGACTGAGTCTCGTCCACATTGCGCAACCAACAATACTTGGATTTGAGCATGATCGGCACCTGGTGAAGACAGAGGGACACAGATCAGTACGATGGAGAGTGCGAGGAGACTGGGTCGAGCTTACCTTTCCGATGAAGATCTTCTGGGCTTCCAAAGGCTCATCTGGGTCTTCGTCATCTTCTGGGATCCAGAGTGGATCTCCTGTAGCACGATCAAGCCGAGTGGGATGTTGGACCAGCTTTCGCTGACGCATGTCCATGAACATGGGAGCAGAGTATCTGTCCGGGAATCACGCGAAGCCGGATGTGGCGCGTGTTAGTGAGGGAAGTCCAGAAGCAGCGTGAGCAGCTGCTGAATCCGCCTCGACTCACGTGAGGTTGCGCAGTCGCGCTTCTTGAGGCATCATCTCTGCTGAACTACCATCGGACTCGGTCATTGTAGGTCTGGCCAGGTAGATTTGTCCAAAGGAGATCTCGTATCGGCGCTGCATACAATGCGAGCCTGTATTTCAGCAACGACATCACTCCTGAGACGCCGAATTCGTATTCGCCACCGCACCCGCACACGAAGTGCCTCTCGACGAGTCGCCCCAAGGTGCCACTCACGGTCCTATCGCCCTCTGTCAACGTATGCTGATCCGTCTGTTCCAACGTGATGCTTCCGACTTCCTCCACAACATCTTGAATAGTGTTGCCGACGAATTCGTTGAAGCTTGCCAATTGCTGCTGCACGAGACCATTTTCGTCGAAAAAGGAGCGGATGACGTCCCACAAAGACTCCGGTTGAATCTCATCGTCCTCATCGCCATAGTCTTCCTTCTCTACGTCGTACTGCGACTGGCGCATCGCTTCATCAGCATCGTATCCCTGTCCCGCCTTGCCTCCCGGCATCGAATTTTGCAAATAGTCCTCGTACGCTGTCACTGCAACCAAAAATGGGCAAAAGGGGCAGAATGTCCCATTTGGTAAACCGGATTCTATTCTATTCCGACCAAAACGCACGCAGCTCTACAAGCTACCCCGATTGCCCAAAAGCGGGCATCTAGCCTTGCCTTTGCCCGCCCTGTTCCCATATCCACGTCGCGCGCCGACAAACCCTTGAAAGGCGCGGTCTCCATGCGCATCCCTCGTAAACCTCGACCATACCTGCACCAGCGGCCAGCTCATCCCGTGCACCTCCAATCGAATCTGTAAGCGATATTCACCAGTCATGACTGCTCAGCAAAGCCTTCCGCGAGCGGATGGCAGCGAGAAACGTGCGTTGACTCGATCCGATGGGAGAGGGAAAACTCTTGTAGCAAGAGTTTTCCTGGCAGCCAGCGGCCTCTAGCGCAAGGGCGAGAAGGGCGGTGGGAGGTGCGGGGGATGCGCGCAAGCCTTGGATGCAGAAGACCAGTTGAAAGGGACTGAGCGTTGCTGCAACTGCTGGCAAGGGAAGTGGCGCACCCCTACGTACTGTGATCCACAATGAGATGGTGGTACTGTCTTGTGACCAGCATCTGCTTGCGACGGGTCAGTCCGGCGTTTGTGCGCGGTCGATGCGCGCGCGCGCGCGTCAAGTCAGCCCTCGTATATAGGCGTGCATGTCAACCGACGCGTGCAGCACGCTGCTTGTGCGCACAGATGTGCCACGTGGCCATGCTGCCTCACAAACGGGTGCCAGACACACATATACGCAGCATGCTCCGACAGGATCACACGGCGTACTCATGATCGCTCGTAAGTTGTAAAACATATCCCTACAATCCGACTGGTCTATAGCTTTTGCGTCATCTACGAAGCTAAAGCCACAACAGTCGTGCGCGAGACGAATCAAAGCAAAGCAATCCAATTACTGGTGATGCGAGTCGCAATCACTGACGGCGTAAAGTTGGGCGGTATTGACCGCTTACTGGTATTGCTGCTCGTACTGCTGCTTGGCCTGCCAAAGAAGGTTCGTCACGTGGAACAGGTCAGCACCAACGACAGGAGAGCGGCTGTGGGTAGATGATTGCTCACCTCCTCCTGAGCGTGGTGCTTAGCGCGCTCGCCTGCGTGATTTCACAGTGTGACGAACAGAAGCGTCAGCGGAATGGAGGACAGACGGAGCCTGGCGTGGACGCCAACGCACGGTCAATGAAGTCCAGGCCCTTGGTCTCGAAGAGCTTGTCGGCCTCTGGACGAATAGGTAGCATAAAGAGTAGCGTAAGCGACGCGCTGTGTTGAGTTTGTGCCGCAAGGCGTCATCGAACTCACCAGCGCCGGCGATACCAGCGAGGATCTCCTTCGCCAGGGCGTGGTTGGCGGGCTTGCCGTTCTGCACAGGTACGAGCGGGTCGTATAAGCGTCATGAATATATCTTGCTTGCAGGACCTTGACCAAGGAGCACATAGCGAAGAGTGCACTCACAGCTGCCTCGTGCTGCTCGTACTTGCGCATGGCCTCAAAAGCGGCGGCACCGCCGACGAGCTCGTGGGTCCACTTGCCCTCGTGACTAGATTAAAGGAACGAGTAGGTCCATAGCAGTCAGCGCATGCGGGCATTGCCAGGGCACATGATCGCGGGCACTCACGGCTCGCCGTTGTACACCTCCTGGTGGTTGTCAGAGCTGAAAAATCCCATTTTGGCTAGTTTGCTGTGCGTGTTCGAATTCTGCGTGCGGGATGGACAATGAAAGTGGACGAAATATGAGCTTTAGAGTGATCTTTCTTCGATCGAGGGTATCGGTGAGAACTCACGTGGATGTCTTTGCAGAGGTGTTGGTGTGTGAGAGGGGCAAGGTGGGGTGCAGGCATGGCGACCACGTTTCTTATACCCCTTTGCTCGCAGCCTGCAATCGTATGCCATCTCACGTCCACTGCAGCACGGACCTGTGACGCGTACGGCCTGGTGCCTGTCACATATGGAACGAGGGCAAGGCTGCTGTGATGCTCTGTGCTCAGCTGTCAGCTTGAGAGCAACGAGCCAGTCATGAGTGCGTCAGGCTCCACAGCCACGGCCATATTCGTGGCTTTCTGCGGTGGCCATGCAGACATCCCAGCTCTTGCGCAGCGCCTTTCGATCATGGTCCGTGCGGTCGTCGTCATCTGCATGTTGGTTTCGGTATGTTCGTACATTCAAAGGCGGTGTGTTTCTGGCGGTCTTGCTCGATCGTCTCGCCTGCTCCACTCGAGCGTGACTGCCCCGGTGCAGAAGTAGTGAGTGCATCTGATTCCCCGCGCAGCTCTGACCAACCGATGAATTAAGAAACACGACTCCTCTAATCCAGATGTAAATCTCGAGCTCGGCGAGAGCAAGGCTGCGAACGTATTCTGCCAGAGTCTCCAGCGCAAAGCAAGCAGACTCAGCGATGACGTCTGCACTGCTTGAATGCTGTGCTAAATCGAGACCACTTGGAACTGGCGAGTTCCAGACCCCGCGGAGGTTGGAATGGCGTACATTTCGGTCCGTACGTATGCATGCAGAAGAGTACGTTCGCACAGAGACCACACAGAGGAAGAGTCAAGAGCATCAGCAAGGTCCATGCGCTCGCTCCGTGCAATTCGGGATTTTGTTGGTGTGGCAGTGATGTTGCTGGGCTGAGCGTCGGACCGCGGCTTGCAGCAAGGCTTGATCAAGCAACTCGCGCGCGTTGGAAGCTTCTTGCGGAGCTCAAGATGGTGCTGCATGCGCATGGTGTGTATATGCACGAACCTGTATGATGCCGCGGTCGGCACCTATTGGTAACCGGCGGCTTGTGCGGCAAGGAGCCGCGAGGGCCTCGGCTGCCGCACCTAAAACAAGGAACGGAGGTGCGGTGAGCGTGGTGCTCCAGTGGAACCCGATCACTCACAGTGACTGTCCTTACCGAGCATATATGCGGCGTGGAAGCTTCTGAGACCTTGGAATGGCGCAGATGTGTCATCCGCTGCAGTCTTTCGCGCAGATGAAAAGGCTATCGATCTGCTGTGTATGCCTTGCACAGACAAGCAGCGCTCGCACCTTCTTCGGACTCCGTTGCGCCCTCAGTCGCGGGCCAAGGTCCAAGCTTCAAAAACGCCTCGAGGTCCCAGCACTTCCGACAAGCTAGCTCTGGGAGAGGTGCCACACCTCGGACTTCCAGCGTAGACGCTCGCAGCGGCTGGCTCAACCGCACTGCTTGATGGCTACCGTCTTCAGTGTGAGCTAAGGGCACGTGAGTGATTGATGAAGTGCTGTCAGCTCCAAGATGACCGCAGGCGCAGTTCCGGACTGATCAGTGATGAGTTTATGAGATTCGAATTGACAAAAAGTCAAGCTCCGACACTGAGTCAAGTGGAATAATGTGCTCAACTACGAGGAGCCGACGAAGGCAATCAGAATTAATACTCATTTGACAGGACGAATTTGTCGAGACGGAGACAGGTGTATGGCGTGCGAAAGCTACGGTATAGACACGGACGAGCTGTGAGGATGGTATCAAGCAGACTCTTGCTTCGCGGCCGAGGGCTCGCCTTGAACGGAACGCGATTCCTGAAGTCCGGCTGGTGCTCTGCTAGCTCGCACCAAAAGGGGCAGACGCAGAGCCTCGACGATCACGAAAATGGCGTACAAGCCGACAATGACACCAACGTCAATAAGCTGGTCCGCGTCGTGATACTCGTCTTCGTAGCCCCCGATTCGGGGCTCAGGTCCTTGCAGCTTGGAAAGGGTGGCTAGTTTTACGCTAGTAAAGACTACCGACAAGATCCAGAAAAAGAGGGCGATGGAGCTCGTCAAGAGTCGGATCTGCGGCGTGACCCGAACGTGTATCACGATGAGGACCAGCACGATACCGGCCAAGGTAAATGGCAATAGACCCGCGCCTCGGTGGGCGAGATACAGTCGAACGATCTCGAGAACGTCTGTGGAAGAGCTCGTAATTCAGCTCATACAAGAGGAGGAGGGTTAGATGCGGGACTGCCCTTGGACTTACTCATGAGCAGGGCAGCAATGATCAGCAAGGTGTGAAGGACTGCCCCAACAAGCTTGAGAAGTCTTGCAGAAGCGTAACGGTAACGCTGCAATGGAAGCTTCTCGCCTGAGAACTTGCCCTGACGAAGTGATGCGATAGTAGCTGGAAGCCAGAGCAGGATGAGAAGGAGCAGAAGGAGCCACGTAGCGAGCGGTACCACAACCACGTCTAGCAGGCAAGTGTGCGGTAAAGCATCCGTGCTAGAAGAAAATGGCTAAATCGATGCCATCCTCTGACGTCAGTAGGGAACCGAAGATGGGTCTCGCGATGAGTGACTGACCTGGTCGTTGTCGAGCCTCAGCCCACATAGAGCCTGAGGGTGGTAGAAATCAGAACCTGCGTCCATATCGTACGACTTGAAATTTACACCCCGAGTTTCCTTTAGGTGTTTTTGCTTTCCTTTGCCAAGCAGACACCGTGACGATGAGCTCTGGTGCTTGATTCCGTGCGACGCGAACAGCGTACTGTTCAGATCAGCTTTCCTTCACTTTTCTTCAGAGAGGGGATGTGGCAGAAGAACGGTAATCAGCGTCATTCACTAACCACGGTCATCAGAAGATGCTCAGACCATGCTTACCTCTACGATCGTGATTTCATCGACTCTACCGCTATCGTTCCACATTCCGACCGTTGAGCCTCTAGACGGTGTCGCCGCCCTCCAATTTCAAATACGAAAGGAGGAAGGAGCCTAAACCAACCATCGGCCTGAGGGCGGCCACACGATCAGGCCATTTGCGCGCACGTCGCCTTGGGCGCTAAAAGTCATCGATCTCTCGCACGGCAAGGGCCTTTTTATCACGTGACCGGCTGAAAGTCTCTGATGAACCCCGGCCGCTAAATGTTCAAATTCCTGGTGTTTGATTCACCACTCCTCTTCTCAAACTCGGGATTGAAGCTCTCAAGGGAACTGGTCGCTCACCGCTTGCCCATCGCGAGCCGATAAGGTCGATTAAGCTTGAGAAATAGTTCCTCTGGATCAGGCACTCACCCGGGCAGTGTCGGTGCGAGCGTTGGTTCAAGCTGTTCATGAGAGTTGGCTCGAGCGCCAAAGCACAGCCCTCCTTTGGCGCAAGAATCTTCCCGGCACAGCGCCAATTTGCCAACACATGCCATCCGGCCCGTCCCAGCTGCCGCGAGCTGCTCTCCACTTGCTGCCAGCTCGTCGTCCTCAAAGTACCCTGCACAGCATCAGGAATATTTACTCGGTCAGGCATCGCACAATGGCAGGGGCAGCTTCCTCAGGAGCCAAGTACGAGGACTGGTCAGCAGATGATCTGCGACGAAGGGTGCTGGAACTGGAGGCCAAGCTGGGCAATGTAGCCAGTGCCAGCGCTCCTTTAGCCGACGGCCCCAGTGCGCCGGCTGAGGCGGGGCCTAGCCGCCTCCCTGCACAGCCAGAGCAGGAGCCGGCTCTCAGCCGACGAGCATATAGGCGAGCGATACGTCTTGGGCATCGAATTCAAAGACAAGGGCCTGTGTCGCAAGCTCGCGGACAAGCAGTGGTTGACGATGCCAAGGCAAGAGGAGTAGTGAAATCATTCAACTTCGATCTCTATCCACAACGCAAGATCGCCATTCGGTTCGCCTACGATGGCACAGAGTATGCGGGGTTGGCAGCTCAATCGAACGCAATCACTGTCGAGTCAGTGCTATGGGATGCGCTTGTCAAGGGGAGGCTGGTAGATGGTGAAAAGGGTATGCAGGGTGCGGGATGGACAAGATGCGGAAGGACTGATCGCGGCGTGAGTGCGGCTGGTCAGGTCGTCTCGCTTTGGATTCGCAGCAAGCGCGTGGACGAGCGGCAGCAGAGGACGATGCATGAAGCTCGGTTGGCCAAAAAGATGGCCGCGTATCTCGAAGCCGCCGATGGTCCTCGAAAGGCACCTTCCATAGAGAGTCCCGCTGCTGAACCCGTCACTCCGGACCTCCGTCACGAGAAAGGGTCGTCTTTGGAAGACTTATCACTGTCTGACAGGATGAAGGCAGCCCCACCAGCCGGTGAATCGCTGGCCACCTCCACACCTGACGTACCTTCAAGCGCTCAGAATGGGGCCACGTCGGTCAAGCTCGATGGGAGTAGCCCAGAGTTGCCTTATCTGTCTGTGCTGAATGGTTTGCTCCCGAACTCAATTCGCGTCCTAGCGTGGTCACCGGTGGCTGCGGATTTCTCAGCCCGATTCTCGTGTCGATACAGACACTACAAATACTTCTTTACAGCTGGCAGCCCACTGCTTCCGACCACTGCGGGACCATCTCCGCGTTTGAACATAGACGCCATGAGGGAAGGCGCTTCTCGTCTGCTCGGGGACCACGATTTTAGAAATCTGTGCAAGGTAGAGGGTGTCAAGCAGATCACAAATTTCCGGAGACGAATCGATGGCGTCTCTATCGATCAAGTCCCCGCCACCTGGACATCGAAGGAAACCGACTCTGCTTCGGACGAACCGATGTACGTCCTCAATCTTCGGGGTACTGCATTCCTGTATCACCAAGTCAGGAATATAATGTCGGTGCTCTTCTTGATTGGTGCAGGTCTGGAAAAGCCCTCGCTAGTTGACGAGCTGCTGAACATCAAACCTGGCATGACAGCCGAGGATGCAAGGTGGGCGGCGATACACGGTGTCAGCCTCCGCAAAGACCGAACCGTACTGCCCGGAAGCACCGCCACTGAGCGAGATGGTGTAGTCCAGCTCGACAGCGAGACTGGCCTGCCCGTGATGGTTCAAACGGCCACTCCGATGGAGCACGACACCTCCTGGACGGAGCAGCAGCAGCAAGACGAAGAGGAGCGGCTCGAGAGCTTGCGCGTGTATGCTAACAAGCCCGAGTACGAGATGGCCTCCGACACTTCGCTCGTACTTTGGGACTGCGGCTTCCGGCCAAGCGACGTAGCATGGCGGGCCGGAACCTACGACGGACCCTTACCAGCTCCGCAAGAAGCCGACGTGGACAGCGCGGCTGCGCCTACTGCAGCTTTGCTCCATGGGGAATGGACCCGAAGATCCATCTCTGCAGAGATTTGGAGACATTTCCTCTTCTCTTCCCCTGTCGCCCCCGTTGGCACACAAGAAGCTGGAGTCACTTTCGAGCAGGCACGTCGTCCAACTTTGCCAGCAGCATCGAATCAGGATGGGACAAGACACAAGTCTTTGGGTCCAACTGCGGTACTGGTGCCTCTTGGAGGAGGCTACGTCAGATTACACACGTCTTGGCGTGGCTTTGCGAAATTGAAGCGAGAAGAAGCGCCAGAGGTCAAGAATCAGCGATGGCTCGAGGGCAAAGGCAAACAACGAGCTGAGGCCCTAGGTATTACACCACAGCAGCTCTCGAGAGGATATCGACCGCCGCAGTAAGACTTTGCATGTCGAGTGCGCTTGTTGCTACCTCACGAGAAGGGAGTGGAGTGCGCTTCGGCCGCAGCACTTCAGGAAATACATTAACATTCTTTGGTGGGCACGTAGGCCATCGTTGAAGACAAAATGGAGCATTGCAGCGTAACAAAGATCGTGCAGTGGAAATCGCCAGGCTCGCTTGTTGGTTGGAAGAATCAATGCTTCAATTGAGATGATGTAGGTGATGGCTCTTTACTGGCTGCAGAATCCAAACTTGAGCTCCAAGACTCTTCCTTGATGGGTATCAATCCGCCCTGCGAAGGGCTTACAGAGAGCTCCGTAGCTTGTGACGCGGGAAACCCTCCAAGCCCGCCTCGCTCTGAGTCGGGTGAAGAGACCAGGTCGACCGGCGTGAGGGCAGATAGAGAAAGGGCAGGTGAAGTTCCTAGGTCGAATCTTGAAGATGCGGCTCCATCGACTCGGTCCGCGGTGGAGAGCGTTGGGGTGCGTTCTGGGTCCCGCTTTGCCAAAGCCTCGACGCGTTTTTGCTCCAGCTCGAGCGCGATCAAGCCAGGGGGGTGACGACGGGATTGCTCTGGAAACGAATTCCACAAGCGCCTCTCATCGGAATCTTCCGTGGATGTCGTTTCCGTTGTGTGGGCGCTTGGTCCAGGCGACGGCGGCTCAGTCTCGCCGCTAGGTTCGACCCTCCGCAGGGACTGCCCGGGCGAGACTGGAGGTGGTCTGACGCGAGAGCTTTTTTCTCGAGTGCTCTTGTCCCCTGATACTTCCGATACACCCTGCAAAGTCGATTGAGTGTCGCCAGTCCTGCTTCCAGCCTCGCCGCTGTGCTCATCGATGACAGCTTCCCTTTCCGCTGTGCTGGGACGACTTGATTTGCTTGGCAAAAACGGCGACCACCAAGGGGTTGGCTGCGGCTCATTCATGCTCAAAGAGGAGGATGGATCATCCTTTCTGGCTCCTTTGTTGACAGGCGCAGCAGACGATACTGACCAGCCTGGTGGCAGATTTGGCACCGGAGGCGCTCCTTCGGGCAAGTCGGGATTTGACGCTGCAGCTACAGCTGGTGAACCTTCGCCGGAGCTTGTAGTAGTCCGACTGAAAGCGTTTCTGAGAGATTCGGCAAGAGACGACACTGAAGATGTCGCGCGACCTCGTCGACCAGGTTTGCTTCCATTAGAGTCGTGCGAAGACACTAGACCTTTTTGAGCGGACTCGAGGTCTTTCGCCCTGGCTTCGGGCGTCCCAGCACCGCTCCCGTTCGATCGCTCACCGGACACGCGTGGCGAATGTACAGATGCGATGCCCTTCACTCTCGGGCTGCTACCTTGACTTTGTGCGACTGAAGTGCTGGCAGAAGAGTCCGGGCCGGTCGGCGCAACAGCGGCGTCTTCGATTATCTCCAGAGAGTCATCAGAGTCTCGAGCACGCTTGCTGCTTCCTCGAGGTAGCGAGACAGTGTCCTCGCGAGCAGTCAAGGGTGCTAGAGTAGGCTCGCTCGACACAGCCAGAGGCAAGCTGCCAGTAGCTCCAATGAGTGCAGGCGCACTGAGCAGAGAAGTGCTGGAGGCAGCAGGGAGCCGAGCGACGTCTGCCTCAGACAGAGCTGACGAGGCTTCGCGTTGTTGAGAGAGCTTCCCGCTGGAAGATGGGGCTTGAATGGGTGAGACCAGTGATCGCGAGGCTTCTTCGTACATCGCTTCCGCCCAATCTCCAGGGTGAGCGGGCCGGGGCTCTGTTATGAGTGGCATAGAGCCTGTCGGATTTGCCTCGTACGCTCTGAGCTGCGACGGATGAGCATCATCGCGTTCCTGCCCATCTCCTTTTTCTAAGGCCTCTGCTGAGGTCACTTGGGCAGCAGACTCGTCCACGATCTGCGTCGCCCTTGTCAGACCGAATTCCAATAATGTATCGCGAACCCGATCTTGAGCTCTGCTTCGCCAGCCATTCTCCACATCTCTCTTGGTGAAGTTGGCCAGCAGCCCAGTCCTGCTATGAGCTCTGGATTGGGTTCGCGCGTCATCGAAATCGCGATATGCGCTATACCGACGATCTGTGCCTGTGGACGCTGCACGACGATCCTCTGTCGCAGAGCCCTTGAGCTGACGCCGCCTTTGGTATCGCTCACCCACATAGAGTAGCGTTGCTGACGCCAGCACAAGCAGCAATCGCCAAGCAGCCCAGGATGCGTTGATGATGAGTACAACGTACGCAAAGGTCGTCAGCTCATCGCGTTCTTGAGAGAAGTAGGTGCTGTCCCTGCCATTAAGCGCGGCGAAGGGACTGAATGGATGGTAGAGCGCCAGAACGACTGCACATATGATCGCGCGAGGCGCTAGGGTGGCGACCGTGGGCCAATCTGGCAATGATGGAATGTTCCGCGTTAGCTGGTTCCCCCACGTACGCGCAGGAGTCCGACTCACTCTGGCGGTAGTACCACATCGTCTCCAATGCTGCATCAACCGGGCGTGCAGAGCATCTGACTCGATAGAGTAGAGAATACAGCGAAAAAGATCTGATAGACGACAAGGTGAAGACGGCGCTTGACAAGTAGATTGGCAGAACCGCGGGTCGTGCTAATTGAGGACAATGAGGTGCGTCGCGGCTCAGCGATCGCCTCTTTCAAGGAATCACAGATGTACTCACGCTCTGTCCAAATACGCCGGTACGCGACCAAGCCTTCCCATATCACCACGATTCCTGCGAGCCAGAAGATCGTGAATGCGGCATAGACACCTGCAGCGACCCACCAAGCCACGGCTGTGCCCGGCGTTGAAGGAAAGATCGCCAATTGCACGAGCGTGTAAATGGCGTTGTAGTCTAGGAAGATGGTCGCTGGGACGTGCGCATACGACACTAGCAGCAATAGTCGATGATGCACCTGCGCGAGGGTGGACCGCAGACGAAGAGGCCGTAAAGCTTTGGTATCCGCGGGCAAACGAGGTTGTAGGGCGTCGAGCGCTTCTAGATGGTGCAGCATCTCGGCCCTTGTCTGGGCTGCGAACAAGGTGGAGTAAGACCGCAAGTCTGGCGCATTCTCACCGTAGTCACGACGATCCATCTCGATCCCTTCCAGCAGCTGCTGCGTCGTAAACCAGTCCCCGCTGCTCCATATGTGCGACAGTGCACTGATGCGGCCACTGCCACCAGCTCCGCTGATCGGCCTTTCGCGTCTCCACAGAGGTGGACTGGTCTCCTTGCCCTCGAAAGGGGCGAAAAAGGGTTCGTAGAAATGTGAAGAGGTGCGTGGTGGGATCTCTGCTGCCGAAAGTCTTCCATCTGGCAGTACGCCAGGCAAGAATGATAGCAGCTTGTTTCGTTGATCAGGCGCTGCAAGACCTTTTGGCGTAGCTGGCACGCTCTTTGACCGTGTTCGAGCAGGCGAGGATGGGGAAGTAGCAAGCCGCAGATGCATTCTCGATGCTGCTGATGTGGGCACAAGGCTGTTCGCACCAGGCTCGAGGATGTTGCCAATCCCAGACGAGGTCGACGGTCCCATGAGCGTGCTTTGCGACCGCCGGTTGCTGGCTGCTAATAGAGCGGACGGCGTAGCATCCGGAAACGATATAGACCGCGCGGAATGAAGAGCAGCAAGAGTCTCTGAGTTGTTCCGCTGAACACTACGAGTGTGAGCTGCCGAGGAAGGTCCTCCACCAGCGTCGAGACTCTTGCCCAGCGCTACGCTCATGCTGGTACTTCTTTGCCGCACTAGCTCACGATCGAGCTCCAGGCTGTGGCTGCGTCGCTCACGATCTCGTTGCTGCAATTCAGCTTGTTCGGGGGTGAGCACTCGCTCGAGTGGACTGAAGTCGCTCGCCCCAAGCTCCCCGGCCCCGAATCTTTGCTCGTATGATGACGGAGTGGAAGGAACGCTACCGATGCCTTCTTCTTGCGAGTTGCCAGGTATTGCCGATGCGCTGCTCTCTGCATCAGTGCTTTGACTGTGCTGGCCGGCTTGTCTCGCCTTTCGCTCCCTAGAAGCGCGCCGTGTCGAGTCAGTGTGACCTTCAACCTCATCTTGGGAGCCCGCGCGCCGCACATCTTCCAGATCCCTGGGTATGGAAGACCATTCTGGTCTCGTTGCCGGCTTTGATGGCTGGTCGACAACATCTGGCAGTGCTGACAGCTGCTCATCCATCCGCTGCTTTCCTCGAGCTTTCGCAGACATGAGAGGTGCGGGGCTAAGAGGTGTTGGACCGCCCCGCGGAGGAGGGCCCCAAGGGGTCGAAGTGACCGTCGTTGCGCTCTGAGCTGAAGATGCCGAATAGTTCGGGGACATCGGCATGCTTCCAGCTTCGTTTCCGGGCCACGGCGAAGTATTCGTCCGAGGGGAGCTGAGTGGACTGCTCGAAGATCTACCAAAAGTCCCTTGCGGCAACGTTGTTATCGACGACGTCGCAGGATGCCCGGCATCTCTTCGACCCCGAATATGCACCGGCAAAGCCGCCTCCGCTTCGCCACCGTGCCTTTGAAAGATGTGTTGCAGACCAGGCAGGTAATTGCTCCCATCGCTTCTTCCTCTCGCCTCTGTCTCTGAGAAGGAGGCGTTCATGACAGGACGAGGCACAGTCATGGCGAAGGAAGATGAGTGCGCAATTCTGGGTCAAGTGGCCTTGCAGGTGATCCTGATGCGTTCAACGCGAACGGCGTGGCATTTGACTGGTCATGAGGCTCGAAATTTGGGATTGTAGCCGAAGTTGAGGGGGCGTTGCGGTCTAACGTGCGCTTGAGTGGATGCACGGAATTGATTGAAAAGACTTCGTCTTCTCAATGAGGTGTGACACGGAGTGTGGAAAGATCGGCCTAGGTCAGCTATTCGCTACACCACACCGAGGCCAGCAACACGGACGAGTGGAGATTGTAGTTGCTATAGTCAAGAAGGCATGCTCTGCCAAAGCCAGGGGTGCTGGTCCCCGCACTTGCATGCGGGCTCGACTGGAAGAATAGAACTTGTGGCGAGCGGCAACGAAACGAGTTGTACGAGTAACTCCGCACCAAAGACCCCGACCCCCGCGCCGACTTTGTGAGTCAAAGAGGCGAGCTATAGCTGCGTCATCTGCGCTCCCGGCATATCTCGCTCGCCGGCATCCAGCCTCTCTTGGCTGCGTTCAGCCGCGCATCACTAATGCATAAGCAGCATCTATCGCTGAGCACCGCCACAGCCACATGTAGGAACCGCTGAAGCAGTGCCGACAATCGGCAATCGCTCACGACTTCTCTGCTTCGCCAGCCTTCGGTCTGCGGCCGGAAAGGCCTTTATCGACGGTGCGAGGTTAGAGGCTATCCTCAAGAGGGATCCACACCGGAGCGCAATGGCGGAGCGGAGCACGTCACTGATGAGAGGGCCTTCCAGAGGCCGAAGCCAAGACTGGACGCTGCGCTTACTGCATACGCTCTTGCATCGGAGTTCATGCGTACGCGAGCTTCTCCACACCTCGGCAAGCGAATGCGCATGCGACGAGCGACCGGGCGCCATTCACATTGCGCTGATGTCGGCCATGCACCTCCCTGAGCCTTGTTCCACACCAGCAGCAGCTTGCTAAACACAACCTGCTGGACCTCGCTGAAGCACCGCAATCAATCGAAATGATTATATGGCCACCGCGACAAACAGATGCACTTCTCCCGCGCAGCCACCGTCATGCGGCTCAACACTTCGATCGCGCTTATCGAAATGTGAGACAACGCTATACGCTTGCTGCTGATGCCGCCCTCGAGGCCTTTGTCTCACTTTTCGACGCGTGTGAATCAGTGCGGATCCGCACGCGCGCGTCTTCAGTGCTGTGCTTCGTCATATGATGCGACGCGCCCGGCCCTCCTGCCTCGTTCAGCAGCTAAGGCACCTGGATGCAACGCGAACGCTCGCTGAGCAACAGCCACGCACGCGGCTTTGGCGCCGTCCTGCCTATCTCCTCGCTCTCGTCGGACCGACAGCATCGATTGACATTGATTGAATCCTCGAACACGCACCTTGAATGACTAGTCAAGCTCGAGGCTGGATCGAAGGGCGGGCGAGGAGTTGGGATTGTTAGAGAGCGAGTGGAAGTGCGTTGCTGGCTGCTGGCTGCTAGCTGCTGATGAGATTGAAAGTCTTTGACCGCTTGGTAAGACCGGAAATAGGTGAGCTGGGATTCTGAACGAGACCGCCAAGATCACGTTGATGATGAAACAGTGGGAGTGGGACGGCGGAGTAGCTTGTAGCGGCGAGATGAAAGAGGTTGTGGGGATACTGGAGAGGTGAAGAGAGAAGACGTGAGGAGAGGAGAGGAGAGGAGAGGAGAGGAGAGTGATGGTGGTGCTCGCGACTGTCAATCTTGGGCTTTCGTCAGACCGAGCCAGATTTCGACAAGGTCTGGCTATGCCTTTTCTCTTGGTGATCCACAATCCTCAATCTCGCTTCTGCCACTCGTGACTACTACTATCAGCAAACGATGGCATCACTCGCGGCTTTAGCAGTTCGGGCCTCACGCTTGCTTAGCGCACTCAGACTGAACATGTTTCTTTGGGCCGCTGACAATCTGGACAAATTCGCCATGCAAATGCCGCGGGGAGCGTTCGATCAGGGCTCCAAAGCGTGACATCGCCGATCTCCATCCACGTTTGCGCGGCGCTGTGTGCCCCTCTACGTGCGCAAGGATCGTTTGAAGAGGCCCGCACGACTGAACAAGCGGCCATGCATATCCGGTCGAGCCGCTGCAACAATGTGAATATGAACCAGCCGTTCTCCCCGGCCTCGGCGCCCTCGGACAATACAGGCGAAGCATGTGTTGGTGGGATCGGCAGGCACAATAGAGGCGGGTGCAGCGATATGTGAGCCAGGCACCGTGTGTACCTATCAGCAGACCCTTCGACTTCGGTGTCCGGTGAGCCTACCTCGCAGGATGCGCGGGCAAGCATCGGCGCGCAAACGTCGTCGATGTTTACTGCGCCTTGCTCGCATTACGAGATCATGCCGCTTTGCCGTCCCTCGATCATTCGCGAGGCTCAGCTTCACATGACCGGAACGTGTATACGAGGAGCGCTTCGTCCGTCTCAAGAGATTACGTACGGCGTCAAGTACGAGACGGCCGAGCGGCGTATCCGCATTAGCAGTCAAGAATGTGAATGGGTTCATCCCCGCCACGCACACGCACGTGCTGAAATTTGGCGAGGCATGCAGCGCAGCATCGGGGCAGCAGGGCGGCAGGGTCGCCGCGCTCTTGACTTGATCCTGATGTGAGCAGCCTCGCCACACTAACATTCGACATTTCCTTCCAGCAATTGTGAGTCACGAGCCTACGAAGGGAGGAAGGGAGAATCAAGAATCGATCGCGATTCGGGCTCAGCGGCCCAGCAGCGAAGTGATGTATCCAACGCAGCGGTCGGCGCGCATGATGCAGGATGAGCGTGCGCGTGTACGCTAGCGTTCATGCTCCGCCACCAAATCAAATCACAAATGTGAATCGGGAACCCCATTCACATTGTGTACTTGTCACTTAGGCTGCTGCAGCGAAGCTAGGCGGTACAACCACCGAGCGGTGCGGTTGTGCATTCAGCCGCTCTCGCTCGAGAGCTGATCCAGTCATGTATCGCCCTCCTCGAGTCGCGCTTGGAAGCGCGTGAGTGCTCGTTCGGACTTCATGGTATGACAGAGCGCGTGGCGCTTGAGGCTGGTCGCGTGCGACGCTAAGCCAGCTTTCCAACTGCGGGATTGTAGGCAAAAGGCGTGCCAGACGCTCGCATCAACTTCGCCCCGCTCCGAAGCTCGAGAGAGACACAAATAGCGCGCAGGACGTCACAGTCCATTCGGCTCTTTTGATTGCGCATGGGATGTTGTTGCGGAGCAAGATACAGGATGGCGATTAAGCGGGACTCTTTTTGGGCGACGATACAAGGGAAATCGAGGTCTCAACGTGCTAGTGGTGATGTAGATTTAGGTTGCGTTAGACTCGCGGAACGATGCGTGGTTAAAGCCGTCGATGGCGCTGCTTCGCGGCTTGCCACGGGCCAAGCCGGTAATTGCGTCTGACTGGAGATGCTGGAAATGATGCACGCTACTGGGTCGCCAGCGACTTCCAGAAGCGTTCAAGATGTGTTGACTACGTCGCGGAAAGTGCCCGGTGCTTTCGAAGTGGAAACACTTTGTACAAGATGTCGGTCTAGGCGAGCTCCGACAGGTCTGTATGTGCTGAGTGCAGGCGATCAAGGGCGAACGGACCGTCCGATGACAGTGCCGAATTCTTGTCTCTGCTCGAGACATGTGAATCCGAGTCGAGGCGGGACAGGGGGTCGATGAGGGTGTGAGAGTTTGAGGTCGTAGCGCTGAGCGGAGAATGCGCGTGGTCGGCAAGGTCGATTGGCGGGACAGCGACCGTCGTCGACGCCCCAGACTCGGCCCCACGCCAGGACTGTGACAATGGGCTCGCCGAGGCAGGCGACAACGGCTGCGCCTGATGGGCTATCAGGCTCGGACTTGGGGGAAGAGCACGGAACCGAGCGTTGGGACTAGCGAGTCTTGCTCCTGGAGACGCGGCCAGCTCTGCGCCTTTTGCCTTCGCCCATGGCTGCACTTCTGTAGTAGAAGGGCGCCGTGACTGTGGACTAGCGCTGCGAGACGATGGCGAGGCAGAGCCACGCGAAGCTCGCTGCTGGGCAACTCGATAGGAATCATAGGCGCTGCTGCCCGAGGAAAATTCCGACGGTACACGTTCGTGACTCCAATTGCCCAAAGCATTCCTCACTGCGCTGTGAGTAGAAGCTCTCATCGCCTCGAGAGACTCGTGTGGCATCGTGGATGGAGACGAGCGCGTAGGCTCTGTTGGGTCGAGCTGGGACGATCGCCGATGCTCGCTGAACTTGGGGATCCTTTCCAGCATTTCTGCTAGCCTCCCGTCGATGCTCCCTTCATCGTCGGTCGAGGAATGGTCCTCTTCGACCGCTGGCTTCTGAAGGAAGAAGGTGTGAGAAGTCGAGGGTGCTGTTGCATCGACAGAAATAGAAGCGCTGGCACCAGAAAGGCTCGGGACAGGCTCGGATGTGTCTACTGGACTTTCCACCGCGAGCGGTTCATCTCTGGGCCTCACTTGTCCAAAGTCGCTCGCACTGCCCAGGTACTCATCGAGAGCAAAGTTGTTGGCGAGAGCGCTGTTGTGAGAGTTCGGACGCGCACCAGAGTGGCTGAATCGCGAGATCGTGAGCCGCCGCGCATCGTCCGCAGCGCTTCCGTCTTGACTCCACTGATCCTCGCTTTGAGATTCATCCTCACTCGCGGATGACGGAGCTGCAGGAGGCAGTTCCGTAGCGCCAGCGGCGGATGCAGGCAATAAGGACGTCTCTTCCGAGATCGAAGAGGGACTCAAGACTGTCGACGTGACTTTGGGCGGACTGGTTTCCGTTTCTGCAAGCGGAGGACCGCGTGAGCTTGGGCTAGCGTTCAAGCTCAGTTGTCCAGCGCTTGACGCTGCAAAAGATTCGCCGCGAATCATGCTTCGAATGCTCTTGGGACCGTGCACGAAGGAAGAAGCGGACTCTTGACGCTCGTGAGCCATTCCAAGCGAGGCTCGATCTTCTGGAGGTAATGGCGCGGCTTCGATATCGCTGGCTAAGATCTCACTGATATCGTCCACCGTCTGGTCCTCATCGTCTTCTGAGCCATCATCAGAATCGCTAACATCGCTTGCTTGTGAGGTTTGGGTGTACTGGTTCTGGCGCGGCGAAACTCCGGGAATCGGGTCCCACCCACTTCTGACGACTGGGGTGCGCTCAACAGCCTCTTCTGCAGTACACTCGTCAAGCTCCAGATTCGTAGCAGATTCGAGCGCTTTCTGCACCAGAGTCGGACCCGACCGGGAATCTTGTGGAAAGTAGGAGTCGGTCGATTGACTATTGTCAAGAAGCCCTGTGCGCTCAGTCAGAATTGTAGTCTCTTCGACTGAGTCAGTCTGCGAGGACGCGGTCCCGACTTTAGCTCCCAACGTCTCTTGTTTGGGAGGCTGTGGCGTTGACAAGTCGTGGTGAGACAGTGGTAGCGCTTCATCTGGGAGTTGAGCAACTGGAGTGGCCACAAGTTCTTGAGCCTGCTCCATTGAACTCGCGCTGCGCGCATCTTCATCGTGGCGTTTCTGAGCCGCGTGGTTGATTGGCGATAGTGAGGTGAGTAGAGTGGTGGATTGAGCCGGGGAGGTGGGCTTGCTTGAAGCCTCACGGCTTTCTTCCTCATGTGAAGCGTCGTCGGTCTGGGAGGCGCGCTTCGAGCTGTTGGATAGCATGTCACCCCTCTGTCCGCTCCCAGGGCTCGTTTGCCATGTTGTCGTGGCTGATCTGTCCAGGGCTGCTGGCTCTTCGTGATCAGATTCACGTTCCTGCTCAGGATCGTCCGCATTTGCGCGGGGAACTACGCCCTCGAATCGGTGTGTCAAGCTGGAAGATTGGTCATCCTCTTCCAACTCGGCGAGTGATAGAGGCGTGGGAGCCAATCCAAATTCCTGCGCGATTGCGCTGTTCGGGATTGAAGAGCTGTGCGAATCGTTGCTGCTTCCATATCCAGGAACATCCCTGACGCGGAGTGCTAGCTCCTTCGCGCTGCCTGGCATCAAAATTTCCGACCGGCGCGGAGCCCGCATACCTTGGGCAGCTGAAGCCGAGGCGGGTCTGACCACCTCAACATCTCTGGATCGTGAGGACGAACCCACTGCTTGCGAATGACGCAGACCGCGAGCGGAGAGCCATCGAGGACTTGGCGTCACTGAAGTCGACAATGTGCGGGCTTTGGCGAGATCATCGCGGGACGAGAGCGCCCCTTTTCGCCAATCCGCATTGATGCTGGGTGTGCCTATCGCTGGCGAGCGAGGGTCCGCGGACGCTGCAGGAGAGAGCAAGTCGAGCGCACGCTCCATGTCCATGAGCGTGTCCGAGACGTCTGTAGAGCTGCTTGCGCCAGGCGAGTGTGGATGAAGCTGCGGAGCCGAGAGAGGAGTGAGGGACATGTTCGGAGTCTTTGGTACACTACCTCCCACGTTGGCAGATGAATCATTCGCGCCTGCGGGGCTAAGCTTCGCAGCCAGCTGCTCCGCGTCGGCTGGCTCAGATGGCGATTGACCGCTGGCAAGGTCTCCGAGCGAAGGTCGTGGGCCTTCGAATGTCCCACTCGCATCAAGAGCGATGGGACTGAGTAGAGATAGCTGGCCGGTCTCTGCGGTCTTTGCAGCTTCGTTAGCAGCAGCTGGCGCGCTCTCTTCCGTGGGTCCTTCGTGCAACACTACGGGTGGCGGTGGGAGCTCGGCCGAAGTTGCTCCACCAGTGGTAACACTTCGAGCCCAAAGCGAGACTACATCCAGGACGTCGTCTTGAGGGTCAAGCTCGCCCTCGTAAGCATCCTCGCCATGGTCATCCTCTCTGGCATCCAATTTCAGCTCGCCTGCAAGGGCCGATCGCCTTTTGAGCTGAGGTGAGCGCGCGGTGCTCGTGATCCAGTCTTGCACTGCGGCGTTCCCACCGCGCGATGGGCTCGCATACAGCTCTGTTGATGAAGACTGCGCGTGATTGGGAGTTACGGCGCGAGCGGACATTGTTCTGCTGAGACGGAGCGCTGAGGTCGCGTCAGCAGAGAGACGACTGCGCTGCTCTTGAGCCGAGGTGATTGCACTTTGATCCGTAAAAGTCAAATCGCCGCCTGTCCGCCGTGCTTGCCTGGCCAACTCTGGCCCGGGCAAGGAGCGCACATCATGCATCTCCGCGAGTACCTCCTCATCAGTGTTGGCGAACAGATCGAACCGATGGCTAGCAGCTCTCGTTTTACCGGATCGTGTGAGAGGCGAGCGAGCGGAATCGTCCAAGCCCTTAGTGTGTGTTTCACTTTGCTGCACGCCCATGGCATCTGGACTGGGTGCTGGCGCTGGCGATGCATGCATATGTTGTGTTCCAGGGATGACCTCTCCGACAGGGGTGCTGTTGCCTGCTTCAGACTCCTGAGTGATGTGCTGCCAGGTGGCTCGCTCAGTCGATGGAGTTTCACCTTCATCCTCTAGCTGCGTGAAGCCGAGCATGGTTGGCGCGTCCGGCGGTTGCGTGCGAGGCGAGAAGGAGTCAATTCTGTCCCTGGACGTGGCGAAGCTGGTTCGACGTCCAAGTTGCTCGTCTGAAGATCCGGAGCTAAGCCTTTCATCGGCGTCAAGCGCACCTGGTGATGGCTGGTGAAGGGGCGAACTTCGCTGGCTCATCGAGGCTTCATTGAGAGGCGTCGCCGCGTCCGATACAATCGAGCGCAGGGCATCACTAGAGCCAGTCGAGCGCAATGCCGCTACTGGCTGACTCGGCACTGTTGCCGGTACCTGGTAGGCGTCTCGTCCCGTGCGCTCAGGTACGCCCAGGTGTAGGCTCCTCCTGCCGCCTACAGCAGAGGTGGAGGATTTCGCGCTTGCCAAAGGCCGCTTTTCGGCTCCGTCTAGATACTGCGGCCACCATGGTGCTTTGTGCTCCTCCACCATCCATTCTATGCGACCCACGATTGGCAAGCGACCTGATTGAACTTCACTCCGATTGCGACTCGCTTGCGATGTGCGGGAAACGCTCCTGCGACTCGAGTTCCGTGCCTCTCTTCGTGCTTGCGTGAGGCCATAGCCATCCTCGTGTGCTGTGAGTGGGTATTCGGAACTGACATGCCGGGGCTGCGCTGGGGACGCGCGCTTCAACACGGACCGATCGAATTCGTCAGACTCAACGTTCGACCCGTACTCTTCCCTAGATCGAGAGCTGGCGCTGTGTGACTGTCCGGAGAGCTCGCTCGGCATGCGATCGTGACCCCGAGCGGCATGGTGGCGCCCAAATGCCTCGTCCGGCGAGCTTTCCTCCTCGAAATAGCGGGACCACAACGATGCCCACGCTGCCTCGCCAATTCGGGGACCCAGGTTGCCCTCTCCGTCGTCGCAGAGAAAGACCGCCAAACCGCCGATAGAAGGTAGTCCACATTCGCGCGCGATGGCATATAGCTGTCCACCAAGCGTTGGATACAGGGGCAAGAGAACGCCTCGCCGTCGGTGGCTAGCGCTTCCTGCAATGGAAAGGTTGCGCGGATGAGGAGGATCGGTGGGAAGCCTGAGAGGGCATCAAAGCAAGAGGACATGGTCAGTCAGGACCCACCGATCCCGCTGGTCGCGAGTTGGAGCACCGCAAGGATGACTTACTCGAGCGGCGGGACAGCAGTGATGAAGTAGATGGGCGAGTGAGGTTCGGGTGAACGGTGCGCGCTGACAGCTGAGCTGACTCCTCTTTCCGCCTGCAAACTCCCTGCGAGTCTGGAAGGCAGCCTGCGAGTGCTGAAACCAGGCGTCCGGCTATAACCCGTGCGACTAGAGATGCTTCGAGCGCTCGGAGGAGCGCTGGCAGGCGACGTCCCATTTGCGCCAGCGCCCAAAGGGGTCCGAACCAGACTGAGGTTCGAGGGGGCCTCGGCGCGATTGAGATGCTCTCGTGGAGGACGGGTGGAGAATTGCGAGGCGCCAGCTGGATCGGGGGTCCGCTGCCTCGCCTGCATCTCGAAAGACGCGAAACGGGGGGAATTTGCCATCACAGCTCGCCGCAGCTAAAGGATGATCAGCAAGTCCACGTCGCGTCGGTGAAGGAGCGGCCAGCGCGGTGGACAGCCTGCCCTTCCTGATAGCCTGTTCGAGATACCTGTCCCGCAAATGAAGCCTGACAGCAAATGAGAGCCTCCAGTAGTGTAAGGGTCGCGTCTGGGTAGCGTCTGAGGAGCTGACTAGACCACGCAGCCGAGCGTCAGCGGCGCTTTGTGGCAGAGCTCGTAAAGTGCTTTTGGGAGGCTGCAAGACTCGGAAGGTTTGCAAGAAGAGCGACGCGTGAGCACAGACGCTATTGCTGGCGCTCTCTGGCGCTCTATCACTGCATCTTTCAGCCACTCACTGCGTGCTACAAGGATTGATGACCTGAATTGCGAGACGAGCTCGAGTGGCAAGGTGGTACACTGTTGCGGGTCGAGATCTCATGAGATGTTTTGACTGCAATGAAGATGAAGTCGAATGCCAATGAAGTGCTTCTGAAGAAAGCAAGTTGGAAGTTGCAGTGATTTGGACAAGACCCAAAGTGGGCTGAATAGGTGAAGGATAGGATGAAAGATGCTCTCTGTTGACTCTCACCGCTACGCTACCCAGGGGTAAGGATAGGAGGGGGTGCGAGGCGAAGCGATAGAAGACAAGTTGGCAAGAAGCTTAAAATGATCGGAGCCAAGAAAGCCGTGGCGCAAAGCCGTGAGAAGAGAGCTTTGTCTCTTATGCCAGGAGTAAGCAGATCATCAACATCGTCTTTTGGTCTGAACTGAAGAGGGAACTGATCGGGTAGCAAGGCAAACAAGCAAGCACGCGTTCGGACGATGATTCACTGATTGCACTTTCGCCTGTTCAGCCCCCCCCCTTGCTGGTCGGGACGTAACGTCGCAAGGCGCGGCCCCAACGACACGCGCGCGCTACACATACGCTGCTGACGGATTGCATGCAGCCGCGCGTCGACGTTTAATTTTTCGCACAGCACGTACCAAGTTACATCAAGCGCGCGCGACAGCTAGGCGAACAGCGTCCTCCCGCCGCGCGCGCACGCGTGTTGCTGCTTTGTATACACACACGACTCAAGACTTATGAGACGATGGTATCCTCGGGCGCAAGTCGCTCCGCCGTCATCCCTTAATCACGGTCGAATCGCATCTATGCTGATGACAGACATGAGTCCAAGCAGTTGACGATTCGTGCTTATTGCCGTACACATGCCGCCCTGCTTGCTGCATGAACAGCATGTACGCAACGCTCAAAGGGTCCCTGACACCGACACACGCAACGGTCGCAGCAAGGATGCCTCGCATATCATGTAGCGTGTCCTCTCTTGCTCCCACGTCTCTCGGTCCCCTCGCGATGGCGAAATCGCGCGCTCGGCGTGGCTGGGCCTCTTGACTCGAGATCGATCGATCAAGTCGTTGTTCGTTAATTTACCAGCAGCGCGTCTGGGAGCGATCACGGCGTCAGACAAACCTCAACTCACGGCCCGTTCTTGCGCGCGTGCTTTTTCTTCATCGACGAGAAGCCGAGCTGAGTTGCCGCGTTAGCGAAGCAGAAGCGTGGCGCGCGCAGGTGGAGGCGCGTCAGCTGGTGGTCACGTTGCTGTGGTGGTGCACGCTGGTAGTGCTGATGCATATGCTGCAGGTGCTTCAGGGTGCTGTGCTATAGGGCTGCTGGTGGCGCTGCTGACCTGCATAACTCGATTATTGGAGCAGAAGAGCAGCCTCGACGGGACAGCAGCCACACCGTGTACATGTATGCGCCCAGAGCACACTATTTGTATGCATGCACCCATGCAGAGGTTGTGTGCAGACTCACCCATGCCCTCTGGCCGAGCAGCAGCATTAGCAGCAGCAGCAGGGCAGCCGTACACTATATATATGACGATTCCTCCAAGCGCAAAGGCGAGAGGACTTCTTCGGTGCCGGGGATTGGTCGCCGTGGATCATCACATCTTCCTTTGATGAATGCTGGGTTGCACCACAAATCGCTTCACTCAGCAGCTGACCGTAGCTGCGCTCCAACGCGAGTCATGACAAGTCACGAAGGGTTCGCGAGATTTCTGATACCACAGCACGTGCCTGCTTGTAAATGAGCACCCGTTACAAAGGTTTTTCATTCAGTGATTCGGCGACGCGCGCCGCTCTAGGCTCAGGCCAGTATCTGGCGAGCCAGCCGTGACTCACCATACATTCACTTGGTCCTAATCGCAAGACACGAGCCCCCATCCTTGATACAAGTCGAGCAATCGCGCGGGACAGCTGAGTTTTGCTCCGCGCCGTTATGAGGAAACGCAATTAAGCGTTCGTGATTCACGAGCGGCGAGCACATTGTCCGTGAAAGAGGCCCATTCGCGTCTCTTCGGCATTGCGTACAATGCGGACTAACAGCTCTGGCAAGTAGCTTCGAGCAGTGACCTCCTTGCCAGATGTCATGCAATGCTGAGTCTCACCGCCGATCTGAGCACGCTCGGATTGTCTGTCAAAATCATGTACAATCACAATAATGTCCATGGTCTTAGGTCTCACGACTTGGGGCCCGAGAGAACAGAACTTCGTTTGATGGGGATCGGAGTCACGAGTGTTTACCACAGCGGACCCTGCCGTCGACCGAGGGTGAGTGAGACATGCATTCACATAAACGATTTGCCGAGGTGCATGACTACCATCAAAGTGACTGACTCGCCGCTCCAAATCAGCTACTCCGACCTGCTCAGGTTCCGATAGGTAATTGAGTGCTAGCAGCTCTGCGGCAGGAAAAGCACGGCTTTGAACGGCTTCAAGAGAACACTTTGAAAAGATCTTGGATTTTCGCCGAGATGTGAGAAGCGAGCAAATTGAGTCTCGAAGCGCCCAAGATCAAGAGAGGCTCAAACAGGCATCGCCACGATCACGTCGGGCTCAAAGAGTCGGGTGATGCTGCTTGAACTTCTGATTCCCCACTGATGAGCTATGGTTCGTCCGCGATGTCCACGAGAAGTACACCTTGATCACTGCAGCAGACTCCGCGAAGATGGCGGAAGCGTCCGCGTCGTGGACGATTCCTTTCGATGAGCATCGTTCCGATGTACGACCCACGAACTTTGGATCGTCATGTTAGGAGCTTCGATTCTATTCACACTAAGGCCACCTTGTGGCTACTGGGAGACGCGCTGAGTTTTGGCGTTCGAGAACAATTTCGAGTCGGCGCTCACAGTAGTCGAAACCGGCGGGCGGGGCGGCTCGGCAGCCAGAGGCGAGACATGTTCGCAGACTTTCCGCCGGCCAAAATTTAGATCATAATTGCAGCGCTGAGGCGGTGCGGCGCAGGCGCGATCATTCAGATTGCTGCATGGATGCTGTGAACGCGGAGGTGCTGGATGCTGACGTTTGCATATATGGACGCTCACATGACCCTGCCCTGCACGGCAGGCCGCGCTCATCGGCTCTGCTTGAGACAGTCGGTTAGTGCCGGTATATAGAGGTCATCGCACCGCATGGCGCTTATTCTGATTGGGATTTAGCTGGAGCGGCCTCCCGCATCCGATCGGCGATCAACAGCAACAACCACACCTTGGATCGAGAAGCACCATCCCCGCATCCATCGCTCCACTGTGACTACATCATCCCTGTCGCCCCTTCCGCGCGTCAATTTTCACATCCTCGCATCGCTACTCAGCGATCTCAGATACCGAACAGATCGCAAAGTCTCGCATTCATACAGCTTACGTCCAGGTCCCACCAATACCGAGTGCCGGCGCATTCATACACCCTCAGCCTGATTGCGCCACTGAAGAGCAGAATGGTCAAAGGCCGTTCTGGTGCCTCATCCAAGCTTGCCCATGTCGTCAACGCCTTCTTCGTTGCTGTAATCGCCGTCGGCTTCTGTGTCCTTACACACACAGCGTCTGCCCACGTACTCCCAAACAGCGACATCAGCCCGCGTCGAGATGCTTCCATCACTGCCTACGACGCCCTCGAGCCGGAAACCGCTTTCAGAGATGCAGGTCGATTTCAGGATACCTTGCTGGGGCTGCGCTCCGCAGCTTCGAAGACGTCGTTTGCACTGGAAGACCGCGCCGCCGTAAGGCGTGAGCTTCAATACTTGCTCGATCGATTCGCCGAAGGAGAACCTCGTCGCCAAACCCTTAACGAACGAAGCCCTCCAATCGATCTTTCGTCAGCGGGACGCTGGCTTAATTATTCACAGTCTCGCACATTTCTCATACGAAAGCGTGCCGAGGAGAATCAGCCCGCTGGTCTGAGAGCAGGCTTTGGCGTGCTGATCGCCGTGCTGGTGATTCTCAGCGGCATGTTTGCTGGTCTCACTCTTGGTTACTTCAGTCTGGATGAGACCGCCTTGGCCGTTCTGGCCCAGACTGGCACGCCGAAGCAGCGACGGGCTGCGGAAAAGATTCTGCCAGTGCGCAAAGATGGTCATTTGCTTCTGACCACCCTCTTGGTCGCCAACATGATCTTCAATGAATGTGAGTCACTCCTCGTCAGCATCCGTCTGGGTCAGCTACCTACCCGCCCGCTCCGACCTCAGGTCTGCCGATCATAATCGATCAGGTCCTTCCTCCCGTACCTGCCGTCGCGCTTGCGATTGTGCTCGTGATCATCTTCGCTGAAGTGAGTCAATTGTATGCGGGATCACAATCTGTGCCATGACACTAGGCCGCGTGGTATTGACGTATCCATGCGCTTCGCCCGCCCCTCTCGCTTTCAGATTATCCCTCAGTCTGTATGCTCTCGTTACGGCCTGCAGATCGGTGCTGCTATGGCGCCGGCAGTACGTGTGGTGATGATCCTCCTGTGGCCTGTAGCTTGGCCTGTCTCTCGCGTCCTGCATTGGGCGCTTGGTCCGCATCACGGCACTGTGTATCGACGTGCTGAGCTGAAGGAACTGGTCAACATGCACGCCGCAACGGGCGGTCACGGAGGTGATCTGAAAGGCGACACTGTAATGATCATCGGAGGAGGTGAGTCGTGTGTCGCCGTTTCTGTTTGCAAGAATTGGCATGAGTTCGACTCATCGCGTCGTTGTATTCCACAGCGCTCGACCTTCAAGAGAAGGTCGCAAAGCAAGCCATGACGTCGATCGAGGACGTCTTCATGCTGCCTTTGGACGCCCGCCTTGACTACCCCACACTGGAACAAGTTGTGCGCAGCGGCCATTCTCGAATTCCTATCTACATCGAAGTGGACGTCCAGCTTGGGAAATCAAACGCCGGCACAGAGACTCCTAGCCGCCGTGGCCTACTGTCGGCATTCTCACGCAAGACCAGCTCAGCTGGAAATCTGCAGCACGCAAATCTTACCACCCCATCTCCCGACGGACAGGCTACGTCGGCTGTTGCATCTGCAGGAAGCGGGAGTCCATCAGGTCCAATCGATGTGGTCAAACGCAAGAAGATCATTGGAATGCTGCTCGTCAAACAGCTGATTCTTTTGGATCCCGAAGATGCCACGCCAGTTCAAGACCTTGTCATCAATGCCCTGCCTGAAGTGCCTTTCGATGAGCCTCTCTTGACGATGCTTAATGCGTTCCAGGAGGGTCGCTCTCATATGGCTATCGTATCTTCCCGGCCTCGTCGCGCTTTCGCAGAAGCTGGTAGTGAGCTCGGCAGCAAAGCGTCTCTCACCATCACAGCACAGACAAGTGGCGCTCCCAAGCGGCAGCCGACGATCCTTGGCCAGATTGACGAGGAGAAACACCTCGAAGGTACAGGTGCGACGCGCTCATCTTCGCCGAATGACAGCCCCACCTCGACCGTACAAGACCACACATCCAAACGTTCGGCGTGGCTCAAGCGACTAGGGCTTCAGCACGATCAAGACGACGCCGACAAGCTCGAGAGTGGTATCAAGTCCGAGAAGTCTGACTCTGAAGAGAAGCCAGGCGTCGATGCCGCCAAGCTGCATTCGGAAGAGTCGAACGAGGTACATAGCGAGTATGGAATGCCAATCGGCATCATTACCTTGGAAGATCTGGTGAGTCTATGAGCTCTCGAGACGTGTGTGTCCGAGCTTGATGCTTTGCCTTGAGGATTGATGAGCTGACTTGAGTCCGGTCTGCCTACAGCTCGAGGAGTTGCTCCAAGAAGAGATATTCGACGAGCACGATGCAGAGGGTCTCGGTCTGCATCGCATTTCTCCTCCTCCTTCACCTACCAGCGCAGCGAAGGCATTGGTGGCTACTGCTGGAGACCCACAAGCGGCCGCAAAAGCAGAAGATAGGTCTGCCATCCCAGCCAGAAAAACGGTTCTCGCCCGTCTTGGCCTCGAGCGTCGTGCTTCTGCCAGGCGTGGAGGCGCAGATCACCCAAACGAGCCTATCGCGGCGCTCCAAGATCCCCAGCCTTCGCCCAACTTGGATGCTCAGAAAGACGCATCGAATCTTGCTGACGAGACTGGCAGCTACTTTGAAGACCACACCGCCGAGCAAGAGGGCGACTCGAATGCGAATTTGATGAGCCAATCTGGCGAGCTTCCACCACGAGTAGATGCACCTAACAGTCAGCGAAGATCAAATAGCGTGCCGCCTACCCCTACCCTCGGGTCTACAGGCTCACGTCCGACGACACCTGGCGGCGCTGGTGTTGGTAGCCCTCTGACCGCACCGCAGGCTTTCAAGCCCGTCATCGTGCGTGCCAAGGCCGCGGACGGTGGTCCCGCAAAGATGACTGTGATCAATCAAGGACTTCTCCGTGGGCGACAAGGTCGTTCGGGTTCTGCAGCACAGCTGAATAGTGGCGATGTCACACCTGCCAGCCGCTCTGCCACTCCTGCAAGCAGCAGCCGCGGCACTCGCTTCAAGAGCACTCCCGTGGGCGGCCCAGCTGCTCAGTCCTCAAACGCCGGAATGGTGTCCCGTGCGCCAGGCGCCGCCATGGGGCCCAAGTCAGCCCAGACTCCTAGCGAATCTACAGACAGCCCGGCACCCGTCCCACCCATTAGTGATCCCCCGAAATCGTCCACGCAACCTCCATCGTCCTCATTCGACAGCCCGCTTGGAGGTGATTCGTCTTCAGAAGCATCTTGATTGAGAGTTTTCATTGGTCACAACACACCCGATTTGTGCTCTGCTCCCCTTCAGCGCTCATTCCGAGCGTGCGTGGGCCCTGACAGCACCACGTCAGGGAGCGCCGTACGCCGTGTCTGTTTCGACCGGCTTTCATTCGACGAATTTCATGTCATCATACAACCCATCAAATCATTGATGTCCCAGTAGTCTGAGGCGCGAGCGGCGCATTGACCAATCTTGAATCTACGGCAGTCAAGGGTTCCCTCGGGAGCGCACGTGAACTCACCATGAGAACTGATACCCGGAGCGTGCAGCAGCTTTGGCTTGGCGCTCGTGGAGACAAGCTTGATACAGCCAGGCGCCGCATACGACCAAGACAGCGATCAAAGGTCAGCCGTTTCGTTCTGTTTTGGGTACCGTTGGGCGAGAATCGTACGGGTGTCCCCCCCCCCCCCCCCGCGCAATTCAACCCATTCACGCGTGCGACTTTCTTGTTGGATCCAAGCTGAGTGCGCTGTGTGCATCCATTAGATAGCACATCAAAGTGACCCGATCTGATCAGCATGTCGCAGAACAGGCAACGCGTCACGTCATTGCGTCTAAAGAGAGTCGGTCCCGAGACTTTGAGTGAATCGCAACACTGCCTCGCCGTCCAATTCGTGTTTCAGCGCAGGCATTTGCGCAATTGAGACTTGCACAGTGGATAGACATGGCGACGGATCTGGCCTTTGGTGGCAAGCGGCGACTGGATCGAAGGCGGACAGAAGCTGCTCGACGCAACCGAGAAGGATGTTTATGGCAAAGGACAAACAATGGAAGCTGCGGTAGGTTACTCCGATTAAACGCTCACAAGTTCAAGAGGCTGAGCGCCAGACAACAAAAAGGAGGTGCTCTGGGTCGCCGCACAACGCTCGATCAATGACTTAGACCCGGGATCGGTGGTGACGACCCTGCATTGCACGCGATGCGAATCGATGGTGATTGTGGAGGAGAAGGGTGGGAACCAACGAACGCGTCGCGAGTTGAACATGAGTACCTGGAGCGTGCAAGATGGCGCGGCAAACACCACCAAGTCCGACAACTATACAATCGAGTCAACAATCGTGTGAACATGAGCGAACCTTGGGTCATAACCGCCGTTCACTGGAGCCAGTTGCTCAAAACAGATGGTCGCGAGTCACGGGTGAATTCGAGGGGGAGGGGCGCTCCTGGCTGATCGATCAAGCTGTTTATTCACAGCAGGGACCTTGCCTGGAGGTGCCAACGACGCTTGGTTCCCCTCTGGGAGTCGCGCCAGGTTCGCTGCTGGCCGCTGTTGATGATCCGCTAAAGAAGATTGAAGCTCCGCAGCCATCCTGCGCTTTGTCCCAGCGCCGTGCTCAACAACCAAGATGCCCAGCCGTGAGCTTTTAGATGCGATGTGCATGGTGCGTGCCCCTGCTTATATGCTGTGCACATACATATGGGATGCCACAGCGTACGTCCTCCGACGTCCCGATTCTTGATTGGCGAGTGTGACTGCTACAGCGTTTATATGTATATGTATATATCTACTACTACTACTTTACGCGCGCGATATAGCAACACGCGATGCTTCCGCGCAAGACCGCTGCTGCTGCTGGCGTTACCCCTACATCTTGTTATACATGACTACATTATCGCTGCATTCAAGATTGCTCCCGCTGTGCTGCCTTTCCGCGTGTGTTGAGACAAGACTGTACATCGGTCAGCATGGCCGCGTGCTGCAGCAATCGCTAACAATGATAATCACGAATCTTCTTCGCTCACAGGATCATATATGGGCATGCATGCGCGCTGTTTGCTTCGTGCAGGGTTGGAGGTCATCAGTAGCGTCCACCCAGCAGCATGTTGCTGCTGCTCGCAAGTGAATTAACGGCGCAAGCCCTGTACAGTATACCGCACGCTGCAGCATGCATCAGCAGCTAGTCTGTTGGCATCGCAGTCGTGAATAGTGGCACAAACACAGCAGTAGTCACGAGCTCGGTAGTAGTAGAGTGGTGTACGAGCAAGCACGCGCACGGGCGAGGCGCTCGCGAGGCACGCGCGCGGCGGAGTATACGGTACACGATGCGGTGCGCTCTCCGCGGCGGGCTCGCTCTCCGCGGGCGCGCAGGCCGCCATGCACATGCAGCAGCAGATTCACGATTGCATATGATGTCTGAGCAGCACTTGCGGTCACGATACCGACTCGCGGCGACGCGGCGGCATCACCATCAGCAGCAGCAGCGGCAGCAGAAGCGGCGTTACAGCGTGCATGCGATACACTACTACTGTACCGGTACTGATGCTGCTCCTGCTGGCGGCCACGCGCGGTACTTAATGAACGCATGCTGCTGCTGGGTGCGTGGTGGGATGAACACGGCTAGTGCGATTGGAACGCAAGGCGGCAGCAGCCAGCAGCAGCAGCAGCAGCATCAGCAGCAGGCATCAGCAACAGATGTCTGCATGCTCGGGTGAGAGTGGCCAATGCAGAGTCGCGAGGCGCCAGAGGGCCAGCCAGCTGATCATTGCAAGGCTGATGCTCGGAAGCTCAGGACGATCATTCTCGCTTGGAGGGGCGCACTGCACTTGTGACTATACGTTACAGCACCGCGTAGGTACCCGAGACGACAGCTCAATATTCACCAGTCCATTAGGTGCTTCCGAACGCCATCCTTGCCGATTCGCACCTCTCGTTCGCGCCGTACCCCATTTCTCTCACCGCCCCCTAGATCTCGTTCTAGCGAGCGTTCGACAAGCCTTTTTCTGAATTTTTGGCATCCCACACAGTATTGCACAGAATTGCTGCCGACCTTTGCAGTGACCCATCACCACCAGCGGTAGGACCGACGTCAACGGCTGGGCGAGCACAGCTGCTTAGACTCACCACCACCTTGACTGGCGCCCACGGCAAGGCGTCGAGGGCTCTTCTCGCTGTCTTGTCCCCTTTGGACCAGTGCGTGATCATCTTGGTCAGCCAAGTCTACACTCGTTCTCCTCTCACTCGATCGAAGACACAACACCGCAATCTCCTCAGCCTGACTGGCCCGACTTCCTTCTCTGCAGGCCTCACATCCGAGCAGCCAAGCTAGGCCACGTACGTCTCCATTTGCGCAGTCAGATTGAGCGTGATCGATTTGTCGATCCTGCTCCTCTCTCTCTCTCTCCCCGACGGACGCGACGACCACTCTGCAGTGGCCCGCCTAGCCAGTCCCTGAGCTCGTCGCGCGCTTGCCAGCACGAATAGCTCTTTGCGTACGAGACGGCGTGACACCGCGCAAGCCAACCCTACCCCGCTTTAGGCCACCACGTCCTGTTGGACCTCGACTCGACTCTGTTGGTCTTCACGACACCTCGAAGCGTCAGTCACTTCGTAATCTCCTACAGCCAAACGACTTGGCGCCCTGGCAGAACCGCACTCGACAAGAGCAAGACGACTTGCGCTGCATAGCGTCTCCAGTGCTCGTATCTACAGTAGACGAAGATCGCATCAAGGTTACTTCGGTGAGTCAATCGTTCGATTGCTACACCCGCGTGCGCGCGTGGATCATTCTGTCGCAGGGCAAAGCGCGCAAAGGGGAGGTGAGAGGTGTCTGCGTCACGAGCGAGTCGAAGGCAGAGATAGCACTATAACGGGCAGCGCGACCAATGACTTTAGTCAGAAGGCTCTTTGCGCATGCAATCAGCCCAGCAAGCTCGTTCCATACTTCTTTATTCGGGTTGCTCCGGACACTTCCTCGCTAACAACGCACGCGCGTTGGTGGCCGCTGGCCGATCGTTCTCAACGACGCTATCCGCAACACCACAAACATCTGGCGCCCCTCCTCCCTCATCTCTCGTGCTCCTTCGCGCCACTTGCGTTGCTTGTCCCCTTTGATGATCATCCCTACAGCGTCGAACTTCTCCCACGTGTTGACTCATTTGCCATGTCCCTCTATCCACCCGTGCCAGATTCCCCGTCTAACGGCAGTCCGCGTTCCAACACCAGCCCACGTAGAAGTCGATCAAACATGGCTACACCGGGCGGGGATCTTCAAGAGAAGATTGCGGCGGCCAGGAGGGAAGCGGACAGCCTGAAGGAGCAGGTGCGAGCTAGACGTGATAAAATGGCCGACACTTCATGTGAGTACAGTAGCACCCGAGGAAACTTTGCGCTCTAGCCTCGAGTGGAGACACCTCGAATGGCATGCGCCGATGGACGGATTTAGATTTGTCTTCGCAATGGCTCGCAGGAAGAAATTATTGCTAATGTTGAAGGTGCCACCTCGTTCGCAGTGCGAGCCATGGCTGCCGAGGTAGACCCGCTGCCGCGCATTGTCATGAAGCCACGAAGAACGTGCAAAGGTCACTTGGCGAAGATCTACGCGATGCACTGGGCGGAGGACAAGCGTCATCTGGTATCGGGTTCGCAAGATGGAAAGCTTATTGTGTGGGATGCGTACACGACGAACAAGGTCCACGCCATCCCGTTGAGATCGTCTTGGGTCATGACGTGCGCGTACGCCCCGTCTGGCAACCTGGTCGCGTGCGGCGGTCTAGACAACATTTGCAGCATATACAACCTGCGCTCCAGAGAAGGTACGGTCAAAGTTGCCAGGCAACTTTCTGCTCACACCGGCTACTTGTCTTGCTGTCGGTTCTTGAACGACCGACAGATCCTCACATCGTCTGGGGACATGACCTGCATGCTTTGGGACATTGATGCAGGAGTAAGAGTCATGGAATTCAACGACCACACCGGCGACGTTATGAGGTGAGTGCGGCGCTTCGAGTCGTCAGCATCGGGCGGGGCCACTACGCATCATACGCAGATGCAGCCTGAGAGGACGGGAAAGTACCTGCTACAACGGACTTCATCACAAAACGGTGTATGAAAGCGTGTGAGAGCGCACGCTGACCTCAGATTTGACATCACAGCTTGTCTCTTGGCCCCAAACCAAACACTTTTGTTTCAGGCGCGTGCGACGCACTCGCCAAGGTCTGGGATATTCGCACCGGCAAGGCGGTTCAGACTTTTTCCGGCCACGAGAGCGATATCAACGCGGTCCAGTGAGTGCCTTGAGGACATTTGTGCCTTGGAATGCCCGGGTCCTCACGAATCCAAACTTGTTGTCTCTGCCCAGGTACTTCCCAAATGGAGACGCTTTTGCAACCGGTTCAGACGACGCCTCATGTCGTTTGTTCGATCTTCGCGCTGATAGGGAGCTCAATCAGTACACCCACGACAATATCCTCTGCGGTATTACGAGCGTCGCATTCTCAGTCTCTGGTAGACTGCTTTTTGCTGGCTACGACGATTACAACACCAACGTGTGGGACACTTTGAAGGGAGAGCGTGTTGGAGTGCTCACGGCGCACGAGAACAGGGTCAGCTGTCTTGGAGTCAGTGCGGACGGTATGGCACTTTGCACGGGAAGTTGGGACGCAAGGCTTCTTGTGTGGGCGTAAGAAAGTGGGCTTCAAGGGACTGCGATCGCAGCGTCAAGCCTGTCCATCCTGCATGAAGGCTGCACAAAATTCAGCACATCCGCGGACGGACAGTGCCGGCGCAATTCAATTCTAGGCACTCTACGTATCACCCAGCACTTTTTACCGCCGGCGCGCTAGTCATCACAAACCTGCGAACCATCAATACCCAACTTCGCAACAACTCTCCATTTTTTCTTTCTGAACTTGAACATTTTGGTCATGCAACTGGCGTTTGGGGTAGGAAGGGGCAAGAGCAGGTAGAGAGACGATCGTCTAGCGCGAAGCAATGTCTCGCCCTCAAGGTATTTTGTGGACAAAGCCTAAGTGGGATCATGATTCACGATGATCATCGATGCTCGGACGTGGCGATGCGTTCCCACGATCACCTATTATCTTCCTGGCGCATTCAAAGTTACTTCTGCCGGAAGCCCCTGCCTCACGGTCTTCAGGTGCTTCACATCAGCACAGAGGTCAGTGTACTGCCAAGTCGTAGCCAGCAGACACTCCCGCTTCGCCACTTGTCCGCGCTCCTTTAGTAAGATCGTCATAATGTCTCGACCCAAGCGGATCTCTACCCTCCCTCCTTCCCTTACCCTGCACCACCCTTCGTCGTTGCCCTTGTCAAATAGCCTTCTTCCACACTGCGATTCGATATCCTTGTCTTGTTTTTTCTCTCGAAATCGGCACCTCATAAGGTACTCAGCCACCTTCTCTTCCTCTAGCAAATCTCATGACCTCGAAAATCGCATCTGCGCGAGATCCGCGCGCCAAAAAGCAGGCCTGCGACCTGCTCGAACGGCAAGCGTCGAGGCGGATTGACTCGCGAAGGGTCGTCAAGTCTTCGCTCGGATTTGCAAGCGTCGTGGCACGTGTTTGAGGGTCAACATGTGGTCCGACGCGTTTCATTCAAGATTTTGAGAGCCACGCTCGCACTTGATCAAGGGCACAGCTCCAAAAGACACGCCACGACGAACGAGCTACACAAGGCCAGCGCAAGCATTTCATCTGACCCGATCATGTGCTGTAGGTAGATGAAGCGCATGGCTTGTATCTGGATCGCGCATTCGCGGTTCAGCATTTGAAATTTCACCTCGGCGGCTCTTTGGTTACAGGAGGATTGTCGGACCCACGCATAGGATTCGTCGCCGGCGTTGATGACGAGTTGGAAGGAGATGCTGACATCGCTTGCTTTTGAGCCGCGAAGGCAGCTGAGGAAGCAGCTAGATTGCTGACTGCGGCTGCAGCTGCCAAGGGATCCGAAGGTGGACGAGTCTGCGGAGGCTTGAAACCGCCTGAGCTGGGCTGAGCTGCACCGGCGCCATGCGCTGGCGAGGTGCCATTGGAGCCTGTGGTGCCTGAGGCGCCAACTTGATTCTGCAGCTTGGCCTGCTGCTCTTGTTGACGCTTGCTCTGCGCTTGCATCAGGGCTGCCAGACCCTGCAGTTGGGGAGGAGACAACCTCGTCAAAAGGACACTAAGGTTCAGCATGAGCTCATGAGGAGGTTGTGCGGCTTCAGTGACACCCATCAAGAGAGCCAGATCTTCCTGAGTAGCGGGTGAAGGACGTGGTGACGTCTGCGCCGATGTAATGGCCGGAGCAGCAGCATTCATCGTCCCTAGCGAGAGATTGGCCTGAGCTGCTCTGTACGCAACAATGGCGGGCTGCAAATGGGGCGCCGGCGTCGGGTAGATTTGCAGCCTAGCGAGGTGGTTGATGGAGGAAAGGGGCAGCAGTACCGCGATCGGCTGGGTAGGTAGAGCCGGCGGTCTGACGGGAGGCGATGCGGATGGGACAACAGGCATCGGAGGTCTGACTGCACCCATTGATGGTGCGGCTGTTGGTGAGGCGACCAACGGCGCATGCACAGGCTGGACCGGCTTCGTCTGCAGCTGCGGCTGGGGACGCAACTGTGGGGCTGGACTATTGGGATTGCCACCACCAACAGAGCTCATGGCAGCCTTAGCCTTAACCGCTTTGCCTGGCCCAGGAGGTCGACCCACAGGGCGCTTCATCGGCGAGCTTGCAGGAGTGGGGGTCTGCTGACCACTACCTACGTGAGGTGATGCCAAAATGGACCTCGGATCCACCGCCTTTGGGCCATCGATACTGCCGTTGCGTTCTGGCGTCGCTGGAGCTGCTACTGAAAGAGCGGACCTTTCTGCGCTCGCTCGAACGTTTCCCTCTCCTGCGGGGCGAGGTTGCGCAAGGGGCAAGCGAGTTGCAGGTGCCGAATCTTCCTCCTCGTCTTCGTCTCGTGCGCCTTGGCTCTTGCTTCTGACGAGCGCATCAGGGTTCATCGTCTCGTCGTCCTGTGGCAGATTCAACGCAGCCAACCTCTTTCTGCGACTCTCTTTCGCAGCATCTCGCTCCCACTGCCTTTTGGCATTCGAGACGGCTCTGTCCACCTCTCGTACTTCGTAGCCGCCTTCCCGCGCAGCTTCGTCCCTCAACGCACGTAGGCCGTCTTGCTCCTCAGTGTACTGTTCTGTCTCCCGTACGTGTGCCGCTCTGGTAAGCTGATAAACACTCTCGCGCGCCCATGCCGCTTTCTCCTTGCCTCCAGTCAGCGTAACATTCAGCCGCAAAGCTCGCTTGCGTATAGCTGTTGCTCTACGATGGATGGACAGAATGTCGTCGTCATCGAAGTAGTTGTAAGGGTTTGTAGCTGCCGCTGCTAGCTGTGCTAAGGAGGATGTCTGAGTACCCTCTAGCCTCCGCCGCTTGACGCTATCGGCCGAGCTGGCATCGCTGGAAGCACCTGCAGCATTGCTGTCAGCTTTTCCCTTGCCTTTGCGATTGGCAGACAGCGACAGAGACCAAGTCAGATCCTCGTTGGGCACGTCATACACGTGATAAGGCAAGAGACGGCGGACAATGTCTTGAGCAGACTTGAACGGGGTGGAGTAGTCAGGCTTCAGAACCGATTGGTGGTCCAGCGCCAGCAAGTCTTCGAAAGTTGCTGGCGCGATGGTAGCGCTCCGTGCTGACTTGCTTGCGGGCGGAGGAGGGGTTGCGATGGGTGTAGACGCGGGACGCGGATCAGCGCTCCCACCCTGGCCTATTTGCTCAGCTTTGCTGGAGGAGGCCACCGCTGATTCGCTCGCCGCTTGATGCGATAAAGCGAGCGTCGCTGAAGAGGTTGCATTTACGGGGTGCTGTTGGACTGATAAGGGTGGATTCGCTGGTTGTGGAGCTGAAGCAGAGACGGGGGGGTTTGCGAGGACTTCTGAGATTCCGTGGTGTGAATCATGAGCGGAGCCAATGGTGCCAGACGCCACGCCTTCCCGATCGGCTCTCCCGTTTGTGGCAGAAGCGGCAGAGGGGGCTTCCCCTCGAAGCAAGCTTTCGTGATGCAAAGGGTCGGATTGTCCAGCGGCTGAGATGGCAGGCGAGGAGGCAGAGTGCGCAGAAACGAAGGATCCTGCTTGCGCTTCGTAGAGCGGGCTTGGCATCCCTGCGAGGTTTCCCGCCGCCGAGCCGAGCTATGAGAAGCTCTCGGGTGGACGTAGAGTCTTGACGAGTGGTGTTTGATAGGCAGCAATCTTGCAGACTATGTGTCGCGAGCCGCTCCACTCGCCCCTCCAGACCCTACAAGACCCACGATGACCTGCCACTAGGGCTGCGCCGCAGCCCCGATGTCCCCTCCCGAGCGTCGTTGAGGAAGAGATGCTGAGAAGCGGATTTGTTGAGCAAGCAGCCCTTTGAGATGTGCAAGCGCCTGTATCGCTCAAATCGTGAAGCCTTTTGCTTTTTGCTGCCTTGTCTCTATATTGTGTGCTCCACCGGATCGGTGCCAGCATCACGGGTGCGATGCTGTGCTGAGTGTGGCTCAAAGCAGCACCGCGATGCGCTTTTTGCCTCGCTGCGCGCTTCTTTTGCGTCTGTGCTGCTCGCGCGGCAAGCAAGACGCGACGCCAGCTTTTCAATTGGCCTTTTTTTTTGGTCAAGCATTTTCCTAATCTGGGAGCAAGGGCTCGAAATCGAGCAAGCTTCAAGGCTTTGCCACGCGCGACCATGGAGCTTTGAATTTGGAAGGGGTGATTTCAATTGTGAGTAGGATTTGAAAACGCGCCCTTAATTGATTTTCAACGGACGCTATACGCGTACCACGTGCTCGAGCGCCTGCTCTAGTCACGAGTGAAGCACGACTCATCATACCATAGCAGCAGTCCTCGCGCACGCGCTCAAACATGCAAGCGCCTGTTGTGTTGATCAACCATGCACGCATGCATGCCGTGTTCGCTCCCAGAGAGATCGTCGAGATCGTCACGAGCCATCCAAGCCACATCGACGTGGCATTCTTTCCTCTTCAACCGGTGCCTCTTCGCCTCCTCAGACCCTCGTCTTCGACCAGCACCACAATTTCTCTCAGCGCCTCAAGTGCGTTTCAAGCACCTAGCTCTGATCACTCGTTCATCCCAAGCCAGCTGAGCTCGAGAGAGCAATTTGCGCGGTGCCACTGGACTAAGCAAAGCATCGTAGCTTGATTCACATCTGCCTACTTGGAGCAGGGACCTCAATCTGGCTTGTCCACCGCAGCTCATTGAGCTGATCTCCAGCGCCACGGGACCGCACACTGCCTCACTGCCGACACCTTTGCGAGCTTAGGAGCTCCTGGAACCAAAGCAAAACCTCTGTGTGCATTTGACGCCTGAAGCCGGCTCTCGCTTTCTAGCTTCTGGCTGCGCTCAGGATATTCGCTAGCCACGCCTCAAGCTCTCGGGCGGAAGCTGATCAAGTAGGCGTAAGACCGCCTGAATCTCTCAAAGGCAGAGAAGCACCCTAGCTTTCTTACGAAGCCATGTTCAACTCACGCACGGCGTCGTCCGCGGCCATCCGTCGGCTTCAGATCGAGTACAAGCAGTTGACGTCAGATCCCAACTCGCTCTTCCCAGCTACTGGACCCATCTCTGAAGACAATTACTTGGAATGGGAGGCCCTTCTACCAGGTCCAGACGACACGCCCTTCGAAGGTGGAGTCTTCCGAGCGACCTTGACCTTCCCAGCTTCCTACCCTCACGACCCACCAGTCATGAAGTTCGACCCTCCCATCTTCCATCCCAATGTCTATCCCGATGGAACGGTCTGCATCAGCATTCTCCACGCTGCAGGTGAAGATCCCAACATGTACGAAAGCTCGAGCGAGAGATGGAGTCCTATTCAGAGCACAGAAAAGATCCTCCTGAGCGTGCTCAGCATGCTCGCCGAACCTAACATCGAGAGCGGCGCAAACATCGACGCCTGCAAGCTGCTTCGAGAGGACCCAAAGGCGTACGACGAGAAGATTAGGCAGTCTGTGAGGGAACAGCTGGGCTTGTAAAAGGCTCTCGGTTTGGAAATCCTTTCTACCTCCCCACTGTGTCGGACACGTCCCACTCATCAGCATCGCAGGGCAGATCTTGAGCCAGCACACCCTTCGTATCAAGCGGATGAATAAGACGTGAAGGAAGCGCGAAGCGAGAATGATTCAAGGGCTACGCGATGGCTTCGTGGAAACAGGACCCATAGCACCGCTCAACCAAGAGACTGTCTGGCAGGCGTTTCCAAGAGTCAAGGTTGGAACGCAGACGTCCTCTCGGCCGGCTGACATGCCTACAGAAGAGGTCGTCTTTGTCAACTTCTTGCCCAAACGAAAAACTCCCTCCCTCGCACTTTTTCCGGCACTTTCCCCCTGCGCTTCAGCTCGCCTCCAAAATCTCACGTGACTCTTTCTCTTCTTCCACTGTCACCAATCACGCATTTCCACAGCACATCTCATCACCCATTCTTGATGGATTCTTCACTGTGTGTGCTTGTGAATATGTTCCATAGGCTGAGCGCAGACCCCAACAAGCTCGACGAATGCTCGCTATGCGACACGTGTTCTTGCGCCGGAAAACACATAGACCGACACATCCATCGTGAGATCTGTCGAGTCGTGCTCGTGCCGCCGAAAGGCTTAGGTACGTGGGGAATAATCGCACAAGCTGGAATCGCCGCGGCTAGAAGAGACCGGCGCGGAGCGGAGCAAGGGATAGTCCGTGGGCGCGTGGCTTGGTCAATTCGAGCTTCTCAGACGTCTAGTTCGGCCCGGCTTGGTGAAGGCTCCTGCACGTCAGGAGATGCGGCCATGACGTATCCGGCACGGGTGTGGGGGGTGGGACCATGGTGAACATAGCGGCGCCGAGTGTTGTGTGGGTCGATCAGGAGGTTGTCCGCGTCGCGTGAGCGTGTCTGTTGACGCGCGCGCTTCATCCAGCCTCGCGTGACTTCGCACCAGCATCCTGGGATGTGCCTTGCAGTAGCGTCCTCCGCGCTGTCATGCCCGACCGCGCCGGGCTTGTCGATGAGGACTCGACAGTCGCATAAGGTGCAGAGCGCCTTTTAGACCCCTTTTGTACTCATGACTACTACTACTGTGGAGTAGCTAGTGTGCGCTAAAACCTTGATCTCAGGCTAAGCCGAGGTGAGAGCGTTTGAGATGCACGGAGTCCAACAGATGTGGGGCTCCACAACAAATGAGCCCTAAACAGATTCTGCCAGGGCCGGAAACAATCGTGCTGACGCGGGACAGCGACAGTGGCATACGTCGAAGTGGACCATCCATGCGTCTACAGGACCGCAGTCTTAGTAATTCCTCTCCCTGCGTTTTCTGGTGTGTCGCCGAGCCAGCTTACTTTACCGAAGGGATTCGCACAGCAGAGCGGCATTGTGCCGCAAGCATAGCTACGCTGGGATTGGGGGGTCAAACCTGAGAATAGGTTTGCACCTTCTAGCATCCTTGCCGAAACTCGATTTGCTAGAGCGAGACAGGAAGCCGATCGAGCCGAGAGCCATGCTACTGTACGGTTGAAATATCCGCACACGTCTCTGCGTCGCGTTCACAACGATTGCACGCAATATGGCCGGCTGGGCATCCGCGACCGGTGAGACTTAAGCTTGGGCAGCCTGAGACGACTGAGACCTGCAAGGAGACCAAGCATCGATGGCTTCTTGATGCAGTCCCGACTCAGCATTGACTTAGTGTTTCCCACGACACGTCGAGTATCCGCTCGTCTCGCGTGGTGACCTCGCCCCTTCGGGTCAACGTATGCTGTGTCTGCTTGACGTGCTGTGGGGACACTGGTTCTACCTCCGGCCAGGACCTCCTCAGCGGCGTCCAAAGCCATCTTGACTGGACGCCGGAACAACTGCTCGTCCACACGGCCCATACGGCTCCCTTAGTTCCTTAGACTACATGGACGGGGCTCGGCTCCTCACTTCACCGCCAATGCGGTCTTTTAATTTTGCTTAGTCTTCGCTGCGAGCTCAGTGCGTGAGGTTCTGACTCCACCTTCAAGTCTTCATGGGCTTTTGCTCTGACTTGATCTTCATTTGTGTGGCGGCCTAAAAGCTTATCTCGCACGCGTGGCATGCCCTCCGTAAGAGGTACTGGTCGATGATGGTCCGGCAATTGATTTCTGTGGTCGACATGGCCGCCAGTCGTGAATGTGTATATGAGCAAGACCTTCCCAGACAGGAGCTTCCTGCTGAGCAATGTTCGCACGAGTGCTGGCCGACGTGTGGAAAAGAGGACGTCGCTTCCCCTTGCAATTTTCGCGGACTGGAAACACACGCTTGCACGGGCAGAACGATCGCGCAGGTCGCGCCGTATGAGCTCATCGAGCCCTGAGTCACGACGTGAAGGGTCGCCCTGGCTTCTGCGCGCGGCTCGCCTGCCCCAATGATCTGTTAATCTGTCCCGTTGGCCGTGGTCTTCGCTCGCATCGGTGATTGCTCTGGCATCCGCCAGGCAAATGGGAATCGACCGAGCTGTAGCGGATGTTGCGGCCTTCTTTGCCGCTCAGGATATCGCGTACTCGAAGGCCCGACTGACGCAAGACCTGCTGAGATCTCGCTGTGAGATTAGCTTGCATAACGCGTACCGCACATGGGCTCCAATTGCAGGCTTGATCGATACCCCTATTCCGTTGATTTCCTATCTGCCAAAAGTCAAGCGTCGTGAATCACGAATCAGAATGGCTCACCTGAACACACACAAATTTGCACACGTGCGACACGTGCCGCTGTCCGCCACCATGACGACGGCCGTCTTTGTGGCTCGGGGGACGAGGAGGAGCAGCAGGACAAGCGCCCTGCAGTCTGCGAGATCCAACGTCCCTGAATGACAAGAGGTCCAAATCGAGGAGACTACGCGGTTGAGTCAGAGTGATGCTTGCGCACAGTCAGAGAGTAGCCGTTTGCGCGCGTTGATGCGATGCAGACTTCCGCGCTAAGACACGCATCCGTACATGGGAACGCGCGGCAAAACATCTTCTGCAGGAGCTACTACATGTAGCATATATGCTCCTTCAGCATGGCGTGCGTGCGTGTGTGCGTGCGTGCGTGCGTGCGCTGCTCGCGTCGTCCTCACCATCCTAATTTTTTCCGTGTCCACTTGACTGCGACTTCCATCCAACGGAGCTGCATCGACGGGCCGCGCTGCCCAATGCGTGCCGGAAAAGCAGACCAGACGCACTTCTCGCACTAGCATTGTGCGCTCGACCGCATCTGAGGCACCGCAATGCGTCGCCCACTTCCCTCTCATCCCACTCAGACTGGGACTCCAGCGCTCGCGCTGTCCTGCCTCGTGCTCCTCGCTCACGGAAGAGCACAGCATCAGCGACCTTCTGAGAATCACCGTCATCAGCCCGCGGTGCCCTGTGGGGCATATGGTAAGGCCTGTGGGGCCTTTGGCGGTAAGGAGGCATCATCAAAAGTCTGCACTCGACACACCTGACTTACACGCAACCGAGCCAAGATGACAGCTGCAGACAGGCTCGGTTGCTGCGGAGGGGAAAACCAGGCGCGAATGAGCCCTGCAGCTTACGCGTGTGTAACAGCGCCTGGCAGCCGACTGACGAACACCGCAAGCAGCTTGGCATTCACACAACATGACCGGTTCGGTGTTGATCAGCGACACGAATTGCAAAGGCGATGCAACCTTATCGCGCTCTGTCTGTGCTTGGCAACTGCATCGCTCCGAGATTCCGCGTTGAGTAGTCGTGATTGTCACGCACGAAGGCGGATGACGCGACCAATCGCGATTTTCGACCGGCATGAAAGAGCCCTATCGAAGATGCGTTGTAAATGTCGACTTAGATCCATCATTACGCAAGGTGCAGCCGATGCGCTCTATTCATCATGATCAGAGGGTTGGATTTCCTGCCGCAAACCTTCTGCATTGCCTGCTATTTTGCCGTCTTGATCAGGCAAAAACGCTGCCACGCTCCCCATCCGGCCCGTTCCGTTGGTCCGTAATCCCATGCTCCCTTCTGTCCTTCTGCCCCTGGCTCTAGCCTCTGCGAGGAGGTGACAAGAGTGTTGGATGGTGTATGGCCACAGACGTGCATTCGTATGGTGGTTACACTGGTCATCGGCCATCGGCCAGTGATGCAGCCCCAGCTACACTGTGATTGTGTCTGTGCTAGCAGCCAGAGCCAACGCCCCGTCGAGCCTGCTCCAGCTAGAGTGCTCGCTTGCCCTGCTGCTACTCTCACCCAGGATGAATAACATCTGCAACCAGGGCCTAGCTGAAGAGGCATCTTCACCGGCTACCTTGTCGAAGACACAGATATAAGAAGGCGCAGAAACCTCCCGACTCATCGTCGAGATGATCTTTTGAAGTGTACTGTACACATCTCTTCCTTCCATCTTCAGACACCACTTCTCCTTCCGTCGTTGCTTCCAAGTCCCAGAGTGTCTTCTTCGGTAATCTCAGTCCACTTTTAATCTCTGTGTCCATTTGACGACAGCTCGATTCCTTCTTACACCATTCACACGGCGCTATGCAAGCCCTGCTCTGGCTGGTAAGTCACTAACATCATACGCGACGGCAGGCGGTATCGGCGACTGATCTCTGCTAGCCTGTGCATGTCTCTAGTGTGCCCTCGCCCTATTGCCCGCTGGCTTGGCCGCTCCCGTAACACCTTTTCACGAGGCTGAACAAATCCTGGTGCCGCGCCAGCCGATCGCCCCTATCGATGATCCCTTCTATTCCGGTGACGACGTTCTGCAAATTCAAAGAGTAGGCCCAGGGGTTGCTTTACGTAGCAGGTGAGAGCAGTGGTGGGAAATCGTTCGTTGGACTGGATGAACGACTGACTTGCAGCGTAATCCAGACCTGTGGACTTGGCACAGTTCGGCATTCTTCCCATATCAATCAAAGCGGCTACCCAAGTCCTCTACTCAACGACCGACATGAGCGGCGGCATCACAGCCAACATGATGACAGTAATCACACCGAATGGCCGCGCAGAAAGCGAGACTGGCGTCCCAAAGGTGCTCGTCTATCAGCCGGCGCAGGTACGTCGCGGCCCCCGTCGCTCGGTCCGGCTTGAGCGCTGCTGACGTCTGAAGACGATCCCTTGTTTTCTCCCATCTTCAGGACTCCGCGTACTCTGGCTGCGCACCGTCCATCCAGCTGCAAAGCGGCGCAACCGGCAACTTGCTGGTCCAGGCTGAACAGCTCCTGATGAACCACGCGTTGACGAAGGGCTATACACTTGTGGTCCCCGACTACGAGGGTCCCTCCTCTGCTTTTACGGTGGGCTCCTTGTCAGGCACGGGTGTCCTGGATGCTGCTCGCACAGCTTTGAAGCTGCCGGAAGTTGTGAGCGCGGACAAAAGCCACCTTGTCAGGATGGCCCTGATGGGATATAGCGGCGGGGCGCTTGCAAGCGGTTGGGCTGCCCAGCAGCTCGAAAAGTATGCTCCAGAACTGTCGGGAAATTTTGTTGGGATGGTCCTTGGAGGCATCCCCGTCAATGTCAAGAACATCTTGCTGAAACTCAACAAAGGCGCAATCTCTGGCCTTGTTGGGACGGGCATGGCCGGACAATACAATGCCAGACCGACGTTCAAGGAGTACTTGGACCAGCACGCGACGCCTGCGGGCAAAGACGCGCTGCGCCGTGCTAATGGTACATGCTTACCTCAGAATCTTGCGCAGTGAGTCCGAACCGCTGCTCTGAAGTGCCTCTCATCGCCAATAAAGACGCTCAGCTCATCGTCGGCTCTCGTACCCCTTCAAGATTCCCTGCGACCGACTGGTTTTCATTGTTCGACGTGCCACAGGATGAGCTGCTCGCCGCTCCACCTGTGAAGGAAGCTCTCGATCAAGGCTCTCTGGGTGGTCTTGACGCAGTTGGCATGACAATCCCCGCATACATCTACCAAGCTATGCTGGATGAAGTGGTGGTGGCGTCGGATGTAGACGATTACGTGGCGGCGCAGTGCAAGATCTCCAGCACCAAGAGCATCACCTACGTACGGGAGCTTGCGGCTGAGCATATCAGCATGATCATCACTGGCTCTCCTTCCGGTTTCGTCTGGCTGGAGGACCGCTTCAATGGTCTCGAAGCTCCCAAAGGCTGCGATACTCAAAGCCGGCTCCTGACGCTCCTAGAACCACGAGTAGTAGCAGAGCTGGGCTCATTTCTGCTTTCGCAGCTAACAATTCTGTTGGGACAGAGCTCCAAAGGTTTCGTCGCATCTCTACTCACCAACCTTGGAAACACAGTCACCTGAAGCTGGTCTACGGTGGTACAACACGCACCGACTCGCCTTCGCCTGCGTGCTCCTCTTCAAGCATGTCAAAGCTGATGATGGAGCTATCCCCATCCCGACTGTAGCATGCAAGCGCTCCTGCTGTATCATATTCTTGTTCTCAACCCTGCATGACTATAATGACTCTTCACGACCCATTCCTCCCTTCCTTCTCGTTCTTGCACCGCAGTTCACAACCCTTCGTACTGTTATGTATCTACGATTGTCCGTGTCACGTACTCACGACTTGCAATTTTGAATGTAAGACGCTGCTTCTTATTCGCGTCGATGCACGGCGTTGGACGTGCCATCATCGGTCGAAGCGTTGCCTAGTCGCAGCAGCAGTCACAGTCGTGTGCTCCTTGCTTTCGCGAAGGCCGCAGTCGTCGACGCGGTTGAGTGGGGCGCTACCGGTCCGAGAAGCGATCGGATCTAGCTGGACGCAAGAGCCGAGTTCATCAGGCGTCGGCACAGCCCAGACCGCTTTGACTCACAGCAGCTAGGGGACAATCACATGGTCTCCATCAGGGTCCGTGATCGCGAGACGTTTCAGATCCGCTATGGAATAAAGGAAGGATCTCTGCAGGTCACGATTGAGTTTTGAGTGCAGCATGTACGTCCTTCGGAGCTAGATGGCGCCGATCAGAACAATCACGTGCATCATGTGAATGGGTGTGACAACTTTGAGCGTGAGGAACAGTCAAAGAGTCTCAGACTCTGTGGGCGTGCATGCAGCTGAATCATACACTGCAGATGCGAACGTCATCGCGGTCACAGCAGCTAGAAAGCATGCTGCTGGCAAGGATGAGTCTGAGTGCATGGACGGACCACCTCGATGAGTGCTGAATCGCCCGCCACGAACTCGTGAATGAAGCTCCTTAGCATCAGCTGCTGATGTTGTCGTGCTTTATTGCCTCAATCTCGATGGCCGATGAACGCTAGCGTGGGCGCATCTCGCGCTCGCCCGCGCGAAGATGAAGCTCCGACCTGATGCATACATGCATGCATGCATGCATGCTGTGCACGCTTTGCGATTCACCATTCGTGATTCACGAGGATCCTACATTCGTCGCCCCGAGCCCCCATGCAGAAGATCGCTTTCCACGAAATGTGGCCTCTCTTTATATCGACACATCGCAAAGTTGGGTCAGTATACGAAGATCTGCAATAGCTGCCTCGCTTGTCGTCCTGCCATGTGTGTGCGCTACGAGCCACGCAGTCTGGCGTCATGTACTCACAAGACCTCAGACAGACACTCACGACTGCTGCGACCGCCGAACAAGTGAGGAACCTGCTGCTCTAGAGGCGACTATATATGCAGCAAGGCGCAGTAGAAGCGCATGAAGGCAAGTTGGTCCGCTGATCCGCCGCTCACATCATGGCGCACAGCATCGACCTGGCGCACATCAGCTGCGAGGTCCTGCACGGCGCAACTAAGCCTCTCAGCACCTTCTTTGTCCACCGCCGCAACCCGGCCAGCACGCCTCGCTCGAAGCTGAATTCCCCTTTCCAGTAAGCGAGCGAGGCATGAGAGGATCAGGAGCTTGGCAGCGTAATTGCGTCTAGTCCAGGTTGCTCCAGCGTAATGCAGCTAACGTGGGAGTGCATCAGGGACCTGAGAAGCTTTCGACATCATCATCCTTGCATGGCGAGGCACCGGTGGAGAAGGTATAAAGAGCATGCCTCTTTGTCTCTCCTGCGGACGTTTCGTTCCCCACCTGCTCTATCGATCTCTTGGCTCTCTTCGCTCTAGACTCTAGCTTCATCAGACACCCCATACCAGGCATTATACTGCTACTTTTGCTCACAATAATGAAGTGCTCTCTTGCATCCGTCGTTGCCTGCCTGGCCCTGGCGGCTTCCGCCAACGCTCTGGCAGTGCCGACTCCTGCGCCCCAAGCACCAGTACGCCGTCAATGTGAGTAGCCACGTATTTCGGGTTGCGGAACATCATCCAGGGAATTACCAGTACTGATTCGACCGAGCTTCTCCAGTCACTTTGGACCTGGGCAGCGGTACGGGCGTCAGCGTCACCAACACTGGCGACTTTGGCAACGGCGGTTCAATCGGTACTGATGATCCCGCGACCTGCAGCGGCATCTTTGTAGCCGGAACTTGCCAAACCGGCTCGGGAGAGGGCGGCGCTACGGATACGGACTCTTCGGCCACCGACTCGGGCTCGTCGTCGACTGAGGACATCGAGGTCATCTACGGCACCAGGACCTTTACTGGAGTGTCCGCATCGGCGGAAGCCTCCGCAGCCAGTGCGTCCGATGCCGCTTCCTCTTCCTCTTCCTCTTCAACTACAACAACATCGACTTCAACCTCTAGCCGTGCTGGAAATGGAGCTGTGCAAGTCCGCGCGTTCTCCTCCAGCTCTGCTACCGGCTCCATCGTCGCTGTTGGCGCTGTAGCCATCGGAGCACTCTTCCTATAAAAGCATCGGCGCGGCAAGAGCGCCTCTCTCAAGAGCTCGGAACTTTCCTCAGCACTCTTCCATTTGAACACATCCGCACGACGCATTCAGATATACTACATGGTGCAATATCATAGTCAATGTATGCCAAGCGAAGTGCACGTGATGAGCGTCAAAGATTGAAGATTTTACTTCTTGTGCCGTTTCGCCTTGCTGCTCGTAGCGCCATTACCTCTGCCCGCGCTGGTACCGACTGCACTTGGGTCAGTGTCATCCCTCTTGTTTCTCTTGGCCTCTCCAGCCTTTCTCTTGCCCTTGTCGATCTTCGCTGGTCCTTGGCTCTTGGGTAGGGGGGTGACCAAGTCGCTGAACTCCTTGGGGAGGAAGCGGCGCGCCAAAGAGGAGACGGACTGCCTTGGTGTCACGAAGCCCTCGCTGAAGATGGTACCCGGGAGGAGGATTGTGAGCGCTGTGGCTTGACAGGGTAGAGGGAAGAAGCAGCATGACTCACGCTTTCATCACTGCCACCACGTCACCCTCCGTGATCGTAGCATTGCGACCCGATCTTGTCGCCTGGTCTGCAAGCTTCTGAGAAAAGGTAGCGAAGAACTCGTGCGACCTGTTTAGGCAGACGGAAATGATGTTGTCAACCTTGTTGCTCTGCGTACACCTCGCGTGTACGCCCTGACTTACGCGTCGTCCACCGCATCCAAAGCGGCTTTCTCCACCTTTATGTTCTTGGCGCCTGCGCCGAACGCGGCCGCACTGCTCATAGCAGACGCAGGAGTCACAAAAGTCCCGAAAAGTCCAGAAAGGAAAGACGCCGGAAGGGATGGCACGGGATTGCCGGTGTATGGTGACACTCTGCGGGGTGGCGATGTTGACCGTCAGTGAGCGAAGAGAAGAGCGCGGGTCAACATGCTTCCTCACCTGCTTTTCCGACGCTTCGTAGATCGTCTGCGTAGCATCGCAAGTTGCGCGATTTGGCGATCTGCGGGGGTCAAAGTCGCATCCGGATCGATGTCCTCCTCTTCGTCCTCCAAATCGTCATCTTCCTCACCCTCTTCCGCCTCCAAGCTGCGATCATATTCCTGTTCCAAGCTGCGAGAGCCGCTTAGATTGGCTCGCTCTTCAAGACTTCGGCTGGGACGGTCCATGCTTGCATCCTCCACCAGACTTCGGCTATGCGAATCCAAAGACACCTGCTCGGCGCGAAGCTGAGCCGAGATATCTGATGCTGACTGAATGCCCTGGTCCACCGCTGCTTCGTCCAATTCGTCAGAGTCCCTATCGAGCGCGCCACTCCGGTCAGACCTCGAGCGGTCCTGACTGCGCGAGATCGAACCTGACAATTGAGCATCTGCATCCACTGCCTCCATGAATGAAGGCATCTGATCGGCAGCAAAGTCCATCGACACATCCGCGGAAGGCGCTGCAGGTTCACTAATCGCGCGACTGATTGGAGCAGGCAAAGTGTATGACGAGTCCCTGTCAGTGAAGCTCAATCGGTTTGTGGCAACGCTAGCAGTCGTCTTCGCTCACCTTCTACGACTGGCACTGGTATCGATAAATCCGCCGAATGCGTCGGAGTCGTCCGGATCGTCGTCCGAGTCGCCGTCGCCAGTTGTGTCGAGACGCCCGCTTCCGGTGCTCATACGACTGACGTTGCCAAATAGGTGCCTCCTCGCCATCTCGTCGAGTTGATCGAGCGAAGCGTCGGGTCCAAGATCGAGAAGCTTTTCTTCCAGTTGACGCTCACGCGCCGAAACGCCTGTTGTCTCTCCTAGCGAAAAGTCATCCCTGAGAGACGAGCGACCAGACTGATTCAGAGCGCTCGCTGCACTTTCGCGGTGACCTCTGCGCTGGGCAGCAAGCGAGTCGAAAATACTGCCAGAACGTGGGGTGCCGTCTGCTATTCTCCGTCCAAGCTCTCCGGAAGTAGATAGACTGCTCTCCTCTCCTACACTAAGGTCTACATCGCGCGTGAGGTCACCCGGAATACTCTCTCCTGGTCGCAGCATCGTCCCTCGACTGCTAGATCCACGATCGTTGGATCGGCGTCCTGATGATCGTCCTGTGGTGGCGCGGGATAGACCGAGAGAAGTTGCGTCTCTAGCGGAAATGTCTCTCGCTTGCACGTCTGGGGTGGGTGGGAGCTGGTAGGCTATTGTAGCGCAGGCAGAAAGTTCGTCATGTCAGCGAGTGACTTAGCGGGTACCGACACCGACGTGCGTGTGCTCACCTCTTGCTACACGTCGCAGAAGCTCCATTGGGCTCTGCTCCCTACCCGTACCCCACCCACCAAACGAACTGAACCTTCGCTTGCGAGCGGATCCCGGGGCTCGCTTTGCGCTGGCCATGATGCTCATGCTCCTGTCAGCCCCGCCTGCACTACCTGGTGTCGCCACATTGTAGGAGCTCCCAGCTGCTGCACCACCACGACGCGGTGTAGCAGGCGTCTGGGCAGCCAAGGAGCGCCTGAGAACGTTGATGGGTGGAGGCTGAGAAAGCGATCTGGCAGGTGTGGGCGCATCTCCAAGCAGCCCTTGCGCTGTTCGACGCGGCGTAGCATCGACTTGTTGCTGCTGAGACTGCTGTTGCCGCTGCGGTTGGCTTTGTCTGCCAGTGCGATTTGCGCTTGGCCGAGCGCGAGCTCTTGGTGTTGTTTGCATATCCTTCGCCGCCCCTGACCTGCGCGACGAGGATGCTCTGCCTGACATAGCAACGGGTGGGGAGCCTGAACGCGCTCGTGAACTGTTCGAGGTCGGCGTCGAAGGTTGTTGGCGATCAAGAGTCACTGGAGTCAGCTTTGGCCATACGCGACTGTGGCTGTGAGCGTCCATTGGCTAGTGTGCGATCGCTGCTTGGAGGAAAGATCACGATAGCCGTGCGTACTCGATCGTACGTGCTGTTTATGCCCATTCAAGATTGACGCGTCGCGGAATCACACTCACGATTCAACACACGCGCGCGCGCGCGCGCGCGCATCAGTCGAGTTGGACACCCGCGGCACGCCGCGGCACAAACGCGTAGCTACATGCAGTCTTGAGTGTATATGTGCCTGCACGCCTGCAGATGCCGCTACACAAGCCGATTCACATTGCTTAACAAGCTGCTCCTCCGTGACAAAACGGAGACAGCACCCTGCGTCCATCCGTCCTCTCACCTTGTTTCAAATCCTTTTTTCGGAGCAGAAGCTCTCCCGAGAAGCTTCACATCTTCTCTGAGCTTGTCAGTTGCACAGCAGTGAGCGCCGGGCCATGTCTACCTCTGCTCGCCATGACAGCAACGCTTCGCGCCCCGGGCCTTCCAGCCTGGTCTTTGAGGGTGACGAGATGACGTACAACGGTGAGCGCAACCTCGGTAACATTGCACCCTAGCCTCCGACCAAGAGCCAAGAGCGCTCACACGATCTCCAAATTCTTAGAGACGATCGATGCGATTTGCCAATTCTGTGAGCAATTTGCCTTACCTCAACAAGCTGTTCGTCAGCTTAGACGTCCATCTGTACTGCAGTGACGCTGGCTACGCATACCGTCCTGTACTTCAGACAGGTGTATCCCCCCGAGGTCTTTACACGCAAGTCTGCGTACTCAGTGCCAGTCTGGGCGTGTAGACATCCAGGTGTCTGCGATTACATAGACGAGCTCGTGCGCGCAGCCAAGGTGCAAGTCTTGAAGGTGAGTGAGATCGATGTTGCATGGTAAGCGCACCTTTTATCCTGCTCATGCTTCTGTGTCCTAATGCCTCATCTTTCCACTCACTCTCAGGGCTTAGTGAGCTCTGTGCACCTGGCTCTTATGTCCACCACCACCCAAAGTGTCCTTGAACGCTATCGATTCGACTTGGAGTACATGATTCCCCTCGTCGTGCCCAGAGATCGTGACCTTGCGTGAGTGGGGGGCATCAAGATACACCGATGCGCGTGGCCGGGGCTGACATGCTTCCGCCGCTGCAGCATACCAGGCAACTTGACTAAGAGCGTCATGGAGATCCATCTCAGGGCGTTCATGCAAAAGTTGATCTCTCTGGACGCAGCACTCGAAGATGTAGAGGAGCCTGAAGGTGAGCACAGACCCTTTCTCAAATTCCCAAAATAGTCCAATCTTCTGTTGGCTGAACTCTGTGGCTACAGATCTCACTTGGGCGTTCGTTCTGGTGCCAAAGGAAGGCCTAGTGCCCGAGACAGATGACAAGAGCGGCAATGTGAGTTCTTGTCGATGGCGGCCAGCCAGCACGTCCTCTCTGAACCGATGACCCTCTTGTCGGGAGCAGGAGCCCAGAGAAGGACCTTGGGTCCCCTTCGACGATGGCCCACTACAGCTCTCGAATCCCACGACATCGTCCGACTCAAATTCTCAGTCCGTGGATGACCGCCAGCAGTCCCACGCAAGCTCACCCATACACGCAAGACCGGCAGGAAGGAGAAGTGACAACGCAAACGACGCCTCTGTCAGTGAGCAAGATCAGCCAAGCATATTGCCAGTCAAGAGCCTCGATACTGGCGTTATCAATGTGAGTTCCCCGTTCCCCGTTCCCCTCTCGATATAGGATTGAACGTTGCTGACTCTATCGCGAATACCCCAAAGCTAATGCTTTACGTTGAAGAGCACCCTTTAGCAAAGCGGCAGAGCTCACTCGTCTTCTCGCAGAGTACTCCTAACTCATCCAGAAGGAGAGGGCAGGAAGGTCACGGCTCGAGATCTGGAGGCGACAAAGGTTTGCTCCGTGGCGCATCTCAACTGCCCGCAGAGGTGCGGGATCTCGATGCCCCGGTACCGCATCCCGAGAAAGCTTCGAAGGGGGGCAGACATGGCTCGCGCAAAGCAGGCGCTGCGGATATCAAGGAGCGAAACGGGAAAGGCAGGGCAACGAATCTCGAGGAGGACGAGGACGCGAAGTCGAGAAGTGAAAGTGATGATGCAAGCGAGAGCGGTCGGAGCGCGGACAGCGTCGGCTCATTTGCTGGATATGGAGGCAATGCGGGAGGGGCCGGTATGGCTGGGACACGAATGTAGTGGACAAAGCTAGGGTCATTAGCGAACTGATGTATTCGATGGATCATGAGGTATGTAGTGCGGGTGCGATGACGCCAAGGTATTCTCGAAGCGTGCGGATGTACGCGTCATCGCCCTCGTCGACGGGCCCGTCGGGGGACCAGATGACGATGTGTTCTCCGCAGCTCGCACCGATTTGCAGCTGCTTGGCAACTTGCTGCTCGTTCCCGGGCTCCGTGGCGAGGCCATTGCCGGTGCTGGTCGATGTAGCGGCATCAAGGGATCCCTCCAAGTCTAGTTCTGGCTCGTGATTCGCGTCGTCTTGTATGGCCGCATCCCAAGTGAGATCCTTTTCTTCATCCTCCTGTGCCTCGTCATCAGAGTCGTCCATTGAAAAGGTCTTCATTGTGGTGAATTTGGCTCTTGCAGCTGTGCTACTGCTGCTTGCTGCCGCCATCTTTCTCGGAGAGCGTCGGAGAGCGGACTCTGCGAATGGAGGCCCTTGCTGGTGCGCATCCGTGCGTCGACGCTTTGATTCGTGTTGAGACGAGCTCGTGGCCTTTGGAGTACCGGTGCCGAAGCTGGTCGCCTGAGCTGCAAGGAGCTCTACCTCCGTGGGGACTTCTACCACATGAGCCTTGTATCCAGCAGGCACAGCTATGGGCGTGCCGTGGATCGTTCTCCCTCTAAATGCCGACACCAAAGCCGCTGAGGGATCAGAGTGCTCCAACTCAACAGATGACTCGGTGTCTGAGGCCGAGCGTACGACCATGTAGCGGGAAACGGGTGCGGGACCATCGTAGTCAATCGAGAATGGCATCAGATTGGCGCGCACGACAGAAGAATCGTCTTGAGACCCAGTGTAAGCACTGAGCTCCACAGGGCGGGGAAGGGCCTGCATGACTTGTATTGTTGAAGCTGAGCTTGATGGAGGGGTGCTAGACTGATCGAGTTGAGCGCTCAGCAGCGCTTCTGAGCGCTTGATGTCGATCGCAGCCGAACGATCGCCTATCCTGCTTGCCGTTCCGCCGCAATCGCCACCTCGATCCGCTTCGCGCACACTGTGAGCGCTGTGAGACGCGATCCACCCAGATATGCTACCCAGGACTTGCGATTGAGCAGTGCTCTGGTTGCGGCGAGTGGTTGTATCTGCCCTCGGGTCAGCCAGCAGGTGTAGGGCGAGCAAGCGGTCTGAAATTCTTCTTAGCTTTCCCCGATCCCGACGTTAGCGCGACGTGAGGGAGGCGCGGGAGAGAAATTACACACCTGCTGAGTGCCAGCACAGACAGAGCCATGCAGCTCGACTGCGGTTGCGATCGCGAATCGTGAATGCTACGCCTTTGTGCGCCAAGTCGCAATGAGTGAATCGACGATGCTTTCGTCGGGGGGCGCAAAGTGGTGGAGGAGGGCAAACACTCAGCACCACTCTTCTGCACTTACCTCTGTGGCCATGCATGCCGCTCGATCACCGCCCGCCAGCATATACGCAGCCACCGCGAAAATTCAGATCACTTGTGATTCATTTCTGCGCGATCGGCCGCTCAACTCATGCACTCGCGCGTGACTCATTACTCACGACTTGATTGTGATTCAAATTGATTTCGCTGTTACCACTCCAATGGAACCGCGCCGGTGCAGCAGCAGCAGACGCGTGCTGGGCATGCACGCGCTTCCCGCGTTTGCATGGCGGTGGGTGCGTTAAGTGTGTAAGGCGATGAAGCAGCAGCAGCAGCAGGACGCGCAGCAGGTCTCTATATACCGGACAGCAATCCATGATGTACGAAGCTTCGCCGCTCTCTGTCACATACCATAGCTACGAGGGACAGAACAGGGGGCCGGGGCAAGAAGGAAAAGGAGACAGAGGTCAAGCATCCAGCTGGAATGGTCCATCTGAACATAGCCTTGGATCCGCTCAGTCCTCAACTTGCCAAGATGCCGAGGCTCCAGTCCAGCAGGGTGCAGCGGTTCGTGGCATAAAGGAAGACACTCTTAGCGCTCTGCTGGACGACACGTTCTTGAACCCGGCCGGGATAGGTTCCTCCCAAGCGCACAGGTGTCCACGCACCCGCTCATCGCCAAGAAGGCCGCGCCTCCACCTCAGGCCCGCTCTTCGCCTTCAAGGACGTCCCCTGCCGCCGTCTATGGGACGCTACACGCGCGCTACTTGCAGAGCAGGAGTCGTGCAAACGCCTCATCAGCTGGCATGAGATCACGCGGTCCGCGCGTACTCGGGGCCTGGACAAACAGCAAACATGCCCGGCGCATCCACGACCAAGGCTTCGCGACACAAGCCCGTCTTGAGTGCTCAGAAGCGTGTTGTGAGATTCACCATCCAAGTCGCCTTACTACGCGCCACAATACAGGAGTGGGTATGGGTCGTGCCGGCGACAACGTGTGACATGCTCGCCCCTTGCCGATGCGCATGACAGCTTGTACAAGTGTCGGTGTGGCGCGCACAGAGCTACTGCTCCGCACTCATCAAGCTGTCGAAGTTGCCGAGCGAGCGCCTGACGCGTGACCGGCCAACAGCTAATCAAAAGCCCAGAACTCCGCGCCTAGTTCAGCGGCTTGTGAGAGGACGCAGTTTCATCGACTGGCAGGGTGAGCAGGCCGTAGCCGTATACTGGCAATGTCACGATTCGATGTGCGATGCTGGCTCCTCAATCGGTCGGGCCGAACCTGCTTCCCGGCTCTGCCGAAAGCCACCTTTGGCTGATGCGATTCAAAATTGTCGATCGAGAGCAGCGGAATCCCTGAGGCTGGGTCCCCTGCAGCGCGGGTTCCAGCAGTCTCGACTTTTTGGCCATACAGCCTCAATAGGAGTGGGCCTCCTCAAAGTCCGGACCTCGCCAACGGGATCCAGGACCTGTTCCTCTCGCATAGCTGATCGACCAGAAGCTCTGAATGCTCTTCACAAGATGATCGGCACACAAGGATCGCTCTTCGCTCTTGCTGCAAACAATCGTGGATCTATGAATCTGCAGCAGCAGCAGAGACGGGAAGTGCGGGCCGTGGCCGGCACAAGCTCCACCGCTCACCGCCCTCACACAAGGACATATAAATGAGCGATGATGTGGACCCAGCATCAACCCCTAAAGAGATTCTTCCCACCACCGACTCGTCCTGCGCGTCGCACAAGCGCACCGCCTTCCTGCTTCATATCTCTTACATTCGCCTTGCCAACATGCTTCCGGCACGCTTATGGAGCACACTTCTCGTGAGTGTCGTCGCTGCTCTCACGACGTCGGCCTTGCCTGCGGAGAAGAGGGGCGTACTCTACCCAGAGGAGGCGGTGGCAATTGAGCTACTCATCAGACAAGCCGGCAACCAAACGGCCGCGACCTCATCAAGACTCACTACTACCGTGGCTTCATCTTCGAGCACCAACAGTGGCTCTGGTACCAGCACGAGAAGTGCATCCAGCACCAGCACGAATAGCAACTCCAGCACCAGCACGAAAAGTACCTCCAGCACAAGCTCGCCCAACCCTTCGTCAAGTGGTGTACTGCGCACTAGTGCTCAGGCTTCAGGCGGTGGACTGCCTGCACCTCCTTCCGGCTCGAGGCTGACGCAGCACACCATCAATGGGAAGCCCGGAACGACTGCTACCGTGCCCATTTTTGCCAACAAGAATTACATCGGTAGCGGTTCCAACGGCGCGAGCAGCGCCTGGATAGGCTTGCACGGTCGACTCAAGAATGGGTGAGTCTGTGTTGAGTACCGAGCGTCTAGACACGGACCGTCTGATCTCTGACCGGTGGTCCCATACCGCACAGCAATCAACTGTTCTCCGACCTTTACAACGTCGTTGGCGACCAAGGCGTAGCTGTCGTTCCCAACTTTTACGGCCCTAGCGACGTTCAAACGGTGCAGAATGCTCAAAACCAGGGCAAGCCCAATCCCATCTGGTTGCAACCAGACAGAAATGTCATCTGGAACGACGACTGGCGGTACGGAGCAGATGCCGTTGCTGGGGGTACGAGCCGGCCGCTCAACGGCGAATCCGTCTCGAGTCTCGAGATTCTCGACTCTCTCATCAAGAATCTATCGAACAAGAGCCGGTACCCCAACATGGCTCGCATCACCGTCGTTGGACATTCTGCTGGCGCTGCGCTCGTCGACATATATTCTCACTTTGGTCCAAATGCCCCATCCGGAATCAAGATTCGATACGTAGAGGCGAATACCCCAACCTCCTACATGGTGAGCATACCTCGGCTGGGGCTCCCTGCTTGCGCAACCGAATGGAAATGTAGCTGATTCTAGTGCTACCTTCAGGTTGACTCGCGAAGACCCGTGGGGCCCATCGACCTTGCAAAGTGTCCAAACTACAACAATTGGCCCTACGGTCCGGGAGGAGCAAAGCCGCGCTACATCAACAATGCAATGTCAAGCTGGTCCTTCCAACGCACCTGCAGCCGCGACGTCGTCAGGCTGAGCGGCACTAAGGACACGTATCAGGCGGACTCTGGAGGCGACCAAAGCTGCATGTCGTGGGCTCAAGGTGGCCCCGACCGCACCAACCGCGGTCAAGCTGCTTGGGTCATTGACAATCTGAGAGCCAACACGAAACGAACTGACCTGCGCTACTACGCATCGTACCAAAACATCACCACTTATCAGGGCGGAGTTCCAGTGCAGGAGGTCCCCACATTCAGGAAGACCTTTGCGCTGGTGTATGGCGTGGCACACGTCGCTGGACAGATGTTTGCGTCGGACTATGGTCGCCAAGCACTTCTCAAGACAACACCGATCAGCTACACTCAAACCGAGCCTGCGCCTTACTAAGAGTGCTCTCGCTTCGACGACAGCCTTCTCATTGTGCCGAATTCCGCACGGATCTCGGAGCGCTGCGCTGCGCCTCGACATCGCTTACGATACCTTGAAAGCCCCGCACCCGTCTTATACCCATAAACTTCATCCTCGCTCTGTGTTACAGTCTTTCCCCTGCGCGCGCCACTGCCGCTGCTGCCTTTCAAGCTGCTACTCGCTTCATTACCTGCGAAATACTTGTGCTCTGTTTGCATCAATCGGCTGTCTTCACGGCGGATGTGCGTGAGAGATTGTGTAGCGAATGTTCACATTGGGTCGAGCATGTGGAAGGATCCGCTCTGGAGCAGCACACTCAACTGCCTTGTGAACTTTGAAGATCCGAAGTTTGCTTGACATTTCCAGTCAAAAGGGCGGAGTCGAAGTGGTAGTCACGTGAAAGAACACGTCGCGTCTTTGAGAAGAGCGCGTTTGTCCGACCCACCGATAATGCTCCGACGCGCGGTGGGCGTCAGAGCCGTGTGGAATATGGGCAGACTGTGTGTTGCTCGCTGCATAAATGCTTTTGGACACCGCCGCCGCGACTTTTCTTCTGAAACAAACACCTCGAACAATCTCCTTGGCGCGCAGCAGCAGCAGCAGCTAGCTAGCTGGACAAGAAGGACGCGTCGCGGTCTTTTAAAAGAACTTAATCGGCTCCACTATAGCTTCCCCCTCTGCCTTCTTGGCTCTGCTGTGTGTCACCATGTAATCGTCGTTTGGGTCATGCATGAACCGCTTGCGCGACGACGCAGGCAGGTATAGCAACTAAGCAGCTCATGTGCCGTCGAGGTCGCCATGCAGTTTGATTGTCCGTCTACGCTCTCCCTCGACGAACTTCTCGCTTTCCCACGGCTGAAGTTCGATCAACGCGCAACGCTCGGATCTTTGCACGCGCTTGATTCACATTGGAGTTCGTCTCAGGGAGTTGCCTTGAGCTATGCAAGCCCGCCGGGAGCTGTCCAGGCGACGCGCCGCCAATTGACGGCAGGCAGGGGTGGGGGTCAAACAAGGCGCGAGGAGAGCGCCGCATTCGCGCAGCCGTTTCACACCCGCTTTTGGGCCATGTATGGCCTATGCATGGCTATTCTTGGTCATTGGCGTCAGCGTGTGCACTCATACTAAATGTGAACTAGCTGGGCTGCGTCGTGTCTTTTAGCAGCACCTACGCTTGCGCTGTATATTTGGGGTATGGTATAATAGCGATGAAGCAACAAGTGCAGCCAAGAGATTGCGCCCGCCGCACACAACCCAGTCACGGGCGTGCTTATCGCGTCCTGTGAAGAGGGGTTGGTGCATGATGCTGTTGTACACATCACGGGAGGGTGTGCTACACACACCCATCAGTCAATAATCTTGAATGGATCCGAGCGCGCATCCAGGTTCAGTCCAAAGCTGATGATGATGATGATGACTGCATGCTTTGCTTCATGATGGATCGTGCGTGCATGAATTCGATGTGCATAATCACGAATGAAGATGAAATTCATCTGAAGTCGGATGAATGCCTGTAGCTGTCATGATGCTGATGAGAGAAGCCGCGAAGCTCGCACCAAATCGCGATAGCTTGAACCTTGTCGCGTGCGGTGTGAAGGCGCGGTCTGGGAGTTCGGAACACGGCTCAGGCCCCTCCGGCTGTGGACAGGCCACACCACAGACACAGACACACACACACACGCAACAAGCCTCATTGTCCTATGAAGGTGTCGCCCACGTCCAACGTTTGACTTCAATGTAAGTCACGAGTGCTAGCGGCGCACCAATAGGCCAGCGAGCATGCAGCTGCTTGGAATACTTACAATAGTGAATCACCGAATCGCATGGCGGCGCGGCATCACATCTTTCTGATGGGCACATCGCACTTTATGTGTGGCGGATGCCAAGGACAGACTGAATTTGCAGGCGCGATCGAGCCTTTCGTTGTAAGTCGCGTGAATCCAAAGTCAATATGGTGGCAGCAGTCAAGAGTCAAGACTGTTGAGTCATTGGGTATAGTTGCCGTTTGTATAAGCTTGGTGCGCCGATATGGACGAATGATTGCCACTCGTTTGCGTAGACACTCAAAATTTCCGGTACACTCATTCAGACCTGTCTCATGTTCGACACAAAGGCACGCCGCCGCACGCACGGGGGCCGCGGGATGCTGCATGTGGGCCGCCATCATATATCATATGGAAGCCCGCGCCTTCATTATATATATAGGCTTCACCGTCAAGGACAATAACACGCTCGGACTCGAAAGTGTTGTGCTACTTTAATTGAGACAAGGAGCAGAGCTTTTGAGCGATCACCTTTGACTTTCTGTTGTGTATTTGTCATGACAAAGACCGAAAATTGACAGCCCAGCTGCTTGACTGCGGTGCCCTCGCTCACTGCGTGGTGTTGCCAGTGGCTGAGCATGCGCTGCGGCCAGAGCGACCCTCTTTTTTACCATTGTCAGCTGAGCGCTTGCTTCATTCGCAGCACCTTGTGTGTGCGCCCCTTCCCTCAAACAACCAAATTCCCAAGCATGAAGAAAGGTCATCGAGCGCACGTACGCGGCCCTGTTTGAACGCAAGCGTCGATCGACTCGCGCCCTCTCTGCCTGACTGCAACCCGCTGTTTTGCTGCTGCTGCTGCTCGCCTCTGCCCCGAACGCTCATGCGCGGGAGGAGGCCTGCTGCAAGTCGCACGCAACTATAGCAGTCGCCTCTTGACGCGCGCGCGTGACCCACCTCAACCATTGAAACAACGACGACGACGACGACGACGACGATAACGACCGCCAAATCGCCAATCGCCAACGACGACCAATTCGCATCGCACCTGCTTCAGCCCATGGTACTGTCTGTCTGCGTACCTGCTGCATAGCCAACCGTTCTCACGCACGCACGACCTGTTTGTTGTCCGCCGGCTCGCTTGCCTAGCCTCCTCCACGCCTTTCGTACTGTACTGCACTACTGCAGCAGAGAGAAGGTCCACAACGCGCCGCGCCTTCCTGCCCTCCTGGCTTTTCTGCTTCGACTCGATACGTCACCGGACTTGTACATTCTCGCTCTCGTGTCTCTTCACTGCGCTGTATCATTCTGTCGACTCCTGCATTGCCAGCTTCACCTCCAAACGATCTTTTACAACGCGCGCAGCTCAACGGTCTCGACGGACGCGTGCATCCACTGCTGGCACAATCCCCCCTCAGACGCGTGCCTTCTCGCTGCAAGCCAAGCCAAGCATATTCGCCAACAATCCAAAGAGTCACATCAGTCCCAACGCTGCTTCGGCTGCTTCAGCGTCATCTGCACAGGCACCGCTTGTCGATCTTTCCGCCAACCCCTAAGGCACCACCCAAATTCGCCTCGAGGGCTGTCGCCTCCTCTGGCCTTGTGCTGGACTGGCAGCTGGTGGAGCCCTCCCGCAGAATTGTGACCTAGACTTGCGGCAGGAATCTGTCGAGCCTCATCTCGTGAGTCGCCGATCGGTCTGCTTGGAGCATACAGACATAGGTCTGTTCTACATCGATCGCATCGTTGTCTTGGGAGGAATACTCGAATGCTGACTTTGCGCTGCTCCGTATTTTCGACCTCTACATCTGTTCTCTCTCGCTCCGCTCACCTCATTACCGCCGACCTGACGCTGGCAAACACCTCTACGAAAACGCTATCATCATCCTTGCGCTGCTTCCTTTCGCCTCAACGACCTGCCCGCGATGATGGCGCCACCGGCAGGTCGAAGGCGACCGCCCACGGCAGCAGAATCGCCTCTCAGCTTCATATCTCGAGCTCATAGGCAAGCCTCGGGCGACTTCACCGGAACCCCTTTGCGTAAAACATCGTCTTCAGGCTCACTTGGGCTGTGCGAGCAACATCGGCCGCTGACTCCCAGGACAGGCGTCAAGTCACATTGGCCAGGTGACGCGGCTGATCTGCTCAGCAGCTTTCCGGTTATCCCGGAGGCTCAACCACAAGGTCAGGCCTCGGTGCCAGCATCGACTCCTGGCCGACTCTTTGGGTTCTCGCAGAGTGAAATCGACGATTTTGCCAGCCACAGTGATCTCTTGGCCAGCTCGCTCTTCCCAGACGTGCCCTTCAACCACGCCCTTGTCGTCAACTCGATCAACATGAAAGTGGAAGGCTGCACAACCTCCGTGGCCGGCGGGAGCGCGGACGCCAATCCACCACACAGTGCAAATGACAGCGGCTACTTTCCCGGCGACGCGTCATTAGATCTAGACGACTCCGGCCAGGCAGCGGACTTCGATGAGTTTGATGACGATGGGTCTCCCCTCTTCGACAACGACGCGGAGTTGGATCCGGAGACCGCTGCAAAGCTAAAGGTTGTGCAAAAGGCTCAAGAAGAGGCATCAGCGGTTGGCGCAACAGGCGAATTTGCGTGTCCTTACTGCGACAAGAGCTACAATGGTAAGCACGCTCGCTCCATATGGCGCAGACACTTGCAAGACAAGCACGCCATTCCACTCTCCCAGCAGCCGCGCCGCACGAGATGGGACGGAGACGCGAATAGACCAAAGAATGCGGAGGAGAGGAGGCAGCGAATGCTGGAAAGCAAACGTAAGTGGGCACGCAAGAAGCGTCTTATGGAGAAGCATGGTCAGGAAGGCACGCCAGCTCAGGCGGCAGCTCGGGCAGCAATGCACCATCAGCATCGCTGGGAGCCCGAACGACCGCTCTTCGCGGCTCACAATCATGGATATGCGGAACCGATGATGGCCCATCAAGAACGCCTATACGCGTCGCTGCCCCCAAGTCGTAGTGAGCATCCAGGATACCACGGCGCCACTCCTATCGGACAGCCTTTTTCCATCTCTCATCCCCCACTGCCGCTGCAATCGCTCTATTCAAACGCTGCTCCGCCTGATGCTGCAGTGTTTCACTCGCACCATCCAGCCGCGCCCCACTATGTACACCCGCCTAATCCTCACGGCCTCGAGCTCCCTTCTCCTGGGACCGTCGACCGCATCTTTGGCGTACCTCAGTACGAGCGCAGTGCGGCTCGTCAAGGCACATCTCAAAGCTCTTCCCGCCAGTCGATGACGCTACTCACTGCCGGTGCGCCGATTTTTCCACCACACGAGGACATACCCGCACATCGCGACTCGCGCCATTCGAAAGACCTACCTCAGGCTTCGCCCACGCGCATCAGTCATTTGCGAGCAAATGCAGGTCACCTCGGAGAGCTTTCCTCCAGAGCAGGACCCTCTTTGGTCACATCTCCGGGCAGGGTTGTGCCTGGGCCCTTTGCCGGGCATCGTCAACTGGGTTTCCCGTCTGGCACAGCCGGTCATCGTCAGCGTCCAGGGGAAGATAGGCTTGCAGACCCGTACTCCGATGCGCAACGCACTTCGCCGGAGTCTTTCAAATCAGAGGATGAAGACAAGCTGCTTCACCGTCAGCAACGCTCGTCATCGGCCTCGCAAGCAGATGGCGGGAAGAGCGACCCTCTTACGCCGCCAGACTCGCACAGCTTGGCCGCACATGGTGGTGCAGGTCTTGCTTATTCGATTGCGAACAATGCTAAGGGTCAACCTCCCGCCGCGGACTCATTGCCTGCCAGTTCGACACCGCGTCACTCTGCGCGCAATGCAGCGTGGAAGCCACATACCGGCGCGCACAATCCCTTCTCGCTGGAATCTCACAAGATCAGCCCCGCGATCGCGCGCACGCAATCTACATCGATGAGCCGTTCAGCATCAGACACGCTAGCGTCCCCTACCTCTGCTCGCAGGACGACCGAAAGAGGCGGCGCAAGCGTCCTGATTCCGCCGCTTGGAAGCGGAACAACGGATGCCGCCATGGCAAGTCCGATGGCTCGTGAGCGCACCCTCCCACCGCTGATCGGAACTCCACGCCGCTCCAATGGTCTCAAGAGCAGTCACGATGAGGACGCACCTTTGCTGACTATGAGCTTCGAGGGCCCCAGCCTTCTCGACAGTCTGCGTCGCCCTGGCCGCCAACAAGGAAGCTTGATGACCCCGTTGGATTATGAGTCGCGAGAAGCTGGCACAAAACGGACCCCCTTCAAGTTCTCATCAAAGGATGCTGGACGATCTTCCTCGCTATTCCAGGTGCCACAGACGATCGGACGACCGACGCCCGCCCGACGCGTCGGTCAGCAGTCTGACCAGTTCTCGTCACCGCAGCACCTTGATCTCACAGAAAGTCTAGGCTTAGCGCCTCATTCGATTCTGAGGCCGTCCGGCTCTACGTCTTACGGGCATTTCGGCAACACCGGAGCCATCACGCCGCTCGAGGGTCCGACGCCAGTCAGGCACCTGGGCGCACTGGCTGCTAGTCCCTGGCACCCCAGTCCATCTTCTCCCCTGCGTGCCATACGTCCAGACAACTTGCCAAGCAGCGCTGTGCGCACTGCTCAACCAGAAGCTGAAAGAGTCGAAGATGAAGAGGAGGAAGAGGATGAGCCAGGACGCTTCGCCATGCAAGAGACGCCCTCGAGACCCAGCGCTAGTCAGCGCAGTGCCAGCAGCAGATCTTTGGGTTTGGGCTCCTCGCAGAACGGATCGACGAGCAAGACGACCACGGTTCTGAACCTACCACCCCCGATTCGACCGTTGAGCTATCGCAGTGGTGGTAGCGTTGATCCGTCGCAGGGCATCACACCTTCCCCCACTGCTGCGGACACTCGAGTCAGCGCCATGCAGGATCTCTCCATCACAGACGAACAGAGACGCAGAGATCAAGAGAAAGCCATGCCTGAAACGCAAAAGCAGACCGAGGGGTCCGAGCGCGATCTGCGTTCCGCTCTACGCAGTCCACCTTCATCACCCATTAGGCCACTGCTCAATAGCCGCATGTTGTACGAATCTCCTCTGGCATCGCGCAAGAGAGAGCGTTCTCCCTCGACGCCGAGACATCAGCATAATCTGGAGGCGACCGGTTCGCGCTCGAGTGCTGCTTCTCCCAGCTCTCGCAAAGCTGTCCGCCTAGTGTAGAGCTTGACGTCATTCACGACCTTCAGCTCGCGCGCATCTGTGCCTTTCAGCTTACGATCGAACGATTGAACGACGCTGATGCTTAATTTGGCCTGTTGTCTTTTTCTAACCGCCTTTGTTACATACCGCACATGCGCATGCTCCCCTTTGCTCTTTAGAACAGACTCGTACATTGATCGTCGACTCGACACAACCACCAACACCCCATCCAGCTTGTCACCTGCTCATTCCATTGCACACTATTGCCATTGCAATCCTTGCCACGTACCATAGCGCTGCAAGCGCTGCACATGTGGGTAATCCTCTGAGCGATGCGACTTCCGTGAAACGCCCGGAGAGATCTCCACGAAGGGGACGAGCTACATGTTCGTGTCTTGTGATGAAGGTTCTCAGCAGCCAGCAGGTGATTCTGGTTGGCCATAGTCCACCTCAGAGGCCAACGCCAGAGTCGATGCTCCGACGTCGGGCAGCTCGAGGTGGATTGTCTCCCAAGCTGACGTAACCGCGCGTTCCCGCCGCTCTTTGGAGCGCTTCGCAAGACCAAGAGGGCCAACCGTCGAATCGCTGGTCATGGACGCTGACGAGGCGCAGATGGTACTGGTCCGCTTGGGCCGAAGTGACTGTTTGGACAGCTTGGACCTCTTCACTCGAAGAAGGTGGTCGCGTCAAGGGCTCGTCGATGCGAAATGCCAAGCAACGAGCATCGTTACCGAGGCGCGAGCCTTCGGCTGTTTGAGGAGCGCGCACGAGGATGGTGACATTCTTGAAACCTGCCAGGCGCAAATCACAATGCGGCTCGGCGGCGCTGGTATCGTCGGAACTTGCAGCTTGCCTCGATGGCGCGTGATCTGCAGATGCTTCGTGTGGATGAGCATTCGCACCCGAGGAGGTCAAGATGACCTCTCCGCACATGCCCGCATCCTGGAAAACGATGGTGACATTCTCTAGAGGCGGATCCAGCTGCAATGCCCCTAGCCTCCACGGCAAAGCCATCCCTGCCTGCGCGGCATGCATCGAGCGTGGAAGGTGATGAACGTCTGCCGCACTCTCATCTTCAATCGGTCGTGTGACGTCTACTGTGAGCGTGAGGTTCGAGCAGCGAAAGATTTCTGCAGAACTGGTGAGGAGACGAGACCTGAGTGTGAGATTCAAGCCTTCGCAGTCATCTAGTCACGCGAAGGAAGCATTGTGCGAGTGGATCAGCGAGCGCAGTCGAAGTTTTAGAAGAATGAGCCGGGTCTTGGCCACGCACAACATACGAGCTTGGCCAGAGGAGAACCGGCAACGATGATTGGCAAAGCCCGATCTGCAGACCTTCTGCTCAATTCGCCATCCGATCGGGCCGGGCCCATCGCATGACACTGGTCGAAAAATACCGTTGTACTAGACCCTATTGCTGCTCCAGTCTCTGCCAGCTGAGCTGGCGGTTCATCTTTGGACAAGAGCAGCGTTCCGGACAGATCGGCAGAGGGCCTGGATGAGGATTCGGTCAGATCCTCTGCGCGTCTTGGCAGCGAGTCAAGATGCATCTCCACCTTGCCAGAAGCGAATGAATGCGCTGTCATGGCCTGACTGCGACTCGTGAATGCTAGGGTGCGCAAAGGGCGCGAAAGGCCTGGCATACCTGTCTGAGGAAGCCCAGCAGGATGCATGATGGTTGTAGAGCCTTTGCATACTGGCGCGGATGGTGGTGAGAGCGAAAGAGGAATGCGGCCGTCGAAGAGGCGCGGGCAAGCACGACGGCGCGAGGGTGGGCGCGTGGGAAAGTGACACGATTGCGCGAGACTCGAGATGCGTCACGGTCACTCAGCTAAGGAGTCATGAGTGTGATCAAGGATGCTGAACGAACTCAACCTAGTGGTCAAGACTGGAAAGCAAATGCGAAAGACTCTGGTTCGGCGCGAAAGATTATATTGGTGCGGTGCAAGTAAAGATATATGCAAAGGCAGTGGGGGAACAGAAGTTGCAGAGGAAAGCAAAGAAATATGGGTACTAGAGATTTGGGGGGGAGTTGCTAAAGCGGCCTCTGCCAGGATCAGAATCAAGCGTTTGCTTGGATCCGGATGCTTCCCTCCGGCAATTCAGCTAGCGCGTCCAGCTTGAGTCCTGGCGGAAGCTGAAAGGACGCTCTGGGTGTAGCGGGTGGGGTAAGGCCCTCCTTGGAGGCAGCAAGCACAGCCGAGTCCGATCGTCTCGAGGGTGAAGGTGATCTTTTTGGAGGCGAAGGGGATCCTCGACGTCCAGGAAATGCCGGGGGCGCTGCAAACGCAGCTTCCTGAGACGACACTACGGGGAAGGCGGACAGAGGCAGGAGGATTTGGGTAGGTGCAGATGAGGTCCGTTTGGGTGCCGAAGGAGGTGATGGAACTGGCATTGGCGTGACGCCTGGCTGCGTAGGGACTGGAAGGGGTAGACGTTCGGTAGAGTAGTCCCAAGGACGCGGGACGAGGGCAAAGGGCATGAGGAAGGTAGCAGCGACGATGACTCCATCTCCTCGATTCTGACTCTTGATGGCCGAAAATTCCATCTCCACGAATTGAGAAATGTATTTGACGAAGGGCAGCAGTTCTGGGACACCCCCAGAGATCACCATGGTCTGCAAGAAGCTCAAGAAGGCTCCAGAAATGGAATGGGCAGTAGAAAGGTAGTTCATCGTGGGTGGCGGCATTGTGATCTCGAATCCCCACCAATGCACAAAGATGGCGCATCGATCCAATGGTGGTCGGACTTGTCCCATGGCATCGATCCCGCCCGCGTCAGCTCTGACAGCAGCTGCCGTAATTGCACCCAGCGCATCAAAAGCTCCGCTCGCGCGACCGGCTGCATTGATAGCCGTGGGCCCGGGCGAGAGCAAGAGAGAAACGGGCGAAACGCCTGATAGGAGCCCACCAGACAGCAAAATCCTAGGGTCCGAATCTATGGGCTCATTCTCAGCAGCTGTCTCAGCCTTTGCCTCATTGGACAACGCTTCAGTGGCTGAGGCTGTCTTTACGTCCTGCTCAGCTTCTGCTGGTTTTTCGTCGCTTGAGGTAGCACTAGCAAACCAAAGCCGTGCTCCCCAGATGGCTAGGCCAGTCGCAGCCAAGCTCTTGCTTCCTTCGTCCATCTCAGTCTCAGCAGGCGACTCGACCGCTGCCAGAGGAGATGTCACGGCGGTGGCATGACGTTCTGCCGCCTCACACTCTGGGCAATCGAGCCACACCGCCTTGACCGGGTGCTTTGCTGTGCTTTTGTCGGAAGTCGGTCCCACCGCCAAGTGCTCGTGATCCTTCTGGACAGCATGCGGCGCTGCTTTGTGTGCTACTGCCGGTCGCGTGCCGGAAGACGATAGGCGTCTACGGAAACGCGCGATGGCACCTGGAGCAGGAGTAGGGGAGGCCTTTGGCGCCGCGCTAGCGGCTCTGACATCCGAACTTTGCTGCTCTCGAGCTTCTTCGTGAGCGCTCGCAACCCTTTCGAGGGCTGCAAGTGCAGGGGATCGAGATGCCAATGCTTTCGTCACCTCCTTGGCGGGACCGCTCGACTTGCCGGCATCCCCTCCACCCAACAGGTCTGCATCGCCGATGATGATACGTTCCGAAGGAAGGCCAACGCCTGCAGTGCCCGGCAGATGCATTGCGCGCAGCTCGCCGATGATTCCATTGGCAAGGTGCTGATCCAGCAAAGCGCGCTTCAGAGCTCGCATTTGTTTGGCGTCGACAGCACTAGTGCCTTTGTTCGATGACTTGTGCGGCGCTTCGGGCGCAGATGTGGCCATGATGACCTTCTCGAGCGCTCGAGCGTGTCTGGCACACAAAGCTGCCTGTTTGGACGTCCGAGGCCGGGCCGGCTTTGACTTTGCATCCTTGCTGGGAGCATCTGCACCCAAGTTTGGCTGGGGAGCAAGGTGAATGCCGCGACGGTCCATGCTGAAGGACGATGTGCGCCTTTGCCTGCCCTTGATATTTCGGCCACGCGTAGCGCTCTCGTTGTCTTGTACAGCATGCTTGGAGTCCTTCGAGCTCGCCGACTCTTCCTTCAGCTCGGCGCTTGCGCGACGTTTGGGAATGCCAAGGAGGCTCTCCTCACCCTTGGTCAGCTTCTCCTGCTCCTCCTTTCGTGCCTTTGCTTCTTCCCTCTTGGCACGTTTTGCGACCTTTCGCCGTGCTTTTTCGACCTTTGCAGCCTTTCGAGCAGCTTTGGCTTTTTCCGAAGAGCTCTCCAGCTCTCGATCTGCTGCTGCTTCCTCGACCGACGGGCTGAACGAGACTCGCCGAACGGCGCGCGGCGCTGCTGGAGGAAAGGGAATCGCCTGCACATCTCCATCAGTCTTGCGCTCCTCCTCCACAGAATTCTGGGCATCGTGCTGCGGCATGGCCTCTCCCGTCTTCTCTGGCTCATCTACTTTGGCTGTGGCTGCCTCTGACTTGCGGCGCCACATGGCCAGGCCACGGAAGGGATTGGCACCACGCTTTTTGGACACGGCCGTTGGAGCACCTGCGCTAGGGCTCGTAGCAAGGTCAGAATCACTGCGCGATGCAGCGAAGACGAGCTTGGCTTGATTGTCAGCTGCAGATTTGCCTGGATCTGTGTTCTTGCTGATCTGCACGTTTGGATCTAGGGCCTGCAAGGCAGGAGCTGCGGACGTCATGATGCCCGGCGAGTCGGTGATAGTGAAGGTGTGGCTGTTGGTGAATGTTTATCGTGTCTTTCAGTTCGTAAAGGTCTCGTTGCGGGGTCGTGGAATGCAGTGTCTAGTATTCGTAATGTGGTCGTGATAGGCGTCGCGCTCGTATTCGTTAGGAGATCAGCGGCATTTAGGCTGGCAACATGCGTAAGGCGCGATGGTGTAAGGGGGAGGGATCGATGCTAAGGAGGACCTCCGCTCACTGCGAGGCAATGGAGCAAGTGCGAGTGCAAGTGGTGGGACGAAATGAAGCTGATGCTCGTCTGAGCGAGCGAAAGTCGAGCAACTGCAAGCAGCTGGGCCCTTAGTCGCGCTTCATCCACACTTGATGTTGTCCGAGCTCAGCAGCTGCGCTACTGGTGACTGACGTGACTGATCGACTTGATACACATGTGCGAGCTTACTTGCCAATCACTATGACTCACGACTTAATTCGCGAGTCGGGTGCTGTACGTAGCTGGCGCACGCTCTGTGCTCGAACGAACCCTCACCATTCACCGCTTCAGCCTTTCAGGGTCGATGCGAACGCATTTCAATTGTGACTTGTAGGACTTTCGGTCGACTGGCACCGCCACCGTGCGCGTCTGCTTAATTGCATTCTCGATTACCCAGCCTGCTTTAGGCCCCTGAACACGCTCCCAACGGGCTAACATACCGCCGTATAGATCTGACTGGCCAAGCGTGCTGCATGACTGCAGACAATTGGTCCCGTCTCCGCGCGGCCCGGGTCGGTCGCGCACGCACGACTCATCTTGGCCACAGACACACACTCGTGACTGATTGACTCATGACTACTACTACCTCCACGTGGCTCTGCACTCACATGACTTGCAGGAATCAATCCCGGTCACATGCACATCCTCCATCAAAGGACGTTACGCACGCGCCAGGCCGACCAACCGCTCCGAAAGGTCATTATTAGTCTTGAGTTGCATCAGCTCCGCAAATTGTGTTCCTCACACTCCTGCTGCATCTTCGCACTCGATTTTCGTTCTGCAGAGTTGGGTCGCAGCCCGACTGTATGCTAGCAAAGAGCAGCGACTCTGGAGTCGTCATTAGAATTGAAACTTCTCAAGAATCCGCTTTGGCCATTGGCGTCAATCTCGACCTTCCAGCAAGTCTTTCGGAAATAGCAGCGTTGGAAGCAAGTTGGCGCACACAATGCCGCCCAAGAAAGAATTACCGGCCAAGGAGCGAGGCCTTTTCAAACGGCTAATCCAAGAGGTAAGCGATCCAAGCCGTGTAAATCGATCATCTACCTTGCTAACCCTACCTCTCCTTTGCATTTTTCAAAGTACGAGACGAAGAAGTACAAGCTGGGTCTCAAGACAGCAGACACTATTCTCAAAAAGTTTCCTGAAGCGGGTGAGACGCTATGCATGAAGGGACTCATCTTGGCCACCATGAATCAAAGGGCGGAGGGAATAGAGCTGGCGAGGAAGGGTGTCAGGCACGATATTGGAAGCTTCTTGGCCTGGCATTGCCTGGGTATTTTATGTCGGATGGAAAAGAATTGGGAAGAGGCAGTTAAATGCTATGGTATGGCTTTACGAATTGAAGGGGTGAGTTCTGTCTCACTGCTTGCGCCATCAGCTCTGTGGTCATGTACTGACAACTCTCTCATGCTTAGGGCAACAATGTCAATTTGCAAAGGGAAATGTCGTACTTGCACATGCAGCAACGCAATTACCCTGCATTGATAGATGTTCGACTCGCACTGCTCAAGCTGCAGCCTCACTTGCGACTCAGTTGGGTTGGATTAGCCGTCGCTCATCACTTGGCTGGCTCCCTGGACGAGGCTCTGAGGATTATCTCCGGCCTTACAGATACTTTCCGGGATACGCCGCCTCGGTCTTTTGAGCTTTCAGAAATTCATCTGTACCGTGCTCAGATCCTGTTCGAGCTTGGGCGCCACGCAGATGTCGTCACTTTTCTGCAAGGCCCGGCAAACAAGGCAGTGTATGACAAGAAGGCGAGCAAACTACTCATAGCACGGGCGTATGCTGCGGAAGGCAGTAGCGACAAGGCAGCGGAGGAACTCGAGCAGCTTTTGAGGTGGAATGCCGAAGATTTGGGAGTGATCAGAGATTGGCTGAAGGCAAAGGGCGTCGAGACAGGTAAGAAATCTTTGGTAGCTTTGATGAGCAGAAGGCGGGGCTGACGAAGCTCCTCGATTGGCAGCTCCCTCGTCTTCAGATGGGGTCGCGAAAGCAGCAACTGCACTGCGAGAATTGAGCACCAAATTCCCTAAATCTGGCGCCGCGAAGCGTGTGGCCCTAGTATACCTGCAGGGAGACGATTTCAGAGATCAAGCAGAGACATACATCTCCGCAGCCCTGCAGAAAGGAGTGCCATCGATTTTCGCTGATATAGTGGCGCTCTATGTGGATGACAAGAAGAGGATAGCGGTCGAGGAAATAGTAGAGAGGAGGCGTTTGGAATGGGCTCCCGCGAAAGACGCAGGTGAGTTCGACGACCATTTCGCGGACGACCACGGAAAGACGCGCACCTTGACGGACGGCTCACGCGTGCCAGTCCTGCGGCAGGAGACCAACAAGAGCCCTCAGCATACTTGTGGTCTCTTTACTTCCTGGCACAGCACTACAGCAAGACGGGCCACGTTGAGCGAGGTCTTGCATACGTTGATTCTGCTATCGCGCACTCCCCGACAATGCCTGAGCTGCACATGATGCGTGCTCGAGTCTTGAAGCGAGGAGGGTCACTACACAGCGCAGCATCAGCAATGGAAGACGCGCGCCTGCTGGATGGTCAAGATAGGTTCTTGAACTGTAAAGCTGCTAAATACTTGCTACGCATCGATGACGTCAAAGGAGCGACGGAGGTTGTGTCGCTCTTCACCAAACCCGATGCGCCTTCACCCACTTTTGACCTCATAGAGATGCAAGCGTTCTGGTACATGGCAGAGGAAGCGGACGCGCACGCCAGGTCAGGAAATCTTGCCCTTGCTCTGAAAAGACTGACGCAAATAGACAGAGTGAGCCGAGAAAGGTTGGGGGCCAGTGACCATATTCATACGCGCATCCCTCTTACAACGCACTTCTGCCATCTTGCAGACCTTCCAAGAGATCTACGATGATCAGCTCGACTTCCATTCGTACTGCATGCGGAAGTTGACTTTGAGGTCATACATCGACATGGTGCGATTCGAGGATCAGCTCCGATCGCATCCTGCCTATTTCCGGGCAGCCCTGTCAGCGGTCAAGGTGCGTGTAGCTCCGCAGCACCTTGAGACCAGATCGTGAATTTTCGCGAAGATACATTCCCAGGCTGAACCATTCTTCTCAACTTCTTCGTCAGCTTCTATGCCAGTTGCATGACAAGCCTGACGGGGACTCCCGTGCGTCCGGCTCGAATGGTGAGATCCATTGCACGACTTCCAAAAGAGGCACCCATTGACGAACGTGATTGCTTCCATCACCAGGACACTTGACTGAGGAGCAGCGCAAAGACGCTAAGAAAGCCAAGAAAGCAGAACTCAAGGCAGCGGAGGACGCCAAGAAGGCCACCGCAAAGCGTACGTATCCTCTAGAAGACTTCTGACTGCTGCTCAAATACTTCTGACGCGAACCCTTGATTGTCTCCAGCAAAAGACACGAAGAAGACAGACGAGGACGACGTACCTCCGCCACCTCCTGACGAAGACCCTGATGGTGTCCAATTGCTAGCCGACACTCGCAAAAAGCCACTCGAAGCTGCGAAAATCTACCTGCTCACGCTTCAGGAGAGGGCCGAAAGGAGAGTTGAGACTTGGCTCGCGACCTTCGAAGTGGCTTTGAGGTCCAGTGAGTCGCAAACTAACGTTGCGCGCGCCGCTGTGTTTGCGCTTATCATTCCGCACGCCCGCTGCAGATGACTGGCTTGTTGCAGCACGTGCGGTGTCACATGCACATAAGCTGCAATCGAATCATCCTCAGCTGCACAAACAGATCGTTCAGCTACGGCGGAAAGGTGCGTCTTCTTGCAACAAGACTCTTTCGGGGGAGACGCATCGCCTGACACGATCTTCGCCTAAATTGGAACATTGTAGTGCCGGACCTGACCTCGGCTCCAGAGCCTGTCAAGGAAGCGATCGGCGCAGTATTCGCTTCTGTACTGCCGGACGAAGTCACGCTCGAAGCCTTTACGACGGCGTACCTCCAACGTGCCACGAGTGCAGCGCAGAAGCTCGGCGCTGCACAGGCGTTGCACGCTCTCGATCGCACCGCTGAGGCGGTAACTTTGATTCAGACACTCACGCACGCCGAGTCGAAGACGGATCTAACGACCGCATTAGCTGCTCGGGAGGAGCTTCGCTTACTGAATGCGGACGTGAGCGCTAGAGAAGCATTTGATGCCGAGGCGAGGAAGAGATTTCCGCATGCCGATATGTTCAAAGCGCACGACACGCTCAAGAGCGAAGAGGCGGAGAGGCAAGCGCAGAGGAAATTTTGGGAGCCGGCACAGCAGGATGGTGATGCGGATCCGTCTGTGCCTGCGGGCCACGCACCGCCCACACAAAACTAAATTTGACACGCATACGTGGGGCAATCACATCGGATTTGCACCGCAGCAATGCGGTCTTTGAACAACGACACTTTGTGCCGATGGTGTTGAAGCCTGAATCGAGAATGCGCAAAGGTGGTCGTCGCCAGGCACGACTGACCACTCAGAATGCACCAATAACGAACGCATGCTTGGTAGGTAGCGTCATCAGATGTGGACTGAGCTCTCCGGCGTCAGTGCGGGAAAGCATTTGGTCGCGAGATCTCTTTTCGACCGCGCCTTCGTTACAACATGTCATCTCTTCGTTCAAGCGATTCAATCCCAACGTGATCCGCGAACTTCTCGAGACTTCTCGATTACGGCAACTCCATTGCGGGTAAGATATGTGATGTACAAAATCGAGGTCAAATTCTTCCGAGGCTCTGGACGCGAGTCAAGGAACAACGCAATATCGAGAAGGAGCGAGAAAGGGCGTCTGGCGCAGAGATAGATGCAGAGGAGGAAAAAGAGTACGGACGATGAAGCGGGGCGGAGGGTATGCATGGGTGACGGGAGTGGGGCAGCGACGACAGCAACTCAGACGTCAATGTCCATCAGTCGTCTGCCACCCGGCCCGGAAGGCGGCGCTCGGGCAGAAATGCCTTGCAGCAGTTCCCGGATAGCTGGCAGTCGACGGTCATCGTCATCTTGTCGCGGAGTGCCAGCTCGGTCCAGAGGCTCGATAGAACTTCTGTCTTCGTCCATCTCGTCAGAGTCGCCCTTGCCGGTGGGTGTCGATTGGCCCTCTTCAACGGAAGTGGCCGTAAGAGCGGATCGAATAGGTGGTAGAGTCGGCGAAGGAGTGTTCTCCGCTTGCTCAGCGGCTTGGCGCGCAGCAGCAGCCATCTCCTGGGCGCGCTCTGGGAAGTTGATGGCGATGAGCAGGTCGCGAATGAGTCGAACGTGGTGAGCCCGCACAACGGCTGGAACACCGGCAGAGGTGACCTTGAGTCCAGCGACGCTGTCAGCAATGGTGCTGTTGACCTCCGCTTGAGCATCATCGAGTCGGGGATACAGCGGCTCGGGGCTGTCACGAGCGGGCGGCGGTGACGGTGAAGTGCTGCTGCTGCTGACACTGCTCGCGCCGTGGGAGCTACCTCTGCTGCGGACATTGTGCAGCGACGGCGACGATCTCTTGCCGGCTGGGGAGTCCGACGAGGAGAGGATGGAGCTGATGCTCGCCATAGACGGTCGCGAGCGATCCATGCCAGGGGGAGCAGGCAGCTGGCGCGAGAGATCACCACTGGCAAGTCGAGGATATAGACCATGGGACTGGTTTGTGGTAGATGTAGATGCTTCAGAAGCTTCCGAAACTGATGGGCTGATCGAGCGGCGTCGGTTGGAGATGTCTGTCATGTCAGAATCAACCGTCGATGCCTTGGTATCGCGCACTGATGACAGAGTCTCGCGGTGGCCCGGCATGACAGGAGCTGCGCGAGTAAGCGGCTCGATGCGACGGTAGTTCGCGGCTGCGCTGTCCTTTGACCCGAGTTGTGGAACAAGAGAATGGCCGAAAGTAGGTTGCATGCGGTCGTAAGAGTGCGCGTAGCCTGGTGCCGAGGACGAAGGGCTGTTATGGGCTGCTTGACCGTGCCTATGAGGAAGTGAGGCAATGGGGCGATTTGCTGAGCCGCTAGACCATTGCTGAGCCGAGCCACCGTGCGTGAATGAAGAATGCGAGTTGCTAGACTCTAGCAGGGAAGGATCGAAGCCAGGAATGTCCGTGAGACCCAGGCTTGACAATGTCTGAGCATCGAAGAGTCTGGAGTCTTGGCTGCTAAAGTTGCTGTTGTTGCTGGAACTCGCGTCTCGTTCTGCGTCGGCGCCAAGGGCCAACAGCCAAGCGTTCAGATCTTCGATGTTCTCAGACTTGAGCGAGTCTGGCAAGCTGACGTTGCCGCCTGAAGACTGTGCCTGTGAGAGCAGCGCCTGTAAAGCAGCGGCATGGTTTGGCGCGCCAGCTGCGGCTGGCTGTGGTGGATGTTGCTGAGCTTGAGAAGTGTGGTCGAAGGCGGACTGCGAGTGCGCAGCGGAGGCGGCATCAATGGAGCCGAGAAGCGCTGCCAAGTTGGCGTCGTTGATACCAGTTGGGAACACTTGGTCAAGGCGCTGTGCCAAATCAGGCGTGTAGGCTGGTCGCATTGCCTTGCTGGAGATGTCGGCGACAAATCCTCGAGTAGCTTCGACGCTCTCATCCCATGTGCGCTTTTGTCCCGCACCGGCTGGGCCACTGAAGGAGCCTCGCGAGAGGCCAAGATAGCTGTTGACATCGTCCGTGTGCTTCGGGCGCTCCTGAGCGTAGTGAAGGTAGGATCCAGGCTTCATGTGAGGTCCTCCCGCATGATGACCGAAGCTCTGGTAGCCTTGGACACCATTCTGATGCTGACCAAAGGACTGAGCGCCGGGAGGAAAGTATGCGGATGCGTAGTTGTTCGACGCCTGGTGAGAGTGGGGCGAGATCATCGGGCTGTGGCCAGCATGAAGATTGGGATAGGCGCCGTGCTGCGACCCTGGGCCGAAGCGACTGAATGGATGCCCGAAGGTCGGAACGCCATGGTGCATGGCCCCTGGCCGAGCAGCTTGGGCTGCAACCAGGTGGAACGAGTTGTACGTGTGAGGATCGGTGATGCCGTAGCCGTTTGCTGCTTTCTGACGAGCTTGCTGCGCTTGCTGATGAGCTTCGGTGTGGATGCGCTCGTGCTTCTTCAGATCTTGCGGCCGCTTGAAAGTCTTTGAGCAGATGTCGCAGGTATGAGGCTTCAAAGGCGTGTGCACTGTCAATCGAGGAAGACAGGCGTGAGCAGCTGGTCGCTAAGTCGCGCATACGCCCAAATCGTGGTGAAGCGAGACTTACCTCTCAAGTGGCTTGTGATGTGATCACGCTTAGCGCAGCTGACGTCGCAGCCAGTCCATCTGCAAGTCAGACACAGGTTGTTCGTGCTCTTCCTACCGACATGGTCATCGCAGAGGTGGCGATACAAGTCTTCTGGGTCGCTGTAAAGCTTTCCGCAACCGTCCCATTGGCACGGAGTGGGCTTGGAGTCCTCAACGGAGACATCGCGAGATTCTTCGTCGTTCGACTCTCGCTTTGGTGACAGGCCATCTTCATTGTCGCTGTGCGCTGTCGATGAGCGAGAGCTCATAGTGGTGGCGTGCGTGGACTGAGAAGCAGGCGAAGCTCCGAACGACGACGTGGCTGAGGAGTAGTACAGATTCGACGTTGAGCTGTGATCCGATGCGGCTGATGGGCTGAGGTGGTTGGACATGTTGACAGTATGGCCTGACTGCTAACAACGCGGCCTAGTTGCCAGCGTCGTGAGCGAATGCCGAAAAGTGATGACGGTGTGAAGTAGTGTTCGAGCCTGGTGACCCCGCTATCGCACGCAGAGTGCACAAGGTATGGGTAGTGAGAAAAGGCGATGATGGTGATTGTGAACGCAATGCCTTGGACGCAAAGTAACGACAAAGTCGACTCAGTCGAAAAGGTGTTTGAGAGTGGCTGTTGAACAAGCGTGGAGATTATGAGGCGCTGAGCGTAAGGAGCGGATTCGGGGGGCCAATGTGAGATCACCTTGGAGGGAAGAGGGCTTGGCAAGGATCGCGCAGGCGATGCAGGCAAAGGGCTTGGCAAAGCTGAAATGAAAATCGCAGCAAGTCAACCTCGAGGCACATCGAGGCTTAGCCATACGCGGCACAGGAGCGCGTGCAGCAGTATATAGCTAGAGCGAGACGTGCGCACGCGCGCGGTCTCACCCAGCGTGAACCCTTTGCTGCCGCGCTGCTGGGCGCTCGACTGGGTCTGCAGGACACACTCGCCTCGCGCCAAGAACTGGCTGCAGCCCCCGCGCACACGGGCAGAAAAATCGGCTCTTCACCCGCCGTTCTTGGCAATCGAGGCTTGGCGCCAAGCCCTGCACCCTCCAACTTGCACACTGGCACTTGAGCACCCGGCTCAGCAACAAGACTCGTTAGCTGTATCACAGATTGCTCGGAAACATTTGCCGCTTCTACACGCAAAGCCGGTGTCACGACACGCAACAGTTTGGATGGCGGTACGGCCAGCGTTTCTCAGCATTTGATCTCTTCCACGTGGCCACATCGCACGCCTCGCCATCAGCTGCCATACCCAAACGTGACGGTACAATTTTGAAGCTGATCGAGACGCGAGCAGTCGACTGGCTGCATGACACGCCAGAGGCAGGTAGAACGCTGCATAGATGACCAGTCGTGAGACTGAGCTTCAGGCCACCCTTGTTATGATATGGCGGCAACCATCTCAACCCGTATCAAGCTCTGAAAGACGCCATAGCGCATACAATCATGCGCTCGTCTCGCAACATTTCGCAGCGACGCTTTGCAGGGCTAGACTCTCAGCATGTCCGTATAGATGCGAGACACGTTCGCGATGGTGAGATTGGTGCCGAGCTGCCGTGCGGAGCTTAATCGGTCTCGATTGCAGAACGTTCTCGAAGACGATATCGCGTCTTTGCCGACGTGTGGAAGCGCGTGTGTATTCAGACAGCTACGAAGCCAAACAGAGGCAGTCGCTGCTTGCACCATTCGGCCACGGTTACCTTGACTACAATGGAAAGCGAGCTCCGGAGTTCAGACATCGTATACGACTATCGAAGCGTGCGACTGCTGCTTGGTACCGCATGCTGGAAAGTCTCTTCAGCTGAGGCGCCCGAGAACGCGCTGGCCGTACATCGCTTTGAGCTGTGGCAAGGAAGACTGGATCCAAGCGGATTTTCCGGCCTGCCGTGCTGTCAAACGCTTGCTCACGCGCACCTGGACGAGCTGACCTAGCAAGTTTCGTACTGTTGACGGGGTCCGGTCAGCGTGCTCATTCAAAGCGGCTGCACTGTCTACTCACCTGCGTCACTCGTACCTTCTAGGTCAGGACTCGATACGTCTATGCCCGAGAAGATGGCACGGATAAGAGCCCGCCGTTCCACGAGTGTATCCTGAGCTGCCTGATCGCCGCTAGAAGGTGGTGCAGGCTTCATCACCAGAAGGCCCCGATCCACAAGGTACTCCTCGGTGACGTGCCCTCGCTCTAGTAGTTCCAGCTGCACATCATACGTGCAGTCGTCCATAGCATCTAAGAGAGCGCTATCGAAAGGGTGCCTTCCAGAGAGCATCACCTGAAGACGGCGAGCGCATGGGTTCAGCAAGAAGGAGGCCGCATTTGGCATTTGGCATTTGCCATTCATTCTTCGCACTGACGTAAAGAACAAGTCCAAGCGCCCATACATCGACCTTTGAGGGAGCGCGGATGGAATGTCCCGGAGAGTCAGCCTTCGTAGCTTGGCGCAACGAGGTGACCGCTGCTGACTTACGCTCGTAGCTTCGTAAGCCTCTAGAACGACACGAGCTTTAAGGACCTCGGGTGGAAGATAAGAGACGGTGCCGCAATGGCTTCGAGCATTGTGCTTGCCTAGCGGCAAACCAACGATTGCATTTTCCAAAGTCCTCTCGGAAGCCAATCCAAAATCTGCGAGCTGGACGTGGGGGAACTTGCCGGCGGTAATGAGAAGTACGTTTTCTCCCTGAGAGGGAATACTCAGCACGGGGTCGCACTGAAGCGGCACTCGTGCTTCACCTACTTTGATATCTGCAGACGTGCACTCCCACATCGTCAGCGAGCTTCTATCCTGCGCCTGTGATGGCTGCGCCGCTCACCACGATGCGCAACTCCGTGCTCGTGCACGTACTGCAAGCAGAGAGTGAGTGAGATCCCTCTGCTGTGCGGATGCGACCATGCGTTGATGACCACTACTCACTGCTAGGGCATTCTGGAGCTGGAAGAAGATGAATTTCGCCTCTGCTTCTTGGATCTGCCCGTGAGCGAGGATGTACCCGAACAGATCTCCACCAGTAGCACTTTAGGACGAGTCCCATATCAGCGCATGAATTTGGCGCAAGGCACTCGTTCACGACTGACCAAGATACAAAGCAATACTGGTATCGACGGTCCTTCTCTAGTGCAAGCAGTCCGTTGATGTTGGGCTGCAGGGAGGCCATTGCGGTAGCGATTGAACATTATGGGCAGCCGAACACGCACCCGGAGCATTTCGTTGGCATCTACATACGTGGGACAAGCGTTGCAGGAGCTAGCGTCCGCGCGGCGGCGTGAGCTTCTGCCCACATACCAGGAGCCTAGTCACGACGCACCTGAATCTCTCGCCTTGCAGTAGCAGCATTCTCCTCCTCTTCGATCCAACGTCGATCTTGTTGCTTGCACGCTGCTTGAGCGCCCGTGTCGATTTGGATGGCCAGGCGCACGGTGGCAAAGGAGCCTCTGCTCGCAGAAGAGCGTGTGAGTCGTGGGCGTGACCCTGTGCGCAAAAGAGCCACGAGCACTGACGTTCCAAGCACTCGTGGAAGGATGCGATAGTCTCCAACAATGGTCTGGCAGGCGCATTGACGCTCGCCTCAGCATCCTTACAACTTTAGAAGCTGTGACTCGACAAACCTCTGCTTCTTGGTTCTGTTTCGCGTGCCTGTACACGAAGTCTGCAGAAGGAGGACCTCCATCAGCGAATGAATCTTCCAGCGTACCTCGTCCCTCCTAGAACGCACTTTGAGCATGAGGAATCGAGATCGTATCTCCATCACAGAGAATGAGCGGGCACGTCGTGGAGATTCGCTTGCCGTTGCAGTATACCCCGTTGCGGGACAGGTCCTTTGGGATCACATCAAGTTAAGGCAAGGCAGGACGCCATTGTGTCGACGCCAAACACTCACATGCAATGAAACGAACGCATCTTCGGCATCCGTCCTACATGATGGATTCAGTCATATATGGGCGAATTTCTCGGCTGGCCTTGCTTGGTAGTGAATCATCACCTACACGTGAGCGATGAGCTTGAAGTGCTTCTCGCCGTCGAGGGGCCCGGATAATATCGATTGAGCACTTGCCTGGCTCCTCAATACTCGCATGTATGCGCAAAATTTCGCCAATCACTGTTCTCACTCGAGCTGAAACGCTAGGCGCGGGCACAACGTAGTCACTGTGTGTATGCGCTGCGTTCATGAGCCGCCTTCCGTCAGGCTTCTTTGCGGGGCGATCGGCGCCAACGTACCACTGAAAATGTCGACCAACGACAAAAGTCCTGTGAGGCTGGATGACGAGCGCTTCGTCGAAAGGACACAGGTGCGAGGAATCAGGGCAAACGATCACACTGATGCCCGACCCGGCAACACCTCTCACATTGTCGCTGTCCAGCACGAATTGTGCGCAGGTGCGCGACAATTTGATCCAGCAGATCCTCCTTTTCCGGCGCACGGTCGCCTTGCTGGCCATCCTCGAGGGCATCTTGCGGTCTCTCATTGGCGTCAAGCTCCATAGGCTGATCTCTGGCGTCTTGGCGACCCACATCCCCTGGCAGAGGCAGCAGAAATCTCTTCTTCATGTGACGGACCTGCTTGACCTTTCCTGAGCCTCGTAGACGCGCCATTGCGAGCAACAGGTGTTGGTCAAGACGGGATGTGGGCTCTTGTACACGGACTTCCAGGGGCAAGGTCTCCTGGGAGTCGACGTCAATGACAGCTGAAGGGATACGTTGGGATGTATGCGACAGGTCTCGACAGCGAATGAAGTAAGTGTGAGATCGGGGATGAGAAGCGAAGAGATGAGACGCGCCAGTTGTAGACATCCGCGATGCAGCTCCATACGCAGCTGGACGGCGAGCACAGCATCGCACAACAAAGCTCGCCACTTTGTTACCCATGATGACTCGCTGATGACTCGCGATCTACCAGACAGAACTCGTGGCTCCCTCTTGCTCCCTTCCTTCAGGATCATTCACGATTTCACTCGCACGCAGGTCGACGCCTGACTTGATTCTCGATTCAAATCGTGCTCCTTTCAGGGTCGAAATTCAAAGCAAGAATCAAGAATCAGGAGGGTTGAAGGTGCTCGTTATTATTGAATCGGCGTGAACACGCTGTACGCAACCTGCTCTCGCAGATACATGAGTTCGTCGTGATTCCTGCTGCGAAGTGACCTGCGCCTCTAGACTTTGACGCCGCAATGTGAGACTCTTGACTCTTGACTCAAACGCTGAACCATTCACATTTTCCATGATATGCGCTCTAAAGCCAACTTGCCGACTTGTTATTTGACTCGCACCGCCGGACTTTGACGTTTGACTCGATCACGAATTTTGATTCGGATAGGTTTGGCGGACCCTCACATCTGAGTCATGTGGCGAATTTGGGTCTTTGAATCTCCACATATCTATTCAACTTTTGTATATTCACGAAAGTTGACCAGCGCACGGATCATCATATCGTCTGTCAAGATTAGCTACGACGCCTGCGTTGTTTCGACTCACAAGACGTGAGTCGTGTGTCTGGATTTCGAGGCTCCAAAACTACGACAGCGAGACTCGTGACGCGCGCTGGGATCATCTTACATTCAAGATTCATTGATTCTTGATCTCTTGTTTGATTACCGGTAGTCGTAATTGACATGAACAAAAGACTTTTCGATCTGTTGCTGTCCTTCTCAACAACTCTACAGCATGCTGCCTTGCCTTCCCAGCTTGCATCGAAACATCCTGATTGAAGCAAGCGACAGTGGCGAAATATGATACTTACCCTTCGAGAGCTGTTGAAGCACCAATAGGGGCCATCACGAACACACTCGGCTGGCTGACAGGCATCAAGCACATTCGCGACAAAGCATTCGCAGAGGCAAAAAAGAAGCTTGATCAGAGAGACGAACAGGCGAGGGCAAGAAATAATGGGTATATGCCCATGGTCGCAGAAGAAAGGTGTACAAGAGCTGGGGCATCGTTTCGTTTGTAAATGGAGGAACTTTGCGGTGGCACTTTTTTTGCTTCTTGATCCGTAAGGTGCAACATCCCCTCGCGCTTCGCTTACTCCAAAGGCTCTGCCTCTTCTTCCTCGACGTACTCTCCAAGTTCCTCGTCCTCTGCGCCAACAGCCTCGTATTGCTGGTACTCGGAAATGAGGTCGAGCAGGTTCGATTCGGCCTCTGAGAACTCCATTTCGCTTTAAGGGAGGGGCAAGAAAGAGTCAGTTGTAGTCTACTGTCGACCCACAGACCACAGGACCGGGACTTACTCCATGCCTTCGCCGGTGTACCTACAGACGGCGCGTCAGGAGAGGCAGAAACGTCAGCGGCCAGCATCGCGAGCGCGACCTTCCCAAGTGGCGTTACACACCAATGCAAGAAAGCTTTGCGGCGGAACATGAGAGCGAAGGACTCGTGCGTGCGCTTGAAGAGCTGCAAGTCGCGCAAAAGATGTCAGCGTTGCAATCAATCTGTCCAGTTTGATACCAACCTCAATGCAAATGTAATGTACTTACCTCTTGGATGGAGGTTGTGTTGGCAATGAAAGTGGCGCTCATGCGCAGTCCGGGTGGAGGAATGTCGCAGAGAGAAGTCAGGATGTTCTGCGAGTAGCGGGTTCATACTGATGGTCAGCGAATGCAGATCACGACCACGGTAGGATGACACACCGAGACTCACTTGTGGAATCCACTCGACGAATTGCGTCGCGCTCTTGGTCTGAATGTTGATCATCTCTTGCTCGACATCGCGAGATGAGACCTGCCGGAGCAATCAAGGCAAGGGTGAGCACATGCCAAGTGCACGGACTGGCTTTGATGGAGGAACGCTCACCTTGCCTCTGAAGATAGCAGCCACCGTCAGGTACTTTCCAACTAGAGGAGGATTTGTCTCAGCGCCGCGAACGATCCGCAGACCCGTGAAAGTTACACTTACGACGAGGGTCAATCGCGGCCATGATGTTGCGCGGGTCAAAGCCTTGCTGAACCAGCTCGGGCACGGAGACTTGTTCTGATGATCGACATAGGATGAGTGCGCTCAGAGACTTGTGATCAGAAGGTAGACGCGGCACCCACTCACGATATGCTTTGGAGCCCGGAGACACCAAAGGCGCAAATCCGACGGAGAAGAAGTGCAGACGTGGGAAAGGGACCATGTTGACACCCAGCTTACGCAGATCAGAGTTTAGCTGACCCGGGAACTATCATTGGAGGAAAGGTGATGTTCAGCGTGGACCAAGCAACACACCCGATAGCTTGGGGGCACGTACGCGGAGGGTAGTCGAGCAACCAGACATGGCGTACGAGATGATAGTGTTCAGATCGGTGTACTTGGGTTCCTTGAGCTTGAGTGTTCGTTGACAGATGTCGTCTGCGCAGCAGGAAAAGATGTCATGGCTGAGGATTCTGGTCCAGAAGCCTAGTGCCACTGCTAGTCCGAGACTCACAAAGCGCCTCGTTGTCGAGCGAGAAGGAAAGATCTGCGTTCTCAACCAGCTGGTGGAAAGATAGAGTGGCATTGTACGGCTCGACAACAGTGTCGGACACCTGATGACAGCAAGCCGCACGGCGACACGTCAGCGCCCCTTCTGGCTGATCAGCATGCGTTATCAAGATCGCACAAACTGACCTTAGGTGAGGGAAGGATGGACCAAGTTGCAAGCATGCCTAGATTGGCAGTCCCAGCGGAGTCGGCCGTAAGCGTCCAGCGCTTGACACGTGATGCTCGTTGTGCAAAGCAGGATGTCACTCACGGTCGGGGAATTCTTCGCGCAGCTTGGTGAGCAAGTTCGTGCCCAGACCCGAACCGGTACCACCACCCAAAGAGTGGACAAGCTGGAAGCCTTGGAGGCCCTCAGCTCTTTCGGCCTCCTTGCGAACGACATCCATGACGTTCTCTATCAGCTCTGCGCCCTCAGTGTAGTAACCCTTTGCGAAGTTGTTCCCGGCACCGGACTATGGGGATGGTAGGAGAGGTAGGGGAGGATTTGCGGGGCATCAGCGCTCCATGGAGGCAAATTGGCAGCCATGACGCAGAGCGCACCTCTCCGCCAACGAACGAGTCAGGGCGATAAAGCTTGCCAGTGGGTCCAGAGCGGATGTGGTCAAGCGTGCCTGGCTCGAGATCCACTTGAACGGATCGGGGAACATACTTGTTCTCCGTACCGCTCTGTACACAAGAGGTTGAGTGTGCATTAGGCAGAAGAAATGTGGCGCAAGGCGAAGATCAAGTCTGACTGACCGGGTTGAAGAACACGCCAATCTTGGACAGCTGGACATCCTCATTGTTGCCAATGTAGGTCTGAGAGGGCAGGAAGCACAGCGACGCGCAGAGATCATTAGCGAGAAAGAAGTGGTAAGGGATAGCTCGGAGCAAGGAAGACTCACACCATCGTCGCTCAGACCATGCTCGGCCAAGCACGTCTGCCAAAAGGCAGTTCCCACAGCATTTCCTGCTTGTCCGATCTGCACGCTGATGTTCGAAGGGAGGCGATCGTGAATACAAGCACGTCGTCAGCTGTCTGATTAGAGGGTCTGTCCGTCCGCGAAAGTTTAGGCTGCATGTCGGCAAGTCCCCACATGTACATCACTGCGAAGGCAGACCAGCGTTGTAGCAACCTATGACCCCATCCAACCCACCATACCTCCCCCCCCTTCCACACAGAAGCCTGCCATTCGCCAAGACGCAACGCGTGTGGTGACCCGGCCCGCGATTTCTGCTTCCTGTCCATTTCTTCTCAACAGCGCGCGCACGGACCGAAGAATGTCGGGCCTCCATTTCCCACCCTGCAAGGGAACGTTGTGCTTCCGACAGAAGAGCCTGCACGTACGGAAACTCACGTAATGAGCTCACGCATCTTGTGTGTGTTTAGAGTGACGAGTGGATAAGTGACGAAGGTTGTCTATGGTTGTGAGATGTTGGTGGACGGTGGGAGCAGAAGAGCTGTGATGAGCGATGGCGACGTGTTGACGCGCAGACAGAGCGCGCGTGATGATCATGCTGCTCAGGTGCTGATACTCAAAGACTCGCGCGTGCAGCGACCAGCAGCTCGTTCGGTCTGACGAGTCTCATCTCGCAGCGCGCTCACGCGCGTCCACAGCAACAAATGCATGTCTGTTGCGCTCCGACAGCCGGCGGCGGGCGCGTGCGTGCGAGAGAACTTCATTTTAAACGCAGCTTTTGGAAACGCGTCTCGAGGGTCTCGCCAAGTATTAATGAAGAATCGTGTTTGGGACACACATCCTAAATTCCGATCAGAATAAGGAACTCCCGTCTGAAAGTGAACCTTTGAACAAAGCTTCAACGCAGAAAACAGAATTTACAATCTTGAATTTGAATCAAATGGGGGATTCAGGTGATACAGTCAAATCAAAAATTGTGATAAAGATTCAAATCAAGGACTAAGGTTCTTCTCTGTGCGCGGCCCAGGCGGGATGATACATATACAAAAGCACATCCTCATCAGATCTGCATGCAGTCGTGAGTCTTGAGTCTTGAGACTTTGAGATCAATCTTTGGAGGTCGCGCGAGCATCTATTCGGTCGTCATCAATATCTTTGGTCGCTGTTTTGGCCCACCCTGCATGTGATCAACGCGCCAGCTTCAAAACCGCCCTACCACGCTGCGCATCATGACCAGTCTCTCTGGACAAAGCGAAGCTCCTTCGAAGCTCAAGCTTTCGTGGGCTCACCTTCTGCCACCGGCTTGGGAGAAAAAGGTGCAAGATTGGCTCGAGGAGGATTGTCCGAGCTTTGATTGGGGCGGCTATGTGGTCGGGGAAGATGTCAAGCAGGCGAAATTGTGGTGCAAAAGCCGAGGTGTGCTGGCCGGTGTGCCCTTCTTCGATGAGGTTTTCAAAAGGCTGGACTGTCAGTGCGTATACAAAGCCCCGATCTCGAGGCTCGGTGCCGCACTTGCCGATGGTTCTCATCAGAGTGTTGCATCTTTGGTCTTCCACCTCAGAGTCAAGTGGAACTTTGAGGAGGGGCAATTACTGGCCGAAGGAGGGAGCCCAAAGGTTCACGTAGCCACAGTCAAGGGCCCAGCACGGAAGATTCTCTTGGGAGAGAGAGTGGCGCTGAATACGTTGGCGAGGTGTAGCGGTGTGGCCACTGCGTGAGTGAATGCGTTAGGTGCGCCCGAGCCAAGGTGGAGTGTGCACGTAAGTCTGACTGTCCACATCTCGCTTAGCTCTCAAGACTTCCTGTCCACAGCTCGGGCAGCCGGCTACAAGGGCATTGTAGCCGGTACTAGGAAGACAACACCAGGTGGGTACAAGCGCGCGACGCCACGCCGAGCCGAGCCGCTCATCAAGACTCGCCCTCTTCACGACGCAGGCTTCCGGATTGTGGAAAAGTATGGGATGCTAGTTGGAGGCGTCGACGCTCATCGATACGATCTCAGCTCGATGGTCATGCTGAAGGACAATCATATCTGGAGCACAGGTCAGTTCGATATCACGCGGCGATGTGATGGATTATTCTTTCCCAAGTCTTGCGCTTCACTGACGCCTGTCCAATCATTTGGCGCAATCAGGCTCGATCCCTGCCGCAGTAAGCGCTGCTCGATCGGCATGTGGCTTCTCCATGCGTATAGATGTAGAAGTGCAGTCTTTGGAAGAAGCGCAGCAGGCTATCGAAGCTGGTGCTGATGTGGTCATGCTAGACAACATGGTTGGCCAGGAACTAGTGAACAACGCAAAGTCTTTGAAGGAACAATTTGCTCAGAAGCACAGATTCTTGATTGAGAGCAGCGGAGGTATCGATGTGCGAAACATTGGAAGCGGACAGCACGTGGACGATTGTGAGTCCTAAGCGCAGCTCTACGGTCTCCGTGTTGGCGGTCGCCTGACCCCCGTCACTCTCGTTGTCTGCATTCTGCACTCTTAGCTATCGACATCATCAGCACGTCTTCGATTCATCAAAGCACGAAGCACGTCGACTTCTCCCTCAAGCTGCTGCCAGCGCCAGCAGAAGCCTCTTCGACCGGTGTCTAGGTGTAGAGGAGTCATGGCGATGGAAATTTATAGTGCGGATGGAAGGAATCATGAAGATCTGAAAATGCTGCGCGTGCTTTGATTGTAGTTTGAGGGCTCAGACCGGATGTAACGGTCGAGTGAAGAGCGCAACAGCACCCGAGTGAGCCGAGAGCTGGGCGGTGTATCTCCGTGATAGAAGGATTACCTCTGCGGCCGGTGTCGCAAATTGGAGTCGCAGTCTCAGTAGAGATTCACAATCTTGAATTGAAAAGGCTCGTCAATCACGACCCAACTCGAGAATAGGAGGGTTTGCTGACTCATCATCGTCGCGGACCCTGCCGCGACTCGTCTCGCAAGTGGGGGTCACGTGTCGCTCTGCACAGCTCCCACATCACACATTCATCAAGATTGCTGAATTGATTCACACGTTTGTGTCTGGAGCAGAGAAGTTCGCCCCTACCTCGAGTCAAGGTCGCACATCGCAAGCTCCAGCTATAGCAGCCACACTCACACTAATGATGATGAACGAAAAGCCTGCATGCCTGGTGAGACTTGTGATTGATGATGATCATTCGTGATTTGTGATTCACAATTTACGCGCTGCATATGCTGCAATGCCTCTTCAAAATCGCGAGTCTAACAGCGTGATGCGGAAATGGGCGCACGGCGCCCGCCCGCATGAGTAATCGTAGATACCTTGATGAATCTTAAGGCCGACCGAGGTGCTATACGCGACGCTGCCGCGCGCAGCACAAGAAGGACCCCTCATCACAAAATCGATCGAGAAGGTCGCTCAAAGTGAGCCTCTAAGATTTGGCAGCGCATCATCTCTCGCCTCTGCGTACACTTCATCAAATTCTCGTCCATCCATATATACCCATCACTCACGAATATAGCACTCTACTACTTGCTCGTGCAAGCACCGCATCCACATCTTCCTTCTGCGCGTGTCCGAGGCCTGTAGAAGCACAGCTAGCTTGCCTCTCGGTGCAGCAGCATCTCATCTTGTCCGGTCTAGAGCCCCAGCACCACGTCGACATCCAGCCGAGGCAGGCACTGGCCAGAAGGCAAGTGCTATAGGCATGTGTTAGAGGATCATACATAGCCGATCAGCGCTGCTCCTTCTCTCAAGACTGTTGTATAGACGGCAGCTTTGTTGGCCTTACCCTGCGCTAGCAGGTGACGTTTGCGCCACTAGCGGCGACTTGCTGTCAGGTGGCGTTGCAAGGATAAGATCACGTCGCTAACCTCTCACGACGATCTTCGAATCTCCGGAGTGCGGTGTCAGCTCGTGCGAAACATCATGGTAGTGGAGCACGAGGTGCTTCAAAGCACCGAAGGGTCTGTGGGCGCTGGCACCGGTCCTGGCAATGCCAAGGGTCCGACACTCAGCGGCGGACTTGAAGAAGTGGATGCGCAAGACGCCATGAAACAGCCACTGAAGCTCGCAAAAGAAGCCGACTTCTCCCCAAAGCCGCGCGAGATGACGGAAGAGCAGCGTAGGCAAGCTGAGCGGAGGGCCCGTCTAATGAAGAGAGCTGCACCGTCTACCATGCCGGCTGCGCCTGACTTTACCTCATCCGGCAGCACCAGCCTTTCTCCATCCGCAAGCTTGAAGCCATCTCCCAGTCATCCTGACTCCGCCACATCCAATAGCCAATCTTCGACTTCGCCGAAGCAACAAGTCCCACCGAGTGTTCTTCAGCCTGCCCAGCCGAGCAAGAGACCGAGACTGTCGGACGGCCCTTCAGATACGTCTTCGAACGAGCCCAGACCAGGATTCACGTCTACGAATCCGGTTGCGCGCACCACTTCTATGGTGACTGGCAGCGGAGCTCGTGTGCCGACGCAGCTCGTGTCGAAAAGTGGGCGGACATCCTCCTCACCCTTTGCTGGATCCAATGGCCTGCGCCTGCCAATCATGAACGGCATTCCCAAAGCTGCAAAAGGCACAAGCAGACCAGCAATAGATCTCACAGCTGATGGAAGCGATGACGAGGTGCAGGTCACGGGCAGCAAGAAAGCGGAGCAGGAGGTAGAATTAGACCGACGGAAGACCAACTCGCCAGTGTGCCTCGGTGTCCTTAATGGGGTGATCATGTGCATGTACGGTCTGCCAGAATCGCTGCAGTACGAAGGCGACGCACCTCCAGAGAGCGTTCCACAACATCCTGCATTCCGAAGAGAACATTGGCCCAGCATCTCCCACTTCTGGTCTCAACCTGGCTACAGACCCATTCTGCTGTCATTCAGCAATCGGCGAGGTCCTGAAACGGGCTCGACTCAGGTGGATCTCGCAGTAAGCACCATTCTTCCGCCCTTGATGGTCAATGCAATCGCTCGTCAGCGAGCTGAGAAGGAGGGCAAGCCACCTCCACCTCCAGGAAATTCCTCCCAGATGCAGCCCGCATTTGGCGCTTTGGCCGAGAAATATCGAAGAGCGCTGCTTCCATTGCTCAACCGAGGCGACGTTAGGTGTGAAGCTCGTTGTAAACTTGTCAACAGTGCTCGTGGGGCTGTGAGTGTCTGTAGCGTCTCGTGAAGTATCGAGGCGCCTTGGCTTTCACAACTGACTGTGCCGTGCCTTTCGCGCAGCTCTTCCTTCACCCCATCGAGATTTTGATCTTCACGGAGCACAGCCGCATGGGTACGGTGACAAGCGGCCTACTGCGCGAGGGCTGCAGCTTGGAGCATCCGGTCATCTACGAAGCTTTGGACTATCCCGACTCTCCGCGTTTGATTGTTCAGCAGCACGCTTTGCCTGCCCCTGCTGCAGTGGGCCAAGGCTCCAATTTCTATCGGCCTGACATGCACCCATCCGTATTCACTGGCGGATGGGGCGGGCAGATTGTGCAAACCAAAGAGCAGACGGAAGAGGAGCGCAAACAGCAGGTAGAGACTGTGTATGCGAGCTTGAGAAGTGGAGAAGATTTGGAGGAGGTCGAAGCGAACAGTGTGGTCACTACCGACCTTTTCCCCCATCAAAAGCAAGCTTTGGCTTTCTTACTCGATCGTGAGAAGGAACGCTCATTCGATGTATTAGAACGGAACGGCAAATCTGATGGCGCGACCAATCAAGAAGAAGAGCCGATCTCGCTATGGAGACCCAAAAGGCGGCCGGGAAGCGGCAAGATTGTCTCGTACACTAACGTGGTCACGAACGGTGAAACGAGTAGGCCGCCAGAGATATGTCGCGGAGCTATCCTTGCGGACGACATGGGCCTGGGCAAGACAATCACCACAATCGCCTTGATCGCCAACAGCTGGAACGAAGCTAAGGCCTTTGGCAAGTCCAAATTGGTCGAGCTCAACGGCAAAGGCGGAGACTCTGCGGTTGCTGCGAAGAATGGCCAGAACCAGGCAACTGATGATGAAGAAGAAGGATTCGCTAGTGGTCTGCCAGGCGCCCCGGCTGCCAAGACTGCCTCGAGCCGCAAGGGCAAAGATCCTGCAAACAGCAAATCACAAGCCAAGAAGGATGAAGCTGAGCGTGCCCGCCAGAGCAACTTGCGCACTCGCAGCAGAGCCACCTTGATTGTGTTGCCGCTGACCTTGGTATCTAGCTGGGTGAGCATGAGCGTGCTGTGGAGCGAGGTGTTGTGCGAAGGCTTACGCTGCAGCGCGTTTTCCTGCGTGTAGGAAGAGCAGATCAAAGAGCACTGGCATAATAAGTACCTGCCAAAGCGATTGATCTATCATGGTCAGAAGAGGAGTCAAGATCCTATCTGGATTGCGAATCACGACATCGTTTTCACCACCTATCCCACCCTAGCCAACGAGTTCTCGCGGCAAAAGGTGTGGGTGTCTGATGTCGACGGGGGGGAGGATACGCAAGATGATCCGGAAGGCAGCGATGATGATATTGTGCCATTGGACAGCAATGGTGTGCCTCAGTACCGCTCAAAGAGTTCCAAGAAAGGTGCGAAGAGGCGCAAGTCCGGACCAATGGTCGAGTCCAAGAACCCGTTGCAGCGGATTGAATGGTTCCGAATCGTCCTCGACGAGGCTCAGTGAGTGCAGCACGGCGCTGCTGCGTCTAGACAGTTGCGAGAGCTGATCATTTGCCAATCCATTCAAAGTACGATCAAAGAAGCCCGCACTTGGCAGAGCAAGGCGGTCTGCAATCTTTCCGCCCAAAGGCGACTTTGCTTGACTGGAACGCCGGTGCAAAACCGAATGGACGATCTTTACTCGCTCATCAAATTTCTTCGACTCGAGCCTTTGAATGATCGGGCGATCTGGAATGAGTTCTGTGGATCCAAGGAGAACAAAGGCAGCTTGCGCGCTGCAGGCAAGGACCAAAACAATGGTCCGCTGGACAGCACAGCGCTGCGACGAGTTCAGACCATCATGAAGTTCTTGACCCTGAGGCGTTCCAAGGACGGCAAGCGCAAGGACGGCTCGCGTTTGCTCAACCTGCCGCCGAAGTACAACCGGACCATGCTGCTGCAATTCACGGAGCACGAGCGTGCCGTCTACACAGATATGCATCAAAGCTTCAAGGAAGAGATAGAAGCGATGAAGAAGACGGACTCCGTCAAGCACAATTATGCCACTATCTTGCACGAAGTGAGTCCGATTCAGTGCTGCTGCACGTGACACTCTCAGGATGGTTGAGCTGACCGCTTTACATGCGCTTAGATCTCCAATTTGCGCATGTCTTGCGATCACTTTGCTCTCGTCGATGACAGCAAGGACAGCAAGCGCAAGAAGGACGGTTCAGGCCGATACGGCGTAGTCGATGCCATCAAAAAGGATGGTTTGACCCGCCAGCGCGCCTTGGAGCTATTCAAGCTCTTCGCCGACGAGGAACATGCGTTGTGCAGCACATGCGGAATCGATCTCACACACATAGACACCGAGACTGGCAAAATTTCTTCCTCTCCAGTTGTGACGAGGTGCCAACATCTTCTCTGCACGCCTTGTTTCCGCCACAAGGCTGGTTCGAGTTGGCCAAAGGGAGCAAAGGCGGACCAGAAGGTCGCGTGCCCCGCGTGCGATGTTGTTCTGGCGCCACTTACCGAATGCTTGCAGCTTGCACCTGCTGAGATTCAAGAAGACCCAGATGAACCAATTCAAGAGGATGAAATGGATTCCGTCTCCTCTACTGGAGGCTTCTACGACGGTTCATCCACCGGCAGAAGCTCTACTAGGCGCAAGCCCGTTTTTGGAGTCGATGCAGACAAGCCTGTTCTGGAACGTCCTGATCTGAGCACCAAGATACAGGCTCTTCTCAGCGACCTGATCCCCTTTTCGAAATGCAACCCCGCATCCTTACTTTATGACGAAGAGGCGGCTCTGCTAGATCACCAGGCGACGCCGTCTACGGACAAAGAACGTAAAGAGGAGACAAAGACGAGCAAAGAGCCTGTCGTGGTGGTTCAGCATCCTTCTCTCAAGGCTGGTGGCCCGGCCAACATCCTACCCATCAAAAGTGTAGTCTTCAGTCAGTGGACCAAGATGCTTGATCGCGTTGCCAATGCGTTGGAGCGCGCTGGCATACGCGCAGCGCGACTGGACGGATCGATGCCGCGAGACCGACGAGCCGAAGAAATTACGCGTTTCAAGGAGGATCCTAGTGTGGAGGTTTTCCTGGTCAGTCTCAAAGTCGGGGGAACTGGACTGAACCTGGTCCAGGCGTGCCGAGCATACATTCTCGAACCGTATTGGAACCCAGCAGCTGAGAATCAAGGATTGGATAGAGTTCATAGAATGGGTCAAGTGAGACCCGTCATCACCACCAAGTATGTGGTAGCGAAGAGCATAGAAGAGCGCATGCTTGCGGTCCAAAAGCACAAGATGGAGCTTGCTAGGTCTGTCGGAGATCACGGCGAGCGCAGACGGGCAGGTGGAGATCTTGCCATGCTTCTCGACGAGATGGCCAAGTCTTGAGCTTCAAAGTCACGGCCTACGGTTCAGATTTTCGTATCATGGCAAAGGGCTCTCGAAGAGCGCTCTCGTCACTATTCTTGCAAAGGTCATGACCTTGCAATTGTATTCCGTGTTGTACAACCACTCTCGACCAACAATACAATACATCTTAACAAATGCGTGTTTTCGCGAGTGGGAATGTATGGCTATCGAGGTTTCGGACAGATGCCGGTTAGGCAGCACAACATGTCTCTCACGTTCGGAGCAACAGGCCGTAGAGAGAGAGAGATGAAGAGCGCCGAAAAGGCCTGACAGCCTCCAGCACAAATCATCTCGCGACCAGTCGCTTTGATCATGTGAGACTTGCAATGTTCGGGGATCTTCGTAGGCTCAGATTTGCTACCGTTCTCGTCGTGCCCTCTTGCGCTCGAACCCGGAGCACTGCTCTAGGGCAAGCAATCGCGTGGGAGGGGCAAAGAGGGCAGACGACCCAGGCGCGACCGTTGTTGTGCTTTGAACGGAGAGCTCTGTTCTTTGACCCCGGAATGCTGACATTCTGCAACTACATCGTCCGCTGGCATCTGCCACCTCCAGACTTGAGACGGTGCGCAACGGGACAGGCCGTCACCGGGCCCGAGTCGCAAATACGTCTTCGCTCAGAGGCACGCTATGGATAAATCGCACGACTCACGGCTTCAATGACCATTGGTAGGGTCTCACCATTCATCTATTCGTTCGCTCTCTTTGGCCGGTCGTGGTCTCGAAGTGCGGGTTTGTCACTACCACTGCCCTCTTTCCGCGTATCATGCTGGCTCAGACTGGTCATGCTGGTGGCCGACCTTTTTGCCTGGAAGGTCAGTCCTCTGGCTCTAAGCGCCGCAATTCCCCCCAATTTCCTTGGTTCGTCAAGCGCGAGCTTTGCACCTTCGGTGCTTGCGAGCTTAGATGCGCCGGACGGTCGTACGATGCCGCCACTCCTAGCAATCCCTGGCTCCGAATGTTGTTCTCGCGTCTCTGCTGCTACCAGCAAGTGTGGAGTGCCGATGATAGCATCGCGTCCTTCTGATTCAGAAAGCGATACTTGTGCTACGTGCTGATGCAAGCCTTTGTGTGCATCTTCGATATCTGCCGTGCCAGCTGGCGGACGTCGAGCACTCGACGCGTCCTGTTTCGGACCGTCGATTGAATGGCTCGTCGCTTCCTGATCCTTGCCGCCGGTCGCACCTACTGGAGCCTTTGTCCTCCTCTCCCCAATTCCACCTCCAACATCCAGATGCAACAGCCCTACTCCCAGCCCACGCTTCCTAGCTCTGTATCCCAGCTCGTCCGGTTGCTCATAGGGGCCGACAAAGGCATTGCTAGGCGAAGCGTTGCATATCCGTAAAGCTCCAGTATGGGCAGGAAATGCATCTGAGAGCTGGGAAGAGGTGCCGAATGAGGAGATGCAGAGGGAGATATTGCCCAGAGAGGTAAGCCGTGAGAGCCACCCGGGAGTCATCTCGCGCGACAGCAGGGAAGCGACGCTCAGCAGAGCAGTAGCATGGATGAGCGCGGATTTGAAAGATGCCGCAAGTCTTCGCACGGAGAGCATCAGTTGGAGGATGGCATGAGGAGATGGACTCCAAGCTGAGCTGCCCAAATTGAGCAAAATAATTCGGAAACGCCGCCCTGGATCACTGTTGTGGAGGTCATTCAGTCGAGCGCACGGTTGCAACGGTGGATGAGGAGTCCAGGTCACTTACGTTTCGATTGCTGCGCGCATCCAAGCTAAGGCTTGCGACTCGACAGTCTCTGCGTATGGCCTTTCTCCACTTTCGTCACCTGCAGCTGGGCAGTCCAGCTGATCGAACAGCATCAGCTTTTTTTCAGCACGCTCGAGTTGCTCAACTCTAGCGTGGCCCAACGTCTTCGTCAGATCAAAAGCTGCGTCTCCAGAAGAGCTGGCGAATGACATTCCTGGCACACCTTCGGTGGTAGGCTTTGGTGCAATTCCAGCATATCTGGAAGCGCTGCCCAGGTCTCTCTGCGGCTGTGTAGGTGAAGGCGCTGCAATTTGAGGTTGGAGTCTAGGAGCAGAAGCACTTGGCGATGCGGTTTCGGTCAGATCTACCGGTATTCGCTCCGCCCATTGTCTCGCGCCAGGACCGAGAACGAGGACCGTTCCCTCTTTCAGCCCTTGCGCAGCAGACAGCCGAGCAAAGCTTTCAGCGAAAAGATAAGCCTCATCGGCATTTGCCTGCTGCTGCGCCATTTCCTCAGCCGGCAGGTTGTGAAGAGGACGCACGTGGCCGAGATCTATTCCTGGAATCCATTGTGTCAGAGAGCCGGTCTGCTGAATGTACCGATCAAGAATCGCGTGGCCCGAGTTGGTGGGGCTTATAAATTTGCTACTCGCTACGAGCACGGATGCAGCTGTCGTGCCATTGCACTTTGTCGGTGATTGGTGGGACTGAGTCGATCCAACATCCTCATACTTGGCACTATCATCGTTGCTTGCATCTGCCAATAGTGTGTCGACTACACGCTGGGCAGGCGCACGCCTCTTGAAAGCCGACGGCATCACGATTGTGCCAAATTGTGCCGCACGTTTTGGGTGTTTTGGCAAGCGCTCTGTGCGGGGCGAAGAGTCTCTCACCAGACTCGGCAAGCCTTGACAGCTTCAACAACAGCCTTCAGCCTCTCTCCCTCTCTTCTCTCGAGTTCAGCTTCAGAGGTCGAGTCCTCCTGCTGTGCAGCAGACCGTAGATCACTCAAAGCCAGACCTAGCACCAGCGGACGAGCGTCTCCTTGCTTGTAGAGCGCAGCAGCCAAAGTGGAGAGGTAAAGACCGTACAGAGCTTCCTCTTCTTCGTCTCTAGTGCTACCGAAGAGGATCTTCTGAGTTGTGCCGCTCAACGGGGTAGGGAAGTCCTCGAGCGAATGTGTGGAGGCAGAAGTAGTGAGGTCTTCTTTCCGCTCAAAATCGAGCTCGTAGGACGTGCCCTGACCTAATGGCAGTGCGCTTTCTGGAGAAGACGTCGTTGCTTGCACCTGTAGTGCGAGGATGGCGCAAACGCGAGGGAGGTGTGGTCAGATTGCACCACGCATATAGCTACTGGAGACCCGACAATTGCGGATCACTTACAAAATAGCCCACCGTGCCAGGTCTTTGGGTGACGACGACCAGTGTCCGGTCTTCGAATGCTTGGGCCAGAACTTCGGTTTTGCGACCTTGGATATCCAGGGTTGAAGTGCGTGTAGGTAGGCTGTCCAGCGGTGGTACATTTGACAGGTCCGAGTGATTGAGCCCGGCACTAGTACAGATTCTTGTCCATCGAGGCTGTGTGGCGATTGCGGAATTCGAAGATGGACTTTGGGAGAGTGAGGCGGGCATCACGAGTCGTCGAAGAAGCAGGCGATTGTCGTGTCGGCACTCTAGACCCGAGATTCGTTGAGATGCTGTCGAGCATGCGCCCTCCTCGAACTACTTCCTGAGAGTTGACGCTGAATGTGGGGATTAAGGCAGTGTGAGTGTTGATGGCGGTCGAGCAACCTCGTCACGCGGGTGGGAAGCTTATGGACGACGTCTTTGTACTCAAACTTGAAATTTCTCGCGCGGAAGAGATCCAGCCAGAAGCGTGACCGAATGCGGCGAGGGAGCGCCACTCACGACTCACAACTCACAACTGTGACTACTCTTGACTACTCTGACTAGCTTTGACTCCATCGGAGCCAACGCTGATGGGCCGCATTGACGCGCATGCAGCCACACCATGCATAGTCACGCGAGGATTGATATACTCAAGACTCGCCCGCGCGCATGCCGTACCCGTACTGTATCTCAGGAACGTGAGCGTGCAACTCGCACTTACCGGTACAGTGACTATCACAGCCACCTCAGCAGAGACCATATATCAGGCTGTGCATCAAGTTGATTGCGAGCGCGAGCGACATTGTGATTCAAGCAGTCGGTCCTGCTACCATACCTGCATCGTAACATCCAACAAGCTTCTACTGGCTAATACAAAAAGGGAAGATCTCGCGAGCGTGGGCTAACCATCGACCGCAACGCACCTGTCGGTCCGACTCAGGTGTTCAACTCCCCTCTCGTCTTCCACCAGACCGCCCCATCCTCATAATTGGGAAGCTCTCGACAGAGAGTCTCGAGCTGGAGTATGCTCATCTGATCGCTGCCATCGTCATTGATACCAAAGGCAGTCCAGCATTTCCACTACCATGACGCTGAACGGGGCTGCGCAGGGGGATGATGGGCATCGACCTCGGTACCCTGAGCAATCGTCCAGTGACTATGATCAGGCGCAGCGGGGTATTTCGACCCAACGCTACTCGCATGAATCATACCGATCAGATACGAGCTTGGTCGGTGCGGGAGCCGATGGATCAGGTTCCAGACGGCGTATCAAAGTACCCGATCTGTCCACAGACGCAGCAGGCGCCAGTCCATTGTCCAAATTAGGCATACAAGGCGACGCACTGATGATGTTCGTGACCTGTTTCAGCGCCATGGGAGTCCTTCTGATGGGCTACGATCAAGGCGTCATGTCCGGCATCATCACTGGACCCTACTTCAAGACTTATTTCAATCATCCAACCTCTTACGAAATTGGAACGATGGTGGCCATTCTGGAGATTGGTGCTTTCATCACCTCTTTGGCTTGCGGAACTTTGGCAGACGTGCTGGGAAGGAAAAAGCTGATCTTTTGGGGCGCGCTGATCTTCTCTATTGGGGGCGCGATTCAGACATTCACGGTCGGGTTCAAGAGCATGGTGCTAGGAAGGATCATTGCTGGGTTCGGCGTAGGCGCGCTAACGTGAGTGCCGAAGTTGGCTAAGCTGTCCGTCGAGGGCTCTGGACCAGCACTTGGCCATACATCGCTCAAGACCCGCATGTAGACTGACACCTGTATGAGTGTGTGCTCTCCCCTACAGCATGGTCGTGCCGACTTATCAATCCGAAGTGTCCCCAGCGGAGAACAGAGGCAAATTGGTGCGCCATCCAGCTTCATGTGTATGCTAATCCCGGCACTGCCTAGCATTTCTCAACTCACGTCTACCTTTGTTTTTTTTTGCAACGCCACAGGCTTGCATAGAATTTACTTGCAACATCATAGGCTACTGTCTCTCTGTCTGGATCGACTACTTTTGCTCCTTCTTGACTGGGGACATTTCCTGGCGGGCACCACTCTTCTTTCAAGTCGCAGTCGGTCTCATTCTAGCCTTTGGATCATTGACCCTGCCCGAAAGCCCTCGATGGCTGTTAGATCGGGACAGAGACGTGCAAGGAATGAGAGTGCTGGCTGATCTGCACGGCAATGGCAATCCCAAAGCTAGCAGAGCCAGACTAGAGTACCGAGAGATCAAAGAGAATGTGTAAGTATCAATGTACGCCGCTACGAAGCGAAGCGTTCTGGAGTCACTTTGCACTGCTACTGACATGGGATGCGCCGTGTGATAGCCTGTTCCTTCGTGAGCAAGGTGATCGCAGCTATAAGGCGATGTGGAGGCGGTACAAGTGAGTTCTGTAACTTCGAAGGCTTGCACCGTCGTTCAGCTGATCTGCCTGACAAGAAACCGCTGACTCACACTCACTGCCTGGGCATTGCTCAGGCGCCGGACCCTTATTGGCTGCTCGGCTCAGGCCTGCGCTCAGCTCAACGGCATCAACGTAGTCTCATACTACGCCCCTCTCGTATTTGAATCCGCCGGATGGGTGGGCAGGGATGCGATCCTGATGACAGGCATCAATGGGATCATCTATGTCTGCTGTACCATTCCAACATGGTTCTTGATCGACCGGGTCGGCAGACGTCCCATCCTCATGCTCGGGTCCATCATTTGCGGTCTGGCGCTTTGCGCCTGCGGTTACTTCCTGTGGCTGGATGCGAACTACACGCCGACAGCAGTGGTTGCTTGCATCATCATCTTCAATGGCGTCTTCGGATCTGGCTGGGGACCCATCCCTTGGATGCTCAGCTCCGAGATCATGCCTTTGGCTTTCAGAGCCAAAGCAGCCTCCTTGTCAACGGCTACCAATTGGGCTTTCAACTACGTCGTAGGAGAGGCTACACCTATACTTCAAGAGACGATCAAGTGGAGGTTGTATCCCATGCATGGTTTCCTATGTTTCGCTAGCTTCTTCCTTGTCTTCTTCACTTATCCGGAGACGATGGGCGTGCCTTTGGAAGAGATGGACGCGCTCTTCAATGACGAGCCGAGCGGCGTGCCTCAAGACGACGACGATGATGATGAGGACGAACCTTCTCGTACTTCCGTGGCAGGCGAAGAAGCTCGAAGAGACTCTGGTGATTTGCCAGAGAGACAAATCCGCAGGAGCATCAGCTCTCACAGACGCTTCACTAGTGGAGATGATGAAGAGTCTGTCGCAAGAGCTGCAGCGCAGCGTGTCCAGTCGATGAGGACGACGAACAAGAATGAAGAGAGCGCAAGAGGGACCTACGGTGCGGCTTTACCAAATTGGGTCCGAAAGATTTGGAACTCGTCACCGGGTGAACAGCATTACGCTCCGGTCGGGAGCGAAGAGGATCAATAGGTGCGTGGAGAGATCGCGGATGGCTGTCTTTTGGCCTCAAGTAGACCCGCTGACCTGAACGCGACTCCTATTGTCTTCGACATCAGGATGTCGGCGGCTTGCCTTCCCAGTCTTTGCGCATGGAGTCCCTGCGCTAGCTTGAATCGCGTCAGCAATGAGCTGCCTTCTCTGCATACTGTTCGCTGCCAGTCGCTGGCCGCAGAGGGTCGCTTTCCGATGCGATTTCTCCAACGAGCACTTTGTCTTGCGTGTCTTGCTGGCAAAGAGACGTGACGCGCAAAGAAGGAGACCGGATGGATGGAGAGCAGGTCGCCTATTCCTTTCGACTGCAAGAGTCTCTTTTGTTCCTCGCTACCTTCCCTCTTCGTCTTGTCCTTGTCATGTTCGCTAGTCACTACTACGTCTCGTGATGGACCTACATCGCCCAGCACCCAATCTTATCGATCCCATCGTATGGCAATCCTTACCGCTCAACACTCTCGCACTCAAATCTCTCAACGTGTCCTTCGCACGTATCCGCAGCCGCGCGCAGCATGTACAACCAGAATAAGATCAACTCTTCCAACTGTAAGCCGTCGTTGATCGCACTGGCCCATGAAGTGAGTGCGCGGACGGGAGCACTTACGCGATGAGGTGGGCCTTTGCGGGCAGTTTTGGGCCACCGAAGGCTCATGCAGTAAAGATAAAGCGTTGACAGATGTACGATTACGATCAAGTGGGTTGGGGAACGATGGGCGAGCAACATTGGCAAATGAACAATGGAAGGGAAAGGGTGTGTGAAAGACATGGGGTGAGAGACGTCAAAATTTCAAAAGGTGTGGGGATCAAGACATGATGTGATCATTATCTTAGGTAAGGTGTGTAGTCAAGAGAATGGAAAAGAGTGGTGGACGTGCGGCAGGCGGACGTCCGCACACAGTGCCGAGATGGGTAGGAGTTTGAGATACTACGTAGAGTCGCGGAGTGGTGCATGCGAGATCGTAGACTGAGATTCGTCTTGTCGGATTGTGGATTGCGGCTTGTGTCTGGAGAAGGGTTTATGCTTTTGCTAGCGCGCGAGTGTCGAAGGTGGCGATGATGTGCGAGTATTCAGCAGCTTGATTCTTTTTCTTTGGAGATATGGAGCGATGTTCGTTTCGGAACGAGATGTATGCCACTGTGTAAATCCTCCAAAGCCCTCGCGTTACACGCGGAAAGTAAATCTTCAGTGCCAAAACCAGTGCCAAGACCATTCGATTGTCCCCGTCCTCTGTACCTCGCGTGCGTATGTGCGGACGACTGACAGTCGCCACCTGCACCCACTCAACGCCCAAGGTCAGAGCATGCGTCTCGGTCCATACGACCCCCAATTTGAGCACTTCTCGCGGCGCAGCACTAGCCGTCCATCCTCTAACAAGTTCCTCGACTCTCGGCCGTCACATTGCTCGTTTGGTCAAACTTGGTGGACCCGCGCAGGGGTCTAGCCAACCGTATCATCACTGGGGTAGGTCATCCTGTGCGAACAGCTAAGCCGAACCTTCCTTGCACAAGTCGCGGCTGACCGCTCAGTACCACTGCTGAGGCTGGCCTTGGCCCTCGCGTCTAACTCGACTCGAGGAACCTTGCTGAGCTTGCTGGTAGGAGCCTGCGGCACCTCGAGTAGTGTCCCTGAGTCCAGCCTCATCTTCCTCTCCTTGAGCAAGGACTTTGCGGCGAGGGAGTTGCTGAACGGGCTGCTGCTGGGGCGCACCAGTGGCAGCGCTGCTCTTGAGCTCAGAGATCTTCTGCGCCTCATCCGCAGTCCTTTGCTGAATGGACCAGTCGAAAATGTAGTCGTACTGGAAGCCCTCGCGCACGAAAAGATCGCGGAACAGCTTGCGCAGGTAAGAGTAGTCGGGCTTGTCGTCGAAGCGCAGAGATCTGCAGCAATTCAAGTAGATTGCCATCTCCGAAGGGAAGCCGCGGCACAATAGCTCGGTCGGAGTCGTCATCTTCTTCTCCATGATACGATCGTACTTCTGCTTCTTCGTCGCGGCCTTGAGACCCTGCCAGGGCAGAGAGCCTCGCAGGAAGTACATGAGGACGTAGCCCAAAGACTCGAGATCATCACGACGAGATTGCTCTGCGTAGGCAATAGGAGGCGACGTGGGTCAATAGCATGTTCGCGCGAGTGATGAAGGTGTCAGCTTAGCGCAGGGCAGACTTGTGAGTCACTCTGCACAGCTTCGAGGTTTCTCATGACTCACCGACACCAAGGTGAGTGTTGATCGACGTGTAACGAGCTGTACCCGTCAAGTTCTTGTTCTCGCGGTAGGGAATGTGCAGATGAGTCTTGGGGTCGCGGTACTTCTTGGCCAGTCCGAAGTCAATGACGTTGACTTGGTTGCCCCGCTTGCCAATGCCCATCAAGAAGTTGTCTGGCTTGATGTCGCGATGGATGAAGTTCCTCGAGTGGATGTACTCGATGCGCGAAATCTGAATGTACAATCCAAGTATGCATGTCAGAAGGTTGGCGGCACACGACATGTAATCCTAGCGTCCTATGGAGCCCAAAGTCCAGCACGCAAGCTTTGACTCCACTCACCATTTGATCTGCCAGCAGCAAGACGGTCTTGAGCGAAAATTTGCGGTTGCAGAAGTTGAACAGATCTTCGAGAGAAGGTCCCAACAGGTCGATGACCATGGCATTGTAGTCGCACTCTTGGCCGTACCATCTCACGAAAGGCACGCCAACACCTCCAGCCAGTGTCTTGTAAACCTTGGCTTCATACTCGAGTTGGGGGTGCTTGGCCTTGATGCTTTCGAGCTTGATGGCCACCTCCTCTCCGCTGATAATGTTGATGCCAAGGTAGATGTCACCGAACGAACCTGAGCCAATCTTCTTGCCGATGCGGTACTACGGAGGCAGACTAGTGCGATCAGTGACTCGTCTGGACATGGCTCTTCACCCCAGCATCATGTGCATGCTTACCCTACGAGGTGGCGGCGAGGAGGCAATCGATGAACATGGACAGGCAAAGTGTCGCGCAAGGGGCGTGAAAGTCAGCAGGTGGGCAAGTCGAGCATGGTCCCACATCCTCGTGCGACACTGTGTCGCATCAATCCGCCTCTCGACGCTTCATGGCAGCTGCAGAGAGGCCAGTCAAGTCGTTAAGAGACTAGCAACAGCTGCTGTACTCACTTGCCGCCGACACGGAGATCCATCCTGGAGAATGGTCACGTCTGACTAGAGCCTGGGTGTTTGAACGGCAGGGACGGGTGTCAGGGAAGCTCGCCAGTCAACGCTTAAAAAGTAAATGCTCCTCAATCAACAGCCCACAGTCGATGTATCAAGGCTCGAGCCCGCACTCACCCTTCGTGTGTAGACAGACTCAAACGACCTGAGCAGGTGTTGGCGCGAGGGTCCGAACAGCTTCGGTGCAGCTTTCGTCTATGTCACGCTGCTCCCTGTCCACTCAGCGGCGCGTGGACGTTGATGGTAGGCTAAGAGGCCAAAGTCTGATTGATGGCAGTCACCAGTGCGGCGAGACGTCGTGCGCGAAAAGGATTAGCGATCCTGAGCTAGCGGGAGATCCAACGTGGCAGCGTCCTAGGTAGAGCACTACTGAACGAAGAGAGCGGCAGATTCGTGGGAGCCCAGCGAAGGGTCGTGGCAGAGGGTGGGCGTGTCTGACTGCGAAGCTCGTCTCTGATCACCGAGCGAGCAGAGAAAGGTCGAAGAGGGAGAGAAGAGAAACACGCGTGGGGCGTGTAGAGCTGGTGCAGAAGTGAAGCCAGCGGTGGATGATGGTGAAGAGTGTAGCGAGCAAGAGGGTCAATGATGTCGGCGGTGACCCAAAAACTCAGGAGCATCCACGCAATTGACCGCGAGCAGCCGTCATCAGGTGAGATCCTGGCGCTGATGCTCCTCGCTGCTGACTCGCACGCGCTACCTATACCGAGCTTGCAGAGCGTTGCGCAGGCAGCTCAGCCACTCGTCGACTCACCGCCGCTGCTGGCGTGCACAGCAGCAGCAGCAGCAACCAAGGTCGTCCGCTGACCGTCCGCGCCCCAGCGCAGCTTTGTTGGCTCCCGCGCGCGGCATGCACAGAAGGGCCAGGGGCATATACGCGCGCGCGCGAACGCAAGCGTATATAATGAGGCGAGAGGTGCGCGCCATCGCGTCAATGTCAGCGAGTTGCTGCTCAAGTGCCTGCTGCATGCGCATTCGGGCAAAATTGAATCTGAACGTTACCATTCATGATTCAAGATTCAGTGATTATCACTACACTCAAACTGTGCTCTTTGCGCTGCGTCACACGCATATACGCATATCAGCGCAGCATTCGCGGCGTCGATATAACATCGGCGCGTAGAGTAGACGCACACTGCGCTCCCATGCATGCAGCCTTGACAGCGCCAATCAGAATAACAGCAGCAACCGACGCGCCGCGGGGGGGCTGCACGAAACCAGATCAATATAAGGCCAGGCTGTTTGAGGTGGGTTAACCATTCGGATTGGGTTTTTTTTTTTTTAAGGTCGCAGTATTCGAGTGGAATCACGTCTTGAAAACACGCACTCAGATCCACACTTAATCCATAAATCTTAACCAAAGGTCAAGGTTGAGTCAAGAGTCGAGATACTTTTTCTTGGGCTTCGATCCCTGATGATGGGTACTTCGCGATTTCAATTCCGCAAGTGACGAACGGTCATAGAATTCAAACTGGCATGCAGAGCATTGCGCAAGGGCCCCTTATTCTTGATTGCTCTGTGGGCTTATTGTCTCGCGACCAATCCCCACCTCCAAAAGGGCGTATATAACTTGGCGATTTAGCTCCCCTGGAACGTGAAAGCTCCTCAAGAAGCCGGTCCATTTGTCCCTGATGGCACTGACTCCAAAGATCTTGTAGACGTCGACTCAGAAAGGGAAGCTTTCGGCTTAAATTCTCTTTTAACATGAGTACACATGCCGACCACAGCGCGGATGGAGTCGTGACGAAGGTCGCACCAAGTAAGCCGCGATCACCCGATGATTGCCGCGCCGCGCCTCGCCTGCTGGCTGCTGCATCTGCTGCATGTGCGCAGATCAAACCGGAGGTCCGACATCTCGAGTTGCGCGCGCAGCTTGGCTTGCCCCGCCGTTGACCAACGCGGAGATAACGATGCATTCATTCAAAACGCCGACGAGACCTTACAGACAGCACCACACAGCCTCTTCGTCGGGGTGCCTCGACCAACGCGCAAAGTCTGAATTGAGTTGAATTGAGAATCGGTCCGATTGGACTTATAGCAACGACTGTACCCGTCAGCGAATTCAGGTCGCACGCATATTTCAGCTTCATGAGGCCATTCAAATTATCCAAGCGCGAAAGCTTCACCTCGGATTTCCATGAAGTCTGAGCGAGACACGTCATCATTGCTCTATGAGACCATTCGTGACTCCTCTAATTGGATGGCGTCAATGGCGCCATCGCAATCATACATTTGCGTATGGAATTCCCAAGTTGATGAGATCTCGAACTGTAAATCGTGAATTGACTTTGACTCACTCTTGACCCATCCAGGACTCATCAAATTCAAAATCATGAGAATCCAAATGTTGGAGCCTTCTGGCTCCTGTGATAGGTAGCGTGAACGCACAGACTCCCTCGATCCCGGCTCACGAAGAAAGCTCGGGCCTCATGACGCAGTCGCGAGAGTGTGTCAAATCCAAGCGCCGCACCCATGTAGGCAATTGAGTGTAAAACAATTTGAATGCAGATCGAACAACGCGCGCTCGAGCCTCGCACATCCTCGCATGGCGGGTGAAGTGATTTCCAGATATACCCATCAGACTGCCAATCAAATACCGGCCTACCGCGGGCTCGCGCAAGCGATCGAGCACACATCAAGATCGTGTATCCATGAATATGACATCACCTTTGCCCTCACATGACAGGGGATCACGAATGAAGCAAATGAGGGAGACCTCAAAGCTCGTCATCATCATCGATGATCTCATCTTCCTCTTCTTCCTCCTCGTCCTCATCTTCGCCAAGATCTGCGTTCATCTCCTCGTCAGAGGCTCGAGCAGCGGGCTGTGCACGACCGACGGCGAGGACAGAGGGAAATGGAGGGTCTGCGCTGGACAAACCTTGACCATCTTCTGCCTGATCGGACTCCTTCGGATAAGGATAATTGGCAGGCACCTGCAGCTGGCCTCTCAAAGTTCGGGTATCTCGCAAGCACCTCAGGATCCTAGAAATTTCTCCTCGAGGTCGTTCGTCCTTGGCTTCTTCCTCGTACACCGCCTCATCGCCGCTCTCGTAGCTAGCATCGCCCACACCCCGTCGAGCGCGCTCCAGGATGCGTCTCCAAGATGTGCGCGGTAGCGAGAGAGCAGCAGCTTGAGCAGCAAAGTGCGCAGCTGATGACATGTTGCGGTTGCGCGCGATGCCATTGGGCGCAGCAGGCACGGAGAGATCCAGGCCCCAAAGATGGGGAGGTCTAGGAAGCTGGCGCGCCGTCCTGCCTTTGACATGAGCACGCTCAGTCCCGCCTGTAGGCCCGCTAGCAGCGCTCTGCCCTACAGGCTCATTCGCATTGGCGTCGCCAGTCCCTTGAGCAGGAGTGGTCGACTCGCGTCTGGCATGGGCAAGTGACTGGTCTTTTGCCGCCGCCAGTATATTCGCCAAAGGATAAGCAGAGCCGCCTCCGGTAGTGTTTGGCACACGTCCCTTTGGCTTGCCGCGAAGACCCTTTCCGCCTCCTCTTGACGGAAGGCTCGACCGAGGGCCCTTGGCATCGGTGCCAGGATCCGTATCCATGGGGGATTCGACGCGGCCATAGTCTTCCGTCATGCTATACTCCAAGCCTCCAGTCGCCTTGAGCTGTTCCTCTTGTTGTACCTTGAGCAAGAAAGCCGAACGATCTTGTCGTACCTCTAATGCCCAATCGATCTCGTCTTGAGCATCCACGTTCTCTTTCGCCGACTCGGCGATGCTGACCACGCTCAATTTGGGAGCCAGCAGTCTATGAAGATATTCTTCTGGCAATGGTACTAGGGCGTCTTCCCACGTCGAAGAAGGGGGAAACTCATCCACTTCGCTCTCCTTTGCGTCAGGATCCGCCTTTTCCACATTCTTGGATGCAGCTCCGAGCGGAACGCCCGCTTTGCGCAGCTGCTCTCGAACGGTGTCGCGCTTGCCGGCGGTCAATGCAACCTGCGCACTAGCTAGAGCCACCTTCTGTTCATCTCGACGTTGCGAAGCCGGATCGTATGCGGGATTTTTGATGCCCCTCCAAAGGCCTTCGGCCGAGATGCGGTCTTGCTCCTCTTTCGAAAGCCCGGCGTACGCAGTGGCAGCATCTGCGGCCGATTTCCTGGAAAAGTCGTCGTCGAAGGGATTGGGTGGTTGCTGGTCCGGTGGGACGTACTCGTGCCGTTCTAGATAGTGCCAAACAAGCCACAAAAAGACGCGCGCCCTTTCACGAGCAGGAACAGGGTAGTCGCCATGAGGAAAGAAGAGAGTGTACAGATCGTGGGGCGCTGCAAAGTGCATGGCGGTGATATCGGGAGCGTGGTTGAGTAGCAGAAATACCATATTGATGACGCTGGTGATCGGGTGTATAGGCTCGCGAGTCTCGCCCAGCTCCTGCTTTCGAGCGGCGTACTTTGTGAGCCGCCTTCGCTTTGCGATAAGCTCTGTGAAGTTGCTTGCCACTTCACCGATCTCCTCGCCCTGAGCCGGATGTGAGCTGCTTGCTGCTTTCGCCAACGCATTGGCGGCTGTAGCGTTATTCGTGCCAGCTGGCCCAGGCTTCTCGGTCTCGATGAGACTGGCTTTGAGCAGAGACTTCATACGGGGAGCGTCTTGCATGTTGCGTCTGGTGTTCTCGCACTTTTGCAGACTAGCGAGCGGGTGGTACGACCGCAGGACCGTCTTCATCTCCGGGTAGACTGCACACAGGCCAGACGAGAGAGAGACGTGGGCTTGTATCAAGGGTCTGTTGTGCCAGATGCGTGATCATGCCTACTCACAAGCCAAAGTGGTGTTGATTCGGCCAACGTTGACCAGCAGATTGACCTTCCCGAAATCCTCCGCGTACTCCTCCTCGGCGAGAAGTTTATCGCGCATGGTCTTGGTGCACCTCGAAGAGGAAAGCAGAGCCTCCAAATAGAGTTCCTTGAACGTGAGAAGCTTGTCACCAGGACAAGGCAATCCTCTTTTGCGTCTCTCCTCATCGCCTCCTTCGCTAGCCTCTTGCCATGCTCGCAGTCGAGTCTGGTACGCCTCATGCTCCTCTGCACTCTCATCTGAAGGGCGCGCACACGTGGGAGCCATTCCGTATGGGAACATGGGCGTCACAAAGGGTCGCTCCTGCCCCTCTAAATCCAGCGTGCCCGGTCTTGGATTCGTAAAGACGCGCTGCGTGTCACCAAAGATATGGCACAGCACAGCATGCTGGAGATCTGCCCGTGTCAAAGGCTCGCCGTCGTAGCGTTTGACTGGCAAGTTGCGAGGCACAGGTCCGCCGCTGTGTAGGCAGAGTGCCGACGGGAGCAGAGTCAGTCACATTTCCTGAAGAGCATCGCACGACTTGCCCAAGAGGACGTCTTGTACTCACTTCTTTCCGAACACACTGTTCATGTAGCCGGGCCAGTAAGGAGCAGAGCCTGGAGCGACCTTGTCCTCATTCGGATCGCGACTACTGTGTACCACTGGTGTTGCGCCTTTGACTTCTGAAGTCGCTCCGTCAGCTGTGTCCGCCGCGCCGGAGCCCGCTTCGCTTGATGCTGAGCCGCGAGCTCTTGCTGAGACTGGTCCGGCGTCTGACTGATCCTCATCATCTCTCGAGCGCTTGACCCCGCGCTGCGTGTGAAGGTGGGTCGCATCAGCGTCATTCGAGCGATCAACATCATCTGTCGGTGAGGCTGCTCCCGCGTCGCCACGTCGAGAGCTTGAATGCTCGGGCTCGGCGCTATTTCGAGGTGACATGATTTCAGAGGTCATGAGGTGGAGCTTTCAGCCATGCGAGGCACGGTGCGGTCTTGCTCAACGCTGCCGGCGCACAGGAATGAGATCGAAGAGGTTCCAGTAGCCAGTAGGGCGTGCAATTGAGTGCGCCTTCCTCGATCGATGCTGTTGTGGTGGCAGTCAAAGTCGGATGTCCATTGCAGTAGTGCGCGTCGATACGTGCATGGTTTTTGGAAAGCAATCACAATCACAATGCTGTCATGGATTGGTGCATCGACGTTCAGTCAAGAGAGTGCGACGTGCGTGAGGAGTCGAGCCGAGCAACATCATCAGCACTCACCAATTGTGAATCAAGAATAATCGTGAATGTCTGCTCGCACATATGCAGCATCGACCGCGCGTGTACCGTATAGGGCGCGCGCTGTTCTGTTGGTGCGCGGGAGTGTGAGTGCATGGGGAAAACAGCTATAAGTCCGCGGCGATGAGAGAGCTTCATGCAGCATGCAGCAACATGAAATCTTCCATCAGAGTTCACGGCTGGACCAGGCCTCTGCTGAAGCAGCAGCAACGGTATGCTTCTTCACCACCAACAACTGATGAGATCGCGATCTGCTCTGCCGACACAGCCTTTTGAGTTGCTCACGTGGCCGCAAATACCTGCTCTGCTCCCGCTACTCGTATTCGCACTGCATTCACAATCGCCAAGTATGCCAGTGAGCACAGCGACAGCCGCAGGCACTGGCCCTGGTGTTGCACGGGCAACGCCCAAAAGCGTGCGCATACAGGAGCCCGAACTTGAAAAGGAGCAGCGCTCAACGGCAGGCGTATCGAGACCTTACAAGCGACGCAAAAGGGATGCTCTCCAATCTCAGCATATTTCGCCCCACCCAGCTGGCATAAGACCTTCTGCCAATGCCATCTTTGATCCCGACCACGCCAAATTCAGAAGTTCTTCACTGGGTCATCTGTCAGCGCTACCGGACGAATTGCTCTTGCACACACTTGGGTTCTTGACCTCAGCTGAGCTAGCCAGGCTCTGCCGCGTCTCGAGAGCCTTGGCGGCATACGCAGGGCATGACGGTTCTTGGCGCGAGCGTACTCTGGCGGACAGCCAAGGAGGTTTCGTGAGCGAGTGGGCAGGCAATTGGAGGCGCACCTACGCTCGCGTGGTGGGCAAGCAGCAAGCACTGCCTCCTTTGAGTTCACCTCCGCGAGCAGATGGTCTTTACTCTGACGTCTTGTACAATCAATGGAGGCTCGCCAACACACGCTTCACGCTGCAAGACGGTTGCTCAATCGACACGCTGCCTCATGGCACATCCTTTGAGCGCTTTGATCAAGAGTATGCAGCACAAAGGCCCGCAATCTTCAAAGACGCTACGCAAGGCTGGAGAGCTGCCGGTTGGACGCTCGAGCAGCTATGCGACAACGCTGGCGAAGAGCCTCTGCAAGCCGAAGCGATGCGTGCGAATCGAAGGACGTATCTGGATTATGCCGCCAATCAGGGAGCTCAACGCTACGATCTGAGCGATCCAAAGAACATGGTGCCCGACGAATCGCCGCTGTATCTTTTCGATGCTCAGCTGCCCGCTCGGATAGAAGACAATTGGCGTGTGCCGCATCTGCTCGGCCTTCGGCACGAGCAGAATGGCCAGGCTGTTGGCACATGGGATCATGATCTGTTTGGCTTGCTGGGCTTGCGTCGCCCAGACTATCGATGGGTCATTGCTGGACCAGAGAGGAGTGGCAGCGGTGTGAGTGGCTCAGTCGAGGCCGTAGATCACTTTAGCGCATTACTGACACGTCCACGTCTCACGTTACATCGCAGTGGCACAAAGATCCAAACGCAACCTCGGCTTGGAATGCCGTCCTGTCAGGTACAAAGTACTGGCTTTTTTTGCCTCCCCACGTCACGCCTCCAGGTGTGTACGTCTCAGCGGACGAGGCCGACGTAACAGCACCGTTGAGCATCGCAGAGTGGGCCATCGACTTTTTGAATAGGACGCGCACTCTGCACGGGCCACAGGGGGATGGTTCGCTTCAAGAGGGAAGGTGTGAAGCGGGGGATGCGGTCTATGTGCCAGCTGGATGGTGGCACTTGGTCGTCAACATCACAGGTGAGCACAAGGTCGCAGCACATTCATGCGGAACCCCTTGAGCAGGTCTCGTGTTGACCGTCGCCTTTTCCACTGTTCTCACAGAATCTGTCGCGTTCACCCAAAATTTGGTCTCGCGAAGGGAGCTGGCTGGCGTGCTAGATTTCATGCAGTCTCGGCCCGAACAAGTTTCAGGTTTCAAACCCATGACTGGCGCAGCAGACGGGGCGGCCGGCAACGACGACGACGACGACAACGAGTGCGCCCCAGCCAATCTCTTTCGAGACTTTTGCGACGCATTGAAGGACTACGATGCGCCTTTGTTGCAAGAAGCTTTGCAGGAGGTTGACAAGCGTCGAAAAGTCCGTGAAGGAAGACGCGTTGCAAGAGAACGCAATGGCAGCGGTTGGTGGGCCAGGATGAAAGCGCAGGAGGCGGCTGAGAGCGGAAGAGCGAGCGAGCAAGATCCGCAAGCTGATGCGGCTACCAGTAGCAGCATCACTGCTTCCACTGGATTCGCCTTCGACCTGCTGGGACAAGATGCGGAAGAAATCGGCGAGTTGCCGTGGTAGGCAGGTAGGTAAGTCTGAGCGCCACAGCACGTTCGTGCGTCTCACCTGCTTGCGAAAGCCACAGTGCCGCTGACGACGCAGGTGCGACAAGATGGCAACCCACTCGCAATCACTTGACCTGAAATGAACATTCTTTCGTGATCGATCTTTGTGTCACCGTTGTGGTGCGATCGCGGTGGTGGTGCATCCTTTGTGGCTAAGGTAATCGCTGTGATGTCTGGATCACTTGGCCCACGAGCGCATGATTTGCTACCATGCAGTCGTGCCTAACGGTACTCGGTACTCGTGACTTAATTGTGACTACTCACGATTCGACCGGATGGCCCTGCGCCGTCGAGTCATTCCGTTGCAAGGTGTAGGTGGCAGCAGCTGCTGCTGCCGCCGCCATGCAGGCACAAATGTGACCCGCTCGAGCCTGCAGTGCTGCATGCAGATTGCCGTGTGAGCCCCGAACCCATGGTCGCTCGAAGCAGCACCCCAAGACGACCATCGCGGTGCGGTGCGGTGCGGTGTAGCGTAACGCTCATTCGAGCCCTGTGCAAAGCGGGCTATCGATCTGAGCCGATCCGGACCATGACTGGAGCTTTGATCAATGGTTCAGCAATCGCGGGCTCAGAGAACCCATGCGGTGGGATTTGGTGCCGGGACTGTGACATATATGTGTACCGGTTGCCAGCCCGACGTGCTGACGCGCGGCGGGCTATATAGCTGGAGCAAGGTGTTGTGCGGACCGGACCCTAAATGCGCCGAAAAGGCGAGTTGATGCGTGCGCAATTTTTGGTGCTCGCGTGCGTGCGTGCCTGTCTGCCTGAAATGATTTGGGCAGCGTGAATAACGAATGCATGCGCATTCACATCTGGTTTGTAGAGCCCCTACTGGACCAGCGTACACCTGCTGCTTCTCCTCAAGCATCACCTCTTCGGCCTCGACATCCCAACCTTGCCAGTCATACGGGCCCGACCAGCAGTGCTGCGATCTACCAGCATAGCGCAGAGAAGAACACCTCAGCTCAGCTCTCCTTGATTCCCCTACAGTGACGGGTGCCGAGAGCGCTCTCGCTTCCCTGAACTCTTGCTTCCACCATGAATGCGAGCTCTGGCATAACGGCAAAAGGTAGCTGAGTGTTGCCAGCGGATTCTACATTATGACTTGGAATTGTGAGTGCTCATGTTCAGTACTCTGTGCGAAGACCTGCGGGCTAGTGCTGATGACCAATTATCTCGTTCTGAAGCTGCTTTTCCAAGCAGCCCCTTGAGCCGCTCGGCCCTTCGGGGCGATACTGGGCTCACCAATGGCCACGCAACATTGAGAGCTAGCACACCACCCCAATGCTATCTCGACGATGCGTCGGAAGCTTCGACTTCATATAGGAGGTCGTACCGGAGAGTAGTCTCCCAGCCTGAAGGTCAGCAACTGCAGGCTGCGAAAGGGTCGCAGTTGGGCGGACAGGAGCTGGACATGGCTCGACGAAGAGCACTCAAATCAAGCTCCACGAGTGCAATGTTGGGATTGCCACCATCTTCGAGTTCACCGCCATGGAGCAGGGCAACTCCTGGCTCGCCAGGTAGTCCAGTCTCCCCAAGAGCAGGGCTTGGCTCTCCACGCCGCCGCGTTTCTGCCCCAGGCGGTCCAAGTCCTACCGCAACGCTTAGCAGCAGCTTGGTGGGCAGCTATGAAGAGTCTCTGCTGAGCGGCCGCATGTCCACCAACCCCTCCCGACCTCTGCCGTTCGATGCTGAGCTCGGGGTGCTTGGCCTGGGCAAGCTAGGCTCGGCGCCCAGGTGTCCACCCCACCTACAGCTCCGTTTCGATGCACACTTTTATGCGCTGGATGGCACTTCAGCAAGGGAAGGCACAGTTGCCCCTGGTACACCATACGTTGGCACCGTCGACCTGGAGCGTCACTATATGGACAGCCTCTATCGCGCGCCACGCGCAGAGTCTGCTGAGGATGGCCCGGGGAGCTCGAGAGCAACCCAAAGCTCTGGCCTGCCAGAACGCTCGTCTCACCCATATAGGGAGGGGACAGCTCAGCTCAAGCGTACCCATGTCGAGAGAGACGTTTTCGGCGGCACGGGTGCTAAGCCGGCTCTGTTTCCTGGGTATCGAGTCCCACCGAAAGGGCAGATTCAGCTCGTCATCAAGAATCCAAACCTGACTGCCGTCAAATTGTTCTTGGTGCCTTACGACTTGACAGAAATGCCGCCAGGGACCAAGACTTTCGTCAGACAAAAGAGCCACGTCGCCACAGCGGGTGCCACAGATGCTAACGCAAAGACAACTACTGCTTCGCCAAAGATTCCGCCCAGGTCGCCCGCAGACCTGCGTAATTCGCACCGTGACACGCTCCGCTATGCAATCCACTTGCAATTCTGTTGCCCCCCTACGCCACAACCTCGAGCTCGCCGCTCCGATTTAGACAGTCACCCACAACATTCACAGCGGACATCCAGGCATTCCACTGGCGCAGTGGGCAACCTGCCTGCAGGGCGTCATCCAGCCGCAGCTGAACCTTTGCAGACTGCTTCGCGGAAGATCTACTTGCACAAAACGATTCGGGTCGTCTTTGCTGCAAGTCAACCGGACAATTCGGAAAAGCTCACCACCGTAACCGAGACACCTGGCGGCAGTGCGGCCACTGCGATGTGGGCGACATATACCGGTCCGGGTCAGGAGTGGATCCAAGCAAAGAGACGTGCTCGAGAGACCTTGCAGCGCGAACGCGACCTGTCCCGTGAGCGCATCGAAGGCTCGCATCCAGCTGTTCTCGAAGCGGAAGCTGTGTTGGCAGGGGAGGCTGCTGCGAGCATGCGTCGTCAACCGTCTCACGAGCCGCTCGACATCCCTAGGCGGCAGTCGCTCTCCACGACCTATGACACGCACAGTAGCGGCTCAGGCCGCTCGATCGATTCTACGCAGGCCGGTCCCGTCTGCTTCCAGGCTGCAGAGATGGACGATGGCGCTCGACACCGCTCACGCCGGCGGGGTGGCAGCACGATGTATCCTCCGACATTGGACGCCGGGCGCCACACGCAGCCTGAGCACGATGAGGGTGCCTCGATCACCGCGCAGTCAGGCGCGTCTCGGGCATCGCTAGCACCAAAGGTCATGTCGCCGCCCTCTAATCCGCCTCACCACCGCCACGTTGCTCAAGGCCCTTTCTCGGAGAGCAGCGACAAGCTCGGTCAAGCTCACGCAGAATCGACGCAATGGGCCTTGACCCACCGGGCCATGTCTCCGCCGCCCGAGGAGGTGCCCGATGATCGTGCACTGCTTAATGCTTGGGCCGAGAATCTGCGGCGGACGCCAGCTTACCAGCCTTTGCAGAGACCGACGTCGCCGTCCTCTTCCAAGACCACACCCAGAGCCACATCATCCGGCCCTTCGTCACCTCCCGCGCTTCGGCCACTGTCACCCACCGCGATAGGGTTAGCTTCTCCTACAAAGGCACGTGGCAAGGGAGCGTCTAGATCCCCTCTGATCGCACAGCGCACAGGATCTCCGGTTCCAGGCTTCAGCCTGGCGGCTACTGCGACCCATGGGCTAGATCGAGGCTTTGATGGCATGTCTAGTCTGACCGCGTCACTCGAAGACCTCAGCATGTTTTCCGCCGAAACTTGCCCAAACGACGAGATCGCTGCTGCCAAGGTAGACGCCAGCGATGCCTACACTCCCGCAGGTCCAGATCGCGATGCTGCGTCTGCACCGGGCCGACCCGTTCTTGGCCGTCGAATCTCGTCCACGAGGTCCGTCGGGCTAGAAAGCGGCCGGTCTAGTCCCATAAGCTCGGTCTTCCTTGGCGCACAAGCCGAGCGGCTCTCCAGAAGCAGGAGCGGAAGCGTCGATCCGCCTCCTGATCAAGAAGTCGTCCAGACGGAAGCTGTTGCTGTGTTCAGCCGTCCAGTGTACGCGGGAGCCCTTGCTCCGTACATGGCCAAGAGGTCCAGAGCTGGGTCGCTGCTGGCTTTGGGACCTTCGAGCAGTCTCGGCCCCGAAGCAGGTCCGGAAGAAGGCACGGACCACTGCTGGGAAGCGAGCAAGTGTAACGAAGCGACGCCCGCGATGCCCCGACAAGGCAGATAGTGCGCTCCGTTCCTCGACTTCAAGTCTTGCTTTCGTTCGCTTCAACACTTTCTAATCATATCACTCGCTATTAGCACAGGCTTCTTGCCCTCATCATCAACATCATCGTGCACTACTTGTCAATCTCATATTATCCCCATAGCACGCCCAAAGCGCTCCTGATGCTCACTACCGCCGTGAGAGCTGCACACGCCGTTGTGCACGTACCTGATGCAGTTCAGCGATTCACGAATGTAGGCAACTCCTGTGCAGCCGATCTCAACTGTGCCAAACCTGTCTTGCCATCTATGACTTGCGTGACTGTTCATCCATCCACGAATACCGGCATCAGGGTCCGTCTGCGTATGAGAAGGTTAGCCAGTCGGAGGAGGGCGCGCGCGGTGACGCGCTGCATTCACGATGCGCGCACGGTTTGAGAAGTGCATGCTGCTCTTATTGTTGTGTGGCTTGAGGTTTGTGCATGAGCATCGCATGCATCGCCGGCGGAGCGCTCAAGAGAAGCGAAGCGACGCCGTGGAAGCTGGCGCGCGTATAGCGGCGCGATTGCGTGCGGGGAATGATGAGTCTGAGCCACTTGCATCGTGTTATCAGTCTCCACATCCAACAGCCGCTCCTCGCTCTTCCCATCGCTTCCCATTGACAACATCGCTACTGTCTTTGCAAAACTTTGAAGAAACCGGACAGCAGGCACAGCGTCGGAGCTGACCGAGATGAATCGACTGGAAGCAGCTTTGGGCACGAGCAAGCCCTTCAGCTCGGTCTCGGTGTGGATCGACAGACTGAGCTCTGAAGCGTACAAGGAGGATGATTATGAGGGGTGAGTTAGATCATGCGATATGCTCGGAGAGCGACGGTGGCATCTGACTTTGCCGTGCGGGTCTTGCGGCTGTATCAAGCATCATCGAGCTGGTGGATGCGATCAACATCCAGTCTACTGGACCTGCAGAGGCTTCTCGCGCACTTAGAAAGAAGCTCAAGTATGGAAGCGTTCACGGGCAGAAGCGAGCACTCACTGTGAGTCGGGCTCGGACTTTATGTTCTATGTAGCTGCGAGTACGTTCTGATGTGGTTTGCCGTCTATTCTCCGCATCCCACTTCAGATGCTGCGAGCGACGGTCGAGAATGGCGGTCCAAGATATCAGAGTGAGCATTTGAAGCTAACGGCGATGGAGCCTGATATTCCTTGCCTAACACTGCTCCCTATTCACAGCCTCTTTCGCGGATCCGCAGCTTGTAGAGCGCATCAAGCTCATGTCGCAAGACCCGCTCGTCGACGCATCGGTGCGCAAGAAGCTCATGAGGCTCTTGCTGCAGTGGCAGATCCAGTACAAATCGGAACCCACCATGAGGCACGTTGCCGGATTGTATGCTGCTTGCGGAGGCGGGCGCAAGAGCGACGCTCAGCTCAAGAGTGAGGCGGCTGAGGCTTTCAGGAAGAGGAAAGAAGAGGAGGACAGGCAGAGACAGATCAGGAGCGATCAGAAAGCGGCCGAGCGCTTGCAGAAGGAGGAAGACAAGCGCAAAGCCAAACAGCGCGGGAATCAGCCTCGAGTGGTTTTCAACTTCGAAAAGGTAAGTCCAATACCATCCAGGCCACTTCAGGGATGAGCGTCCAATATGGGAAGGCTGACTTAGATTCGCTCATGCCTCTTTGTCGAGCCAGGAGAAGCCTCAAATCTTGTCATCGCTGGCGACAAGTCAGCAAGCTGCGACTTCTCTCGTCAATGCTCTGCAGCACGTCAATCGCGAGAAAGAGAACGTGTCCGACAATGAGCGTGTCAAGCATTATCTAGCTGCGGTCAAGGCAGAGCGCAAGAAGATTGTCAGATATGGTGAGCTGCATCGCCACCTCTTCAGCGAGAGAGCTGGGTCTGACGTGTCCGTTGCTCATGTTCTGCGCGGGCAGTGCAACTTGTTCGAGACGAAGAATTCCTTGGAGGTCTCATCTCGGCCAACGATCAGATCATCCTGTCCTTGCAGCTCTACGACAAGGTGAAATGAGCTTCCATTTTGAGTCTCTCGGGCTGCCAGGCTGACTGTTTGGACCCAAACACAGCTCCTCAAACCTGCAGATGTCGACAGCGATGACGAGCCACTTGCTGCTATCAGCAGCAAGACTGCGGCGCAAAGGGAGCAGGAGCGCATAGCTGCGGAGGACGCCGAGATTGAAATCGTTCGAAAGCGAATTGCCGATGCGCATCTCGATCTGCCAGAGGGTCAGCTTGATCAATTGCAAGATAGGCAGCGCATGCGGTGAGTCGCTCGCCAGGGCCGACGTGAACACAAGTCAAATTTAGGCTTATACCAAATGAGACGATCTCGCAGCATTGAGAGACACAACAGCTACAGGTCAAGCATCCGAAGCGGCGTCGAGGGAGGTCACTCGGGTCCTGTGCGCGATCTCATCGACCTCGATTTTGATGCTGCAGACTCGTGAGTCGCTTGTGACACGAGCAGTGCTATCGCAACATCGCCTCTAATGGTGGTGCTTACCACCATAATCTTGGCACCTCCAGGCACAGTGCTGGGCAAGCGACTAATCACACGCGTGGCCACACCGGCACGCTGTCCGATTATTCTGACTACGAGTCAGACTCCGACGGCGAGGCAGGGTCAAGCGGTGCTCGGGCCGGTGCGACCGGTGCGACCGGTGCAGAAAGATGGGGCGACATGGGGGCGTACGACCGCGATGCTGGGTTCGAGCCTTTAGCTCATCGGCCGCAAATCGGGGAGCCGGTGCTTGAAGATGATGGAGACCCTTTTGGCGACGATCGAGAAGCGCAAGAAGACTTTGAGAGGCTCATGGCGAATCAAAGACCAGCTCAGAGGCACGACTTTGCTGCAGTCTAATCAGACGCGCTGTCATCTCCGCCCCGCCATGCGCCTTGCCTTTTGTGATGACAACTCTCTTACCTTGAACCCTTTACAGTGCAGAAGTTGCGCGCATTTGGAAGCATTTGCGAATTGGTTTCAGACCGAACCGAGATAGCGCTATTGTTACATTACGAAGTTGCTCACTGCAAGAAATACCATGTTGAGCTTTTCTGAACAGGATGTGAGGCGCGAGATTTAGACCGCGTCTACCTTGCAAAGGTGACTTTGAGCTTGTCTCCATTCTCGAACGTGTGCCCATTGAGAGCGTCCCTGGCGATGGAAGCTGCATTGGGATCGATGAACTCTGCGAAAGCGACAGGTCTGCCAGGAATAAGTCTGACGTCTGTGAATCCAGCAAAGCTGCGATTGAAAGAGGAAGGTAAGGGGAAAGTGTCAGCGCAAGGAGAAGCAGAGAATATTTGAGACCTTTGCCAGCACACGCACGGTTGGAAGAGGACCTCGAGGTTGTCTCTGGAAACGCTGGAAGGGACGTTCTGCAGGAACAAGATCTTGTTTGGGGGAAGGTACTCGTCTGGCATTTGCACCTCTTGGCGCTTGGCAGGTTGAGCTGCATTGGTATCCACTGCCTCGCCTGTGATCACCAGAAAGGTTGATCCATCACACGTTCAGCAGATTGTCGGAGACCAACGAAGCGCAGCCAAGAAATCAGGCATGTGGTAGAGTTTATGTTGCGCGACTCACCTCTCTTTGCAGCTATCTTTTTGGCCAATTCTTTGCGACGCATGGCGTTTCCCCTTCTCTGCCTCTTCTTGTGCTCCAACCTTTGCCTCTTGTGCTCCTCGAAGGCTTCTGTCCCTTCACCACCCACATCTTGCTTCACGACTTCGTCCGATCGCGTCTTCGCAAATTCAAGTTGCTAGAGTTGCGCGAGGAGGTGCGCGGGTCAGGACGAGTAGGGCTGCGTACTTAGCAAAGTCCCTCTAAACACACTTACCATGGGCATACCATACAATGGGAAACCTTTGACTTCTCCGACAGCTTTCTCGGCGGCTTGCGAATCTGCAAACGCTACAAAGGCCTGTCCTTTCATGCGCACGTTTTTGTGCGCTGTGACGGAGAGCACGTCCCCGTAGGAAGAGAAAAGACCTTTGAGTGACTCTTTCAGTACTGCGAAGAAGTGCAAGGTGCTCAGCATACAGGTCAGCATGAGGTGCGTAAATGCTGCAATAGGTCCGAATTGGTGCTCACCATCCAACTTAATCTTTTGATTGAGGTTTGAGATGAAGATGGTTCGGTTGGCGGCGAGAGGGTTGGAAGCTGCTTCATCCGTCTTCTCCACCCCTACCGCTTGGGGCACGTCCACGTCAGCTCCGGTGGCCATCTCGACTTCTGCAGACATGATGGCTGCAACGGAAAGACTTGATCAGCTCAAGGACTTCGGGGTGTGCACGGGCGGGAGAGGTGATGAAATCAAGCCGCACAGCGATGCGATAGTCGTGATCATGGATGGTGGGCGTGCGCAAGAGCGGATAGCGGTGTAAATCGTGGATCGAGCTGGGCTCACCACCACGCAGCGCGACACGTGACCCGCACAGAACCACTTCTAAAACGCACTTGAATTTTTTGCCGCAAATGGTAGTTTGAGTCAAGAGTGAGAGTCCCTCGCGCTGTGCATGCATCGATCACCAAACGTCGCCTTCAACTCAAATTCGCACTCGTCACCCACCCGTTACTCTCTCCTGATCATTCCGGCTTGTTGGAGCCCCGCGAGCGACCTTCAGCTCTCCCTCCAACACGATTTCGCAGAGCTGCCATTTTCTTGCGCTCGAAGGATTTGTGCCAGCTCAACATGCCCTCAGTCGATCCATCCAGATTAGTGGAGGTGTTGCCCGAACGAGTGGGCTCCGTCTCGGCTCCCGACTTCCCTCACCATACGCCCGGCAAAGCATTCCCCTCGGGATGGGACTCGACGGCATTCCGACGGGATCTGAAAACCGAGATCACTCGACTTTCCTCCGAGCGTCTAGAGTTCGATCTGATCGGCGTGGATGCTAGCATTGCAAATGCGATCAGAAGAACGCTGATGGCCGAAGTACCGACCGTGGCTATTGAAGACGTGTTTGTCTGGAACAATACCAGCATCATTCAAGACGAGGTGCTGGCCCACCGTTTTGGGCTCATCCCGCTCAAGATTGATCCCAGGCGAATGGAGTTCGTTGGTGAGTGGGCCGCCGCGAGCGTATTTTGTCATGCTCGGCTTTGCTCGATGTGAATCTCCCTTTTGCTCTTCTTTTCGAATCGCCCGTAGATGAGAACAATGGCGAGGCCAACGATGCGAACACGATGGTGTTCAAGATAAAGGCAAAGTGCGAGCGCTTGCAAAAGACTGGACCGGAGCATGTAGCCATCAAGAACAGCATCAGTGAGTGACAAAGCGCACTGGTCAGACAATGCGAGCACCACTGTTCTCGACACTGCACTCATCGTCTCGCCGCGATTCCGCTTAGTCACAACCTCACAAATGGTGTGGGAGCCCAAAGGCGATCAACAGACGGACTGGGCTTCCGAACCTCCCCGGCCTGTGCATCAAGACATCATCTTGCTCAAGATGCGGCCCGGTCAAGAGGTGAATTGCGAACTGCACTGCAAAAAGGGGCGAGGAAAAGTCCACGCAAAGTGGTCGCCTGTAGCCACGGCTTCGTATCGACTGCTGCCTCACATCGATATTGTGCAGCCTATCCCCTTGCAACATGCAAAGAAATTCGTGGAGTGCTTCCCGCAGGGCGTGATCGGTGTACGGAAAAGCAAGAGCACGGCAGAGGAGGAGGTGTATGTTAAAGATCCGAGGAGGGACACTGTAAGCAGAGAAGTGCTTCGACACGCCGAATTCTCGGACAAGGTCAAGCTGGGTAGAGTCAGAGATCACTTCCTCTGTGAGTCGCTAGCGCTTCGCCTACGAGCTGTCCCAGGGCCAGTTTCACCCAAAGCTTGGATTTACATTTGATAGTCGTGGGATTGGGATTGGAAGCTGATCAGTGCCACTCTTGCTTCATTGCTCTATGCAGTTGATATCGAGTCTACTGGCATTTACCCCCCCGAAGATCTCCTACCCGCCGCTCTGCTCGAGCTTAAGGAGAAAGTCAGGACTGTGCGAGAAGGTGTGGAAGCTTTGCAATCTTACCACATGGGCGCATGAACCTTCTCCCCATCGGTCGCCACCCCGCCATCTGCTACCTGCAAGAAATGGCATTGTAATAGTACAAGGAGTGCTGGGTGATCGTGAGACGGGCGAGCGGCTGTGACTTTCCGTGAGTAAAGCGGCAGGGCAGGGAAGGCGATCCAGAGCCAGAGCTTCTTTGGGTGGGGATGTCAGTGTGGGTTGCAGAGCAGCCCCGAACACCGTGTACGTTGCCCCGCCACGGCCATGAGTCTTTGCGGTGCTACCGTCATTTCGCTCCGGAATGCCTTGTCTGTAACGGGTCGACAGATTTACTAGGCCATGGCCCAACACTTATACACGAGTCTACCTGAACGTGTCTGACGATCATGGCTGGTAAATGCAAGAGTCTTCCGCAGGCACTCGGTGGCGAGCAGCTAGGGTGATGGTGATCTGTCGATTTGGTCACCTCTGTGGCCAAGAGGAGAAGGCGACACTGAGGATGAGTTTTCTGGACATCAAGATGATTCCGGCGATATCGACGCTCACCGTTGCGGTCACTCAAGATTTGACTGGCAGTGGAAAGCTACAGGCACTTGGGCTACGGAGCCACGTCATGAATACCGGTGCCATGACGGCAGTGCGTGGCAGGGTATACATTGGCTTTCACCCAATTCATTAGCGCCGTAACGCCTGATTGGCGTTCCGGCCGCATTGGCGTCCAGAGGCTGACCTGGCTCACCCCACCAGTCCACATAGCAGCGCCAGTCATCTCTATCGAGCAGCCACGACTCACGTTGACGCTCGGCTCAGACGCGCACCTTGTCGGCATTCCCTAGCTCAGCCTGTTTCCCGCTATGCCGGAGCTGGCGTGCACCCTATCTTATTCGCTGACCCACCTTTCTGCGTAGCCTCACAGGTGTCCACTCTATGGGCGAGCGCGCAGGATTGAGGACCGGTGCGGTACCATCAGAACACATCTGGCGCCGGGGCTGCGCCTGGTGCACCACGGTCCTGCCGAAAGCGGTGTTTGCGCCATACCATTGCTGTATAGAGCGAGGGCCCTTCGCAGTGTGTCCTATGGCTTGGGGGTATAAAGACGAGGCTGATACGGCGTTGGTCACGTTGACGCACTCTTCTTTCAGCAGTGCTCATCCCACCGATCTGTGGTCGCCCCTCTCCTCTCATTCTCGCCATCAACGTGCTATCGTGGACGCTGGTCGGCCTCATAACACGCACCAACGGAAGCTCAACCTCTCCCTTAGACTTGACACAATAATCACTGCAGAGCTTTGCTTGGTCATAGCTCGAGCACTCGCGCCAAGACTCTAATAAGCGGCTGGCACCGCGTCTGCTCCGACCAACGTCGTCAGCGGCAAACCCCCCTTTACTATCAGACGAAGTAGTCGCCATACCACAAAAACAAAATGCAGCTACGAAGACGAGCTATTCACATCGCTTTGGCGATCTTGCTTGTGCAGGCCTATGCCGAGCCACTGCCTCAGAATGGCGATGGCAACGTAGCTCCGGCACAAGTCTCCGACAGTGCGAATCCATCACCGCTCCAACAAATGGTCGACGGAAATCCGCAAGGCGATCAGAGGAAGCACACTGACAAGTCATTGGCGAAGGACACCGATGGTGCAAAGTCGCAGCAAGCAGAATTAGCTCAACTTGTCGCACCGACTGATTACGGTACCTTGCCCAGCAATGGAGGCAGCTCTGCAGTTCCCGTCGCCAGTCCGCTGGTCGGTCAGTCCGGCCTGGCTTCCACGTCGAATGCGAATGGTGCATACGATGACCCGGTGTCAGGATTGCCGCCTCAACAAACGCCGACGATCATTGTAGTGAACACACCTGCAAACGGAACAGGCATCAGTAGCTCCAGGACGTCCGCATCCCTCGCCAGCACTCAACTTGGTCTAGGAAGCACAACCTCCGATCCCTACAGTGCCACTTTTCCCGCATTTTCCACTGCTCCAAACACCCAGACTGCGGTCTACGGCGTCCCGACGCTTGCATCTGCTCTACCGATGTCCGGCGCGAGCGATACAGGCTATGACTCTTCCAGGACCCTGGGGGGTCTTCCAAACGGTGGCATCACTTCATCCGCTCTGCCCATTGACCCGTACCCGTCTCAGGCCAGCACGACACAGTCGCCAACGACACCTACAGCCAATGCAATCGCCAAGGCGGTAATCAAACAGCTCTGCAAGATGGCCAAGGGAAACCACCCTGGTACCGCAAACGCAGGTGACCACTCGATCGGCGACGGTCAGGCTGGCTGTGATCTGAGAGCGCTCTTCGGACTATCCACGAGCAACGGCGCGGCTAGCACAAGCTCTTGGAATACGCCTCTGGTTGCGGACCAAACCACCCCGTTCTCGGGCGCAGCTGTCAACAAAAGCAGCGATAAAGAGAAGCAAATGGAAGACTTTATGAACTCTTCGGCTGGCGCTGCGACGAAGGCCGAGGAGCCAGCTTCTGATCGCAGCGCGGCATGGGGCAAGTCAGACGGAAAGACCACATCCGCCCTGGCTGAACAAGGCAACCAGCAAAGCAGCACGGCAGATAAGTCTGATGGTTTGAAGCAGTCCGACTCCGCTAGCACCTCCGAGAGTGGGGACCAAAAGCCCGAGGAAGACAAGCCTAAAGAAGACGAGCCGGCGAAAGTTGAAGACAAGAAGCCGGAAGAGAACAAGCCGGAGGAGAGGAAAGAGGAGCAGTCAAAGGCTGAAGAGAAGAAGCCCGAAGAGAAAAAAGCGGAAGAGAGTAAGGAGGAGAAGAAGCCCGACGATAAGAAGCCAGAGGACAAGAAGGACGAGTATTCTGGCGATGTGACTGTGGAGAAAGGAAGTGGAGGCTCGCCGCCTCCAAAGCGCGAGATCGCGTACGCTTCGCGCGACGTCGATGTTTTAGATCGACGACAGCAAGAGTTGATGCGGCGTGCAGAGCATATCCTGCTTATCAAGACGGCTCCCTTGTTTGGCAGGCAAGAGTCCAGGATTGGGAATGAGGGGCCACGCATACGCAAGAGAAATCTGGTCTGGGCGACCCACGTCGTCCTGCAACGACGAATGTCTAGCGCTTTCACGCACATCCTCACTGGAGCCCTCTTGATCGCTTGCATGGCTATCATCACCGTCACATGGGCGAACACAGCTCGCAGGCTTGAGCTACGATGAGAAGTAAGGCGCGCTTCTCCAAAAAGCTCTCTTGATGCTCATGATGTTCAATGGCATGACTGCTTTCGTGATTCCCGCGGAATATGACGGCTTGATCAGCTGCTGCGACAGGGCGATGCTACAGTCTTGCCTTTGTGATTGATACGACGTCATTGACGATGAGTGCAGAAATGATGGCAGCCGAGTCTGAAGTTGTCGCTAAACCTGCTGAGACAAGCGCGCGCGCTGGTCGAGAGCTAGCTGGACCAGCGGGTCAACGGGACTCGGGCCACGTGTCGATGTGGGGGATGCTCTGCTCACGCGCTGCCGAGAAAGGACGCGTCGCGCGCTCGACGCGCGCAATCTCTTGACTTCCACCCAACACTCCCACCTCACCTGCTCATCTCAACAATTTCAAGGCGGCCTTGGAATTGCGTTCCGGACACGTACTCATTCTCGTACAATACACACCACTATCGCCATCATCACACTCGGTGGTACACTCACCTGAGCTTCAGCGCCCTGGTGACCAGGATGGCGAGCGGTCGACAAACGACGGGCTTTGGCGCGTCCACCGCGTCAGGCTCGCACAACATCCCATCGGATCTGCCGATAGGAGAGCAGCTCATGCATGTGGACCAGGCCATCACTCTCACTCTTCAAGAAATCGATGCCAACTTTGCGCAGGCCCACCAGATCGTCACGGGAAGAATACTTCCCGCTGTCAAGCGATATGGCGTGGCGAGTGCACGCACCTGGCAAGGCGCAAGGGTGAGTCTTGAGTCTCGCAAAGCAGGCCCGCGGCCCTTCCAAAAGCGCAGATGATGGCAAGTCTGACGAAGCGCTGTGCCGTGCTTGTTCCCAGTTTTGGAAGCATTTCTTTGAAGTATCAGCAAACCTCTCATTGTCCACATCTGGCGGTGATGCAGATGCTGTTGACGGCGTCGGCGGAGATGTGTCGGGAGGAAGGGATGAGCAGGGAGCTGATCAAACGCTCACTTTGGACGATCCAGGCAGGCCTCACCGCAAGTCTGCCCACACACCCGGAGGTCGCAGCAGGGCAGCAGCTCGCGGGGGCGATGAAGATTCCTTGGATCAGATTGAAGGCGCAGACGACAGCGATGACTTGGACGCTTCTGGCTTCTTTCACAGCTTGAAGCACGCCAGAGCCTCTTCACCTCTGGGCACGAAAGTCCGTGGAACGGCAGCTGATGCCGATGAATCCGCTTCCGACGCTTCCTGGGCTCCTGTAGAATCGCCCTTTGAGCGTTTGAAGAAAGAGGTCGAGTCTAATCTGGGCGCATCGCAAGCCGATACGAGCAATGCGACTAGCATTTTGGAGCATCACCGTGCAGAGAGGGCTCGTCAGCTGGCAAGTGGAGCTGATGCGAGTAGCTCGGAGATGGCTCCCCCGCCAAGGACAAGTGCTGCGGGTGGAAAGACTCCAAAGAAAGGGGGCGCGACGCCTCTTGCTCGACGCGCTCTCCTCAACAGCGCGAGCCCTGCAAAGACTACAGCATTGCCGCGCATCACGGCGACCCCGAGGGGCGCTGCACGCAGAGGCAATCCCTTCGCCCCGGCATCCGCGCGCAAGGGAATGGCCGAGGACCAAAGTGGTGCCTTGGTGCCTCCTGAAAGCGTGAGACGGTGGGATGGCATCGCAGATCTGCGCAAGACTCCCTTGGCGAGTAGTCGCAAAGCGTTTGGAGGCAGGATCATGGGAAAAGAGAATGCTCACTCTCAGGGTCACCAAGGAGAGGCGCGCCAGCAGACGCAAGCGAATGATGACTCGGACGAAGACGATGAGGGTTCGCTTGCTCTTCCACCCGGCATGAGCCCTCCGGTGACTATGCGATTCAGCGTCCCTCAAAGCAGGTACAGCAAAACGCCTGCCAAGGAAGCTGCGCGGATGGTAGTCGACGACTTGCTGCGCACTGTCGGCGGCTACTCGCCCTCTGATCATGGAGGCAGCGGCAAGCGCGAACGCGAGCGCAACGCAAAGCCCAGCCTGAGTGCATCTACAGGGGCTCGGCAGCTGCCAAATGCTGCGCCCAGTCAGGCTGCTCCGAAATCTCAGCAGCGGGGGGCAAGACCTTCGGTCGTAGGCACGCCCCTTCGTAAAGGACCTGTAGGCAAAGCAACGCACAGCGAGCGCAAGAGGAGAGGCTCTCTGCCCACGCCGCCTACGTTGACGAAGGGCCACCAGAACCCTCCGCCAAACGCTCTCAAAGCTTCTACCACGCCTTCCGCGGCTCCTCGCGCAGCTTCGAACGTCCCTGGTAGTGCATCATCGGCTGCTAGTGCCAAAGCGCCTTCCACTGTGGGCAGCAGTGCAGCTAGACTTCTCGATGAGGATGAGGGAGGACTTGGGGAGGTGCAGGAAGACGAAGAAGACGAGCCTGCTGATCTTGGGACCGGGCTCAGTCGCATCGCTTTGACGCACGGAGCGGACGGTGTGGACAAATTGCTACTGCCAGCTGATGTGAGTGAACACCTCATCCAGCATCATTTGTGCTTCGCTGATGCTCGCAACTGACTCTTCATCCTCTTTTGCTGCTGCGGCCACTCCAGGACGACGAAAGTGACAGCGATTCCTTGAGCTCATCGGAAGAGTCGGACGGAGCACCAACCGCTGCGGGTGGCCGACAAGCAGGCGGCGCAACGGGAGATCCCTCCGGTCAATACTCGGTCTCTGGCTGGACAGCAAGCAGCATGGCATCGTCAGGCTCATCACGAGCAAGGACAATAGATCAAGACACGCTCTTTGGTATTCGACCGCCTGCTCAGGGTCAAAGTGCGTCAGGCGCTGCTAGCGCTAGCGGCGCAGGACGCACGAATCACAGCTCTATCGCACCAACCAACAGAGGAGAAGCAAAATCTGGGAACGAAGGATTTAGGCCTTGGGGTCAAGTCGAAGAACAGGGAACGGTGCATGGTGGAAGAGGCTTGCTGGACGAGAGGGACAACACCTACTCCGCACCCTCTCCAACCCCTGCCGCACGCGACTGAGCTGGTGCATGAAAAGCATTCTTGCTCCTGGCCTGCTTCCCAGTCTCGAGCTGAGCTTTCTCTGCGACTCTTCGTATTTTGTTCTGATAAGCATCGGGCGGGCTCTCGACGGGACCCCTCGATGCTGCTCTGGTCCTCGCCTACACTCTTGCCATGTACACCTCCAATACCTGTAGCTGCGGGATCTTTGATCGCATTGTGACTGATTCATTGCTGACGCTCTAAGCTGATTGCCATGGTACAGTGTCACCTGTCTGGTGACCGGCTTGGGCTTCGACTGACGTACCCAGCATCGCTCTGAGGTGATGATGTCCTGCTGGGTGATCTGGACGCGTATCCGCCGCCGCCCCGCTCTTGCGCTCGATCGGGGCTGACGCTCCCACTCGGGCTTCTGCTGACATATCTCTCTCCATCGCTATCATCTTCTTGAGACGCATACAGCTCCTCTTTATCCTCTTCTTGCGCTCCGTCCACCTGCATCTGCTCCACCTGTCTCTGCTTCCTCACATCCGAAGCTCGCGCCTCCTTCGCCCTTCTCTCCTTTAACCGTTCTCGAACCGAGTCATCGCTCTCATCTCCGCTCGGATAAGCCTCGCGATCTGGGGCGTACTCGGCGTTGGTGCCGAGCAGCGCGTCTTCCAGCTTGCTTCTGCGAGGCGCTAGGCCTTCCGTTTCTTCCAGTACATCCCGACGTGCCAGACGAGGAAGAATGAGATCTGCCACCCTGTCTAGAGTTAGCAGCTCGTCGATGAACACATCCATATGCGTCAACCGGTAAGAGCCGTCTGATACCGACAAGGATTGATGCGTGAGTGAGTGCCATGCGATGTGGAGTCGAGGCCTCGACTCTACGACTCACCCATGTCTCTCCATCGAAGCTTGTGGTAGTCGTTGAGCATGGGCTCTAGCAGCTCGTACACTTCCACGCTACTGAACACCATCCTCACATACATTGCGGCTACCGCTCTCAAGTATCTAGGACGCAGCGACATCAGCAAGATTGCAATCGTCATGAGAGACAACTCTCGGCACGTAGGCTTCAGGTGTCGCGTGACTTACTTTAGATCGTCCGCCTTGAGGTATTCCAGCACGATTTCCTTTTCGGGTTGAAGTTGAAGCAATTTGCAGACGAGGCAGAGGTACTCGCTAGGCTTGATCGCTCCACCATATGTTCCCCCGACATATTTGAGATCTGCTGCTAGCGGGATCAACGACTCGGCGGTGAGAGCAAAACAGTGTTCCTTCCAGTAGATGGAATCGTAGATCCTGCTTCGCACCACCTTTTCGATCAGGTGCTGCGGATTCGTACCTCGTACGTGCAGCGCACCTTTGGCTGTTCGATTCGCCATGATGCGATGTGACCGCCAGGCAATCGCCACAGAGAGGGTGGCACATGGAGCGTGGGAGGGGAGCCATTACTGGGAATCAAGAAGAGCCAGGCCCCGTTAATCACGAATCCTTGAAGATGCCTCGGTGCGCTTCTCTGTGGACTAAGCTCCACTCACTCACTCAAGACTCTTGACTACCGATAATCACGACCCGTGACTCAACTTATGACTGTCATGTGACTCTTGACTCACACTGACGACTTATCAGACTCAAAACTGGTCAGTAATCACGTGATACAGACGCTCTTCTCGCTCTCGTGCGACGAATTCACGTGACTCGCGGGCCGGCGGCACAGGACGCAGCATGACTTCAACATCCAACACCGCGCGATGCAACACCTTAATCGAGCGCGCAGCGGCATTCAAGATTATTTGAGTCTTGGGTCACCGAGCATGTACTCTGGCGACTTGATGTACACTCAGCATTCACATTCACGATTTGAAGAAGGTCATGCTCCACACCACATTCACGATTCGCGTCCACCATTCCATCTCCCGTTCATCAAGCGCTTTGCTACAAGCCGACTGATTCCGCCATCATTGAGCTCGCCGCGATTCCTGAACTGACTTTCTTCCGCAACGCTTCATCCCACAAGCCAGGCGTACAGCCCCGCAAAAGGCGCTCGTACCCGTACGGCCATTTCGCACTGCAACGGCAGAGCTTGCAATTCGTGGCCGGATCTCAGACAACTCATTCAAGCTTAAGCCGGCGCTGAACACATAGAGCTAGCGCTCAATAAGCAAGCAGGATCACATGATATCTGGACCGAGCACACCTTCACGCTCGCGCCCAGCCGGGTCGTCAGGCGGAGCACCAACCTATGAATCTCCACTAAACAGCATCAGCAATCGCATCAACAAGACGCACATTTCGAATCACCCCAAAGCCGCTTCCTATCCAGGCAAAGCCAAATCCAACGCGACTGCTGCTGCTGCTGCTGCGGCTGCTGCGGCTGATAGACTTCCAGCAGCGCCTCATCATCCCGTCTTTGACGTTCAAAAGGATTGGGAACCTGAGTCTAGCAAGGCGAATACTGGCAAGAAATCGCAATTCAGCAGCTCTGTGAGTCAGCAGTTGTGAAACGCACCGCAATAGAGTGCAGACAACGCTCATTGACCGCTGCATCTGAATTCAGCGTGGTGATCGGTATATTCCCAACCGGGACTTGTCTAGAAGCATGACAAGCGCCGAGTCTTTGCTTGAGAACACGGGCGGGGAAGCTCTGCAGAGCTCCTGCTCGTCGTCCACTGGACCTCAGCAGAACGCAGCTTCAATCGCCAAAGCTAATCAGTTGCCGACGGATGTAGCCGGTTCAGAGTCGGCCTCATTGGAAGCGGCTTCGGGTTTGACGGGCAATGGACAGAGGATCCTGAGCTTCAGCGCGGTTGCGCCTCCCTCGCTCTCTGCGCCCGACACGCATGCGAGGTACGCAGCGACGAAGCCGAAAGCCCTACCGACCTCTCTCACCGCTGGTGGCAAACGCAAAATTGCTCACACGCCCATCAAGACGCTGGATGCGGCAGGTGCAGATGACGACTTTTACGGCAACACTTTGCATTGGAGCGCGAGGAACATGCTGGCTATCACTCTCTCTTCCGTTGTGTACGTCTGGAATGCAGACACTGGAGATGCGACTAGCCTTTTCAGCTTGGACGAGCAGAACGAGAGAGTAGGCGGTGGAGCGGATGCTAGGGTGAGGAGCTTGAGGTGGGATGCTGAAGGTAACCACCTGGCTGTGGGAACGGACAGCGGACATGTGCAAATTTGGGACGTCAATGGTCAACAGCGCTTGCGCACGCTCAAGCCTCATGCTGAAGGAGGAGCGGACAACACGGATATGCTGGCTAGCGCCTGGGCTTGTGATGGCACGCTCTCTACGGGCTACTCGAGCGGACTACTCAGGGATCATGATGTGAGAATGAGGGAAAGTCTCATTAGAGACCTCGACAATGCCCATTCAGGTGCTGTATGCGGTCTGGCTTGGAGAGGTGATGGTGCTTTGCTTGCCAGCGGTGGCAATGACAATGTTGTTCAGGTTTGGGACAGGCGCATGGACGCTCCCAAGATGCGCAAGACGAATCACAATGCTGCGGTGAAAGTGAGTGCCCGCATCCGTGTGTTGTGTCGAAGCAAGTCACTGGCTGACCTGATGATTCCTTGTTCCACTTACTAGGCACTCGCTTGGTGTCCGTGGAACGATTCCCTGCTGGCAACTGGAGGAGGCTTGGCTGATCGCGCTATACACATGTGGAACACCTCTTCGGGCTCACGCCTGCACTCCATCCAGACGCAACATCAACTAGTAGGCCTGCACTGGTCCTTGGCCTACCGCGAGATCTGCTCGGTGGGAGGAGATGTGAATACCGTGACGGGCTACGAGCGACGTGGCGCCATCAGCGTCTGGGCGCACCCATCGCTGGCCAACATTACGACGATCGAGAGCCCGCACGAGTCGAAAGCTGTTCGACACTCTACGCTCTCTCCAGATGGTCAAACGCTCGCTACGATTGGAGACGATGACAATCTGAAGCTTTGGACCATGTTTGAGACGAGCGAAGAGGTGGCCAAGGATGCGCTCAAGAGGAATGGCCAGAGCGCCCTGGGTGGCGCAGCTCATGAGAGGACGGCACCTTTTGCGACTCAGGCTAGAAGCAGAGGTCTTCGTTGAGGTGGCTTGTCGCGACCTGGCCATCTGCTTACGGAAGGCCTGCGAATCTTTGCCTACTTGCTCCTCATCTCGCTCCAACTGGCGTACTGCGACCGTCTCTTGTCCCGCTTGGTGGTGTACGAGCGGTCTTATCATTTAGTTTTCTCGTGAACACATCCATCATAACGAAGTTTGAGCGACATGCACTTTGCGCTTCGGGCCTGGTTGTGAAGCATTGAAAGCGACGACGACGGCAGCGTGTCTTTGAGCGTGGCGGGACAGCACGTCAATTGCAGTCGCGTTTGCTCAAGAGGTCTTTTGAGGGGATTGCTTTGCTCGACTCGTTTCGTCCGTCGCTGAACTTGAGCCGCTGTCTCGTTCGACTCTCAAAGAAGCTCGGCTCGTCGCGAATTGAGGCGCCAGGAAGAGAGAAGCGGAAATTTGCGGCATGACTTTTACGCCATTCGCGGGGCGCACCTCGCGAACGAGCGCTTTACGGGGACGTGGCGACGCTCTCTTCAGCGTCTTGCTTGATGGATGGAGCAGCACGCTTGCATGATACTTGGCTCCATCGTAGCCACAGTCCAAGAAGAGTCAGCAGGGATCGCGAATTTGATTCATAGTTCATGAGACTGACAGGAGTCTACCGCCCAGCGCGGCTGCGGCGATTCGTGCTCTCCCCCTGGGTCAGCGGCAGACGCCTGACGCTGCTGCTGCATCGCACGCAGTCGTGGAGTCGTGTGTTTGAGTTTGAGAGCGTCAGTGTCGGTGCATGTCGGTTTCAGTCGTCAATGTCAGTGCTGTGACTGACATGACAGCAGCAGCACTCTACTCATGACTGTGACTCAACTGCTCGACTCACGACGACCGCCTTCGCTGCTGCCAGCTGGTCCACAGAGCTCTGGCGACAGCTGCTTGCTCGTGTGCTGCATGCATGCATGCATGCTGCTGCTGATGTGTGAGCTTGCTGCTAATCATGCAAGATGAATTGTACAATTATTATGCAGCAGAGACTATGATGAGCGCTCCATGGTGAGTGCTGGTGAGTGAGCGTCTACACGCGGCGCGCAGCCATGCTGCACACGTTATATATGGCTGCTGCTGCTGCTGCTGCATGTGCGCGCATCCCATCAGCGACGCGGCCTGTGCTGGAGCCGCGGACTCGGCAGGTCGTCTTTGACCCAAGAAATTGCCTTTGGTGGGCAGCAGCGAGATCTGCTGGATCCCAGCAAGGCCATCCAGCAGCACACTCACTAAGCTAATCCTTTACGACCGGAACACCCCCGCATAGCGGCTTCCCTTCATCTGACTCCATCGTTGTGTGATCCAACACTCGGAGTCTATAGTATACACACGACCCTTCGCATAGACCCTCAAAGTTCGGGCTGGTCTTCTCGCTTGGCGTATGTTGGGCCAAGCCTTACGGCGGTGCACAACAACTTGACCTGCTCAAACTCCATCACTCGAGCTCCTCAATGCATTGGCGGACTGACGCTCCTCGACAATCAAGATTGCTCGGAAAGTCTCAACACTTTGACGCTTCTCAGACTGTCCCGCGCAAGCTTATTCTGGGCCGTTGATTTGCTTTCTCGGCGACCGACATTCGCGCAGTCTGACGGCCCGCCCACACAAAGGCATCCGACTTTGGCGCGAGTTTCATCAAGGGAGAATCGCGACGTCGTTGCTCGTTGCTAGCTGCGGGCTGAGATCGCCAAGGCGTGCCATCATAATCGCAAGGTGCGCCTTTTGGTTGACAATCGTCGTGTCTTCCCGTCTCAAGGAGCCGTTTCGTCGCATCTCGAGATCGACGAAGCACCGCCTCGCACATTCTCACACGACGCTCGTATACCGTGACGCACCACCAGTGCGACTTCTTGAGTAGGTTCGCACCCATACGCACGCCTTCCTCGCCATGCCTATCTTTGGCAAGAAGAAGGACAAGCCGCAGACGGGTCCCTCTGAGGCTCAGAGCGGCTCCCCCGTGCCCGACAACCAAAATCGCAGTCCTACTCAAGCTGTTGGTGGTAGCAAAGATGGGCACTCCGGCCCAGGAGGTCCTTACCACAATTCTACCGGCTCTCTGTCGGGACAAAATCAAATGAGCGGCATGGGTATGAACTTGGGCATGGGTCATGGCGCTAGTGGTAGCGTAGGACCAAGCGGCATGCCTGGATACGGAGGTCCGCAGCAAGGTCCACCTGGGTCGCAGATGGTCCAAGCACCGCACATGCAGCAAGGTGGGCCAAATCAGGGATCAATGGGTCAAGCTCGTGGGCTAGGAATGGGGGGACCAGCAGGATCAGGAGGACCTGGACAGCTTGGAGGCTCCTCAATGGCCATGCAGCCTGGAATGATGGCACCTGGACAAGGTAGTAACGTGCCGATGGGCCCTCAAGGACCTCAAATCGGCATGAATGGCAGCAATGGAAACCTGATGATGGGATCTGGACCTAGTCCTGTGGGCAGCTCTGCCTCCGGTCCTGCTGCCGGTCAAGCAGGAATGGGACCAGCTGGGGCTTCGACTGGGCCTCCAGGTGCAGCATCTGGATTCAAGTTCGGTGCTCAGACTCGCCCAGATGGAGGCGCTTCCGCAATACCAGGACAGGTAGCAAGGACGCGCAAAGCTAGCGAAGATGGCGCTGGTCCGGGCATCTCTGGACTGCCCCCTTCTTCGGGTCCCAACGTTGGACCCCCCGTGGGCATGCAAGGAAGCACAGAGGTTGGCGGAGTACCCACAGCAGGCCCGGGAGGCAGCAATATCGGTGCCGGAGCTTCGAACGCGCCTCCCCGACCGCAAGGCTCTTCAGCTGTCGTGTACCCGTGGAGTCAGCGCACATTGACGATGAACCCGCCGAGATTCTTGGACGAAACGCGGCAAGCACCAGCCGGAGCTTTGAGTCCTTCGCCTTTCCCGCGCTATGGTCATGCTGCCAATGCGGTCGCCAGCGCTGCTGGCGATATCTACCTCTTCGGCGGACTGGTGAAGGAAAGCGTCAAGAATGACCTGTACACTGTCAGCGTTGACCGCGTCGTGCAGTCACCTACTGGTCCTGTCGGCGCTACATTGGTGCAGACCACTGGTGAGATCCCCCCTCCGCGAGTCGGTCACTCTACCATTCTGGTGTCCAACGTGCTCATCATGTGGGGTGGAGACACGAAAGTGCGCGCAGAGGACAAGCAGGACGAGAATTTGTATCTGCTCAATCTGAGCACGCGCGAATGGACGCGGGTCAGACACAGCCCAGACAATCCCGATGCTGGGCCTGTTGGCAGATATGGTCATACCGTCGCCATCGTCGGCTCTCGTTTCTTCGTCTTTGGAGGTCAAGTGGACGGATCATTCATGAATGATCTCTGGGCCTTTGATCTAAACAGCTTGAAGAGCACGCCGTCGTGGGAACTCATCAGGCCGACTGGCGGCAACCTTCCGCCTCGCAGAACCGGACACGCAAGCGTGACACACAAGGACAGGATCTACATCTTTGGCGGTACAGATGGGCAGTATCATTACAATGATACGTGGGCGTACGACATCACCACCAACACGTGGGAGGAGCTTTCGTGCATCGGCTATATTCCGGTACCTCGTGAGGGTCACGCTACTTGTCTGGTCGACGATGTGATGTACATCTTTGGTGGACGAGGAGTCGACGGGCGCGATCTCGGAGACCTTGCAAGTTTCAAGATTTCAAGTGAGTACAAGGCTGGGCGCAAAGTCCGTACAAAGCTTGCGCTCATAACAGCCTCTCCTGCCCCCCAATAGATCAACGCTGGTACATGTTTGCGAACATGGGACCCTCTCCCAGCGGTCGCTCCGGCCACGTGCTTACGACCTACCAGAACAAGGTCGTCGTCCTCGGAGGCGAGTCGTTTGCGGGGGGCAAACCGGATGACCCTGCTATCGTGTACGTACTAGACACTGTCAAGATCAAGTACCCAGCGGACAACAAGGGAGCAAGCACTCAGCAAGGTTCCCGCAAGATAGGTTCGGGCGGTGCTGCGACTGGCGTGCCGGGCCAAGCTGGAGCAGGTGCCAATCAGGGTCCAGTCATAGATCCAACGCGAGCTGCTTCTCCACCTGTACAAGACCCCCGGCGAGCAGCTTCACCCACGCAGGGTATCAGGCCAGCTCAACCGCCAAACGGCCTATTGACAATGATGCAGCAAGGCGCTGCGAGCCCGGAACAAGCCGTGGCTGCGCGCGCAGCTCCTAGACCGCCAGGGGCTCAGCCCGGGCAAATTGAACCTCCCGTCCGAGCAATGTCGCCTACGCAGCAGGCCGTGCGAGACCAACGAGCGGCAGCTCTACAGACTGGGGGCGCTCCTGGTCAACCGCCACCATCCATCACGGCCGTGCAGCAACAAGCAGACAACCTGTCTGGTCCTGGTTCTTCCTCTGGTCATGCGCAAGGCGCATACAACGGAGCCAGGTCGCAGCGATCAATAGAGAATCTCCGAGGACAAGCAGCTTCTCCATCCTCTGTGGGTATCTCTGCACGTGGATTGAATGGCATGCACGACCGCAACGCCTCGCCCGCACCTGCACCCGGCGATGCTTTCCACTATGGCAGAGGTCCTTCTCCGCCTACTCAAGGAGTCAACGGCTACAACGTCGGTGGCAAGCAGAGCGGTTCTGCAGAGTTAGAAGCCCTTCGCAAACGAGAGGCATGGATGAGGGCCGCGCTCACCCTTGCGGCCAAAAAAGGCTTCGTGGCGCCCGAGCAGCTCGAATTGCCGGACGGGACGAGCGCAGGCAGTCGATCTTCCGAGCTGAATATTGAAGACATTGATACGGGCGTGGATGGCAGTGACAAGCAGCGCATAGTCCGCGCTCTTGTGACTCTGAAGACCCAGCTGGCCGATGCGAAGGTGTGTTGCTCTTCTGTTGTGATTTTCGCAACTGACCCTGTGCTAACGACAGCTTTCGCATTCTCGCAGGGCACCATTTCGCAGCAGGCGCAAAACGAGGCCACACGATTGACGGAGGCTGACCGCGCAAGACAGACTGCGATGCAGGAAGCGGCATTCTATCGAGCCAAAGTCCATGCGATGGAATCCTCTAATCCAACAGAGGTGTCGAGATTGGAGCGCGAACGCACTACACGAATGGAACAGCAACTGTCTGATGCGCTTCGCGAGAATGCTGAGCTGGTGCGACAGACTAATCGAGCTCGAGATGAGGTGGTCTTGGAGAAGCAGCTGCGCAGTGCAGCAGAGGAGCGCCTCTCTGAGACGGCGAAGCGGGCAATGGCTGCTGAAGCGGCCCAGATGCGCGCCCACGAAGAGCTCGCAGCGCTGCAGAAGCGCTCTCATCTCAACGAGAGTACGCTGCGAGACTACCAAGAGAGGGTGACCACTTTGACTTCGACTGCTGCGAGGCATCAGGCGGACCACGAAACTTCTCGCAGTCAGCTCGATGACGCCAACATGGCACTGGAGCGGCATGTCACTGCTTTGACGGATCTGCAAGCCGCTCTTGCAGCTGCTACCTCGCGGGCGGCGGAGCACGAGAGGATGCATACTCAACATCGCGAGCTCGTCGAGCAGCACGAAGGCACGCTCAATCGTTTGCGCTCCGAGCTCAACTCAAAGTCGCTTGAGACGGACTCGCACTCTCGGAGAGTCAAGGAGCTGGAGACTCTTCTGTCGCGCCACCGCGAAGAGGCAGAGACGCATCGTCTGGCCTCGACGAATGGCTTGGCTCAGGTTTTGCAATTCCATCAACAACGCAATGCGACGAGAAGCACAAACGAATTGGCGCCGCAGATGGAACAGAAGGTTCGGGCACTCACCGATGAGGCCACATCGCTGCGTGCGCTCCACTCAGAGTCAAAAGCGCACGCGGAGGCTACCGCCACGGCACTTCAAGACATGCGCGACCGCAACATTGGACTGGAGAAGCAACACTCTGGCTTGAGGTCCGAGCTAAGCGCCATGCGCAGCCAGCTCGCCATCGCGCTGCAAGAGGTCGGACGACTGAAAGACCAAGCCAGCTCAAAGGACGTTGAGCTGCGCGAGCGCTCTCGTGCTGCAGAGGAAGCTGAGGTCATGACGAGCCTCCTCAAACAATTCATGAAGGAGCGTGGGTTGGCTGTTCCAGGAGATGAAGAGCTCAGTGCCAAGAGCGGATACGCAGATAAGCGCATCCGTGAACTAGAGGACGAGATCGACGCGCGTACAGAAGATGCACGCGAAGCTCAGCGTCGGCTGCAAGAGGCTGTCGGCAAGGCAGACGCCTTGGAGCGCGACCTCGCCTCTGCGCGCTCTGCGTCTGGAAGCGCAGGAGGCGCAGATACGGAAGCTCTGGAGAGGCGAGCTGCGAATGCTGAGCGCGAGCTCGCCGAAGCAGTCGCATCGCACCGAGAGCGCATGGCTACTCTGGAAAATGACTACAACACTGCCGTGTCGTTCGTCAAGGGCACAGAGAAGATGCTGCGCCGCATGAAGGATGAATTGACCAGGTTCAAGACCGAGAATGCTACGCTTCAAACGGAGAATGCAAGCTTGCGAGCGGGTGTTGAGCCCGGCGGAGAAGCTGCGACGGAGGCCGCTCGTGATATCGAAGCGCTCCGCAATCGACTTGTGGACGTCACCGCCCAGAGCGAGGAGGTGGCCATTGAGAACCGTGAACTCGAACGAAGGTGAGCCACGCGTCGATCCATGGAAGGGTTTTCGTGTGCTGACTTGGCTCCTTCGTCTCACAACAGGCTTGCAACGCTGATTAGCGAGCAAAAAGAGGCGCACGATCGTTCTCGTGACCTTCAAGACAGCCGCGCGGACTCGACACGTCGTCAGAACGAGCTCGAGACGGAGATCAGTCGTCTAGAGTCGAATCTGAACAGCGTTCGAAGAGAGCTGCAGGAAACGCATACGCTCAATCAGCACTTGAACAATGAGCTGACACAAGCCTCGAGGAGTGGCACAGCGCCCCCAGCCGGTACAGCATCGATTGCTCGTGACTTGAATACGGCGCAAGCTGCCAACGACCAGCTTAGAGGCGAGAATGCCAACCTTGCGCATCGCTTGCAGGAGACGGAGGATAAGGTGAGCAGCAGATTTGACGCGCGGTATCTTGCATTGCGGTGCGTAGTAGCAGTGCTGACAATGTGAATCACCGCACCTACGTAGCTCCAACTGCTACTCGGACGGGTAGAGTCGAATCATGAGGGCGACAATGTGCGCTACTCCCAAGCGTCCATCTCATCCGAGCTGGATGCGTGGGAAAAGGCAAACAACAGCGGAGCGGCGTGACCTTGAATATGAACGGTGTTCCGGATTTCGCCTCGCTCTTCATTTCCATGTTCTCATGCCGTATCTGATCAGAGAGACAAGCTTCGGCCTTCCACTTATGTCACTGCGCGGGACTCCCTTTTCGAGCTTGGGTGTCTTGTGCGTCATCAACCTTTTCACGATCCCCAAACGACCATTCAAGATTTGATTTTCGAATGAATTTGTATCTACGACTTCCACCCCATTTCGATGACCTCTTTCTGGATTTTTGGCCAGCTTCGTTGGTCCGCCCTTGACATCGAGGAGCAGACTCGAATGATATTTCTTGTCCAGAGCGCGCACCACCCGCGATCGAGCGCGTGAGCGTGACGCGGGAACGCAAGGCACGAGCCGTTCGCTGTCCTGCGTGTCAGAGCACCTGATGCGCGTATGCTTCTGATTCTAAAGAGCGTAAGCCAAAAGAGCGCGCGGGCCCACTACACGGCCGCCTGACTCTCAAATTCGTCAAAGGATGTCGTGGACTGCTTGCCTCGAATCATTCACCCCGCAAGATTGTGATTGGAGAGCGAGCAGCGAGTCCGTCGACAGAGGGTTCCTGCAGTATTCCTTCAAGGTCGAAGTTGCGAAACGCAGCGAGGAGCGCAATCTCGAATGTCTGCCTCTGTCGATTCTGGCTCGAAGCCACCTTTGGCACGCACTCCGCTCCGAGTAGTCTCCGTTCAAATAGAGGCTCACTTTCGCAATGTGCAGCGAAATGCGGAAAAGGTGAAGCAAATGCTGCAAGAGAAGCTGGCTGCTGGGACGGAGGCAGAGCACGAAGCGGGATCAGAAGTGGATCTCATCGTCTTGTCGGAAATGGTCTTGACAGGGTACATGTTTAGGGATCGGGCAGAGGTGGAGGGATACATCGAGTGGCCTTTGCGAAACGCCGTGGCGCCTGCCGAGGAAGCGGTGAACGAAGCATCCTCCAGCAAGACTGCGACTCCGACTGCGACTCCGACTTTGGATCTGTGCCGCAGCTTGGCCAAGCACTATTCGTGCTACGTGATAGCCGGCGTGCCCGTCCGAGCCCCGCTCACACTTCCTACTCCAAGCCATCCACATTCGATCTCGACGTCGTTCGACGCAAGACCGTCGCCTGACGACCGAAAAGTGTCCGGACTGCCTCCTCCAGAGTCGGAGAAGGAACAAGGCTGGTACAATGCAGCGCTCTTGGTCGATCCGAAAGGAGAGCTGGTGCATTTGTTCAGGAAACACTTCTTGTACGAGGCCGAAGAAGGTTGGGCTTCCGAAGGTAAGTCAAAAAGTCGAACTTTGCGCTGCTCCCTCCTCGTCGACTTGCTCACTCTATGTTCGCCTGCTCGCTTGCTGGCTCGCACAAATCAGGCCCAGGCTTTACCTCCATCACCTTGCCCCATCCCCGAGATCCGTGCACCTCTTTCAAATTGGGCTGCGGGATTTGTATGGATCTGAGTCCTCATACGTTCAGTGCTCCGTTTGACAAGTATGAATTCTCCACTTGGGCCGCCAAGGAAGAGTGCGACGTGGTTGCGTGTCCCATGGCTTGGCTCGCAATGGAGCAGAAGCAGCCTCTCGAAGAAAGCCCGAACGCAGAAGCGAGCAAAACTGCCGAGGTGGGGTCGGACAACTCACAAGAAGATTCGGACGAGGAAGAAAGGCAGCCGCTGCATCCTGATCAAGCAGATCCTAGAATGCTCAACTACTGGGCACTACGACTTATGCCTCTTGTTCGGCAAGTCGGCAGAACAACCACAGTCGTCCTGTGCAATCGAATTGGGTATGAGCGCGGTGAGTAGCCAAGTCAACCTCGTTTAGCTGAGCGCGATCGGCAACGCGTCCACACGCATCGTTGCTCCTCGCTATGCTCATTGAGTCATGGCTCACACAACTTGCGCCCACTACTGATGCCAGGCACAACCTTTGGTGGTTCGTCTTGTGTTTTGAAACTCGGTTCCAACAAAGCAATGCTGCTCGCGGCCGCAGGGTCGGGCACAGAAGAAGTAGTAGGAGCAGAAGCCTCTCTCTGACGTCTCGATTCTACGGATAGCCAGATACAAGACCTTGACGTTGAGAACTCTGAGCGCTCGAGCATGTCGTTGCAATCACTACATACTCGCACTTGATCTTTTACTTGCGCCGCGCGATCGCGTGTCATCGATGCTTTCTCTTCATCAGCTTGCAGACTTCACGCCATCATTAGAGGGAATGCAAGCTATATTTTCGGGCACAGCTAGGTGGCTACTGTGCAAGATGGCGAAGGACAAGAAGTACACGATTTCATGAGAGTGGGCAGTAAAAGCCGTTTACAACTTGTCGTAGTAAGTGTCGAGGGGAGGAACCTCCTCCTTGAGACCCTTTCTGGTACGGATGGACTTGACCAGAGTTCCGACCTTGGAGGTGCTCTCAGTGGCGATACCTGACAAGAGTGCCCAGTGGTCGAAGACGCACTGAGGGAAGGCTTTGCCGCCGGTGGCTTGACGCAGAGCACCGTTGAAACCGAAGGACTCGGAGACGGGCAGGTATGCCTTGACAGTGACCATGGGTGTACCCGGACGTTGCTCCTCGAAGAAGACTTGTCCACGTCGGGTGTTAAGGGTCGAGTAGATACCACCAAGGCCGTCGATGTTGCACTGAATCTCAACCAGGAAGACTGGCTCTTGCAGACCCGGTTGCGCGAGCATGGCAGCTGCGTAGCATACACGTCGGCAAGTGGGAATGATCTGACCACCACCACGGTGGATGGCGTCGGTGTGGAGGGTGACATCCATGACGTTGAAACGAACACCACGCATAGGTTCCTCGGCGCAAGGTCCTTCCTTGGTCGCCCATTGGAAGGCAGCAACGCACGAGTCCTTGATTTCGTTGAGGTATTGCACACCCTTGGTGGTGTCGACGAGAAGGTTGGGACCAGTAACCTCGGGGCCGAAGCACCAAATCTTACGGGCATCGGTAACGTCCCATCCGTAGTCGTCGGCAAGGACACGGGCGCGTGCCTTGAAGTCATCACGAGGGTTGATCTTGCCGTCCTCGATGGCCTTGGTGAGCTCCTCGTCCAAAGGACCAGCAGTGACGTAGAGACGGTTGTGCTTGTTCTGCGACTTGGACAGCGCGGTCATGGAGGACTCAGCCTGGACAGTCTCACGGTAGCCGACAACGGGGTCGGAGATCTTGAGGGGAATACCAGCGTGGTCCTCCTCGAGATCCTTCAAGCAAATTTCCAGGTGGAGCTCACCAGCACCGGCGACGATGTGCTCACCAGATCCAGGGTCGATCCATGCTTGGACACATGGGTCAGACTTGCCGAGACGCTTGAGACCTTCGACCAGCTTGGGCAAGTCGTTGGCGTTCTTGACCTCGACGGCGACCTGCACGACGGGAGAGACGCTGAACTTCATGACCTTCATGTTGTGAGCAGTCTCGCTAGAAGTGAGGGTACCGCTCTTAAGCAAGAATTGGTCAACACCGACGAGACCAAGAATGTTTCCGGCAGGGCAGTCCTCGATGGGCTCGACGTAACGTCCCATCATGAGCACGGTACGCTGAATAGACTTGACAAACAAGTCCTCCTTCTTGCCGGGAACGTAGTTGGGGCCCTGGATGCGGATCTTGGGTCCAGAGCGAACAGTACCGGAGAAGATACGCCCGAAAGCGTAGAATCGGCCCTTGTCGGACGTGGGCACCATCTTAGAGACGTAGAGCATGAGGGGTCCGTTGGCATCGCAGTCACGGATACCGATGGCAGACTCGTCGTCCATGGGCCCCTCGTAGAGAGTCTCGACACGGTAGCGCTGAGCAGTGACGGGCGAAGGAAGGTGCACCACGATCATTTCCAAAAGGGCATCACCGGCAGGCAGGAACTTTCTCATGACCACCTTGAGCAGCTGCTTGCCGTCAAGGTCCTTCTCGTCAGAGGTAAGGTTAACCTCAAGCTTCTCGAGGATCTTGGTGGTCTCGTCCTTCTTGAAGTTCATGACGGAGTCGAAGATACGGAAGATGGGGTCGAGAACGAACATGTTGAAGGCACGCTCAAGGGGCTTGCCATCTGCATCTTCACCCTTGGTGGTCCACTTCTTGGTCTTGGGGTTGAAGTAGTTGTCACCCCACAGCTTGACCATCATCTTCTCCTTGTCCACACCGAACTTCTTGGAGTATCGGTTGGCGAACTGAACAAGAGTGAAGGCCCAGCCGTGAAGGCCAGATGCGAAGGACACTGTGCCCTTCTCGGGGAACACTTGAGAGTCACCGAGGACGGGGTCGTTGTAGGTGGCAATGACGACGTTGACGGATTCAATGGTACGCTGGAAGGACTGGTAAAGATCCTCCTTGGTGACCTGCAGCTCGAGCAGAGCACGGTCGACCTTGTTCAAGCAGACCACTGGCTTGATTCGCTCAGTCAGCGCCTGACGCAGCACAGTCTCGGTCTGTACGCAGACACCTTCAATGCAGTCCACAACGACGAGAGCTCCGTCAGTGACACGAAGAGCAGCAGTAACCTCAGAGGAGAAGTCGACGTGACCGGGAGAGTCGATCAGGTTGATCAAGAATTCGTTGCCTGGTAAACAGTGTGAGCTCGTGTGAGCGTGCGTCTCGGCTAGGCACGTCTGCAATCAATGCAGAAAGTGTTTCGTCCACTTACCGCTTGACTTTTGCTGGACTGCGACGAGATCCTCCTTGGCCATGGGGAAGTACATCGAGATGGCAGTAGACTTGATGGTAATACCACGCTCCTTTTCGTCATCACGGGTGTCGGTGAATCGGGTCTCACTAGGCAGCGCAGAACAGTAGTTGTACGAACGTCAGTTCAAGTCCTTCCAAGAAAGTGGGCCCTTTGTCGTGAGGTCCCATCTGCTTTTGTACCATGAGGCCCACGGCTGCGCGCACCTGCGCCCTCTTTCATTTCGCGTTCTTTTCTTCCCATTCATCTCTCCATTTCTCCAGCTCGGTGCTGCTTGCCACACTCATATTGCTACTCACCCAGCCTTGGCACCAGCAATAATTCCAGCCTTGGAGACCAGCGAGTCGGTCAAGGTTGACTTTCCGTGGTCTACGTGAGCAATGACGGACATGTTACGGATGTTCGTGGGCCTGTCCATGAGCCCACGGATCTGGAGGAAGAGAAGGAAGAGCATGCACGGTCAATTCGAGCTCTCCTTCCTCTGAAGGTCCATGCTTGAAAAGATTGCCCAGCTCGCATTGCCACTGCAATGTATGCCGCGCTAATCGCGAGCTGGACAGCCCCCATCGTCCTCCTGAAGGCTGTCATGCAAATTGCACTCACCTCGTCAACGGTGAAAAGCACCTGCCATTGGAAAGCGAGGCAAGAAAGTGAAGTGGCGATAAGGTGAGTCTCGCCGCTGTGTGACCATGCTGATCGCGCCGGATTCTGGACGTACCATGTTGGGCGCCTACTTTTGGGGGGAGGGAGGGACACGAAACGGTTGTAGGAATCTGCCTATGGCAGATGAGAAGTGCGGAGAGGTGCGGCCTAGTGACAGAACGTAGCGTTACGTGTGAAGGCGCTCAAAGGCGATGGCCGAGAAGGTGTGGAGATCAAGAATGTTGAACGCGAAGTTCACCGCTCAGCACAAGCCTGCCTGCCTATACACGGCTCGACGAGGAGATTTTTTTTCTCTCTCCCTCACCTCGCCCTGGAGAGCGCGCGCCTTGCTTCGTGCGCACGGGGTGAACTGACCAGCATAGCCAAATTCGTGCGTCAGGCATCAGCGCGCAGGCGGCTGCTGCTGGCCTGCGCCAATCAGCTACAGAAGAGCGAACGCCGCTGCTTGTGCAGCGTTGAGCGCGCCTGCCTTCGGTCGCAGCACAGCTATAGATTAGCAGCGCGCGTCAGGCAGCAAGGCGGCGAGTAAGGGTGCTCGAGGTGCGCACACACACGCATGCAACCAAGCGCCAGCAGCGCGTGGCAAGGGCCAGCTATAGCCAGCGTGCATCAGCTCACCCTGCCGACATTCATGCTCATCTCTCGTACGATACGTGACGCGGTGCAGGCCCCCCAGCGCAGCCGCCTTGCAGCGTGGTCATTCATGCACAGCAAGCAGGTTTACATATTCGCCGGACGCGAAGCCGTACTACACCTTCAAAAGTACGCTCTTTCACACAACCAGAGACTCTGCGCGGGCACCATTCAGCTCGCGCTCGAGGTTCACGATTGAAGGCTGCACTCGCCACAATGTCGCCGCTGGATGACGGGCATGGCCAAGAGCAGCACGGCACATGGTTCGCTGCTGAGCGCCGCGCCATGGTTAAGTCCGTTGCCTTCTTAGCCGCCATTGCCCGTTGGATTCTTTTCCCCGTCAGCCTCCTGCTCGTACCTTGGATCATTCTCATACTCGGATTTTGCTCAACATTCTATCCCAGGATCATAGCGCTCGTCGCTCTTCTCGTGCACGTGTTCATTCTCTTTGATCTTTACGAGCACGGCTACCTAGCGCTCGAGCAAGGCATGGATGGCGCCGTTCTCGCATTTACCATCTTCACTTATCTTGAAGCGTTCGGCTTCACTTTTGCTTTCATTTTCTCCCTTCTCCCTCACAAGCCGCGCGCCACCAAAGGCACCGACACTCCAGCAGAACACGCCAAGAAGACCACGTAGCATGGCCCGACCTAGTCTTGACTGAGCAGCCATCTGTCAACGAGATTGAGCTCGACTGCTTCGGCGCGGAAATCCAAGCGCGGTTCAAGTAAAGGACGTTTCTGGTCTTTGAATCATCTGGTCATGTTTCAGCGACTCAACGAGGTGTGTCACGACTGCACATTCTCGTCGTTACGTTGCGACTCATTCGCCTCCACCTTCTCCAAACTTGGGCCCGGTCAGCGTCGTACGAATGAGATTGGTGACAACCTGCGTAGCCATGATGTAGTGTCACCCTCGGCAAGATCGGAAGCACACGCCAAGCATCATGGCTTAGACAGTCCTCTCGCAGAAAGAGATGCACAAAGGAACAGCTGATCAAGAGCGGTTATACCAGGCCAGAGAAGTCGTTTGCTGCGTCACGATGATGCGAGGCGTGGAGGAACACAAGGTTGCATTCCAAATTTGAGGCGCTTGCAACATCGTAGTTGTGGAAGGAGTCGGTCAGCAATAGCGGCCACGAGTCACGTACACCGAGTGACTAGGATGCACGAGATCCTGTGTAAGCTAAAGGCATCGCTTGCAGCGCCTTGCACGAAGACTCACACACAATGCGAGCACTGTATGGCGCCCTCCCTGAGCATTCTAGGTAGCCCTTCTCCGCTCCTTCGCCTCCTGTGAAATGCTACGAGAACGTCTCTCGTTGAGGTCCAGAAAATAAATCCCAGCCGCGCTGATAAAGCAGATCGTCTCGAGTCCCGTACAGATAGAGAACGCCATCTCAGAGTCACCCACAGGCCCCTTGCCCCTACCGAAATATTCATGCTCGTATAAGTCGAAAAGAAGAAAGCCGTGCACAAAGATTGCGGTCGTGTACACTATCGAAGGCCGAGCTGAACGAGAGCCGAATTTGAGCATAAACCATGGCACGAGGAGCGCAAGACCAGGAAAGAGGACCCAGAAAGCGAAAGCGGTGATGGCTCGCCGTTCCGCTGCCAACCACTGCTTCCTCTCAACGACAGCAGTGTGAGCGACGAACGACATGCTGCTGAAAGCGAGCAGAAAGTCGTGTCTATCGTGTCAGCTTCTCAAGCTATGGTGGTCTCGTCTGCAGGCAGGAATTCAGAGTGACGAAGGCAGGCGCAGCGTCGAGTGGAACGCTGAATGGCAGATGTCCTCGACTTTGGCGGTAGGTACGCTTACCGGTGTGTAAATGCTGGCCAAGTCTCGCCGAACAAGAAACTCCCTCACATGACGCATGAAAACGTACGCTCGAGACATTCGCGATTGACGTACGTAGAGGCCAGTCTTTAGTGCCAGTCCCTGATGGACGTCACGCGGTCGTGAATTTAGCGTGCGCTAGCGCGTGGTAGATGCTGCACAGGCGCTCCGACTCATTTGTGCTTCGCGAGTCTTGGTGCTAAGCGAGTCTGACGTTCCCTCTCCGCCGGCCTGGATTTTCACCTTGGCAACCACAAAGCAGCACGAGGACCGTGACGGGCTTCACATCGTCAGCTTGTTTGATGCAATCAATACTCAGCCACCCATCGTCTCGCCGCTGAGACGTGTCCCTGATTCAACGAGCAGAATCGTCGTCATTGCTGTCACCAAGACTTTCACCGATCCAGCCCAGCGACACGCCTGTTTGGAAGCGCCAGGCGAAGCCGAAAGTCCCTGCGCCTTACTTCAGAGTCTCCCCGAAAGAGCCTATCGCCACCGCAACAGCCACCGCGGATCTGACTACCGCAAAGCAAGCGCCGCACAATGTTCGTGTTGGACAACACCAGAGCCACAATCATCTCCTTGTGGATCCTTATGGCAATTCTCCTTCTTGGATTCTGGGCGATGCCATGGCTGGTCCTCTACATTGCTTGTCGCGTTGCGCTTCACCTTCGTAAAGCTTGGGCCGCCGCGGCAGCTTTTCTGGAGGTCTACATGCTTGTAAAAGTCTTCGCTTTGCAGGACTGGACTCTCGCTGATCCAGGAATTGGGGTCATATTTGCGGCCACCTTCGTGCAAGCCGTCGCATTTGGCGCAGCGTGTTCTAAGGTGTGTTTCGACGAGCCTTCTTCCCTCAAAGAACCCGCGAAAGTTTGCGGACACCATTCACCACCAGAGAAGGCCGATGAACAAATCGGGCTATGAGCGGCCTGCACAGGTCTGGCAAGAACGCTCGATCTCGACCTGGACCTGGTCGGAGGTGGGGTTCTCTGAATCGCAACACACATCCATTGCCAGCTCAGCAATCCCGTCAGGCATTGTCTACCTTGCCAAGAAGCGCTCATCTGGACTCCACCTTAGCATCTGGAAGTCGCATGGCGGTAATCCACTGCACCGAGCTCCAGTAGACGGCTGCTGAAACCCCAGCGGCTGGGCCCTGAAGAGCATCACTACGCAAACATCCCTGCTGCGCTTTGCGGACGATCTTCTGTGCGCGCAAAAGCCTGACGATGCGACATCCAGCGCCTTGTGGGATGACCATTATACTCGATGTTGCTGGACAGACATGTTCACAACAGAGTGAGGTCGTCTCAGAGCTTCTGGTGCGACATTCCCCCATCTCTTAGGCCTTCATGGTCATGGTCGTGGTCATGCAAGATGGTCATGCGTTCACGTTAGCTTACCCGCCAGAAGCACGCCGTCGTGTACAATTTTAATCACGAATCACAATGCTTCATTCAACTCATTCTAAGACCTGCGGGGAATCAGAGGGAAAATCACCATACACAAATCCCAAACATTTACATACACACGCATATACATATACATATACAGTTAGTCGCCGTGATGACCTCGTGCCGCGCCAACCCGCATGTGCCGCTCGCATGCGCGCACAGCCTCGCATCATCGCGCAGCCTTTGGCGCGGCGTTTGTTGAAGCTCCTTCGACTTTCCGACTTTGGTGTGAGGGCCGGGCCGATTGCCAAGCCGTGGCAAGCTGGGGCGGTGCGCGCATGAGCCTGATTCGAGCTTTGACTGCGATTCGAAGCAGTCAGAGTCAGAGTCGTTAGTGTGGAAGCGAAGCAGGTAGGGCAGGGACACCATCATCTCCACCATACTTGGATGGCCTACGCTCCCATCAATCATTTGAAGCCCAGCCACAGTCAAGGGGATCGCTCCATCTCATCGCGGCACACTGCTGTCTACTACGATCCGGAGGTAACGCGTGCGATTCAATCGACTTGACACCTCTGCTCGTGCAGCGAAACCTTTTTCCCACAGCCTGCTGAAGCAGAAGACGCCCTTCGCGTCTCATCTCGCCGTCACGATGGGTCACAGCCGGCGTCACGGCTTGGAATTCTGCTGTTGCGTGAGTCATCCTCCATGCAAGGCTTCCTCTCCGCTTTCTGCCTCGCTTGTCGAATCGAATGCTGACCGCGCCACTGAGCTTGCGTAGGCTTTTCCCCTCGTCAATGCTGGTGCCTATGTGATCATCATAGAGACATTTCTGGTCGCGTTGGCCGTGCTCGTGCTGGCGCTTGCGCCACCAGCCATCGTAGCAGCCACTGGCTCCTTGCCAGCTGGTTGGCCCAAGTACATTGTCGCGATCATTGCGCTGATCATCATGCTGCTGCAGCCTGTGGGCCTCTTTGCAGTGATCAAGCAACGACCTTCCCTGTACCGCGGCTATCTTCGAATCGCCACCATACTCGTGTTGGCAGAGATTCTCGTCACTCTGGCTTTCTTTGCAGTTGCTGCAGCCAGACATTCGACAGCGCTCGAGTCGTGCATCGCACTATACGCCAATACTCCACAGGGAGATGGAGCTGGTTTCAGCACATCACAGACAGACAATGCCCTCGATGGCGTAGGAGACACGATCTGCAACGTGTGGATATGGATTCAGGTGGGCCTGATGGGTCTTCTCATTGCGCTGGTTGGCATCACTCAGGTGCGTTTTGGGATCTGGCAAAGCATTCGCGCCAGCGCAGCGCCTGCTTTGTTGTCGGGGGTGATTTTAGACCTTCTCTGACCCTTCAGTCTGCTCCTCATCCAGCTGTACATGCTCTATGCCCAGCGCACATACGGACAGCGTCAAAGAGAGGCCTACTTGGCGCACAAATCATACAATGGCGGGCCTCACGAAGGTATTCCGCTCGCTGCTCGAGACTCGGAGGTGTGGGGATCTGCAGCGGGTCCCGAGGATTACGGATCCTATCCTTCTCATCGCGGTCAGGCTTCCGAGCCATATGCGTCTCGCAACGTCGGAGCTGGGGTGGGCGCAGGCAGAAACGCGTATGATGATCCGGGCAGCCCTCCCCGCTCTCCAACGGGCGTAGGATCGTACAGCGCTGCGGCGTACGACCACCCTGCTCCTTATGGACAGCAGCCTTACGGCTACGGAGGTGGAGCATACGATCAGAGCTCTTACGACAACCAGTACGCAGCGCGAGGATACGATTCGTATGAGCCTCAAGAGGCTCATCGAAGAAATGATGGTGCTATCAGGTACCATGCGGACATCTAGAGGAGAAAGTACGTGCGCATTCTTCAATGCGGCATTTCACGTGTGCGCGAAGTGTCGCCTTTCTCCTCGCACTTTCCGTACACAGCATGAACTCCATCGAGGAGCTCCTATGGACATTTGACTCGTTTCAGTAATGCATTGTTGCTTTGCACCCAAATCGAGCTGTTCGTACTTGCCTGCTCACAGCGAGATCCAACGTTCCCGCGAGCAGCTACGTTGCCGAGCGTCAGCTGTGAACAAGAACAAGTGCCATCTTTGCTACGACCCAAGCTGTCCAGAGGCAGTCGATAGCAGCAAATCTAAGATCAGCATTCGCCGTGGAGTGAAGGCGTCGTGCTGACGATCCGCTGCGGCAAACATTTGAGTCAAAAACCTCCACCGAGATGTCGTGCGGAATCGTAAAAGGCACTTGAATCATGAGCAGTCTTGAGTGATCCAAGTGTCTGTGAGCTGGGATATACATGCAGATTCGTGAAGGACGGACAGGCACGCCGCTTGATTATTGGCCCTCCAGTCTGATGGGTTATGCCGCCTTCAGAGCTCTGATGGATAAACATCCCTTTTCGTGAGAGATAAGGCGAACCCGCTTCGAAGGCTGCCCTTCACACCCGTCAGCCGTCGCATACGTCGAAATACGACCCGCGCTTGCACAAGCGAGGGTCAAAAGCTAGAAGCGGCCCCTCTGCAAGCGTGCACATGCTGCTAAATGCGCAAAGTCTATGCAATCTTTGCAGGAGTCGAGTCGATTCCCTGACTGATGAGAATCGCCGTGGATACCGGTAGGTTGGCAATCTCTACGCACCTCGGATGCGACGCTTGTGCAGCTTGCAGCAGACCAGGTCGGCGAAGCGCGAACGAACAGCTTCTTGCGCGGTCCTATGCCCGCTACGATACAGGTCTTGAATACTGCGACCGGGCCTTGTGTCAAGATTCGTACGCTTGTCGACGAAGAGTAGCGCGGATGAGCAACAGGAAGCGATGACTTTATCCCGGGGCCTCGTCTGTGTTGGGACAAGAGTGCGATGACAGTATTCTGGGGATTCGACGGACGGTGACCAGCTCGTGTAATCACCGAGTCTATAGATCAACAGCTGCTTTGTGCGCTTTCCGACCCACCTCACCTAGATCCTGATACTTTGGCACACCATCTGCATCCGTTAAGCTGCAGCCTACTTTTCAGATGTCAAGGTTGCGATCGGTCTTGATGGAGCGTGACCTGCTCCGCTGAGGTGAGGCGCATTCAAGCCTCGAACGCTCGTGATGCCCGCGAAATCTTGACTCGCATCTCGCAATTGACTCGTGATCGCGATTCCTCTTGTGAGATGAGGCAAAATCATGTGCATAGCTGCCCGGATGCCCGCGTGATGGTCACTGACCATTGGATTTTGTCAGTTTCAGGCACACCTTTTTCAAGACGCATGTCCAAAGTTCTGCGTTGCCTCGAAATGAGCTAGGATCGCCCTCGCACGAGCTGTAGGTGGATAATGGCGGATGGATGTGGCATTCGGGCATAGCCCGCATGGGCGTCTGACCATGAGCACACGCTTGACACTAGGACTCACGGCTCTGATTGAAGATGTCGAGCATCCACGAAGGACGGAGGACGGTTGAGAGTCTTGAGTGCTGTGGCACATCGCTCGACCGCTTGATCTGGGGCAAACGGGCGTCTCTGCATGTGTCCTCGACGCCTGTAACAAAGCAGTCGGGCCTTCTCTGCCCTCGACTCTCAATCACGAAGAGGCTTCCAGTTCTTGTGTCCAGAATTCGAATGGACGCCTGATATATTCACATTTTGACCGCGAGATACTCAACTTTCTGCTCAGACTCTTGACTGTTGTGACTCTGATTCTCGACTTTGAGCCAAAAGCTGATGGGGAGGAGCTAGGTGCAAGATGATCAACGATTTGATTCACGTTCAACTTTATTGATTCAATTTTTGATTTCATTCAAATCCCCAGGCTGGGTCGCTGGTTTGGATTCATTGATTCAAAATGAAAGTTGGGCACGCGATACGCTATGTATGCGCTCGCATTTGTTTCAAAAGCAATCCCATTCCCTTTTCATGAACTGACATTCATGATTCCATTCAGATCTGAGACTCCATTTGTGGCGGCGGGCAGGCCAAGTACCCATGCACGTCCAGATTTTCGAGTCGGAGTCTCAGGGACACTGTTTGTGCGTGGAATCTTAGTCACTGGCGAATGAGAGGACAGTCCTGTCGCCGCTACACCAGTATAGAAACTACTAGAGAGGGGCAGAGGGCACCCAACCAAGCGTGACGAGGGCAGCTATGTACGTAGCCAGTTGTAGGTGCGTGGAGCGACTCAGAACTTAAAAATCGATGCGTTCTGGTTATTCTCAAGTCAACAGATCAATCACGAATACTCAAGAATGGTGAACTGGCACGCGCGAAAAGCAGGCGCGGGATCAATCAAGAATCAAGAATCTTGAATCACTCAGACTGAATGTTGAATGCGAATGCTGCTTGTTTGATGACTGAGTCCAGCAGAGCTGCTGCTGCTGCTGCTGCTGCTGGTGGTGGATGCGTGCCTTAATTGCTGAGTTGCTATGCGCTGCCATACTGCCGGTGTTGCTAAACATGCGATTCGGTCGCATCAACATGCATCAGCTAGCAGAATGCGGAGCATGCAGAGACCCCGGCCACGCCGGCAGAGACGATGGATGGATTGCATATGGCAGACCTCATGCGAGATGCACGCACCATGCCATGCCGCACTGCGCACCGCATCACTTCGCACTTCGCGCACGCACGTACCGCACCGCACCTTTTGGCTGATGCTGCGTGGCTGATGATACGCACATTCACACTACTCTGGCGGTGACTCTCGATCGCGACTGTGTATGCAAGCTAGGCTGCACTTTTGCTCGGGATGCTCTTGCGCCCGGCCGTTGCGCAAGTCACGGTTGACTGCCCGGACGCGCTCCTGCTGTAGCGCGCCTCGCTATACCAAGTACTCGTGACTGGATATATACATATACATATGTGTAGATGTAATTATATTTTCATAGCTCCTGATGATGCTGCTGCTGCTGCTGCTGCTTCTGCTATACTTCTGCTGATCTGCATGGTGCTTCGTCGCCTCCGCGCCGCACTGACTGACAGGACGACTCACGCACTCACGACTGTGCATGCATACCGGTACGCTGCGACTCGTGACTGACTTGACTCGTCTTTGCACCGCGCGCTCGCGCTCGCTCGCTCGCATCACGCGCGTACATGACGCGCAAGCACCGACGATTTCACGACATGTGGCTCGCGCTCGCGCTCGCACCACCACCAGCAGCAGCAACGAAACTCATCGATTGCCAACCTTCATTTCCCGCGCAAGAAAAAACAAAGAGAAGCGACGCATCCATCCTCTTTCCCAAATCTGCAAGCCCGTCGCGCATCCCTGCCTTTGCAATCGAAATAGAACGTTGGTCCACAGCATTTCGATTTTCTTTGCCCATTGCCAAGGATTCAAGAGTGCGGACGTGTACCCCTATCATCGCGATACGGCCGGCCACCCCGCTTGCGACTCAACCCCGCAACCAACAGAAAAAGAAATACGGCACTCAGCACCTTTGTAGCCGCGCGCGCTATAGGGGCATTCCCATCTCGCATCCAATTCGGGCATTGATTTGAGCGCCTAAACACTCGATCGCACCATTGCGCATAGATCTTTGGTGACTCTACCATCAACACTTGGACACCCCCCAAAAAGGTGCACGGACGCGCGACGCCGTGCCCACAAGTCTTCAACTTGGAGTCGACGCTCTTACTCTCGACACTTTAGACGTCAAGCTAGCTTTGACCGTTTAGCTCACAGAGCTGCTCACGAGTACTGCTACCTTCAATCGGGTCTCTGAAGCAGCTGCTGGAGCATTGCAAGTCCGGAGTCGATCAGAGATCAAGTGTAGCGGAAGGATTTGCAGATCGCATAGAGCATACCGAGGTGCGTAGGTAGTGACGCAGAATGTCGGAGACAGGGCGAGCGGCTCGCTTGCATTGGGCGTTGGGCCCCAAAGGCCCGGTGCAAGTCCTTTGCGGAACCCAGTCCATATGGGTGTGACAAACAGCCTGGAGCTTGCCTTTCCCGCGGGCCGTGAGCTACCATGAGGTCACATGAGGCTCTTTCAGCAACCAGCGTGGCACGCATAGCGATCCAGCGGAGAGGATATGCCTTTAGCGTGGGGTAGCAGGCGAGCCGCATAGACGCCGGATGTATTTCAGCCGTGTGCTCATCCTTCCAACTTCTGCTGCTTCTCCTTCGCTGCCTTTGTGTCTTTAGGCAAACATGCAGACCATCAAATGTGAGTGCCTGCAGTCTTCCCTCACCGTGACTCTCATCAGTGCAATGGCACTGAATGCAAGCCCTCTCCTACTCAAAAGGCGTGGTGGTTGGAGATGGTGCGGTCGGTAAGACATGTTTACTCATCAGCTACACCACCAACGCATTCCCTGTGAGTGACGAAGGCAGCCAGCCCGTGATGTGCGGCACGGCAGTAGGGGCGGCACAAGGGATGTCAGCATCTTAGATGGCCCTGCTGTCGTGCGCGAGACCCTCTCGCGGTTTGTGAGCAGATTTAGCGCACATGCTGAACTTTGTGGTTCTCTACAGGGCGAATACATTCCCACTGTCTTCGACAACTACTCTGCGAATGTGATGGTCGATGGCAAACCCGTTAGCCTTGGTGAGCATAAAAGACAACACTCGATGCTAGGATAGCAGCTCGCTTACCTCGACGCCCAACGCATGGCGCTCTTCACAGGTCTGTGGGATACGGCCGGTCAAGAAGACTACGACAGATTGCGTCCCTTGTCCTATCCACAGACCGATGTCTTTTTGATTTGCTTTTCACTGGTCAGCCCGCCATCATTCGAGAACGTGCGGACAAAGGTGAGCGGGCGCAGTGAGCTGTGTCATCGACCTGCTTGGCGCAAGAGCGAGGTTGCGAGGCTGACTCTGCCACCTTCCTGCTGTTCATTTGCGTAGTGGTGGCCGGAAATCAGGTGTGTGCAGGCTGACGCATCGTCCGATGGCTCTCTGTGCGGATGCATATGCTGACTCTCTTTGCCACGCACGCATAGTCACCACGCGCCCAATATTCCCATGATTCTGGTCGGAACCAAGTTGGATTTGCGAGAAGACCCGGACACGATCATGAAGCTGCGGGACCGCAGAATGCAGCCCATTGGATACCCGCAAGGCAACCAAATGGCGCGTGACATTGGAGCGGTCAGGTATCTCGAGTGCTCAGCCTTGACGCAGAAAGGTCTCAAGGGCGTCTTTGACGAGGCCATCAGGAGCGTTCGTGAGTGTTAGAAGGCCAAGGTCGAGCGGTGTACACGAGCAGGGCAAGAGCACCCTCGATGCGTCCTTATGGCAACGCGTTCTGACACGGCCTCGTCGTCGCATACCTTGAATTCCAGTTGCGCCTGCACCCGTCAAGTCAAAGAAGAAGCGCGCTTGCACCATCCTTTGATGCGAGTCGGCATAAAGCGCATCATTTTTCCCATTACCGTCACTGCGCTTCTGCGGACTTTGAGAAAGGAGCAACGAGTGGGCAGAAGGAGTCGGACGAGTTTGCAGGAGATTGTGAGAGCTGGAGGCTGCAAGTGTCGTGGAACAAAAAGGAAATACGATCTGATGCGGGATGCGCGCCCTGCAAAGTGTTGGCATCCAGCTGTGGCACAATGACTTCGTCGCCCACCTGGGTCAACGTGATTCAGGCATGTCGGCCGGCTTATCGGTCACCTTCCTTTCGTCATCCTCATCTTCTGCTCCGCCCTCTTCTCCTTTGAGCTCTCCCTTGAGCACTCTCTCTAGCCTCACGAAGTGTACATTTTCAAACCACCGCCAACCTCTTCCCCCCTCCACCACAGCTTTGCCCGCGCTTATTTTCTCATTTCTCGATTCTTCTCGTTTACCTTGCTTGCGCACTTTTCGTCTCCCCTCCCCCTCCTTACTTGGTATCGAGCAGCCAAATCCATTCCTTTTTCTGACTTTTCTATCGCGCGCATTGCGTTTCTGCGCCAGTCTGGGCATGCGCGGTCGGTCAGCTCTTGAGAGTGGGAGACGGCGAAAGAATGATTGACGAGGGGTCAAGATGTGCGAAAGACTACAGACGCCGAGCGAGAAGAGCAATGCTGCAATGTGCGAAAATACTACAGACGCTGAGCGAGAAGGGGAATGTTGGACCAAAGGCACTGGAGGGGGAGGGAGTGTGGAGCTCAAGCGAGAGGGTAGGGGTCGTATGACTCCGTCGATGAGGGACAAAAGTTCAAAGGAATTCAGAGACACTAGAGGTGGTCCTGAGCTAGCCAAGCGGCGGTAATGCGAGCCATGTGCTCGCTATGATCGAGGCAAAAAGCGTGAGGCATGCCGACGTTGCACACTGCGCTCGTGAAAGCTGGCAGAGGATGGCTTGCCACATTCTTGGCTGACCCAGCAAGAGCAGTGTTGAGATCCAACTCGACTTCCGGCGACTCGATCACTGCTGAACCGCTGTCCAGCGCACGAGCAGCTGCTTTGGGCGTGTTGTGCGATAATGTCACCGTCTCGTCGTCTGTCGATGCGCCTGCATACTCTGTAGCGCTCGAATCGTCCGGCGCTTCGATGGAGATGCTGCCATCAATACTTCGCACAGCTCGCGCCCCAATCAGAGAGGGCCTTCTACGCGGCGCTCGATTGTTCAGACGTGGCGGTGTGATGGGCGGAGGCTTAGAGGCTTTGGCTGCTTGGTGAGCTTGCCTTCGAGATCTCAGAGCACTGATCGAAAATGTCCTGAACTTCTTCAGACTGGGAGCGGACATATCGGAAGGCGGCGCGGTCAATGGTGATAGAGTGAGGGCACTCTCCACTTGCTTTCGGATCCATGATGGAGCCCAGCCGTCCTAAGGGTCGTGCAACAAGCAGTCGTGGTTAGCATTCATCAATCGCCCGAGAACAGAGCTCGCTCCATGGCGACCTCACCTCCTCTCCACGAGCCCAATATGCTCGAACCTTGCCCTCTCCGCTTCCAACCTCCCGCACGGCCTTGATCGTCTCGTCACGAAGCTTTCTGATCTCGCGCATCTCCTCCGCTGCCATGTTGACAGCCGAGCGCACAGCCCCTGGCGTGACGAGAAAGTTCGTGGTCGTCTTGGCAGCTTCAAAGTTCTGCCTGGTGAGTAGACGAATGAGAGGTAGGAGTAGTGCGAATGGCAGAAGCGAAAGGACTAGCAGAGGCAAGGGCAGAAAGAAAGCAGGAACGATTGGATGAAATAATGGCTGGAGAGGGGGGGGGGGGGCAAACGTTGAGGCGATACAGTCAGCTTGCCCAATCGGCCTACAACGCCAGCAGATGACACTCACGGCTAGCTTCCTGGCATTTGGCGTCTTGCCAATCCAGCTGACCGTAGGAAAGAGCATGTGCACGGAGTCCACGACATGCCTTCGCTCCTTCAGGCATTCAAGGGCGATGTATGCGCCGACTGAGTGACCGCCCAGCACGAACCTCGGTCGCTCTTCTCGTCCATGTATGCGCTGTGTTGGGTAAGCCGCGCGGGCTGCATCGATCACCAAGAGCTTGTGTGCTACTTGAGCTCGAAGCGTAGTCGGTGTTGGCGAAGGGGCGGCGTGACCCAAGTGCGATACGCATATGATTTCGATTTGGCCTTGAAGTGCTGGAGCGGAGGAAAGAGCGCTGAGGTATGGTGTGCTATGAGAAGAAGCAGTCAATTAGCGGAGCGTAGCGGAAGTTGAGCAATGTCGAGAAGATCTACGCACTAATACTCTGCGAGGCCTGGGTTGCCGGGAATGAACAAGAGCACAATCTTTGGGGGACCGCCGGCTCGGCTCGGCCAAACGAGAGCTGGTGCACTTGCAAAGGTTGCTCTCAAAGGCGGCGTAAATGCTGCCAGCAGGGGAACAGCCATATTGTTGAGGACAAATTTGGATAGCGAAGCTTCTACCGACTTTGCTCGAGCGCTTCGATGTCAGAAACCGGGTGTTGGTCTTTTCAAAATTAGGGCTCCGAAATGGTCGAGGTGGCTCGCTCAGCTTTCAAGCCTCACCCGATGATCATTCAGCGGCGTAAGAGTTTACACTTGTCGATGGAGTTCGCTCGGCCGCTTGTACGCCAAGTGCGCGAAATGAGTGCTGCTCAATCTGAATAATGCTGGGGTTCGTGATTGGAGGAGTGAATGCGGGGTGCTCGTCAGAGTCGACTTAGACTCACACTACTGTGGCCTCTCAAGCCTTCCATGAAATGAGGGGGGAATGCTGCACGCCAGCATCCCTGGTGCGGTGTGGAGGCACCCCAGAACTCAGCGCGCAGCCAGTCAGTCACCACTCACCAGTCAAGTGATGAGTGTCCCGCCGACCCGCCGGAAATCGTGCACGCTGGTGGACTACGGAGACAAGATCACGTGACTGTGTTGGAAGCCAGGTCGAGAGGTGAGCTCGATGACTGTGGTTCCCATGTACAGTCTGCAAAGCATGTAAACTTCTCGTGTGGTTTGTACGTTGGTTTGACATACCATGACACCGGTGACACGCGCGGAGCACCTCACTTCCTACATCGACGCATAGGCACAGGATATCAGCGCCTTAGGTCTTCTGCACAGAATGGAGTTAGACTTGACTCCTGCTCCGGGCGATCAGCCCACCACGCCCCTCGCTTTCCCACTCTTATCGCTCGTAAACGTGGCACGCAATGAGCACGGTCTACGCACCCACGACTTCAAGACTTACCGGCGTTTTTGCACCACCAAAGTGCACCGCCTTAGGTCCGGCCTAAAGATTACTCATGCCGATGAGGCGCATGCGCCAAAGTCTGACTCTGCTGCTCAACAGGGAAAGAGTCGACCTGCAAAGAATGCTGGCAAGGGCAGGAAGAAGCCGCGTCAGCAACCAAAGGAGGCGCGTCCCAATGTCTTCACCAAGAAATCCATCAGCTTAAGCAAAGTGGTGGATAGCAGGTGAGCATCAGGGCGAGGAATGTGCTTTCTCTGCGGTGACCGGTGGTGCTTACTCCGGTGTCTCGACTTGGCTCGCTATGGCAGGCCACTTCAGCTGCTGCTGTTCGAAGCGGAGCGATCGTGGGCTTTCGTGCAAGACTTGCGCACAGACGACGATCACTCCTCTCGTCAGCTCGCAACGCACGCCAGAAGGGCGCTGTCGTGGCTTCGTGATCTCGAGCAACTCGCAGGGGCGCTGGCATCTCGCATCGATGTGCGAGGAAGAGGACAAGTGGCTGCATACATTGCAAACCAGCGAGGCAGCTTAGCCTTTGACCGCGAAGATTATCCAGCAGCTTTAAGGAAGCTCAGCGTAGCCCGCAAGATTTACGCGGCTCTAGCAAATGCCGCGGTCGACTCCAAGATGGAAGCGCTGGACAACGCTTGGATCGATTCATCGGAAGCTCAAATTCGCTTCTGCGCGTACTCTCTGGAACTGGGCGAAGGAACGCCAGACGAACTTGCCGATGCTGCCGCACCTCCTGAGGTCTGTGCGGAGGAAGCCGCAAACTTTGAGAATCTGATGTCCGAACTGACGCAGCTTGGGTCCCAGCAAAAGCCGCGCGCTGCTTTCACATTGTCGTGGAGAGGCGAAGCGATACCAGTCCGCAACCCTCAACTGATCGACGCTCTCGCTCGCGTTAGCTCTGCAGAAATTTTGCTCGACGATGCTGTAAATGCGCAGCGAGACGTCGAAGCCGCACCCGCGAATCGTAGCCGGAAGGATGGCTACAAGCGCGAGCGTCTTACTTCAGCCCAACGAACCGCCAAGAAGAGAGCTTCAGTGGCAGGTGCACCGAACGTGAATGGTGCGGTCACGGGTTCAGCTTCTGGTGCAAATGCCTCTTCTAGTGTGTCCAAATCTGGTGGAAGAACCGAGCTGGATCCATACGACCAAGCCCTGGGTGCTTTGTCCGACGCCGAGGCTCTAGCGCGCAGTTTGGTCGAAGATAACGCTGCTGCTCTCGCCAAGTCGCACAGCGCACGCTATCAAGCCGTCGGAGCGGATCTTCGCAGGGCTCATGAGTGGCTCTCCTTCCGCCTGCAAAGCGTGCGAGTGCGAAGGAACACGCATTTGATTCATGAAGTTGTAGCCAAAGCGGCGCAGCGAGACAAGCGTGCCAGCGAGTTGCTTGAGAAGCGCCTAGCTAGCGGTGTGGTCTCCCGCAAGAAGAGCAGACGATCAACGACCAAATCGAGTGAGCGCCGAGCGAAGAAACCTGCCAAGCCTCAACGTGCTGGGTTGCAACCTAAAACACCACGCACCACTCCACGAACGTCCAAACGTAGACCTGCTAAGAGCGGCACCAAACGAGCACGACGGGCACGTCTACAGGCGAAGGAAGAAAGAGCGCGCGACATCAATGCGGCTCAACAGCACCGTCGTCAGGCCCGCGTCATCCCCGGTGTTGCTAAGCTGCTCGACGGATCTGAGGCGAGCCTTCAGACTGCTGCTGCTCTCAATCTTGTGGAAAGTCACCCGGATATAAGCTCTTTGGTGGACGCAAAGATTGCTTGGTACAGAGCAGAAATCTTCCGCGTTCTAGCGAGCGCTTTCAAGCTAGCCGAAAGATACGACCACGCTTTGTTGCTGCTTTCGCGAGCCAGTCTCTCGCTCAGACAAGCTAGGGCAGCTGATGAACTAGTAGAGGACCACGGAAAAGAGGATGCCGAAGTGCCTCCTCGACTCAGCGAAGAGACGTTTGAGAAGACCAACAAGCTCATTTCGGAGGCGCAACTTGTGATCAGAAGAGAGCTGTACTTTGCTCAACATGGGCTCGTTGAGAAGGGCAGCACCAGCAGTCAAAGTGGCAGGAGGCGCGCCGCAGCTTCACACTTATCTCTTGCTGACTCGAAGACTGGTCAAGTGGTTCAGGATGTGGCTAGCAAGCACGTCACGTTTGAGCCAACGGAGCTGGATCGCGCCGTCCAACTCGACGAGGCTACGGAGGCGCAGCTGCAACGCGAGCTTCGCCAAGCTCTCGGCGGCGCCAGCAAGTCTTCGGGCGCTGTCGCAAAAAGAGATGACACCAGCCGCGGCGCCCAGCAGCAACAGCGTCGGGAGCGAAACGAGATCGCTTCTTCCCCCGACAAGGCCGCTTTGGCATCTGCTGCCCAGGCTGAGTCAACCGGCGTTCCCGTGTCCGGAACCTTTGACCTTGCTGATGAACAGCCGGAAGAAGATGAAGATGATCACTTTGAAGATGCGGACGATGAAGATGTTGCAGTGAAGGAAATAAAATCTGCTGATCAGAAGAAGGGTTGGCTGGGAGGATGGTTTGGCGGACGAAAGTAAGGCAAGGCGAGCGTTCGTTGTTGCCTGCGAAAATACCGCCCATGCATCGTTGAACCTCGTTCGTGCGCAATGGGTCTCTGTGAACGTGCCTGAGATGTCCGGGGGAAGGAGCAATGCCATGAGACTGTCTTGGACATGCTTGGACATGCCTGATGGGTGAAGAGTGACAAGTCTGAAATGTGCTTCAAGAACACGTCTCCCAACACCAGACCTCATGCTTCTTGAGGTCACGATGTCGCGTGCGCCGACAGAATCTATGCGCCTACCTGGAGGCCGCTCTGGTTCATCCGGATAGTGAAATCCGCTCTTGGACAATCTTGCGCGGGATACAGTGAAGGAGATCTCTCCAGTAATTCCCATTCAACATTCTTGATTCAAGATTCTGACACACGATTGTCGACTCAAAAATGAGTAGCTTTCCTGCAGGACAGCACCTCACCGCGGAACCACAAGTATGATCACGTGATTTTGACTCTCGTCATGGGCGCGCGCGGACGCACTCGCGCGCGGCTCGCAGCGAATTTTTCTGCAGATGCCGGACTTTGACTCCTTCGCTCAAGGCTGTGACCAGCTCGAAGAAGTCGTGAATCGCGAGAGCCTCTTGTCGAACAAGCGACACTCTTTCCCTTTCGATCCACCGCATGACTTGCACACCCAACATTGCAAGCTAGAGCAGCAAGCTCACTCGTACAAGCCAGAAGCCACACGATCGACATGGCAGAGTTACCACTGCCGGGCTCTGAGCAGCCCCATTTGGCGGGAGATGAGATGGAGGTGGATGGGGAAAGACCATCTTTGAGCGACAAGATCAAGATTGTGAGTCAATGATCGCTAGCTGGCCTTCAAGGCGAGCCCTTGCTGACACTGTGTGCTGTGCTCCGACGATGGGATACAGCTGCCAGGCCATGCTGCTGATATGAGCGCAGCGACGTTTTGCCTGGAAGAGGAGGATCACACGCTAGGCAACTCTCTGCGATACATGCTTATGAAAGAGTGAGTAATTTGCTTGGAGGTGGCTAGCGCATCGGTGATGCAGCAACATAGACGTAGACGGGTCACTCAAAGATGACGAAAAGATTGCAAAACGCATCGAGCGAAAGGACGCCAAGTAACGCGGGCGGACTTAGTAGCGATGTGAAAGAGAAACTCATCAATGGAATTCTTCGTTGCTGAGAGTGACCTTTAGGCCAACACAGAGCAAGGCAGAGAGAGCAAGAGAGAGAGGGGTCATGATCTGGTTTGGTCCTCTCGGTGATTCAGTCTTGACTGACTATTTCAACCATCTCCTCGCTCTGAATCCTGCTTTCAGCCCTCAAGTCGAGTTCTGCGGCTACAGCAATCCTCATCCCAGCGAGAGCAAGATCCACCTCAGAGTTCAGATGTATGGTGAGTCTTGTTGTCTGTAGATCCCAGTATTAGGCGTGGACGAAGGGGACAGCGGATGCAGGAGCAATGCGCATGTAATGATGACATCACTTAAGGGATTTATCAGCACCCCCACACCAAAGAGGGTGGGTGGAATGATGATGGATAAGTTTTACAATTGTTCCTACTGATATGCGAATTAGAAGTGCATCTGGGGTAGCATTGGTTATCAGAAGCAAGGAACAGGGACTCAGTACTGACAATGTCTCTTGTCCGCTCGACTTCGCGTAGACGGAGTCTCGGCGCTGGACGCGCTTCACACAGCTCTGGTCAATTTGGAAGATCTTTTAGACGCTATTCAAACTTCTTATGATGATAATCTAAGCAAGGGAGATTTCGAGAGGTACGAAGAGAAGGGCACAAGTGAGGAAGCTTTGAGAGCTATGGTGGAAAAGGGCCGAGAGATCGAGGCGGCACAGGTCAAGAAGCAACCTGAAAAAGCTACTGCACTTAGCTAGAATGTCATCTTCACGAATGCCCTCCCCTGGCCTGGCGGCATCTGACCCAGGTTGGATCGACGAAGCTCAGGCCGTAGCCCTTCATAAGAATCACTATGGCTCAAGCAGTATTCAAGGGCAGCATGGGGCACACCTGGTCCTGCTCAGGGCTCACCATGGGAACATGCAGGCCTAGTTGAGACTTTGCGGCCCGACCGAGGGCATGTGCGGGGTGCTCTGCTCGCTACTTGCACGCTACCTCCTGGTCGCACAGTCGGCATGCACATTCTTTTCTGAAGCGCGCGCCACCCACGTGAGAGCCGAATGTACCCTCAAGGCCGTCTGCACGCACCCTGACAGCGACGATGCTGTTCCAACTTTCTCGCGCTCGGTCACATCATTTGTATCATCACTCGTCATAATCACATGCAATCTCACACAAGGCCATAGTGCAATAGTTGAAGCCCTTGCCATTCTCGTGGAGATCTCACGAAGATCGCCTAGCCAAACATCACTCGACGTTATGTTGCTCGATCTGAGCACAGCACAAAGATGTGCGTCCATTAGCGCGTGCAAGAGAACCGAGAAGCATCGCGCAGACAAGGAGCCACTCACCACATCGTCGATTTTCAGGACTGCTCTGACCAGTTGTGTCGCAAGCAGGAGCTGCTGACGCTTCGAGACGAGGGGATCAAATACGCGAGCTTCGCGCATGTTGGTGATCTAGGATACGTAGGATGACGTGACGTAAAGAAATCAGATTAGCATACAGGCTCACCGGGTCGAAGGGAGCAGCGAGGAATAGCGAGACTCACACCAGAGCCCATGCAATCGATACCGATGCGAGGGTCGTTTGTATTGATCTGTGAAGCTTTTGCTTCTGCCAGAGTCTCGATGGGAGCGTAGCCGCTATTCTCTGCCAAAGCTAGCGGAATAGCGTCCAGAGCAGAGGCAAAAGCTCGCATCGCGTATTGTTCGATCGTTGCGATCTGATGGCGAGAGAGCATGTGCAGCAGGTCAGCCACGCAAAAGGGGTTTCAATGGAAAGGCAGGTCGTGAACTCACTTCGTCGGCAGCTTTGGCTACCGCGACGCTCGCGACTATCTCGGCTGCGCCTCCGCCATATACCACCCTATTGTCGACTACGAGATTCCTGACCACACAGATAGCATCGTGCAGAGCACGCTTGGCTTCGTCGATGATCTGTAGGGCAGACGTCCGAAGGTAAGCGGGTGGACAAGCAGACTGATGACAAGTATTAAGAGGATATTCACCATCTTGTTGGAACCCTGCGTAGAAAGCGCACAAAGATGAAGCAGAGATGAATACACGACACATGCAGTATTGTGCGACATACACTACTCACTCGAACGAAGACAGTGACTGCGCGAGGGTTGGCGCATTCCTCAATGACCAGCATCCTGTCACGAGTGGTGCCGAATCCCACTTCCTTGACGAGACCAGCAGTCCCGAGCTTCTCGGGGCTGAGGTCTTCAAAGCGAGGCACGATCCTTCCATTCGTCGCAATAGCGATCAATTCGATTTCCGGTCCACCAACCCATCTGACAGCGGGCAGATCGTGCTGCAACAGCAAATGATTGGCCTCGTCGTCAAAGCCCCATTGACAGATGACCAAGTTAGCACCGCAATCCTTGACCCTCTTGATCATATCCTCGAACGTCGTCTTTTCGTACTCTTGCAGCTTTTTGTACTCTTCGACACTCGTAATGTCCAGCTTATGCTTCGTCTTGGGTCGAGGTGGCTCAAATGGACACGTCAGAATCGCAATCTTGGCGTTGCGAACCTCGCGAGGCATTTGTGGATGAGAGAAATCTTTGTCCACCACTACTCCTTTGACCAGAGCAGTGTCCTCGAGTGAGCCGCCGGATTTACCATCCACTTTGATGAGCTCAAAGTCGACATCTCTGCGGTCCAGATCGGCCACTGAGAGCACAGCGTCGACTGCAATGTTGGCGAAGAGGTCTCCAGCTTTGGAGACGCTGTAGGTAGAGACCCCAAAGTCAGCCGTATGCCATGCATAGAGGATCTGTAGAGGCCAATCCACACAGCAGCGCCAAGCCGCTACGCCTCACATTTTGCTTCCCAAACTCGTCTTTGCCGTTTTGAGCAGCTCCACCTGTTCGCCCTTGGATTTGCCAAAGTCGACCTTATCAGCGACCTTTTCAAGAGCAGAGACGGCCACTTGACAAGCCCTCTCGAAGCCATCTGCGATCCGAATGGGGTGAATGCCCCTGTCCAGCAGCGCCTCTGAATGCTCCAACAGGGCACCAGCGAGCACTGTTCAAGGCCAGTGGGTTGGAACGATGTCAGCATGAAGACGCACAACGTGCCTGAGCGCAACAGACTCACCTACTACACCAGTAGTGCCGTCTCCAATCTCCGAATCCTGGCTTGCGCTGAGCTGAACCATGAGCTTGGCGATCTGATTCTCCAACTCCATATTCTGCATAATCGTAGCTCCATCATTGGTCACTTGAATATCTCCGTCGGGCGAGATCAGAATCTTATCCAATCCCCGAGGTCCTAATGACGTCCTGACGATCTGAGCTACAGACTTGGCTGCTGAGATGTGATTCTTGAGAGCTTGAATGCCTTGCGCTCGTGTTTTTTTGCCTTGCTCTCGCACCACGATGAACGGTCGACCGTGCTCATCTTGAGCGTATGCGATTTGAGGTTCCGCCATGATTAAGGGCGTTTCGGTGGTGCTGCTGCGATGACGCTTGATCGCCTCGAAAACGATGTAGCGATGGCGATGATCGTGACGACGCTTGCTCGAGCAGATGCGAAGTTGGACGGAGTACACTGCTATAGCTGCTGGTGTGCTCCCTCTTCCGCGCGTGACTGTCACTTGAAGCTGCGCGCCAGTCACGAGTCTGATGCGAGTTCGGTTGAGAAATCCAGAAGTCACCGACCGCGTCGAAGCGACGCGAATAAGAGGTGGAAAGTCAGAAGGCGTCTCGCTCGCGCGCAGCACACACGACTCTTCTCGTGCGAGAGGGCTCTGCGCGTGGGTGCGACCAATCTCGATCGCTGCTTCTGACCCTCATGATCCGTCGACGACCCAGTCACTAGTGTGAGTGCGAATCTCGTGTGCAATCCCGTCTCACGAATCGCATCTCAGCTGCCCGACCTGACTTTGTGCAACGCCCGCTGCGCAGTCATCCACCACTCTGCACGAGTTGCGAAGCGTTCGAGATCGAAGCTGAGAGGGATCTTGATCCAAGTTTGAGCTCTCGCTCTCTTTACAAAGGTCATCACAGCTTTGTGCCTTGTGCCTCAGGGCCCGGCGGCAAGATGGTGCGCATCATCATCAAAGGTGGCGTGTGGAAGAACGTAAGTCGCTGTACTGCTCCTCGCAAACATGCTCCAGCGTTTGCTGACACCATTGTCCTTCTCACATCTCTCACATAGACGGAGGACGAGATACTGAAAGCTGCCATTTCCAAGTACGGCAAGAATCAGTGGGCTCGGATCTCATCCTTGCTGGTGCGCAAGACGCCCAAACAGTGCAAAGCTCGATGGTACGAATGGTTGGATCCTTCCATAAAAAAGACGGAGTGGTCCAAGGAAGAGGATGAAAAGCTGTTGCACCTGGCCAAGCTGATGCCTACGCAATGGAGGACCATCGCTCCCATCGTTGGTCGAACTGCCACACAGTGTTTGGAGAGGTATCAGAAATTGCTGGACGAGGCTGAGCAGAGAGACGGAGAGGAAGGTTCGAGTGCAGGGCTGGGGCTTGCCGGACCCAGCGGACCCGAAGGCGCTCCTACGGCAGACGACGTGAGAAGATTGAGACCGGGAGAAATCGACCCGGATCCAGAGACGAAGCCTGCCAGACCTGACCCTATCGATATGGATGAAGATGAAAAGGAGATGCTCAGCGAAGCGCGTGCGCGTCTAGCCAATACTCAGGGAAAGAAGGCCAAGAGGAAGGCGAGAGAGCAGGCACTGGAGGAAGCGAGACGCCTCGCATTGCTCCAGAAGAGAAGAGAGCTCAAAGCGGCAGGCATCATGTGAGTCTCTAATCTTTGAGCTCCGCGTGGCTTGAAACTTCGTGTAACGATTCACTGCTCCCTACAGTATGCGACCAAAGAAACCAAAGAAGGGCATGGACTATAACGAGGACATTCCCTACGCCAAAGCGCCAGTGCCGGGCTTCTACGACACATCGGACGAAGCATCGCGCTCGTATCGCGCTCCTGTGGGTCAGACGCTCGCACAGCTCGATGGCAAGCGCAAAGAGTCAGCAGAAGAGCGCAAGCGCAAGACGAACGAAGCTTCTGCTGCGGGGGCTCAAAAGGCAAAAGATGCCTCCGCCGCGCAACGAGAGGAACAAATTAGGAAGCTCAAAGAAGCAGAACAAATTTCAAAGAGGCGCAAGCTGAACCTGCCGGATGCTCAGGTGGGCGAGAGAGAGGTTGAGCAGATCGTGAAGTTGGGACATGCAGGAGAAATGACGCGTGGACTGGTGCAGGATGGAAACGAGGCGAGCGAGGGTCTGCTTGGCGAGTACACCCCTCTAGATAGAGCCAAGCAAGCCAGGACCGCCAGGACCGCTCCTGAAGGTAAGTCATGGCAACATGCTTTGAGCTCGCTAGACAGACAGCTCTGACGGACCTGCTTCTCATCTATAGAGGACACAGTCATGCGCGAGGCGCGAAACCTGCGCAACATGACTGCCGCACAAACGCCTCTGCTGGGAGAAGCAAATGCGCCCTTGCTCGAAGGCACCGGCGCAGCGAGCATGACCCCACGACAAGGCGTTGCTCAGACTCCCAATCCGCTGTTGACCCCCATGCACACCGGCAGGGATGTGGGGCCTGGCGCTACACCAATGAGCGTGAGGGGCGCCAACGGAGCTGTGGGCTACCCATCTGCTACTCCTCGATCTGAAGTGGGCTCCACGGTGGCGGATGGCCGCACACCTCTACGCACGCCCCTTCGCGATAATTTAGGCTTGAATGCCGAAGATCGCCTGTCGTCGATAGCTGACACACCTCGAGATGCCAAGCGGGCCCTGGCTGCCTCTCGAAGGGAATTGCAAGCTGGCCTAAGCAGCTTGCCCGCGCCCAAGAACGACTTTGAGCTGGTCATGGATGAGGAAGAGGATGGAGGTCAGGGTGAAGAGGAGCTGGCCGATATGGTGATTTTGAGCGAAGAAGATGCGGCCGAGCGCGATGCACGGCTAGCCAAGCTAAGAGAAGAACAGAGGATCAAGGAGCTGGCTCGGAGGACTCAAGTGGTCCAAAGGGGCTTGCCGCGGCCTGCCAACGTGGATGCACAGGTTCTTGCAAAGTTGTTTGCAGCTTTGCCTTTGGAAGATGCGCACGATGCTCAGAGTCGCGCTCGCCAACTTATCAATGCGGAAATGGTCAGGCTCTTGCATCACGATTCCGTCGAGCATCCTATACGGGGCAGTCGGACGCCTGGAGGTGCCAAATCCAGCCTACCGCTGATCGAGGATCAAAGATTGCAAGAAGCCAGGTCGCTGGTCCACAGCGAGCTCGCGCAGAACTTGGGATACCCTGGCGCCAAGCCCGACGTGCTCAAGAGACTCACCGCTTCTTCCCTAGACGCCAGCAGTGAGGATGGAGCAGCTCGACTGGAAGCGTTCGAAGCTGCTATGGAGCAAGGACGCAAGTCTGTAGCGTGGGATGCGCGCGCAGGCGCATGGGTAGACAAGTCCTTGTTGAGCGAGCAACAAATGCTAGCGGGTCTGGAAGCTAGGTTGGAAGCTGCGAGATCTGCCATGAGTCAACAATCCACCTCGGCTGCCAAGGATGAGAAGCGATTGGGCAAGATTTTGGGCGGGTATCAGGCGCGAAGCAAGGCTCTTTCGGACAAGATCAAGGAGAGGAGCAACGCGCTTGTGGAAGCTTCTGTGGAGCGAGCTGCGTTTGAACGATTGCAGGAGGATGAAGGACCGGGTATGGCGGAGAGGACGGAGAAATTGATGAGGGAGGTAAGGATGCTGGAGAATAAGGAGAAAGAAGCGCAAGCAAAGTACAGAGACATGGATGAGGAGAGGAGACGTGTTCAGGCTGCGATCTTGAGCTTGCAGGAGGAGCTGGACCTGAGGGAAGCGGAGAGACTGAATGAGGAGGCTCTGGATTTGAACGGATGAAGTAGTGGGCCTACTCGACGTCCTTTTGGACAGCCACTCACGTCTCACGAGCACAGAGTAGTGCTATTGCGTATTTCCCTTTTGATCCATCGACGCTTTGATCGTCATCTATCAAGGACCCAATGCGCACTTGTTGGAGCTGGACAAGCAATCGCATTGATCGGTTGAAAGCTTCGTGGTGATCTGCTCTGCAGAGCTGATCTGCCGTTTTGGAGTGCTGAGAGCTATGTAGGGCTGTAGGAATCCGCGCTCAACATCAGGTGGCTGTCAATAACTCAGCGCGTCTTTGTAATTGATGGTGTCACGAGTGGATGTTTGAATGACGGAGATGAGATGGCCAAGCCAAATGACGAGTGCACGCAAACACATCACTGCAAAGGTCCAACCAAGTCTCTCAAGTCACTCATGCCGACCCACCGGCGGCCAGGGGACGCACGCGCCGCACGTCTCTGCTGGGATGCTGATGCTTCCCACGCGCGCTGTGTGCATATCCTCTCCTCCACCTCATGCAGTCTTGAGTGTACAGCGGCGCAACAGCGCCCGCAGCTGGTCCATCAACCTCTTCATCGTTCACTCACTTACTCACTCACTCACTCACTCACTCACTCACTCACTCACTCACTCA